CAATCTGTGATATATTGATTTTGATTGCGAATCTGATAGTGGTGTCAATGAAAATTAGACAAAAAATATATGATTAGAGCTTATTAGCAGCGTAAAAAAATCCCTCGCTTAGGCTCGCTTAAGGCCTCTTAACCAATCAGAGGGCCAGAAAAACGCTAAGTGAGCGTTTTTTTTTTTTGGAGTTGCTAATAAGCTCTATTGTAGGATCCAGACCATTTGGCAGATCCATATTATATTAGCCCAAAACTAGTTAAGAAACTGAACTCATCCCCACTTAAAAGTGGGTAAAAATCAAATAAAACTTTTATCATAGTATTTGGCTTGTCACAATCAGTGATGATTCAGATTTGATGATACTTTCAATAAAACATGAGTAAAAATGTTATCAAACCAAAATAATCAATTTCTGATGTCTGATACTGATACAATCTGGTTTGAGTTTGTCCAAACAGAAAGTGGCCACAACCATAAATTTTATTGCAAGGTGCTTGATAATAAAAAGTGGGTATAGAGCGTAAGAACCTGGTACCCTTACAAATCAATCAATTGATGACATTAGCAACAAAATTTGGGGTTTATGAACGAAAAAAAATATAACCTTGAGTGCATTTATACTGTAGCATTATATTCAATTTGAATGTTATAGGTCACAGCCCTCTGAATATTCGAGCAACTTCAAAAATGTCACAGGTCACAGCTACTTTTTGTGGTCCCAAACTGTCTGAGTATGGTAATTTGTCACTTTTTCTGGTGCCCAATCACTTTCTAAAAAGGAAATTTTCGAAGCTACAACTTTGAATATTGAGTCACAGGTCACAACCCATTCGAATTGAATATAATACTACAGTACCAGCGAGCTATTACAATTATGCTTCAAACCCCACCAGTTGACTGTAGATACTATCCAGAGCACATGTAACAGAGTGTGACATCCTTCTAAATTTGGTAATCAATTTGATCCCACTTTCTTTTACCTTTAATCTATACCAGAGTAGTCAGATATGTGCTCAAAACTGTCACGACCTGGCCCATCTGCTCCAGGGCCACTGAGAGCCCACAACATTCAACCCCTGACACCGACTTTGATAAGGAACCACTTTAATGGGCCCTTTTGGTTTAATTTGACCCTGCTCGCTTTACTTGCAGACCTAATGATTTGTCTGTTCTGTTCTGGGCATGTGTTTCTTAGGAGGAGCCTTGCATGGCCTGACCTGAAGCCTGCCAAAAACCTGCTTGATTGCTGTAAATGATCTGATTTCCTATAAATGACCAGTTTATATGGCTATGTTGTCACAATCAAGTCACATTGATGTCACACTTTGACTGAGATCATACATGTTAGAGTGAGAAAATCTCTGGGGTTAAGAAATCTAAAATGTAGATCTTTTAAAAGTAACTTTAATCAAGCATGATATCTCTCATTTCCACATGTTTTCAGTACTTTTGGGTGCCAATAGTGCTGATCCTATTAGCTGACTAAACATGCAGGGTTCTCATACTCTTTACCTCAATCTAAAATTAGCACACATTACTATTTATTCAATTTGAATGGTCCTCAGGGCCATGCCATATAGATGCCTAAAAACATTCATATGATGTTCCCCATTTGGTAATTACTATTTTGGAAAGCCAAAATTCACTTTGTACTGTGATATATATTGTATAAAATCAGCTGTATGACATGTGACAGACAAATTGAAGCAAAGTATGACATTCAAACTGAGTAACATACTAAAGTATAGTAGTATAAAAGTAAAGACAAAGTCAAACAAAAGGAATTTAAAGTCCGACAGATACGGTCACGTGACTTCCTTGATGCTGGCCATCATGATTCCCGACTGATACACCTTAGAAATGTGGCATAAAGTTGCATACCCAGGAGCAGGCAGTGGCAAATACCCTACTAGATTTGGGGCCATAAGTGCTATAGAAAGTAGGCTTACACTGTCATGATGGCATAGAAGCTTTATCCCCAGTGTCAGATCAGGTTTTGTGTGAGAAGATGGGCTCCGAGGGCTGGTCACGTGACCCATCGCGTGCTAACGCCTACGACCAAAAATGGAAATTTGCCATTTCACCACTGTTCTATACCTAGAAATGCTCCGATTGGGCTCAAATTTTAGTATAGCATGCTTACGTAAGCCATCTGCCGGTCCGTGCTTTTATCCGAGGCGAAGGGGGCTCCTGAATATATGATCTTGCCCAGGTGCGTCATTTTGCTACTTCCTGGGATTCCAAGGCTGGGATGGGCCGATTGCCTTGGAAACTCTTCCATATCACGTGGGAAATGTCCTCAGCGGGTTCCTCACCCCACAATCTTCTCAATGATGGGATACTCAGTGTAGATCCAAGATGGATTTTCCGCGCTTCCTACCTGCTCAGCGGGAAGCTCAGGGATTTACGGCCTAAAACACGCCATATATTACGCTATCATAATCCTGTCTGTCACTCGCCTAGAATATGGGCGCTCCGCCTGACGAATGGTTCATATTTTCCGTTTTTGCCCCCAATGATGTTTTCCATTTATTGTGCATTTCAGTGTGCTATCTACCACTGTAAGTCACAGAAACATCTCTAATGAACCTCTCCATAAGTCCGAATGCTGCCCTGCCTCCATATTCTGCTAGGAAAGCACACTATGCTCGGAAAGTCCATTTCCGAGCATTTATGACATATTCCGATAGTGGCGAATCCGCCCGGTCCAGCCCTGCGTGATCCGTCCTTCCGGTGAGAACTTTCCCACTCATCGCGTAGCTCGCTTGGGTGGCGCTCTGGGTATAAAATCCAGCCCCAATCTGCCATTCCCATCATTCCCCCTTCTCCCTCTTTTCATCTCTCCCTCACTTTCCCTTCTCATCCGCATCTGCGACTGCACCATTTCAAATATCACCATTTCAAATATCACCATCGACCTCGCCGTTGCGACCAATGTCGAGCTCGCTGCTGTTGCGCTGCACAGGTATGGTCTCATCATAATTGATGAATTCACTGTGCTTACACTATCCCAGGTGACCGCGAACTACATACGACATCCACTGGCTTCACCGACTTCCCCGTTGCCCATCCTCATGTTTTACGCGTTCGATAGCGTCGACTGCGCTTTGAGTCGGGCGCCAGCAATAGCGAGGGCCTGCGTCTTCAACAGCAACACTGTTGCCCGAAGTGGATCCTGACGTCTGGGATCCTGTGAGTTGGTCATTTCAATTTTCCTGCAAGCCTTGACTTACCACGTTCCAGTTGCGGTGCCCGTCGTTCAACCGCTGTGGTCACTCTAAACGGCCGCGGAAGTAGGGAGTTCAGCGTCTGCAAACGGTGAGTATCGATATTTGTACTTGAAATATCCCTTACCGATCGTGACAGGCAACGGCCGTGAACCTTTGCTGGTTCTTTCCCGAACAACTTGAACTGGTTATTGGGCAGTGTCGTTGGGAGTGTTGCGCAGGCCTAGGCTTTGAGCGGGGGACATGCCTTCAATAACGACTGTGTTGTCCTGGGAGTGGATCTCGCCATCTTGTGGGTTTGTTGTCGTTGTCTAGCAGATGTTGACTTACCTTGTTGCAGTCGTGGTAACAAGAGCTCCATCGCCATTGGATATCAAGGCAACGATATCTGCAACAACGGTGAGCATTAAGTTGTACAACTTTGAATACACTCACACAGTTGAGCAGGACAACGACCATGCACTGATCAGTGTTGTGGCGGGCATTGTTGGGACTTCAACTCATGTCTTCAGTCCGAGTCGGGCGACACTGGGAAGCCACTCTGGTCATCGCAAAGGACGGCAAGAACGCTACAAAATAACTCGCCTGCGCTGTCTCGGACGAGAGCGTTGTTCCGCCAGAGTTATTGTGGCCGCGCTCATTGTGAGCAACGAAGAGCATGTTGCCAGGTCTGCGTTATCCAGCAAGATCTTGCTGATGTCAAGCCCTTCTATAGCGCGTTGGATAGCGGAGTTTGTGCCGAGTTGGGCTGGGAGAAGGCGCGTCGGGTGGTGCGGAGGGAGCATTGTTGAGCTCAGTGTCGGGCTTGCTGCTTCTAGCGTGAGAATGCCGCCAAAGTTGTGCATTCGTTTCCTGGGCATTCTCTTGCCCAACGGCGCCTAGTTGTCGTTCTTTCTTGATTCGAGTCGGGGCTTCTGGCGCGAACAGCGAGGAGGAAGCAGGAGCGGCTTGCTGGGTAGACTATTACCGTCCTGCGGGCGGTTCTTGCTGATAAAGTCGTTCTACAGCGAGTTGGGCGGCAGGAACCGGTGTCAAAACGGCCATTCAACGGGCAGTCGCCCAGATTTTCGACTTTGCTCGTTGACGTGGTCATCCGCGGGCGGTTTCTGAGAAGTAGACGAGAAGCCTGAGCGCAAGAAGGGCTGGGAGCGGGCAAGCGCTCGAGGCGGCAGGAATCGGCTACAAAACCGCCGTTTGGCGGGTACTTGGCAAGACGAGGTCTGCGCGTCGAATTTTCGCCTTCTAGTCGTCGTTCGCGGGCGGTTTCTGGCGCGCGAATAGAAGACGAGCAGCTTTGCATCGATGCTGCTGCTGGCGTGAAAAGAGCCGAGAGCGGGCAAGCGCTCGTTGCTGGGGTAGGCGTCCGGTGCTCTCCCGCCCCATTTCTCGTTAATGAAGTCGTTCAGGTGTGAATTGGGCAGTGAGGGCGGCAGGAATCGGCGGCAAGACGGCCGTTTGGTGGGTAGTTGGTCTGCGCGCCGAGTTTTCGCCTTCTGGGCGTTGACGTCGTTGTTAGCGCGCGGTTTCCGGCGTAAGAGGACGCTGTAGATAAGCAGCGTTGACGATTTGAGCGGCAGAAGTCGGCAGGAGGTTGTGGTGCTTAGATTTCCGAGTTGCGGCTACTACAGACCCGTTTGGCGATGCAGAAAGGCCGGCGCTGCCGGACTTGATTCAGTAGAACGGCTGTCCGTCGTTGCTGCAATGTACCAGTAAGTGACGTTTGTGTTGCTTCAATAATGCTGAGTAGTAGCTGTTCGATTAGATGTACTTCGCCCCGAGATGGCCGTCGGAGGACAAGGTTGTCGGCTATCACGTGGGGCCGGGGACTTGTTGTCAACTTCACCAACGCTTCACCAACAACTCGTACGTGCCGTGTTCCTCCTCTAACCTTCAAGCTCTCATGAATTATTCAGTCAGCATATTTTTCCGACTCCACGCCATGGCTTGCGCGTTACGCCGAGCTTGTCCGCGCTCGATGCGGCGAGCTTGGTCAGTCTTCGCGTGTGCATGTCCACCAGGATCAACACAGCAACAACTCCCCTCCGCGATATACCACGAGTGATGTCATGAACGCGGTTTGTTAATATTTTCAAACACGTTCAAGGAAAGTCTAACGACCGTGTAGACTTGAACTACTACACCATCATCAGCCGCAACCTCAAGCAACACCGCAACCGCCGCTTCAACGACGGCCACCGACACCAATACCTGTGCCAATGGAGGTGGACGAGAATCACCATGCGCGATTCCGGCAGGCCAGCAATCCTCAGCAGAGTCAAGCAGAAACGGCCTTGGGAGGTCATGGAGATGGATGGCGGGGAGGAGATCGACGAGTTGGACGACAGCGAAGAAGGCAATGGGAAAACGACTGCGGAGCATTTGGACAAAACGCGCCACGCAGCGGGGGTCAACGTAACACGATCTAATCGTTGTACCTCGCGACTTTAGGCTTCTCATCGCCACCCCCAGGCAGCTCAATCCCCTTCTGGCGCCAGATCTCGATCTGCCGGTCCTTCGCAACCTTGCCCGTCTTCTTCTCATACGCGGCGACGGAAAGCGGTTTCTCGCCATGCGGTGTCGCACGCAAGGCGTGGCGCGTTTCGGGGAAAAAGTCGAATGTCGCGGAGTGGGTGACAACGCGATTATCCTGCAGAAAGAATCAGTGTCATGATCATTACCTAGACAAAACAACTGACCCAGAACGCGATGTCGTTGTGCTCCCACTTGAAGCGGACCTGGAAGTCGGGGTTCTGGGCGATCTGGTGGAAGAGCAGCTGTAGGATGGCGTCGGATTCGGCCTTGGGGAGGCCGATGATGCGGCGGGTGAAGCCTGTTTGCGTGGGTAACCTGAAGACAACTAGATTTGGATGCAAGGCCTACCAGGGTTGACGTAGATGCTCTTCCAGCCGGTCACGGGATGGACACGGACGACGGGGTGGATGGTCTCGATAGGCTCGCGCCGGACGGGGAGGCCGGCAGCACGTGACCCGTCGGCCTGGGCAACGGCGCTGTGCAAGGCGGTCAGTCCCTCGAGGTACGTTTGGAATCCGGGGCTAAAAGAAGAATAGAGCGCATAACTAACATAGATTGTTAGTGGAGTGTGTCGGTTATGGAGAACAATAATGGTACCCAGAGCTCCAGAGTGTGTCCCCACCGTACTCCGGTCCAGTGATGACTTTGAGAGAAGTCGTGCTGGGAGGCTGAATTTCGTAGGACACCTTTGAATCACGTTAAAAGGATGACCTCAGAGGATATGACGCGAAATACATCAGTATGCCAAAGCTCGAGCTTCGAGAACGATGCTGGGTCAGGTCGACGTGAAGAGTCGTTATATACGACTAAAAGAAGGTCAAATAATGAAGCCGCGAATCAGCTATTTCCTACCGTGAACTTCTTCGAGGCCATTTCGCGGAATTGGTGTCGTGGCGTGCTTGTGCAATGGGCCAAAATGGCGTGCGATATCCAGTTGACCATAAACATCAATTTCTTGATCGCGGAAAACTGGGTTTCCATGTCAGAAATGCTTCAGGGGCCGAGGACTGGCGCACAAACAACACCGCGTTCGGCTACCAGCAACGCTCTAGCATCGTGTGAGTTCAAAACAACCGCGGGAGGCAATGGAAAGACATACAGCTCGTCTTTCTGCGCATCCGTAAGCTGTCTGAGGTCAATCCCAAGAAGCTCTGTTCCAATGGCGGGCGTGAGATGCCGGACTTTGCTCGCGGCACTCAACAGGCTTTTCTTTGCTGGATCAGCTAGCAGCCCGCGATCGCTGACGGCGACTTCTGTGAGGGGAGGCCAGGAGATATCAGGAAAGGACGGCTAGGTGAAGTTGGTTGGAGGGTATTACATAAGTCAAATATTTGGCAACAAACCTTGAATTGCGCATATGCATAGGTGTTATCGCCGTCGTCGCCGATCGAGGGGGAGTAGAATGGGTTGAAAACATTGCTGTCGGCGGCGGCATTTTCTGCTTTCAGGGCGGCAATGCGCTCTGTGGTGGACGGTACAGCAAGTTCGTGGTCGTTTTGGGTCGCAACGGGTGCCATGGTAAGTCGCTGGGAAGAAAGCAGAGGACGGAAAGGCAAGCCACGGTGCTTATATGGATTGTGCGAAGACTTGCGCCATTCTCGGGCCGTGCAGTGAGAGTGGCGCAAGAGGTGTTCGAATGGCGCGATCTGTTTCCACACGAACTTGAACGTGACATGGTTGTTTTGTGGTTGGACTTGGAGTAAGCTGGTCATGGAGAATGTTCACGAGTTTCATCTTCGATTGCTGCTCGCTTTAGTCTTCTTCCTTCTTCGCAACATTATGACTTGAGAGATGGGATCGAAGACGGGTCAGGGTTTCTAGCATAACATCTCGAGCATGAAGAGTTGGAGTTATGCTGGCGATTGGGAGAACACTAGTCGGCTCAAGTTGTGCAAGTGCCACCTTGGTGGAAGTTTTGAGATTGAAGCGTCACACTATGTCACAACCTTCGATCCTTGCCGTTTACGCCCATCGCAGTATGCCAGACCTGAAAATTCGCTCCCAGCAGAAAACTATGCTATAGGGACCCGGTTTGCCTCTCCACGTTGGCAACAAGACACCCAAACTGAAACTGTGGGGCAATCTGACACTTCCGTAAAACCTGTGCGCGGATGTAAAGTGTCTTGCTTTCTTGAAGGCCATAAAACTCCAGCGACTCGTTGCTCGGGTCACCAAATCACTCTTGCACTTCAGCCACTACCATCTCCCAAACCAAACGCCTCTTAACCAAAACACCAAATAAAAATGTTGTCGAACGTCACCGTCCCCGCTGCCTTCGACCTCACCAGCTCTGTCTCCTGTTCATCGAGCGAGCAAACAATGTCTCGTACTCTTCGAGAACGCCGGGGGTTCACCCTCTACATATCATTTGGCCCGGCGTATCCGAAAATTGAGCCAAAAGGGCAGCTGGGTCCTACACATGCCAACCTCCCTCGTCGTCGCAAGCGGAGCAGTGTTGCCTCAGTCGAATCTACCTCTACTGCTGCTCCCCTCGCTCCCTCACCGAGCAGAACCAAAAAAGCGGCCTACTTTTCGTAGTTGTCTGGCTTAGCGAGAAAGGGAGAGTTCCCGACTGTCATGGTTGATGAATGTGTGTTAACACGGTCCATTTCCGAACTTCAACTAATTCTGTCTTTTTCCCAGTCAATGAAAGCATCCTATGAACCCTGGATTGCCACTAGGGATCGTTAGACCAAGAAATAATATACTCGGCCTCACGCTTGAGGCGCTGGAAGAGTTGGGGCACTGATGTCCTTCTTACCCGTAAGTATATGAATAAATGGTTGTAACGCCTACCACACAGAATACAACCAGGGCATTCTCAGGCTTGACCGTGGCACTTCAGAGTAAAGCATTCAAGTAGCGAATCCACCATGGTGACATCTGCCAGTGTGCATAGAGTACGTAGGATATGACGACCAGATTGAAACCACAACAAGTGTGTATTTGTCTCAGCAAGATGTTGTTGACCGGTCACCGCTGCGTCGCTTTTCAACACTCCGACGGTATGTTTTCCAAGCTTTCCTGACTGCCAGGCACCGGGGTCGAAGGTGCTGTCACGTAGCTCGAGCAAGACATAACACTATCTCTAAATCCACTCCCAATCAATGAGGGAGTCGATTTCAAAAATGAGCTCATGCCTTGGATTCCGGTCGGAAGCGATGTCGGAGGCTTCTGTGAGACCGCCGCAACGACGCATTTCGGAGGTTGGACGAGCAAGGAATGCATATGGGCCCGCATTTGTGTTGTCCTGTTCGTTGATCAACATGAGAAGAAAGTCAAATCAATGAACCTTTCTACAGGCGAAGAGTCCGGGTTAAAATACGGTGGTGGCGGGTCGGCAATTGAGGTTGTTGGGGTACAGGCATTTCTGACGTGGAAGACGCGGCGCTGTGCCTCACGCTGGGCCTTTAGTTACATGACTTAGCACGCATGCTGCTATTGGAATAGCGAAGGACGCACATATTTGGACGGGGAACTAGGCCCGGGAGCCGGCGTCGATCCAACAGCGTCGAGGGTAGCAGGATTTGAGTGAGAAGAGAATTGGAGAGGGAACGGGCGCGGAATGGTGCGATCGATGGCTGTGGGGTCAGATTCCATCTCCAAGCTCAATGCAGAGATAGACGACTGCAGTTGGAGAAGTTTTTCCTCACTGTAGACCTGCTGCTCAAGAATTCAGCACACTTCATTTGACATACCACTGGCAAGCCTTACCAGTTCTTGCAGCATTTTGCTCGAGGTTTGTGGGTCAATTGATGATCGGTTAGGTAAATAACACACAGAAGGGCCCCAGTTTTTAGCCACCGAAGTTTCCTGGCGGGACACTTCAGAGAACCGAGAGTATTTGAAGACGGACACCATACTCAATGAGTGAGGCTGCGACCAGAATAATCCGTGACACGCATTACTTTTGAATGATGTTGGGCTGACCTTTGATTATGCCATCCTCGATCTCACGGTCTGCGTCGGTCAATACTTCGGCAGACGTCCTCTGTATTTTCGGGAAGCGAGTGCAAAGTACAGTACGAGTGTCGCGCACCTTTACAGTAGCGGAGAGTTGATCGACATCAGTATGGAATTTTGCAGCATTACGCCTCTTCTTGGGGTCTGTTACTGAGCGAAGAGGAGAGTCTGAGAGAGATTTATAAATGCCGTCCTTGTCTTTGATGAGGCTAAAGACGTAAATATTCGATTGGTGTGGCATATTGCACGTATTACCTTCTGAGGTCTTGAACAATGCGATCGAAATGCTCTTTTTGATGGACCCAGGCGTCTCCGGTTCCCTCCAGTATCTGGAGACCTTGGTTAATTTTCTTCAGCGCAAGTCCTGCATTTGTAGTCGGCCAGTTTGGAATGATCAAGGACCCGGTAGAAGCACTGGAAGGCGGAATTGCTGCAGAATGCGCTGACATGGTAGACAGGATGCAAGGTCCCTTGAAGAGGACACGTGCTGACACAGTCTGCTGTACATGAGGTCGTTGCTATTCCTAGACCAAAGAGAGACGCTGGATGAGCGAGATGTTCGTTGTAGTCGCTAAATCTGGGTGCGTGACCGTGACATGCTGAGTGACACCTCGTGTCAACATCATTCCTGAAACTTGGAGTCATGGTCCTACCTGACCTTAAGAGCAGCGACCTACACTGGCTCGCGCGTAGGGTGTTTCTGGAAACGTCCGGATATCGTCTTCGGCCTAAATTCCAACCTGATTATGTGCCTGATCCCGATGCCTCGTGGTATGAAGAAAGAGCGACACACACAGTATGGCTTTGGCAACAGGTGTTCAAAAGCTAACCCTCCGGCAGCGCGGTGCCATCATGGATGCCACTCGTATCTCCGACGAGCGTCCAGTAATACTCAAATCTGTTTCCACTCGCATGCACCCACACGAAGTCAAAATAGCACGTCTTTTCTCTTCGCCACCCCTCGCAGAGAACCCACGAAATCATTGTGTCCCTATATTTGATGTTCTGCAAGATCCAGAGGACGCAGACAAGCAAATCATTGTAATGCCACGCCTTATTGAAATGGACAGACCATTGTTCGAAACCGTAGGAGAGGTTGTCGATTGTTTTAGACAGATTTTCGAGGTACTGTGGAAGTCGTCTTATCGCCATCGCTCAATGTCGCTAGGGCGTTGAATTCATGCATGACAACTTCGTGGCTCATCGGTAGGGCGATAATTAACTGGAATTAGTACTAACTACTCTTTCAGAGACTGTTGGGGACCAAATATTGCCCAGGATCCTACACTGCTCTTTCCTTGGGGCTTCCATCCAGTCTACACTACTCAAGACCCTGCAAACCTCCGTCCTGCATCTCATATCGCTCGGACTTTCTGCTGGCCTCGTTATTTTATCATCGATTTTGGTTTGTCACGGCGCTATGATCCTTTTGGAGGGCCGCCACTAGAGCCGGTCATTCGTGGCGGCGACAGGTCCCCTCCGGAGCACCACAAACATCCCTTGGTCTGCAATCCGTTTCCGACCGATATTTACTTCCTCGGCAATTTTTTAAAACAGGACTTTCTACTTTCTAGATGGGCCGGGAAGAAGCGGATGCCTGTAGTGCGTGTGTCCTAATTGTTACTCTATTAATCTGACCGCTCGAGATGGTAGCCTTCGCTGCGTTTCCTCGAAGGTTTGATAAACGATATGACCCAAGAAGACCCATCGCTGCGGCCAACGATCGGCGAAGTCATTGAGAGATTCGATGTACTGTGTAGCTCTTTGACTCAATGGCATCTGCGGCGACCAGGTCAAAAGTACGCATTCCATCTTGGCCTATTCTTCTCTCAAGTTAACCGGACACTACGCTGCATCCCTCCGATACCGCGGTATCAACCGCGAATGGATCGGGTCCCTCTGAGCCAGTTGATGCGAGAGTTTTTTACTCAGACCCCATCGGTTATGAAGTGAAGCGGTAAGGTAGATGGATATGTTGTGGATATGAATGAATGAGGCCGAGCCTTTATCGACCTATCGGTCCAAGTGGGGAGAGGAAAGAATTGGCATTCAACCTTCAAGTTCTGTTCCTACAACTATTAACGTGGTATCATCCTCGGTCTTCATCTCCCAGAAAACCTATAGAAATGGTGGGAGTTGACAACGTGCCGCGTGACCTGGGTGTGACGCATCGTGTTCCGACAGCAATTCCTATGGTGCTCCCCGATTTGAGGAGCAGCGACCAGTTCTGGCTTGCGCGTAGGGAATTTTTGGATGCTTCAGGCTATCGTCTTCGGCCTAAGTTTTATCCTGACTATGTGCCAAGTCCCAATAACTCGTATCATTTCGAAAGAGCAACACATGTAGTGCGCCACTCTGTCTACCGTGTGCTGCTTGCTTGCTTACTGGTCTTGTGCTCAGCGCCATACTATCATGGATGCAACTAGCATCTCAGATCAGCGTCCGGTTATGCTCAAAGCTGTTTCCAGGCGTCTTCACCACACGAAGTTGAGATCGCGTGTCTTTTTTCGTCTCCGCCACTTTCAAAGAGCCCTAGAAATCATTGTATCCCTATTTTTGACGTTCTTCAAGACCCTTATGACGATGACAAGCAAATCATTGTAATGCCTCAGCTTATAGACGTCGAGGAGCCAATATTTCAAACTGTGGGTGAAGTCATTGATTTCTTTCGGCAAGTCTTCGAGGTGTGTCGCTATTCCGCATCCTTGAAAGCTCTCACCTTTTGACTAGGGAATTCAATTCATGCACGAAAACTTTGTCGCTCATCGGTATGGCAGTATCCGACCGTTAATTACGACTGACTTTTCCTAGAGACTGTTGGGGACCGAATATAGCTCAGGATCCCACTCTACTCTTCCCATTCGGCGTTCACCCAGTATATACCTTTCGGGACCCCACCAATCGGCACTCTGCATATTACATTACGCGTACTGAATGCTGGCCGCGTTATTTTCTTCTCGACTTCGGTTTATCGAGGCGCTACGATCCCTCTCATGGGCCGCCATTTGAACCCGTGATCCGTGGCGGCGACCAATCACCTCCAGAACACCGGAAGCTTCCCTTGTTCTGCAATCCATTCCCCACCGATATCTACTTCCTTGGCAATGTGCTAAAAGAGAACTTCCTATTCTCCAGGTGGGTCAATGGTAAACGGGTACGGATGGTGGGTGCATCGCTTCCTCTTAATTCTTCGTACTACCTCTTTGAACAGTCCTCACTTCGCTTCCTCGAACCTCTGACAATCGAGATGACCCAACAAGACCCTGCCTTGCGACCAACAATTGGCGAGGTCATCGAGCGATTTGATAAACTGTGTACCCCTCTGACCGAATGGCATTTACGACGGCCAGGTCAAAAGTACGCCTTTCATCTAAGCCTATTTTTCTCCCAGATTAGCAGGACGATACGGCGCATCCCGCCGATTCCGCCTTATCATCCCCGAACAGACACGACCCCTCTTAGCCCGTCTTTGCGAGAGTTTTATACTCAGATCCCAGCCTCATCGGTGGTGCAGCAGGAGAAGATTGAGGCTGGGCCTGGACTCAAGGCTGATTTTACTGGCAGTGAATCAAAGTCAATAGCTGTGGAATCGGACGGTTGAATTGATAATCATAGTCCGAGTCTTTGAATTATTCCGCGACTTGTTACTTCGGTCACAAGTAAACTTAGCAAACCACATAACATGTCGTTGAACATCGACCTCACCAATGTCGTTTCATTCTTGTTTTTCTTGGTGAAGGAGTCAGTTGATGGTATCACTGATGAATTCCTTGTTGACGCAAACAACCATGAGAATACTCACTGCAGTTGACTTCCTTCATCCAACTCAGTTGCTACAATGGTCCTGACAGAAATGTACCCTGAAGACCTCCTCTGGGCAGCGCGAAGGATCTTCTTGGAGAACTCAGGGTACCGTCTCCGACCCAAGTTTCACCCTGACTATGAACCAGCTCCCAATGCCTCGTGGTATGAAGAAAGAGCAACTCACATAGTAGGATCTGGTCTACTGTGTTGACTTGCTAATTTCGCGAACAGCGCCCCACCATAATGGACGCTACTCGTATCTCTGACGGGCGTCTAGTCATGCTCAAAGCTGTTTCAACGCGTGTTCACCCACATGAAGTGGAGATAGCCTGTCTTTTTTCGTCCCCGCCACTTTCTGAAGACCTAAGGAATCATTGCATTCCAATACTGGAGGTCCTTCAGGACCCCGATGACGCCGACTTAAAAATCATCGTCATGCCTCGTTTAATCCGTATGGCGCAACCTCTGTACGAATCTGTGGGTGAGGTCGTCGACGCCTTTCGACAGATATTTGAGGTGCGTACTACTATGACGTCGAACTTACACTTCTAAACTGCTACAAGGGAATTGAATTCATGCACGAGAACTTTGTTGCTCACCGGTATGATAATCTCCTTCTTTTTCAGAACTTTGCCGTCTACTTTATTCAGAGACTGCAGCATGGGCAACATCGTCCAAGACCCTACTCTGCTCTATCCGGCTGGCTTTCATCCTATCTACACCACGCAAGACCCCACAAATAGCCACCGAGCTCCTGTTGTGACTCGGACTAAATCCTGGCCGCGTTCAGGCTCCTAAACCAGCCCTCGTTGCAGAGCTAGTAAGGCCAATTTTTAGAGAGTGATTATTAGCTATATATGTATCGAATTCACTCAAAATCAAAAGATGTGACATGTGTGACGAAAAGAGTTGGGGTTGCGCTCTGCAGAGCGCACGCCAAAACTCTTCGTAACATCATGTCACATTTATTTATTTATTGTAAATTAATACATATTCAGCCTGAAATACACCCTCGGATTGCGCTCTGCAACGAGGGTTGGTTTAGGAGCCTGGCCGCGTTACTTTCTTATCGACTTCGGTTTGTCAAGGCGGTATGATCCCTCTGATGGGCCACCAGCGGAGCTTACCATTCGTGGCCTTGACCAGTCACCTCCTGAGCACAACAAACCTCCTTGGGTCTGCAACCCATTCCCCACCGACATCTACTTCCTTGGCAACACGTTGAAACACAAGTTTCTTTTGTCCAAATGGGCGGGCAAACAATGGGTACCGTTGGTCAGTCTCATCCTACCCGTATGTGCCGACCTGTGGCTTATCATCGCTCTGCAGCCCTCACTCCGCTTCCTTGAGCCTCTAATAAACGACATGATCCAAGAAGACCCAGCGTTGCGTCCAACAATTGGTCATTGAGAGATTCAACGCGCTATGTAACCCATTGTCCCAATGGCATTTGCGACGGCCAGGTCAAACCTACTCATTTCATTGGTACCTATTTCTGGTGCAGATTTCTCGGACACTCCGACGTGTCCCCCCAGTTCCGCCATGTCGTCCGCGATTAAACTTGATTCCTCTCAGCCAACCCTTACGAGACTTTTATACTCACACCCCGGTGTCGCCAATGATAGAGGAGAAAAAAGCTGAACCATCCGACGTTCCTTCGGACATCTAGTTGGCTGAGTATTATTAAGCTCTGCGACATGACTAGACAACACTCCACTATGTAGCAGCATTAAAACAGTATAATATTAATGTCTTAACGAGTGTGATTTCAAGCAGTAGCCGTCCCCGTGGGCTCCTCTCCCGCCTCCATCTTCTCTTTCACTCCGCTCCAGCTTGGTGTCGCCCGGTCCTTCCAACTCGCCTGCAGCTGCTTTCTTGGTGATTTTGATATTGTTGATCAAGAGAGACAGCAGTAACGCAGCGCCGCCAACCGGCACACCCAAGAAAAATACCCACCGCAAGCTGCTCGCATATGCGCGTGCCACGGCGGGTATGAGCTCCGGCGAAAGCTCGGTGTAGATCGAGGTCGGGCTCTCTTTGACGATGGCTGCTGGAGCATTTGGAGCATAACGAGCGAGAGCGCGGGTGAGCGTCGACGCAAACGTTGGTTCGGCAATACCGACGCCGATTGTAGCACCCATGAACTGTGCAAAGGAAACGACGGAGGTGGCTTGACCGACAAGATGCGGGCTCTCGTCGAACTCGGCCCTGCGGATGGGTTATTGGGGGTCAGCAACAGCAACAAGACCACTGACTGCATTGCAAGGGTCGGCGATTGCATGCCCAACCCAGCGCCGAGTCCAATCAAGATTTGGAAACCGATAATTTTGGCAGTGGGAGTAAGTGAGTTGAGGGTGAACATGAGCCCGGAGCCAATCAGTATGAAAACGGGTCCGATAACAAGAAAGGGCCAGCTTGAAAACCGAGTCAGCAAGAGCAAACAGGGCAAGAAATTGTGGCTCACTAATAGCCAATCTTCCCAGTCGCAACACTTGATGCGATTAAGAATATAACCGCGCTCAACAGGAAGGGCAGGAGGTTGATTCCAGACTTGGTCGCGCTACTCGCATGGACCGCCTGATAGAAGATTGGCACGTACTGAAAATGTGAATCAGCATTTTAAGACAGAAAAAGAAAATGGACACACGTAGCAGTATACGAACATGACAAATCGATTTGTCCAGCCATAGAAGACGATAGCATATCTAGATCACAAGTAAGAAACGCAGTTGATAGGGTCCAGCAGGTACAGCGCACATGGACTTGGATTTGAACATGGATAGCGGGACCATGGCGCGGTCACCCACGTATTTCTCCCAAGCGATGAAGATTATGGCGACGACACCCGCAACGGCGAAACACTGGTAGGACGGTTATCAGGATAGCCTGGATCGTGGTACTCGACATACCACAATAACGCCCACATCGTCCCATGGCTTGGTGTTGCCTCCCCACTGTAAAGCAAGCATCAAAGAGACTATTGAACCAGCCACAAGTGCTGCTCCGAAAAAGTCCATCTGCAAAGCCTGCCGAATGACCTCTCGTGTCGAGCGTTTGGTGGGATCGGAACCAAGAGGAGGGTGGGCCTTCAGTAGAAGGAACACTGCGACGAAGGAGACGCCGCCGATGGGAAGATTGCTAAAAATTCAGTAAGAAATGTGCAACAAAGAAAAACGAGTCAATGTTACATGAAAAAGCACCAACGCCATCCAACATGATCAGTGAAACCGCCCCCAATTAAAGGGCCAATGATAGTTGAGAGGCCGAAAACTGCGCCGAAAGGAGCGAAAAGCTTGGGTCGATCCTCCAAAAGTGATACCTGGTTGATGACTTGAAGCATGGCAATGACTACCAGAGTTAAAGAATCGAGCTAGGGTTACAATAGACGACTCACTGAGGCCACTCGCACCAACTCCAGCGACTGCGCGACCCGCAATGAGCTGGAATATGCTCTTTGACAGTCCACATATCAAGGAACCCAACTCGAATATTGCGATGGATGAAAGAAGAATCCACTTGGCAGGGAAAACGCGGAGCATTTGGCCGTAGAATAGAAGGAGCACGACTAGAGGGAAGTCATCAGATATGCACGACAATGAACCATGAAAAAAGTACCCTGAACAAGTCCGAAGACGGTAGCAACCCAGCCTTGGAGCGAAAAATTGTTGAACTCCTAGCGGAACATCAAATATTTGCTGAAAAGCGGAGTTATAATGTACAGATGCTATTCTCGGAAGAGCAGTGGCTGCAAAGTTGTCGGTCTAACAGTAGTAGTCTCTTTGACGGTCACTCACCAAGAATAGTGCCGTCCAAAGCCACTAAGAGCATTGATAGTAGCATAGAGACAAACACGAGGGCCAGTTCACGACCTCGAAGGATCGTGCTTGGAGGTGGGTTTGCGTCAGAATGCATTCTTCAAGTGGGGCTGCATCTTCAGCGAGTCGCTGTCCAGCATATATAGGCTTTGAGAGACTGTGAGACATGGTCCAATTCGCCGCTGTTGGGACAGCCGTAGGGGTGACGCCAACGACGAGCCGCAAAGCCTCAAAGGTGACGTTCGTCAAAGCCAGAAAAGTGACCACGGCTGTGACAAATCAGCGTGGCCAGCTCCGGCCCGGCATGCCGCCGACGCGAATCCTCTCGGCAATTGGCGATTGGTCATCAACTTTTGAGCGGGTGTTGTCGATGGGCTCCCGCTACTTGTGAATCGGAGGTAAGAAAGATGACCACATTGGTTTAAGCAAAATTCGTGTCCATACGTAATTATCGCTCTTCGTCGAGCTCTAGTACCTACTTGCTATGTAGCATCCCCCCTCCGTGACCCCTTCAGCCGCACAGTCAATTGAAGGTCCTTGTTAAGTCTCAATTCGTCGATGACTTTGGTATTAAACGTTGGATGGGGTTGAAAAGCATCGAGAGTAACAGTGCGCAATTGCGCGATGCCGACAGGCGGGAAAAAGCGGCTTTGAATCATTGACACAATGATACTGGCCTCGCAGGAGAGATTTCCCTTGAGCTCGAGTGAGTCGAGTGATGGCAGGATTGCCGCGCCGTCTTGAGAAACGATAAAAGCACGGAATAACGATGCGTCAATATTTTGGTCCGTTTTGGACTTCCAGTGAAAAAATAGATTTTCGAGCTGGGGAGTATGGCCGAGAATTTTGAGCAGGTCGGGAAGAGAGACGCTAGCAAATAGATGAAGGCGGGTCAAGGAGCATCGGGATTCGATGATGAATGGAAGCAGTACTGGGGTTAAGTTGCCGCCATCAAGGACCGCCAGGTCACAAAGCAGCGGGGCTCGTACAAGTGTCAACAGATGAGGCTCGTCACTGTGCATCCGGCCTTCGCGGTTGATTTTGAGGGCAATCAGGTTCGAACAGACGACGGGAGGTCTATTTTGCGACTGGACCCCGACACTGCGAGTTATGGTAACCTCGACAGTGGTCAAACGAGGGAGTTGGGATAGTAATTGGACGGCCGTGTCAATGGGAATGCTAAGGCTCGTCTTCTCGAGCTGAGCCCACGGTAGAGATAGTTTCAAAGGTTCAGCGATCGTCACGAGTGAAATGTCACGAAGCTCAGGGTATCGGGCGATGAAATTAAGGTTATTTCCTGTCAAGAATCGGTTCATTCTCCAAAGCTCCAGTCGTCGCAACAGAGGAAAGGATCCAGAAAAATCATTGAACAGATTTGCATCTTCTCTGTTGAGCAAAAGTTCCGCATTTACCCAACGGTCTGACGCCGCAAGGAGGACCTCGACGCAGCCATTGCGAGGATAGCCTTCCCCATTCCAAGTGATAGTGCGGGAGCTGTAATGGATAGTTAAGGGACACTGTCCCGACAGCAGTATTTGTTGAGAAAGCATTTGCGAGATCGACTTCCAGGACATTGTTGAGCAGTAGTGTGAGGCAACATTAACTCTCGACCATAACGCCGGGGATTCAAGTGCGATTAAGCGCCATTTGGCGCAAACTCGGCAGACGACGTATCTTGCCCGATTCTGCATCCGCGCTTGAAGGCCATAGAGTTCCGCCCTATCAGCAAGGATGAATATTTCGATAATAATTTCGGTTGGGAGCCTGTCTATCGGAGCTTGTCGCTGAAGGTCTATTTCGGATGGCTGGTTGTCTATGCAGTTGGAGGTAGGGACATTCACAAGCGCTTCGGTTGAGAGGGCGGTATTCAGGTCCATCTGAAGGGTCGAGTTGAAGGAGGCCGGGCCTAACATCAAGGTGTGACGGACCTCACTGCCAATACAACCATCTTGACCTTCAACGTTTGAAGTCCGTGCGTTTCGACCAGGCCCAGCCGTCTATGGTCGATCGAATTTACGGCGTGGTCGGCGGGAAGGCTCAAGCAACGACAACGTGACTTCTCCCAGCATCAAAACCGCATCCCCATTCGGCCTGATCGACTCTTCCCAAACAATAGCGCCTCCAAAATTTATGAACAAAAAGGCCAGATGTCTCATCCACGCGGCACTCTTCCTCCCCTCCGACAGTCTCTCTGTCTGCGCTACCCTCCCCCCTCCAACTCTGCGTCGCCCACCCTCTCCACCGGTCCAAAACCGGTTACTTCCAGCTGAACTTGTCGAATAATCGTTTCCAGCATGCTTCCCAACGTATGTAACTATCCAGAAACCTAAGGAATTGCCTTTAATCCCTTGCAGAACATACCCGGCCAAGAAGATGGTCCCTCAGCCCCCGACGTTCGTATATCCTCCTCTAATCCTTCTTTTCTAACGGTAATATCAGAACTGGAAGAGAGCCGTTTACCGGCCAGCTCCATCTCGCTTTACCGTTGAGATGCTCCCTCCCGTCAAACTTGGTGAGTAGCCCAATGCTTTATTTCGGTGTGTTTGCTGACGCAAAATAGGCGGTAACTACAACTTTCATATGAGGATATGCCCCATCACTCGGGGTGACCGCTCGTCTGTCTCCTCAAGAGGCTCCAACACAGAATACGACATTCTTCGTCGCTGGGAAGACTGCCTCATTTTCCAAGACTCTCTCGAACGGGAATACCGGCGTTTGGCTACCTCCAAACGCCAGCGCCTTGTCGCTGGCAAAGGCGTCCGCAAGAATGGAATGTATCTCCACTCTGATCGCGCCTCTTCATGGGAGTCTCTCCCTCCAGGTCCTGAACCCGATTCAGTGGCCCAAGACATTCACGACCTCATTCCCCGTCTGACCAAGAAGGGTACCATGTTCCGAGCTAGCCAGGCTACCATCGATCAACGACAAGTCGAGCTGACTGCAATGATCACAGCGCTCTGGCAAGACAGTGTCCCGACCTTACTCGAGGACTTCCGCAAAGAGCGTATCGTCACTGACTTCTTTGGATTCTGGCGTCGCGACCAAGACATCGAGAAGAAGAACCCGCTCAACAAGACACCTTCTCCTTCAGTGAAAGCTCCACGCAGCTCAGTCAGCAGCAGCGTATTCTCCTCATACTTTTCTTCGAGTGGCGATTCACGCGAGTCCCTTTCTCGCAGGGCACGTGCTCATTCATCTGCTTCATCCGACTCTTCCTCGTTACCTTCAACCAGTAGCGCTCGGAGCTCTATTAGTGTCTCCATTAATGATGAGCAACAACCCCTAGAATTCGGCCATAACCCGCAATCTCACCAGTACACTGTCGACGACAATCTCAAGGCTATGCGTCTCAACCTCATAGCAGCCGCAGCCAAGAAGCTTCGTGAGGGCGAAGCCAACTTAGAGCGACCTGATTCACGGGCTACCAGTGAGTACGATTGCGTTTAAGAGAATTGTCGCTCAATTAGTCCAGTTAACCGTGGCCCTCGCGAGTCCTGGATGACGACAGCATCCGGGATGTCTTTCGTCGACGATATGGGCTTGACCTTGCCTGAAGAAGACGACGAAAACGACACGACTCGCTGGAGAATGTCAAATGCCAGTATTGCAACCTTCCGCACTGAGGTGTCCTCTGAAGGTGTCATTCCGCGATACTACGTTCCCGAACACAATCCGGCCAGAATGTCAACTGCGACTTTCATGACCGACGTTTCCGCCGATGGCATTTTACCTCGTGATAATTGGAGGGACTCAGTCTTGTCCGACACAGATAGCGTTTTGGACTCCCACTTTTCTGGTATTGCTGATTTCTATTACTGCTCATCTTCTCCTACTTACCGCTTGTTAGATGCATTCCCGCGACCATGCTCATATGTCCCGCCCCAACCTGCTCTTCGTAACGCCCCCTTTAGCCCGACAAATTCTCTCCCTCTTCTCTCCCCCGGCATTTCAATTTGCACTACCTCCCCCGCAGCATCACGCCTACATACACAATTCTCTGGCTTATCTGTCAGCCCCCCGAGCCCTAAAATGCCAGTCACTCCCGTAAATGAGAAGTTCTATCAACGGAGGGATGCGCTTGCAAAAGCTCGTGCACCGTCTCCCAGTCCTTCCGTTATCTCAACAGCGATGTCAATGCTTTCGGACACAACAATTCGATCGACATTTTCCGACTCCACCGGGAGCACAGTTACACCCTCGCTCTATTCATTCCATTCTGCCCGGTCACATTTGTCGACAACAACCGCTGCATCCCTGCCGCCCCTTGTCATCAAAGCAGCCCACAACAACTCAATAATCTTACTACGAGTTGATGATGACTTGAGCCTGGGTGAACTGCGAGGACGGTTACAAAACAAGTTCCTTGGGCAGGAAGGCGTCCAGCTATCCGACAACTTCTCGCTGGCGTACATGATCCCCGCCTCGCCAACAAAAGCACGAAGCTTTTTTTGGTGGCCGCAGTCGGGCGAACTCGCTTTCTGCGGGAACGCTGACTGATACAGCGCTGATGGAGATGATTTCGACGGAGGACGACTGGCTGCGCCTTCGCTCGACTCTGGACGGCGCCAAACTCACCCTCCGGGTGATAGAACCTTCAACTTATGCATAAAATGTTACTTCTCCGGTGCACCAGGCTCCGCAGAATAAGTATCATTATCACCTTTCGCAACACAAGCACTAACTCGCACTCAACCCACCTTCATTCCCTTACCATTATTCGCCTTCGCCTTCGCACAAATAACTTGTGACTCGAATACTAGTATCCCGCTTTCTAGGTAGATGGCCCGCCTAGCGTATTTATCCACTTCGACGACTGCAGGATTTTTTCTACGCTTTACTTGACGCTTTACGATTACGGGATTAGCCCCCTCCACTCAGACCTACCTTCACTGCCAATACGCATCTTCAAGACCCAATTAGCCAGTTAATGTACTCAACGCAATAGCAGCAACGAACAGTTTTTCATGAAATATGGCTGCTGAAAAATGGCGAAATGACACCATGATGATAACATCAGACGAAGGAGACTATGCCGGGCTCCTTTGCGACTTCCCGGGCACTCCCAGCTCCACAGCGACGCTCTTCGTACGGCGGTATCGATGTCATGCGGGAGCGTAGACACGGGCTCGTTTTCGCGAAGAAGCTGCACTATCGGCCGAGCAGCGACTGATGAGTCGGCGATATGGGCTGAAGAATATGAGAGAAAAAAAAGGCTTAAAAGCCAGACTTGCCTCTACACTACTTAATAATTATCCATGTAGCAAACTTCGTCCGACCTGACTTGGTTTGAGGGTCTTTCTGGTCAGCTTTACTGAATCTTGTGTTTTGACCTGATCTAGATTCTAACTGACGCGAAAGGAATCCAATAAAACGCGTGAGATACAACGACCTATGTACGCCGACTGCGACTTCCTTTGCCACTGCGACTCTGGCCAGACTCCTTTGAATCGGCCGCTTGCCCTTTGCCCGTGGCTGCGCGAGATTGACCACGGGTCTTGGGACGAGAAGCGCTAGCACCAGCACTCTCGCTCGCTGCTGCATCAGGCTTGAACCTTTTGCTCAGTGTTTCCTCCCCCTCATCATGGTTGTCGGAGAGTGTCCGTTTTGTACCCGTCGATTTGAAAGTGGAACGATCAGTGCCGTTGATAGTTTTGGCCTCGTCCTCCTTTGAAGGCAGCACAAAAGGAATGGCGGGGTCGCTTCCACTGGGTGGCCAACGCTGATCAGCAACACATTTCTTGAAAATCCACAAGACATGTGGGTGGTCCATTTTGTGTGACACAATGGGCACGTGATCGTCAACCAAGTATTTGTTCTTCTTCGCAACGATCTTAGGGTTTTGGTCACCAACCACACGCCGGAGATTCGCGGAAAGCATGTAGAGCGCCTGGTTCTTTTCGTCGTCGATAGGATCATCGTCTTGAAGATGGCCCTGCTTAGTCTTCACACCTTGCGGGTCAAAAAGCCGCCCACATGCTAGTGCGCCGACGGGGTCATTGTGGGCTGTGTGGCGGAGAACCATCCACGTCAAAAGCCAATACACCGACTCCAAGTCGTGATATGCAGCGTGTTTGATAGCGGCCCCGATCAGCTCGATAGCCATGAATGGACGAGTGCCCTAGAGTTTGTCAGCTCCATAGAATACGGGAAAGGGACGCTTACCGTCATGTCCTTCAAGGCCTTCTCGACGTCTTCCAAGATGACATGCCCGCGACCTTCAAACATCTCATTGAACCTCTCCGCGCCTTCTTCTGTGAACTCGGCATAGTCCCAGTCGAGTAAGAACCCTTGAGGCATCTGGCCCTCGGGAGTGTCCTCCACGAACATGACATTGCCTTCGCTGATATCACGATGGAGAACGCCAGCTTGGAAGGCAAGAAAGTGGTCTGTACATATCGTTAGCTAAAGAGAATTCAAAATGAAAGGGAAAACATACGCTGGACAACTCGGTACAGTGCCCAACACAGCGCTTCAGTCGAAGGGAACTCGCGCAAAGGCCGGCCGACCGGCGTTATCAGGGACCGGACATGAATACGGCAGTTAACGTCTGCCTTCAGAGGGTGAGGGACGATGCGGGTGCGCTGAATGCTACCCTCCGCGTCGATGTCGCAGTCGGGTGCTCCCAAATCGACACTTCCATGGCAGGTAGCCATGCCATCAGCGTCGTCCTTGCCTATGGAGCACTTGGCAATAAAGTCGTAGTAGTCGACTTCGGGACGACGACAAGCCTCTCTCCAGGCGTCCTTCAAAGCATATATTTGCGGGTTTTCTTCGTCTAGATCCTCTGCTAAGATCACGCGATAGACACGCGTGGCTCGACCGAAAAGCCCGTCGGAGACCCAGAGGATATCTCCAATGGTGTAACACGTGACGGGTTGTGAAAGACCATCAGCGTCTCGGCGGGAAGCTTTGATGCTAATAGTAGAATCGGTAGCGCTCGCGCAAGTAGAGAACATCTCGGCATAAAAGGAGTTGCGGCAAAGCGCTTCGTAGATACGCGATTTGAGAGTGTTGTCTTTAAGGGGCCGCGAAATGGTGAAGTCGTCCCCGTCGATGCGACCAGGATGGCCAGCTGGGTGATAGAGTCGGTACATGAAAGTGGGAATAATGCGCAGATTTCCTTCGACTAACCATTCGAAGCCCTTCGACACAACGAATCCAGTGCGGTCGAAGCAGAATATGCGCGCCATGTCGTGCTTGTACATCGCTATAACCCACGAATAGCAGCGCCCCGAGCTCATCAGTAAGCTGCGACCGCTCTTGACGATCTGCACGAGGGCCTCTTCGACCTTTTGGATTTTGACAGAATCTTCCGGTTTTCTGGGTTTGAGCTTGCGGATTTCCCCGGTGGCATCGTCGAATATGTCAAGATTGTCTTTGAACTCAAAGTCGGTACCGATTGCGGGCCACGTCCACGGTTTCCCTGGCTCAGGGGGTGACACGCCCGGGTAAGTCGAGAGCACGTCAGGTTTGATGTCGTGGTCGTTCTCATCGAGAGGCGGAATGTTTCGGTACTGAGAGTCGATGATAAGAGGCCTAATGTCCTCGGGAAACTTCTCCACCAAAGCCTCGAGATATGTTATCTGTCCATAGGAATAAGAACGAGTTCAATGTCCATTGGACTGGGATAACGCACGAAAGATGGAATCATAAGCTTCTCGTTGTTCCTCCTTGGGTTGCTGGTATCACGCCCGTTGTAGATATCAATCGCAGCGTTGAGGCGGCGTCGGGCTTGATTAACCATAGCGGTGACGGCCTTCGTCTCTGCATTGGTCGATTCCGCGGTGAGCATGTAGTCTTCAAGTAGTTCCATCGGTTCCAGCATGCCCGCAAAGCCATTTTCTGCCATCTCGAACCAAATGCTGCGATTTTGTTTGTTGTCCTGCTTGGTGTCTTCTTTGTAGTTGGCGTGGCTAACCAGGTTGCTTCCAGGTTTCGACTTACGCGGAGTCGGTTGAGGAGGAGGGTGAGATTGGGCAGTGCCACCCGGATTGTCAAGAACACTGGCAACGGAGGCCTGGGACTGGGGAGGGGGTGTGTGCGCGGTTTGCGCGCTTTGGGTAGACATGATGGTTAGAGAGTAAAGATAGTGCAACAAAGCGCTGCTCACCCCGTTTAAATAGTTATACGCAGTCAAAGCGTGTTGTGGTTGAGTCCAAGCACTGGTCACGTCGTGTGACGGACGCGTCTGATCACATGGTCTTGACACCGTGACGATGACTGAGCGCATCTGGACTCTGAACTTCATTTCCAAACAACTCCGAGTCCCTTCATCTTCCGACTCGAAAAGAGTCCGAAAACTTGAAGCCGCATGTTTGTCTTTGAGAGGATCACAACACTCATTTTGAGCGGCAGACAGACACAACAAATGTGCTTCCGATTGCGGACTGTTCAAGTACCACGGGGCGAAATCACCATTCAACGGCGCTACAGTGAACTATTTCCTTCAGGCTCCGCGATACCGACACACTGTTCTCTGCTCATCTCGACCGACAAGCCCCGCACTCTATCTGGAACCAACTGTATCGTATTAATACATGCGCTGACATTCGGCTTACATCCACTATAACTTATCCACTGCCTGTCGGTCAACTCGAAACGGTTCAAACTTCTAGCAATGTCAACTGGGAAAGATCTCCTGAAGTTGAATTCAATGATGACCGCACAATAGCTTTCCTTCCACCTCAACTGACGCAGCTGCGCATGCCTCGACACCCGATATTCCATCGCCAAAACCTAGCACAGGGGCCAATCCCAACGGTAACGGCGCTTCTGGATATGTTTGAGCAAGCCCACTTTTCGCAGCTCAAGATACTTAAGTTTTGGTATCAAATCAAGTCTCCCGAAGACCTCCGGTTGGAAGAACTCCTGCTGTCACGCATCCCTGAACTGTTTCCCGAGCTCCGAGAGGTAGAGCTTTGCAGAATGTGGGACCACGATGCGGATTCGTTGTCCACCGCGACATGGGATCCTCTGGTGTGTTTGAATTCTTTCGTCCTATTATTCAACCGTCTCATTTGGTTTTTTAACAGCCCCGCGTCCGCCAACTCACTTCGCAACTAAAGCAACTCCGCACCTTCATCTTCGACCCCGATTTACCCGAACGCTCTGGCCGGTTCCCGGTTCCCGTTTCCCGGTTCCCGTTTCCCCGACCGACGAAGGAGTTCCGCACCGTGGTGGGGAAGCTACACGCCATGGCGCTCGCCATTGTTACCGAGGCAACCTGGGTGAAGAAGATCGCGATGTTACCGTGAACTCGGCACTCTATATCCTGAGCTTTACTGGGAGATTTGGGAGGTCATCACGGCACCAGACGAACAAGTTGCACTCAACAGACCCCCACCTCCCATTACTGATTCGCTCATTTACCCTGATCCCCCCAGGTGGAAGGAGGAAGATAGTCCAGAGGAGTGAGAGGTAGCAGTAAGTGATGTAGGAAGTTAGTGATATTACTTACAATATGGCCATTGGTTGTAAAGATACAAATTGGTGTTATGCTTTTACAGAAACTCTAGGCGAGGCGATCCGTGCTGGCGATGACATATGGGGTGACAGCGGAGGAGGGTTGGCAGGCGGGGCACCGGCAGGCAACGGAGATCGAGTCCAGTCAGGCAAAATGAGCTGTTGCCGATCATTGTCGACCGCCATTGCGTCTGGCCCGTCGCCTTGATCATTCGCCGAGTCCACCATGTCCCATTGCTCACGGTTCACTTCTGCCCCGCCCGTTTTGAGTGCACTATAAAGAGTTAATCAACAACTAAAGATGGCTGTGTGGACATACCCAGCGAGAGACCCGCCAATCCAGGCCAGTGTGGCAGGCGTAAAGGCAGGGGCTTTCCCCGCATTAGCAACAGCCCTAGTTGCAGAGTTGGTCTGGTTTGGCGCGGGGTTGTTTACAATGGCAAAGTAGGGTAGGAGCGGTCGGAGAGGGGCATATGGATCATATTGAGGCAACATCCGCTCTCGATGTGAAGTTGGCGGGGCAAGCGCACGAGCCAGCTCTTGTTGTAGCCTTTGGATAAATCCGGGCAACATGGCAGTCCCGCCGACAACCAATATTGAGGATGCGAGTGTTTTGCGCAGGTCGACAGAGACCTATAAAGAGTTGTCTAACGAGTTATCACAATGTCAAAAACATACCTTTAATAGTGAGTCCAGAATAATTTCTGCAAGACTCCGTTCATCGACATCTCCACCCTCAAATAACACCTCTGCAGCACGCTCCCGCACCCAACCAGGAATGATCAATGTTCCCAGTCCCGTACCCGATGGCTGCGAGGCAGGAGGAGTCACACGCATTCTTAGCTCTGTTGCCGACGAATGGCGTTTGTACAACGTTTCTAGCGCTTGCAAATGGCCTTCACGATTTGCATCTACGCCAGGTACCCTTGGATTTGAGATGATCGAAAATTCTGACGACGCCCGCTGAGAGGAGAAATTGCTGTCTCGTCCTGCGAGGGAAAAGTCCGATTCCGACTGTGTGTAGTCGCTTGGTGGCGGTATGTCCATCTCCGATCCAAGTTCATCGCCTGGTGTGGCTTCTCTCGTTTCGGCTGGGCTGATTCCGAGTGCATCGCCAACAAAACAACATCGGGCCTTGATTTCCTCGACTAACGCGTCTGTGAGGATTTCCTGTGGGACACGCGAGGCGCGGTTTGCTGCTGGGACATTGACGGCTGCACTCAGGGATGTTGGGGGCGGTAGGTAGGTCCCAAAGAGAAGTAAAAGCGCGCGAATGTGGGAGGTCAGTCGGGAACCGGCAAGAGGTGTAGTTCGAATGAGTGGGTACATCGGTCGTGCGGCGAAAATCTATGAAAAAGTGGGCTGGGGTGGGTTTTGGAGAAACTAAGAACGCACAGGAAGTGCCACGGACTCCAGATGGCCACAGTCAACCACCATTCCCGTTATCCGGCCTACTGCCAGTAACGAAAGCAGGTGACTGGACGCAAACGAGACAGAGGGGACTTGTAGGTTGTTGAAGAGTATGCGGGCCATTATATCCTTGATGTACAGCGGCAGCAACGCATGCTCGACGACGATGACTTTGCGCGCTTTGGGGTCCGTCAAAAGAGAGCTACGAATGAGTATTTGTGGCGAGCAGGAGAAAGACCACTCACTCATGGAAGACGGAGCGCAAATGGTGTTCAAGCCTAATCTCGAGAACACGCTCCTTCTCAACTTCCTCAGCGGAGTCCGACCCGAGTCCAAGTGTCCACAACGGTTTCTCGTTCACCCCTCCAGCATAGAAGACATCTCGCGGCCGGCCTTCGCCACTGAATCCAACTTTCCAAATTCGTGAGCCAGGGTCAATGATGATTCGGTCTTCAACACCATACAGCGAGTGTCTCCGAGTCGTCGTATAGTGTGGCGACGACTGGATTATGGTAGAAGAGGGAAGCCGCGCTGCAGGCGTCCTTGGCTCAAACGCGGTTTTGCCTTGTGGTGTACTGGGTGAAGCCATCACGCCAAACAACGCGTAAACAAACACGATAATGATATACTACGTCTCATGTTCTAACGCGAGCCCAGAGTATCATAATTGCTAGTGCCCACTGCTCAAATTGTTCCTTGGACATGAACAACAGTGCTTGAGAAAGAACGGCCTTGGTAATTTGGGCAGACATTCCCTAAAAGGAAAACCGTGAGCGAATGGCAGAAGCAAGAAGTGGTAGACATACTCTATACCACCCTGCTGGACCTTCGGTCCTTAATACACGTGCCAGAATATCTAGAGCTCCAGGATGTTTTAATTTCGAAGAATGATGTGGCTTGTGAGAAACTGGAGGGGAAAGGTGTTGCTCTTTCGCCTCATCGGCGTCAGCGCTGCGCGTTTGAACGCGCACTTTGGCCATAATATACGGATAAGTGACCTAACCAAGGCGGTGAGTTGACTAGGAATCAAGATAAAAACAAGTTGCTTACCACTGTCGCCAGCGTTTTGCTTACCGCGCCGATAAGGAAGGACGTCCCCGCAGAAAGCTTCTCGCTGCCTCCCGCCTTTGCTTGCGCGGCGAGGAAAATGCTCTTGACCCGCTCAAACACACCATACGTGATTGCCGGGTTCACGGTTAGAACCAAGCCCGGTTTGATTCCAAGCCATAAACCGCCAACACCCTCTTCATCGACAATTTCACGAGCGACACCGAGGAAAGAGTCGTCATAAGCCTCTGTACTGGCAGTAGTTTTGTTTTGCCGCCCAACCTGCTGCCGGGTCGCAATGACCGAAACGGGAATAGTGAAAATCTGAGCCAAAGCTCCAGCAATGGCTCCGAGGAGGAGTTCAGCGGCTGTCGAGAGTGCGGGCGGGGCAGCTCCAGCCGGGAGTTTGCGACTCAGACGAGCAATGTAGGATGTCCGTACGAAAGAGTAGAAGAAGAAGTAGGCGTATTCTGAAACAAGTTAACTTGAATGCAGAGATGCATTGAGCCGCTCACGTTGCGAGAAGGTGTTCAGCATCGTTGCCCAGAAGCCTTTGTAAAATCCAGCGACTCCCTCCTTCTGGAATATCCGGCCGAGGACAGTAATCATGGAGACGTCGTCCTTGCTCTTGCCCTTAGAGACCTGTATTCGGGTTTTGGCGCTGCATACGAATAAGGCAAAACGCAGAGTGGTCGCGAAACGAGACTCACACATCGAGGGGATAAACCACACTGAGCGAAAAGATACCAGTCAGTCTCAACCCCGCACCGGCTATTCCGGCAAACAACTCACGCAGTGCTGAAACAGCCACCCAGCGCACCAGCCAGCGCCAGACCGAAGGGCGTTAACTTGACAGGGGGAGCAACCTTCGACTGCACCGACATGGTGGATGGAAAGCTAAAGAAGTGCCTGAAGCCCACCAATTCCGGGTCCGATGCGATGACAATCACGCGCAATATAATCGATCACCGAGCTGACGTAAAGCCAACATGTCAGACCCGAACTTTCCTGTCGCGCTCGACATTCGACCCTCTGTGCCCTCCAACGACGACTCTAATCCCAGAGACTTTGATCTTACATTTCAAGAAGATGCTATACGTGATTTCGGCATTGCTGGGAGGGTCTGGTCCGTAGTTCACCTTCGATTTGCTTGGATCGTCAATCTTTTGGGTTTCATTCAACAGGGAGGCAGCCTATGTGCTAAACACCTATATAAAGCCGCCTCGCAATCTGGTTTTTGACCCTCCCTTTACTCCTTTTGATGGCCCCAATCGTATTGTCGAACTTGGCTCTGGAACCGGAATGAACGCGGCCATGGTCGCTGGCTTACTTGATCCCAGTCGCGACATCTTGTTTGCCACAGATCTACCAGAAGTATGTTCTGTTTCTCAATCAATTCCTCGATCTAACAGAGCAGGTTTGTCCCTTACTCGAGCGCAATCTCCGATCTCACAAATCTATCCATATCCAACCCTTGGCCTGGGGAAACTCCCAACATGCCATAAACCTACAAAGCAAGCTCAACAATGAGCCTCTGACGCACATATTGTGCAGTGATCTTGTGTACTTCCCTCAACTCCTCGCGCCACTCTTGCGCTCACTCATCCACCTCACTTCTTCCACTTTCGGCGACCCACAACTCATTTTGTCGTATCGGATTCGGAGTCTGGCGAAGGAAACACCTTTCTGGGCTGCCTTCGGTCTCTGGTTTGACTTCACTCCCGTCCTGGTCCAAACCCACACGGACACTCCCTGGGAACGTTTCGGGGCAGAGCTTCCCGACCCAACATTTGTCTTCGTTGCTCATCGTCGTCAAGAATCTCGTGACTGGACGGTTCCGTTGTCTGACACGGACTTGATGTCGGGACTCCTCGCAGCAAACTCTTTGCCTAAAACTGATGATACATTCGAAACACTCTTGTTCATGTCTCTCGATGAGCTTACATACTAAGTACAGTGGGTCAACATTTAGTCACTAGATATCCAATAATTATATAGGTTTCCAATCACGCAAAGCCGCCGCGATGATCTGGAAAGCAGTCAGTTATAGACCAGATTTGGATATTTTCGTACAAAAGCGCTGGTTGCCATTCTCGAGGTACCCGACAGCGGCATTATAGTCGCTTTCCACGGGTTTCTTGTAGCCTGGCGGAGCATATGATCTTGGGACGATGCCAGGGATGTGTCTGAGCGTCAAGTTAGCAATTGGCAATCAGTTAACAAGCTACCAACTTGGAAACGATCTTGACTGGCTCGGAAAGCAAGGCAGTGGGTTTTTTGTCAGGAGCGAAGCCTGTGATGGAGAAGGGGAGAAGGTCCATCGTATACTGCGGGCAATCAGAGCAATGGCCAGAGTAGAGGGACACAGGCTTACACGAGTCGTAAATCGAGGAAACATAAAACTGGGTTTGATGGATTTCTTGACTTCGACCTCGCCACGCAAAACCCGTTTGCCAGGTTCTTTGCCGCCCTCCATTGCGGGCCAGAAATATGCTTGACCGACGCCAGCCTGGAAAAAGGTGTTGCTCCGCCGTTCGGTCCGCTCTTCCATAGCATCAGAACCAAGCGCTATCGAGCGGACAAGGTGCATCTTGATGGCGTTGGGATTCGAGACCGTGTCCAGCGCCACTTCATCGTCGCTTTTCAGAGTCAGGAAGAGGGGGACTGGTGCGCCAATAACGTATGCGAGCTGAGCAAGGATCAAAAGAAGAACGAAACAGATAGAGTAACAGTACCGGCTTAGCCAAAGCAAGCTAATGAACGGTCAAACAATGTGCTGACAGTTTTGGAGTAGACATACGGTGCATTCAATTTCGACCTCTTTCGCGTCGAATAGCTTGCCCTTGACCTTGACTGGTTGCAGTACTTTCCACCCATCTATGTCGATTTCGGGTCCCAACAGCTCTGTGCCATCCTTGTAAGCCATTTGTCGCAGTTTGGAGGGAGGATCGGGCTGCACGAGGGGCATATACGCGAAGCTCTTCGTCAGCCTACGATCGTCAGTATAAAATGGATGGATAAAATCACCCCTCACGTTTGGTTCGGCTTGAGGGCACCGCGTTTGACGGTGGCCACGATGCGATAGTCGATATACGCTGGACTCGCCCGCTCAGAGAAGCTGGGCGGCGCTTCGATAGTGATTTTCCCCTTCATGTCTGTCGGGGCCTCCACTTTGGTAGGCAGCGTGAACGAAAAGGACCACGCATGTTTTCCCTTGTCGAGTTTGCCGCCCTTCTCACTCCCGGTCGGCCACAAGTCCTGCTTCAAGTCGAGGAAGATAAACTCTTCTTGGCCAACTGAGGTTGCACCCGCGAGAATCTGGCCAACGTCGAAAACGAGAAATTAGTTGAAGCCTTGCACACCTGAATCGTGACACCCTTGACCGACTCTGGCTTGTCGAGGTTCAGTTCCACACTGCCTTCAATGATGTCGGCCTCGACAAAGTACGGCAACGACGCGTTTGCTGGTGCGCGACTCTTGACGTGGATAAACAGCCATTCCCTGCCTTCCCTGCGGGTGAGCTTGGGCCTGGTGATGGATCTTTGCACTACCCTTCGTTTCGAGCGCATACTTGTGCTCGGTTTTGGCGGTGGGCTGGGCATTGGAGGTAGCGGCATAGCTGGGGACCGTCGCGCCAGAGTAATCCGGGAGCTCTGGGTCCTTGTTTGCAGCCATGGACGATTATCCCAGGTAACAGTGGTTATCCCATGAGTGTGGGTCACAGATGGTGGACGGAATACTCGCGAGCACGTGCTCAGAGACTTGCTCCAGACTCCAGTGCGAGGCAAAAAAGACAAGTACAATTATGGCGATACAAAAACAATGCGTGCAAAGATTAAGGGAGTAACTAATTGTCGATGTGGATGGTATGACTAGACGCTACAACGTGGGAGAGATCCAAGAAATGGTCGTAAGGGGAAAACGAGCGGACGCGAGACGCAAAGGGACCCATATTCCAGACATGGGCTTCGTCGTCGTCGCACCAAGTGAGAGGGTTATCAAGAGAGTCAGATGATCTCCCGTAGCGTGAATCACCGTCCTTGCGTGCGGGTGGCGGGGGCAGCATAAAATTCGTTTCTTCGTGGAAGAGGAAGCGGTGCGTAAGAAGGGGGAGCGTATTCAAGAGGTCGTGGGCCTGATGACAAATGATCAATCCACGGAAACTGATCTGTTCCTGCACTTACTGTCGCGAGCATGAGTCGTAGCGATCGTAACAGGCTCAGCCAAAATAGTATTAGATGTGGTAGAGATGAATCCGGTGGCTTCAAAAGAGGACAGGGTAATGAGATACTGCAACGAAATTCAGTTCACCAGCCAGAAGACCGATCAGATGACATACAGAAACGTTAAAGAGGCCAATGGAGGAAGTGGATGCAAGGTCTTTGGGAAGCTTGATCTCTCCATCCAAACAACGTGAATAAGCAGCGTCGATTCCGCTGGGCGACGGCCATAGAACAGCACGGCAGACATCTTCAACTGAATCGACCCAGTCTGCCGCTCGTTTCGACGACGTGGACAGGTTTTGGTAGCGAACACAGCGACGAAGGGTGACAACAGGAGCATTAGGGGCCGAGAGAATGTCGAGTGCTTGTCCATCGGTGCTTTCCAGAGTTACGCGAACTGGAATAACGGTGCCACGAGTGTAGGATAGCTATAGGTGGCTTAGAATCATTCATAAACGTGAACCAAAACGTACAGGATTAGCAAGGGAAATCTGAACAAAAGTGGTCAATATCATGTGGGCCCATTCTATATGGAAAGCATACCATGCAGTGTATCGCCGCTTGTCGGGTTTTGAACACAGAACCACGAACAACAGCCGTGGAACTTGCTGACCAGCCGACAGGGTCGACGTCAGGGCCGGGTAGTTCAGCATGCTCGCGATATGCGAGCTGGCGGAGGAGGGAGGGAGGGTCCGGTCGAATACCGGGAATGTAGGCAAATCGTGTCTTGATCCTGAAAATGTCGTTAAATTGAGAAACAATCTAATAAAAGACAACGACATACTCGCTATCCGAGCGAAGCTTGCCGCGGGAAACAAGAACAGAGATTTCGTAGGAAACGCTGCCACGAATGTGTCGCTCGAGAAACGTCTCGGGAAGGCGATATAGCACATCGCGGTTGCCATCCTTGAAGCTCACAGCTTTGGGCATGGGAATGGAAAATGGCCAGGAGGTCGTTCCAAGGAGTTTGGTGGCGGCGCCAGATGATCGGCTGTCGCTTTTCGACCATAGACAGAGCGATTGTGAGAGGAAGGTGTAGGAGTCGTCGATAGTAGAGCCAGTTACAAGGCGTCCGGTAATCTGAGTCCATATCAGCAATAGAAGGGTGACGCAAAACAATATATACCTTGACGGTAACCGAATGAATCGAATCGCCCTTCTCTGCAGTCAGCTCGAACGACCCGTTGATGTGCTCCTTCTCGTGAAAAGTCGGCACGGATTTGGCCGACTTGGCACTGCTCCGAAGTGTGAGGGTCGCCCATGGCGTACCCTTCCCATCGACGAGGGGGTAGGCATGCTCAACGGGTTCGCGGCGGGCGATTGGTTGAGCAAGCGTGTTTCGTCGGGTATATGCAGGCAGGTCACCAGCAGACTGTGGTACCGGACCAGGTCTGCTGAACCGCCTGTAACGGGGAGGGAAGGACGCGTCCATGAGGGAATGAAGCTCTGGCCATTGAATTCAGCGTTAGTTATAGTCTGCGGACATGGACAAAAAGCTGGGAAACAACGTTCCCGTTTGGTACGAGGTTTCCGCATTCGGCAAATCAAACAACGCTTAAGTATGACAATGAGTCGAGTGACGAGATGGAGAGACAATTACGGTGGCAGTGCTGATCACATGACGAGCAAAGAAGCAGTGATTCTTGTTATCCCCAACGATGCAGTTGCCTATTATTGCCAGTAATAACGCTCTACGGCACAGGAAACCAGACAAAAGAGCCATCAGTTAGTAGTTCAAACTGATGTGAGAAGCCTACAACTAATTGTCACAACTTCTTTGCGCACTCGGCGTTCCAAGTGCCAAGTCGGACGCAACTTCTACGGATTCGACGATGAGAGGACCAGTATCAAGCGATTCGTAGCCTTGGGCGTCAAAGGGGAGAAGTAGCACCGCATACTAGCAATGTGTCACATCTCAACACCTAAAAAGGTAAAGAACACACCTCTAAACGGTAGTGTGCTATAGATGAAGTGATCGTAAGGTCTGGTTGGAGCTGCAGTTCGCCTTTAAGCACTCTTCGAAGAGGCCCGCCACTAATTAACGTCTCCGAGGAGTCCAGCGCCGTTTCAGACGCTACAGGTCGCCACCAGGTTGCCATTTCTGAATACTGGAATTCGTCTTTCCACACAGGTTTCAGCGTAACATCTCTGGATGTATGTTGCTTGTCCCTCGAGTGAAACCGGACATTTCTTCGCAGTCGTAGCACGACCGAATCTGGCGACGCTAGTATATCCAGAGCAGCCGGATCGTTGGATTCTATTTCAAGTACGCAAGGAATCGAAGTGCCGCGCGGATAACACAGCTAGAAACGAAAGTAAGTTGGCCTTCTCCAGTATGTGGTAGTGTGACGGCTAACAGGTGTAGCAAGAGAAAGCTGAGAGCAGTTTAGTTGCTATTCTCGTTTACACAGATGAGGAGAGTCTTATTACCAGACAGTTTACTTCGACAATTTGAGAATTCAATCGCCCAGTAGCTTTCACGGCGGGTAAAGTTTTCCAACCATCTGGGTCTGAATCAGGACCCAGAAGGGCAGTTTGTTGCGCATAAGCAAGTTGTCTGAGCCCAGAAGGCGGCCCTGGTCTCGTCAAAGGAAAATATTGTACCACTGTGCTCAACCTGCATCATCGTCACAAAGCCAGTTCCGTTAAGATTCGAAATGAGTTGGCACACCTATGGTCTGTGCGTAGCTTACGCATAATTTTGACACATATTTCATACTCAATCTGCCCACGCGTATGTCGCTCAAAAAAGCTTTGCGGCAATGAGAATTCCTCGCCGGCCAAGGATATCATTGCAGGGATGGTCAATGAAAAGGGCCACGTATACGCTCCCAGAAGATTCTTGCTCCATTTTGGGCCACCGGGGTTGGAAGGGTCTCCCATAGATCGTGACCAGAGGGTTTGCGAAACATCAAGAAAGGTGAACATTTCGTTGGGATGGGCACCAGTGATAATTTGGCCACGAAGCTACACCAACATGTCAAGCGAATTCGTTGAGCGTTGTCAGAATTACCGAAATGAGGATGGTGTGTATTGACTCGGGGGTGTCCAGATTCAAACTAAACCGCCCAGCGACTGGCGCGCCTTCTACAAAAGCTGGCAGGTCATTTGTGCCGCGTTCTGCATCCCCAAGAAGCAAAAGGGTTGCCCAAGCCTTTCCCGACTTTGAAAATAGACGAAATGTTTGCTCTTTGGTGGTATTTTGCTGGGAACCCTCCATGGCTCTGTGAATCTGACTATGAGTCACAGTGGGAGCAGGGAGAGACGGGTGTTCGGCGAAGTGGATGAGTCGGACGGAAATGAGTTCATGGTTGAGCAGCGTCAGGGCACAGCTGTCCAAAAGGGACAGACAGGCTTTAGGCAGAATGAAGGATTGTGATCCATTCTGAAAGGATAAAGACAAACTTGGTTAGTCACACATACACACACGGCCACACACGGCAACTCTACTTTTACACTCGACACCCGAAAAAAAAATCAGCACGCCTCTTCGCCCCAGCCAGCATTCCGCTCGTCCCACGCATCTTTAGCCCAGACCGTCTCATGACCTTCCTCTTCAAACTGGGAACCGCTCCACGAGACATTACCGTCAGCGCCTGTTGTTGAAAGGGACGAAGTATCGTCATCTTCTTCTTCATAAACCTCATCTGGGTCTTGTCCGGGAATCCAACCATCAGGAATCAAATCCAAACTACTATCTGGGTCATCCTCTGCCCACAAAGAATCCGGCAACTGCGTGACCCCACCCACAAGCTCAATAGACCATTCCTTTGGAGCGCGCAGTACATTCAGCAACTCCGATTCTTCAACAGCCCATATTAGAGCTTCGATGTAGCCGCCACATAGCGTGCTGACCGCAGGGTCAAACCAGATCTGTTCCAGAGGGATGATGGCCTCGCGCAACTCTTCCATTTTTGCCTTGACTTTATCTGCGATGGCCAGGGCAGGGGCGGGACGACCAGATGATGAATGTGCTATATGCTGATGTTCCGCTAACAATTCGTGTGCGTCTCCGGTGACACTAAGTGCAGCTAATACGCTGCGCGCCTTTTCCACACGATGTTCTTGGGAAACATGGTCTTTGCGGATGAAAGACACCACGAGAGATGCATCTCCAAGTTCTTGATCACGTCCCCAGGGGTCATCTTCCAGCGGTCTGCCAACGCCAGCCATTTCTTCCAACTCATAATCCCAGCTTTCGGCAGTTTCGCGACACCAGGCTTGGAACTCTTCAACAGTCCACTCAAACTTGTGGTCTGAATGCCTGAATATGCGATCTGTCCGACCCGTAGGGTCAGGGTAGCCTTGGCGTTCGCGTTGCGATCGAGGAGCAGAAGGACGAGTGAATCGAGCATTGAAGGTATAGGATGGCGTTGTGATAAGCAACCTGCGAGGATTGTACATGCCCAAGAGCATCGGCGCGAGAGTAGGTAGAATTTCTGGTGGGAGGTGCTCGATTCTACGAAGGTGAGTCGACGAAAAATCGTAGTAAAATTACGCACACTTCGGTGCAAACGATGCAGTCGATCCCAACGAATTCCTCATTGAAAGTCTGAAGGCCACCCTTGAACAGTTTGATGGAGAGCTTTTCGAAGCGCGTTACGGGCAGACCAAAACCGTCAGATGCGTCCTCAGACTGGGGCTGAGTATCCTTGACCGCAAACGCAAGGTCGGTTTCGGAAATATCGATTCCAACAACGCGTTGCATGTGAAGGTTAGCATTGTCGACTTTATAGGTGTAAGCTTCGCCGGATGGGATGGTCGTTTCGGGGGGAGGAAGCAACCAAGGCGCCGGTTGGGCCAAGACGCTGAGTAGTTGACCTTCACCACAGCCAACATCGAGTAACTGCGCTTGCGGTTGTGGCTCAAGAAAGATTGTACAGGGAAACGGCAAACGAACCTCTACAATGTTCTCGCGACGAAGTATGTCTAGTATCCAAATTCTGCGTTGGAGATGGAGTGGCGGGTAGAAGTGGACCTTTGGATCGCCGATATCGAGTTCAATCTCTTCATGATCTCCGTCGTGTTCTTCGAGCTCGGGAATAGCCATGGCCATCGTGCCCATCGGTGGTGACTGGAAGCAAAACGGATGGAAGCAGCATGCTTGGACTAAGTTTGGTTGGTGCGATGACGTAATACCTCAAGGCTGATCTCTGAGTGCCATCTGATGATCAGCTCCGCTGTTTTGTTGTTGACCGGCTAGACCCGTACAAGCAATTGCCAACATGAATTTGCGGCCTGATTCTTTCAATAGGAGCGGGCGCCGCTTCTTTTCTTTCCCTTTTGACGATGGACATGGAAGGCATTGGCACGGACAGCCCGCCTGGCACACCCGTACAGCAGCTGGCTGTTCAAATGTCGGTCGTTGTGCTTGAGACCCTTTTCTATGGCATCTTTCTTGTTCTCTTTTTCGCAATGGGTTATATCCGCCTCCACTCGCGCAACAGCACACGACTGGGATTCGGAGCTTCCTTTGGTCGCAGTCCAGTCGAACTTGCATTGTTCGCACTTCTCCTTCTCTCGACCACGGTATGTGGAGGCTCTTTTTCTGTGTGTTGGATATGCTGGCTTACAATGAATCCATCGACTAGCATTGGACGATGTGTGTTCCTTTCATTGATGCCCTCTTTCTATGTTCAAAGGTCAAACAGAACTCTTATTTCCTTCTTTTCGACCTTCCTGGGCCCAGGGCGCGACAGTGTCGCTGCAATGATACACGCATCTCGTAATTCTCCATCCCTCCTACGGCTTCAATCAACTCAGAACATGCTCACTTTGCTGTCTATGGCGGTTGGGGATGCAGTTATCGTATGTTGACACCCCCATCATAACCGACCCAGTCTGCTGACATGTAATGCTAAGATCCACCGTCTGTGGGTTGTCTATACGCATAACCTTCGGATCGTCATCGCCCCGCTCGCCTTCTGGGCCGGTCTCATAGGTCCGTTGTTTCCTGTCCTCACCCCCACTCCTTTTAAACCCCACATAGTCACCGGGTTCTACGTCGTCGTCAGACTTTACATCAACCTTCCGAATGCGCACAAAACCGTGTCTGGCTGGATCACTGCAAATTGGGTCTTAAGCGCAGCGTATGTGTCCCTTTCCAAACTAAACAATGATGATAATTAGTGCAGAACATGCGTATATTGCACCAGTACGCCGTTGCTTCACGAATCAACGCTGAAAACTTATAATGGACTTAGCTTTCTTGGCTTGCAGAGTGTGGACCACCTGTCGTGAAAGTCCGGGCAAGAGAACCGGGAAACTTATGGTGTGTGCAGCATCTGCGCTATGACTTCGTTTAAACCGGGTGATTCTATTATATAATAGGCTTCATTGGTAGTTCTGGTTGAGAGTGCGGCTATCTGGACGTGCGTTTCCTTTCTTCACAGTCCGCAAAACATCTCATCGGTTCGCCAGCTCCTGGATGTTGGTCTACATCGTTCTTCACGAAGTGCACACGGTGGTACAGTTGGCTTTCAATGCCTGCGTCACCTCCCTCCTAGGAATCGTCAATACTTCCATCTATCTTCGCATTGCAGTCGGTGTCTCTGCTGCACCGCCACGACCTCGACCCAGGCCCCAATCCGGAATCACGATCACGCAGACAGAGATGAACACACGGGCTCCGGGCACAGAACTTGCCACTATGACGAACGATGCCTCGCTGTTTGGCCTAAGCGCTGTATCAAGCGACCCCGAGTCATCTGAGTATGGCCTCGAATACCAATATCCGAACCCCATTGACTCAAGACGGTCCTCCTCAGTCAAATACTCGTACTCCTTATGATCACTCGGACATGAGACTTGATGGCCATTGACACGACCCCAACTGTACTCATACTGAACGCCCACTCAGCGCTATTGTATCATACTATGTACTTGCTAGCATTATGGTTGACTCGTAGAGAACCGAACTGTAACCCGAACTTCCTGATCACTACATAGGCCAAAAACTAGAAAAGGTGCCACGTGATCGTGTTTGTAAAAGTGTGTGTGACATGGTTGAAAGCGACACCCATGCCAAATGGCCACACTCACTTATTTCATGGGCCAAATCGACGCATTGATGGAAACTGCGACTGGGTTGACTAAGTTAGTACTCCAGCATTGGAACACTGAGCAACTCTATCACCGCGCTTTTGGCAGGAACTCGCCACGATAACACAGAAAGCCTCCGAAATGCCTGCTTCCTTCCAACTATCCGCCCTCAATCGCCTAGAACTTGGGGACCCAGATAACATGTCTGTCATAGACGTGTCAACGGACCCATTTTGTTTCCTTTTGGTAACGCACAAACATCGGGGAACTGAAATATCGGCCTTCACGGCGGATTGAGGGCGGGGCTGCGGCGTACCAAAGCTGCATGAAAACAGCTTCCTTCCCTCCCACATGCACTCCCGCCCAGTAGTCGCCATTCTTGCGGCCTGCGTTGTCGTCCTGTCATATCTGTTTTGGCGCTGGCAATATCTGTCGCTGGAAGGCGCTCTGCCAGCAGCGCGATGCTCACTCGAGGTAGCCGACCATAGCACTGCTCTTTCAACTCCTCAGAGGCGATTCAGAGTCGCTGTCGCATCCTATTTCGGCTTTCACTTTGACGTCTACATGGCTTTGGTCTGGACTCTGGAACGCGTCATGGCGCAAAGTGGGGCAGTGGAGGTCTATGCTGAACAACCCTTCGGGTTTGACTTCCAGAATATTGTAGACGACCTGCGGCTTTATCGCGGGGCGGTCAAACCGCCGGACAGGCTTGTGAGCGACATCAGAGCTAATATGGGCACGGGCGGAATCGACCTGGTGGTGCTTGGTACTTGTGAAGTCGAGTGCGTCTATCATTTCCTCAAGGGCTTTGTGCTAACATTTGGCAAGTCTTCGTGGCCAACAGCACCAAGACCTCCTTGATGCGTGGGATGCGCGATCAACCGGCTTCAAGTTCAAAATCGTATGCATCGTCCATAACATCGAGGTTGAGTCCTTCATATATGCCTTGAATCCTTTCCGAAAACAAAACTAGGACTACGATTGGCAAGTTAACATTCCTGAATGGTCTCGACGAAATGCCATTCGCATACTCCCAATATCAGAGCAGTAAGTAGAGTAGCGTCGATTTGGAATCAGTGTGACTTATTAGCGCTGGACCCAGTGTTGCGTCTGCCTTCAAGCAGATGTTCCTTGTTTCTGCCGATAGTGCCAACGACACACTGCGACTTTCGCGTCCTGAGGATATACTAATCGACGTACATGTCCCTGTTCTCGACATCCCAAGCTTGAAGAAACGGCAACCCCGACATTTCCTGTCAGATGCCGTCATTCAAGGCAGCTTTTTCTCTGATCGACGGGACTATGTGAAGATATTTGCGGAGCTCAATGAATCTCTCTCGAGTGCGTTTCCCTGTCTATGACCAAGGTTTGCATATAATTTAATCTCACTTAGTTAACCCAAAGGTGTGGGGGTATCTTTCTCGGCAAACACAAGATGTGGCATACCGCGTTGACGAATCTTTACCGGACCCGCCATTTCGCTTGTTTCTGATTGGCTCGGGTTACATCGAAATCCCTCCAGAGCTCGAAAACTTGGTGGTAGTGCGCGACGGACTGAGCTATCCAGGTGCGATTGTCAATGCTGCTGAACGAGTCTTGATAAGCCCACAGAATTTTATGCTCTGATGAGCCAGATGGACATCTGCATTCCTGCGTTTTCCGTAGGAAACGACTACTATGACGTGCAAGCCAGTTCGACATTTGCGATGGCTGTTGAATGCGATGTTCGTTTGCGTATCCATTCCTTAGCTTTGCCCTGACACGACTTCTAGGTCCCGATACTCGTGACGGAGCGAATCAAAAAAGCATACGCTTACGCTGACGACCCACGCGCCGTTGTGACGCGGCCAGCAGCTATGCGTGAAGTGGAAGCGTTGCGGGCCCTTCGGACCGGAGATGTCACGCATTTCTTGCAACAGACGAGAATATCGCCGGAATCATCGACAGCGCAGGGCGCGAAAAGGATGGTTCAACAGGGCTGGGTGCGCTCAGCGCAAGAGTCGAGGTCGTTTAAAGAGGGAGTTTGGGCCGCCAACGAGCGTGTCGTGGAGCGAATTTTACACGATCTGTGAAGCATCTTATACACGGTAATATGATGTGCTTATATAAGACGTGGTTCCGTCCTTCAGGCTCCTTCTTCATCTTTTAGCGTTTGGTTAAGTCGGAATCTGTTCCTAAAAGGAATCGCAATTTTTGGTCGGATCTTATCTTAACAGCGAAGCGGATAAGAACTGAGTGAGGAGGATAGAGTTTATTTGTTGTGGCAGGTTTGGCGTGGGCGTGACCGTTCTTCCTTCTTGACACCACAACGACCCACCGCCATGGCCGACCTCGTTGACTCAATGTTGGACCTCATGCGGCGGTTGCCTCCAACGAGAACCGAGGAGAACGTGACATCGCTCATTGGAATATGTCCAGAATACGCGGACGACTTGCTCGGCAGTGTCGACCAGCCGCTGAAGCTCAAGACAGATCGTGCTACAGGCAAAGAGTATCTTGCATGTGACTACAACAGAGACGGAGAGAGCTATAGGTTCGTGGCTTGCTTCTGGCTCGATCTCGAGTAAACTATACCTGAAGATCGCCATGGTCCAACGAATACGATCCCCCATTAGAAGATGGGACGGTGCCGACTGCGAAACTACGCAAACTTGAAATCGCTGCGAACGAAGCGTTTGACACGTATCGTGAAATGTTTGTGAATTGTCCTTTCCCCATTGAAAGCTTATGGGCGGAAGGTACTACGAGGGAGGAGCGTCTTCTGTTTACCTCTGGGACCTGGATGACGGTGGTTTCGCTGGGGTTGTTTTGCTGAAGAAAAGTGCGTTCTTCTCGGGCTTGTACCACCACGGGCCGATTCATTTCTATAGCAATGACCCCTAGCTCAACCCAAGAGCCTTCTGGCTCTTGGGACTCTATTCATGTTTTCGAGACTGCGGAGCGCGGGCGGCAAGCCCACTACAAGTTGACCTCGACTGTTATGCTGCAGCTTGTCACGCGTAATGGGTCTGAGGGCGATGCTGACGAAAAGGGGAGCTCGAAAGGTCCAGCATGGAAGCATCAGGGAGAGGTCAGTTTGAGCGGGAGCATGACACGTCAGGTTAGTAACTTATCCCATGGCATGAGCTTTCCGAACGTTTTTGTAGGCAGAGCAAGACTGGCCGCTCACCGACTCATCCTCACATATTACCAACACTGGGCGTATGATTGAGGAGATGGAGATTAAGATGCGCAACCTACTCCAAGAGGTCTATTTCGGCAAGACACGCGACATTGTCTATGATTTGCGGAGTGTAGATGACCTGGAGAAGGCACGACGCCAGCGAGAGTTGCAGAAGGAGCTCGTTGGATTCATAAAACGGTAAGAACAATGTACATTATCTGGTCAATAGCGCGTCCGCAATTGGATTCGAGTGTATCGTTACCTGCCCAAAGTTGGGTCAGAAAAATGACAGCAAAATTCTACACTCACATGGGTCAATCTGAACTCTTCCAACGGTCGATTCTTCGCGTTTACTTGTACTCTCTCCATCGCATCCAAAGTCGAGTCTGCCCCATCAATCACCTTGCCGAATATCGTATACTTACCATCGAGGTGGCTCTGTTTCGAGTAGGTGACGAAGAATTGGGACTTATTGGTGTCGGCGCCAGCGTTTGCCATGGCCACCATACCTCGCGCATTGAACTACAACGCAAGTAAGACAGGACACCGTTCGAGAATAGGGACCCACTTTAAGAGTGGAGCGGATCTCATCTGGGAAAGGCTTTCCCCAGATACTTTGACCACCTTTCCCCGTCCCAGTCGGGTCACCAGTTTGGACCATGAAACCCTTGATATTGCGGTGGAAGAGGCAGTCGTCATAGTAGTTGGATGCACATAGAGCAAGGAAGTTCTAGATTCCAGATTGGTGAGCAGTAAACAGGTTTGGCCATGAGATTACTTCGGCCGCTTTTGGAACTGCTTCGCAGAATACCTCGATCTAGAAAACCGAGTTGAGAGAGAAACATTTTGACTGTGATCCGAGAGGGCAACCTTGAGTTCGCCGAGGGTGGTATGGAGCGTAACAGACTATAGGGTCAGCCCGCGGAAAAAGGGAAAAAGGAGGAACGGAACCATATAAAGTCAGAATCGTGTGCGCGTTTGATGGTCTCTGTTTGAAGGGTGCGTTCCGTCACACCGTGACGGACTATTTCAAGGACTTCGACCACCGCTTCAGCCCAACTATGCGGACGCCCTCCTTGTACTCTGTCGAGAGTTCCGTTGACCCCATTTCTCTTGCTCTACGTGCTAACCACGCTGCTGAAACTCCCGACGAACGACGCTCCAGATTAGACGCGGAAGCAGAGGCGAAGCGGGTCTCAGACCGTATCGATGAAGAGCTTAGGCAGGAGAGAGAACGACTTCGTCGCTCTCGTGGAGATGTAAAAGTACGCCATTTCTCTTGTCCTCCTACTCGATCTGAATTTTATAGCTACTGCTTCTTGGCCAAGGTCTGTGTTCAGTCTTACTCTGCGTTCCCTATCATTGATTCTTGGTTCAGCCGAGAGCGGGAAGAGTACTCTCCAGAAGCAATTCCAGCTCATGTACCGGCCCAGCTCATTAGAGCAAGAACGGTCTTCGTGGCGCACAGTCATTTACTTCAACGTCGTCCATTCGTTAAAGCACATTCTATCCACCCTCGAGTCTTGGGACGACAACTTTGATGATGGCCCCCAACCCTCGCGCCATTACGATAAGAATGCCGAACTTCCCCCACTTCCAACTGGAATGCCTAGAGCGCCTTCTCGACCCGAAAGTCCCGCCCTTGGCTCCCGCTCCAACCGCATCGCCCATCTTCGCACCCGACTTGCTCCCCTCATCGCAACCGACTCGCCTCTTGCCGATCGTCTTAGTGGTGGCGTCAGTGTATTAGGTTCCAAAGGCGGCCTTTACGTCCGCAGTGGTTGGCAAGCGCGCACTGTTGAGAAGGGCATCGGCCGACATTTCAAGAAATCTAGCGAAGCTGAGTTCCGCAAGGGTCACGTTCCAGATGATGAGGGCGACTTTCTCCTTCAAGACATTGCCCGCATGCTTGCTGCGCTTAAAGATGATGTTAGAGAGCTCTGGGCACACCCAACCGTCAAAGGACTCATCATGAAGAGGAAGCTGAAACTGGATGAGTGGTCCGAATTGTGCGTATCATTCATTTTGTTCCTGTTACGGAGTTTATACCCGATCTACAGCTTCCTCAAAGACATCACTCGCATCGCTGCGCTTGATTATATCCCCACAACAGGTGCTGTCTGCTTTTTTTGATTTGCCGAAGCGTTTGCGCTGAGTTTTTCACTGTAGATGATATCCTTCATGCTCGCATTCAGACCATGGGTGTGGCAGAGCACATATTCGACGTCGATCTCCATGGCAAGTCGGTCACTTGGCACCTGTACGATGTCGGCGGCGCCAGAGGGCAGCGGCACTCGTGGGTGCGTTGTTGCGCTATTTGATTGATCTGTGTCTCCCAACCTTATGGCCAACAACAGATTCCCTATTTTGACACGGCTAACGCGATCATCTTTGTGGCCCCAGTCAGCGCTTTTGACCAGGTACCTCCATGTGCTGCCAAGCGTCTTCGGCACCGAACTCATTGCGTTCTAGTATCTTGAAGAAGATCCTCGGACCAACAGAATCGACGACTCTTTGCAGCTATTCACCCAAGTCTGCTCCAATGCACTCCTGAAGAGTGTTCATCTCGTCCTTTTCTTGAGTACGCAACACGAAGGCAAAGCAGCTTCTTGTCACTGATTTGTACGACAGACAAGACCGATTTGCTCAAGGCCAAGATCGACAACGGTCTTCGAGTTGCGAAATAGTGTGTCTAGTGCATCACCATCTCATTTATCATCTAATTTTGGCTCTCCAGCATAACCTCTTTCGGCGATCGCGCGAACGACTACGAAACGGTCGTTCAATACTTCCGTGCCCATTTCTTGCAAGTCCACCGCCGGAACAACGAAAACCGTCGTGTACTTTATACCCATTTCACTAGTGTCGTGGTATGTCCCTTTCTGACCGGAAGCGTTTGACCAATGCCTTTAGGACACGAAAACCACCCAACGTATTATTGGAAACGGTGAGTAGCGGCGTTGTTTTGGCCGATGTCACTCATATTGGAACCAGTTCGGGACTCCATTTTCCGCGGTTACCTCCAATCTGCTGCGCTTGTGTAACACCGCCTCGCTTCCGACACTCTTTCTCCTCTACATTACGATGCTCCCCGTAATGCTCCTTCGTGGTTGCAGACGCTTCTTTTCTGCTTGTTCGCCCCCTCTCTTGGTCACCGCCATTGTCTTCGCATTCAGTCACTGGTCTCTTATCATTATCATTCCTCACTACCAACCCTCATATGAAACGCACGAACGAACGAAAAGCTCTTCGCCCCTGATACAATCATCACTTAAGTTGCCCTCGTAGCGATAGCAAACTGTACATCTCCACTTAGTCCCAAATCACCCACCGGTGTTGTTGTTTGTTGTTACCATTGTATCCCTTCCAATAAAGACAAGGGCCTCTGGCACCTGTGCCTGAGTCTGAGACCTTGCTTTAGTACTAAATAAAGTACATCTTTTTGCCACTAATCTAATAGGGTAATGGCAGGTATATATATATATTGTGAATGAAACTTGAACTCTAGATCTATTCCAAGAAGAATGCCCTTAGAGGAGATCGTCTGAACAGCCCACCCATATTGGAGCTCACTCAGCTCAGATTTACTGAAATTTATCTGGATTTTTTGGACATCAGGCTTAACTGGTGCTGGATAGGCATTTGAGCTATATATCTACTAACAGAGCATTGAGCCCCCCACTATTTTATGCAATTTATTTGGCCTATTACCCATAAAACTTCTAGACCATGTCTTAATAGGCATAATATTTAAGTATCCTTCCTTATATAAAAGCTTTTGCAGATAGAAAACCATCAGTTGTATATCACTTAGAGCTCGTTCAGTAATGAGAAACCAATTTCTCAACAGAAACCAGCTTTTCAGCACTGACGGAGTGACTGTCATCAGCTAGAAACCATTATCTAATCAAAATCCCATCTGTTTTGGACATAATCGGAATGTATCAGACAAAATGGTATACTGTAGCATTTTAATCAATTCAGTGCCCAAAATGTGTGTGACATTGGTGCCGAATTGAAATTTTCGGTGTCCAAGGCCTCTGAGTGTGACTGCCAAAAATAGTCGATTTGCCGGGTGAATTCAGTGTTTATCTCCATTGTATGTGTAACTGCCAAAAAAAAATTGGTATTTTAAGGGTGGTGTGACACATGACAAATTGATTAAAATGCTATAGTAGTCACTAAATAAGTGTTCTATAAGAAATAGTGATGGCCATTCAAACCGGAACTTAACCGGACCAAACTGAGGTTCGCTGTTCATATTTGGCTTGCCTTCAAAAGGCCAGTTCGGGACTGGTTCGAAGCGAAGTTTGGTGCTCAGGTTTGCCGAATCTGGGTTTTAAACCAAACGGACCATCTGGTGTTCAGCCAAAATGGGCCAAGAACTGGACTGAACCAGACTTGGCCATCACTAGTAAGGAAATTAAGGCTAGAAGTTTATGCTATGGCATCTTTAATCTACATTTATTGTTTTTAGGCTGCCTTTCTGTGTAAAGTTCTATAAAGTTTAGACACAAAACCTCAGCACATTTTGATATTATTTGATGCAACACTGTTGGCCAACTAATTGGACAGTGTTACTTGGGTGACACTGACTGATCCTGCTGAGAAGCTGGTTTCTGTTGAGAAACTAGTTTCTGAGTCCTGATGAGAAACCAGGCTGGTTTCTCGTTAACAAACAAGCTCTTAGTATTTAGCCAATGCTGATACAAAAATAAAGCTGCAACTATAGGTTACTTAATGAAATGTCAGACTGCGGGTCGGGCCGTGCGAGGACTTCTCCTAAGAGCGCGCGCCCGGAACAGAACAGACGGATAGTCGGGCCCGCAAGTATGGCGGGCGGGGTAGATCGAAACCGAAAGGGCCCGTGAACTCGGTCCCTTGCCGTAGTCGGTGGTCGAAGGTTCGAATCGGGTCGTGTCGGGCCCGATGAGTCGATAGCGTCTCCTCGCACGGAGTAAGGTAGTTCTTCAGACGATCTAAGCGATAGAGTACAGGGTACACTATCGCGCATTATATACGCGGGCCCGCAAAGGGGGTGATCGGACACCCTGGCCTCTCCTCCTCCTCCTCGCTCCTGTTCCTGGCCGCAGAGGGGACGATCGCACATCCCTTGCGGGCCAGGCGCTACTCCTGACCTCCTAGCACTCCTCCCCATTCCCCTGGTGTCGAGTTGGGCTCGGCGACGGCTCGACGCGTCGTTCTCGGTCACGTGCTTCCCACGTGTGCATTCCTCCTACTGGGGCGCATGTTCCCCGTCGTCACGTGCTGCGTGTTACGGGCCCGCAATGGCCCGACACCAGCGCCGGAGCGGACGGGCCGGGTCTTATCCGTGACATGAAAGTTGTTCATATGGTCAAAATATACAATATTGATTTTGTGACGATCTGTGACATTCTCTGATGATTGGACTGTCATATAGCAAAAACTTCCTTTTTTGGAAATTGGTCACGCTTTGTGACCTCATATCACCGCTTGACGGTGCTGAAAGGGATTTGGGACACACAGATGACAGCCCTGGCATCCCTGCAACTTTAAAAGAATAATTATTCCCAAGTCTTTGTTTGTACATGTTTGTTTTTGTTGTTTACACTTGTTTGGCATGAATTTCACACATACGGGACCTAGCTAAAGCAAGGTAAAACCGTAACGGTATCAGTAACAATCGAAGACTTCCATGTCTGACAGTCATTGGCAGCGTATGTATATGACTAAGGCTATCGCAGGTCAAGTTCAGGCTGACTATTATTTCGAGTTTAATATATCAGTTTGAGGGTTGATATTGGCAACAAGTCCTCGTCGATCGTTGAAGATTTGCGAATTGACCTCTGGTTGGTCCAACGATTAGATCAAAGTTCTTCATCTTCAGCTATTTCGAAATCGGCTACGCAGGACAAGATCCACTGGCAAGAATGCAAACAGCTCAATGATTGAGACAGGGAATTAACGTCGATTTCTACAGAGCTTTGGCTTTAACCGGGAGCATTTTTTTGGCAGGTCGACGTCGTTACACTTGGACCGGGACCGACGATGATATGTCGGAGGCTTTGAGCTAGCGTGGCGTCAATGAATTGGAGCACTGTATCAGAGAATCCCAATTGAAACGAGCGCCTTCTTTAGGCGCTTCTAGAGGGACGGGAATCTACGCGAATGTGATCTTGAAGCTGATGGCGGTCGCATTGAAGATGATGAGCTACAGTACAACGACGATCAAGGCTGGAAAGTTTGAAAATTGCCCGATATGGATACGAGCTTGTTTTTTTTTGTAGCGGAGGAATGATAATCGGATGATCATGATAGCTTCTGGTGGTCGCGAGCCCGCAAGCAATCGCGTCGGCGTCACCACCTGGGTTTTGGTGGATGCGTGGGAATCCCTCGGATCGAATGGGGAATTATTGAATCACCGCCTTGTCTAATCTAATCTCTCCACCCTCTTGGATAAAACGGGAAAACGGTTAACCCCCCACATTTACACAGTAGTCGGAGGATCGGCGGAGGTCTGCAAAAGAGGGCAGCCCGATAAGCCCGACACCACGTCCGTTGCCTCCAACCAATTTCATCTTTGAAATATGTGGTGATGGATCATGTTCCGCGGTGTTGTGGGTCCACACTTTTTTTCAAACAGGGTCCAACAATCGATAGCCGGGTTGTGGAAAGAGGGCATGAATGTCTGAAGAGGATGAGGAGGGAGATGTTGCTCTGATATGCGCCATTGGTGATAGTCTGACTGCGACTGTTTCTGGTTGCTCTTGACACAGCCAAAGTTCGCGGGATTTTAGGGTGACTCATGGAAGACCAAGCGACGGAGTGCGACCCGAAGCTTCCCAGTTTTCTATTGAGCCAGATGTCAATGTTGCTAGTGACTGTGGCAGCGCGTAACTGGCCTCGAGATGAATGGTTTTTGGTTAGGTCAGATGAGTGTACAGTTTGTTATGTTAGCAGGAAAACAGACATTATGACAGCCGATAAGGTATGGGGAAGTGCGGGGTAAGCTACAATGTGTGTGTATGTTCAATGATTAGAGGCGAAACACTCTAGAGGATACAGCAGGTGGGTTTTCGACAGCGAAATGAAAGTTCGAAGACAATAAGTCAAGGGGGAGAGTCGTCTTCTTCGTCGTCATCCTCCTCATCACCGAGACCACCTTTCCATTCTCGCTCCCAGAGCGGATCTGGCGTTTCAGGTGTCAGAGCAGGATGTCCCAGTGGGAGTGCAGCACGCGCACGGTCCATGCGTGTTCGTAAAGATTCTCGGTCAGCTATCAATTCATTCAGATAGTCAATGGCTAGAGGGAACAAGTCAGCGAAGAAAGAAGGGGAGGATATAGGTAACACACTTTTCGACAAAACCACGTTTTCACTTCTTGGGCCAGCCCTTCCATCCGTCTTGTCTTGACTAGTTTCGTCGCCTGATTTCGCACGGCCTCTTGAACGTTTCCCCTTCCCCTCATTCATTTGCGTATTCCGGGCAGCCTGAGCAGCCTCCTCCTCCCGAATAGCATCTCGCAACGCTGGAACGGCTTCACACAAAGCTTCATAGCCGCGACGGATGTTGGCCCGTCGTTTCTGCTCGGATTGAATGTGATTGGCCTTTTTCTGTGAGGCAGAAAGCAACGCAGGCTTTGCTGGTGGTGGCGCAGCACGTGGCCTTTTACTAGTACTGGCTGTTGGTGGTTGCGCTGTCTTTGGCGACGGCCGCCGTGATTGAACCGGAGACGGAGGAAATGAGTAGCCGGAAGACGATGTCGAGGCAGTTGAAGGCGTAGAGTTTGTGGGTGTAGGATACTGCCCATGGCTATGAGGCCCGCCAATACTGAGCGGATGTGGAGAAGGGGGACTAGGTCGTTGCTGATGAAGGAATGGAAAAGATGGAGGTCTAGGATAGGCGGGTTGTTGTGGATAGTCGTAGTGTTGTTGTTGTGGTTGCTGCTGCTGCTGCTGGTAATAGTACTGTGGCTGTTGGTACTGAGGATAGTCGAGTGCCATTAGGTCTTTGGTAGCTTTGGTGAGTTGGCTCTTGTCGTGAAATTGGTCCGGTTCGTGGTTTTGGGAGTACATCTGCCATTCCTTGCCCATGTAGGCATCGTAGTCCATCGTTTCGAGGAAAGAGTCGAACTGGGAGGCCTCTGTTTTCGTTAGGAGTGACATGCTTGGATGGCTGCCTAAAGTAGTCTTGGGCCAAGAGGCAAATCACATGGCTTGTCGCAGATCACCATTCATCCAATCATCTCAACTTTTTTTTCTGCGCTCTCCTCCAACAAGTCTGAAAGCACAACCAGTTCATCGAGGATTTCAACTGCTAGATTCCCGTCAGACTCTTTGGCTCACAAATAATCTACGTACTCTTTTGTGTCCTTGGAGCAATAACTCCGAATAACCATACACCGCCTCTATCCAGAGGTAGCCACGCTCTCAGATGATGAAGTCTGTCGATAAAGGACGACAGCACCTTCCATGTCATGGAGACCGAGAGCACAGTTGTACTCAGCTCAGCAGCCCTCGTGGGCCAAGTCCGCCTTTGCTCTGTGCCTATTACCTCACCTATAATACCCATCCACTCTCGACCCTCTTCAATTCAATCCCTCGACCACGCGAGCGACGAACAACCTCCCGTAAATCTGGTTCACCATTCAATTCCTTCGTCGTAGGGAAGATCTTGAGTCCTAGCGAGATCAACGTCTTGCCTTCTTTGCTGCTAAGTAGCGCTCTTCTCTTTCAACCTTGTCTTAGTGGTTGCTACTTCTTCTTCTGAGCGCTCTTTCAATCCTGAAAACTGGTTGGCGAGCCTCACCAACGGCAATCATACCCAACAAAACTGTCTCCCATGACTATGTCGTCCCTCGAAACCAAGACCCTTGTCATCACCAACGCGCTCACAGTATCTAGTCGGAAGGGACCGCGACGTTGTCACTCCGACGGCTTTGTGGCGTCCATTTATGGCGCCGACGTCAGTTTTCGCTTGCTTCTGGCTGTTTTTGCCTGACCTTGGACATTCACTCAAAAAGATCGCAGAAAGAATCCCGTGGCTTCACTAGTCCGGCGTTTACCAGAGCACTTTCTGAAACCCGGTCATCTTCAGACCCTAGTTCTGAGTTCAGCGGGCTTCCTTAAGCCGCATAACCAATTGGAATGCTTCGAAGTAATCCGTTGATGGCCAACTCGCGTGGCTTAAAAGCAGTGTCCTCCGAGCGCGGTGATTCATAAACTCATGCTCCTTGGGTGTAATCACCGAAAACAAGACTGAGCTTGTGATTTCGAGGCAACGGAACTATTTTAGATTCGCCGATCGTTTGCTTTCAGTGCAACCCACGCATAAACTGCCTCTGGCACTGTCTCTTAAATGACAGTCCTTCAGTTTCACGAGGTTTAATTCTATAGCAAAAGAGCAGATTTGTCATAGATCAAAGTACAAAACACGATTTCCCGAGGTGCATTATCGTCGAGTTGCTTTCCGGGGAACGGTGTTAAGGATGTAGATTTCTCACCTAGCGTGAATAACTTATCCGCCCTCCGTCCACCGACGAGTTGTTGACCTTCGCGATGGTTGACGTCAAAAGATTGACGATTCGCATCCGGCAGACTTGGGTCCGAGAAACTGAATGCATGAATTTACCCACGCCTTGATCAACCAAACGATCCTCCAGGTAGCAAGGCTACGCAGGCCCGTGCTTTCGAACGTGGTCGAAAAATGGGTACGTCCATGGTTGTCGGAGTGGTAGCATGCAACTCGCTGCGCCAGAGTTGCTGTGCCATGCGACTGGAGTCCACAACAGTCATGACCACCGGGAGTTGCCTGATACGACCGCACTTTGCCGTCACTATTCAACGCACAATGGGGATGCCTGGGCTGGTGGTGTCGGCGGCGTCATGCTTGACCAAGTTCAGGGTATTGTATCGCCGGTGGCGGGCATGTTTGTCCAATCGACTCCATCACTTTGCTTGCTTGGCCAGTGGGCACTAGCATAGTAGTCGCTCACGAGTCCCAGCTCCTGGCTGGCTGAGCATGCTCCAGCTCGAGGAGCTGATCTTCAAGTGTGGAGGCGGGGGTACGCAGAGCATCGACAGTCTGCCAGATCCCAACTCGAAAGCTGTGTCGTGGGGATGACGGTGAAGTGAAGGTTACGGCAAAACCGATACCGTCAGGAAGTCCGTGTGCGATTAGATTCAACCGTGGGCATGAATCATGGCATGGTTCAACATCCGTCACCGAGTCTTGACTTCAAGTCGTGTAGCTGCGACGGGCCATGTTTCTTGAATCATGGTAACCAACTTGTGTTCACGCTGGTAAGAAACTCCACAGTAACTTGGCTGAGAGAACGTGAACAACACTTCTGGCGACAACTACCACTTACTACGAGTAAGTTGTCGTAGACACCATAGAGGTCTGGGTCTGGAGCAACGATCGGGTGGGCCATATTCTTGGGGATTCCGGGCTATCATCCCCATAATGACGCTGGCTGCTGAAAGTCCAACTAAACCTGAAAACTTGCGTGATGCCTGGCCGAGGCTTTGTCGTTAGACGACGTCGAGCGAGTCGCAGGGAAACATACAACTCGAGAATAACGTGAATAAGCTTCAACCTGAGCATGGATATCTTCTGCCAGTAATAGAGGTGCCCTAATCTGGAGCTATCTGGACTTTCGAGCGCATTGCTAACGCCGCCGGCGGGTACTCTCAACTTGTCTGTTGAATACAGTTGAAGAGAGAGCGAGAGTGTTAAGAGTTCCTTCAACCGCCCGCAGCCTTTGTTCACATCCAAGCCATATTGACGTAGAGTTGTTCCCCCAGCATGGTTTTGGACCATTTGAGTGCCAGTGTTATTCGTCGTTGGGCATATGAAGGGTTAAGGTCGCCAGTGGCCATCGACTCCAAGTTCGTCCAACGTCAAGTGGACGATATCGATGGCCATTGGCGAAGGTAAAGAGTAGCGCGCTGGACATTGTGGAGATGGCGTCGGCCGTAGAAGACGCGTCTTGCAGCGACTGAGGGTGAGGCCTGTGAGGAATGATCAAATTACTAGTAAGCGAGGAAGATGGGATCAGAGGATTCAAACTCAGCCCTTGGGGAGAGAGCGTCAATGAAATTCACAGGTTGTTTGGAGGTAATACAGAGCACAAGAGAGAGACATATTATCAGACCCGGGCCACCAGTGTCCAGCCTGTCCACAACGAACTCGAACTTATGTATACTTCTAGCCCGTATGCTGTTTCTAGGATTTATTTCCCCATACGAAATGTAGGTGTCTGTTAGCATCTGTGGGCCATTATCGGAAGATGAAAGGAAACCGGACTGGCCAGTCAGCAAAGACTTGACGAGCTGCAGGGACGAACCGCACCAGCTCGCTTGGTGCCCCATGCGAGAGGGTGGCACAAGATGACGCGCCTGAGACGCGCTGTAAACTTGGAAGCCCCGCGGAGCCAGCTCAGAAGATACTGGCCCTTGCTTCTTGCTGTTGAGCTGAATTTGAAGCCCACGTCTCAAGCCGGCAATCTGAGTGTAGCCAACGAAAATTCAGGCCCTTGATTCACCTTAGAGCTTGTTGTCTGTTACTTTCGGCGAAAAAGCAATTGGGCAAAGACTTGACTAGTCTGTTGTTTTGTCTCGATCCGAGTTTCATCGGAGTTCGGATGAGTAGTCGGAACCACACCCGATGCCATTGCGAATGAATTGAAGAAAGCATTCCGCCAAAGAGTTGGGTCTTGTCTGCTGTTTTCTGCGGTAATAATAGCGCACACTAGAAGCTGCCCATAATCTTAAATGAATCAGCCAGTGAATTTGGATGGAGTCCGAGGGACCATGATAGTCAGAGTGGTTCTTTTTTTGTGAAGATGCGCTGCCCAGGGCAAGGAGGCTATAGCAAGGGCATGTCGAGGCAAGAGAACCTTCTCCCGCGACACTATCCTGAGAGCCGTTTGCCAGATACAGCGCGGTCGCGCAAGCGCAATGTCGTGTCGAAAGTTGATTATCCTGTGACGTGACAGAGGTCACGAGCTCTGTGACTCAAACTCGACATACGCCATCATAATCCACACCAGTATCGATTTCATGTCTAACAAGCGGCCCAGCACATCGCAAGGCGGCAAGGATTCGAGGAAGCGCAAGAAGTATCGCTCTGTATGTTTGCGTCTCTACCCAGCCTAACCTTATCTTGGATTCAGGACGGAACGCCAATCTGGGGTAGAAGGCATGTCGAGGGTCCCGGCGTCTGGATCACTTGTATCCGCGTTTATTACTCTTACGCAATCTCAAACTGAGCAACTGCATCACAGGCGTAAAGGGCAAAGAGCGACAAGCTGCCGGGGAGGCTTGCGAGCTATTCCAGAACGTAGGCTGGTTGGCGCGATGGTTCTCCTAATATGTTTCCACAGCTTGCCGCGGATTTATGGCCGGATGCAGCTCGAGCAAATCAAAAGGACTCGGATGATTCTGAGAGTGATGGCGAAGGTCTCAGCATTGAGCAGCAAATTGCTAACGAAGTAAACGCCATCAAGACACGACCAACGAAAACTCAAGAGCTTTTCAGTACGTTTTCTGCCGTTCCATTATTACTCCACTGACCGCTTTAGAAAACTGTCCTACAGACACGGCTTGTCGTTCGTACTCGCGTTTTCTAAATTCTCTAGTTATTTCATTCTTTGACAGTCCTTTTCATCTCATGCCCGCCGCACGTGGACCCAGTAAAGCTTGTTGAAAAGCATTTGAACAACGTCGATGAGACTGGAGTAACGCATACCAGGTCACTAAAACTTTCGTTATTAACTAGCATTGATATCTTTCTCAGACATTGCCTGCGATTTAGTCCTGTTTCTGCTTCCTGCACTGCGAACGTCCCCGAGATCGAAACACTGTGTCGAAAAGCCTTCGCCAGCGCATTTTCGGGTGCGAAGTACAAGGTACTATTTGAGCCTCAACCTACACGTATATAACCTGTCTCGGTAGTTCAAAATCGAGCTCAAACTTCGAAACCACACAACCATGACGCGTGATACACTCATCGCTGCCGTCGCGCAATGCGTCCCAAAAGACGATGGTCATTCAGTGAATCTAGAAAACCCCGACCTGGTGATCTTGATCGAGGTCTTCAAGGTGAGTTCGCTGTGTTCGGACCGGATCTTCCAACCGATGTCGGTTTTTTTTTTGTTCAGAGCATATGTGGGGTTTCGGTCGTTCGTGACTACCAACGCTTAAAAAAGTTCAATGTAACCGAGGTCGCTGGCGCACGCAAACTCGCCGATGACCCCGCTTCGATAAAACGCGTATGAATTTAGCGAAATAAGACAATTGTACCGACAAGTCGAGGCGAGGAAAATGAAAGCTTCGTGTCGATAAAACTCCCGAATATCAGTGGAATCGGCTCGGCTTCTTGGATTGCGTTCAGCGTATTGGGATCAAGGTAGCCTGAGGTGCCAATCACTTACCACGAAATGGCAAATGAAAGTCAGGAATGCTGTGGGACGTCTGTAGCCTTAGGCTGTGGGTATGGATGGTGGAGTCGAATGGCTTTGCGGAGCGTCCGTTTGGGCCCTGGACCCCTAGCTTGAGCGCCATTGGCATGGCCCGACTGTAAATTTTTCCTCGTCAATCTCGCGAGACCATGAGTGACAAGCACACCTGTGAGACTTTGCGTCTCGGTCTCGTGGTCGAGGACTTGGCAGGCATTTTGTTCCAGTCGATAAGCGACGAATATGGCCGTCTGGAGCATTCAAGCGTCGTGTCGTTCCCACTAACTTGCGGCGGGTCCTTCTCGGTAACCTCAGGCATTGAGATTACCCCCTCTGACCGCCGACAGCTCTCTGTCGATTCGGACTCAACCGCTTCGGTATCCAGATTATTCCGGTGTTCTTTCTCAGTTGCTGGCTCCATAATAATCCACTGCAGGGGCTCATACTATCCGACTTTGTGACGAGAGGCGAGATCAGGAAGGCATACGACTCACCGGAATGTGGTCTGGGTTCAAGTTGGTCGAGTGGGTCGGCGAGGAGTACAAGTCGACAACTTCGATTTTAATCTCAGCTGGATCTGCCTTTCACCGTGTCAGAAAGCGAGTTTCAGACAAGTTTTTGTCGTGCTACCTGAGGCGGCTCATCAATTCTCTTCTTCTTCCGGTTCCTCTTATTGTTTGGCTGAACCGCGTAAGAGGCAATCGGAAATTCATGCATTCCTCCGTTGATTGGACACTAGGACAGATCGCTTAAGATTTCGAGACCGCCACAATAAACAGCATGACCTGCCTTTTCTACAACAGTCTTCAAGTTCGTCATCGCATAGTGTGCGCTGGGTTGGGGCAACAAGCTAATATGCGACAGTGGGGGGAAGTTGTAAACCACCTCGGCGAAGGGATGTCGGTCCTCAGAGTCATAGAGATAAACCCGATGGCGGACGGTCCAAGCTAGAAAATGAATGAGCATTGATCCTCGGACAGCGAAATGCAAATACCCTTTGTTCGACCCACAAGTCTTGCGCGGAGGTGCGGCGGAACCACGGGGCTTGCGTAGCGCCAAAGAGGAGGTGAGTTGTCCCCTCCACGACTTCCTTCTGGATGCAGCGCGCCGGTCACCGTTTCCGCCTCATCTCGGTCGCCGTCAAGTACATGCGATTGTACTTTCCCGAGGCGACAGGGGCTCAGTAGTTTCATTTCGCCATTCGCGTGGTCTGCAGAGACATTCTGGGTTGGAGTCACGGCTGTAGAATGTAAGAGAATTATCTCTCCGACGGCCTGCTGCCAGTATGGGTGGCTGGTATTGACGCCAATGTCGAACACGAGTGTTGGTTGCATTCGATAGCATTGAGGCGATGGAGAAGCAAGCAAGCCTTGCGTATCCGGTCGGGGGAAGCGGAGGATCCAGTCGGGAATATCGAGGTCAGCGCGTGAGTAGGTGGTGAGGAGCTTAAATACTATGGATTAGCCAGCGGAAGAACGAGTAAGCCAACGTTGTGTCGGTGAGCCAATGTTTGCTTACACCACGGCGTCGCCGCTTTTGTCGATTTACGAAGCTGTTGTAGACAGCTATTTATTTGTCTTTTGTCTCGCACCTCGTTGAGCCGACTAAGGAGGAAGTTCGCAACGAAGACACTGCACGGTGCGCAAGATAAGAGACCTCCTGAAAGCTTAACATCCTTCGCTTCAGAATAAGCAATCATGGCTGAAGAGGTGTCAGAGAAGACTCGGAGGCGACATTTATTCACCTTGTATGAACACGAGCCGTCTACGCTGAGGGTTAAAACAGATACTCTGGTCAGAGGTGCGAGGACGGACGTTTGTGGGGACCAAAGGACGACCCCGTTGTTACTCTTGCGACTGACTGGCGCGCAGTGGCAGACATCGATGATTCGCATATCCTGGAGGGATACTATGAGGCCTGGCCCTGGGCAAATGGAGACAAATAACACCGACTATCTGGTCGGAAAGGGAAGTGATGTCTCCAACTACCCCACTGATAATAGCCCAGTCGGTTGGCTTTTTGGAGGTCTGCATGGGCTGTTGAAATAGTGCGAGGAGAGGTCGTATGGAGGGAGTGGACACTTGTTGATGGAGTGGTTTCCCGTCATCTGTTTGGCCCCCTGGACCCCCAAGTCCATAATGTTCCAGAAATTCGAGGAAGAAAAAACTAAAATGCTGTGGATCTTTACGAGACTCGGAGTCTCGATTGGGAGAAACCGAATGATGGCCTTCGCATCGAACTCTGAACGACTCGGAAGTTCTGAATTGATGAACCGCTAGGGAAGTTCAGTATATAATTTCGATTCAGGGCAGCCTTTTTCTCGGTGACTGGCACATCTACCTGTGTGTTGACCCTGAACAAGTTTGGTTGATATGTCCGCCGTATGACAGCATTTATCGTTGTAAACTAGCTTGACCTTCGGTATACTAGAGCTTGTGATCTTGATGTGGTTGTGTGTCCTGTTGGTTAGTGGTTTTGCCGCGGAATGATGGTGACGAAACTTCATCAATCTTCTTTGGGAAACTTTTGCCCCCAAAGCCTGCCATTATTTTCTTCAGTACTATCCTCCAAAATGCTTTTCCTATTATTACTGAGTTACTGAGTTTAGTGTTTAGTTCGTTTGGCACAACAAGGCCTTTCAATAGACTTTGACACGATGACACGGTCACATGTCACACATGACATTGGCTCTCGTTTGTTCAAGTCATTCGTGTCACGGTTCGGGCCACGAGGCCGCACGGGCCCGCATACCGCCATACTTCTTGACGCTCCCTCATTCTTCCAGCCCCTTCCCTTCACCCCTGCGGCCCTACGCAGCGCCCATCCGATCCGCCCTGGGACCTGGCGCCCATCCGATCCATCCCTAATACCATGGTGTATAAAAACCGTACTTACAAGATGTAGTCGCTAGGCTAATATCATCTATTCTCTGGGCGAATACCCACCTTTCGTGCTCCCCAGACCCTCTCGAAGTCGGACCCCCCGACGCCCCGATATGGCCCGAGCCCGACGTTGACAGTTTGTTCACTACGTCGCATTGCACCAAGTCTAACATCCACTCTTGTAAGCTAAGAAATAGGCTACCATTCTAATGCTGACTTATTATAGTTGTTCCACCATTCCTTTGCTTTTTGCCACACTCTCCATCCACCTTGTGAGCAGTGATGGCTGACCCTGAAGCGTACCAGCGCTATCTGCGCTTTCTGCAATTCGAGGCTGCAGCGAATAATACTTAATCTGCGCCTACTCTGGCTGCTAATACCCCATCACAACCATTATTTGAAGTTTCTGGAGTGGCAACAACGTCAAATGCGCCACCTATTGCGCCACCCATTGCAGCATATCGGACCACCACCACCACCATACCTGTTTCCTCCTCATCCACTCCTTCCCCAACTGTGGCTACTGCGCCCAGTGGTACTGGCCTCAGCTTCCTCATCATCACCATCCTTCGGAACAACAACTTACTGTTGTAGTTCAGTCCTAATATCTTATAGAACTACTCTCAAAACCTACAAAACTGAAACCAACCTTCGAGCCACTTTTCCTACCCAGTTCCGAGCTTGACGTGGCTGTTCTCCCCACTTTCGCATATTCCGCAGGTGCTGGGAAGCGCATTTGGACCCCATTGAACAACTTCCCTCCGGCATTATAGTGAGTGTTACTGTGTTACTTTCCATTTCATTTTCTTTCCATTCCGAATAACCATTCTCTAGAAAACACAAAATAACTCAATTTAATGAGGAAGTGAAAAAAGAAGCCCTGTTTTCGAAACGTGTTGGCAAGACTCGACATGTCACAATTGGTCCGCTTAAGGTAATCATCATTGGATTCACTATGGTTTTGGGAAGTTTCGGTATGTGCTGCCTTTACTTTGGTATAGAGTATTGATTTAAATAGGCTTGCTGTGTGTCGTGGAGACCCTCGAATTCCTAAAGAGCGAGAGGATAGAGCTGAGAGCAGAGTCAAACTGCGAACAGGGACCAAGCGGGCAAAGGAGAACAAAAATGCCTACGCAGCTGGTTACGAGCAGGCAGCAAAGTGATTCAAATCTGATCTTGTACAGCAGCTTGCTGGCCCAGGAAAGCTTACTGGCGAGAAAAAGCGACGCATTAGTGCTAACAAGATGATTATAGGCCAGTCAACAGAGCTAGTTACTGGGCCTAGATTACATGTTCTTCGCTCTCATAATATGTAGATATTCATTTTGGTGTCCAACAATATCTTTGGTCAAATCAAGGACTGTCTGATCAAGGTCTATCTTATTAGTTAACTGAATATTTTCTTGATTATAATGAAAGCATCTTGGATCCAATTTTTTGAAACTTTTGAGCACTAGAAGGTACAGTAGACTCATATGTGCAATAACTAGGCTTAACTATAAGTGTGAAGCTGGGAAGTTTGGGGGGGGGGTGACTCTGATAATGATGAGAGTCACACTCTTGTTCTCTAACTTGCTCACATCTTGGATCCAATTTTTTTGAACTTTTGAGCACTAGAGGGTATAGTAGACTCATATGTACAATAACTAGGCTTAACTATAAGTGTGAGGCTGGGAAGTTTGGGGGAGGTGTGACTCTGATGATGATGAGAGTCACACTTTTGTTCTCTAACTTGGCTAAATCTTGGATCCAATTTTTTAAAACTTTTGAGCACTAGAGGGTATGGTAGACTCATATATGCAATAACTAGGCTTAATTATAAGTCTGAGACTGGGAGGTGTGGTTAGTGTGACTTGTGTTACATGATATAATAAATGATTAAGCTTAAGTTGTTTCTGCAGTTACCATTTAATGAACATGCCTATAAAAGGAAATTCTGAACAATTGAGCAAATCTTGTTTTCTAAAAATATTTTTGTTATCCCAATTGCACAAGTTATGCCATTGCCTATTTTGAACATAAAATAATGCAAGGACAGTATTTCACACTTAAACTCCAAGCTCAAAACTCAAACTCGAGTTCACTTATTTTTTGCACCACCAGATCAATGTGTCACAGAACCTCCCAACTAGGTGAAACCACTGTCCAAAACCACTTTTTGATCGCAAAACCACTGATTAAAACCACTGAAAACATGTCCAAACCTCGACCAGTAGTAAACAACGAAAAATGCTTTTATACCGCCGCCTCTCAAGCGCTTAGTCTAAATTTGATTGTTTAACCCGCAGAGATCCAGATAGGATGCACCCACATACCTCACTTAGTCAGAATCGGGTACGAATCGTCCACATTGACACATCGTCTCAGGGTTTTTTGCAGAGTTATTTTGGGGTTGGGGTTATTAGACACACACAAACGCGGAAGAGTTTTGCAGGATAAGATTGCGTCGATAACACACGATCGCTTCTCATCCGAATCAGACTCCATTCATATTCCATTGGTGTCGTTCGAGGCGGGGTTCTGGCAGGCTTTTGTCGGTGTCGCACATGTTTGTAGCAAAGAATGACAATTGCACTCAAAGCTTAGTTGTCGATGCTGCATGCGGTAGAGTGTTGTTGGGCAATTGTCTTCCTTCGGCTTCAAGAGGCTTCAAGTGTAGACAGTCGTGTCGAGGAGACTTGTGGTGGGACAAATCGTACGTCTGGTGGCGAGCAAACGGGAGCAGGTGTTTTGTGTGTTCTCACACGCGGAAGGACGAGTTGTTTTCTCCGACAAGGTCGTCTCACAGTGAACATGGCCATGTGCGGGTTTGGCTATGGTTTTGGGAGAGAAAAGTCGTGGGAGAATGGTGGCGTTGTGGGGAACCGCCGCGTGTCGTAACGCCGCCCGGCTTATTGGCTGACCACCATGAATCTTCCTCCTGGCCACCATGCTGGGTTTCTGGTCAATGTGTTTGTGACTGAGGAGGAGGCCCGCGAGGTCCGCCAGGAAATTCAGGAGGATCGGGTACTTATTGCCAGGTATTGTGGTCATTTGACCAAGATCGCAGACTGACACCGCTAGCTTGGACGCTGAGATAGCCAAAGCCAAATCTGCGCTTCAGGAACTCCTTAGTCAACGTGCAGCAACTCAGAGGTTGTTAGAGAGCAATAGCGCGCCATCAGAGGCAAGAACGGTCCAGATTGACCAAATCATCAGGTCAAAGGAATCGCTTCTCGAGGAAATTCAAGTCGAGATAGACTACGCTCAAGCAACCCTTGACACGTTTTTATCGCAAGCTGGTGGCGGAACAAGCTTAGAAATCGACAATGCCCGTGCTATTCTTTCTAGTCTGCTCGCCGAACGAAACATAATCCAACAAGCTCTCGAGGCACATAGGGCAATATTGTCTCCCATTCGCCGTCTTCCTCCTGAAGTTCTAGCTGAAGTGTTCCTCCGCTGCCTCCCGGAAAGCACACCCCACGTCCAAGCTTCCGTCAATCGTTGTCCCTTGCTCCTCCTGCAGGCAAGTTTCGACATTCAAAAACATGAACGTTTGTTGATTGCTATAGATTAGCAGCACTTGGCGCAACGTAGCTCTGTCTACCCCAGCCGTCTGGGCCAGTATAACCATCAATCTGACCACCAAATCCTGCCTGCCAAATCCAACGCTCGTGAAGACGTGGCTTGACCGGACCGGTAGCTGTCCGCTTTCCTTTCACATCACAGAAACTATTCAAAAGGACCACTACGAAGACGGCATGACTACTTCCGCTTCTATTCTCGCCATTTACGCTCCACATTACCACCGGTGGCGAAACGTGCGGCTCGAATATCAGGATTGGCGAATCAACACAGGGTTCTCTATGCTCCCCTGTGACTCGGGGCCACCCCGAGCACTTGAAAGTCTCCACCTGGCGAGAGACTTTTGGCCGGATGACGAACAAGGACAGCTTTCTCTTCTATTGTCAGCTCCTCGTCTTCGTCACTGTGCGTGGGTGAGCAACACGGACCTCGGGAAACTCAGTGTCCCATTCACACAACTGCATCGACTCTTCTTGGAACGTCCGATGGTACGGGAAGATTTTATTCGGATTCTCAGCGATGGGGCCAATATCGAGGCATGTCAGTTCTTCGTGCTGGCGTTGTCCGCCTCCAATGTCGGGCCTCCCAAGGCTCTTCCCATCCTCCGACATAATCTCTCATCATTGGATCTCACTGCAGACCTGTTTGGGCGCCTTTTTGACGAACTCGAGCTCCCTTCGCTCGTCGATCTGTCTGTCCGCCGTTTTGACAATGTCCCTCATCCAACACCCGTTTGGCCCCACCAGGCCTTCATGGACTTCCTTGCACGCTCAAAATGCGCTTTAGAAAAGATCGACATGAGCGACATGGACATAACCCCCAGAGAACTGGAGGCATTTCTGCAACACTACTCCGCTTCCCTCGAGAAGCTTATCTTAACCAACGATCGTCGAATGCGCCACACGATCGTTGACGACGACGTTTTAAGGTTGCTTACATGGTCTGAAAATGGACAATGTGTGTGTCCGCGACTGACCATGCTTAAATTTTGGGACTGCCACAAGTCCTCTGACGGTGTCATCGCTGATATGATCCAGTCACGGTGGATTCCCCTGCCAAAGGGTGGCTTGTGCAAAGTGCTGAACATTGCTCTATTCATGTTGGAAGAGGCAAAGCATCCTGACGATCTCAGAAGGCTCGGCGCACTGAACGAGGAGAGGATCGGGATAACCATCTTACGTCGGTAGCGAAGTACTTATGTAACATCACATCGGACACGATCACATTATTTGTGACTCACGCGTTTGTTACGGCTCCACGCGTTTGTTACGGCTCCGCCACACTTCCCTTTCCAGTCCCACCATGTATCCCAGCGAGCAAGAACGCGTCGTTATTGCAGAGGCGGAGAAAGTTATGCAGGAGACGATGGCCAAATATGACCCATCTCATGACGTGTTTCATGGTCTGCTCGTAACCCCCTAATTTTTCTTGGTCTCACTCGACAACCAGTTCAACGAGTCCGCAAAACAGCGCTATCCATCGCCAACGCGCTTCCCGCACGAAATCCAGATCTTCTTGTCGTCGAGCTGGCGGCATTGCTGCACGACGTTCTTGACAAGAAATACGTGTCTGCTGAGCAAGCGGCCGACCCCTACGCATTCTTCCTACCGTTTTTCCAATCAGTGAAAGCGAAGCATGGTCTTGATCTTATTAGCGACGGCAGAGCCGCGCTTGTGGCCAAGGTGGTTGACCACGTCTCGTGGACGACAGAAACGCGTCTAAAGAAAGAGGGGAAGTGGATTGAGTGGCACGAGACTTGCGTGGAACTTCATTGTAGGTCTCGCTCCCGAATAAATCACACGTGTTACGAAGAGTTTCAAGGCGTACAGGATGCGGATAGGCTCGACGCAATTGGCGCATTCGGTAAGCTTCTTCCACAAAGTTGCATAGGACAGCGAGTCTCATCATATACCCAGGTGTGCTACGATGTGCTGCATATAGCGCTGCTGTGAATCGGTAGGAAATGTCAACACTTTTCCACTTGGCCTTGCCCGACTGAAGATTCTCTAGCCCATTGCATGTGCCCATCACATCCCCCGACGCGCTTATTTCCAACTCTGCTATCGGACACTTCCATGAAAAACTCGTGTTAATTCGTGACCGACTCAAGACGGAGCCGGGAAGACTTCTTGGCGAGAAGAGACACAGCGTCGTGCGTGATTCCCTCCGTAGAAACTCGGATGCAGATCCGCTTACTACAAATTTGCCTATAGCTTGTCGCATTTATGGACTCGGTAGAGGAAGAATATCACAACACGCTGATTGGCGCTGAGCCCGTCGTCGTAGCTTGAAGTAGCCGTCCGTTTGTTACCGCGGATAACGACCTACCTTCCGAAAGGAAAATATTCATTTTGAAGAAGAGTGGAGACGGAAGACATCGGGTGCTACGATTGTTGGGCACTGTCTGTGGTTGTACAGTACAGTGAGTACAACCGAGGTTCGCATTGACGCGATGAACTATGACGTCGGCGCAGCTTGAGCAGCAAAGGTAAACTGTTTTCCAGACTTAGGCTTGGGAGCGGTGCAAGAGCGCGGGACCCGACGAGCGACTTGATTTTCCTGTTGATGAACTTGCGGCCGTTGCCATCATCATATCTCATCATATCCATGCTAGAAATTGCACTAAAGGAGTCAAGAGCAGTACTCAGGCCTTTATAGTAGCCGGTCTAACCACTGGCACTACAAGTTCTTGAGGAAGAAGATCGCGGGGAAAAGCACCTCCGTTGAGCGCTTCCAACGGACCGTTGTCCGCCTGCAGTGTGGGGCTGCCAACACGGCGAACAAAAATAATTGAAGGTTGGCATGTCATTTTGTACTGATTGACGCGTGACGAAAGATTCTCCTTGTAGAAAACGTCCACATCGAGCGCTATAATTGAAAGTTATGCTGGTGTATTGCTGTCCTGTCCATCTCCCTTGATGTCCTTCCCTCCTCCCGTATACCGCAGCAACATCTATGGAGGCGCGTTCTCCGTAGCTTCCTCCGAGTCAGTGACTTCTCTGCCTGCCTACTCTGCACAGCAACACCGCCCACGCACTGCAAGTGCGGCCAGGGAGCCTACCGAGCATCTCTTTGAACTCAAAGACAAGAAACAGAGAGCATGGGCAACGCTGAAACTCAACAGCAGCGCTCGTTCTTCCTCCAGTCTCCCTACGTTCCTTGAAGGGGAAAATTTACAGGGCTCAGTCTCGCTCGATCTCTCACACAGGGAGAACATCTTGGGCGTCACGATTCAGGTGCGTCGGTGTCGGTTTTTTCTTCTCAGGAATCAATTCCGTCTGAGAGCGAGGTAGATTCGAGGCTCCATCGTGACGGGCCCCAGCGAGCATGACCGACTTGCTTTTCTGGACATTTCTACGCCATTGTGGCTCAAGGGCATGCCCAACCCACGCGACACGGAGTCGGACTCCGGCGGCAGGCTTTCTGGCGACTATCACTGGCCATTTTCAATACCCTTGCCAAGGGATGTGATCCTTCCTGATGCGAAAGGAAAACACGGCGGAATGAAGACATATCAACTGCCACAGACATTCTTGGAACGGACAACGCGGGCCAGTGTGTTCTATGAGCTTTTTGTGCACATTGCGAGGAGTACGTTTCGCGTGGACAACAAGCTGCAAACTATGTTTGTCTATGTCCCTGCCATCCGGCCGGAACCACCTTCACAGCTAAGGCAGATGGCATATCGACAAAATGGACCTCTTCCTGGGCCCGACCTAGACCCGGAGGGCTGGTATACCCTTCCCCCGACCTGCATCTCCGGCAAAGTGTTTGGCAATCGCCGGGTTGTCATCCAATCGGTGGTGCGTTGATCACATTTCTTTGTTATTCAGTGCATTTTTAACTTGCCTCAGCTGTCGCTTGCTAAACCGGTAAGAGCGTATGAGAATCTCTTAACAACCTACTAAGCGTTAGTCCAGTTATCTTACACCCGCGGGAGCGTGATCCCTCTTTCGATTATATTCGCCTGCGAAGATTCACAAGCACTTAATTTGGTCTGCACATCGCGGACGATAAACTTAATACTGCAAAGGTATACCGCCTTTTCGCATGGTCCTGCTGGCGCCGAGTTTGCCCGGGAGGACATTGTTCACCTGCCCGATGGTCCCCGCGCACTGGACATTAATCATGCTGTCTGGTGGTCTGTACCTGTCGCCGATTCAACCCAGACATGTCGCTTTGACGGCGAACTCCATCTCCCCAAAAGCCTCAAACCGTCGTCTAGCGTCTCGCATTTCAGCATCAGCGTGAGTTCATTTCCGATTCCCTGACTACAACTAAACCTAGCTTTAATAGTATCGCGTGGTGCTTCGTCCTTTCCAAGTTACCGGCTTCGTGCCCGACAACCCCAAGGCGCCGCCCTCGCTGCAACAGGAAGTCCAGATAGCCACCATCTACGCCAAGGGCCCGAAACCGCGCTGCTTTACGCCGCCCACGTATGAATACGAGATTGGTGACAACCTCGCTATTCCACCGGCACGCAGCTATATCTAGCGCTCCCTACTTCTTAGTTTGCTGGACTGGACGGCTGGCCGGCGTGTATCATTTAGTTTGCTTTGCTTAGAGTATATAATTATAAACTGTATCCCTTACTTTTCTATGGTATATGTTTGCGAGTGGGTTTAGAGGTAATTGAAGGCGTTATTGAATTGGATGTTGGCGTCTCAGCTTTTGTTGCGAGAGCAAGCACTACTAATCAATCTGCCTTGCAGTTGAAGAAGCACCCCATATGTGCTTGCTGCTCCGTTTGTGTGTCCTTCATTCACTCTGGTGAGTGGCAGCGCAGTCGAGAAGGAGATCACTGGCCGCGGTGTTCTCAACGACGGAAGTAGTCAGCCGAGATGACCGTGTCCGTCACGTAGCACTGCAACTTTTCTCTCGCAATGTCTGCGATACTACACGCGCTTGAAGACCGGGTGAAGGACGCCCTATGGGCCCTCTCCTCCTGCGTCTGCCAACAGTCCGCCAAAGTCAAGATTAACGGCCGAACGTGTGCGTGGCCCCCCTCCTTGTTCCCCCGAAATCTGAACTGAGCGACTGCTGGCAGTCAAAATCATCAAGGTGCTCGGTGAAGGCGGTTTCTCCTTTGTGTATCTGGCCCAGGACGAAAACAGCGGGGTGCGTGCTTGTTGTTTAGCGAAGGCAGGCGAAACGTGTTGAGGAAAGGGAAAACTAGCGGCAATTCGCACTCAAGAAAATACGGTGCCCTACTGGCTCGGAAGGCGTCAAGGAGGCGATGCGGGAGGTGGAGGCTTACAGGCGGTTCAAGTGCGTTGGTTTTTGGTTAGAAGAGGTCGAGATGGCTGACACTGGACAGACACCCAAATATCATCCGCATATTGGTGCGCCAGCCAACTCTTACTCGCACAGTCAACTCATACTCTACCAAGGACTCCGCTGTTGTTCAGGACCCTGACGGCGAAGGCAAAATTGTGTACCTATTCCTGCCCTTGTATAAGGTAGGCACAACTTCATTCTTCCCGCTGTTTTCTGAGGGTCATGGCCAGCGGGGCAACATCCAAGACGCGATCAACAACCATGTAGTAAATGGCACGCACTTCTCCGAGCAAGAAATGCTGCGACTGTTCAAGGGTACTTGTGAGGCTATTCGGGCAATGCACACATACCGGGCCCCAATTGGCGCTTCCGTTCCCAACGCGGCATCTTCCTCTAGAGGCTCGCGTGCCCCCGAGCCAGCCCAGAATTTGCCGAGGCCCGCCCACCATGGTGATGATGACGACGACGACGATGAGGATGACCATAGCTTCCCGCAGCCAGACGGTGATGATGATGGTGGGTACTCGTATGATGGCTCTTCAGTGCCGCTCGTCACGCGGAAACGTGTTGAAGAGCACGGCGACACGGTTTTCGAGGGTGACGAGGAGTTGGGTCGGATACAAGAACAGCAAAATCACACTGGAGAGACAGAAGTGGTACCTTACGCCCATCGAGACTTGAAACCTGGGTTTGTCGTTCCTTGCTCTTCCCTTCCGAGTTCTGAAAGTTCAACACAGAAACATCATGATTGCTGACGATGGTGCTCCAATCCTCATGGATTTTGGCAGCGCCATAAAAGCGCGAATTCCAATCCAAAACCGGTCACAAGCGTTGGTCCAACAAGACGTTGCTGCGGAGCAGAGCACCATGTCCTACCGCGCGCCAGAACTGTACGATGTCAAGACGGACACCACGCTCGATGAGAAGGTCGACATCTGGTCATTGGGATGCACACTATACGCCATGGCGTACTCCCACTCGCCATTCGAGGACCCCCAGATCACAGAACAGGGTGGTAGCATGGCAATGGCGGTGTTGAACGCCAAGTATCGGCATCCGACCAGCTCCGCATACTCTCAAGGCTTCAAGGAGTTGGTGGACAGCATGTTAAAGGCGGACCCTCAAGAACGACCAGATATCCACAAGGTTGGTCCAAGATTTTTTTCTTCTCATGAGGGTGCTGAATTTTTGCAGGTTATTGAGATGACTGACCAGGTTCTGCGGTCTCTGGCCTAAGTATTTATTGGATTGTTGTGATTTTATTGCCCACTAATGATAATGGACGTCGCAAACTAGATTCCTGGTTGCTCAAAGTTTGGTCCCAACTGAATGCACTTATACCCTAGTCAAATATCTCTAAGGGCTGATCCTTTTTCCCCTTCGGCTTCGATTTTTTCTTCTCGCTCCGCTCCTTCACCCGATCCGCCTTGCTTATTGTCCGCTGCGTGCTCTTTCCTAGTCTTTCGAGCCGTAAAGACCGTGGCGACCGCCTCTTGTCAGCGGCTTTCTTGAAGTTGGGTATAGGCGTCGGTTTTGAAGGCCATTTTGTTGGTTGTTCTCCATCGTCACCGCTGGCTGCAGCTCCACCCTTGATTTTTCTTTTCTTTTTGAATGATTTAGAGTCGCCGTCCTTTTGTTTCCGCTTCTTCTTGGCCGGTGAAGCACTCTCGCCTCCCTCTTCATGTTCAGCTTTCCGTTTCTTCTTTTCCTTTTTCGGCTCTGGCTCTATCCCTGCCTCGAGGTTTGCTGCCGCATTGGCTTTGGCCTTCTCCGCCTTTCTCTGTTTCCTCTCCTCCTTTTTCGCCCTCTTCTCGCGAGCAACAACGACGGCAGCTTGGAGTTTGGCCTGCTTCTTGATTTTTGACTGCGCGCGTATTTCGCGTCGGCGGATGATTTTCGCTTTGCGCTGTGATGGTTGAGACGACTGCGTATAAAATGAGAGCAGAGAGTTTCACCAGTTCGCTTTTTGCAGCCCGTTTAGATTCCGCGGCGGTCAAAGCGGGTATATCCTCTGCGACTTTCTTCTCCCAGGCCTGCAGTGTCTCGAATACGTTCGCATCGTCATCTATACCCGTGGAGGTTGTGTATTCCCTGAAATGATGAAGTCGGCGCTGGTGAGCCTCGAGAGTACGTTAGAAACGGTTCGTTGCGGGCAACACCCGCAGGCATACCTTGGATTTAACGTGTAGAGCGGCGAAGTCCTGAGACTTGAGTTGTTTTTTGGGGCATATCGCGCAGCCTTTTACTTCAGGGTCGGTGGTTATGACATAGACTGGATCCTTGAGTGCGTCTTTAAGTGATATAGACGGCAATTGCTGTTCTTCTTCGTTTTCGTCAGACGAATCTTCACTCTCCTCATCATCCTCATTTTCATCGTCCTCCGCTTTATTCTCTTCCGCTTCCTCGTCACTTCCAGAATCAGCGTGCTCCGAACTTGAATCTGAATCTGAATCCGACTCCGATTCATCAGAGTCCGTGTCGTGCATCCCAAGTACTTCCTTCATCTCCCCATCTATGCCGAGCTCTTCCTCCTCTTCTTGCTTCTTGCGGCGCTTTTCGACGCGTTTGAACATGAATGCGGACAGAAAATTTGGGATCAGGAGGAGGTGTCACGGTGTGACGCTGCTACATGTATTCCTGACCTTCATCCCGCAAGAAAATGGCATACGTTTACAAGCTCTGCAGTCAAGCTTCTGGAATCTTCGGATCAACTCTGGCGTCCCTTTATGTGCTGTCTTCTTATGCCAATGGACCGAATAAAGCAAGCCTCCAGCACGACTTTTGATGCGCCTTTATCAACCACACGAAGAGATGACAATGGCTCTTTGCTTGTGGTCTCTTGCGCGCTCGCCCAGTTCCATAAAAGCTGCATGGTGGCTCGAATATTCTCTAAGCAAACCTCCTCTCGCTCTTTTTCTCTCGATATGTCACGATATACTTCGACTTGCACCGCGCTGGACGCGTCGTCTTCAACCTCTCATTTGGCTGTTTACTCTTTTGGTCCGTCGCTTCCCGTGCCTCAGGGGTACATATAAATTCGGTTTAGGCACGCAAACGCGAACTCAAACGATCTCTTCGACTTCCCTTCATTACCAGCAACCACTCTACGATCCTTCTTTTTTCACACCTTCCCACGATCTTGGGCCAAATCATGCATCCCTGGGTCGGCGAAACGCAATCGTCGAGCTCGGTCCAAAACGTGTGCGTAAGCTAAATATCGATTTGGATTCACACTAATGTTTTTTTTAGTCGACATCCAAGCGTTCACCTTACACCAAATCACAGCGACAACGGCGCGCCTCCAATCCTGCGCCTCCTGCCCCCCCTCCGTCAATCCCCCGCATCATTAACATCAACGCAATCCCCAGACACTTGGTCCGTGTCCCACAAGAATCACCTCCAACAAGGGACACCCTCATGGACCCCATCATGTTTTGCTACGAAGGAGCCCAGATGATTGGGGTGCCGCTTTCCCACGGTACTAGGGCTGCCCCCCGTTCGGGCCACTCTCCAATCTTGCATGGCGCAAGCGACCCGATCTTCCCGCCCGGCCGGCACTTTGGCGGTAAACAAATCAGCATCAGGCTGGCTTGGCCCGGTTACGACGTCAAGGAGAAGCGGCTCGACTTGCGGACGCATTCGACTATCGGCCATCTGTGGACCGTGGTCAGTGCGGGCCTGCGTGAATTACTGAGCTCTGTCGATGTAAGTTTATTTCTTTCTCTTTTTTGTGGTCATGTCTGAAGGTGTTATAGAGCAAGTCCAACCCAGGAGACCCGGATTGGGCTGCATGGAGACTCAGTCGCCGCCGCGACGGCACCCGCAATTTCGAGGAGGAGGAAATCATCATTGCGGGCCTTGAACACTGTGGGGGAAGCAGCTTCCAGTTGGAGGTATATGTCCCGGTTGCGTGCGTTGGACGACCTGAACCAGTCAACACTTACTATCTTTGAAACTGCACACTACCATTCTTTCGAATTTTCCAACTTGTAATTATAGGCTCCATATCATAAGACTTGAATAATAATACAATCATCTTGAACACTTTACTAAGTTGAAGTCAACGGTAGCTTTCTTGAGGGGAGGCGTTATTGTGTAACAACAACACCGTGACACCTTGTACCATGAACTCAACCTCGTTGTTCAACGTATTACAAACAAACAAACAAACTCATTCACGGTTGGCGGATGGCTCTGCCCGACCTGAGACCTGAGGACCTCCTATGGTTTGCGCGTAGAATCTTCCTGGAGGACGCTGGCTATCGTCTCCGACCTAAATTTCAACCTGGCTATATTCCCCATCCTGATTCTCCGAGCTACGAAGAACGGGCAACTCATATAGTACGATTCCACGAGCAGCAGTCGACGTGCTGATTTCATGGCTGCCAGCGCCCCACCATAATGGACGCTACTCGCATATCTGACGGGCGCCTAGTCATACTCAAAGCTGTTTCGACGCGTGTTCATCCACATGAGGTGGAGATAGCGCGCCTCTTTTCATCCCCGCCGCTTTCTGAAGACCCACGGAACCATTGCGTTCCCATACTTGACGTTCTTCAGGATCCTGATGATGCAGACATTCAAATTCTCGTCATGCCTCGCCTCCTTAGTATGAGGCAGCCCTTGTACGAAACTGTCGGTGAGGTAGTCGACGCTTTTCGACAGATCTTCGAAGTGCGTGTTGTCTGAACGTCTTATGCATACCTCTTACTTACTGCCAGGGCATCGAATTCATGCACGAAAACTTCGTTGCTCATCGGTATGATAATCTCCATTGCAAGAAGTTGACCACCCATTTGTCTAGAGATTGCAGCATGGGCAACATCGTCCAAGACCCCGCCCTACTCTACCCGGCCGGTTTCCATCCTATCTATACCACCGAGGACCTAGGGCTCCAACCTTTTCCATTTGTAAATATTTACAAATGGTAATAAACATTTAAATGACCATTTTATTTGTGAGCTTGGACAAACAGAAATCAAATATAAATAAATAGTTCAAATGGTTTCCACTTATAGTGGACTGAAATCAATCTTGACAGTGCAGTTCAAGTATTTCAGGGCTTTAAAAACACTTTGACACTGTCTTGAACATCCTATTTCATGTCTCCCAAGTTCAAATTCTATTTGAACAAAATTTTATCCTTCCTGATTTGGTAATATACTCAACAGAAACTTCACTTTGATGGTTGAATTAGATTGAAAAGGCTATTACAGCTTAAGTGATTATGTTTTCTCTTTGTTAATATACACTAGATCATAAAGATAGACATGGTATGTGCAAAAACTTGAGAACAAAGTGCTTAATTTGTGTCTGATTACCAGAACCATTTATAAATAGTTTCAAACATTTATTACTGTTTGTGTTTGTGTTTCTATTTTATTTGAAATTTTCACAAACAGAAATAAAATAGTTGGAGCCCTACGAGGACCCCACAAATAGCCACCGAGCGCGCTCCATCACTCGGACCGAATGCTGGCCACGCTATTTCCTGATCGACTTTGGTTTGTCGATGCGGTATGACCCTTCTAATGGACCACCAGCCGAGGATGTCATCCGTGGCCTCGACCGGTCACCTCCTGAGCACAGAAGGCCTCCTTGGGTCTGCAATCCATTCCCCACCGACATTTACTTCCTCGGTAACATGTTGAAGTGGAACTTTCTCCTCTCGAGAAGGGTGGGCGATAAATGTGTGCCATTGGTCAGTCGTATCTTGCCCGTATCTGTCATCCGCCACTCAGTAACTTTGGTTCCGTAGCGCTCACTCCGCTTCCTCGAGCCTCTGATAAACGACATGACTCAAGAAGACCCAGCAATGCGACCAACGATTGGAGAGGTCATCACAAGATTCAATGCGCAATGCAGTCTCTTGTCTCGATGGCATTTACGACGGCCAGGTCAATTTTATGAATTCCATTGGTTCCTATTTCTCGTTCAGATAACTCGGACGCTCCGTCGCGTCCCTCCGGCTCCGCCATATTGTCCGCAAATAAAGCCAATGCCATTTAGCCAGACTTTACGAGACTTCTACACTCAAACCCCAGGAGCACTTACCGAAGAGAAGGAGACTAGGTCTGAGATCAAGTATGATACTACTTCAGGTAACTCAAGTTCAAGGTGACTGTAGAATTGCGTAGATTGTACAATCTAGTCTAGACGGCCCTAAATCTCTCTGACGAACTTTTAAGTTGAGTATGACCAGTGACAACTTTCTCGACATCGCGAGCGCACAACAACAACATCAAGTGACAACTTGATGGTGTTTAAACCTGGTGGCCATGGGTACTTATACAATACACTGAAGTTGAGGGTACTTGGAACGGAAGAAATCAGCCACCACCAAGAATTCCCTTTCTTGGATGAGAGCGAAGGTCTGCAACTATCGGGCGTGCTCCCCGCTAACCTCCGCAGCCAGCCGAGATATTTCATCGAACGCAACTCTAAGAAGGTCCAAGTCTGCATCAAGGCTCTCGGCGCGTGTCTTCATCTAAAGATGGTGTTAGAGACGAAGACAATGATTCAGAGGAGCGCGTACAGCTGCAATGGTATCGCTTGCTGCTATCAGTTCGTGGTGGTGGTTGTACACGAGTGACTGGCGCTCGCTATCAAGTTGTCGGATTTCTAGTCACTGTCAGCTCAGCATACTCGTTGGCGATGCGCGGGACACACCAGTCAGCAGCTCGTTCTCGCGTTTAATCAGGCCGGACAGCGACGATGTCGTTATTAGTTGCTCGTAGTACGACTTGGCATCGAATGCAGTGGAGTCTGGACGCGTTTTGAGAAGTAAAGAGCGGGGAGTAATAAAGACAAATACCGAGGTTCATCGGGTCCTGACTCTTGCTTGGCGCCTGGACAGGCGGCGCACCTACGCCAAGGCCATAGTAGTTCCTGAGCAGGTCACGCGCTCGCGGCTTTTGGCCTGATGGTGGGGGAGAGGCAGGTGTGAGGGAAGCCCTTCGGTTGGGCGACAAGGGAGTGGAAGTAGACGCTCCCGAGAGCGGTGAGGGGACATTGGGGTTGTAAGTCGGAGTCGCCGGAGACCCAGGCAGTCGCGGAATCGACACCGTCCGAGAGCGAGGCGTTGTCGGTGGCGAGGAAATGCTCATGGCCGGCGGAAAGCGAAAGCGGGATTGTGTGACGCCGATCAGTCACAGGTCTTGAAGCAGCCACGGCAAAGCGCTCCGGGGCAACCCTCGTCTGACGACATAACTTATATGCTGCAAGATGGCGTCTGTGCTGCAAACACGAGTCGCGCTGCCGCCGAGCGCGGATTCTCCTAAAAAAGCGTGGAAGTCCCACCAACAACAGAATGTTAATAGCAATACGACTCCAACTCGTGCCGTGCACATGCCCCAGGACGGAAACAGCCCATCTTTGCTCGCCAGAATTGGTGGCCGCGAAAAATCGCTGCTGGAGAGAATGGAGATTGATGTTAATTCGACGCGTTTAGAGGAGGAGCAAGTGCCATCCAGGGAAGAGAAGAACATATCAATCGTGCGTTGTGGCTGCCTCGTGTTGCTCTTTCCCGTTATTTAATAATCGAAGGATTTACAGGGTCCTATAACATCATCGCTAAACGGACACACTCCCTCAACTAGAAGCGACTTGAATACGTCTGACCCAGCGTTCCAGCGCCGAGTTGAAAATATGCTAACTCATGCGGTCTATCAAAACACAATTTTGCGCTCGGGTCAGCCTGAGCCGCCAGACCCGCGATCTCTTCAGACAAGAGTGAACTGGACGGTGAGCTCATCGGCTGTGGAGAGGTTTGGGGAAAAGATTACACGGGCTCAACGCGAACTCGATGCGTTGTCGGCAGAAAAGAAGGCGGAGATTATGTCAATGACCAGAGCAACAAACATTGTCTCCTTTGATTCGCCTTGGCCACCGCCACCATCTACCTCTTTCGCATCGACATCCTCTTCTCGCGAGCCAATGGCTAGCGACAAACGGGTTCCTAGTGAACCACGCGCAATGCGACCGCCACTGGAAATAAACACGGGTTCAAAAGGCAAAGAACGAGCCACCGGGCCATTGGATGAGTTCGGCAGAGTCCCAAGAGCTCGATCTCCGTCATTTCATGCTCGTTCCCCTCCACCACCACGATCGAGTCTTCCAGCCAAACCTAGCAATTACTCTCCAACGAGATATCGCGCTAGATCTCCTTCTCCACGCCGACCGATATATTCTCCCAACCGCAGTAGGTTCAATGGTCGTTCTCCCCGTCGACCACGGTCACGTTCGCGGTCACGTTCACGATCACGTTCTCCCCCCTTCCATTCCCCGATTTCAGCTAGTAAACGACGATTTGCGCGGTCTCCGTCCCTGGAACGCGGTCGCAGGGGAGATAGTCTCGGGAGACGACGCTATTCTCGTAGCCCACCTAGCATCAGACGAAGATACTCCCCGAGTTATAAGAAGCCCGCCAGACGGCGATCACATAGTCTCGACTCAAGTGTTTCCCGGTCACAATCACGGGGACAGCGTCAGTCTGACGGTGGACCTACACCCATGTCAACCTCTCCAATAATCCCAACTCAAGTACCCCGAACTTCGGCGATGCAATCGCAATCTCCAACTATTTATCATGGCCAGCCCGCACCACCACCACCACTAAGCACTCGACCACCGCCACCAATGCCACCGCCGCCACCTCCGAATCCTTGCAACAATGTGCCCGGGATTTGGTTTGCTAAGGTCGGGGCAACACATGCGCGGGTAAACAAAGCAGAATTCGTTGTCGAACCCGGGATGGCGGCGGTGTGGGGGGTCCCCTCCGAGTAAGTTGTCCTTTTTGCCACCGCTATTTTGTCTTGATCTGTGTCTTGTGTAGCTCGCGGCAACGACCTAAGCTGTCTGTGAAGCTGCTATGCTTGTCCACGAAGGCTGCGGCAGAAGTGTTCGAGCGTCTGAAAGCGGAAGCTAGTCCAGAACAGCCCTTAACACCGGAAAGGATGGCCAGAGGCATAGCTGAGCTTAAGACAATGTGGCCACAACAGGTGATAGTCACGATTAACCATACGCGACAAGATATCGGCAGAACCTGGCTGCCGCGCCATCTCAATGTGCGTATTGTTTTGTTCTCTTTCTTTCGATTTCAGCTTATTAATGGGCCTCAGCCTGCATCTGCCCCACTTGATCTCACGCCTCACGTCTGTGTGGGTGCTAATACTCTCGAAGTTACCCAGTTGGGACCCATACCGGAGTGCACTTTTGTTCTGTGTGGCTTGCATGCACCCGAGCTCTCTGCTGAATCTGCTGCTATTGACGCCCTAGCCGATGCCGCGATCCGAACTCGATCTGACAACCCGTTGTTCCAATTCTGACCACTTGTAGCATTACGCCCCGACTCCGACTCGCGCAATCTTGTACAACATTGCTATCCCTATTGAACGACCGTGACTTCTGTGTTTGCTCCTAGATCGCCTTGCTTTCGTTCCTCGTCTTCTACGTTATTACTCGTCGTACAACTGTAGCATCTACGTGTCTAGGGTATCTTGCTGTAATAAGTATAACCAGACCCTTGGTCTCAGCCAGACTGTGGCTCAGGGACGAGGAAACCGACAAGACACGAGTCAAGCATAAAGTCAGCGTTGACCCAAGCATGAGTTGATGCTGGATGCCCAATCAATTTGTTGATTCTACAGCCTCGAAGAAAGCGTACCAAATAGATGTGTTCCGTCTCGACCGGCAACACGCATGAGCTCGCGTTCACCGCCCGGGTGATAGGGTAGGTAGGCGGTGATGTTGTACACTTTCCCGTTGATCGCTGTCCATGCGTCGGTCTTGGAACGATGCTGTTTGAGGAGAGAAGGAGGTATTCGGGTAAGTGTGTCGACACCCTGCTTTCATGTCAGCGCAATGCAATAATTTAAGGAGGGAGTATGTACTCGAAGATCCGTCCCGGACGACTTGAGGGCCGCCCAGTCGAGCGCGCTGTGTCCGGGGGCAAGCGCAACTTTTTCACGCTTCTTGCTCGGCTTTTGTGGCTTCTGGGTTGTGGTTGTGGGCACAACCAGTGAGTTTGGATTCAAAGACGGTCTAAGAGGGACCCCAGCTGTGCGAGAGGCAAGTGAGGGCACTGGTGGAGGGGGCATCAGCGCCGAGTCGGAGAGTATCGCTGGTTTGGCGCGTTGAGCACTGTTGAGGGCGGGGAAAGCGGGAATCGAGTCATCGTTATCACGTTCCGTTTCGGTCTCATCTCCATCATCTGATGCAGGGGGGGAAATTCGTTGAAATGTAGGCACGTCTAATGTGGGTGTGGACGTCGATGGCGCGCCAGTGAGCCAGCTTCGAAGATAGGATGTCATGGTCGAAAGAGAAGAAGACACGGATCAGCTAATCAGATCAATGATCACGGAGTTCGTGCCGGCTACACAGCCACTCAACTTCGCTTTTGCCCAGATGCCGACCCGAGATTATAACCATCTCGACCTCCTTCTAACCCCCACCACGTCTTATGGCGACAGCAGACTACAGTGCGCTCGGTCTCAGGACCCTGAACGTTTCGCTCGAGGACGGTGTCCTCGTTGCCATTCAGGTAAGTCTGTTTCGATAAGATAACCAAGTTGGCTCATAAACGTCCCCAGAACCGGTCCAAGGCCTTTAACACCTGGGACGAATATGTCCCTTTCGATATCATCAAGTTATTTGAGCTGGCTGACAAAGACGACCGTGTTCGGGTAGTGATTCTCTCGGCCGAGCCTACCGCTGGAGCTTATTGTGGTGGAGCCGCTCTCGACCCCAAGAAGGGCTGGAACGCGCTCTTCACTGAAGAAGAGCAAAAGGAGGGTCCCCATGCTCACCGCGACACTGGCGGTAAAGTCGCCATGACCATTTACCGCTGTCGCAAACTTACCATAGCCGCCGTCAACGGCCACGCTGTACGTGTCTACTCTCTTTCGGTTGTTCATCGCTGACCGTTGCTCTCAGGCTGGTGTTGGTATGACCGCGATGCAGCTACCATTCGATCTGCGTTTCGTTTGGTCCGGGGCAAGGCTTTCCTTCCCATTCATCCAGCGGGGAATCACGCCGGAAGGTAAGTAACCGAAACCCCACTTTCCTGGTTTTATACTTACCAAATTGTAGCCACATCGACTTTCCTCCTTCCAAAGCTATTAGGCCACTCTCGCGCAACCTCACTTCTGCTCACCGGGGCAACCTTTTCGCCCGACTCGCCCATAATTGCAGGGCTGTACCACCAATCTTTCCCCACGCGTGCCGAGGTCTTCCCCGCTGCCCTCGCCTTCGCCAAAGAGATCGCAGCAACAACATCTCAGCTCTCTGTAGCAGTTACCAAAGCCCTTATCCAAAACTCGGGCGATTCTATCGAGGAGAACCATCTCCTCGACTCGTTTACCCTCCGCACGCTGGGCCCTGGCGTCGACGGCTCGGAGGGAATATTATCCTTCCTTCAGAAACGCGCGCCAAAGTTCACTGGCACGCTTTCCAAAGACCTCGGTCCCTGGTTCCCATGGGTGAGTTGTTAATGCGAACTTGGTGCCGAAATCTGACATGGTCTGTCAAGTGGCGCGAAGTAAGCACCAAGCATCGTAATAGCAAGTTGTAGGGTATGTTATGCGGATTTCTGGCTGGAGCACTATGCACACATATGGTATCTCACAAAATTCGATCGATTCCAAACCTACTTCACAGTTCCCGAAAGATCATCGACAAGACACGAGGGGTGAAGTAGGCTGCGTCCTTGCCTAGCAATGCATCGGGTGAGATTTTCCAGTGGCCACCCCAGCTTGGATCGCGTGTCGCAAGATATGTCTCTTGCTCGCTGGCGCGCTGCCTGAAAGGCCATGTCCAGGCCGAGATCTGTACAGAGAGTGTGTGTGAATCAGCTGGTACATGTCGGTGGCTGCTGCTTTTGTCACTCACGACCTCCCAGCCAGTGCTCTCGTCTTTGAACAGTGCAAAACAGCGGTACTTCATCTCTGTTGTATTTGTGCTGAATTCGTCCCTGATAGGAAGGTGTGAAACACAAGCGCTTAGGAAAACACCAGAAGACTTGCGCCATGAATTGCACATATTCTCGACCCTCTGCGCTGCCCTTGATAAACATGACATCAAACCTCGTCGCCGGGGTCCCGACCCCAACGAACGACGATGTTCCCTGCCCGTCCATGGCGTAGAGCCGCCCCATAAGCCACCAATCTTGCTTGCTGATGGACGTCACTGCATATATCTTGACACACGCCTCGCTCGGCCGGATATGCACTGTGAAATCGTATTTATACTTGGTGACTGCCGGATTTGGCGGAGTCTCTGGCGCGTCCAGGACAACATTGATGATACGTGACTTGGGGTTGTGGATGAGGATGCCGGGCGTGATTCCCCATAGGCAGTCGCCACACGAGTCGAGCTTGTCGTTAACAAAGTCGTGGAGGGGGTAGTTGTCAGCATCGAGTGTGGCCCAGCTCACCTGTGCTGCCCGCGGTCGCTCGAGAATGAGTCGTCGAATCATCGAGGCGGGCTGTGGGGGCATACTATCTCTGTGTTGAACACAAACAAGCAGAGAGTTGTTTTATGCTGGTGAGCCAGAACAAGGCGGACATGTTGTTGAAAGTTACTACAGGTAGTTTGAAGGCGCAAGGCAACGAGCGCATAATAAGACGGCGACTCGGAAGGACAACAAGATGTGGGTGCAGCAGCATTCAAGTTCAAGATTTTGATTATATTGCTGAAGCTTCAGCGCTCAATTGAGATCTTGACTACTAGTAGGATGGCTTGAATCCAAATAGACCAGTGGGTGTGAGCGCACTGGCAACTGAAGGGACATTAGTGAGTACTATCTTGAGAAGTGTACATGTCGGGTCAAATAAAAAACACAGATGCGTTGCCTAGAGACCCCATGTCTTTGAACGAAAAGAGATAGTCGGCTCTCAGCCTAGCAGCGCCATTGTGTGTGTGTATGTGTCGACTACTCAACTGGTGGCTGTTTGGAACGACTCGGATGATTTTATCAATCTCTTCAGCTCTCTCAAGTTCTCGCGAATTTTGAAAAGAGAAAAACGGACCAGTCACTCAGCGTGTTTTCTAGGCACTCGGATGAAAAGAGTCCCACATGGCTCCCACTAAAGCGTAAAAGCACCTCAAACTTGTAAACAACGCTCAGTGCTGTATAGCGATCACTACCAGTACCCGTGACTAATCTCGTCTCTTTGTCCATTCAACAAGCTCCAAGACCAAAGCAAATGTACGCATTCGAGTCCACTGCACGCAGATGACTATCGGAGCTCGAAGCTAGATAATCAACCCGGTTCAAAAACGCGAGCTCAGCGTGTAGCCAAAAAAATCGTGAGAAGCAAGCGTTATGGACCGACTACCTGAGTTGAAGTTGTTAACCACATATTTTCACTAGCCTGAGGCGAGACTGATGCATTATAATTACGATAATAGATCACCTGTCCCCTCCTCCTCCGCTAGTATCGCAGGTATTGGCGGGGTCTGAGTATAAAATGCCTGTAAAGACGGGCTAAGAGGGATTAAGTTTGGCCGCAGACGATTTGGCGGGATTGGAGGGACGCGTCGAAGTGTTCGGCTAATCTGAACGAAGAGCGAAGTCAAAGGAATAGCGTAAGATTGGCCTGGTAGTCTTAGCTGCCATCGAGTCAACGGCCCGCACAGTGCGTTGAATTGCTCGATGACTTCCCCAATTGTTGGACGCATGGCTGGGTCATCGAGGGTCATGTCGTTGATCAGAGGCTCGAGGAAACGGAGTGAAGGCTGTAGAACCAAACGAATTGAGCAACACGCAAACACGCAAAGGTAATAGATAACTCGCCAATGGTACGCGTTTCTTGCCCACCCAGTCGGAAAGAAGGAAGTCCTGTTTTAATGTATTGCCAAGAAAGTAGATGTCGGTGGGGAATGGATTGCAGACCAAAGGAAATTTTTGGTGCTCGGGAGGCGACTGATCAAGGCCGCGTATAACGTCCTCGGCTGGTGGCCCATTAGATGGATCATACCGCCTGGACAAACCGAAGTCGATAAGAAAATAACGGGGCCAGCATTCAGTCCGAGTGACATGGTAGGCTCGGTGACGATTTGTGGGGTCCTGGGTAGTATATATAGGATGGAAACCAGCCGGGTAGAGTAGAGTGGGGTCTTGAACAATGTTGCCCATGCTACAGTCTCTGAAAAAATTACGTGGTACAGTTCACTCGGAAGAGGATCATACCGATGAGCAACGAAGTTTTCGTGCATGAATTCGATTCCCTGGCAGTAAGTAAGAGGTGTGCATAAGACGCTCAGACAATAGGTACTTCGAAAATCTGTCGAAAAGCGTCGACTACCTCACCCACCGTTTCATATAAGGGTTGGGTTATAGCAAGTAGACGAGGCATGACGAGAATTTGTATGTCTGCGTCATCAGGATCTTGAAGAACATCAAGTATGGGAACGCAATGGTTCCGTGGGTCTTCAGAAAGTGGCGGAGTTGAAAAGAGGCGCGCTATGTCCACTTCATATGGATGAACACGCGTTGAAACAGCTTTGAGCATGACTAGACGACCGTCAGATATGCGAGTAGCGTCCATGATAGTGCGCCGCTACCCAGAGTCAGTATGGTAACCCTTAGCAGTCGATGTGAATCGCACCATGTGTGTTGCCCGTTCTTCATACCACGAGGCATCAGGATTGGGCACATAGTCAGGTTGGAATTTGGGTCGGAGACGATACCCTACGTCCTCTAGAAATTTCCTACGCGCAACCCAAAGCATGTCGCGGTTTCTTAGGTCGGGCACCATCTGAGTTGTTTCCCAAAGCGAGCTGTCATGGATGGTCACAAGTCACACCATCACAAGTCACAAGTCACACCATGACATTCATCATCGTATTCTTACATCAAAGTTACTTCTTGTTCCATGATTCCCAGTGCTAATCGGAGGAATGGATACATCCTCATGTTCGGTACACATATACAAATAACTCGCACGCACTTGCCTCGAGCCTCTTTACTTCTTCCTTAGCTTGAGATGCCACAGCCCTCCGTCTCTTTGCCTGTGCCCAAATTGCCTGTCATTCCGAACTGGCCAACTACGAGCGCAGGGCTGACGCTGAAGAAGCTGGAGGAGTGTCTCAGAACAATACAGCAGACTGGGGACATTTGGGTCTATAAGCCGGAAGACTTGAATGACATTGTTGACACTTTTCTAGAGTAAGTCGAAGAAACGACAACGTTAACCATCTACATTGGGCAAATGCTGAGGGTTGCTGGTAGGTTGACAAAGGACATTGACAATGTCTATACTTCTCTATCAAAATATCCTTTCCTGGTGGCAGTCATGAAAAAAGTGCAAGAGCGTGCCAAGAACTTCCACGGCAATGTCGAAAAACTCTTGACGGATGTAAAGGTAGGTGACACAACGATGTTATGGGCTTTGAAAATTGTTATTCTATGATCAGACATCTTCAAATGATGCAAAATCGATTCACCAAACAGGTTACACCTATACAGGTGCTAAGGAGAATCTGCAAGGTCAAGCAAAATTTCTACTACACTGACATTGGTTTACTCAAGTGGCTTTAGTCTCAGCTTCTATCAAAGAGTACATACACTCTTACTCTTTCCTGCCAAAAATCTTATCTCTTGAAGAAAGGTTAGGTGGCTACAGCATGGTGTCCTAAAGTGTGTTTCTATATTATATTCTCTGATTTGTGCCATTCACACTCCATCAATATCTAGGGAAATTCTTGCAGAACTGGTATAGCTTGCCACTGAATAAACAGAGTACTAAACTTTCTTCTAGAAAAAAGAGGGCGACAAAACACTTCCAGCACTCAAAGCACGCATCTCCACCCTAAGCCCGCAGACCATGGGTCCCACTATTCCTCGCCCCTTCACTAGCACACATCCTTCAAGCTCTGCCATCAGCCCAAAAACCAGCCCCCACCCCAACACCATCTATCCCCCAGATGGCCGTCCAATGGGGCCGATCCCTGGTCCTGGTCCCCAGGCCTCACCGAACTTTGTGCCAGTGAGTTATTTCAAGTTGTGTTCAATTCGGAATGGGAGCTGGAGACATCCATAGCCTCAGAAGTATCACCGTGAGCGTGATTTACATGTCAGAAATGCCGATGCCGAAACGAGGAGCTCCGTGTCTGTCCCTCCTCCACCGTATCCCGGGCCATACCTTGATTCCGCCGGTGTACAGTGCCTTCGCTCACTGCCTCCCAGCGCTGACATTTTCTTAGACGACAGCTAGCAATTTTGGTTACCAAGCCTCCAATGTTGGTTCTTTTTCTTCAACAGCGCCATATTCTCATTATTCCGACAGCAGCAGGGGTATGCTACTGGCGCTTACCCGCCCCATGATCCGCATCCGACTTCTCGATCACGGGCTCGCGAAGCTTACGCTAACACCTCCGAATCTAGCACAGGATATGACCCTAACGCAAGGTGAGGATGTTTTAAATTGTTTATCTTGAAGCGTGAACTTCAAGTCACTCACTGGATCACAATGGCAACCAGACACAGTGTCATGTCGAACTCCAGCTATTATACTGCTGTTCCAGGCAGCCAGGAGAATTCCGGTTATCAAAATTTCAATGTTGGTCACGGTTTCTCTTGAAGAGCGGTAGCACTACAGGCTTATTATTCAGCAGCAGGGGTATGGCGTTCACCCGACCCATGATCCGTCTCGATCACGAGCTCGCGAATCTTACGCCAATGCCTCCCAATCTGGCGCAGGATATGTAGACCCTAACGCGTACACAAGGTGAGGAGGTTTTTCAAAGCGTGAAGTCACCCACTGGATCTGAATGGCAACTAGACATAGTTTCATGTCGAACTCCAGCTATCATACGACGCAGACTACAGGAAGTCAGGAGAATTATGGTTACCAAGCTTACAATGTTGGTTTTCTTCGCGTTCAATAGCGCCGCATGCTCATCATTTAGCAGCAGGGGCATACAACTGGCACTTACAATCCGTCTGGGCCGTCCCATCATCCCCAACCGACTTCTCGACCGCGGGCTCACGAAACCTACGCTCATGCCTCCGGCTCTGGCACAGGATATGACCCTAACGCAAGGTTAGGAGGTTGTTTTTCGCAGTGTAGTACTATATCTGATTGGAAACCAGACACAGTGTCATGTCCAACTCCAGCTATTATACAACCCGGACGACTGCTGTTCCAGGAAGCCAGGAGAGTTTGCGTATGATTCCATCTGAAGAATGATGTTGTCGCGGGCTCATTTCCGAGAAAACGAGCCAACCTCAACTTGCACTCCCAATAAAAAGCTCGATACACGAGGCTATATATTTCACTGAAAAAGAATCGATATGCCACCAATTTACTTGCATCTTGTTTCGATGTCAGGTCCCATGTTCCGACGCATACCATCTTTGGTTGCCCTTCGAGATTTTCTCAAAGGTTGGCGTTGACTAGTGAAAGTGAGACTTGCCGGTGGACGAAATTCACTGGGATGGTTGTGACGGACATGGGATTTTCAATGCTATGAGAAGTGAGAAGGCAAGCCTTTCAGTTCAATCGGCGAGGGAGCAAGGGCTGGAAGCTGTTGTCTCGACTGAGACTGCTCCTCTTGCGACAATGTATGATTGAATGGCCTCTTGCTAAATCTTGGGATACGCCGGGCTAAATGATAGGCAAAGTAGAAACCCACGGCGTTTCCGAAGGGCTAGAGGTAGGTTTTACCGGCTCAATGAACAGGCAAGGGAGGCAGCAAGTAGCCGAAGACATAGTTTTTTGGCGGATGAAGATGGTTTTGTGGATGATATTCGTTTGAGTTGCAGAGCCCCAACTTACTAGATCAACGTGAAACAACAGAGTTTTGCATCCGCTACACAGTGTCTGGGTTGCCACCAGAGTGGATCTAGATTATTTGCGAAGATAAGCGTTGTTGTACAACAGTGGGTGTCGATGGGGTGGAATAATCTACATGAAGTCGTCTGCTCGGCTGCCAAAGTCATCCAGTGCTTCGTCATACAAACCCGTGTCCACCCTGCAGTCGAGAAAAAATCAGTATTGCTCTCCCAGAGAGTCGACGTTTACTTACTTCCCAGAGGCCTTGGCCGCTCCAAGGATCGGTTTCCCGGCGGCCTTTGGCTTTTTCTTGCCACTCGCCTTGTCCCTTTGCTCCTTTTGTTTCTCGTTCGAGAGGGCAGTCAGTCCGCTGGCCACTTTGCGGACCTCGACGTCTTTGAGTGGCATGCAGAGCTCCCGCGCTAGATGCTCAATGAAGGCACCGTAAAGCGGTTTGCTCTGATGTCGTTTGATGATCGTCTCTATTAGCTGGTCGGAAAACTTGATGAGATCGTCTTTCGTGCGTAGTTGGGCCGAGATCAGCGAGTCCAGCTCGGATGACGATGTTCCTGGAGGCTCTTAGAGGGCATATGGACACAAGAAAGGATACCACACACCACCGAGAGCAGCTGCACCGAGCAGATCTGCCGCGTTGCTTAAATCAGCGTTAAGCTCCCTCTCTCTATCTCGACGAGCTTTCTCCCGGGGATCCAGAACCGAGTCCGAGTCATATTCATCATCCTCGCCAGCATCAATCTTTGCCTGTCGTTCAGCCTCTTTCTGAGCGAGCTTTGCTTTGAGCGTGCCCTTTTTCTTGGGCGGCGCAGCCGTCGTAGTAGCAGGCGCTGTGGCCTTTGGCTCGTCGTCAGAAGATGCCTCCCAGTCGCTCTGATGTCCTCTTTGTCAGAATATTGGTGGGAAATAGGATCGCAAGAATTACGCACTGCAGGCCCATCATCGTCATCGTCTTCGCCTTCCCATTTACTCTTCTTTGCGACTTTCTGAATCGGCGGCGCTTTGGCGGGGGTATCGCTATCGGACTCGTCTGATCGTGATTCAACCAAGGCAGCGGTCGAAGGAAGACAGATACGAACCCCAATCTGACGACATTTTCTATAGGCGAAAGGTTGATAAAGCAGTAAGTGTCACAGCTCGTCACAATTGTGATGCATTGAACTTCCTAATTTGGTACCCTCCGAATGAGTTCCGGGTTACTAAGCCCTCCACCTTCGATGGTCAGAAACCGCGACATAAAGAGCCCTGCCGAGCTCACACAGACGCGTTGTCCGGCACCGGATTGCCGCAGACCCAGAGGTATAAAGGAAGGACTGGGGCTGGTTCTCGATAACTTCTGCTCGCTCGTCAACAGCACGCCGAGTGAACATCAACGACAAGTTGAAAGCAAAGTCTAATCACGAGACCACGAACGACGACCATGTCGACCACCACGAAAAAGATGGAGTACGTACGGCTTGGGACCTCTGGACTCAAGATTTCCAAGATCGTTCTCGGGACAATGTCTTACGGAGATCCTAAATGGGGCGGAAGCTGGGTCCTCCCTGAGGAGGAGGCTAGCAAGCACATTAAAGCGGCGTACGCAACTTTTTGGCTCATCAGCCGGTTTTCTGACCCCCCTCAGTTACGATGCTGGAATCAACAGCTTCGATACAGCGAATGGTATCTATTCCTCCAATTCACTACCGAATACAGAACCAACGTCATTCCAGTGTACTCCAATGGGCTCAGCGAGGAGGTCCTGGGACGCGCCATCAAGCAGCACAACCTCCCAAGGTGGTCTTTATCTGTTTTCTTCCAACGTGTAGGATGACTGAGGCTGTCTCTGCAGAGATGAAATCGTCATTATGACCAAAGTTTACTTCACCCTTGGCCGAGAGCCGAGCGAAACCCTGTTCTACATGGACGCTGCTAGCCTCGAAGCGAAGCGCTATACCAACCAATTTGGCCTCTCCCGCAAGCACATCTTCGACTCGGTCAAGCACAGTCTTCGGCGTCTCCAAGTCGATTATATCGACTTGTTGCAATGCCATAGATTCGATCAGAACACGCCCATCGCCGAAACTGTAGGCACTCCTGATCCAATATTTTCCGTTCTCAATACTTCGCCAGATGCAAGCTTTGCATGACGTCGTGAAAGCGGGATACGTGCGTTATATCGGGATGTCGTCTTGCTATGCCTGGCAATGTTTGTCGCTTCCTTCTTTCTTTGCCAATCTACTCTAACACCCATTGTCCAGTTCATGCGATGCAGAGTAACGCGAATTGTAGCTCATATTCGTCTGATGCCTGACTCGCAACTCCAGACTACGCTATCGCAAATAACCTCACACCCTTCATCTCCATGCAGAACCATCACAACTTGATCTACCGCGAAGAGGAGCGTGAAATGTTCCCAACCTTGAAGGTACATTTTCAGCTGCTCCCGAGGCATTTTCCCTACCCACCGTCCCATAGCACTTTGGCGTTGGCGCCATTCCCTGGTCTCCTCTCGCCCGCGGGGCGCTTTGTCGGCCCATGTCGGTTCAACTTCAGAAAGAAAACCAAACAGCGCGTGCAGAATCTGACGTGTATGTGTTATCTCTTCTCTTGAGTCCTTCCGGCTCCTTACCTCGATTGAAAAGGATGCCGCCTTCCCTCTACACACAATCCGCCTCGAACCAGAAGATCGTCGAGAGGTTAGCACATATGTAGTACTTATGTGCTGGACGTGATGCTCACTATTCACCGTCAGAGTGGAGGAGGTCGCCAAGAAGCATGGGGTCAAGATGGCCCAAATCGCCATTGCGTGGTCGCTTTCCAAGGACGGCGTTTCGGCGCCAATTGTTGGTACAACTTCGCTTCAGAACCTCTTCGAGGCCATCGGTGAACAGCCCCATTTAATCCTCACCCGAAGGCTAAAATCCTGCAGACGCGGTGCACATCAAGCTCACAGCGGAAGAGATCAAGTACCTCGAGGAGCCTTACCAGCCCATGGCGATCTTGGGTCATTGGTGATGAATTTGAACCTGCGATTCTCAAGACGGCTTGAAAGTGTTAGGTGCCGTTGCGAGTAACGAGAAACACACGTATTCGATAGTCGACGCCCAAATCTCGATGTACTCTTTCTTTGAAAAGTGTTTGTTTCTCGCATGACGCATGATCGCGAAAACTGTCCTCGCCTCTTTTCCTATTGCGTCCAAATTCAAGTGCGGCTAGTTCCACCCTTAGCTTACGGAAAGACAAGTGCAGAATACTTCGTTCGATTTCCGGTGGGACCAAGGGTGATTAATAAATAAAACATGCGATAACATTCAAGTACATAGGAACAAACAGGACAGGTTTACAATTATGTAGACTACAAATGCAGTCAGGATACTAGTACCGAGAAGGAAAGGCATCATGGAGAGGATGAGGACCAGTCAAGGTGGCAGAAAAGAAACAGTGTCCAACGCGAAACAACTATCTGAACAGAGTCCGTCATTGCTGGTGAGTAACGGCGCGGCACGGTGGAGATTGGGGCTGTGAGACGAGTCGAGAGCATGAAATCGTAGCTTGTCCGTTCGGTCGGGTTGCTTGTTCCTCAAATCTCGCCCATGGTGATCAGCATCATACAGATGATCCTCAACGTCTTCATGATTTGGTGTCCTTGCGCCTCTAAGAAGCCAAACTCGTCGGTGAGCTGCCAATGATCATCAACCCGAGGCTGGAACAAAGCAAGAAGCTCTCTCGAGCTCTTTTGCCAAATCTGTTTCGGTTATTAGGATCGAAAGGCAAAAAAAGAAGAGGCGAACAGTCAATTCACCGTCCCGAGCTTGACAGACAAAAAGAGACTGGTAGCGACCGGCGGCTGACAGATGTCGCGTCTGCAGGATACTAAGTAGAACAAGGTAAGATTAATGGAATACATATGGGACTTGCTTACATTCTGTTGCCGTCCCACCACTTTGTGACTGGGTTGAATATGACTATGGGTGTGTCCGAGGAACTAAAGCGGAAAGTGCCCCAGCGATCCGGGTCGGCAACGGCGCGAAGATATCCAGTCACCTGTTCCACTGGCATGATCAAGACACGCTCGTCTATCGAACCTGCCTGTCGATAGACGGTAAGATCATAGCAGTCGAGACGGTCTTCATCTGCGGTGTTTGTGATGTTCATAGTGCGGTAGGGAAGGTGCCTCCCGACAACATTATACTCTCCCCTTCTGACAATCCGGAGACCACATATGCTGCAATGATTGGCCCCATTGTATGCTATATGGAGGAGGACGGTATAGACTGTCTCCCCAGTCTGCCGGCGTCTGACATGGTGGGGAAGAAGATAACGCCGTCCCTGCCTTGGGGTGGACGGAGCAGTGAAAGGCGGTCCGTAATACGCCATAACTCTGCAGTCCGGCGAAGAAAATGCAGCCTAGTAGAGATGCATTTTATAGTCCAAAGAACAAGCATGACAGTTGCGTAGAAACCTTGGTTTTTTGGCGCTGGCGACGAGACAATACTAGTCAGTGAGCTGTTGCTTGTTCTTCAGGCAGTGTTTTAATGCAGAGTCAGAGGAAAAACAAGGCTGGAAAACCAAATTATAGTAGGTAGCGACAAGAAGGAAACAAAAAGAACAACACTTGCGGGATCCATGGCGCCTCTCTACCGTAGCTGTTTGGCGTTGGCTTGGCACTGCATAGACAAGAAAGAGAGAGAGAGACATGGTAAACAAGCGCTTGACTCTTGCGAGTTTGCCTAGTCGCAAGCGACTAAAAAGTGTCACAAGTTGTAACTGATGTGACACTTTAGATCCTCAACGCAGCTCAACGCTCACAGCGTTCTCACAACAGTTCACTAACGCTGGCCGTATAAACCCAACTGCGACAGCAGACGAAGAAAAAACGTTGCCATTGGTTTGGCCTAATCTGTGATGCTATCACATCAAGAGATAAGATAAGTATTGATAAGATGCAGCCCCTATGTCTGGCACGCTGAAGGCCTCAATGTCCCTCCGCAACGCTGCGCCGCAATACGCTTTCCCTCCTTCCTCGACGATATTTTAACATTTTTACGAGAAATAGCCATCACCAGGAGGAACTGGTGTCTGAGCAGCACTTGCGGCTTGGAGAGTGATGTCAACGGAGACGACGCTGCTCCGCTTGCGGCGACGAGGGAGGTTGGCATAGGTGGGTCCCAGCTCTCCTTTGGGCTCAATTTTGGGATACGCCGGGCCAAATGATATGTAGAGTGTGAATCCACGGCGTTCTCGGAGAGTGAGAGGTGTGGGTTGCTCGCTCGGTGAGGAGACGAGGTCGAAGGCAGCAGGTACGGCGAATTTCGACATTGTTTTTGGTGGTTGGAAACAGTGGTGCTTAGTTTTGGGGGTAGTTGAGTAATGATGCTCAAGTATGGTCAAGTGCTTCAGTTGCTGCAGTTTTATAGGTCGACAAAAGCGAGACTTTTGCTTCCTTGCACAGGTTTAACCTCTCCCCGCGGTAACAGTCCAAGGCCATCTTGCGACATGTCTCAAAGAGTCCGAACAGCGGAAAGTTTCAGGAACAACTTATACCATCAGCCGTAGCCTCAGTCCACCTACAGAACATTGCTATTAGTCATAGCTCTACACTATTCGCGAGCGTCGTATCTGCAGTCGCGATTTTTTTTACACCATAAAATTACCCACTCTTCAGAAATTCGCGGCACCACAAGTCTTGTTCCATGCCGCATCTCCCCACTTGATGCCCCTGCTAAAGCTATTTGCCTTGACGAATGCATCGAGCGAGCACGAGCCGTATTTTTCGTCAAACTTAGTCTTGGAACAGATCGACAGCGGGAACGGCGCGTCGTTCAAAAGGGAGGCGAATTTGAGGACCAGAGCACGAAGATTTGCACGTAAATTTCTCCCAGACCATTTGCGCGCCAAACGGAACCTGGTACGACGTCCTGAAGGCGCGGTTGGCAGGAACGGGGCCGCTCGAAGGGAGAGGCTTCTTGTCCCTGCAGGAGATGATCAACCATCAGGGTTATATATAACAAGACACATACTTGGCTAACCCCAAAGCAGCAAGGGCCATATCAATGGTTGTGTCGTGGCCGAACTCGATGTACATCTCTTGTGTGCCGCCAGTGAAGCGCTCAATGAGCTTGTTGACGAACAGCGTGCCAAGGGTGGGGCCCATAATACCGGGAAGATTGTACCCGAAAGCGTTGTCCATAAGTAGGTCTAGTTCGTACCTATAAATGGCCATCTAATCAGCGTGGAAAGACGCGAACAATGGAGACCCACTCAAAGTCGAGAATCTCGTCTTTGCTGAAAACATCACACCACGGGGAGACACCATAGGCCGCATGGTCGTAGGCACACGCGTACAACGCGCCATGGGTATCGCCAATGGTCAAGTTGACGCCAGGAAGGAGTTTGTTTAGACGCTTGGTAATCGGTGGCAGGTAGACTGCGCCCCAGGTATCGACAGCCTGTCAGCGACATGAGCTGTTGACCGTGCCTAGGGACAAACCGTACCTTTTGTCCATACGAGTACTGCCAAAGCGGACATGTGTCCATCGGGGTAATCCAGCTAATGGTGACCGTGTCTTCGTTGATGAGATCGACTTTTTCGTTCCAGTAGCGGCCAAAGAATCCACGCGCGAACCATTGAGCAGATTCGACAACCTAGAAAATTAGCCAACTTCCTAGCTAGGAAAAGACCGCTTACACGATCCTGGTTGCCGGCAAGTACATTCGTGGCTTTCAACTGAGGATATTTCATTTTGAAGCTAGCAAATGGCTAAGTTCAGTGGGATGCTATAGTAAACACGTACTCAACACCGTGGTCGAATATTTGCCGCCGTCCGATGGCCGTGAGGTTGTTCGCACCCAAAGTGGTCTTGTATCCATCCTTAAGGAACTCCATGCTCGAGGGAAGCCGCGCCTTTGCGATATACTCGGTCGCCCCGGCCAGCTTGGTCGTCAGATTTTGAATGTACGCCAATTCACCGGTGAGCGGCCACCGACTGCCATGACGAGCCATCTACCCAGCATCAACAAGTCACTGACTGGCATAGAGACGCTTACCAGCATGACCTGCTTAACGGTCGCGTCGTCCGGGAGAGCCGCATTAACGCCATGGGGAGTGGGAGGCGTAAAGTAAGGCGACAAGTTCCCCAGATGCTGAAGCAAGTCGAACGACGAGCCAAACACGCCTGACACAAGGGGCAGAACAAGCAGTGTTTGAACTCGCATTTTTGGGTGCGTGGTGGTCGAAAGAAACCCTAGGCGCGGGTTATATGCCGGGCCTTATCGGCATACACATGGTCTGGCGACATGGCGGTAAATCTGAGTGATGGTCGGCATTGAGAGCACACGGGTCACAAAATTGACCCCACAAAACGTTTCATAATGGCCAGGCCCCAACAAAAAGTTTTCAATAATCTCTCAAGCTTCAGGCTTCAAGATGGCCAGGAGCATGTATACTGGTAGCTAGCTTGGGAGGTCCACTAGAGTTCCAGAGTCATCTGAGGTCACTGTGAAAATGCGATTGTTGCTAACTAATGGAGCTGGTACCCTATAAAACTACATAAGCGACGGGGTTGGGAGATACAACTGTCGGGTATGGTTTAAGACAGATTGGTGTAACGTAGAGTAGGTAGTAGTCGGCTGGCTGGGGGAGTGGGCTTGGAGTTGTGTATATTGGGGCTCTAAATATCGAAGCGTAAGGGAGGTGTTCATCGTGTTAGGGCATGCTCATCGTGTGGGGGCAAGTGAGCAAAGGCGGAGTCCGTTGGCAAGCTCAGGCTTCCATTCGAGTCGCCGGACGGCCTCAGCGTAGTCCACCCACTCCCGCCGTCTCTCGCTGCTTTCGAGCCAGTCCTGCTCAAGAGAAGCAACATCGAGTTCGTAGAAGTGGTAAATTGTTGACGGGCTTTGCTGAGTGGTGACGTAACGAGAAATTGTTCCACGTACGCCTGCTGCAAGGGGGGAAAGAAAAAGGGAAAGACGAATATTAGAGCCAAGAAATGCTGGAAATAGAGAAAGATACCTTCTTCGAGCGCTTCACGCGTCGCAGCGTTTTCTAAACGAACATCCGTAGCCTCCCAGCCGCCCTTGGGCACTGTTGACGAGGATGAGACGCGACAAAGAGCAGAAGGTAGCCAGTCACTGACAGACCCAATGGTCAGGCCGCTTTCGGGAAGTGATTAAGAGAATCTTGGAATATGGGCGGGAGATGGGGATTGCGCAACACACAACTCGGGGAGTAGATCGACCTTTTGTACCCATGGTAGGGTGAGGGAATAGAGGCGACGGTTTGGGAAAGCGTTTAGGAAGCCTGCATCAGCTTGTGACGCGCCTGGTAGGCGCAAGCAAGAGTGTAGAGCGGAAGAGGTCTTATATGAGTGGGTCCGGAACCACTCAGAAAGGAGGCGGAGAGCTGAAAAAGATGCGTTAGTCATTTTATACCAACCGCGGGAGCCAACCAATACTTACGCGTGGCCTCGATGGTCGTGGTCTTGTGCAACAACAGTGGTCAGCTCAAAATTTCAGAAAGGTGTTTGCGTGCCATCACCAACGTTCGTCGGCTCCTCTTCGGCATGTCTCACATCTCGTGTTTACAAATAGTCATCGGATTTTAGTGCCGCTCTGCCCGTTCCTCTCCGAATCTACGATCTAAGTACTGGAACCTACTCATTCCAAGCAACCAAAAACATGGCTAACACGCCTACTCCCATTGCCACAAACTGTCAATCGTAAAAACATTTTCTTGTAAGTGAAAGAGAGCAATAACCTCTCGCAAAGCTTGGGCTGCACTTTTGCTCTCGACAAGCAACCTCCAAACCGGTCATTCAGCGGTCTCCCGAGTTGAAGAAAAGACTCACGTTGGAAGTACCGCGACGGCACCGATATATAGGAATCCTCCCGCAACGAATGGGATCACCTGCAGGCAATTCCATCAACTTGGAAAACAGTTGACAATAAATTGTTATACCAGATCTGCTAACTGGGTCGTGGTCCCTAAGAGGCCATTTGCGTCTTGTCTTACAGCAGCCGCAAGGTCATTCCGGTCCGAATGGGACTCGGAAGCGCCTGACCCAGAGGCCACCGCGATTCCAATGAATGTTCTGTTGGGAGGAAGTTCAGCCTCGCGAAAGCAAGCAGGCAGAGAGAGAAGCTAAAGCTGCACTCACCCGACCTAAAGGCAACGATAAGCACGAACGTGCCAAGACACAGTGGGAAGAGCGGGGGAAAGGAAGACAAGCCAGACAAGGTGGTTGGCTGGGGGGAAACCCAACAACTGAATGAGAGTGTAGGAAACACGCACAAAAGCTCCGACAGCAGTCAAGAATTGCGATTGCATAGCTTGTCTTTTGGTAAATCTGTCCCGTCGTATGAGAAGGAGGCCAGAAGCAAGACAGAAAAAAGCACAGACCCACTCCGAATGAGAATTGAGTAGTCCGCGATCTCATGAGGAATTTCATGAGCAAAGCAAGCCAGGGTAGTTGTTGCCCCAATGAGGGGAGACGCATAAAAACTCGCAGCCATTGCCAGGCCATCAGTACTAGGGAAAGTGGCCCGTAAATACGCGTATCAAAAGACCAATGAGTCCCCAACTCACATATTATGGACGAAATCGCCAAATAGGTTAAGATACGCAGACATTTTGGACGGGCCAGTGGCGGACGTAGGTGTCGAGTCTTCTTTGTGCTCTACTCCTTCCGTTTCGCCCTTTTTTCCCTTGCGCAAATGAGCAGAGCCATTCTCCGATCCATTGGCGACCCCACTAGCAGTAGCAGTGTCTTGGTTCGTATGCGAATGCGAATGGGAGTGTGAATGTCCTTCGCCACCCTCGTCTCCCCCCAGCACACGTAGAGTCTTCTCCATCATGAAGAAGGCAGCGAATCCGACAAAAATACCAAGCCTTATCATTTGTCGTCATATTTTTGTCAGAGTTCTCAGTGTGGACGCACCCAATTAGGATATTGCGCTTCTCCTCCACCATCACGAAATGGACGCCATCGCCTTGGTGTTCGCCCATGAACGAATGAGGGATGAGATGTAGGAAGACATCAGAGAGAAGGCCACCGGTCTGTCCTGTTTGAGCATAACCCCGCCAGAGTACCGAGCGCTTACAGCAAACGCAGTCATTGTGTTGAGCGTGTTTGCATTGATTTGGGCTGGAATGAAGGCCAGGATGAAATTAGGCACGCTGTTCTGAATGAGAACCATCGCTATTTGAGAAACAAGCGTACGATGAGATATAAAACGTCCCCAGAATCGAATTCCATGCGGGTCCAAACGGGAACAGGAAAGCGAAAACCTGGAGATGGTTATTCGAGCGCCCCATAATGCCATTCAGCGTGCAAACCTTGCGCATAACCGGAGATTGTTCAGCTTCCAACGTCTTCTTGATGAGCCCTAACCGCCAGATAGACTGGCATTCTTCGAGTTCTTCTGCCTGCGATGTTGACGCGTCAGGGTCTGTTGACGATTGGCACGCGCCAGAACTAATCACGCACGAAAATTGGTTCAGTTGTACTCGGCAGGAAGCCGCCGCTTTTAGGAGATTCCACAGCATAGGTGAAGGCAATTAGGGCGAAAAAAAATAAGGTGAACGAAAGACGAGACATGGTGGATATGAGTCTAGGTCGAAGTTACAGCTGGCTGTGTGATGTGATGCGACGACTAGTTGGTGACGCAAGGGAGACAAATTGGGCATCGCAGACCAAGGTGGAGGGGAGAGGTTGAGATGAAGAAGAAACAGAAAGAAGTTCATTGCAAGATGGGTAAGCTACTTGCCAGCACACGATCGAAAGCCCTTCCCGACAATTCGTACAAAACCAGCAACACTTGCGACCGTCAATCCAATTCCTGTCCACTTTCACCCTCCCACTGCAGTCGACATATTCCTTCCAGCGAACCAAAAAATGAAGCCTCAGATCAGTTCAGCCCGTCCCTTTGTAATAACAAGGAATTGGCGCCGAACGGGCGATGTCACCGCCGACCGCACCAACCAGCAAGGGCTAGGGGTCGCGCTCATCGACTTGCACCTGGGAGTATCGTCACCGGCTTTTTTGATTGTGGAAGAATCGAAGAAAAGAAAAATGCGTGTGACCCTGCTTATATACGGACATGATGTGGCTGTGCTATTATGAGATGATCCCACGACTTCGAGCAATCCCAACCCAGCTTCTCAGCACATAGTCCGAGAACTGGCCCACTTCCGATATATATGACTCGATATGTTTTGCACCGCTCAGTAGTTCGTCAAGGAAAGCGTGTGCAGATGAAGGAGAAGTAAGTTGATGGAGCTCTGGCGGGTTGAAATTAGACAGAAGAGGGTTATACTCAGAGAACAACGAACCAGCGGCACCGTAGACACCCATTAGCGTCGCACGCTGAGCATACCAGGATAACTATGCAGAGTCAGTTATTAAGGAATAAAAATAAGTGGGTCACACACACCCTTGTGGACGAATCGTCGGAAAGATAGCAAGCTTCGTCTGCAATACGCGCAGAATGCTTCAGTGCCGGTAGTGGATCGAGTGGGGGAATGACGCTCCACCTGGCCTCAGGCACAGAAAGCAGGGCGAACGCCTGAGGTTGTTAAGCCTCTCTTTCCAAATTACCTGCCCAAACACGTACCTCAGGCAAATGAGCCAGAATAGACTCGTTATAAGCAAGCCGGGTGTGAAGCGCGTCTGCAACAGATACTTTTCCTGGTATATTATGGCTCATATTCTCGATGCCAGCATCGAGCCACGCGTTAATCAACATCTTCCGGGCGTTGTCTCCATTTCCAAACAGAGCAGATACCGCCAAGTCAGACAATGGCTCCGTGTGTGGTCGACCACTGTTGTCGGCAGGCGGGAGCTGCAAGATCGAGCGTGACAGCGCAGTCCGCGTGAACCCGTACTATCCAGTCATCTCCATGAGCCTTACGACGCGTCAATACAGTTTTTTTACTTGCGGAATGAGAGGCAGCGCGAGTTTGAGCAGTTGCGTGGTGGTGGGAGGCATAAGGACCCAACAACTAACAAACGTCAACAAAAATATTTGATCCAATTATCGTGCTTGCTAGCTTTCTACATATCTAGCTAGCAGTACATGGGATATGCAGTACTTCTGACCAGCCTACTGCAGCGTCCTATCCATGATGTTGAAAGTAAACGCCAAACGAAAGTTGCGTTAGTCTCAAATCAGGCAACTGTAGCAAGAAAACTGGTGATTCAGAATGACGCTTGTCAGGAGATTGGTGTGAGGTCGTCCTGTTCCAGAATTTAGTTGAGTGTAGAGCAGTTATTAAACACGCCGCCTAACTTTCTCAGCCCGTATCAGTACACTCCAAATCGTCGAGACCGCGATGACTATATGCTAGTCCGTCGACGAGGGTCCCTGCTCCATGGCTCAGCATTCAGAACTCTTTGAACAATGTCTTTGAACTCCTTGAACATAAGTCAGCAAGACATGACATAGCGGCGATGAACGAACGGGGTCTGAATCAAAGGTTTCTTCCAGTGGATTCGTCTGCCACCATGTCCAGTTGTGTTTAGCAAGCCGAATCTCCTTGTCCTCGGGTGTTGTCAGGCTCAAGAACTCTGCCACAGCCTGTTGCGTTTCAACGGAGGCAGCCTTGTAGCCTGCTGGGGTTTGTGGGAAGTGGAGGAGAGCCTCTGATCCTTCGATTGTGCCCTTTTTGAGTTGGTAGGTCGTATATACGTGGGAGTAGACGTGGTCCCACAGGTTCTTCGAAGATATGGCCTTGGCTTCTTCTAGTCGCTATTCGAACATGAGAACTGTCCTTTGTTGGAATGCTTGCTCAACTTCACGATCCACGATTTCATTCTCAAAAGCCCGATATCGGTCGTGCGCCTCCTTCAGGTAGTCTTCTGATTCTGCCAAGTACATTCTGTTGAGGTCTTCTTCAAACTGCTCGTCCAACTCTTGGACAGCGCGTCTCCGTCGCGAAGCGTTGTCTTGTGGTCTATCAAGATACTTCTTCATGTCATCCATTCTTTCGACGAGATCTCAAGCCTGATGATATGCCAACGCGCGAAACGTACGAGGGAATCGGTCGGTCTCGTTGTGTTAGAATCCAAAGGTTCATACGGTATTGATCCATGGCTCTGAGCTTCTCCAGATCGTCCGGGTTAGGAGGGGAGGAGGGAGAAGTAGAGAGTTCTGCATCGAAGACCGAGCCATCTACAGAAGCGCTGTCCATTGTGGTGGTTCGGGTTCAAGCTCAATGTACAACGCGGTGAGCCTGATCTGAAGGTCACACTATCACAACTACAACCTACTACAACTTGTGACCTGAGTTGTCTGCTACACTCAAGTCCGAGTTCATCCTGGTTCATGCAACCTCACAAGAGTCAAGCACTCGTTTGCTATCTCTCTATTGTTTCTGCAGTCCCAAACCGACACTCAGCAGCTGCTGCAGAAAGGCGCCATGGATACCGCAAGTGTTGTTCTTTTCAACCGTCGCCACACTTGTTGTAGCTTTGTTTACTATCCTTGTTTTTTCTCTGACTCCGCATCAAACCACTGCCTGAAGAATAAGCGACAGCTCAATGACTAGTATTGTCTTGTCGTGAGCGCCAAAAACCAAGGTATCTATGCAACTGTGTGCTTGTTCTTGGACTACTATAAAGTCGACCTCTACTAGGCTGTATTTCCCTCGCCGGCCTGCGTGGAAATGGCGTACTACGAATCGCCTTTCACTGCTGGCGCGGGCCCCTCCAACCCAGCAACTCAGCTCACAAACGAAACTACCACTGCTACTAGCACCTCAACTGCCCAACAGCGTCGTCCTAAAGACCCGTCGTTTCTACGTGCTTTGACGGGATATTCTATTCCCGTGCATATAGCACACGACGAGGCCGAGAACTGCCACACCTGTCGTCTACAGCTTGTCCAAGGGGGAGAGCGCGTTGTCATCGACGGCTACCGCCCCTACCGCACTATCAACATCACAAGTCGTTACCCCACATATGAAATTAACCGACTCTATGATTTGACCGTCCATCGGCTTTTCTCAGGCGAGATTCCCTACACTTTTCTGATGTTGGGGCCAAGAGCCGGCTTCCTCTATCCCCTAGATGCCAATGGCATCTTTCACTTCATAGTCAAAGACCCGCCTCCAGGCACACCACACACCAAGTTTAGACGAGCTAACGAGCGGATGCGCGACGACACAGTGTAAGCAAGTCCCGTGCGTATTTGCATTAATCTTATCTGTGCTTGATTTAGTATTCTTCGGACTGTCAGCGGATCTGGACCGCCTGGCTTCCCGGATTTTTACGTCCGTAGAACTCCAGATGGTCGACTGAGTGTCTGTCTTGTTCATTTTTTGCCCTTCAGACTCTGATACCAATTACCAAACAACAGGTTTGGTTGAAGCCAACGAGACGCGAGGCGAAACGGAGAAACTACGGTAATCGCGGCCACGAGCTTCTTGTTTCGTATAAGCCTGGTGGTCATTGGCAGCTCACCCAACAGATGGGCTTCTCAGAGCCACCGAGTGGACACTGGAAACCTAATCTACATGACGTTCTTGATCGTATCCATGATGCTGATCGTCACGGACCGCCACCACTGAGGCCTGGGGCACAACAGGACAAACAAGCCACGATTTCATGCTCTTTTTCTCTCCAGCTCTTCTCTCGCAGCCCCAATCCCCTCCCTGTGACGCGCCATTATCCACAAACAACGATGTCAAGCCCGTTTAGATAGTTGTTTTCGCGTTGGACACTGTTCCCTTTCTGTTATCGTGACTGGTCCTCATCCTCGCTATCTTGCTGCTTACACTCTCCTTTGCCATCCGTCTCGCTATACTTACTGCAGTTGTAGTACATTCCTAAACCTGTCCTTACTGTACACTGTCCCTCCTTGAATGCGATTGCATGTTTTATTTATCACCAGGCCCCAGTCCCGCCGGAAATCGAAGTATTCTGCCCCATTGTTCGTCAATAGTACGTATAAGTAGCAAGTTGACTTTACTCACCGTCTTGTCTTGACGTCTAACTTCCTCATAGAGAAAGACCAGCAGCAAGAACACCTCGTCTTCGGCAAGCGCGGTTGAAGTCAGGTGGACCACCGGCCGTTCGGACTTGTGGAAGAGATGCGGGCGGAAAGGGATGCAGAACCGACCAGCAATCGTCTTGCCGTCTTCAATAGTAGCCTTTTCTTTCAAATCAAACTTAAAGCGGGAACACAGTGGTAAAACGCACCTTCCACTCCTCGTGCGTGTAAACAAGCTCGTACTCCTTCCTCGCCGGCGCCCACCGCCAAAACTTCTGTCTGGGAAACAAACACACGGGATTTTAGCGCGTCAACTTCCCCACGGCCTCCAGTCCAGCCCTACTTGTTGAACAGACTCCCTGTCTTGCGGCGCACCTCTTCTAGCTTCTGGCGATGCCCAAGCACCTCGATGCTCTTGTCACGCCAGTTGATAGCACCGACAACGGCGTTGGCGCCTGGCACGGGGTTTTCGTCGCGTAGAATAGTCCGGAAGCGACCTGTAGGTATATTTAGCAATTGGTTGTATAGTAACTTGAATGGCGAGCACGTCCAAACCTTTGAACTCGAACTTGGTCTCCACGGTATACATCACAGCTTGGTCGAGGACGGCACAGACTCGCGCGTTGACGATGTTAGTCTTGTTGTCAAAATAGGCTTCCATTTTTTTGTGCTAACTTTGGCTTTGGGGTGGGTGGGGACTGGGAACACTGGAGGCGACGTGATGACGAGGGAAACCGACGGAGATGAAGAAGCAGAAAATGATCAAGAGGATTGACGTTGATGGGATGATAAGATAACGGTGCGCATGATAGGGGTCAGACGCTTAACCTAGTTGTGTTATTTCCTTGGAATCTTCGATGGAATGAACGGGCTGCCATATGTGCTGCAGCCAGTCTCCGGGCTGTCCGATGCCATAGCAGCGTTTGTTTCAAAGTTGTTGCGTCGATCCAACCTCAGGCTTGTCGCTGCTGCCCAGAGCAAAGGTTTAGCTTACATATTTGCGGCTGTCTAAGTAATAGGATATCACGCTCGGATTCCGTCGACCATGGGGTTGGGGAAGAGGACTAGCACGTCTCTTTTCTTTCGGGTATGTTCTTCTCGGAAGACGTGTCCAAAGAAGCTTTGTTGAGGCATGAACCAAGTTTGTTAACCGTGACAACCTTTTGCCTCCTTGTGCAGAAGTTTGTGACCATAGCCGCCTCTCGGGGAAGTAAATATGTTGGCTCCGAGAATTTAGGGAAATAACGATAAGGGCCAATCTTGGCCAAAGACACACGAACCCGATATACAGCGCCGCAAAATGTCCATTCAGTCATCCCAGCCCTCCAACTCTCTGGCCCACTTGGCTCTCTTGGCTGCTTTCTGGTCCTGTTCACTCAAAGCCTGCCACGCGTCCCAACCACCAACAGCCTCAATCATCTCCTCCTCCCACCGCTCTTCTCTTTCCTTCTCTTTCTTCGTCTTTGGTTTCGGTGGGGGTGGGGGCGGTGGGGGTGGCGGGGTCTTTCGATTTGGATGTAACGGCGCAATTCGGGCGATTGCCGACCGCGAAAATTTAGCGTATGGGGAGTAGGTCGTAACTGGTGTGCCTGGAGCAACGCCTGCGACGGAATTTCTGCGGGGAACTGCGACGGGAAATGGCGAGCCGGGTTGTGCGTTGACTTTTCTGATCAGTTCAGTCAAGGGCGTGCTCTTGGTCCGTGCTCCAATCGAGTATCTTCCAGTCATGTGAGGTTTCGGTGTCCCTTCAGGTCTGTCGTGCTGTTTGTGATTTGTGCTCTCTGAGAGCACTTGAGAACTAATGGGTTGAACAGGTTCGTGAGGCGGGGATTGTGGTTTAGATGGAACGGCGACAGAAGGGGGGTCCTATACGAAGATGTAAGCGAGTTGTAACGAGAATAAGATAACACTTGCATCGCCGACAGCATCTTCAGAGTCGGAAACAACCGTGTTCTTGGTCTTCTTCTTGAGTGGCTTGGATCTACCTGGCAGCTCAGGACCCATATCGATATCCCCTTCATCGGGCCGTTCGACTAGATTGGCCGTTATGAAGTCTCCTTCGTCATCTTCGTCGTCCGTAATGATAGCCTTCCTTTTGCCCTTCTTCACTGCGACCTTCTTGGATTTAGGTTCCTCCGCTGACGCTACTTTGGCCTTCTTAGCGTCCTTCCCAGACGACCCTGCTCCTTGGTCGACTTCGCGCTTTCGCTTTGCGCTAACAATCGGTAGCACCAATTCTTCATCTGGCTGTGAGTCGGGAACAGAGACGGTTGATATGGGTTTGGAACGAGATGGTCCTGGGATTGGCTCGGAGATTGGGTTGGCAAGAGGCAATCGGTCACCGTCGTTGTCGTCCGAGTCTGCGACGAATTCTGCACTGGTAAATTGCTTTTCTTTCTCCTTTTCCTTCCTTTTCTTCGTGGGTTTCTCCGCGTTATCGTCGTCGCCATTCTTGGATTTCTTCGTCCGTGGTTTCCTTGGCGGCTTCTCGCCATCCGTGTCCTTCTTTTTCCGTGGCTTTTTGGGTGGTTTCACTACTTGTGCAGGGCTAGGGGAAGAAGACGGTGGCTGAGGAAGTACATTGATTGGTGGAATGCTATTATCGTCATGTAGTGGCGGTGGGTCGTTGGTGTTGGTGTTGGTGTTGGTGTTGGTCGATTCAGGAAACGGGTCAGAAGCAGGGAGTGATGAGGATGGAATAGATTTCGACAAAGGACGAGTCTTCGTAACTAACTTCTTCGGCTTGGTGAGGAAACTGAGCTCGTCGTCGGAATCAGAGGCAATTTCGATGATATCGGACTGGATGTTGGTGTTGTCGCGGAGAGAGGAGGAGACTGGGTCGACACGTTTGCCTCTGTCGCGCATCTTTACGCGGTCAGAAAGACTGCTGGAAATGGGATTCTCGGAAAAGGACTCGATGATGGAGGTGTCGGCGGCTCCCTTTCCCTTGAATTTCGGCTTCGGGCGCGGGCGCTGACCCGCTGTTGGCATTGCTGGGCTTGCGGAAGAGATTGAGTCTCTGGTTGGGTTTACTGCGAGTCATTAGCCTCGAACTTGTGTGTTTCAGTCGCGCCACCTGCCTGGAGGTAAAGGGAAGGAGGAAATAGCATCTGTAAGCGGCCGAGACGCGTCAATAAGGTGTATGGGCTGGAGCTCCTGCTCGTCGCCGCTGTCGGGAACGTCGGAATCCATGCTCGATGAAGTCGATGTGAGTGACAGTCAACAGCGCGTCCAGTCACAGCCAGTGATTGACAGCTGTGACATGTCAAAAAGAAACGCTGACCACGATTCGGAAGTTGAACAGCAATCGAGCTCAAAGCGAGCCCGTCGCTGCGCCCTCGAGTATCCGACATCCTCTTCTGGCTCCTCCCCGCCCTTTCAACAACCCACTGCTCTACTTTCGTTCTCCTATACCCCAGCCCATGAACTCGTCTTTGACGATTCTGCCTTGCGCTACTATGTCCCACCACCAGCCCGCGCCAAGCTCTCTCATGCTTATGATCGTTGGATACGTCGACCAGAAGAAAGGTCGAGGATTGACGGACTTCTCCGCGCGCTATCTAGAGCACAAGACCAAAAGCACCCTTCGCTTGCGTCGGGTGTTGGCGCTGTAGGATGGCGAGGAGTCCTTACTCGGTATGCCATCCCTGTTTTTTCCAACCACCCCTCGGCTGATGGAGCGGAGAGAGCATACTCACAGCACCCTATGAAGAGCGCGAGGGCTGGGATCTCAATGTTATGTGCGTCCAAGGGGTGTTATATCTCGAAGAGCACCGTTCGGAAGAGATGATGCGCGAAAAGTGTGTTTTCTTCTTCTTTTCTCATCCCTCAACTAATTTCCTCAGAAACGATCTTGCACCGCGCCAAAGGTTGCAGACGTATTACGGCTACGCATTCGAGTCGTATTGTACAAGTGATAGCCCGAATAGAACCAATGTTCCTCAGCGACCGGGCGATCCACCAGGCTGGGGCGGCGACGTCGATACCAATGTGCAATGGTGCAGTGTCGTTCGAACCAAGCTCGGTGATACCCGCTTGGTCATTGGCGGCGAAGTTGATTGCGTTCGAGGTAAGTTTTTTCTCCAAGAAAGCCAGCTTCCCTAAACAGAGATGACTTAGGCAAATTCACTGGCAAGACGGACACCTTTATTGAGCTCAAAACCTCGATGACAATACGAGGGGCACAGGACGAAGCTCGTTTTGAAAAGTTCGTGTTTGAAACAGCTTTCTTTTACTCTACTGACACAATAAAGGAAATTACTCAAGTTTTACATGCAATCCTTCCTCCTGGGTGTTCCTGTATGTAATTCGTCCCATTTTCGTGGCGAATGTTCAGTCTTTTATAGGAAATTATTGTCGGTTTCCGAACTCCCTCCGGCGAAGTTGTATCCACCCAACCATTCAAAACCGTCGAAATCCCGCGTATGGTACGTGGGAAGCCACACGCGTGGGACCCGACGCGATGTTTCCAGTGGGGAGACGCGTTTCTGCGCTTTCTTCGCACACAGTGTCGTCCAGAAAACGATGATGAAACACGAGTGTGGCGGGTTACGTTTCGCCCGCAAATCGGAGTTGATATAACGCTGCTAGATCGGGAAGGCGTTGATGAGGTTGAAGCAGGAGAGGAGCGAGTGGGCTTTCTGCCTACCTGGTATTGGGACGAAGTTGGGGGCAAAGGCAAACAGAAGAAACAAGACAGCCCCGGTTCAGATACAAGAGGTTGAACGATTCGACTTCAGTCTTTGGAGCAGTAGGCACAATGTCACGACTATATGGATCAAAAAGAGTATTCAAGGAATGCCATTTTTCGGGATATGCAATGCGAGGGTATTGATACAGTTTCAGAGCGATTTTGTACAACTAAAGCCAGCACCCTTATTAAGCAAGAGAGGCAAAGCCAACGGCCTCCTGATCAACATCGAAGACGGTGTAGGCGTTCTTCATGAACGAGTCACCGAGAAGCCAAACATTGGAACCGAGGCCGAGGTCTTGGGCAGCAAGAGATGCAACACAAGAGCTATCAGGATTGTCAGCAATCAGGCGTACAATTGAAACAAAGCATACCTGGAGCCAGAGGTAGTCTGACCGAGGTTGATGTTAGCAGCGGAGATGGTCCAGTCCTTGCCGCCGTAGTTGAACGACAACTTGGGTGGGGTGTTGCAGGGGTATGACTATGAGGTGATTAATAATTAACGTGGCCCTTCAACAGCATAGCAGAACGCACGTAGAATCCGTTGGTGGAATCGAAGAGCTTGGAGCCCGAAACCTGGGCGAAGACCTTCTTAACGGCGGCGGGAGGACCGTACATGATGGTGGTGCCAGAGTCGATGATGGTCTGGAATCCGCTGACGACAGTGGTTGAACCAACTTTGATCTTGGCGCCAGTTGCCTGCCAGAAACCACTCGAGGAGGCAACTGGGACATATTCGACGTCGCCAGAATACAAGCTGGGGTTGGTGCCACCGAGGTAGAGTTCAGAACCAGTCGAGGCGAGGTAGAACGAGAACACGTTGGAGTCGACGTTGCCCGAATTCTCGGCAGTGTAGAAGAAGGGGTTTTGGCCCAGGTTGGAGATGGCGGGGAATGCTAAACCGAGGATACCGTCGATCGGGTCGCCACTGAAGCTGGAGGAAAGGGTGGTCACGGGGGAGAAGTATTGCTTAGTGGCGGCAACACCGGCAACATTGACGGTATCGGTGTAAACAGGGCCACTGACGGTAGAACCGTCACCGTATTGGATGGAGAAGGTGCCCGACTTCTTGGAGCTAGTCGAGGAGGAAGAAGCGGCGAAGCGACTCTTGCTCTTGCAGACGCTGCTAGTGCAGCTGGAGGAGGGCACCCAGAGGTCAGACGAACCAGCTAAAATCGAAGATCAATACCAAGACTCAAGCGGTACCCAACTACAACAAACTTACTGTCGAAGTCGATGAGGAACTTTTGAGCAGGCGTTCCGATGGAAATCGTGCCAGCCCACTCGAGATCGTCCTCCTCGTCAGTCAGAGCCTCTGCCTGACGCTTGGCAACAGCCTGTTGGAGACGCGCCTCAACGTCAACGGGAATCTTGCGCAGTTCTTTGATCTCAGCGCCCTTGAAGCGGATGAGAGGAAATTCAGCTCAAGAAATGAATGAACCATACAGCGTTGAAAGCCTCAACACCCTTGTTCTTCTGGAGAGCAATGAGGTTGTTGCGATGCTTGTTGGCGACAACAACGCCATGGGCGATGGCCTTGTCGAGGTCGAAGACGCCATCAGCCTTAGTCAGAGCAGCGCGCCTGCCCAGAGGAATAGCGAGGCCCGCATGCGGGGCAGCGGGAGCACTGGCAACGGTGGGACCCGCAATAGCGGAGACCGCGATGGAAACAGCAAGAAGGAGAGCAGCTTTGTTGAACATGGTGAAGGAAAGTGGACACGAAGTCGACAACAAGTGGGTGGAAAGAATCCAACTGAAGAAACGGTTCAAGTTGAGCACCAGCATTTATAGCTTTGTCGGGTTCGCTGCAGCCATGCGGGAGCATAAACAGTCATTCCAGATAAGAGAGTCGTCGCGCATGCGACTATAGCAACGACAATGAGGAGAAGGAGATGCCGATCGACATGCTGGTGTCAAGAAACCCCACACTCATCACTGATCCGTAGTGCGCCGAAAATAGAACCACAACTTTGAGGCATCGCAAATGAGCGCGATCTGTAGAAGAGCAACGCAAATAGAACATGTATCTAAACTCTTCGTATGGGACCCAGGAGCTTCTCGTGGTATTTTTACTCACTCGGAAAATGCTTTCCTTGAGCGTCCGAGCTGGCCGAGAATACTGTTGAAATTGCCGCTTGAGTTGCGGCTAATTAACCTTTTAGGCGTACACATGACCATTACCGGATATAAATACCTCAACGTCGACGGCTAAGACAACACCTATTTTCGTTTCACAAGCTATCAGCATGCTTGTCCCAGAGATAGTATCAGCGTGCCCACGTTGCGCACACTGATGTTGACCGGAGACATATCAAGAAGTTTCCTAATTTGGAATCGGGCGTTCGGTGTTGTTTGTGCATGTTGACCGATCACGTCCAATCGACTCAAACTCTCACAGCCATCCTACAAGAATTGTTGCAAGAACACTGCACAATGAGTCATGAAGAGCTACGAAACGGTCATCGATATCGAACTCGGTGCCCCCGCGACAATCTGCTTCGACGACCATGCGTTCTCGACTTGTTTCCGACTTTAAACCACCTGATGAACGGATTCATACCACGATGGTTGCCACCGCCTCCAGTGATCCATTACTTGCCACTCTTGCGTATACAGCGCTGATATCGCAAATAGCTCTTGTCTTCCTAATGACCAAGTACGCGCAACCAACGCTTGAACACCCTCCGAGTCAACACGTGCTTGTCAACACAGCAAGTTCATCAAGCGATTTCTGTCTGGGTAGTGCCCAGGAGATGTACATCGAGTACGACTATGATGCCAGCTCACACTGAGGAACGAATTTCAAGAGGACAGTTTCTTAATTAACTAATAAGCGGTGACAACAAGGAAGAGAGCGTATGTCATTTTTCCTTGAATGGAATATGAGGTATTGATACAGTTTCAGAACGCTCCTTCGGCACAGCGAAAGCCAGCTGCCAACAGTCTCACGCAAGAGAAGCGAAGCCGACCGCCTTCTTGTCCACATTAAAAACAGTGTAGGTATTCTTCATGAAAGAGTCGCCGAGCAGCCAGACGCCTTCACCGAGTCCGAGGTTTTGTGCGGAGAGAGAAGCAATGCAAGAGCTTTTGGAACTGTCAGCAAAGCCGCAAAGAATCAAGCCCAACACACCTGGAACCTTCTTTGGTCTTGCCGAGGTTTATGTTGTCGGCGGAGATGGTCCAGTCTTTACCGCCGTAGTTAAACGACAACTTGGGCGGGTTGTCGCAGGGGTATGACTGTGAAGCAGTCAGTGGTTGCTGCCTCAAATAACAACACAAAATTGAACACACGTAGAAGCCGGAGGCGGAATCAAAGAGCTGCGAGCCTTCTACATGGGAGAAGACCTCTTTGACGGAAGCGGGAGGACCGTACATGATGGTAGTGCCAGAGTCAATGATGGCTTGGAAATCTTGGAGGACGGTGGTCGAGCCGACCTTGATTTTGGCGCCTGTCGCCTGCCAAAAACCGCTCGATGCCGCAACTGGGACATACTCAATGTCACCCGAGTACAACTTGGAGTTGGTGCCACCGAGGTAGAGCTCAGAACCAGTCGAGGCGAGGTAGAACGAGAACATGTTGGAGTCGACGTTCCCAGCACTATGGGCAGTATCGAAAAAGGGGCTTTCGCCTATGTTGGAGATTTCGGGGAATGCCATACCCATGATACCGTCAATCGGGTCGTCACTGAAACTGTGCGAGAGGGTGGTCACGGGGGAGAAGTGTTGCTTAACGGCGACAACGCCAGCAACATCAACGGTGTCGGAGTGAATAGGCCCACTGACGGTTGAACCATCGCCGTATTGGATGGAGAAGGAGCCCGACTTCTTGGAGCTAGTCGAAGAAGAGGATGCGGCATAACGCTTCTTACTCTTGCAGACGCTGCTGGTGCAGTTAGAGGAGGGCACCCAGAGGTCAGACGAGCCAGCTAAAATCGAAAATCAACGCCAAAAGATGGAGCGAAGAGGAACTTGCTGTCAAAATCAATGAGGAATTTTTGGGCAGGCGTGCCGATGGAGACCGTGCCAGCCCATTCAAGGTCATTCTGTATGTTAGTAAGAGGCTCTGCTTGACGCTTGGCGACGCTCTGCCGGAGACGGGCCTCGACATCAACAGGAATCTTGCGCAACTCTTTGATCTCGGCACCCTTGAGGACAATAAATGCGAGTTGCAAATTGAAAGACGATTAACCCTACCGCGTTGAAGGCCGCAACACCCTTGTTTTTTTGAAGAGCAATGAGGTTGTTACGATGCTTGTTGGCAACGAAAACATTATGGGCGATGGCCTTGTCGAGGTCGAAGACGCCATCAGCCTTAGTCAGAGCAGCGCGCCTGCCCAGAGGAATAGCGAGGCCCGCATGCGGCGCGGGGGGAGCACTGGCAACAGTGGGACCCGCGATGGCGGAGACCGCAAGGGAAACAGCAAGAAGGAGGGCAGCTTTGTTGAACATGGTGAAGGAAAGTGGACGCGAGGTCGACAGCAAGTCAAGTGAGCGGAAGTAATCCAGCTGGAGAAATGGTTCGAGTCCAGCGCCAATACTTATACTTTTGTCGAGTTCACTGCAACCCTGCGGGAGTATAATCCATCCTAGGATAAGAATTTTGTCGCGCATGCGACTATAGCAACTCGGGCGATGAGGTCCTCTGGTGTAGGGTGCATATGTCGATCTAGAAGATAATGTAAGCAAACCTCACGCGCAAGTTTCGCAGCGACTTCTGGAAGCTACGACGGCGCAATATACTGTCTGTAAGAGCCTGAGGTCAGAATGCGTCTCATCTATCCGGTAGACTAGGATTTGGATGCGGCCCGGACCGCGGAGAATTAGACTTTTAGATATTCACATGTTCAGCTATCAATATCCGTTCCCCAAAACCTATGGCCTCGTATGGCTGAGGTAGGCTGAGACATGCCCTGTTTTAATTAGCGCCACGCCAGCATGGTCCTCTTACGCTGAAAATCTCTGAAAATGCGTACTAAACACGTAGGATAGATATACCAGCATCAATAGCCCACGTTGTAAACGGTGACGCGACCGATACTCACTAGAAAGCGGCTGCCAAAAATTTCCTCATTGGGAACCGGGCGTTTCATGTTGTTTGTGCATGTTTACCTATCACTCCAGATTGACTCAGACTCTCACAGTCATTCCACGATAATCACCGCCAAAACATCATAATCACCGCCAAAACATCATAATGGCTCCGCACGATGAGCTCGCGTCGCGGATGAAGAGCTACGAGACGGCGACCGATATCCAACTCCCGGCGGACAAGCCCGCCATAATCCGCATTGACGGTCACGCGTTTTCGACTTTCACGCGTGGTTTCGAGAAACCGTTTGACGAGCGAATCCACACTGCGATGGCTGCCACCGCCTCTGACCTGCTTGCCCATTTCCCCGCAGCCACTGTCGCCTACACAAACTCTGACGAAATAACCCTTGTCTTCCCTAACGGTGTCAAAGAATTTAAAGGCCGTGTTGCAAAACTGGGCAGTCTTGCTGCTGGCCTCGCGTCAGCCCGCTTCAACCACCATCTTGTTCACACCTGCACAAAACCCGTGCCGCCAGAAAAGGTAGGCACCGCGCACTTTGACGCACGTGCCTTCACCCTCCCCTCGGTCGACGAAGTCCTCCACAATCTCATCTGGCGCGCTAAAATCGACGGGCGGAGAAACAGTATCTCGGGGTTTGGGCGGTCCTTCTTCACCACCAAACAGCTGCATGGTTTGGGCTCGAATGCGATCGTGGAAAAGGTGTTGAGTGAAAAGGGCATTGACTACTGGACGAGCACGCCGACCTGGGCAAGATATGGTACTACAGTCAAGCGAGAAAAGTTCTTGGGCACGGGAGTAGACGGGCTAACGGGCGAGCCGGTCACAATGACGCGGACCCGCATGAAAATGCAAGATACTCAGTGGTGGGAGTTCAATGAAGACAACCTCTTGCTCATAACAGACAAATTTTGGAAGTAACGTGAGGTTAGATTACATTGTGCCTCTTCTCGTTCTCTTCAGTCGTCGCTTTTTCGTCAGCATCAGCCTCGATGTCGCTCTCGCGCCGCAACTTCTCTATCGTCTCCGCCCTACGCCTGCTTCCAAGACAGAAAGCACCGCCCGGCCCATCCTGGATCGCCCGTAAAACTACGTCTTTCTCAAACAACAGCCCAATATCCTCCAGCGCCACTCCAGCTGTTTCGGGAAGGCAAACCCATGCCCAGGTTGCCATAATCAGACAGCAGAGCCCAAACAAAAGGTAGGTCCCGTAATGAATCTTGTTGAGCATTATCGGGGTCAGCTTCGACACCGTGAATGAGAATAGCCTGATAAAGATGAAACGTTAAATATCAGGCATATGCTGCAAACACGCACCAATTGACACCAATGGCAATTGACATGGCTCCTGTCCGCAGATGATTCGGCGCAACCTCACCAGCAACAACCCAAGGAAGAGGTCCCCATCCAACGCAGTAAAACACGGCATAGAGATAGACCGCAACGAGCGACACGTAACTCGATGGGACGACCGTCTTGGCTGGGTGCAAACCCGTATAACCAGCAAGCCAGAGCATCATAGCGCCTTGTCCAAACCCGCCGATGATCAAACATCTTTTACGTCCGATTCCCTCGACAGCAAAGGCGAGCACGAGTGATACTGAAATAACCTGTGGAGCTAGTTACTATGAACTCGTAGACAACGAGCCTTACAAACCTTAACGACACCATAAATACCTGTAGCAAGCAGACCACTTTTCGTGCCAGTAATTCCTAGCGAAGCGAATATTTGCGGGCTCTGCGGAAGAGTCGGCCCAAGGTTCATGTGTAGTATTTTAGACTCACGAAGTAATTGATAGCGTTTGTACCAGTGGCCTGTTGGAAGAACATGACCAGCGAGGGTATAAAGCACCTCAGCGCAATTGCGCGTGAGTCGCCAAAGTGCCGAATTTGTTGCAAGATGCCGAGTTCTTTCCTGCCTTCGAAATCTGCCCTGATTTCCTGCACTGTATCAAGTACAGTTTGATCATCGACCTTGGTGCGCGCAACATAAGCAAGACTTCTCGCAGCCTGGTCCAGCCGCCCGTGTTCAACAAGGAAGCGAGGGGATTCAGGTTGCCATGGAATGAGGAGGAGAAAGAGGATGCCGGGGAAAACCTGGACAGCAAGTGGCATGCGCCATTGCCGGTCGCTTGTTGGGCTGATATGCAACGACGCGCTGTAGTTGACAAAATACGAAATCATAATGCCAATGTTGTTGGCCAGCTGGACCATCCCAGTGCATCGCCCGCGAATTGCTTTTGGTGTGCATTCGCTGACATAAGTCGGGACAACGGCGCTAACAATGCCTACGCCAAGCCCAGCGAAAAATCTGTTGAGCCACAATTAGCCGAGCAATTGGTGTGGAAGAGGTTCGGACCGTGCAAAATAGAACACACTCAGAGCACGCGCCTCGTTAGTTCCCAGGCCTACAACAGCCTGGATGACGCTTCCGATGATATAAAACAGCCCAGCAGCAATCAGACTTGGTTTGCGTCCCCAACGGTTCGAAAAATAGCCCACACCCAAAGCCCCAAAGCTGCGACAAAGTCAATCCCACAAAAGCGGAGAAGAATGCATAGCGTACAAGCACCCGCCCTGGAGAACCGAGACGATATTGCCGCTGAAGTTGGCCTGTGCGGAGTCACTCATTTTTGTGATTCCAAAGTAGTTCTTGAACGACGGCAGGGAAATAACGCCTCCAATAATGCCTCTGCGGTTCGGTAAGAAACACAACCATCCAAAGCGAGAAAACAAACAGACATGTCGTAGCCATAAAAGACGCTCCCCATCGCGGCAGACAGAGATAGCAGATATGCATTGCGGTAGTGCTTGATTTCTCGCAGCTGGTCAGCCAACATGACTGCCCTCCTCGTTCTTGACTGTAGAGGAGGAGGTAGAGGGCACCAAGCCGCGTAACGAGTGCCATAATGATAATACTGAGTCCCGGAAACCGGACCGCTCGCCCAGCTGACCAGCGTTAGCGAGAAGGAAGGGGTCACATTTCTGTTTGTAGCCTCGAACCAGCCCCACGGTCACGAGGGAGGATTGCTTGAAGCTAGAACGATTTACGCCCTACTCCTCTGGATTGGAAGAGAAATTGATCAGAATAACAGGCTACTTATGTACGTGTGGAGTCATCAGAGTAGACGGGGAAAGGAAAGCACATGAGGAAAAGTAAGTAGACATTAAGAACCGCGTGCGGGAGAAAGATACTGGTACATGAATTGGAGTAAGAAAAACACGGCCTATTCGTGATAGAAGGAAGATTATGTAAGAAAAGACACAAATAATAAGAAAAGAAAACCGTCCAGCTCGTCAACACCTTGAATTCATTCGTTGGTTCGTAGATTGTGATTGTCGAATACACGCGCGCAGATAAGCACGAGGGAGATGGTTGGATGCGTGGGAAGAGCTGGTGATACATCATGTTGGGAGTTCCAGGGTACAACAGAGCAGCAATAGGAGGATGGAAACTTGCAGAACTGGCTCACTCTATAGCCAGTGAGTGGTGGCTTTAACTTGAGCTTTGAATGAGATCAATTCCGGCGCCGAGCGTACGATCGTCCACCCTTGGTTTGCCCGAGCTTTGGTTCATCGTCATGGCATGATGGCGCATCTGTTCCTCCTCGAACAACTTCCTGCCAACATCTGCTCGGAGCCCCAAGTTTTGCTTTTGTGTTATCGAGGCTGACCCAGTTCGCTGAGGGGCGGCTGGGACAGGGGAAGGATGCAGATACTCGTTGTAGTTGAATTCCTGTTGTTGAGGTAACTTCGGACTTTCTTGTCTGACTGGTGGCATTGTCGGAGGCGGTAATAATTGAGCCGGGGTCGGAACAACGGCTCGAGGAACCGGCGCCACTGCAATTGCGGTTGTCGGTACAGGAGTCGACGTGCGTGAGTTGCCTGGCGTTGTGCCACGCATTTCACCTCCAATACTCGAGACACTTGACGTGAAACTATCCATTCCACGACTTAGTGTCTTGGGGGCGCCGTCTGCATCAGCCATGCTTCCAGCGGTGGGGAAAAGGACGCGTCCTTTTGGCCGTGAGCCATTGAGAGCACGATACGCAGCCAGGTCGCGTTGATCTCCTTTCCGAACAGGTGACGGTGATGTTGCCAAGAACAACATCAAATCAGCCGCCTCGTTATCTGAGGGACCAGCTCTCGGGGTTCCTGTTTGAGGTGGAGGGGTTGCACTCGCTCGATGGACATCGGGGACTGTCGACGCCGAAGGCTGTGAAGCATTTGACCCCACGTGCCTGGCTGAACTTTGCGCAAAGTGAGAATACGATTGCGCTGAGCCATTGTCTGACTCGTCTAGACTGGAGCGGGGTGATGACGCGCTTCCAATCGAGGGCCGACTGTTGAGAAGGAGGGAAGTCAGGGTTGCTGCTGCCTTCATATCCACATCACCATCAGCATCGACTTCGTTGACGCGCCGTTGTTTCTGTTTTCCCTTGTCGAGGGAGCGCTTTGCTTTCCGCTTTTCGAGCTTTTCGTCTGTCCGGCTCTTATGACTGGCGCGTGTGCCCTCGGCAATGCTGCGGGATGCCACCTTGCTTTGGCGTGTTCGTGGCGAGGCTGGTGGTCTCGAAGATGCTGTAAGTGGTGGGTCGTTGGCATTTAAGATTGTCCTGGCTTGTTGAGCAGGTGGGGGAGCGAGAATGGACGTGAAGAGGGTCTGGGGACGCGTTGAATCCGTTCCGCTTCCACCGGCTGTCGTTGGATAGTACTTGGCCGCGGAGGGCGGTGCAACTATTTGGCCCGACGTTGAACCAGGTCGACGAAGAGGCATCGAGCCAGAGGCAGATCCCTGGGTCGCTGGGTTGTTGTAGTAGTTATTCCCGCCAGGAGATTGGCCTGGGTAGCTTGCGGCAGACGCCGAGGCCTTCCGTTTGGCGGCCATGGTGCGCGCATATACCTGAATTTGGCTCTGTGATTGAACCTCGAGGTCGCGCAGGGGCATATGGGCAATGTTGTGGGTTGCCTTATATGAGGCATAAGAGAGACGCGTCCGAAGGCTACGGGTTATCTGAGCAACAGTCAGCATCGTGTAATCGGTGAGCAAGGGATGGAGGAAGAAGGGGGTAGCCGAAAAAGCGCGGTTGAGGAGGCATCGTCGGTTGTCGCGGGGGTAGGGGGGAATGAGCCAAGACGCGTCTCGAATGCTTACATTAGATATCTCTGCACGGGCCTTGAACTTCTCAATCGCACGCTTTCGTTGATCAGGCTCGGTAGATTGGCTGGAGAGGGGACTGAGAACGACTGTGCCCGAGAGAGGAGCCTGAGGAACTGGGGAAGGAGTCGTGGCAGAAGATGATGGGCTAGCCATCGCGTGTAGCTCAAGCGTTAGCAAAACTCCGCTGTCGGTTGTCGTTTTCAGGGAGACGGTCGTCGGCGCGAAACGAGGGAGGGCGGCGTCGCGTCTCACCTCTGAACGCGAAGGGAGAGTGACAGTTGTGATGCGTGTGACTAGAATCAGTCACGCGGCACATCAAATCCGTCAGAAACTGTGCCTAATCGGGATGTACGTTGCCAATTCAGGCGTCGCCATCCTCACATCTGACCACGAGAGACTTCCCTCGCCGTGTTGCGGCTCGCACCAAGTTGCAACATCGCATCAGCCATCGATCACCGCCTTTCAATTATGCACCCAGCTTCGCTCACCAAGTATCATTGCACCCATATGGTCCCATTGAGTGACACTGAAACCTGTTGGACACTCAAACGATCGTCCTCAAAAGCATACTAGTCGCCTCGGTCATTATCCAATTGACCACTAGTTCCAGACTACAATGTATTCGTTCGGTAGGTATCGCTATTTGAGATGGTACACAACAATAAAAGGAAAGGCATCTCGAGCAAGAGAAAGAGAGAGAAAAAATTTAGTCGTTAATTTTCGTGTTCCGATTGGCTACGCGTCGTCCTTCTTGTGAGTGACCGTTCCCTTGACACGACTTCTCATGGCAGCTGCTTTGGGAGCTGCAGTTGGACTTTTGCCGCGCGCGACTTCGACGGCGCGGCGGGTTGGACTACCATTCTTCGGCGTGGAAACTGTGTGCTTCTTGACTTTGAACAACAGTTTTCTAACACCTCGTTCGTCTGGCTCGAAATCCGGATGTTCGGGCGGCAAGAGTGAGTTTGGATTCTCATCCTTAGCCTTGTCGTAGTATGGGTTGGGAAATTCGCGTTTAACACCTCGACTGCAGTGGCCATGTTATTAAGCTGACTGGTGATAAGACAATGAACGTACTAAACAAAAGTCATGGTCGGCTTTTCGTCGATCACGCTCGGTGCACTGGCTGGTGCCACTTCGAGTTCGCCATCCAGTGGCGTTGCAAGGAATGGGTTGTTAGCCTCGTCACGAGGAAGGTCAAGCTTGCGACGTTTCGCAGGTGGCGTGGAAGGTGGTGAGGTTGAAGTCGGTTGCGGCACCCGCACTTTCTGCTTGACCCGTGGTTTGGGTTTACGATGGGAGGGCGGCGGAGAGACGGGAAGAATGAAGGTTTGCGAGCTGGCCTGTTGGAGTCGTCTATACACCAACGGATGGTCTTGGTCCTCGGTTTCACCATTGACAGGCTCAGACTTTGGTTGGGTTTGGGACCGCCAAAACGCCTCCTCCTCTTCAGCTTCCTTTGAAAGCCGTTCGTTTATGTCCGGAGCCTCATCGCTAGCCTCGTCAACCGAGCTAAGTCCTTCGTCGTCACTGTGAAGAGATCTGGTTCGTCGTTTGCGTTTTGTGACTGTACGCGGCGGGGTGGGTAGAGACGATGCCACCGAGACGGAGCGTTTCAGTCGCGGTGGGGAAGACGGTATCGCAACTGGAGACGAGTCCAGACGCGCAGATATCGTCGGCATTGGGGGGAGAATGGAAGGGGGGAACAAGAGACGCGACTGGTCTTATATGATGCCATCAGCTCATTGTCACCACGTGTTTCATTGCTTATTGCGCTCAGGCCGCCATGTCCATTTCTGCTGGCTACAATAGTCCGTATTAATTATGGAAAAAATCCGAAGAACAAAAGAGCTAGTTGCAAGTTGGGATTGTGATCGCTTTCAGCGTCCGACTACCCCATTGGTGAGTTTAGGGTGGCATTGAGCAACGAGATTCTCACTTTGCATAGAATAGTCCCCACCAGCCCTCCACACCACCATACATGTCGTCCTGGACTAAATCAGTGCGATTCCTGTGCTTAAACGACCTTCACACCTTCCATTTCTCGTCAAAAAGTTCGAAGAAGAAGTACCTCCAGAACTGTCAATATACCAAAATGCGGGGAAGAAGAGCAACCAACTTGGTTCCGTTTCGGTTCGCCTGGCATACAAAGGTGTCGAGGAAAACCTTTTGCCAGAAATCAGTTATCTATCTGATGCTGCCAGTGTTCTCGACATAAGTACCTGAAGATTAGCTTCCGTAGCTTGCGATGGTGGAGCTCCCATGGTCTGGAGGCTCGTTTGTGTGTACTTGGTCGGCCATCCCGTCTCTGCGATGTACATTTCCGGCTTGTTTGGCAGGCCATTTGCCACAACCACATTCGTCTCCTCAAAATACTGCCATGTCCACCCTGCCGCATCTTGCACTGTTGTTCCTGCAAACCTGAACCTGATCAACATTGTTCATGCTTGGGCACAACCTCATTACCAAGCATGTACGTTCGACAACTTTCACTCGTCAGTCAAGACACAACCAACAAGGTGGCAACCCACGCCATAGTCAACGTTTCGAAGAGTGTCCGTATTAAAATAGGCCCCGGCCTCGGCATTCCCGATCTAAAAAATCTGTCAGTACCCGAACCCATATCTCAAAGTAAAACGACCCACCGGGATGTTGCCGTGGTTCAAGTCACGCATGACTGACTTGGTATCGTCAATATCTGCCTTCAAAAGGGCTGCACCCGTGTTTCCGACGCTGCCGTTTGGATCTGTCGCGGAGTTTGCGGTCACGTAGCTTTGTATTGTGAGTTATTGTCAATCTTGACGACAAATGTGACACACTTGAGCATGAACTCATTCCCCACAGTTATTCCCCCAATGTGCTCTGTGCCATAAGTTTGGATCACCCGCGTCAGCTCGTCTCGTTGGCGCCGATATGCTGTCCCGTTGTCTGTTGGGATAACGTAGTTGCCAACCCAAACGGTCATTTGAGCCTTAGTTTGCTTAATCGCTTCAAGGACCAATGCGGTTTGGTTGCAGTCCGCGCCTGCGACTGCCGTTGAGCTTACTGCAGGTGCATAACATTTGATAACTTGCCATATAGACGAATCCGCTGATACTAGTTTAGTCGTTGCTAGCCATGGAATACGAGGATGTCTCTCACCGTTGTAAGCTGCGACAAAAGTTGGACATCCCTTATCACCTCCTCCAATTTATTACCACAATTGGGCATTTGCGAGCCTTCGGGAGTATATGCAATGCCGTAGAACGATTGCACTAGTTTCGGGTCTTTGGCAAACACGCTTGGGTCGGAGCCCGAGTTGGATCCGGAGGAGGAAGAAGAGGATGATGATGATGATGATGATGACGAGGATGAAGAGCGTCTAGTGAGGACGACGGCAACGGCGACAGCTGCAGCAATGAGTGCTATTAAGCCGACAATGCCAACAATAATCATTGGTTTCCGACGTGTGGGCTTTTTCGTTATGGGCTTTTCCTGCCATTGAACTGCGTTCGAGACCATCGGAATTGACTCTGGCTGTTGGCCGTCCTTTTGATCCAACTCAATACGCAGTTAAAAAAACACATCGTCCATACCGGCGAATCGTAATACTGCTGCAAGTCGGATTGTGAGTTCTGCGGCTCGTAGCTGTAAGGAGCGTGTGGTGGCATTTACTGGGGGAAAAGGAAAGACTTGGTCCCAAGACTTACCTGGCTTGGTCTTTATTCTACTGCGCACTTGCCAAGTAGTTGCCATACTTAGGGGTTTAGCGTGTTTGGTCTTGGATCCTTGATCGCGATCACGAGCTCGACTAAAGTCTCTTGACTGACGTCGACGTTTGTTCTTTTCCACAACCATGATGCCCGTCTTCTGATATGCGCGACTCCTCTTTTGCATAGCTGGCGCTCGCGTCTTCTACAGAAATGAAATTGGACAAGTCGTCTCTGCCACAATGCAACGGATCGTCAGAGAAACGGTGAGTTGTTTGAGGATCACCTTGAAATATAAATACCCTTTACAGATAGAACGGCATGGTCATCCTGAACTTGTGCACAGATTCCGAACTGAATGTCCGATTACCGTAATCGGACACCTTCGCGACTTTTTTTACAAGGGAGGCCACTGTGGCTCGTATGTAGGAAATCAGAATTTACGTCGATTTGGAACTAGCTGTACCCGGAACTTTAATTGGAGGGCATGTGATAACTGCGATAACTGGTGTCTGCTCTTGCACAACAAAGCATTGACCGCCACAGCTTCCAACACTGCTTCGTCAAGACTCTCCACTTCCTCTGGCTCTCGCGATTGGAGTAGCTCATCATGACGAGCTATCGTCAATGTAGCGATAGAAGCCATGTTGTCCGCAACTACGGCAGCACTTGGCCTCTTTCCTGCCTCTTGAGCCCAATAGGTGAGAACGTATTGCCATAAAAGCACGGGCATCGCAGGATTCCCGGATGGTCGAGGTTCTCTTTCTCCGAACAGTATTTTCAACATCGCAGCACCTTCTGAATAATCTGCGAAGGGTGGCCTCCCGGTGTATAACTAAAAACTCCCATCAATAAACTCGCGACGACGTGGGCTCTTTCTTACCTCAACGCAGACAAACGCAAAGGCGAACACGTCTGTTTGCGGGGTTCTCATATAGCGTGTACCGAGGCGGTCGGGATCAATCAACTCGGGAGCCATCCACCGTACATTCCCCGCTCGTGACGATGTGGATGCAGTTCCCCCCCGAGAAAGCACTCAATCCAAAGTCAGTCAAACAGGCCGTGTGTGCGTGATCGATGAGTATATTTGCCTGAATAGGTGAATGAGTGCATTTGGGGCTTTAGTTAGTTGGACAGAATTTACGCCACGAAGATCCCCATGCACAATACCGAGCGAATGTAGATATTTAAGTCCTTCTGCGATTTGTAAAAGCTACCAGGACTAAGTGTCGGGCATATTGTTCAACGAAGGGCTCACAAATTGAATGATCTGCTCATGACCGTGGTTTTGCAGGAAAGTTAAGATGTTCCCGTTTCCCATCCACGGCGAGACCAAACAATATGAGCCAGAAAATGTGTCGTTGTCAACGCCGATGAAGGGGAGGATGCTGGGGTGTCTAAGCCCCTTCCACACCAGTGCTTCTCGCAAGAGTTTCTGTTAATATACCTTGGCAGCCACTTATCAACCCTGAATGTTCGCACCTGCTGATTGAGACGAGCCTCCGATTCGCCACCATATAATGACTGCCGCATTCGTTTCAAAGCAACGGGCTTTCCCTTGTAGCTTGCCCTGAAGATGTCTCCGAATCCGCCCCCATACGGTTGTGGTATTCTCCGTAATATGTTGGTCGTCTGAGTGGAGGAGGGTCTTGAAATGGATATCGTTTTCAAGCCCAAGTTGGCTCGCTATCTGAATGACGCAGTCGTTACTTTATCTGAATGACGCAGTCGTTACTTGTGTTTTCAGACTAGGGAGGCTGAGCTCACAGAGACCACGGCTCTTCGATGGTCTATACTGTCGCTGATAGCACAGATCGCAGGTTTGGCCTCTGCCAATGCATTCAATGCCTCCTTTGCGGCTAAAGTCTTCAGTTGTTCTGCATTTGATTCCCTGTGAGGTTTCTCAGATCGACACCATCTTGTAACTCGTATGAATATACCACGATTGAGTGGGCGCGGCACACCAGCCCTGGAGGAATGAGACTGAAGCCTGTTTCTCGTTGTCAATCCCATAAAAATCAGGGGGAGAAAATTCAACTTGCCTCATACAGTACCACGCTCGATGTTGGGATGAGCGCCGTGTAGGGAGTGGGCTTGAACCATGGAGCGCGCTTGATTCCGGACATAGTGGTCGTCCTTGGACCTTCAAGTTCCTGTCGAGGGATTGGAGAGCAAGGCAACTTGAAGCAGCTGCAGTGCCCCAAGGCATTGAAAGGAAGCTAGCTTGTGAGAGCCTGGGAGCGATGGATCAAATGCTGGATGTCACCGCGAGCTCGAGGCATGATTCTCCGAGCTCTGAGTGTTCAGTGACTGCAGTCATCGTCGGTGCTTTGAACAACATCATTTTTTGGGAGGGCTCACTGGTTGATGGGACGATTCGATCAACTAATTCGGGCCGGGACGCCTTCTTTCTCAGTTTCTGAACACAACATCGCAGTCAGTTGCGTGTGAGCATATATGTTGTGTAAACGCAGGGCGTCTATCGATCAAGGGTGGTTGCAACTACTGCCTCCTCGATGGCCAACTCGAACTACAACTGGTTCACCGCGACATTCAAAGAAGGTCTATCCAGGTCGTATGTTGCAGGGGTGCTAGCGGAATGCATTGGGGACATAGGTGCGAAGTTTGTTGTAGTTGTAAGAGTGCCAGTGATCGAGGTCCTCCATAGTGCAGTCAATGCTGAATGACAGTGCAGTCAGTTCTGCCTGGGTCACCGAGTTTCAATATTCCACCAATCGTTTTGATCAAGCCCTCCGAGTCTTCAGCTTGCTCGATGCCCACAACCTGGACATAAACTTAATTTTGAGCTTTCATAGAGCTGTGTTGAATGAGGACGGAATTCGTTCCGTTCTCCGCGACCGTTTTGAGCTTGTCCCAGTAAGTCCTTGTTTATAGTCCTCTTTGGCTGAAGTTATCAAGCGAAAACTATTGCAAGACTCGGACCCAGACGTGGCCTAATAACCCGACAATGGAGGTTACAACCACCTTACCTGCCGAACAAATGCCTTTCGAGGTTTATTATCATCACCTCCTTCGCAAACATCGCGGCATTCCTCTGTACTCCCCAGCACCGCGAGACACTCTTCCTGAGACGTATCGAGAAGCGGGCGTGTTTATTGGTGATGTTGGTCGCATCACAAGTGATGGCTCCTTTGATTTTTTCTTCAACGTGTATCGTGCTGCAGACGACCCAGTCAACGTGAATGGAGTTCCGGCCGGGTTTACTCTCCTTGCGATGTATCCTCATTATCACATTTCGCACAAAACGCGGCGACCCGGCGACTTCGTCGGAAGTCTTTCCATTCAACTAGAGTCAACGCAGCCTTTCGATCCTTCGCAGTATGTGCTACGATTACGGCGACTCTCTTTGCCTGCGCTGATCCAACTAAAAGTTTTCCCGGTGCTGAATATATATTTCATTCCACTCACTCTGATGGGGCAGTACTAGCCCTGCCCCACGGCTCTCAGGTGCAGAAAGTGGAGGCCATCAGGACAATGAGGCAGTATGCAGCCCAGAATGCTAAATATTGGTACGAATTTGCGTTGGGGCCTGAACTAGGACGTGATATTGAGAACGGCCAACTCTATTTTGTCACTGGCTGGGAGAAGGCGCCATCTTGGGGTATAGCTTCGTTCCAAACAGGATACACGCCCCAAGCCATCGCACAACAGCTTCGGTTTCAGCCTACTGCTCCTCTTGAATCACAATACAAGTATCGCTGGAGCTGTTTACCCAGCATTGCCGACACCGATTTTGCGGACGCACCAATGATCACCGCACCACTCAATCAAACACTTTTCCTCCATGCATTTGCGATTTCTCTGGACGAAGCACTCTGGCTCCAACTACTCGCCGGCAACGATGCAGTCCAGACTGTGCACCACCCTCCAGCGGCAGGACCAGGTTTCTCCTCTCTACAAATCAGTCCTCATAGAGCGTCATCTTGGATGGCATCGTTCTCTCGTCTAATACCAGGGTCTGGTGGAGGGAATACCGATGATGCGGCGGAACAAGGCTCCAGCGATGTCTTTATGTCTGCTACCCCTCCTCCTCCTCCTTCACGTGTGCGTCCTCGTCGCCTTCCCTGCGGTACTCATATTTGACGGCGGCACAGTTGTTTCACCCTTCGCAGCTGATCAACGAGGAACTTCTTCGTCAGGTTGTCATTCACAACACTGATTGTCTGCGATTGCCTGAGCAAGCTACAGATCAATGGAGTAACGGTGGCCATAACACACAGTGATGACTGGATGGAAATACTGGTAAATTTACCTGTCGCGTATATTCAGAACATTTACGGGCCCAGGACGACTCTCGGCCTTCTCCACTAGCTGCTGTAACTCCAGAATTGTTCAAGGAGGCCATATATGATGACTGCCTGGAGGTCAAGAAGGAAGAAGGCAAGAAACACCCTGGTGTCCGTTCTGCTTGATTCTTACTATCACGAAGGTTTTGTGTATCTCGAACGACTGTCTGCACCAACCTCGAGGTAGAACTGACTTCGCATCTCTTGCTTAAGGATGGTACTCATCCTCCACAGCGCACTTATGCTGAGAGAACTAAGGCCTCACGCGTCGACCAATCCCCCCTCCCAAGTTAATCGACGTCGACCCCCTTCTCAGCTATCGTCAAGTTCTCAACCTGACTTGCAACGGCAGGATGCCAAAGAAAATACACAACAGAAAAAAACAAGTTGCAGTAAACAGCGTTTCCGAGCGGGTAACCGTGTGTTTTACTGGGATGGGGGCGGACGCACAGTCTATTGCGTGATTAAGTCTCTGGCCATTATTCCGGTAACCTTTTCCATCCGTATGTCTGAACCGAATAACCTCGTTGGTGTCTAGGGTGGGACTGTGGCCGTCACGGCAATCACCGACTCTGGCACTACGATGCGGCTACCGTGAGTTACATAGAATAATCCCAGCTCCAACACTATTTTCCTAACGGCTGACAGTGCAGCTGCCTTGCAAAACTTGTCCGTGTAAGATAATATCTTGATTACATGTTTATTCTACACTTTGTGTCGTTCTGTAAGTAGAAAATGTGAAAGATCGTCACGTGATCATGAATTGGGCGGGTATGCGCAAAGAAAGAGAAAGGCGATATGGATACAGAAGTAATGGGTTCTACAGTGTCCGGGAGAAGCAAGCAACTGGCTAGTCCTCTTCCTTTTCTTTCGCCTTGGGCTGGGACGAGGAGGAGCGCTTTTGCTTCTTGAGCACCTTTGGTCGGTGGAAACCGTCCTCAGTGTTCGCGTGATGGGTCGTTCTGCCAGAAGGCAATGTTCGTCGTCGCGTGACTGTGGCGGTGCCATCTTCTGGAGACTCTTTAACAGGGGAGAGACTGCTTTCGTGGTCCCGGGAAGAGTCCGTCGAATCTGTCGAATCTCAGTGAACGAGCAAATAATGTGCAATAGAAGGCAGACCGATGGTTGTCTTCCGCCTTGTCATCGGGGGCGGGGCATCTGGTTTGCTGACTACTCGCCACGATCCACCAACAGCGCTGTCGTCGCCATCATCCCAAGAGTCGGGGGAACCTGGTTCATGTCCTACCGGCGGCGGTGGAATGTCAAGCATGAACCAGTCTTGCTGTGCGATCAAGAATTCAAGTACCCGTTGACTGAGGTCATGCTCGGAAGGGCTCATCTCGTGGGCTGGATGTGATATGAGGCCAGGACGAAATATAACGGCGAGATCTATAGATGGGTTAGTGTGAGTTCAGGTAACGAGAATAGGTGGCACACTGGAAGCGGTCATGAGATTCTTGTCGGATTTACGGGCGAAAACTGAGAGAAGATCGAGGACATAGAGAAGGAGGTATTGGTTTGCACGAGGCATTGAACGGATGAGACGTTTGTAGGTGGCGATCACTTCATCTTGATTGAAGGGCACTTTCGCTATCGCACGCAGGGTAAGGGAGTGGATTGGGTTACAAGTCAAATTTCTCACAAAACGCATCCCGAACCTAGGGCAAGGTGAGTCTGACGGTAGAATGCACCAATAGTGACATACTGCATGATACATAGCATGAGGAATGACAGGTTCCTATAGCGCCAATGAAAAAAAAGGAAACGCTTCAAGCGACAAGCATACGGGCATCTGAGTAAGGTATCGTCGAAACACACTTGCTACATCATGCTGAAACAGAGTTAGCTTTCGTACGGAATGAGGCTAGCACCTACTGTCGTATAAGACTCTTGCTTCCAGTCCAACGATTTCCCGTACTATCCTGACAATTAACCATGGTTTCAATGCCAATAAACTGCGCACTCGTGGCGGTGTCTCGAAGAGAGCTTGCAACTCGCGCATACGCCTGCTCGATCCACTGACACGGAAAGTCCCAGGTACTTCGGTAGCTGCCAAGAGATTAGTGGTGGAAGTAGAAGCAATGTATGACGCACCGTTTTCCTTCAGATATAGCCCACTGCCAAACGAATGAACGCGTAACAACAACACAGCTATGACTCCTACGTTTTGGCTACCACCACGGGAATATAGCCCCACACATAGAGTTCGCCATTCTGGGTGGGTCACTTAGTACAGGAAGGAAAGCGAAGGGGAGGACGGACCGCATTTGCCGTGGATATTTGGACGGAAGCATATTTCAAGCTCTCCTTCAAAGGCTTCCCAAACACAGGGTGCGGTGGTTCGTTGTCTTGTTGCTTGGGCTTGGGCCCCGCCGCAGTGAAGCTTGCCCACCAAGACTTGAGGCCGTTGTGATCATGCTTTGGGGGTGATTCGGTAGACAGCATAGCAGGGGCCTCAGATGAAAGAGGGAAGTGACGACCGCTTCGGTCGAGACTTGTTAGGGAACAGAGAGAGGCGGCGGAATCGTCGCGGAGCAGCCAGATTACAAGAGGCGAGCTCGAGGGTTGGGGGGAGAATTCAGGAAGGTGTGACGTCAGCGTGACCTATTTTGTCGAAGTGGGCGCTTCGACAGCCACCTTGTTCAGGCGCTCTTCTCGGATCTGGGCCGCCTTTGACCCATTTCTGCAAGACCATCAGTGTGTAGATGGAAACTTTCACTCCCTCCCGATCTGGGGAACTCTTCCGAGTCATTCCATGGCTGAATCCACGGTGGACATCATATTTGCTGGAGGTACTGCTTTTTCTTGTTTAAAAACGAAAAATTCACTCCAGTAACTAGGCGGAACCACAGCGTGTGTTGTCGCTGGCCGCCTGGCCGCAGCGGATCCGACCTTGAATATTCTCGTAGGATATTTGCTCTCCCCTCCAATCACGACTCAAGTCCGCGCAAGATAATAGAGGCTGGGAAGCATTCAGAGAACGTCAAGAACCATATCCAGCCCGCAAGGTGGCCTTCGCTCCTGCCGCCAGCATTAATTAGACATGCAACAGATACTGCAACAACTTTAGGTTGGGTGACTCGTTTACCTTCCATGTCGCTGAGCCAAGCGCATCGCTCGATGGCCGAAAGAGTATTTTGGCCTCGGGAAAGGCTGTCGGTGGAGGCAGCGCCGTGAATTGTGTGTCGCTTTCATCTCGCCCTCATCTCAATATTGAAGCCTGCTATCCCAGTCATGATGCATGTCATGCTCTTATCGCCGTCCTAAAAGCTGACATTCTACAGGTATACGCGCTGCTCTCCTTCAGACCTCGACGACTGGGAGAAACTCGGAAACACTGGATGGGGTTCGACAGATCTTATTCCCCTCGCTAACAAGGCGAGTCTAAACTCGTGAGAGTTATTTCTGGAGATGACCCTCAACAGGCAGAGGCGTTCCAACCCACCCTTCCCGGGCATGGCTCATCTGGACCAATTTCGGTGACCGCAGTCTCGAGTCTCGAACAAATAGAGAGTGGGGTGGGAGAACAATTTCTTGCTGTCGCTGCAGTTCGGGACTCTGAACGCAAGATCATCCCTGACTCGAATAATCTTTCTGCTTCAACCATCAACAATTATAGTGTGCGTAATTCCCATTCATACGTCGTTGGTGTTCATTTTCTTCAGCCGTGGTCACGGTACATCTCGCTCCTCCTTCACCTAGAACCGCTTCGTGACATGACCCAGATATGTGTCTCCCCAAACAGGGAAGCGATCCGACACTGCACACCACTACATCTATAACCAGGGACATAACACCAAGAACATTCAAATCTTAACTTGTTGTCGCGTCAAGCGGGTGATGTTCCGGTAAAGGCGCTCTGGCTCCATTCAATTTTTCTTTCTGACCCTCCGAAGGAACAAGCGGGCTATAGGTGTTGAGTATTTCGACCATCATTCAGAAACCGTGGACCCGCGAACTGCACTTACAGCATATGCATCGAAACTGGTTGTTCTATCTAGCGGAGTCTTTGGCTCATCAGCAATACTTGAACGGTACAGTCTTGGCCTCACGGCTAAATCTTACTTTGACTTGGAAAATAGTTCGGGCATCGGTGCAAGACCCGCCCTCGAAGCTCTTGGTATTCCCGTCATAGCCGAATTACCAGGCGTTGGAGAGAACTACAACGACCACGTCTGTTTGCTACCGCCTTATCGCACCTCCGATGATGAAATCACGTTGGACGAAATCTTCTATGGCACAGACCAAGTCATCAAACGTGAATTTTGATTTTTTAGCTCTGCTTACAATGAATGACTTTGAATGCAGCATACGAAGACCGCTGGCTACAAGATGGTCAAGGACTAATGGCGCACAAGTGAGTACTTGACAATTTTAGCATCGTCTTATGTAATGTTTCCCTTTCAGCGGGAACGAAGCAGGCATAAAAATCCGACCGAACGAGCAGGATCTCAGAATGCTGGGATCTGATTTCTCCCCGCGATGGGAGACGTTCTTCAAAACACACCCAGACAAACCAATCATGTGCTTCGCCCCTGCGGCATACTATGCTGGTCTCGACTCCGAAGCGCGCCGGCACAAGCACTTCAGCATGCTTTATTATGCAGTTCGTGGCCTCTAGTCATTCTTAGCCGTCCCTCAGCTCGAAACTAGGATTACCCGGCTTCCGTTGGATCTACACACATTCAATCGACTGACCCGTATTTCCCACTATCTGTCAGACCCGGTTATCTCGATAAGTGCGTCTTATCCGGTCTTCAAACAGAGTTGCGACTAAAAACTCTTGAACAGAGCCGAAGACGTGGCTCTACTGCGTTGGGGCTATAAATGGACCCGAGAAATGGCGCGACGTATGAACTCGTACCGAGGTGAATTCGCGCCAGACCATCCACATTTTCCTGCTGGCAGCCAAGCGACGTGTGGGTTTGCAGATGGCCCAATCCCCGTTTTGGGGCCGGACATCAAGTAAAAACCTCAGCCAACCATGACGATCTGATCTTATTGATGTCGGTTAGATATACTGCGGAGGACGACAAAGCTATTGACGCTTTCCATCGCGCGCGAGCGCAGACCACCTGGCACGGAGTCAGTGACTTTATCAACAACCATTGACAATTGCTCAATTTCATAATATCAGCTCGGTACTTGTGCCATGAAACCTCGTGAGCTGGGAGGCGTAGTTGACGCACGACTCTCAGTATACGGAGTAGAAGGCTTGAAAATTGCCGATTTAAGTATTGCGCCCACAAACGTCAGTACGAACACGTACAGTACCGCCTTGATGATTGGAGAAAAGGCGGCGGTCCTCTTTGCTGAAGAACTTGGCATCTCTGGTGTATAGATTCCTAGAAATTAGAATTGTTGGTCGATAGGGGTGAGAACCTGTGACTGATGCCGCACGCGACCTGTCACATCATATCTCTTGTTCAGTCCTCTCACAGAGTCTCAGCACATACGCCACAAAAAATAATTGGCCTGCGGCGCCAGAATTCTCTGCACTCTTAGCATCGAACCAGGAAGCGTCCTTCTCTTGTCACTCCAACTTTTCCCTCGCCTTCCTTGGCTGACCCAGGCCACCGAACACGATCGCACAACTGAACTAAATTGCCAACCCGACGAAGCCCGTGACATGACCGTGGCCTAAGAAGACCGGCAGGGTCCCATGATATGGCCGGACTATTTAAAACAGCTGGGGCTAGCAGGTTCCACTTCTCCACTTGTCAACAATGTCCCAGCCTCAGTACGATATCATCTTCGCTGGGGGTGCGTTTTCTTCTATTCGCCCTCCTTGGGGAGCACTGATTCGGCCTTTCAAGGCGGAACCACAGCGTGTATCGTCGCTGGCCGTCTTGCTGCTGCAGACCCGAATTTGAAGATTCTGGTGCGTTTTATGGCTCCAGCTTTCGTCTGCTCATCTGATTGTCTTAGCTTATCGAAAGTGGAAAGCACACGCAGAATATTTCTACGCATAACCAGCCAGCGCGGTACTATGCTAACCTGGCGAGTGGCGGCGACACATTCACTTTCCACGTCGCAAAACCCAGTCCGGCTCTCCGTAATCGCCCCTGCATTATTCCGTCTGGAAAGGGTGTCGGCGGCGGCAGTAGTGTCAACTGTGGGTTGGTCCTTCACTCTGTTTGAAGCCACTGATGATTCTTTGAAGTTTTGATGTACACTCGCGCCAGCCCATCGGACTACGACGATTGGGAGAGCCTGGGCAATCCTGGCTGGGGATCGGCTGATCTCATACCTCTGGCGAATAAGGTGACTTGACTTCTCTTCATGAAATTCACAATTATATGTCCATACAGGCAGAGACTTATGGCTCAGGGAAGTCCGGGGCACACGGCGCTTCCGGGCCGATCAAAATATTGAATGTCAGAGATCAGTCTGACATGCAGACGAATACCGCAAAGCAGTTCATGGCCGTTGCTGCTGTACGCGACAAAGAGCGCGGCTTCACCGACGACGCGAATGATTTCACAGTAGCCTCCATCAACAAGTACTCGGTAAGCATTGTCGTTTTCTCCTCCCTTTCTCACCAGATTCACGTAGCCATGGTCCCGGTAAGGGCAAATGAAAGGCATGACATCACGTTCTCAACTACACCCAGATACGTGTCCCCCGAGACCGGCCACCGTTCAGACACGGCGCACCACTACGTCTATAATCAGACGCACAACAAGAATCTGGAAATCCTCGTTCACTGCCGTGTGAAGCGCGTCATCTTCGAGTATGTCACTCTCTCTTGTTGTTCGACTCGAATTCCCACATGTTTCGCCTAGAGAAAATCGTGCCGTGGGCGTCGAATACCTCAGTCACCATCCTGACAATGCGGACCAAAACTCCATTTTTGTGGCGCGGGCGTCGAAGCTTGTCGTTCTCTCCGGTGGCGCATTTGGGTCTCCTGCGATCCTGGAGCGGTTAGTGATGGTGCTTTTGTTGTACTTGGCTCAGTTGAAGATGTTAGATCTGGGATCGGCTCCCCTGATATTCTGAAGACTTGCGATATCAAGCAAATTGTGGCTCTTCCTGGTGTTGGCGAGAACTACAACGGTGCCGTACCTAAGGTTAACTCCTAATCTCATCTCATCTTATCAGATCACAATTTGATGTTACCTCCCTATCAAACAACAGACGATGAGGTGACTCTGGACGACATCTTCCATGGCAGCGACGAGAAAATCAAGCGTGGGTTGTTTGAAACGACTCAACCAATGACTTGAGCCTTTTGTAGCTCATCAAGAGCGTTGGCTGAAGGACGGCCAAGGCTTAATGGCGCACAAGTGTGCTTTTCTGTTTGGTTTCTTTTCGCTCATAGCTTTTATAGCGGAATTGAAGCGGGTATAAAGATTAGGCCCTCCCAACAAGACTTGGAGGTCCTTGGACCGAGTTTTGCTCAACGCTGGAACGAGTTCTTCGCAAATCATCCCGATAAGCCGGCTCGTGCAATTTTGGTCCCAGATTTCTTTTAAATATTGATGTTTTTATCAGGTGATGTGCATTGCGACCCTTTCGTCGTATGTCGGGGGCAATCCAGCAGCGCCAGCGGCCAGCCGGCATTACACAGTTTGCTACTATACTGTGCGTGGTGTCTTGAGACCTGTCATCAATTCATCATTTGCGCTTACGCATAGGAATATCCTGCATCGCTCGGCCGAACCCACATTAAATCAACTGATCCGTATACGCCGCTCGAAGTCGAACCTGGCTTTCTCGATAAGTGAATTTTCCACTCTGCTTCTCCTGGAGCTATGCTGAGCCATGCCCAATAGGGAGGAGGATGTCGCAGCGCTTCGGTGGGCGTACAAGTGGTCCCGGGAGATGTCCCGACGCATGGACGCCTACCGAGGCGAGTTTGCCCCAGACCACCCGGCCTTCCCGGAAGGCAGTGAAGCGAAATGCGGACGCCAGGATGGCCCCGTGCCAATTAATGCGCCAGATATTGCCTACACTGCTGAAGACGACAAGGCCATCGACGACTACCATCGTGCTACAATCAGTACGACCTGGCATTCGGTCAGCGCTCCTTCAACATGCTTTCCTTTATCAGCTAATAATGGCACAGCTCGGTACTTGTGCTATGAAGTCGCGCGAACAGAACGGTGTGGTCGACCCACGCTTGAATGTGTATGGCGTCACGGGCCTCAAAGTGGCGGACCTCAGCATTGCCCCAACGAATGTCGCTGCCAACACATATAACTCTGCTATCATCGTAGGCGAGCGCGCTGCGGTGATAATCGCCGAGGACTTGGGCATCAAAGGCGTCTAAATAGACTCATTGAGAAGAAGAGGATTTTATCTGTACAAACAAATAATAACACCGTCCGTCGCTAAGTTGCTCGGCAGCGATCAACACTGAGCTTTGCGGGGTCCGGGTTGCCTAGAATAACGTGATGAATTCAAGTAGGAGGGTCGTGAGACGGTTCTTACCCCACCAGTTGGGAAAGTCCACTCCTTTGCCACTAGCACCAAACACAGCGAAACTGAGGATGAAAAGAATAACCTGACTCCCTCCGTCGAGCGCAGCGGACAAAATATAGTTGTACTAGTGTCAAAGTTTATAAACTGCAACAATGGATGCGACAGGGAGAACAGCTTACTTTGGCAAACCACTTGGGCCGTCTTGTTCGCAGCCACCACTGCGAGTAGACACCAATGATCATGCAGCTCGTCCACTGGCCTGTTTTGTCGCTCAGCACATAGGTAATCATATACCGCGAAGTTGTCTTACCGTTGACGGAGTAAGGTAGCCATCCGATGTAGAGCAGAATGATGGGCAAGTTGAGGTACTTCATAAACCTGGCAAGTTTGGACTGGGGATTGGAGAACTTCCAGACGGCCCAGAAGGGGAAGGGTAAGAAAAGGCCGATCAACCTTGCCAAGCTTCAGCATCAAAATAAGGAACCAAGTTGCATATAACACACATCGCAAAGGGAATAAGCCAGTACGGCTTCCCATGCGCGAACAGCTCCTTCCCGAGAGCACCCATTGCGACCGAGGCACTGTTGTACTGCTGAATGATCCAGCCAGACCACAGCCGCGAGCCAATCGGATCCTTCAGAATCTCGCGGTTATTTTTTATGATCGTTTGCATCACTGTTGCTTCGTCAAACCCAAGCCGAGAAAAGACGGCACACCACGTACTCGTGTAGTTGAAGATTGCACCAATGAGCGAGCCAGCCATCTGCACGCCGAAGGTTATACGGGGAGGCAGCTTCGTGTATTGGCCGAGCTTCAAGTCCTGGAGCAGATAGAGGGTCTGGAAACTTGTCGAGTCTGTTTCAACGGTGAGGAAAGTCATTGTAACGCTATTCAGTCTTACTTCCGTAGAGATTGGCATACATGACTGGTGGAATAATCAATCGATTCTTCGCAGAGAATACTTAGCGTTAGAACGCACCGGGAATTGGCTGCCCTGGGTGAATAAAAGCCGCCATAATCTGGATTGCATATTTTATGCTGATGTTAAAGCCGGTCGTAGCAGTGACTGCAATTCGATGAGCTGAAATTATTTTAAGGAAACCGACACTCGCTAAAACCGAGAACCACAGAAATAACAGCACTGAAGACTAAAAAGAGATCGTCAGACGCTACGACAGTCATTCTGTCCCAAAGGTCTTACAAGTAAAGTACAGGATGCTCCATACCGGCATCAAAACTGTTCCATGCGGTCCAGCATAGCTACAGCCTATGCCGACACCGAGCGACAGAACAAAGAGAGCGCCATAAACCCATTGCGGGACTTCGGCTGTTGAGAGGATGAGCAAGAACAGAAACCGACCCGTATACCAACACACGATATTTCTGCATTTCACGATAATGCGGGTCATCCACGTTGGCGGCATGGCCCCGCTTGAGAAATCTCATCCCGCCGAACGCAGCTGTCAATTCTGGCCAATGCCAAATAAGCAAGTATGTTACAGCCGCGCCAAGGCTCAAGTTATAGCACAGTTGGCTGATGGCATAGGTGGTCGTATACATCGGCAGTCCAACCTCGGCCAACGCAGTTTTGTTAAGCCTGAAATCATCGGTGATGACAAGCGACTGATTGTAAGTGCCGCCGTCCTGACTGAAGAGCGCCGTTGACATCCATGGTAGCGAGCGCCCATTGAAGACGTTGGTGTAGTACGATCCAGTGAGGACTGCATATCCGAGCCACATGCCGATGAATGAGTTGATCTCTGATTAGATGCAAGTTACAAACGCGGTCACGTGAGTATAGGGAGAAACTAACGCGTTTGCAATGGCCAAATAAGCGGGTTGCCTTGAGTGATCAAAGTCCATGATGTGCTGACACTTGCTAAGCCGATCCCTTCATTGCTTGAACCAGCACCAAAGAGGTTGCGAACAAATTCATGTCGTCCATTGTCAGCCAGACAAATGATAGAGAATGCTGTGAGGAGGGGGAATGGGTATTGAGGAATCCATTCCCAAAGGAATATTGCTGCAAACTGGAGGAAAGTAAGGAGCAGTACATCAAGATGAAAAATAACACCCACAATGATCCAGAAGAAGCGCCTTTTCTTGGCATTCAGAGCACCTCGCCAATGGAGGCTCTGCAAAAGATTGACTACGGAGATATAGTTGGGATAGAACGCGCTTGTGTTGATCATTAGTCGTTTGCAGCTGAGGTTATCTTGACCGTTCCACTCACTAAGTTGGGTAAACCAGAAATGTTCGCACTGCAAATCAACCACGTCCGTCAAGCAGTCCAGGATGTCACAACTAAATGACGCACATATACCCGCGATTCCATAACCCAACATTTGTGTCGCAAAAATTTGGAAGATCGCAACAGCAGCGTTCAACTTGAGGTCGTAGAAGAGGTCAAGGGCAGCGATGATTTCCATTCCAACGGCAACGTTAGATGCGGTTCCCGACATGATGACGATGGCTGTATGTTCCCTGCTTCGGTTAGCAGAGAAGAATGCAACTCGAGGAATTTGCTCACTTGAGATTGAACGGGCCTGGATTGAGGTACCTCCAGTAGCCATGGCTTGGCAAGACATCTACAAAGTATCATTCAACGACCGGGCAGAGAGAGGAATAATTTGATACTATGCATCGCAGTTCCCATAACGTAGGCAATGATGAGACAGAAGAGTTGAGAGACGGTGGCATTTTGTGGCTGAAATGGACTGTTTAACGGGAATGTTGCGGTTTACACGAGAATGAACCTTGAAGGTATATATGGTTGCTAAACGTCTTACACTCAGAGGAATTCGACAGATGACAACAATGGCTCACCGAGAACCTATGGATTGACTTGCCTGAGGAAGAGAAAAGATTATGGCAGGATTTGCTTACCGCCGAGAACGCGCTCAATCCGACTCCGAGAAAAATCGAGCGGAACGTAATGGAAGGAAGCTCTGGGTCATCATGGGTGGAAAGGATCTGTCGAATTGTGAATGTCATTCCAATCGACACGTAGAGTGAACCAACCTGAGTAGCGACGTCCTCAGCCTTATCAATGACTCCAATGTCCTCATCTCCATCGACAGAGTCGACCTGCTCCTCCTTCTCCAGGTCATTCAAGGAGCCCTTGTCGGAATTTTTCGAGTTCTCCTTTTCATTTAATACTTGCGAGGCGGAGCGCACAGGGAGGGGCGAGGCAGGCTCAAGCGTCGACATAGTTCGTAGTCGAGGAGCTGGATCAAAGAAGCCACTGTCTGAAGCTAAGAACACGTCTATTGGGAGTGTCGTTATCATTGCGATAAGCCCCGTATTAGAGGGCCGCTTAAGTTGGCCACGAGCATATGACGCGGTGGCAGGTATATTCCGGCGTGGGCTCGGACTGCCTAAAAGATGCTTGGCCTGAGTTTGAAGGCATTCGGCTGGAGCCTATCAGCGGTCTATAGATATGAATGGCGAAGAGCTTAAGCAGACACCCAAGCTCATACTGAGTAGCACATATAACGACTGCATCGAAAAACTTGAAGCCAAGACTTTACGGTGGCGCTTCGAAGCTTTGACAAGGGACAATGCACGAGAAGGGGGTTCCAATTAAGGCCAACTCTCCCTCGAGAGACGAGAGGCAGGCACCGGAGCTGGCAAGAAGCTGGTCAAGGAAGAAATTGATCCAGTGTCACAGCTCCCGTGCACCGTCACGGTAACTCTCTCTTGCTTTGACTGAACCAAGGTGCAGGGATATTAATCTATTAAGTATATTGTATCTCTAGTTGAACCTCCTGCGGCGGTAATGAATACTTTTCGGGTCCTTGGGCATCATGATCATGGTCTGCAAGGATGGTGAGGAACAACATCGACACAAAAAAGGTGACATACGTGGTAGTTGTGCTCTGGCACGGGGTTTGGTAGACGGAGTTCAACCTTGCGCATGATGGTAGCGATGATAGTGCCAATCTGGAGGTACGCAAACTACATCCCAATCAGAATCAAGAGGTCCGAAATTGGAGAAGGAATACTGACCTGTTCACCAATGCAACGATGCTTTCCGGCGCCGAATGGCTGATATGGACTTTCAGTGCCTTTGCTAACGGCGCCAAACCCGAAGTCGATCTTCTCCCCACCATCGTCTACGTATGTCTTGAGGGCCTGCGCAGCCATGCCCTCCTCATCATACCACCGCGAAGGCATCCATTTGTCGGCGTCTCTCCAGGTGTCGGGGTCGAGTTGTGACATGAGGGGGGAAGCAAGAACGTAATGGTCTTTGGGGACAACATAGACACCGTCTTTCGATGGCGCAGCCAGAGTGGCAGGCACCACAACGTCCTCTCGGACTTGACGCATGATACTGTGAATGGGCGGATGCATACGGAGAGTTTCACGAATCACAGCGTCGAGGATGGGGAGATGCCTTAAGTCTTCGTAGCTCATTGCACGGAAGGATCCATCCGGGTTACCGAAACGCTTGACCTGCTCGTCATAGAGGGCATTACTGTAAAACAAATGAGTTATTGAGCAGCAGGACACACAGGCAAAGAAAAAACGAACGCGACATCCTGGTCTGAAGCTAAATGCAGCATTGTCCAAGCCAAAGTAGCAGAGCTGGTGTGTTGACCGGCCATCAATAATGCGATCATAATGTGGGCTATTTCGTGGTCTCGAAGAACGTCGCCGTTGCGGTATTTCTGGTCGAGGAGCGAAGAAATCATGTCGTAGGTGTGATCGCCATTGGGATTTTCCCTTCGCTTCTTGATGATGTTGACGTAGAACTCGCTCATCTTCTTTTGTGCTCGGTCTCGCCTCCGGTAGCTTTCCAAAGGCAAGTTGGGGAACATGAAGTTCAGAGGCGTGAATCCGCCATCGAGGTCGGTGTAAAGGTCAGAGAAAGACTTGTCCAAACTGTCCCGAACTTCAGAGCCTTGCAATGTTCGTGATGCGGTGAGGATGGTGATTTCAGCCATGGCGCCGATGGCGTCAAAGTTGCCCCACTCGTTGATATCGTCCTGTTGATACGTGCGGAAACGCTGGTCGTGACTCATGAAGTTGTCCACCTCGTCCTCAATCATCCCCACATAAGCGCGGAACGTCTCAGTTGTCAGCCCGAATTTGACAAATTTCTTCTGCTGCATGAAAACCTCGTTGGGGACATCATATACGACATCCTTGCCAAACACGGGTGTGGTTAGATGCTGAACAAAAGTCAGAAATAATGATAAAAAACGCGGCTGAAACGAACTTTGTATGCCTCCTCTGCGTTGAAAGCTATCGACTTGCCGCCCAGAATGAAGTTGTTGCCTTTGGGCGTCAACGCCACCGTGACCTTGCGGCCGAGCAGCACGAATGTGAACACGTTCCCATACTAGAAGCCCCTCTTAGTCGGTTGGGAAGGGCGTTCACAAGCCACGTACCTTTTCTTGACACGCTTTGAAGAAGCCGATCGGGTTGTTCCCATACCATATTGCCGAGCCGACTATGGGTATCCAGTGGAAGACGAGGGGTGGGTCTGAGGTCTTGCGGGGAATGAGCTTTTGCCAGAGCGCGTTGAAGAGGACCGCAAGAATTGGTGCGTTAATGAAGGCGAGAAGCAGCCACCGTTCACGGGGAAGCTCTTGCGCCTGGGCTAAATAGCCAGACCAGGTGTCGGAAAGAGGATTGGTGCTGTTGGCGAAAGACATGGTGGTCGAAAGACACCAAGCTCCTGGTATAAAACCATTTTTGCCATCGAACCATATTCTCACTCGGCGGCGTGTGAAAGTTTATGACAAGGAAAAGACCGCTCCCGAATCAGCCGATTCCACCAGCACCAGAACGCACCAGATTCTTATATTCCAGACCTACAAAATCTACTTTGTACCACAAAAAATGGCTACCACAGAAAGCCGCGACAGTTTACGGACCCGCAATGACACATCTGCTTCATATGGTTCTTATCCCGCGCTTTCTTCCGACTCTTGGGACTCCCTGGTGCGGCTCGTGGGTTGTAATCGAAATTGAACTCTGTTCCGGCAGGAATGAACCCGCGCGCGATGAAAGCAAGGTAGCCAGCGTTTTGCTACAGTCTTGAGTAACCCTGTCTTTGCTTGTCAACGCCTTACCTCTAAAATCGTCTCATACACAACCGGCTGAACAAGCAGATTTGGGTCGCAGGAATGGCTACGTGCTAGGCTCAGGGCATGGAACAGGCCAGCAAAGACAACTCACTTGATGAAACGCGTCCAATTCCCTGGATCCTCAAGGTAAGAGCGCCCAATGGAAAAAATTAGTTAACGCACCGTGCTGCCAAGAGTCAATGCTCAGCAGGCATTCGGGGTCCTGCTCATCGTCCTGATAATCAAGGTCAAAACAAAAATCTTTTTGTGCACCAGTGAGTTGTTCAGCGTCCCAACGACGTCTATCGTTTATTAGCTGGCTTGCAAGGGAAAAACAGCCTTGTTACATCAGTTTCCCCGTGTACAAACCCAAAACCTGGCCCTTGTTGACGTCTGCCGTAGAACGAACTCCCCAGCCGCATTCGGGTGTCTTAAAGATTTCGATGGGGACTTGTCGAGGCCGTTGAGCAATGCGATTGCCGCATCTAGTTGAACAGGAGCAATACTAGGTCGAAAGTGAATAAAATCGAAAGGGCCAAAACGAAAAAACAAACAGAGTTACACTCGACGATGACTTCGTTCGGCGCATAGTTGAAGTTGAAGCGTTCCTAAGCACGATCAGTACAGGTTAGAGTCGGACAGATGAAGCCACATTTGTGTAGGCGAATCCTCTGCCGTTCTTCTCGCTTTGGCATGCGCAATGTGCTGCATTGATGCAATCCACTCCATTGGGCAAGTCGCTCGTTCGACAACCACAGTTGACGAAACATGCTCCAGGAATTTCAAGCTGTTTGGTTGTGCTGGAGACCCTAAGATCTGGGGACGTAATACTGGATGACAAACCTGTTGTAAAACTGGCTGAGTTGGGGGACTTCAGACAACGCGTCGTCACACGTATACTCGTCCTCTAGATATTGGAATGTGGGTGAGATTGAAGAAGGTAACTCTTCATCATCTAAATCGTTGGCGAACATGATTGCCTCGGCACGCTCGGCGTTTTTGGCGATCAGAGTCCACTTTTCTGCTAGATCTAGTCTGTATGAAAAGCAGTGTTCAGCTCCGCTTGTAGGACTGAGCGTCAGCCTACCGCAACTGAAATACTCTTGCGCGTTCCTTTCCTTTGCGCCGAGGTAACTGTGCCTTGGGTCTGTCCTCGTCGATGTGGGTTTTTACTTTCCAGGACGTCGAACTATTATTTTCGGGTTTCGTGCTTTTGCTCTTGTCTCGCTTGATACCAGGGGTTTCACTGTTCTTTTTTGACGGCGAATCGTCGATAGCCACTTTTATTCTCTTCCACGGCTTCGGATATTTGACGCAGGTGTCGCATAGATCCCCACGACTGACATCTGGAGGCGGAAGTTCGCTGCCACATCCATTGGCGCACATTCTTTCCAGAAGAGGGGAGCCTCTGCGTTTGCGCAAGCTCCCATCACCAGTATTGTTGCTGATGTTGCTGCTGCTACGCGTGACTGGTGTCCGAGTAACCGACGGAACGGTAGACGACGAGGTTGATGCTTCGCTGGGCAAACGCGATTTATTTGGAGTAGGAGGTGCCATTTTAAGCTGGGCTTTGCCTTTTCCTTTGGATGGTGATCTTGAGAATTCCGTCGCTTCCGGGGTACCAGACCCTAAATATTGGATATCGGACGACGACGACGATGACGATATAGAAATCGCACGAGTTCGAGTTGGAGCTTGAGGACTGTCGGGTATTTCGATTGTGGAGGGGCCTGCCTGAGCCTGACTTATTCGGGAGGGACCTGGTTTAGAATTGCTTTGGCGCATCCATAAGTTATCTGCTGAGCCATTTTGTCGACTGGGGGTCTTGGGTGGCGATCTTTGGCTTCGGGTTGAAGAAGTGCGAGGTTTGAGTGGGTGTGGCCCAATGCTTCCACCATTGATCCATTCCATTAACCGGTTGCGATCCTCCATTAGTTGCACTGCGTTTCGTTGGGACACTGGTTCGCCGATTTGCTTTCTATTCCATGTGGCCATGTTGACGACGTCAGCAGGACTCCAAACCTTGACCTGGCCGTTCCTTGGCAGGTTCGCCTTGCGCTCCGCTTCCCATTCTTTGGTTGGCAAAGGAATGTTCACAGAGCCATTTGTGTGCCAGGTAGTATTCGTGCCATCTTCGCGTTCCCAATCCTCCCATTGGAGCTATCGTTCTTGAGAAGGGGTAAAAAATGTGGTTCAGTTCTTACCTGATACCTGCAAAAGTTAACTTCTCGTGGGTATAGATGGAACAAACAAACAGAATTTCGTTATCGTGCCCGACGACTTCGTCAACAATCTTGAATACCCATTCTTTGTTAATGTCTTCAACGCCCCAATCATCCTCAGGCGGAGGGGACTTGACCCAATAGTCTTCAGCGCCTGCCTCCTTAGACTTCTTCGGACGGCCACGCTTGGAACTATATCAAGTGAGATACTTGGATTCGTCCTTGCACTTGCATACCGCGACATGAGCAATCCCGAGATGTCGACGGTTTCGTCGAAAGTTGAACTCCGTGACATCGTGACATCCTTGTCTCCGTTTGACGGCGATGGAGGCACTCATGCCCAGCATGACCGCCAAAACGAGTGGCGAAGCAAAGAGACTACTACTGCAAGCTCAACACAAGACGCGTCCCGGCTCTGGTTTCGAGATCGCAGATTCTGTTGGGCTTCCTGCCGTTTGTGCGCTCCTTGCTTCAACTCGGTACGATCTCTTGGCTTGGTGAGCGAAGTATTCAAGAAAATCGTAGCCTCAATAATACGGACGTGACTTTTGAAGCGGCCCAAGCGGCCTCTTGCCTTAACAAACCAAGGTTTAAGAAACTGCAGGAGACCGTCATTCGTGCCCTTGGATTAGACGACGCTCCCGCAGAACGGGCCCCGCTTATGTTCGAATCCCTGCGCTCAAAGCACTGTGGCAACCTCTCAACTCGATGTTTGAAGTGGATGAAGCTTGTGGAGAACGAGTTGGAAGGGGAGCATGATGTGACCGACGATGAGCTTACAATCGCCATTTTCATCTGGGTGTGCAACGCAATCCAAGTGCGCATATATTTCGAATTTGTGTGAAAGCTAACAACCTTTGAAAGCCCAATGAACCGCTCGATGTCAATGATTTCAAGTCTCAATATGACGCAAACCCAAGAAAGTTGCGCAATCTCCGCAAAGTCATTCAAGAGCAGTTCATCACACAGGCAACTGACATGGTCAAGGACATGGAATCTGTCCTGCGGACCCGCGCCTCGACATCTTCCCCGCAGAAACGTACCTTGTCGATGTCCCCGAAAAAGCCCTTTGTGTTATTAGATTCTCCCTCTAAGCGTCCCAAAATCATAGCCCCGTCTCCGACTAAAGCGCGTATGCCCGATCCTCCTTCTCCACGTTCACGGTCACCTGTCAAATCGCCCAAAAAGCAAAAAGCGCCGGCGGTATCGTCGTCGTCGGAAGACGACCTGCCCGACGAGTTGCCACCTGCCCGACGCCGTCGTTTTCGACCAGTGTTTCTCGACACGGTCCAATGGAATTCACACGATCCGCGCATCGAAGAGCTCGACAAAGCGGCCAAAGCCCTGGGCGAACGTATGGTCAAGCTCTACGGGGAACCTTTCAAAAATGACTGGAAGGCAGTCGAACAAGACGAAGACGTTGAAATGGGCTGATTTCACTTGCATTGAGACAAAACGACGAAGATCGCGAACATTGCCCAAGAAACTATTGGCCCCCTTCAGAGTGACTTATTTCTCGTCGGTGTTGCAGATTTGTGGAGTGGAAACCCCGCTCGTCAGCGTTTGGAATCTGGATGGTCTATCGTTACAAACTAGGAATACATAAGTGCAAGCTCGACTCTTTTACGCAGGCTCCCTCGTGAATCTGGGCACTTCCTGGATCGACTCGGCCAAAGCAGATGGATGATATGGATGTCTATATCCAGACTCGTCGTTCCCTTCGGGAGTCAAAGTCGTTGCTCTCAGCTCTGTGGCGCCTGTGGTTTCCTGCACCTCGAGATCTGGACCAATGCTATTGTTCCTGGAGGTGGAGGGTGATGGTAAACCGAGTGAGGTCGACATAATTCCTAGACGGGCAGCTCGGTGGAGGTTTAACATCAGTCGACACATGAGAGACACAGAAACACTATCAAGTCGAGTGAGGCCAGGGTAGAGTCGTGAGGGTTCGGATGTTACCAGTTTGCGAAAGTAGAAAGGGACCCATGAATGAGAGGCTATTTATGAGAGCTGATTCAGGGAGGACAAGCGTGTAGCGTCGATTAGACATACTCCAGATAGCTTTAGTCGTTATCAGAACGGGGACCAAAAATGCATCTGTATCTTTCACTTACATAGTCCGTGACTATATTAGAAAGGTTTGCGAATGCCATCGCTCTGTCGCATCATCAGCCAACCAGACCGGCCACTGGCGTTGGAACCAGCGGGCACAGCGACTCACGCAAAATATAGCGCGCCTAGAGTCATATTGGTCAGCAATGGTCCAATGGAAGATGGCTCGAAATGGAAACCAAGAGCCAAGAGGAACGATAACGCGCATCGGGTCCGATAATCGCAGACGCGAGAAAAGAAGCATTGAAATAGACTTTGGACACTCACCATCACGGACAAGGAGCATATGAAGTGCAAGAGGCACATCAGACCCGACCTCTCTTCGTGTTTGGATGGTTTTGGAGAGCGTCAGGGTAAATATAAGAGCGTCAAAAAGGAAGAGTGCGATCCAGGATGCGGAGAGGTCTGACAATTGTGGAAGAAGGAAGCAGGGAGTATGAGTTGACGGATGGGAAAAGGATGGCGATTGACGCACGATAGCCACTGGCGCGCGTGCGAAGGAGAGATTAGGGTTGGTAGTTGCCAGATAACTCGAGACATACGTAGTCTCCGTGACACCCAAGTGGCAGCCAGGGAGAGCTGTTGCAAAGATTGCATGTTGCCCATGTTCCGCCCACTGTTGTATTTATTAGAGCCGCCAGTTGAGAACGGAGGCGACTGACGATTGAAACCGCTATGAAGAACACGCCGACGCCAAGGAGAAAGGCCAGAAGTAGCTTGCTGCGGCCGTATAAAGCAAATGTGCGGACGAGCATTACAACTAGGGAATTTATTAGACTAGCAAACTTGGAACTGAGGGAAAACAAACACACCAGACACCGCAAGCTGGGTTAGGACGAGTAGAATTTGATGCGCAAACGCGTATTTGACGCAGCTTCTGACAATTAGATGGTACTTGTGACGCGATTGTCGAATAACCAACGAGTGAGGAGGCACGGTCGTGAAGTTGAAGAGGGCCACAGGTATGTTGCCAAACAGGCCCAGGTATCGAACAAGGAGGAACCATATTGAGCTGGCGGACTTTTTGCGGGACCAGATGAACTCCACCTCGTCCCCTGGTTCAAGATTACTCCAATCCATCTCCCAACGATGGTCGAGTACTTGCCGAGAGTAAGGATGTGATCCCAGACAAGAATGGCTTCGATTCAAATTTTTCAAGTATTTTTGCGTGAAGTCAGGAGTACGCACTTGTTCCTAAAAGGTGCAGCGAGCTTAAGATGACACTGTTGACATTTGTTGGACTGGAGACCGCAAGTAAGAATGTTATACATTTCTGTGGTTAGCCGGAGCTTTTCGCCATCCATAAAGGTTAGGGGTAGCAGTCAAGGGAGTGCCTTAGACTGAGCGTGGGTCCGTATAAAACATAACATGATAACGCGACGAAGAGGCAGTTGCACGCGTTCGTGGGCAGAAGGACTGTCGTGAGCGCAGATCGTGGTGTTTTTAGCCCACGTTTGTTCTTTTTTGGCATTTGGTCTGGCTCCGCAGAAGATAACGACCGGAGAAGCCTCTTGACATACCCGGCACAGAGGCTGATTGGTCACGGTCACGCAGGTAAAGTTGCACTTGCCTAGTTCAGACGTAGAAGGAGTACTCTGACTCCGACCAATCTCCAAATATTTCGCCCATTATCGATGCTCTTGTTGAGATGTCGTGCACCGCATTTGCGCGGTACGATGAGAGTAACGTGTCCGTTCTTCAATAATGTCGAATTCGAATCATGCTGTGCATCTAGCCTTTTGCTCTTGATCATGGCTACACACTGCGGGAGTTCAGGAATAAACGGCGCCCGTTTCGATCGATTATACACCTAATATCAATGTATCAAAAAAATAATTTTTTTGCACCTCTATTTATGCCAAAAAAAATGCACTGATATGGTGAATATGCCCTTATATAACATATATCAGGGCCCTGGATCATATAAGTGAACCTTTTTTGGCACAAATAGAGGTATAAAAAAAAATCTTTTTTTGGTACATTGATTTTAGCCATATAATCGATCGAAACGGGGGCCGTTTATTCCCGAACTCCTGCAGTGACAGCCATGTATGCCCCACCACCAGGTCCTCCACCAACCCTATATAATCCACCGCCCGGCCCTCCACCCCTCACGCACTCATCCCCTGCTCTTCCACAAGATGCATCAGAATTGTCCACCTATGTCCGACAAAACTTGACCACTCTTGCATCTCAGGGCTGGCTATCGCTACCGCTACCCCCCGATCTTGAAGAACTATACAGCGCTCTCTTTTCCCGTTCGGCCGAATACTTCTCTCTCCCAACGACTGCCTCTGACAAGACCCGTTTTGCTGCGCCAACTGGTGCTGACGCTTCGGATGAGGGCTTCTTCGACATACCTGAAGAGAAACAGCTGATCACAATCCGACGACAATTAGGAATGCCCTCGCTACTCAGAGATGCCTCTAACACAGCATGGAATGCGACGGGACATTTGTTTCTTGATACCATGCACAATATTGCAGAGAGCCTTGAGCTGGAGGACGATTTGGGAATCTTCGACGACATGTGCATTGAGGCGGGTGGATTCGAAGGGAAGGATCGGGCGTCGAGCTTACTAAGACTGTTTCGCTACGATCGTCCCCCAACTGGCAGCGAGAAACGTATTGTCGCGGAAGGACACAAGGATTTGGGTCTTTTGACGTTGGTAGTTGGCTCTTCCCCTGGTCTGGATGCCCGTGATGCAAATACGGGAGAGTGGATTAGCGTGGAGGATGGCGCGAATTCGCGACTAACAGCCACACTGCTTTCAGGCCAGACACTGACCTATCTAACACGAAATCTCTTTGCTGCTGGACCTCACCGAGTTTCTGTTCTGCCACCGTCCTCATCGGACGATCCATACCGTTTCTCCCTCGTTTTTGCCCTTCGACCTGCGCCGCTCGCTCTTATATCAACAAGCCGCTTTGCTCGATCACCACTGGTCGGACCGTTTCCGGAAGAGTTGCTATCCTACGAAAAGAACAATTACCCAGCTTGTAGTATGGACGAGCAACCTGCAAAAGAGCTCTTCCGATGCATTTCCAAGATGCATTGGAACGTTAACATTGCACCGGAGACCCGGGAGAAGCAACGGAGGAATCTTAGAGGTGAAGGTGTGAACAACGCTGCGGAGATTGTACAGGCCGGAAATACGGAGGAGCCGTCGGATGTAAGGTTGGTCTGCTAAATATTCCCTTGGTATCTCCCTGTAGCACTAGCATAAACCAATTAATTGTTTCAATGGCCTCTCCGTTTTGACCCTGGTCCTCGGAACACATGACTCGGCATGGATGTGAAGATGTGACATCGTGACCCTGAGTAAGCCAAAACTTCTCTCATCCTTTCCTCGACCTCACCCCAGGAACTCGAGTCAAGCGTCCACCATTCTCAGCCAATCTATTCCTCTACCCCCCAGCATTTCTCTGTCCAGACAGAGATTCATGCTTCGTCCTCCAATTATAGCAGGCAAAAGAAGACTGTTGCTCCCCCACTCTGCTGTCCCTTTCGTCAGTACCCCACTCGTCTCTTCACCTGCTATTGTCGGCTCATCCGCCCTTCATAGCGGTAAATAACTACTATTGCCCAACATGGCCGCAGGTTTCGTGAATATCCGCCGCGATGTGGATGACAAGTTCTATCGCTACCGGTACGCCTTATACTCAGTTCTTCGGTAATGAGAGACTGAAGTGACTACCAGCATGCCCATTCTCCTGACCAAAATTGAGGGAAAGGGAAACGGCATCAAGACGGTTCTGCCTAATATGGCTGACGTCGCACGTGCGCTCAGCCGTCCTCCCAGCTACACAACCAAATTCTTCGGCTGCGAACTCGGCGCCCAGACGACATGCGACGAGAAAAACGAGAAATATATCATCAACGGTGCTCACAATGCCGACCGACTGCGGGAGCTCCTTGATGGCTTCATCGACAAATTCGTCTTGTGCAAGTCGTGCAAAAATCCGGAGACGGAACTTATCATCCTCAAAGTCGGTCGCTCGGAAGATATCATTCGTGACTGCAAGGCCTGTGGAGAAAGGACTGGTGTTGAGATGCGACACAAACTTGTCACTTTCATCTTGAAGAACCCACCAATCAAGGCTAGGAAGGGTAAAAAGGCTGCGCAAAACGGTGACGCGGCCGCTGGCGTTGGTGGAGGAGGAGACGTTACGCCCGATAATGCTGAAGAAGCGGCCGATGGAAACCCAGACAGTGACGACGAGCTGACCAAGAAGATCAAAGCAGAGGCTGCAGAACTCAATGAGGAGACGACTTTGGCCAATGAGGACTGGTCCGCTGACACCTCACCTGAGGCAGTCAAAGCTCGCATGAAAGCCCTTGAAGGTGGCCTGGCTGCGGCCTCTCTCGCAAACGGAGACGATGAAGGCAGCGACGATGACGGCAACAGCCCGTATACCCAGTTTGGCAATTGGATCATGGATGTTCCGGAACTGGACCCGAAGGCTCTCAACGTCGCCATATACAAGAAGGCGGAGGAACTCGGAATCGAGAAGAAGCACAAAACCGTCTTGATTCTCGTCACCATCTTTACCGAGGATGTTTTGACAGAAATCCCCAACTTGGCACCGCTTTTCAAAAAGGTCTATTTTCACTACCGCTTCTTTGGGTGCTGACAAGGAATAGATGGTTACGTCGGAGAAGCATCAGAAAGCGTTGCTCGGCGGCATCGAGCGCTTGGTTGGGCTTGCGTTCCCCGATTTGCTGCCCCAGGTCCCCAAGATCCTCATGGCCCTCTACCAGGATGACATTCTCGACGAAGAAGTCATCACCAACTGGGGAACCCATGTCAGCAAGAAGTATACTGACAAGGAAACAAGCAAGAAGGTCCGCAAGGCTAGTGAGCCTTTCTTGAAGGTATGTCGATTTTTTCGTTCATGCCTCGATTTTCATGATTTCCCAGTGGCTTGAAGAAGCTGACGATGATGACTCGGATGAGGATTGATCTGTTGTTACTCTTACAATTTGGAACCTACTCTACGTCTGGACACTGAATACACGCCTTCTCACTAGAATTCACGACCAGAGACTCTTGGGTCGTTCCTGTTTGATACCGTCCACAAACACATCGACTTTCTCGTCGTAAAAGGCCACCAAACCGCCAATTGTCGCACACTCAAGATTTGGGTTGCGGTACCACCAGACCACGTTCTCGAATTTTTTGTCGGGCGAAAGCTGAATGTGGTAATAATGTGCTTCGCCCTGAACATGTTAAGACGACATCCGCGTATGAATGAACTCACTTTGTAGGGGCATTCTGTCTTGGCTTCTGAGGGCACGAGTAGGTCCATTCTGCAGTCCGTTTTGGGGACATAGGTTCGTACGGGGAGGCCAGTTTCGAAAAGCAGTTTGGGGGTGCGGGAATTGGCGACCTCGACTCCGTCTACCTCAACACGGATATGCCGCGAGGAACTGAGCACATCGACGCGCTACTTTCTAATGAGCATTACTGGAGCGACCGATACAAACCTTATAGGGATCCTTTGGATGCACGAAAATCTGCTCATCCTCTTCAAACCAAGCATCTGCAGCGCTGATGTTGTGTCGGTTCGTTATCTTTGGAACAGAAGAAAAAATTCGGCCGTACGCAAACGTGATCTTGAGGAGCCCTTGCAAGTGCTCATGAGTTGGCTGCGAGTAAACCGTTACCACCTCCTTTGCGGTTTTGCCGTTGACCTTGAGATCGTATTTATCGCCATCAGGATGCTCTTTCGTGAGTTCGACGTAGTCTAGAGACAGATCGCTGTGGGGAAAGAAGTACGTTGGGTAGTATCGGCTTTCCCAGCTGAGTAGATCAGGAGTGAGCAAGTAAAAGCAGAATCGTTTCAGCGGCTCACACAAGTTTGGCCTTGCGGGTGTCGATGATGTAGACTCCCGCGAAGAGGACACGTATGCGTTTGAGACTGTCCTCGATACGAGCCTCGGTGAAAGGAGGAGCCATGAGAGTAAGAGGGAAGAATCAAATGACCAACGCCGTGCTCCCCGTGGCAATGAGAGACAGAAGGACACGTGACGGCGAATTTCTCTTTTGAATGCTGCGAGCCTGGTCGCAATGCCGTCGTCTTCCGCGCCGCCGCTATAGCAGCACGACCGGCAGGCTGACAGATGCAGAGCTCATGGAGTTCGACAGTCTTGCCGACGAGCTCATAACGACTGCTGCATTGCCCGACCCACCTGCAGGTTGGACAAGTATCCACAAGGAGGAGAAACGCTATGCGACTCTCATCAAGACACGGGAATCGGCAAGGATGGCGTCGCTTCAAAAGACTACGTTCAATTCAGTGGCGCCAACTGAGAGTGTCAATGATGATACACCGTTCATCCCAGGGACTTTTGTTGAACTGCGAAGGTCAGAGCCTTTCCATTCGGTTCTAGTATCTTGATCATGGTCCACTAGAAACGAAGTATCTTCCACAGGTGTTGTGCTGGGGGAAAAGAAAGCGGATTCGCGGTCTTTTGTCGTCGTGTTGACTGCTTCGGGAGAGGTATGGGAGACCATGCGAAATGACATATTCTTCGCCTCTCCCAACCTCGTGATCCCTGCAATGGCGGAGAGGTGTGGAACGGAAACCATTGCGGAAGACAAGGCACAACTCAATGCTCGAGTCAAAGTACTCCAGAGTATCCGCGAGATCCAGAACAGACTCGACCTCGCTGTGAAAAACACAGCTCGACGACGAGTTGATATCTATGCTGCAACTAGGGCGAGACAGTCAGACCAGTGGGCCACCACGAATCTAGCCCAAGCCACAAGTCTCCTCTATAGCGACCCAACTCTGGTTCAAATATTTGCAACACATGTGCAACTCATGTCGGACTCGGAGCATTTCGAACCGGCTGCAGATTACCTCGTTAGTGGGAGGGTGTACATCAGGCCTCATTCACATCTCGCGACCCTTAACAAGATTCAAGAATGGCGACGTCTTCCTGATGGACCCATACAAAGCTTTGTCAGCCGTGCTCGTTCAATCATAGAAGCAAACAAACAACGACACGAAGCGACTCGGAACGACACTCCGTCTTCAAAACTTGCAAAACACGTATGGACTCATGATGACCAGCAGATCATTGACTTCCTACGCCGCGCCCTCCAACCTCGGCGTTCCGTACAAGAAGACCCATACGCTTTGGGAAGGAACTTTATCATTCGTGAACTCTATCCGTCCGTCCCAGCCACAGATGATGTTGTGCTGCATCAGACTTTGGTTGACCTGGGCGTGTATGCTCCATGGCAAGACCTTGTCTCTTTGCGAGACAGACTGGAGCTCGATCAGAGAGAGATTGTCGACACTTCTCCTGTGGAGCGGCTCGTTAGACGCACGCTGTCCATTAACTCTGCTCCAGCAAAACGAGAAATTTTGGGGCCGGAAGACCTATACCGCACCGACCCACTGGATCATCTTCGCCACGACTTTGCTCAGATGCCAATTTATGTTATTGATTCGCCTGACGCTCAAGAACTTGATGACGGAATATCCATCGAACCTGTGGCCAACGAACCTGATTCATACTGGGTCCATGTCCACATTGCCGATCCAGCTAGCACACTCCCCCCAACACACACACTCTCGATGATGGCAGCAAAGAAGAGCGAGACTGCGTATTTTTCCCACCGTACTTGGCCTCTTTTCCCTCATAGCCTGACGAAATCGGGCCTGTCGGGATTCTCTCTGACTGAGGGGAAGGAAAATCGTGTTCTGACATTCAGTTCCAAAGTGAATGTGAACGGGGATCTTAAACAGAGTGTTGTGAGGCCCGGAATTGCTCGTAACCTGATACGGTTCAGCTACGACCAGGTGACTGTGGCTCTGGACGGCGCGCCAAGTCACATCCAGTACCCTCTGCTTTCGGAACCACCGCCAGCGCTGCAATACGCGCCGATTCCAGAAGCTCATATGGCCAATCTCCGCCTTCTTAGGATTGTTTGCCAACGTGTCATTGCTCGCAGGCTGAAGACTGGCGTAGTCGAGGCAAACAACAGCACCCCCAGCATCATCAACTTTGCCAGTCCCGTTGGCATTACCAGTCCGGCTACGAAGCCAACCGAGTTTTCTGGATTCCCCACATTCGACGTCAGCGTGCAAACGTACAGCGATCTCTTCAAGGGATCGGCAGGCATAGTGGCCGAATGCATGAAGCTGGCCTGCAGGACCGCCTCGCGATGGTGTCATGAGAGGGATGTTGATGTTCTCAGGCGGACAGCGATGCCGGTAGAGGGGACCGCTGCCAATCTAAAAAAACTGCGGGCAATGCGTGACGAGCGCGGCTATGTCAACCCAAGAGCCTACAACGCGCTCACTCTCAACCCACCCACCGCGATTTTAACACTCGAACCGGGACCCCATTGGACCGTTGGAGCGCTGGAGGGCGAAGGATACACACGGGCGACGTCACCTCTGCGCCGCTTCAGCGATCTGCTCGTGCATTACCAAATCCACAGTGCCCTGCTTGGGAAGGATTCGTTTTTCTCACGTGACTACATGCATGACTACAAACTCGCCCTTGCCTACCAAGACCGCCAGAAGAAAACCGCCAACAAGCACCACGTAAAGTACTGGGTGCTGATGGCGCTGAAGCGGTATATGGAGGGCCCACGACAAGACGCGCTGGACTTGAACGATCTGTCAGCGACAGTGAGTGCCTCCGTGCGAGTGAACATTGTCCACAACACGCTGCAATCCCCGGTCGACATCCCGGCACTCGGTGTTCAGGCCATGTTGAAAGATGTACCCAAGGCTGTGGCCGATTCGTGGACAATTGGGGCCGAACTTCGTGTGAGAGTCAAGGAGGTGCAGTTGGGCCTCAGTCCAACATTGATCGTTACACCGAAAAGTATGTAAGGCTAATGTAGAACTAACTGATAATATTAATGTGTTACCCTCCCTCATCTTCACGAAGGTTGGTGCTCTTCAAGAGGACCCCTGAAATTTGTCTGTCTGAAAAATCGCAGGCTTTGTTCGAACTTGGGGTTCTGGAATAGTCTGGTCTGACCATGCTGAGTCAGTGCCGGGCTGGTTGATTTCTTTGGAGTTTGCGAAATTACAACGGAAGGAGTTGAGCAGAACCATTGAAATCCATAAAGAATCGAGGGAGAAAGGCCAAATTTTCAATGACAAGTACTATTTTCGATTACAATGTGAATCATGTAACAACGCTACCTTGGAACTCCACCCTTGTTCGCAAGAACCTTCAAAACATCTCCAGACGAGTAAACAGGGAGGTCTTCGAGAGAGGGCATACGATGCAGGACATCAGGGAATTTGCATTGCTCCACTTTGGACACTGCGCTAAAGTAATATGGAGCAACCCGCTCCTTTTCGAGGAGGTCAAGCAGTGCACAGGAGGCGTCTGACCGCAAATGTGCAGTGGCGCGATCAAGGTCCTGGACGTCCGTTTTCGTAAAGCCAACAGCTGACTGAAATGCCGGGTGGTGGGTTAAATCGAGGACGCCCGGAAGGTTCAACTCTGATGAAGCGTAAAGTTGGCGAATGGGAGAGCCTGGAGTTCGATGGAGACAAGCATAGATAGTTCCATCGGGATCTAAACGAGACCAGAGGAGAAGCCCACCAAGGTGGCCATGACACAATAAACGTTGAAGCGTGCGCAGAAATTGAGTCAAAGTTTCCGTTCTATCCTTGAATGCCATCTCAAGAGGTCCATCGAAATTTTCGATCATGATGAACAACCAATCCCGTCTCGGCAGTTTGACGTGAACTTTGAGGCGAGACTGGCTTGAAATGAGTAAATGAGACAACTCCATCACCAAAACCCACCATGAGAGCGAAGATAATTGCCTCGACTCCCTCATCTTGAAAAGATGCCAGCGAAGGGAACGAGCCTGGGATTTCGTAACGCCTGAGAAGACGGCAGCAGCGTTCGTGAACATGCCTGGACAGCTCTTCCAGCAAATTATGGCCTTCCGAGAAACTAAAGTTCAGATGCAACACGTAGTACGAATGCGCTCGGTCACGCGACCATGGGTCGGACTCGACTCGGAATCGAGATAGCATTTCGAAGGGATCGTCGTCGTCACTATAGCACAGGATATCCAGTATGTCCGAGAGCATGGAGACAAAGGTGGATAAGCCGAAGCCCCATGGGCGGCGAAGTAGAAGGGGGGAACGTTGGCTGAATAAGCCAGCGAAATTCTCGATGGCAATGTGCTTGTAGATGTATGGGACGCCGTCAGTCTCAAGAATGTTGGGAAATCGTTCTGTTTTGCGAGGAAGCCGCTGGTTAGAGGCGATGAGAATATTTCGATGAGTTGAGAGAAAGATAGAAACCTTAAGTTTACCACCTCGCGCGAAGATATGCCTTGTAAACGTAACTGGTCTGATGCGTTTGGTCGGACCGCTCCAACGGTCCCTTTCTGGCGCGCGTTCAAAGTTCGCATTGGCTTCGCCATCCACCGGCACTGTAATCATATCAATGTCATGAGCCTAACATGATTCTCATCCTACCGGTCGGCATGGAAAGCAACATCTTGGTGGAAAAGGCTAGCTTTGGAGAACAAGTGTTGTGCAACGCACAGGGGTGGCGAGTCACAACGAGTCACTTCAGGGTGAAGGCGCGATTTTACCCAAGATCAAGGACATCAAGGTGGAAGACCTACTCAACAACAACATGCTTCATCTGGCGGCATTGACTGTACCATCTTCTCCTCTGCGTCCTTCGTCTACCCCAGAGCAACGTCCTCTCTATCGAACTCCCCTTTACAGACAGCACAGATCGCCTAAGTATTTCTTCCTCGATCGAAAAAATCCATTGCCGTAAAATCTTGATCCTACGACTTCAAGGACATCAGCGCTCGCTCGGTGCCGAAAGAGTATCAGTAGAACAACTTGGTGTGATACCAGTAAAATAACCATAGCATCGTCATTCAACACCCGGTATCGGCTCAATCTCAAGTTCGGAAAGCGCTTTCCGCCCTCGCGCAGCCCAAGCTTCCAACAGTCGCCGAGAAGTAAACCATTGGTTGGGGTCGGAAAGTGTTTCATCGTCACTTGGTACAATTGAACCTAGTCCGCCTCCTCTTATCCATGCCGCGATGTTGCCAATTGTACGAGCGTGGTCGAGAACTCCGATAACAGCAAGCAAAGTGGGGTCGTAAGCTTCGTCACTGTCGTGTGTTTCCTCTCTGGTCTTTTCATCGACTGAATCTTCTTCTTCATCTGATGGTCGTTTGCGTTTTTTGCCATTGGTCGAGACAGGTGAAGCGACTGGCGGGGATGGTTGCGAAAGAGATGAGGGTTCGTTTGAAGCGTGGCCAGACTCATCTGGAGAAGAAGAGTCTCCTGTCCTCGCCTCATTCACAAGTCGTTTGCGCAATTTTCGTTGTGCCCTTTTACTCATTCCTTTGGGTACGACAAAGCCTGGATCTGGCTCGGTTTTCTCTGACACCGGGCCATTTTCATCAGCCTGTTCCTCCTTCCGACGCTTTCTCCAGCGGTCCTTCTGCAGTGGCACCTGTTCTGCTAGTATTTCTGGCTCTTGTTGTTCTTGGTCAGGTTCCGCTATTATTTCGACAGTTGATTGAGGGTCTGGTTGGAGGCCAGCAGAAGCACGATCCCGTTTTCGCGTTTCTGCGTCGTATTCTGCAACACATAAGTGATTCCACGGCTGCAAACGGGCTTTGAGCGGGGAGTCATCAACCAGGAGCGTGGTTTCAGCACTGTGGGGATATTGTTTGTTCTCAATTTCCTCCTCTTCCCCCTCCACTTCAAGGGTTATAGGCAACGATGACGGCGGCACAGCAGGCGAACTTGTAGAAGCATAAACATCAACACTGGGGGAATATCGACCACCGTCTTCGCGGTACACCACAACTGTGGGCGGTGGTGTCTTTATTGGATTGAAGAATGCCCACGGCTTGGAAAGATCTTTAGTCGTTTGCGTCTTCTGGTCTGCGAGGTTGGGTATATGAAAAGCTACCCAGACATGCAAACTCACAGAAAGCATTTTTGGATAAACCTAGCGTGTCTCGCGCCCAGACTGCCTTGAGTAGTGGTCCTTTCCCTGCACCCTCCCCACCCCCAAATACGCGCTCGACCATTTCGCGCACGTTATGTGCCTGCGCGCTACTCCAAACCATGCAGTCCAACCATATCCGTGTTTTTGGATGGGAAATATAGGCAACCAGTGTCTTCAAATACGGTCTGAGATAGATTCTACGCTCTTGTTGATTTCGAGGAGATCGAAGCAGGAGCGTTCCATTCAGATCAAATATGAGCAGTTTCGATTGGCCTTCTGGTGGTGGATAAGGCGGAGATGCTAGTGAAGTGGTGAGGTACGATTGGGAGGGGCATTCTGGCGGTGGTGTTGGGCTTCGGGAAGGCGGATTGTAGGACAGGTAGTCTGTGTAGTGGCGGCTCGAGCCGGATTCTGCCATTTGTGGGTGCAACGAACCAAAAAGGCGTGTTATCATGTCACGCTGTGTCAGCAACTACTCCTTGCACTCGTTCTCTCTGTGTTGTCTTGCTTGGATTATTCATGCTCTTGGCTACAGCCGCTCCTAATGCGCGGCGGAGCTCAAAGTCTGAGACGACCCCACAAAGCGGAGGCAAATTTGTTTCCGAGACAGTGCGGAAGACTCCAAATGAGAAACCTATGCTTGTATCCGTTTGCCTATAAAATCCGGGCCTCTTTAGCTCAGTCAACCAACCGCTTCTCACCAGCAAACCACTACCACTCTTCTCAAACATGCTCTCTAAAATCCTCACTCGCTCTCCCAAGAGCCAACCTTCTGTCGAGGAGGAGGGCTCAACTGTCGGTGGGCAACTGACTCGTTGCCCCACCCCGGCGACAAAGGTGCTCAAAGGGCGGCGCAGATCCTCTACAATGGAGTTTCTGGCCCGCCTCTTTACTCCGACCGCCACTTCCACTTCTCCCAGGGCCCAGAAAAGACATCTGAAAGCCCAATACCGGAGGGAAAGAAAAGAGCTTCGGGCCATCACAGCTGCCAATACGAAACACAACATATGTCCCCCGTATACCGAGCCTGCTGTCCCCGAAAGCCCCCCAACCGGCGGTCGCTATCCCAGCGACCTGTTTCCGGGGAAGCACCTCAAACACCGAGAATACTAGCTGGTCAGTCTCCTGCCTCCTGATTCATTCCCTAAGCTCATACATCTCCTCTAGCGTTCAGCAGTAACATACCCATATCTCTCTGTATTCCGTACTACCTGATGTGAAGCAATCTTATCGTTTGCTAACTGATCTCATCAATAAATCATATGAGCCATCACTGCATCACAACTCTCTTTGAGGCATCCCACAATATGGCGGGCAAAAAGCGAAGTATTCACGCAGCGTCAGCGTCTTCCACGCAAGCGGCCCCAGCCGCCAAAAGAATTCGCTATGACCATACCATTCCTACTCCGACTCCGACTGCAGGCCCATCAACAAGCGCGTCGTTGTCCAGCCCAACAGTTCCCGTGCAAGCTTCTCGTTCGCCTCGAAAGAAAGCTACTACAGCAAGCGCGAAGCCCACTGTCGAGAAACGGCTAGCACGGTTCAAGTCGAGCTGCCCACAAAACATTGGAGAGCGTGTTGGTCGCGTCATGTCTCAACGGTATTTCGAGCGTCTCACAAAAAGCCGGATTTTGATGTCAACACGGTGAAGGTTCTTCATGGTGGATCGAGAACGCGTTGGAGAGGAGCTGAAGGAGGAGTTCAAGGTCCTTGGGTCGACGGGGAACGTATGCTAGCATCAGCCTTTCGCTTCTTCTTTGTTCATAATTTTTAGATCTACACCGTCACAGTCGCGCATCTCCCCAGCTGCGACTGTGTGTCTGTTCTATATGCTCTAGGCGGACCTAGTTGACATGGATTAGGTCCCGATGCGAGTAAAGGGAACCATTGCAAACATATCGTCAGTTGTTACCGCTCTTGCTTCATGTTGGACTGAAGTATTCTGCAAAGCTGTTCGTTTTTCTGAAAGGTGCTGGGCGAATCGTATCATCCAAGGTCTGAATTCTTACGTGTTCTACAGTCTTGCAAGTGCCCCAGTCGTCCCAGAGCTGGTACCAAAAGTCGGACCATGTTGTTCTCCATGATTGGCCTACTCTAATTTTTCGATACAGAGCACTCCTCACCACCGAACTCGAGGAAATATTTGCCAATGCGCCGGTAGCACCGAATTCGGTCACCAATCCACGCATCCGCGAGGCCTACGCCAAGGCAGTCGGCAAAACAGTCCCGGAGCAGGCCAGCGCCAGCCAAACTAAAAAACGCATGCCGGCCGAGGACGACGACTGTCCGATCTGCTATGATGAAATGCACAGCGTCGCGGAAACGAGTTTGGTGTTCTGCGAGTCGTGTGGGAACGCTGTTCACAAAGAGTGCTTCGGGCAATGTCAGCTTCAACTTGGGTTAATTTTATCTGGTACTGATAGCGGACAGGGCAAAACACGTCGCGCAACCAGGGCAAGCCGTTAACGTGCATCTACTGCCGTGCTTCGTGGCCCAGTGCCGGTGCCGCAAGCGGGAGCGGAGGAAATAGGGGTAGAGCAGGGATGAGTGACGGTTATGTGAATCTAGCAGGTGTCGCTGGTGTCAGTCCACAAAGGGACACATCGTCTTGTGCGACTGTTTTCTATTCTTCCTGTTGTTTTTATTGACCCTTGAGCAGACTACGATGGACCAAGACGTGGACGAGGATATTACGGTTATCGCGGCCGCTATAACCCATACGATTATGACTAGAAACTTTCTCGGCCAAGTCATTGCCAAGGTGATATTGCCCAGTCAAATCATTCAGACCTCTAGGTAGTAAATGCCAAATAATGCCCAATAATATGTGCAGTGTGTGTAAAGTAAGAGTCATTCGAAAGCGACAAGAACCCTCTAAGTATGTATACGTATATACTGGTCGAAAGAAGTTAGCGGTAGGTGAGGTGATCTAGAATTGAACCCAAGCCCCATCTCAGTTCCGTAGAAGACGCGAGCTCGCACGCGCCTGCACGGGCGAAAGGCGACCACTGGTAGGACTCTGCGGTCTTGCCGCAGACACGAGCGGTTTGTTGATGATGCCCGGACAAGGTGGGGAAAGCAAGTCTGGGCGGGAAGCAAGACGCAAAGAGAGCTTGTCGGTCGGCGATCTGGCTATTGGTGGTGGAGGCGGAACGGGGAGCTTTCCAACAGGCTCGGATTCAGATTCGTCTGTCTCTGAACCTTCCTCTTCCATCTCGATCTCCATGTCGTTGATAACCATGATGCTCATCTTCTTCTTGCGTCGCTTTGGCTTGCTCTTGCTGCTGCTAGCGACTGCGGATGATTGCTTGTCGTCAGCAAGCATTCTATGCTTGTCCCTCTTGTAATCGTAGGCACTCGACCCGAAAGGAGGTGAATAGGCTGCTGCTTCCGCGGCTCGGTATTGAGCTTCATAGCCAAACCCCCCAAATGCATGAGCGTGGGCACTATGCGAGCTGGGTATGGGGACAGCCTTGGAGCGAGGAGGGGGAAGTACCCGATCGGGTTCTCCGTCGGCTGCAGCGCGTTCCGGAGAGTAGGGTGGGAAATGTGGTTGTGATCGCGTTGGGGGAGTAGGTGACTCTGGCGCTAGGAGCGGAACAAAGGAGAATATAGGTCTAGGTTTTGGCTCTGGTGGTGCAAGTGGTCGTAGATGTGTTAATGATGGGGAAGCAAGTCGAGGAGCAGGGGCCGGACGAGCACGACCAGGTGGCATTACAAAAGTAGATGTGGACGTTTGCGGCGAGACCGGGGACGTCGTTGGGGGCGATGTCGGAGCATCGGCCGAAACAAGAGGAAGTAGTCCGATTGGAACTCGAGACAAAGCCTGTTTCGGAGGACGCAAGTCAAAAGGCTGGCGCGCATTTGGTAGAGACTGGGTAATCTCTTCCAGCTCAAGCAGTTCTCTGGAGACGCGACGACAAGGTGAATGGAGTAAGGGAAGTTGTGGGGGAGCAGAAAAAAACGTAAGATAATCGAGTCATAAAGAAGAAGGAGATAATACGCACTGGTAGCTCAGCTTACGTGCTGGCTCAGACGGTGTCCTGTCCCACTCGTCCGCAAAATGGATCTCGTTAGTGCCATCGCCACCCCAAGCAACATGTTTGGGGCAGTAGGCTGCAGGGTTGGGCGAGCCAGGCACAGACGGCGACCTGAGACAACTCTTCATGCCGACGACGATAACGAGGTTGCTTCAGGTGGTGGAGGGAAGCAAGAAAGGTGAAAAGCAGTGGTGCTGAAAAAAGGGGGGTGACCGTATTTGCTCGTTTCCAGAAGGAGATATCAGATCGCCCCGTTTCGATCCGTGTGCTTTTGCCGGGCTTTGCCTTTTTGCGATTGGCTGTGGTCGTGTGCGCACACGCTTTTCATTTCGTTTCGTGGCTGCTGTCGGGCCTCGGTGCCTACAGCCAGCGCTCGCTAAAATTGCGGAGCTTTCCCGTTTCGGCCGAAATGAGGTTTATTTCGCCCTGGTTGGCGGGCCTCCGCGAAACTCGTGGAGCTCCACCCACCATTTACAGACTGTCTGACGCGCTAACGACGGAATACTTTGCTCATCATTTTTCTACTGTCTTGGCTTCGTCCCGAAACCCACTTCATTCCTTTTCATGCGCATCGATAAATCAGCACTTCTTCAGGTGTAGCGCGACATTCTCCCGCCACGGAATGAAGGCGTGGATCCAAAAGGAAGTGTGTGTCTACCCATTTCGGGCGGCTCAAACATCACAGCAGACTCGTGGTTTGACTGGAGATGATGGAACAACTCTCCATCCAATGCGATATCGAGCATGCGGCTGGCAAAGAACACGCTCCGGATAAACGAAATCAAGCGGTGGAGCAATCGCGAAGAAAGGCAAGAAAAACAGAGCGGAATGACAAAACGGTCCTAGTCGATGAACAGTCAACGACTCTGGGAAAGCACTCTTCAATTGGTTTGCCAAGGGAAAGGACAAGGTTGCACTAGTTCAGAGTATGAATGACAATGAGACCCATTTCATTCTCAGTGAGATCTATGAATAGGTAGTGGTCAGCATGGTGCTGCAACTTGATTGAATTCGTGTTCTCTAAGTAGGGACAAGTGAGGCAAGCATTGCAGGAAATGCTCCGAGGGGAAGAATGATAGTCGCACTCATTTGCGATGTCGAGAACCCGAATTGTCCTTGACCACGAAGAGAAAAACGGGGCGAAATGACAACATAGTCGATGAACATCCACAATTCGGGGGAACGGATCCTCGTTGGTTTGCCCGGTAAAAGGACGAGATGACATGAGTGTCGAGTATGTATGAGCAGGGCTCATTTCTTTTAGTTGGATCTAAGTATACTGTACAGTCAAATGAGGAGGGAGTGGGCCAGTGGTTCAACATGGATCCGTGGTTTGATTTGACTTTGTGACCTCTCGAATGTCGAAGAAGCGTCAAGCGGCGAAAGCGTTGTCGAAGTCACGATAGATGAGGTCGACATGAGGAAAGGCCCTGGGAAGAAGGATCTTGAACATCTTGCATTCGTGATATGCTAGGATTTCATTTGTGAGAAGTTGAATTCTCTTTGGTAATCTAGATGGTTTTCGTCTTGAGCAGCTAGTTCGCCTGTGGGTGGGTGTAGTTGAAGGAACCGGTATTTGCTTGTGAGAGCGGGAAACAAGGAGATGACAGCAATATGTCCGAATTGGGGGCTCGATCCGATGTGAAGTTGACACCCTTCAACTCCAGAGGTTTGCCCTTGTCCACGTCGCGTCGCGGGCGATGAGCTCGCGCAGGTCGCCCTCGCCGCCGCCCATACCGACATTGCGTAAAACAAAGTCAACAGAAACCTTTCTCAAAACGTTGCGCCGAAAAGCATCAATCGGCAAACGGCTTGGTCGAAGAACAACTGCAACAGATGAACACCCGTCTCTTCGCCCTGAATCCCCAAGTACTAGCAGCATACACACTTCCGGCTTTCAACCACCCGTGAAGAAGCGTAGATGGGTACCTGGTCGACGCAGTTCAGAGGTTCCGCCACCATTACCTCCTCAAAGACCAAGTTCTGCATTACCCGGTCTTGAAGATGAATGTGTGTCATACAAACATTTTCCAGTATTATTCTCACTCAGTATTATAGCCCAATTCTTCGAGCTCGACACCGATGTAACCCGTATGGATGGGATCATCGATCCACAAATTATTCATAGTGCGGCCAGTTCACCAGACAGTGGTCTTTTTACCTCGAATTCCCCCACCCTTTCCGTCGGTCACTCGCATTCCCAAATCTTCTTCAGCAATCCCTGGGTCGGCTCCACCGACGCATCAGGGCCTACTCTCTACACTGACCCTGTTGCACCCAACGAGGCGGACTTTAAGACACCTGACAGCTGGCATACACACCGGCCAAAATGGGACTCCGATGCAGAAGCTTCTTCTGACGACGAGCAAGATAGGCCGAGTCGCGTTGTTGGCCCACGCTGGAAAATCAAAGTCTATGGGCCAGATCACACAGAACATTTATTGAGGGTCTCGGTCAACGACACCGTTGCGTCTTTGATGCCCCAGCTTAATGCAAAGCTACCCCCGGGAGAGGAAAAGGAGACACATGAGCTGTATCTAAGGCAATGGGGCACTGGTTTGTGTCATTCGCTCTCGATCCTTCTAGTCCTCATTTTCCTCAGAACGGAAGTTACGCAAATCGGAAAGGCCAGCCAACATCCTCCGACGATGTTATTTGCAAGCGGGTTACGATGAAACGGATGGGTATGACCTACATGGCGGGGGAGTCCCATTCCTGTTCAGATTCGTGTATCGGAGTCAATTTCTGGGGACCGCTGTGGGTATTACCCGACTTCATTGATGCGTTGTTAACCAATTAGTTTAGGACGACACAATATCATCATCCGGCTCCTTTGTCTATACGAATCTGACAGGACGGAGCCTCACGGCGCTGCCTATTCTGCTTCACCAACATGCTCCTAGTATCCATTCGCTTATTCTCTCGCGAAATCCTCTCGGGACTGCCATTCCCTCCGACTTTCTTCAGGCATGCACTGCTCTCCATCAACTGACGGTCACCCACATGTACCTTCGCAAGGTACCGCGGAGCATTCGAGGTTGGCGAAGCAAAACGCTCACGCAACTTGATCTGTCTGCCAATCGTCTTGTCACTCTGAACGGCGATGATGGAGAAATATGGCTTCACGAGTTCGGCGCACTTACCAGTCTTCAATTGCAAAATAATCGTCTGGATGGGCTCCCGACTTTGCTTCCCCTCGGATTGCTTGAGTTGAATCTTTCGAACAACCGGTTCACTCATTTACCCTTGAGTGTGACCCATCTCCCTAGTCTCACCAGCCTTGATATATCACATAATGCCCTTCCCTCACTACCTGCAGAGATTGGCCAACTCGGCACGCTCACAAAACTGATTATGGCCTGCAATCACGTGACAGAGATTCCATCCGAGTTTCTAAACCTCCGCGATCTGCAAGAACTTGACTGTCGACGCAATAACATTGGCGATTTGGGGATTGCTTGTGCACTTCCGCAGCTGATAACGCTCACAGCGGACCACAACAACAATCTTCATGGGCTGGCCCTCAACTTGGGTCCAAATCTACAGTTCCTTGACTTGTCTCATAATGAGATCACCGAACTCGTTGTACTTCCCGGACCAGTCCCTACATCTCCCTTCGCTATCACCTCTCTCGACATGTCCTATACCAACTTGTCGGTTCTTCCGTCGTCTCTCTTACCCTCACTTCCGTTATTACGCACGCTTCTCCTGCATCACAATGCTTTGCACAATCTCCCATCATCGCTTTCCGCATGCACATTTCTCGAAACGCTTTCGGTTGCTGACAACCACCTCAAATCCCTTCCCTCGAGCATCGGCTTTCTCCAGAAATTGGAGGTGCTCGATGTACACGGAAACAGTTTAACAGAGCTGCCCCGTGAACTATGGGAGTGCGCTAGTCTTGCAAAGATAAATGCCACTTCCAACCTACTCCGGGGCTGGTGGGATCCTCCGCCAGTCTCGGTCGACGATCTGCCAATATCAATAACGACGACAGTAAAATCTGGCCTACTGACAGTTCCAACACCTTCCTCTCCCTCTCGTCACTCTTTTTCATCTCGCCGCCCGTCCGTTTCTCGCGAAGTCGAACTGCCACCATTGGTTCACTCTCTTGAAGCACTTCATCTTGCAGAGAATGAGTTAACAGACGAGGCCCTTCTTCCAATGCTCCTTTTCAAAGAGCTTCGGGTGCTGAATTTGTCCCTCAATGACATCCAAGAGGTTCCTCCTGATTTGTTCGTCCGCCTTGACAAACTTGAGGAGGTATATCTCAGTGGAAATCGTCTTACGCGGTTTCCTAGCGAAGGTCTGGGTCAGTTACAGAGGCTGGGTACCCTTTTCCTCAATGGTAATCGCCTCTCACATCTGCCGTCCGAGCTGGGCAAGGTAAAGAGCCTGACGCTACTTGATGTGGGCAACAATTTGCTCAAGTATAATATCAATAATTTGGATTACGATTGGAACTGGTGCGTATTTTAAACTCAGTCATCGATTTGGCATTGACATGATCCCCCCCAGGAACTTCAACCAAAACCTCGTTTTCCTGAATTTATCGGGCAATAAGCAGTTGGAGATCAAGTCCGATGCGTCCCATCATCAGCGCGTCAGCACCAGCACAAATTCCTCTCAGCTTGATCGTCGTGCCTTCTCTGGGTTTTCCGCTCTCTCTCACTTGCGGTTACTTGGGCTTATGGATGTCACCATCACCACCAACACAGGCTCAGATATTCCTGACGAAGATGAAGAGCGCCGAGTGCGGACCTCGTCCTCACTGGTTAATGGGCTTTCGTATGGCATCGCAGATACCATTGGCCGACATCCTAATCAACCACAACATACGCTCATGCATATGGTCGACCTCGTTCACGAGTTTCGTGGCGCCAAACGCGACACAGTTTTCGCAATGTTTGGACGAGCACTCCCGCTTGCGACAGCGACACCAAGCCCAACTGGTGTAGTGCCAACGGCAACTGCAAATAGCCTTGCCAAGTACCTCAGAGACCATTTCATCCGTGTTTTCAATCAGCAGCTCAACGCCATTGACCCACATAGAGCGGAGGGCGTCCCCGATGCGCTTCGACGAACCTTCTTGAAGCTTAACCAGGAGTATCACGATTCCCTCTTTGGCAACAGTTCCGCACCGCGAAAGATGTCTATCGCGAGTCTTCCGAGTCCAAGCGACATCCACCAAATTGGCGCTTCCGCTGTTGTCGTCTACATCGTTGCCCATCGATTGTATGTCGCAAATGTCGGCAACGCGCTTGCAGTCATATCACGTGATGGAACAGCTCGAAGGGTTTCCCGCAAGCATGCACCATACGATCTCTCGGAGACAATACGGATAAAGTCCACTGGTGGTTGGGTGTCACCATCCGGCCTAGTCAGCGGGGAATTGGACATTTCGCGGTCGTTTGGGTTTTATCACTTGATGCCATCAGTGAATGCCAGACCAGATGTCTGTGAATACGAGCTCAACAGCAAGGATGAGTTCATAATCATTGCTAATCGGGGGCTGTGGGACTTTATCGAGCCCCAGACGGCTGTTGATATTGTTCAGCGGTCGTCGCGGGAGCCAATGGTGGCGGCGCAGAATCTAAGAGATCTTGCCATGAGTTGTGGGGCTGAGGGGAGCACCATGATTATGGTTGTCTCGCTTGCAAACATGTTCAAGGAAAATCGAGCACCGGCTGAAGAGGAGGAGCAAATCGAGCGGTACCGCAAGCGTCGGGGTCCTGGTGTCCTCGAGAAAACACTTGATCGGCTGCGAGACGAAGTTCCGGCGCCAATTGGGAATATCGCGGTGGTCTTCACCGACATTCAAGGCTCGACTCATCTTTGGGAGGCTACACAGTCGGGAATGATTGCTGCTATACACTTGCACAATACCCTTCTGCGACGTTACTTGCGACATTGTGGCGGGTATGAGGTCAGGACTGAAGGCGACAGCTTCATGTGTACCTTCCCCACCGTTCTGGCCGCTGTTTGGTGGTGTCTGATGATCCAAGTGGAGCTGCTTGGCGTCTCATGGCCTCAAGATATTCTTGAATGTCCTGACGGGTCACAAGTTTTGGACTCGCAGGACAACGTCATCTACCGCGGCCTTCGTGTTAGGATGGGAATTCATTGTGGCGCGCCATCTCTTTGTCTAACCGATCCCGTGACTGGTCGAATGGACTACTTTGGCTTGGTCATTACACGGGCGTCGCGGATTTCCAGCATCGCTCGAGGCGGCGAAATTATGTGCAGCGCGGACGCTATGGCGGAGCTTAATGCACACGTTCTTGAGTCTGAACCATCAGTAGAATACCCAGAGTCACCTTCCGTCTCCAAAGAGGTGATTCACGCAATTCGAGCCCTTGGACCCGCCGTTGTCCCCGTTGGTGAAGTTAAACTCAAAGGTCTGGAAGCGCCAGAAACCCTTTCGTACATCCTGCCTCAATCGCTTGCGGAACGACGACATTCGAGCAGCAAGGATGTCGTGTCCACACCCGTCGTTGCACCTCTGCCCATCATCTCCATCAGCCCACCAGTGGCCGCCATTATCCCGCCAGCCCCAATCCAGAGGAGAAGTCCCGCCCATGAATTCAACACTGAGCATATTCGCGCGCTCGCGCTGCTCTGTGTCAGGTTGGAGTTTGCTGTGGCTGGGCGTCCGTACTCAACGGACCTTGATACGAGTCAGCATCTTCATGTTTTGCTGCCGACCAACCTCGGACTTATGACTGAAACTGAGCTTTTGGTTATTCTCGAGTCACTTGCTATCCGCATGGAGAACCTTGGGGCGCTACTCGCTGGTCGGGCACCCCTTCCTCTGGAATCACTCGTCGCAGCCCTACGGGGACTCGACGAAAGGACGTTTAACCAAGTGTTGTCCTCTGTTTGTTGATTTATGTTGTCCTTGGTATATTTCTGCTTTCCACTACATATCTATATATATCGCATCCTACGTAGAACCTGCATACATAGTCTGTTGTAACCCCATACACTGTAGTTTTAGCAGTTTTTCCTTTTTTTCCCCTTGGCCTGTCGTCTGACGTAAGCTCATATTACGTCAGCTTACATTGAGCAAAGCTTCGCCTTCAACTTCCATGGCTACGGGCCGGTTTTTGGTTCTTCTATTCACGATCTTAGCTGGCGTCTATTATTTCGACCTCCACAACCATCCTGCTGTTCAAGAAGCCCTCGAGAGACCCGCTTTTGCGTTCTTGGCTGCTCTTCGACAACAGAATTCGTTAGCAGTTCCCAATGTACCTGTCGTCGCGCCAGTTGACGCACCCAACCCTCAAGCGACTGTGGCATCACCTACGGGCTCCACAAGAGCTCCATTTACTCGCCACATAGTCGCGGTCGGGGACCTCCATGGTGATGCCGGGAATGCCCAGAAGGTCTGTGTTGTTGCCAGGCCTGTTGGCGCTCGCTTAACGACCGCAAAAACAGGTCCTCCAATTCTCCGGTGTCGTCGATGCATTTGGGAACTGGACTGGGAACGCCGACTTTTTTGTGCAGACGGGGGACATAATTGACCGGTAGACTACCAGCTTATTTCTTTCGTTTTGCTTATGGAAACCCAGGGGGGACGACACGATCAAGCTGTACAAGTGGATGGAGAGGCTGAGGGTGCAGGCTGCCACTGCCGGGGGACTGGTCATGACGCATTTGGGTGAGTTGGAGTTCTTTGGATATTGGTGACTGCTAACTGGAATGATCAGGCAACCATGAAGTTATGAACGCGATTGGTGTGTCTAATATCATTTCCCCCCTCCAATTATAACCGAGTCTTTGCAGGTGACTGGAGGTATAAGCAATATCTGTGCTTGCCAACCTGCTAACTTTTCCAAGATATGTCTACCCTTCGGAGATCAACACCTTTGGGACTGTCGCAGCACGCCAGAAGATGATCTCAACTGGGAGCATCGGCCGCGCATGGGCCCAAAACTACACGGCAACTTCCCGCTTACCGCTCCACCCCCATCTTGGCGGGCCAAACACTCCTTTCCCACCACCGCATCACCCAATCCACTTCCGCCGCGAAGACGACTACGAGGACGAAAGCGACCACACGCGCTACTACGATCCAGAGGAGCCACTTTCCCACTCAGCGCTTTCCTTCGTTCATGGCGGTCTGTCACCGACCTACTCAAACCTCGCGCCATTCCCCACCAAGATAAACGCGCTATCAAGTTCGCTGCTAGAGAAACTGCAACACCGCGTCCAACCACCGCCCCATCCTCCAAACCACTACCCAGGACTGCCGCAGGGCACCACCAGCGAGGAAGTCGAGTTGTACGACTCAAATGGGCCGTTTTGGTATCGTGGGTGGGCGACTGATACTGAGGAACAAGTGTGCGTGGATGTTGAAAAGGTGTTGGCGAGAACGGGCACGCGGCGGATGATTATGGGCCACACGCCCGACTTCACGGTGGGTTCAGGTTACTTGTCTATCTGTGGGGGGCTAAGCTTGAATTGTAGGGTATCGTTTCGCGGTGCAATGGGAAAATCATTATCATTGACACGGGTGAGCGGGAAGTCAGCTTTTTTTGAGTGTCTGTAATGGGTTTTTCCAGGAATCTCACATGCCTATGGAGGAGTTTTGTCCGCCCTGTCAATCCATTACACCTTTACTCCCGTCGAAAGCGATGACGGAGAACCTCGCTGGGTAGAACGAGAGGTTGTGTCGACGCTCTACGCTGACAGACAAGAGATTATCGTGGACGAGGCACGTGAACTTGTCGGCAACTTTCGATTCCAATAGCATGTTGTACTATCTAGATCTAACTTATTCCAACCATCCGAAACACACACAAAAAGAAACCTCTAACTCATCAGAGTCCATCGCTTCCTTGTCGAGCCCTTGCCAGTGAGCTCCACCAACTTGACCTCGCGCTCGCGCTCATCGACATCAAACATCTTGCGCAGACTGTCCACCTCCTGAGACTTTTCCTGGACATTTGCGGTCGCCTCTTTTGCATTATTACGCGTGATCTCCAACGTCTCCGTGTGGGAGTTCAACAATGCTTGCGACGCCTCAAACTTGGCACGGGCAGCGAGAAAGACAGCCTCGTGCTTCTGGAATGTCGCCAGCGTTTTGTTGTACGTCGATTGCGCCTTCTCCTCACGCTGCAAAAACCGTGTCAGCCAAACAGCTAGACCCCCGTCGACGCCACACACCTTGACCGCGGCCTTCTGAAGGTTGTGGAGCTCTGACAGTTCCCGCACGGCAATGTCAAGCGCTTTCTTCTCGACTTTCGCCTCCGACTTGATTATTTTGGCAATCTGTTTGTTGCTCTTCGCTAAATAGAACTAATAAGCGTCTTGCGTTGAAAACACAAGTTGGCAACGCACATTCCCGCTTGGCGATGTTGGCCTTCTGCTCGTCGGTCAAGGCGACATCGGCAGAAGCAGCGCGAAGATGGAGGCTATCGTCTGGCTCGGCGGTTGCGTTCGGTCCTGTTGTACCGGCTCCGTTAATAAAAGTGGAGCCAGCCACGCTGCGCCCGTCTGCATTAGTGAAGACGGAGCGCTGCGCAATCGAAGTGGCACGGCCAACAGAAACGACACGGGCGTGTTGGGTCTTGGGCGAGTGGGAAGACGGGGTTGGCGAGGGGTTGGAAGTTTCAGAGGGAGCAGCAACGGTATCGCCAGCTTCAGCCATCTCCTCGTCGTTCTCCGGAACTGGGTTATTGGGAGAGGTGTTGGTATAGGAATTAGTAGTGGCGAGGGTCTCACTGGTAGGAGACTCTACAAGGGCTGCATCGGGGGTGGTATCTTTGGTTGACATGTGTGCGATAGGCGCGTCAAAGTAAACAGAAAACTCGCTCGCGCCAGAAGGAGTGGTGGTGGAGGGCATAGAAAGTATTTACAGGCACAGCCGCAGAAAGACTTTATATGCTTGAGAATGACGGGTTGCGTCATGGCCCTGAACAGGGGGCTCAGTGAGGAGGCACGCTCAAGTGGCCTTGCGACGCCTCTCTCGCTTTGAGCACGTGTCGAAACGTGCGAGAAACACGGTGACCGCGTCGGTTGAACCCGATTTCGTGGACAGCGAGTTGAATAGGCTGGAGGCTGACAACTTCGAAAGTCATGATCTTTTGGAAACGCATATCGCGCGGGTGCCGCCAGCGAGCAGCGACTTCTTGCAGTCTAAGGGATTGCAGGCTCGTGCTGTGGCGGAACAACATTGAGGCGTCTTTCAGGGTATCGACATCCCGGGCTGACTTTTTTACTTGCGTTAAAACTAGGGATTGTAAACGATGGCGTTTGTTCAGCGCAGCGGTCAGCTCATTCTGTAAACAATTTTGAGCACAAGAGCAAAACAAAAATAAGGACACGAAATACCATTGAAAACGTGGGATCAGACGAGCAGGAGATGTCCAAGTGAAGAAGGTGCGGCGCGGATTGCAGTAAATCGGCGAATGGCTTCGCGTAGTCGCTTTTCGCATCAGGCTCCTCGGAATCAGTCGAACAGTCCATCCAAATACGAAGCGAAGTAAGCGGAAGTTGAGATATGGCCCATAACGCTCCAACCAAAGGAAACTTGCCCAGAGGCTGATTCGTCAATTCGAGGCTTTCCAGAGACTGAACGTTATGGAGATGTCGCAGCAATATATGTCTTGCACTAAAATGCCGCAGATTGGGGAGCGCAGTCGGCGGCAAGTTGAGCGACAAGGGAAAGTACCAGCCCTCGAGTTGATGCAGAGTGAGACGTTCTATGCACTGTAAGGAGGAGATGAACCCAGCAGTACAAAAGACAAAAACAAATCTTACGGGATGTCGAGCGAGGAAATTCGCCATGGCCAATCCGTTATTTGTGCCCTCAACTGTCCCAAAGGAATCCAACAGCACAAAGTCCCCGATTGTTAGGTCACGCAAGAAAGGCCATCGGCCTTCAAACAAGGGGCGAACATCGATATAGCGCTCATTATCGGTGTCAATGGTCAAATGTTGGAGGTTGTTGCACGAATATAACATATTCCAAAGCTCTTGCGGTAGCTCGTCGAATGGAGGATGGAGACTACTGGCAACGAGTTGTTTGACGCGTAGAGTGAACCCAGTCAGATTTTTAAAGTTGAACAGCTAGAAAAAACACTGAGAAAAAGAGACGAGGTAGCGAGGAAAGAACCTACGGTACTCTTGACAGGCATAACGTTTCGGGATTTGAAAGTAAAATCACCCAGTCCGATTACTACTCCTACATGGCGAAGGTCGGGGCAGCTAGTGTGTGCTAGTCAGTCCAGAGGGAAGACGTTCGGCACAGGACGGTACAGACTATTTGGCCAGGGACTTCCAGAGATGGTCGTATTTTGGCAGTTCCTTCCCGTCCCAAACGAACTTCTGGAGATTTACCATACTCTCAGCCATCTGCTGGATTGTTACGACGACCCAGCTCTCGATTTCGCGCATGGAAGTTGAGGAGTGGATCCAATCTTCGTTATTCGGCCGAACGACAAGAGTCTTGATGCATCCACAAATGTGGGGATGGGCCAAGAGAAAGGTGAGTGTATTCTCGCACTGCGCACTTGAGCGTAGGTCAACATGGCCATATAATGTTGGTAGAAATAGTGCAAAGAAGCGTTTACTCTAGATATTTTGCATCAGAAAGCGGGTCGGTTTTACGCAAAAGCAAGGCCTCACAGTGAGGGCCAGATTCAAGACATCGACGGAGGGAAGGTGGTGGGCCGTTTCGAGGAGAAGGTCCTCTGGGAGCGATGCCAGCTTCCTGCTTTCTGAGGCGGTCTTTGGGCCAAGGAAATTCCACGAGCGGATTTTTCGGAGGAGATTGGGGGGCATGGGCGCTCAAGACAAGGGCCTTTGGAACATATTGGCAAGTGCAGTGTTGGGGAAACGTGAGCACATTTTGCTGATCGAATCAACAGGATCATTTATTTCACCCTTCCCACTTTCTCCCCCACCAAAATGCGAGCCCAACTCGTCGCCACCACTCTGCGTGCTGCAGCGCGGCCCACACTCGCGAAAACAGCCTCCCGTCTGGTCGCTCTCCCCACCCGTTCATATAGCGACCACCCGGCCGAGACTTTCGAATCCTTCACCCAGCGTTATGTCGAATTCTTCAACCAAGCTGAGGACGTCTTCGAGGTTCAGCGCGGCCTCAACAACTGCTTTGCTCATGATTTGGTTCCTGCCCCTTCCGTCATTGACGCTGCTGTTCGCGCCTCCCGACGCGTAGACGACTTTGCCACCGCTGTCCGCATCTTCAACGGCGTAAAGGTCAAGGTGGAAAACAAGAAGCAGTACCAGGAGTATCTTGATGAGCTCAAGGGGCTGAGGGAAGAGCTTGGTGCGTGTTTTTGCTGTGTTCTGTCCACCCGGCTCACAGAAGAGCCAGGCATCACGCTGGAGGAGGAGCTGTATCCCGAGACGTCATGAGTAGGCTTACCGCATGTTAGTACTTTCACCTTAGTCGTTTGAGGGCTCATTCTGAGGTAGACCTGCCGCTAGACGCCGTCGTATGGAGTTCATTCAAAAATCCTTGTCAACTACAGCTCCGATAATACCAGGAACGAACCATTGGTGAATAGAATATGTACTCATAGACGCTCCAACACTGAGTGATCTGCCCGACTGCAAGGGGGACGAGACCGGGCCAGCCACCAACGAGAGGTCTGTCATGAAAATCATTCAAATGCCTCTGATGGCCTTTCCCACAATCATGTGGCCGTCAGAGTCCTCTTCTTGACTGCAAGTTGTCGAGGGCTTGTCAAACGTTGAATTGCCTGCCAGGGAGTTCGTGGGCGTTGATTCTAAGTATATTTGACGGTAAATATATCACAAGTTACAGCTTAAATAATCTTCGCGACCTCCTTGTCAATAGCATCGGGAGTTGTGGTTGATGCCCAACGGTTCACGACAACACCTTCCTTGTTGATAAGGAATTTCTCAAAGTTCCACTGCGTGTTTTCTTGAGCGCACACGCCAGTGGGAACCGGTTAACGGCGCACCTTGATCCGCGTCAGCCCCAAGAGACCGGCTTTCTCTGACTTGAGCCATTTGAAGACCTCGTTCGTGTTGTCGCCATTAACGTCGGACTTCTTCATGAGAGGGAAGGTAACGCCATGGTTGACCGTGCAGAAAGTAGCGATCTCCTCGTCGGTCCCGGGTTCTTGCCCACCGAACTAGTAATGCAAGTTGGGCTAAGTTTTTAAGCTAGAGGAGCTGGAGCGCGCGTCATACCTGATTGCAAGGGAACCCGATGATGAGGAAATCCTTCTCCTTATACTTATCGTACAAGGCCTGCAGGCCTGAAAGTCAGATTAGACAAGGCAGTCAATCTTCACGCGCGATTGTACCTTTATATTGGGGGGTAAAACCACTACGAGGGTTCAGGCAACTCTCCATAAGCGCAGTCGACACTTACCAAGCAGAGGCAGTGTTCACGACGAGAACAGTCTTGCCTTTCAGTTCGGCGAAGTCGTAGACTTCGTTATTCTTCTTGGTGGCCTTGAGGGAGTAGAATTGGGACTCGGACATGAGGGATAGGGCGCGGGTGGAGATGGTCAAGATAGAGCGGGTGGTAGATGCAGATGATCTTGAGAGTAACATTTGATGGCAACGTGATTCATGGACGAGCCACGTGAATGACCGAATAGACCGAGGTCATGACGTTGAAATGTTGCACAAACTGGTTATCACGCAGCGTTTTGAGAGGGAACCGATACAATCGACGACCGTCTCGTTGACTACGAAGAGTCAAATTTATACCTTGAGCGTCTTGATTACTTCTGCGTAGGTTTTCTTGAAAAGATCAAGATGGCCAATTTACATGGAATGCTCTCTTTCTGAACGCTGCGATGAGCACACAAAAAAACTTTTGTGCCGAAGCTATATAACTTGCGAGTCAAGTCGAGTTTGTGGGAATGTTCTATATCATGATCAAGAGGGCACACCTGAACGTGGTAAGTATTAAACCTTTTGAGCAACCGTCCCCCCGAAATAGCGAGACGAAGAATGCTCAAGTTCACAATACTCGTAGTTTGCGCACTCTTGGACGTACGACATCCGCTGCCTCTTGCCGTCCGTTCTATACTAGTAATGGTTATTGATTGGTTTCACGCGTTTTATGGGACCACCGAGACCGTCAGAGGTGTGTTTAGGTGGACGGACGGGAGAGACAGTGGTGAACAGACATAAGTTATGAGACAGTGAAGCATAGGTTGATTGGCACACTAACCAGCTGACGAAGGCATTGAGCAATCATTGGGTAATGCAACGAGGATACAAAGTCTGCGTCAGTGGATGCAGTATGGAACGAGTCCCGATTCTGCCAATGGAGTAGGTTGAAGGTTGTGAAGTCAAGACTATGACAAACAACTTACTGTTTGGGCAACCGCTCCTAAGGGGCGCAGTTAACGTTGGTGCTGGAGACAACAATTTACTGTGAGCTTCGGCTTCTTTGCCATTCATTAGTGCTAGTATCCTGGACATGGACATGCCGGGTTGCGTAGCGTTGAGTAACTTGAGGGATATTGTAGCATTTCTTCCACCAGCCTCGCTCAACAACTTGACAATGACATCGACATTATCAATGACCTGGTGGAGGATTAATACGGTGACAGTATTTGAGGGAGGCCACGCCCTCAACGCATGCCCATGTCGGGTGGAACATGTCGGAGCCTCGGAGGTGAGGCGGGTGTGACAAGTAAAAGATGTTGACAGCAAAGTCGTGCAGGTAGAATAGTCGACCGAGCCGGGAGTAGCATGCGATATTTTCCAAAGATTGGTGCTGTCGTACTTGCCCACAACTTCTTGTCTCTTCTGGTTGATGTGTTGGAGCATGGGGTTGAGATGTCACCTCACGCGACCGTGACGCTCGTGTTATTGTACTAGCGAGGTGTGGAAGACATCTATGGAAAAGTAGGCATGTCAAGAGGTCGGCCTCCGTTTTTACAGCCAGCTACGAGCAACTACGTTGTAGGCTGGTACTTTCTTCAAATCAGGCCGAATTTCAATGAAGATTTTCCTCACTTTAGGTAAATACAGCGGCTATCTTGGGTAATAATGAGCAGACTTACTTTTGGAAACCGGCCCAACTTGGTGAAGGCGACCCACAGATCAGGTACCAAACTGGTTCCAGGCAAGGAAATGATTCTGTCAACCTTTGTTACTTACCAAGTAAGTAGCGACAGGTAGCGACTATACTTTGGTGAGGAAGACAGTTGCAACATCGGAAATTACAAGTGCTTCATCAGAACAACAGACCATCCATGATGATCCATCGTTGGGGAGGGAACAGAGCTCATAATTGCATGCCGGCATGCGATGACAGATGTATCCCACAAATCTGTGACCATTGTGTGACAGCGACAAGCGGAGAACACGAGGCACCACACGAGGCAGCAAGAAAGTCGTGGGGGTTGGGGAAGGCAGCTTCGAGTTGTGGTTGAAGTATTGAAAGAAGAATAAGAGTAGAGAGTTTACTGTCGTAGTTATTATAGAACTGCTGGTCGAAGGAAGGAGAGCGAAAAAGGCAAACGGAGTCTGATTGGCCCCATCAGAGTGTGACACATACGGCGATTACCTCTCTTGTCTTGTCTCCGCCACCTACTTCGTCGCTCATTCTCGTCCATGCAGACGCGTCGCTCAGCGGGTCTCACCCCGCTGTCTATCGTCCTGCCTCATCCCAGCCTTCCTCGTCGCCGCTCAACTATTCTTTCATTGGTTCCCTCACCGCGAACCCCACTGAGTTGTGCTTCGCCCACCTCCAGCTTACTCTTCTCTGGAGCTGCCAATCGCAAAAGTACGGATAGTTGGAACAGCTCAAACCAGGATCTCATTGACGACCTGGACTATGACTGGAAGCCTGACCAGATTCTCTTTCTAAGAAGGGTGCGTATTCTTTTTTCATCTCCTGGTTTCCATTCTAACTGCCTACCAGACACTCGACGCTCTTCCTCCCCATCTCTATACGCCATTCAACGGGCCCATACCCCCTTCAAATCTTCTTGACAAGATTGCTCGCGGTGTCGCTCAGGCAAAGGGCGAGGACTGGCCACATTCTCTGCGAGCCACCCGAACCAAGCTAATTGAGCTTGCACGGACACTTGCTGACGAAGACAGCAAGATTCATAAGACTATTCCAGAGGAAAACGTACTTGACACGTCGCGTTATCCATCGTTCACGGAGGGAGATGTTCTGCAACCGACCACCAATATAGGTAGAGTTGGAATAGGTCTGAACTCCAGACGGCCTCTTTACAGGCAGTCGAGTATGGATTTTCTCAATACGTCGGAGCCCAAACCAGACGATAGCATCAGCCGGTCCGTCACTCCCTTTCTGTCCCTTCCATGTGCTTACAGCCGTCCTGTAGCCTTTCAAAGCGACTGCAGAAGACTGATCGTCTTATCCCCAATCCAAACTATCATCCCTATTCTCGCAGTCAAATCAATCGACGATCCTCTTCTCCTCCCAAACCCAACCACGTTCCCTCCCTCATAAGCCCTTCTACGCCAAGCTCGTCAACGCTTTCGTCTCTTACCTCCATTTCCGCGGCCGGTCACCCCCGAACTCTCCGTCGCTCTATGTCTATTACTTCGTCATCGACCACATCTAGTTCAAGGATGAGTCTTGGCAGTGTCGACAACCTTCCGCCAATTAATGACCCTCGAGTTACGCGGATTCGTCGCTCAGAGTCATTTTGTATGCATCCAGTGGAGCCGCGACGAGCTGTTAAGCGAGCCCCGTCGTATGGAGCCCTGGCCCAAGAGTCACGTGTAACTGACATGCCCTCTTCCGACGAGGAAGAGAAAGATCGCACTCGACGTGCCAAGAAACCACGAGTTAGAAGTGATAGCGCTACAACTCCCCCGCTGTCGCCTTCACCAGGCCCTTCCCCGACCCCCTCTCCGGCCGCAACAAAGTCAGGCAAATCCGCCGGTCCGTCGAAACGCAAAACTGCGGCTAGTGTTAGGTCATCCGAATCAACCGGTCCATCTAAATCGACGCGTCAGAGGACCTCCAGTATGTTCGGCCCCGAGCTCGCCCCAATTGTGGCTTGTGAAGCTCCGACTACCCCCCTTCTATCTGCGGCCCCGTTACTCCAGGCCCCTGGTCCCGAAAAAGTCAAGACACTTAGACGTGTTCGCAGATTGCCTGCTGCTCGACGGATATCATTTGGAAGTCTCATTGCGCCCGTTGGCGAGAATGGCCACGAAGCTGACATGGAGGAACGTGACGAAGAACACGCACTTGGGAGTGCTTTCCAATTGCGGTAACCAACTATTGCACCTATTTCGACCAGTGCGCATGCCTTCATTCTCCGACAAGGGGTATCGCAGAAGGATTGTTCCACCATTGTACATTTCTGTAACACCATCGCCTTCTTTCCCATCTCGATGAAATCGACGGGAATAGCCATTTTATCAGGAAATCGGCCCCACCCTCGTTAATTCTCAGTTGCATCGGTGAATGCTGCTATACTCAGCGTTCCGCCTCCAACACTCATTATTGGACATCTCATCAACCTTGTACTAACAGTGGAGCTTACTGCTCCCCACATCCATTTATTCAGTCTCACAACTCCCATCCCATCCATCCATCCAGCAATTGCATCGCACTCTAAACGCAGTCTCGACTGGCACCTTTTTGACACAAGCAAAATAATGATGCTTGATTCTTCGACAAACCTGTTTGCCGCGTCAAATTGCCGATACTCGATCTCCTGCATATCGCATGGCTCAACTTCGAGTCTGCTGTAACACATCAACCACACCCAAAAGTGGTGTCCTGCACACCACCAGCTCTCAAAACGTTCCTCGAATCCTTGCGCGCATTCCTTCAGTATATTCTTCTTGCTTTTATCCAAATGCTTAGCTGTCTACGCACCCGTCCCCCTCTTACGTCTCCCCCACGCTTATAGAGATCGACTGGTCGTTTCGAATTTGCGCTGTTGAGTTGTTGTCTTTTCGTCTCACCCCCTCCTTGCTTCTACACCCACTCTTAATCTTCTCTTTCTCACTGCATATTTTATTTCGGTTATTAGGCCCGCCTTTTCGAAATTCGGTTCGTCTGGCTGGGCTCGGTGGAGCTATTGTACTTGTCGTTGCTGCTGCAGTAGTCATGCAAGGACGTTGATACACCAGTAAATATAATGCAAATATACTCAATTTACCTGGTAGCCTATGGGAAGCGGAAGGTCATCTCCGCCGGACTGTTAGAGCCAACTCCAAGTCTGAATATCACCAATAACTCAAGATCTCTGGTCCAACGCTCCAGGAAACAGTTTTATTCGAAATAGGCAACGGACCGAGGTTCTACTTCAAGACACCACGTTAGCTTCAAACAAGTGTGTGAGCGATGAAAGCGTACCGTATTCCCCCGCACTGGTTCATACATGGGCCTTATGATGCCTCCGACGAAGGAGTTTGGCCGAGCGCCTGCTCTAGAATGACCTCGCCAGTTTTCTGCTGGATTTCACGTCGCAGTCGCAACTGCGCCTCTTTCTCTGCTAGCAACCCCCTCATGTGTAATGTCGCCTGCCACCAGAAGTATCCCGCTCCAGCAAAAACTCCCATGCATGCGACATGCCCTGCTGGATCTTATGGGGGAAAGATTAGTTCACAGTGAGGTGTGACGAGGGCAGAAAAGATGCGGACTGGAGAGCATTGGGCGGCGAAGGATTCCGAGTTGGTAGAATCGGGCGGTGAGTCCAAAGACGGCTCCGCCAACGACGTGCCCGACGAGACCCATGGTGGCGACGGTGTTTAGAGAGATGTGACTTTTGGCCACACTGATGCGGAGTCACACAACGCGTCTATATTCCCCCTTGTTCTTTTCGTCCATCTGCATACTTGCACGCGTCTGAATCGATATGGCCGATTTTCAAACGAGCGAAGACAAGCTGAAAATCGGCAAAGACAAGAAGGACGCTGCTGATGAGGCGTTCAAACAAGGCCAGACTGCGAAAGGTATGCAGAACCGACTTGACGAGAGTACTATGGGCCGCTGAACGAGTCTTCCATCAGCTTTAATGGAATATCATGGGGTATATTGCTTTACTTCGTTTGTTGACATCTCCAACGCGCGCTCTCTTCAAAGGCTCTGCTCTATCTGCTCGGTTTGAACAAGTTCGTTCGTTTATGACCCTGCGACTGTTGACCAACAAACTCTCTCCAAGAGACGCCATGGGAGTTGCTGCTGGTAATCCAGCGCCACCCGTTGATCGCGATGCCCCCAAGGAAAAAGACCGAAGTCTGTCCACTCTCTTCATCTGGGCAGGCAGTTTGATATGCGTATCCAAGGTAGATATTCTCGTTGAAAAAATCTACGCCAACATGTCCGCGTGCCATATCAAGAACGGCAATTGGAAACGTGCTCTCGAAACAGCGGACAAGGTGCGTGTGTGTCGGTGTGTCCACGCAAAGTCCTCAGCTCATCATCGACATGAAGGCCTTGGCTAAGGATGAAAACAACTACAAAGCTATGTACCGCAAAGGTAAAGCCTTGGCGGAACAAGGCTACATCGAGCGTGCGATAAGAGTGTTGGAAGACTTGAAGAAGAAGAGCACGAACGGTCTGCAATTTCCCTGCCCTTCTTTGATTAGAGACCTGACTCTCATTGCAGAGAAAGACGTTGCCGCAGCTGAATCTGAACTGGTTAGGTTACGCGCCGATGAGAAGGAGAAGGAGAAAGCCAACAACAAGAAGCTAAAAGGTGTGTTGCACTATCCGTCTTTTTTTCTTGTTATGCTCAAGACATGTAGGCTTCTTGTCTAGAGACAAGGGCAAGAAAGCTGAAACGGGAGCCGAGGAACTGATCGAGCCCATCCAATCGGCCAAGATTGAAGAGTTACCAGACGATGCTTGACCGGCTCACTCACCTTATCCTACTACTTGCTGTTTGATTTTGTCCTTGCATTTTTTTCTGGCACTGAATATCAATTGTATTTGTACTTGCTTACTCTATCACTGCGAGCCTGTTGATGCCGTCAACGCTTCAGGTTTGTCAGCACCCCTTCTTTCACAAATTCTATGCACCAACAGTGTCGCTGTCTGTGGAAGAAACCATGAGCTGGGCGAATCTCATCGCTCCAACTTCAAGCCTTTGAATCCTGGGCCGACATTCAAGTCGTCGCACAGCTTCACGATGAAAAGGACCTTTTGAAATATTTAAACCGGCCTTCAGATTCGGAACTGTCGAATCTCTGCTTCCTGTGCTGAACGTCGTCATGCAGACTATCGTGAAATTGACGCCGTTGGTGAGTCAGCAGGATGTCGTCGTCGACTCGTTCACGGTAATTACAACGTGGCTGTTTGAGAGCCCTGTCGTCACCAAAACAAAGCCCTGCGGCAGCAGCAAATCTCTCGTCGTCTTCCGGCTTGTCGAACGGTAAAAAACCATATTAAAGCCGGTCGCGTCCGGAAAATGGCTCGTAAAGCGTGTATCTTCTCCTCATCATGAGTGCGAGTATGAGCGTTCCTACTGCGCTTGGCTCGTTGCTGCTAGGCGGTCTATTTGCCTCACTGTGAGCCGTGCACTGTCTTTCTGTCTTTCGCAACTGACTCTCTATGGTAGTTTATCCGGCGTTGTAGCAACCGATGTTGTTGCCTACTTCCGTGTTTACAAGGCCGATGCGCCAGGCTTGAAGGCGCTCATTCTTGCTATTGGGGCTCTCGACCTTTTCCACACCGGCCTTATTTGGACCGCGATGTGGGAGTACGCTATAGCGAACTGGGGCCTGACCTCCCGGATCGACTACATTCCGTGGAGCATAGCGCTCACAGTCCTTATCACAGCCATTGTGACTTTCCTCGTTCATTGGTATGCGTGAGCCCTCTTGAACCGGAAATCTATGTACTCAATCCTCACTGATAGCTTCTTTGCGCAACGGATATTTCGCCTAAGCAAACGAAACTGGTACATGGCTGCCTCAGTAGTTTTCTTTGCTCTTGTGCGGCTTGGTCAGTGTCTCAACAACTCAACTTCGTCAAAGTTGCTGAAAAGGAATTAGCTGCCGCTTCAGTATCGACAGCAGAAATGTATGTGCTGCTACCTTCTGCTCACTAAGCGAGTATTGACATCTCGTCTAGGCTTCGTTATAAAAGCTTTCCTGTCTATATGGTCCACTCTCGCGTCCGTACTTTTTGTTTCTTCGTGCCAGGTTTCCATAACGCCTTTGTAGTGGATCCTCACATTCGGCCTTTCCATGTCGTCCTGCGTCGACATTCTCATTACTGCCTTACTTCTGTACCTCTTCAAGGGGAGCCGAAGACCCAAAGGCTCGCAGTCAGTTCCTTTCCGTCTAACCGCATATCACCGCGCTCATCTAAGGCAGTCTCAACCAAGTGCTGGACCAGATGTCATTATATGCATTCGAGACAGGCAGCCTAACTTGTCTGGGGACCATTGCGACGATGATCTGTGTACGTTTGTCGCTTTGAGTTGTTTTCAGTCGAGCCTGACCACTATTCAGTGGATCACGATGCACCATAACCTCGTCTTTCTCGGTTTGCACTTTGCTATTGGCAAGTGTGAGTTTGGCCAACTCTCGTGTTCAAGTTCCTTGTTGACTGGTTTCACAGTGTACGCGATCTCTCTGTTAGTCACCCTCAACACGAGGGAGGGCATTCGTCGCAGTCGTGCGACTATGCTGGCGGAGCGTGGGGGCGTCCTCGTGCTGCCAGCGGAGATTCCTTCAGATAAAAACTCCTCGTCTGGCCACGGCACATATTAGATAGCACCCACGTTTCCTCCTCGGTTCTCTTTCAGATAGCTTATTGATCTTCCTAATGTCGTGTTTGTAATCATTCTGTTTCCCTCTTTGTCCGGGGAATCGGGTGTTGAATTTAATGGGCAATTACGAGGACTCTTCGCGTTTGATCAGAGCTCTAAGTCGGGAGTTGAATCCAATCAGGTCAACATGACAGACTAGACTCCCAATCAAAAATTGATGCGATACGACTTCCAGCTGCAGTTCGTCATAATCTTCGAATGTTTGGACCTTCTCTCTCTCCTTGTGCGATAGACAAGAGGATTGCTACCCAGGTTGAACATTGGTATCTACCCTCGGATGTTCGTCGGTCACGGTATTCGAGTACACGTCACCGGTACCTTTGGACTCCAACAGACTCCAACCAAGTTGAACCAGCGACTCATCCCATCGGACACAGGTGGCATTGCGTTGGCCGCATTCTCTTCCGAACAGGCGATAAGGTCCCGGCTTGGATTGAGGCTGGCAGTCTGTTACGGGAACCCGCCAGACAAAGGACCTGAGGACATACCTTACTTTGTGCCGATTGGTGTCGCCGCGATGGCCTAACCGGAACTCTCCGCGAGTCTGTCTACTGCAGCATCCACTTGGCGCCAGCATCACGGGCGCGATAATGACAAAGTGGCTAAAAATCCCTAGGACCACCAAAACAAAGCCCTACATCAAGGTTCTTTTCAACTCAAAACTCCGCATTCTAGGGACGACAAGTATTTAAACTCCAAGGCGCCAAAAAATACTCAATAGCTTGCTTCCTCAACATGGCTGTCGGCGCCCTCTCTACTACGCTTGGCTCGATGCTCATCGGAGGCTTCTTTTCTTCCTTGTGAGAAACAGACAATGTTTCCGTCTCGGTAGACTGATCATGAATACCAGTTTGGGCGGCATCGTTGCAATCGAGGTTGCTGCCTACTTTCGCGTCTACAAGACCGATTCGCTCGGCTTCAAGGCGCTCGTCCTCACAGTCTTCGCTCTCGATCTTTTCCACACCGGGTGCATATGGGCTGCGATGTGGGAGTATGTGATAACGAATTGGGGAACCACCTCCAAGCTCGATTTCATTCCTTGGAGCATATCGCTCACGGTCCTGGTTACGGCCCTCGTGACTTTCCTGGTCCACTGGTATGTCTGAATTGTGCTTTTGGATCCTTACTCAGTCGCTAACGATAGCTTTTTTGCACATCGCATATTCCGCCTGAGCAAAGGCAATTGGTATATGGCGGGTCCCGTGGTTTTCTTCGCCTTTCTGCGACTTGGTAAACGCATCCACACTTGACTCGCTTCTCAGGATTGCTGATCTTGATTAGTGGCTGCTACTGCATCAACAGTAGAAATGTGTGTATTGCCGCGCGACATTAGGGCCATCGCAGTCAAACTGACTTCAACAGGTTTCACTACCAGAGTTTTCGCGTCTTTGTGGCACGTGTTCGCGTCCGTGTTTTAGGCTTTCAACATGACCGTGTACTGATCAGAAAATCGTAGTGGGTGTTCACACTGGGTCTCTCCTTCTCGTCCTCTGTCGACATTCTCATCACCGCCTTGTTCCTATACCTCTTCAGGGGAAGCCGAAGACCTGAAGGTTCTCAGTCAGTTTTCTTTCTCGGGGATTCCCATTATATGCTTATCAAGATTTTTGCAGTCTGAACAAGGTGTTGGACCAGCTGGCTCTATACGCATTTGAGACAGGTAGCCTGACCTGTATCGGAACCGTTGTTTCAATGATCTGTGTGCGTCCGTCGCTTCAGACCGTTAAGCTCGCTCATTAAACCGCATCCTAGTGGGTGACGATGAACCGGTCTAATCTCGTCTTTCTCGGTTTGCATTTCGCCATTGGCAAGTGTGAGCTCCTTCTAGCCTTCTTGTCTTTGGGTGTTCAATCATCTTCCAGTATACGCCATTTCTCTGCTCGTGACACTCAACACGAGAGAGAGCGTACGTCGCAGTCGTTCGACAGGGTCGACGGCAGATCGTGGGGCCGTCCTCATTTTGGAGGCCCGTTCAAACAAAAACCACCGCTCATCGAGTCCATATTTCGTATGCTTACTTTCCTCCCCAATTCTAAGATGTCTTGATAGCTGTTTTTCTAGGCAGCGGCAATGTCGCAGACCAAAACTGTCTGTCCCCTTGAATCCTGTATCGTAGCCATACTCACCTTTGCCCAGGAGGTTCAAATCGCAGTCGAACGCAACGTACAATATGATTTGCGGACTGACCAGAGTCATCTACAACAGCCAGAGCCCAAAAGAAACACTGTAAGTTAGAGAACGAAGACATTGGTAGGGACATTGTATTTAATTCGCTTGATTGAATCGCTGGTTTCCCATTCAGTTGAATAAGAACCCATTGGATAGAAGCCCCGTCAAGCTGCGTGCAGCAATGCCTGCGGCCATTCCGGACCGACGGCGAGCCAAACCACTATATGCGCCGCTGCTAAACGAGGCTCCGATGTAGTCACGGATGCCCTGTTGGAACTGCAGTTCACGTGCAGCGGCATCAGGATAGGCGTAGGCGGGGAAGTCTGAGCGGACTAATGGCCAAGGTAGTTGGATTCCCAGTCCTCGTAAGGCTGCTCCGATGTGCGCAAACGTGTCGTCAGGATTGGATAGAATCTTGTGGGCAAGATACGTATTCCAACCCTCCCAAGTCAGGACACTCGACCCAGCACATTGAGCGCCAATGGTTTGGTCTATGATCAGGTTGGCAGATTGCTTTAAAAAACTGTGAAACATTGCTCACAATACAGCGGCAGCACGTGGCTCTCGAAAAAAGGCGGGATAGGCCGCCCGGCTACCTCCTTGAAGCGCCGTATTTTACTGGCTTCGATGAGTTGTGTGCCTGTTGGCAGGGTAGTTCGGTCCAACGCAATGAAGAGCTCCCTTGAGATGATATGGAAAGCCTCGAGCCGATAGCCTTGGCTTCCAAATAGTTGTGTCGGAGATTCTTGTTGAGGCACGTTAGGTGTGGCTGGGAAGGTTCCTCCTTGTGTGGTGGCCGAACCAGAGACAGTCGACACACCCCGAACATTGGGTCTAGTCGACGAGCTACCAGGCGTGGGTGATGAATAAGGCGATGTACCACCGCTGGATAAAGGCTCTGCTTGCGAGGCGTTTGGAAGAGAGTCTTCGCGCTTCACCGCCGATGAAGACTCCCCAGAGTGGAGTCTAGTCCCACATTCGATGCAAAAACGACCTTCTCCAGGAGTACCGCACTCCCCACAGTAGACCATGGTCAAAGCAGAGGATAAGACTAGTATGAACGCGCTTCAAGGCCGTTATTTGGCAGATGGATGGCATTGGTCGACACATCTATTTTCGAGCGTTAGCGTTCCGAATCTGAATCATCTGGGAGAGTCTGGGAGTAGTTGGGTTTCAGCTGGATGAACGATGAGCCGCTGGATCGCTGGATGGCGAGTACCCTACTTTTCTGAGCACGCTGGCGTGCTGAAAAAAGAGGCAGTTTGATTGAATCAATCACGGTCACACGATCCAACCGCACGCGTTTGGACATCTAATATGCTCGTCGCCACCCACATCTCTGCCTCTTTCGAGGATGCGGCTCGCAGTGCTCCGCCAATCGATTTCCCGCGACTATCCGATGCTTCATGGGACGATGCACTCGCCAGCACGGAATCCGAGTTGGCAGTCAAACGCTCAGATGGCTTCTTCCTCGTCACCGCCCTGAAAGCATGTATACTTGCTCACCTGGCGCAGTCCATGCGTTTGACCAAGGCGAGTTGCACTCCTTCTGAAACATGGTTACCTTAGACGCGTTTTAGGACGTAGAAGAAGATCTTCACGAGGATGTTCTGCTCGAGCCTCTTATCTCGCTGTTGTTGCAAGACGCGGGCGTGTGGGAGCGAAAGAAGGACGAGCCTGAGCGGCAGGCATGCAGGGCATTCTTTATCTTCGCCGACTTGGTTGTCGCGGAGCGGGGTTTCGAAGAGTTTTCGGTCTGGTTCAACGCTATGTTTACGCCAATCATCCGTGCCTGTATTGGGGACCTATTGCGGTGCGTGTTATCTTCTGCGTGCCTCTTCGAGGCGTGACTTCGCCTCAGACGAATTACCGTGCAATCGCCCCACCCAAGCCCAGACCACGACTCCACGCCGAGGATTCAGATCTGTGGTGCATCCAGTGCGTCCGAAACCAAAATCTGAAATGCATATTCAACCATCTTCAGGTCGGGAAATCTTGATTGCGCTGCGTCGGCGACAGGCTTTCTCTCAAGACCCTACCTCTGTTGTTCCGCCGGCAGATCCGGGTGCTTTGGCTTCTCTTCAACTACGTCTTGGCACGCATTCGATAGAACCGCGACCCTCGGAAGATTCTGCAACACCAGTTCTGTCTACAGTCGCACAACCTGAACTTGGATCAGCATTTCATCGACCCGAAACAGAGCCTAGCGTGACAAATGAGCTTTTAAAGGAGGCTGCCCGTTTTATCGAAGAAACAATTGAGATGCATCAACGGGGGGATATCAACGCTGGGGCCAAAATCGGCGGCATGGATAAACCAACAGCTTGGGCATCGTACAAGACCCTCCCGGACGCTTGCGACAAGAGGTCCGAGCCTTTTGTTGTACAATCAGCAAGCGACTCTATGGTTAAGAACAACATGAGCACGGAAAAAGATGGGCCCAAGGCGACAGAGGCCGTGAAGTCAATCATTCCGCACTTTGAAAATGACCTACTGAATCGTGTCTATTTAGCCGTGGACTCGCCTGGCAACCTTTGCCACTCTCGAGCGGAGGGATGGCCAATCTTCCTCTTGCCGCGTCCAACCAAGCCGCCTCAAGGTGAGCGGGAGAGAGGCTTTGAATGCCTCCCCTCATTGCTAATATTTTGCCCAGCCATTACCCGAAATTATTCGAAGCACCTCTGCACGATGATATTCCACCGCAATGGTTCTGGCCCAATGCGCCAACAGACATATTCTCTAATCCGATGTTGACGACCCTCGCCCCTGTGCTCTACTGGTCGTAGCGTAAGTATTGTTTCCTTATAAGTCGCTCAATAGTGTAATGTTGTAATCGGAATTCGCGATCATGTGCCACCCACTTCATCTTCATTCGAATCACTACCACCACCACCGCAACACCCATGTCTCCTCCAGCTAAACAGACGATCAGCACGCTCTATGAAACAGACCTCCACCGGAAAGAGGCGGAGATGGGCAGATTCCTCCGCGAGAGAAAGCTCAAGAAAGTGCGTTCTAGGGAAACACTTTCGAGGGCCCAATCTGGCCGCTGGGACACCTCGAACAGTCGTCGCAGAGGACGGGAGAACTCGCAACATCGCTATCATCCATACGCCTGCCCCACGCCCGCTCATAGTGAGATCGCTGCTGTCGCAAGTGGGTCTTTTCAGGCTCGAAACTCGGAAGACAGTGTCCACCAGCCTCTCCGAAGGACGTTTACAGGCGAGCTCAGGATAATGGAGGGACTTTCTGTGTACTGCAGGAAGCTTCAAGCAGAGATTGACGAGAGGACAGCAGCGTTAGCCCTGCCACAACGAATGAAGAAGAGGGGTGGCAAAGGCCGCAAGATTCGTCCCAAGCCAGCCAGCCAGTTCAGGTTTGTGTAGCAGGCCTCGAAAGTGCACAATTGCTGACGCCCAGAGTAGAGACTCTGAATCTGTGAGCGTGAAGCGGAACAACCCCTGGCCGGTGATGCCTTCTACCATGATCCTGGTGATCAGTGACGACGAAGAAGAGTAGGAGAACCCTGTATTGCCGTTCTTTCAATCTATTGGTACATTTCACTTGCTACACTGAGGCGGTCCTTCATATGAGCTTGACGACATCTTGATGGACGAAAGTATCGACGACGAATCCGCCTTCGGGAGCCTTGACAACGCCCGCTTTCTCTAGAACGCTAAAGTTACGTCAGGTGCGGGAACAAGGAAACGAAGAGAACAGACTCTAAAGTATCCGTTATAACCTTGGTTGGTATAGCCAGACAATCTTGGGGGTACGCGACCGTCTTAAGCCAAGCCTATCCGAGATGAATGGATGGGAGCTTGAAAGATTGAACAACCGACCTGAATGTCCTCTTCAGGGTAACCGAATTTCGCCTTCACGACATCGGCGCGAGTCGGGGAGGAGTCGAATGACCGGACGTATTCCGAAAGCTTGGTCATGAATGCGGTAACTTGGTCGACAGGAGCACGAGCCGGCGAAGGATGAGCAGCAATAAGCCACGAGGGCCACGGTGTTGGGACGGAGCCGATCTACCACGAAAGACTGAGCCGTCTTAAACGTATTAGACACAAAAAACCCACGAATCGGGCTTCACCAGCATCCACAAAAGGCTTTGTGGTGAACCATTCCCACATGAACGCGCCTATCATGCTGTGAAGCGATGATATTCTCGACAGCAAACCAAGGCATCCTTACTTGTTGAACCATCATTGACGGAGTCGATGAGCCCCCGAATGTCGTTATTAACTGAGCAGGATCTGAAATGAACAACTTTGGTTTGCATGGCGACGAAAGAACGCACTTTTGAACTTGAGCTCGTTTGTGGGCCAGCCTTGTTGCAGCGCCATCACATACGCCATCGTCTGGCTGCCGCTTCCGAGACGCGAGATGCCAATGGTCGTCCCTTTGAGATCGGCGATGCTGTTGAACTTGGTGTCTTTGCCGGTGATGACTGCCCTAATCTGGTTCCGTCTCCTTTCTTATGGTGCGAGCGAGCCTTACCAGTTAAGTGGCGTGGAAACATAGCTCCCGCAAAGCTTGTATGCCTTGGACCCATTCGCAATGCCAGAAATCAAGGGGTCGGTGAGTGCGCTGTAGATAGTTTGTCAGCAGCTACAGTCATGAGAAACCAAAGTGTTACATCGCGATGTCGATTTCAGGCTCTTCTTCTCCAGCCAGGCGCTTGATGAGTTGTCCAGTTCCGCCTGCACAATGTGTCATATTCGGTGCACAGCTGTAATTCAGAGACTAACTGGGACATTCGACAAGAGTAAAGGTTTGGTTCTGGTCAGCCTCTTGTAACTGCAAGAGAGGCGTGGAAAAGTGTTCGCGAACTGAGCCTGCATGAGGAAAGGCAGTAGAATAGCGGAGACCCCCAACCAAAGCCAACTCGCAAAGGCATCGTCAAGGTCAGAAGAAGAGATGAAGTCGATTGATCTTGGCGGAAGCAGATAACCCAAAATTACACAGGATAACCAAAATTTTACAGCAAGCTACTTGTTGGTCGTCACTTTCCTCGTCAAGCTTCTGATTTTCTCCGCATTCCTCCTTCTGCGCTCAATATCGCCGTCCACCATAGCATTCATCCTCATAATACCAGCTTTGGCGTCGGGAGCAACTGTGTAGCTGCGCAACTCGCTTCGTGGGATTGATACTGCATTCTTTCTGACCCGGTCCTTGTCCGCCTCGCGACTTCTGGCCATGATTGAGTTGTACTTTTCTGGTTGACGCATTGAGTCTGTTGTGTGCACGGTCGGAATCCTGCGGTCTCGGAAAGATGCGGAGCGTTTGATAATGGGTCGTGACCAGGTATCGACCAACTCGCGCGCAATTCTGGCGATGTCCGGTGTGACACGTTTGCCTTTGGTGTAGAACATGACGATTTTGCCCAGGCCAGACTCCTTGAGAACGTTGGTATCGATGAAGTCCATACGCTTGAGAATAGGAAAGAATTCTCGTTGGATATTGAGTGAGGGAAGGGATTTGTCATGTCTGAGTGGCTCCAACCACCGAGTAACTGCTTCAAACAAGTTGTTGTCTATCATGGACTGGGAGAGCGCAAAACTAGCACAATTGAACAAAAGCGGTGTAGACACAAGATTTGAACACACCGACGTAGCGTTTCCATGACCTCCGGCAGCATTCTTAACTTGGCAGTAGCAGGCAGCTTGTTAGCATTCGACATGATATCCTCGTCGGCAGCATTGAGCATGTTCTCCCGCAACCTCGCGATTTGGTCGTCCGTGTATGCATCCAATACCTCCTCTCCTTTACGCTTTTTCTGCCTATTGCTCTTTTGCGGCTTAAGAATAGCGTCAATCTTCTGGTCAACCCGGATTTTCGCCGCTAAAATGAGGCGGATTAGGGCAACAAAAAAAAGCTGCGTGCCTGCCACGCACCTTGAGATTCAGGAAGGTGGCTCAAGTCCACTGGTTCGGGGGCCCTTCTCTTCCGCTTCCTCGTGGGCTTGTCTTCTGTAGACTTTCGACTTGGCTTTGGGCGCTTCTTAACAACACGTTTCTGCTGCTCATAATCGTCCTCTTCGGAGCCTGACCCTGACCCATAATCATCTTGCGGTCGCTGCTGCTTGGGAGATTTGCGGTGTACGGGCGGTGGTTTGGGGATGTCTGTGCCAGAATAAGCGCGTGAATAGGGACGGGATTACAACAAACGTTGATCCTCGTCAGAGGAAAGCTCAGAGTCTGAACCACCGAAAATGCGTCGCTCTAGTTGCTGAGTCGGAGGGAATCAGAATCGCCTGGCCACGAATGACAGCAAACCCTACCTCTTTGTCGTCGGCCATGGTGTGGAGTGACAAGTTGTGGTGTCCGTGACAGGCGCAATTTATTTCTATCATCTGAACCCATCTCTGACCGTTTGTTGACGTCTCGGCTAAATAGATGAAAACCTTCAGGGCTGCACCTTACAATGCGCGCTCAAAACGACACATCGATACTCCCCCACTCCTAGCTTAACTCTGTCCCTCCATCCAAGCTTTAAGCGGCAGATTTCCCCCCGCCTAGACTATCGGCTTCCTGAGACCGTAGTACTGCGGTTTCCCCTGCACGCATTTCCTGCCATGCTTGCGACTAGCACGGCGGCCACTACCTATCTCCCTCACTCTCAAACTCAACGGACCCCCTCCTCCCAAACACTCATGTCGTCAAGGTCCAATCATAGGCGCACTTTGTCCTCCCTTGCAGCTTTCCGGCCTCCCAAAGGGCTCGTTCATACTTTCCGGGACCCATCCATCCTGTCATCGCTATTGTCCTACATGGGCTGGGACAATTGCTCTGCACTCCTCAATACTTGTCGGGATTTGAGAAATTGCTTCTCCTCAAGTTCTCCAGGGCTTCGAGACGTTGTCCTCTCTCGCTACATTCCCTTGTACTCTTTGGTCCTGCGCCGCTCTGACCATTCCCGACTGCAACACGTTCCTCTCAGTCTATCGGATCTAAATCTCCTCAGTAAGCGCTGTTCTCCTGGCCCGTCTTCCTCCTTTGACACGTCGGACAGTGATTTCGTCCACTGTCATCTTGCACCGCTATCCTCTCTTCGCTTGTCAGTATCTAGCGCGCTTGCTGCCTGACATTGACCGGGCCGAACGCGAAGAAACCGCGAGGTTGGTCGCCTTGGCGCAGGCACACTCCCGCTTTGTCCTCTTTCTGCAAGCGATTGCCCACAGTTCAAATATACCTCCACCCCATGACCGAGATGATATCGACTGGCCACCTCGTCGTCTCGAATCCCGGTTCCGGCAGTTGAACTTTCCCGCTCCTCTGTCATTGGTGCCTTCAGTCTCGCCGAAATCAACGCCAGCAGTCTCGCGCCGCACCAAAGCCACTGTATTGACCTCACATCGCAAATCATCCTCATCCCGCAGTCTCTCCCGCGCCGGTAGCCGGCTGTCTATCTTTGGTAGCAATGCGAAAATTCCTTTACCTCCCGCATCTGAGCCTCGATCGTTGAAGCATTACTCTTCAGCATGGAGACAAGCCTTATCGAAGACGTCGGGTTACTTTTCGGACGAGGAATGGGGTCGCAAACCTTTGGAGAGACCACACCGAAGATTTGCGACTGCGGATTCTTCCGCATCAAGCAGCCCGTCGCCTCCATCATCACGGAGGTCTACCCCCGTAGAGTTGACGCCAAGATTCACGTCGCCTCATGATATAGGCCTTGCGATGTCGCAAACGCGAGCACCTGTTCTTCGTGTCTTTGTCCCATGCTCAGAGCTTGATGATCAAAGCATCGCACTATGTGAGGATCAGCTTTGTGATTCGGGACTTTGGCAACACCTTTCCATCGGAGACATCGTTTGTAACCTTGGGTTCATCCCTCCTACAAACCCAGACGAAATGGCATCGTCCTATTCGAGTCTCCCTGAATCTCCGGGAAGCGACCATTCAACCTCGCAACATCGACAACAATGGCTCATCTTCAATGGGGAGTCGCTTGTGCCATATTCCCCGCCATCTGCCATTCCCTTGAGCAATCCCTTCAGCCTGCCATCTCCATTCTACTACGCCCACATTACTCCTCCCCACACAAATCCCGTCTTTACTATCCGGAACTTCCCTCCATGTGACGACATTCCTCAGTTCACCCTCGTCAACACGAGCCGAACAGTGCCAAGTCCGCACTCGCCTGCAGGCTTCGCGACTGTAAAGCAGCATAAATGGACTGCTCGGGTGTGGCGACAGGTCGCTCGCGACGACGATGAAATCGGGCTGGGGTGGCAGGGCGAATGGATCCTCGAAGGCGACGGGACCCGAGAAGGACAAGCGGTCCTCGTCGATTGTCTGCGTGGTATCAGAGGGCCGTATCGAGAGTGGGAATTGGTCAGAGAGAAATGCACCAGCGATAGATTATGGTTTAGGTTTGTCCATGTTTCCTATTCAAAACCTACCAGCTCACATTTGCCTTTTCTTTTAGACTAATTAGGACTTATACGTCCAAACGGACACGGCCTCGATTTCGAGATGAACAATTGGAACACATGTAACTTGACGCCATTGTGGACGAGCCTGGACTCTTTTCTCCTTCTGTTGACATAGATGTTATTCACGCACACTTGACAAAAGATGGTGCTCATAGAATTCTTACCCTACACAGCTCTACCTTATTCAATCGCATATATTCTGTCCTGACCTAACCCGTCTTTCTGGGAGTTGATGTTTTTTTTTTGCGGCTTACTGATCACAAGGTACGCAATACATTATTATGTGCAAGCAAATGCCTCCAGATGTTAATATAAAGTGAGAGCGATAGCGAATAAATAAAAAACAACCCTGGAAAATAGATCAGTGGACCACGAGACTGCACATTAGTTGGGACTGACCTCTCCGCAAAAAGGTTATTCGTCGGCCGCCAACTTGCCTTTTCGAGAGAAGGAGGACCTTGGTTTGCGATCTTTCTTATTACCACAACTCTTCCGATGCCGCTTAATGACATCCAAGGTACGGGCAGCGTATGTACACATTGGACACTTATGTGGGCGCGCACCAGTGTGGGCTCTCATGTGGTCTGTAGCAATCTCAGTTTCCGCGGAGAACAGAAGCGAGCGGGAAACTGACTGTTGAGATTGTGTTTCGCAGTGAAAGTCTGCTGGCAAATGTCATTAAATTCGCAACTGAAGCGAGCGGGGTTTTTCCGGCGCATCTTTGATGCTTGGATATTTGCCGCAGTGGCAACGATGTCCTTGGTCTTGAGCTCAGGGCTCGGAGAGATGGGCTGGGGCTCCAGCGCGGGCACTGACAGGGCGGGACTGAGGGTGCTTGTCGAAGCCACAGAGGGTGATGAGAACGTTGGACTATGGGTCAGCTGGAAGGGCCGACGAGGCCGCTCGATGCTGTGGCTTGCTCTTCGAGCAGGGGGCTCGAGGTGGGCGACAAGTGCTGTCAAATTTGATTCCGTAGCTGAGCGCAGAGCAAAGCCACTGAGCGGTCGATTCATGGGGATTGTTGCACCAAAAAGCGCCGAATCCTCGGTATCATCAAGATAATCAAACGGCGACGGGAAGTTTAGGTCGGTGGCGACCTTCTCCTCGTACTCATACTCATACGGTTGGGAAACAGTAATGATCGGAGAATTGGTGGGGATGGAGTTATTTGGGAACTCCAAATGCAGGTCGAGATCAAGGGGATCAAGGATGCCTTGGACTACTGGGGGCGAGGTACCAGCGATCGTCAAGGATTCCAAATTTAAGTGCGGGGAATCGAAATCGGTGTACGGGGATATCGGAGACAAGCTTTCGCTTAGATTGTCCATTGAAGAGTTATGGATGCTGAGTGAACCTGAGGGTAGCGACAATGGAGAGGCATCGTCTTGGGGAGTATACCTGTCGTAGTAAAGTAAGAGGCCGCTCTGACTCAGAGTTAGGATCGACGTCACGGTTGCTCACCAAAGGGCGTCCTTTTGTGCACGTGGAGAAATTGCGAAACTGAAGTCCGCTGAGGATTCATGATGGTAAGAGGTCGAGGGGGAGAAATTGGGTTGGGTAGACTGCATCTGACAAGTGCAGGTAAAGAATCGATGCGCGTTCGTGTCTTATGAACCATCCGCGTGCAACACGTGTAGAACGCGTTCCCAGCTGGAAGGGGCCTATTTCTATTCCAAGTTTGGCATCGTGTCGTCAGTCTGTCTAAAATCTCTAGCCATCCAAGATTTGGATGACCGGAGCACCGCTTCGGACTGTCGAATAGTTTTGCGAAATGCTCGGATACAGCTATCTTTCAGAACGCGACGAGGAAAATGAACAAGGTTCAAGGTCACAGTTGGTTGAGCGAGAGCCATCAAATGGATCAACCCATCAATTCATAAACGTGAGATGGCCGGTTGTCTTCTCCCGCAAAGTTTCTCCTCCACAAACCTCGATAACTTGGCTGGCTGGCTATTTTTCGAGTCGCATCGGCGACATCCGCCAGCTTCATGCCAGGAAAATAAAATGCGGCAGTAAAACAACGTTTAGCACTGCTTGGAGAGCTTTCTTTACCACTTGACTGCTACGTCCACCGTCCTGCTCATTTGAAAGCCTCGTGGATCAACGCACGCAAAGCTTTTCTTGTCAACAAACCACAGACGCGCAGTTCCCGAGTCCACAACACATTGGGGCGTAGAGCCTTGGATTTCTATTCAAATTTCTCTCCAGAAAGTTCGGTTCAAATGCCCGTGGGACAAGTGCTTGATGGGTCCCCACAAACGGCCCTCGCCGACCCGCTCAGCCGCGACAGTTGGCCATTGTCCACTCGGCGTTGAAAATTGATGCAACGATTGGCAAGGCGCTTACTGCTTATCTCTATCGAATCTACCCCTTGATAAGGACTTTCCCCGCGGCAAGTGGCGTCAATGGATGGGCGTCGGCGCCAAACCTTACTTCCTCCCCAAGCTTCCATACTACAGAAAGATTGGGTTGAGATTTACGAGTCTGGCAGTCGATGGGTGCCTGTGAACAACATGCGGCGAAACCACAAGTCGCGCCCGCCCAGTACGACCACGTTTCTATTCGCATACAGTGGCGTCTGCTATTTTTTTGCGCTAGTCTAATTTCCAAGCTTTTCCCACGCTTTTGATGTTCTGTCCTCGGACCGGAAAGCACGGTTCTGTGACGATGCATCTTCACAGAAGGCGACGATCTATTGGGCATTGGTTGAATCCCATTGGCACAACCCATGCATCATCAGTCGAGGGACTCGAGGCAGTGTACGTGCTTCTTGGAATTTCCACCAAGCCCTGCACGCACACACACTCGAGTCAGTAATCATGTTCCATCAGCCATTCCATGGCCGACCTGTGCCTGCTCGGAGTCAATGCTTGCATCTGTTCTCTTCGCTTCCCACGATGGCGCTTATTTTCTATATTGCAGTCGTCCCCTCGTCTAATCGATACCGAAGGTTACCGCTGGCCGCTGAAGTGAAACGAGCTGACGTTGATCATATGCCATGGTAATACTGTGTGGCCATGGGTACGGGCTCTAGCGGAAGGTTGTAGCTCATCATTTTGGACGGTCCCGAGTCTGACTCGAGAGCCGGGGGGAGGGGGGAACATAGTCAAGAAATGTGCCTGAGTAATTCAGCCAACATCTAGAGCAGACGAAAAAAAATACCATAAACGGATGAGGGCGTTGTGTTGTTTGGTCGTGTTTACCTCCGATCAAGTGTGGCGCATATGCGCAGTTTAAAGAAAACCTCCACCACGCGCCGGCCGCAGACCCTCGTTGACGAGCTGCAAGCGAACTCAGGCGTGTACACCGTGCTGTGTCTATGCATAGCTCTCCGTGAATAACGCGGCTTCTAGGCACTGAACACGGCTCGCGACCTCAAAAACAGTCGGACAAGACACGCGTATAGACTTTTTTTGGCATTTTCGCGTGGCCCTGACGCTGTGCCAGCTTTCTAGAAAGCAGCAGCGTAAACAGGAGCGGCAGGGGGCCAAACAGCGCAAGGCCCAGTTCTTTTCCGCTGCTTCACAGCAAGCACAAACCGCCCCCAAACAACAGCAGTCCGCTACCAAATCAAAACGCCCCTCTGACGATGCAGAGCACGCTGACTCTCCGCCCAAGAAGAAGGCCCGTGTCGAGCCCGAGCACCCCGTCGTAGCCCCCAAAAAAGAAGACTGCGCTCGAGAAAATCGCGGAACGGCAATCTAAGCCTGTCGTAGCCTCGAGTCACGTACCAAAAAGTCAAAAGGAGAAAGAAGAGGACGCGTATATTGCGTATCTGGAGGGCAAACTTGGCTATGACAAGAAAAAGAAGGGAAAGAAGGAGGACGATGGGCTTGACGGTGCGTTTTCCCGACTTTTTTATGTGCTCGGATTGAAACAACGAAGATTTGTTTGACTTTACGGAGTCATTGGGAATTCTAGGAGACGATGGAATATCGGACGAAATCTCTGAGGAGGAGGAAAATTACATCGAAGAAGAGGTCGAAGCAAGTCAAGATGGTAATGACGAAGATGAAGAGGAATGGGGCGGAATCAATCAAGAAGACAATGATACTAACGAGGACCAAGACGACGACGAAAGCATCGTTGACGAGGTTGAATCAGCGTCAAAGCCGTCTACTAGCACGACCTACGTTCCTCCTCATCTACGAAAGCAGTCCCAAAATGTATTGGAGTCTGAGGTCCAACTTAAACTCACGAGACAATTGAAGGGTCAACTCAACAGGTCTGTCGAAACTCCGTATAGGTGATTCGTCTGATACCTATTTATATAGAATGACCGAACAAAACATTGCTTCCATCCTGGACAGCATCGAGGACATATACCGTAAGAACCGACGAAACGGTCAGTGGCCTGGCATACGGCCTAAAGATTCACTCATTCTCCCTCATAGACGTTACGACGACGCTCACGACTCTCATTATCGATGGCATCTCGTCCCATTCTTCATTACTTGACTCGTTTGTTGTCCTCTATGCCGCATTCGTCTCGAGTCTGCACAAAATCATTGGCATTGAATTCGGTATTCCACCATCCCACCTTTTTTCACTATTACCAACACCTCTGCAGCCGCCCACTTCGTGCAGAGCGTCGTTTCTGCTTATGAACAGCATTATACCGGCGTAGAAGCACTAGACGCTAACCCCGAAGCCCCCGCACCAAAAGAATGCTCGAACTTGATCGTACTCATATCAGAACTCTACAACTTTCAGGTCATTTCCTGTGTTCTTGTCTATGACATTATCCGCGGTCTCTTGGAAACGGAATTGACTGAATTCAATGTCGACCTGCTGCTCAAAATCGTGCGCAGTATGTTCCGCCTACATATGTTGAGATCATAAGCTAAAATCGGTGTAGATTCGGGCCAGCAACTTCGACAAGACGACCCCTCGTCATTGAAGGACATTATTCAGATTGTGCAGAGCAAAATCTCTGATCACACAGAAACACTGAGCTCTCGCACGCGGTTCATGGTCGAGACACTGTCAAATCTCAAGAACAACAAAGTCAAGCGGAACGTTACGCTAAATCAAGGCTATGATGCGGTCGAGCGGATGAAGAAGTTTCTCTCCGGGTTGGGCAAGAACAGACATGGTGGGTGTTCCTCTAGTCCCAATTCGTCGTCTTATTCATAAAACAGTCATGGCGCACGAACCGCTCCGCGTCTCTTTACAGGACCTCCATTCCGCAGAAAGGAAGGGCAAGTGGTGGTTGGTCGGAGCTGCCTGGGGAGGCGATCCACTTGTCGAAGCGGCCGCGGCAAAAGAACCTGCAAGAGCAAGAGAAGAACTCGGAGACAACGCGCTGTTAAAGCTCGCCAGGAAACAGGGCATGAACACCGACATCCGACGAAGCGTGTTTGTGGTCCTAATGAGCTCGGATGTACATGTTATTGTTGCCCCGCCATTGAAGTTGAAGCTGATTCTGGACAGGACTACGTTGATGCCTGTGAACGACTTTCGCAGCTGAACTTGACCGAGGTTCAACAGCGGGAGATTGTGCGGGTGTTGTTGCACTGTTGTGGCAATGTCAGAATTTTTTCATCGCCCAATTTTCGTTTCTGATGTCCCACAGGAAAAGACGTACAACCCCTACTACACCCTTGTGGCGCAACATCTCTGCCGCTCTTCGCATTCGTATAAGATCACGCTGCAGTTCTGCCTGTGGGACTTTCTACGGGATCTCGGGGAGGTCAACGTCGGCGGTGCAGAAATCATGAAGAATCTAAAGGACAATGAAGACGGTTTCGATGTGAAAAATATCTCGAGCTCGCGCATGCGGAATGTTGCCCGGGCTTACGCTTGGTGGATCGCGAAAGACTGCCTCACGCTCGCTATACTGAAGGTGCCCTAATTTTAATTCAAGAGTTTTGGATCTGACGGCGCCACAGCCAGTTGACTTTACGACGCTCAAGTCGCAGTCCACCGCCTTTCTCAGGGAGCTCTTCGTCCAGCTCTTCGTGTGCAGCCAGACTTCGACACCGCTCGCTGACATCAATGCATTGCCAGCCACTCGTAATCGTAGTTCGGTCGAGGAAATCTTCATCAAGGCCACACGGATCGAGACGCTGGCGATAGGGCTTGCGTATTTCCTCACAGAGACGCTGCAAAGTGAGAGCGACGTTGTTCAGTGGGCTTGCGGGGTTGCCAAAGACACATTGCGGACAGGTGTAGACTTTATTCCGTCATTGTAGTAGGGGCTGCTCCATATTGTCATTTAGGGAAAGGCTTTGGCTGGAGAAACTCGTCCATTTGTTACTATCGAAACTTGATGTCGAAATCCAGTTGCTTGTGTTAGGGGAGATGAGACAGTCACGAGCAGGCTTGCAGTTATGTCTCTCCATGTCCGCAAGATAGCCCCGCATCTGTTTCCTGGCAGCAAGCCTCGCTCGGGACCCCGAGTCACGAAAGTGGTCCCGAACAAGTCCCCTCTCAACCCGCTCAACGAAACTTGGTGCGCGGGTTGTCTTCCCTGGCTTTTTCTGATCCTCATTTCATGAGCAGGATGACCAAACGTGCGCGAGACCGCCTAATAGGTTATGCTCCCGCTAACTATTGGCAGCATTTTTCGAGCTGACGGGGGTGGAGTTGGAGCAGTGTTGCGAGACGCTGAGAAAACGGGCAGAGTTTTTGCAAGTGGATCGTGCTGAAGGCGTGTCTGAGCCTGGATCCGATTCTAGTTGTGGTAGATAGGATTGTTTGGAGCAACAGACGACGCTATCACGTCCATTACCTACTGTGCAAATGCTGAGGGTGATCTTGATACGAGTATTGGAACACAGCAGAGGTGTGGTGCATATTAGCCAAGTAGAATTATACATGTCGTGTCTGCAGAGGTAACTTCAGCCAACAATTCACCTTAGGAAAGAGACGAAAACGCACCTATGATACATAAAAGCAGAGCCTCGGGTGTCATCTCCGTGAGGTCTCCTTGTCTAGCAGATCCTTCGCCTCGTTGATTTTGCTCGCAAGATATGGGGAGCCGCCACGGTCAGGGTGGTTGGCAAGCATGATTGTCCTGTGTGCATCTTTGAGCTTGTTGCGTAATGTAGGGCCGTCTCTGTAGCAAATTTCAGCAAAAAAAAGAACATAGGAAAGGGAATACGCACTTGAGGCCGAGTATTGCGACCGCCTCTTTTCTGTCCATCTTTGCGCGGAAGCCGCCCTTGACCCACTGGTCCGCGGCGTTCTTGGCGCCCCTCCTGAGGAAGTGGCGACCAGCAAGCGCAGCAGCGAGTGCGCTGACGCCAATGATGACGGGGGTCGACATGGCCAGAAAAAAGAGGTGGGTGTGCTGTCAAAAGCGACAAGCGAACAGGCCCCCGGCGTATGCGCTAAGATGTTCGATATTTATGCGGACGAAAGTCGTCCAAAAAAGGGTCTGATGTACGATATTTATGCGGCAGGAAATGGGTCCTTTTGCCCTGTATGTCCGAGGTCGGAACTTGCGGTCGGCAGCCAAGTCCGATCGCAATGCGGCTGTATGCGAAGAGAATTTGTTTAAGAAAAAAAAAACAGCAGTGATTCCTCAGACCTCAGATTTCATATGCTAGTTCTACTCTCTTCTTCTGTTGCTCGAAATCTCATAAGTGATTTGTACTCGACCTTCGCGCTTCGCTTTCGAAAAACGACTCCGAGTTGATTTGATGATGCAGGCATGTGACTCGATTAGTCAACGTCGTGTCCACAAACCACGTCCTCACTCACTCACTCGTCATCTTTTCCGTGGTCCAACTCTTTTATCTACACGGTGTAGATGTCCAAACCACCAAACGGCACAGTTCTGATGCTTTCCGTTCTTGTTTTGCGTCCAAAGGCTTCAAAAACCCCTGTGACTACTTACGGCGCGCACTCTTGGTCCGAGCTAGCGGTTTTGAAATATTCTAACCTGGTCCTGACAGTCTTTTAGTCCAACTCTGCCCAACCGACTACGCGAAAATGGAGAGGATCGACGCCAAGGACTGACTCTTGTATATAATAGCGCCGGCAACCCTGCAGCTTGACCCCCACTTTCCTGTTCTCGCACCCTCCTTCAACAAATCCAATATGCGGAAGAAAGGTCATTCTGCTCTTCCGACTCAGCTTCTCAGTCTTACCATCCACAGAATACCGAACACACAAGCCTGCCTTTGCACCAATCTTTTTGCGCCAAATCTCACCCGCCTCAATCATTTTTTGTTATCGACCTATCCTTACCATATTCCTCGTCACTTTGGCATTAATTCTTGGTTTCACAACCAACCCTCTGGTCCTCGCTGCTCTCAAATCGTTGACATCACATTCTCATGTGGCGCCGACAACAACAGCCGGTGCAGCAAGCGTCTTTCTTGGAGAAGTATCTATCGCGGTTCTTGGCTCTGGTTAGCGAAATTCTGCCCTGGATGCTAAAGCTAACAAGCTTTCATAGTATATTGTCGTCACCCTCGTTGGGCCTCACTTTGTGGGTATGCATTTGCGGTACACTATCGGCGGACACATATCGTACATCTTCGACGGGATCGAATGTTTGCCCATGGCATCTACAGTCAAAACGAAATTGCCGCGCTCTCTAATACATCCCCACATAAGTGTCTCGTTGGTGACGCGTGGATGCAAGATTTGACACACTTTTCACTGGCCACATCAGTTGCTGACAACGCTACCTTTCCTCACGCTCGATGTTTTGGTGGTGGACCTCTCGGTGCATCAAAGCCTGCTACCACTAATGTTTCTGGAGCCATAAATGTCGCACAATTTGACGATGAAGAGATCAGCGACTTGGAAGCCTTTAAGTGTGATGATTGGATTGGTGTCGGGAAAATTTGGTCAGACACTGTCCCGCAGGCAGTCAAACGAGCATGCAATATAGCTCGAGCTATTCCTCCCCATGTTCATCGCATCGTTATACCAGCCGGAACGACATCTGCTATGCAAGTTCTTTCACTCGCTTTACCACCGCCACCACCCTCATCCACTCCAAATCAACGCTATGCGATATATAGCACAAATCCCATTGACTCGGAGCCTACACGGGAAATTGCTGCAGCCTGCCTCGACATACTTCCTGAACTAGACTCCAAATTCAATAATGCATGGCTGTCTGGCGCCTCTTCCATCCGTCTTCCTGGATTTCCTAATCAGCACTTTCCGCTTTGGACCACAAGTCTCCTAGTATCATACCAGAGCTTCGCCAACAAATGCCAACGGATTGAGCAAGCCCGTTTGTTCTTGAAGCGAGCACCGCCAGCCTGCCGCGACCTTGCAGAGCGTTGCGAGGATGTTTTGGAGTTTCTCCCATGGGATGGCCCTGTTCCGGAGCTGAGTGTAGCGGGGACTTTTACGACACAATCTCTCATTGGCTTCCTCAGTAATGAGTGGCTCGATGATGAGATGATCAACGCAGGTGCTGCCTACATCGAGGCACGTCTTCCACGACCAAAGACTGTCCTTATCCAGGATTGTCTATTCTTGCAAATGCTACGTGTTGCACGAAAAAACCAAGCTGTCTACACTCCGCAACGCTTCTCCAAACTCGACAAAGCAATAATCGACCAATCTCTTCAGCTCATCTATCTCCCCCTTCACGTCCGGGATTCACATTGGTCCCTTCTTAAGATCGACCTTCAAGCCTGTACTTTGGCTGTGGCCGACTCTCTTCGCAATGCAAGCCTACCCACCGAAGAATTGAATATGATTCGATGGTGGTTGACGTCTCTGCTTCCTATGGGTGCCGAGTTTTCGATAGTAGATCCAGATTTTCCGTCACCAAAGCAGGATGACTCGCATTCCTGTGGCATTGTCGTTCTCTCACTTCTCAATCATTTACTCCTGGACAAAGAAAACTGGAGCTCAGCAGATGCAACTCGTCACCGAATGCTGTGGTTCCTTCGACTGTCGGAAAGTTTTGGTGATGATGAGGAAATTCCAGTATGTCTTTATATTGTTCTCCTTGTCTAGTGCTTATGTCTGCACAGGACGACTATGTAGATATTCATGAGCGTGATTTAGAGAGCTCATCTTCATCTGCTGTCTTTGTCTCGCGGCCAAATACTCCCGCCCGATACGTTGTGTTCATGGCCATCATCCCGACCCAGTACTCCGCCACACTCATCTCCTTCATCCCAGTCGATATTCTTGCCTTCTATCGACAGCAATGATATGAGTGATTCCACTTGCAACGACAACACATTTTCCGATACCCCACTATTCTTGCCAACCCAGTATAATTCTCTCGGGCTCAACGACGACGATGATGATGCCATCTCACATGAAGTACAACCCTACCGTCGTGCTGGTCCTCAGGTTGGTTCTTCGTGGGAGAGACAAAAGCGACTCAAAGTAGCAGCCGATCATGCTGCCTTCATACCGAACACATCACGACTGACCAATTTTCGACTCAAAATTCAAGCCGACGACTCAATGGCTGAGTTCGATGACGATAACCTGTGCAGTGTTCGTTGCTCTCGATGTGCTCGATGGATAGAGATGCGTGCGGTGTACGATGTCAAGCGGTGGAAGGAACATCGATTGAGCGCAACCTGTCAGAAGAATCAACAGAGTGGAGTTGGAACCAAATCTTTATTTGCGATGGGCTTTACCCGACAACCTCGCACAGAAAGGGCGGTGTCTGTGATATCCCCTCCCCCAACGATGAAGTCCCTTCCATGCCCTGGCTTGACCTGCGAATCCAACCCCAAGATTGCGCGGTATTTGATGCGGACATCTGCTTCTGGTGGTGGTGCACCATCACGCCTTCGAATTGCGTTGGATCTTTTCGAGACTCGTTGGATTTCCCTCAACAAGGAACAGCAACGTATGGTGCTACGACGCGAGAATAGCCTTCAGCAATGGAAGAATTCTCACTCTCTTGGTTCCGTCTTTTCTGGGTCATGTTTGCGGAATGTGGATACCGCAGACAATAGCTTGGTCAAGCCTTGTCTACCATGCAATGAGCTTCGCCGGCTCCATACTTTCCAAGTAGCGATTAATCGGCCCATGCCGCAAGAACGTGACATGAAACATGTTCCAAAAACCTATCGCAGTCCTGAGCTCGGGGCGTTGTATCTCAAGTACCACGGCCTTCGGGAACTGATGGAAAATGTATTCATGTTATAGTCCGAGCGGTATCAATACTGACCAATGCATAGAACGATGGGCGGTCATACTTTCTCAAATTCGCTCAAGGCTGTCTTGATGGCTCTTACGACTCCGATATTCTCCCTGGCATGGTCAAAGCAATGGTCATTAAGCAAACCCGTATTCAACAGGGCAAAACCCTCAAGAATATGAAGTATCCACCCGAATTCGACCAGTTTTGTGATCTTCTTGCATCATTATCACCCTGCACCTATCGCACATTCCAAAAGACATTTGGTGGTCGGGGAATACGTAGCATTCGGTAGGCATCAACCATCTTAAGCCATCTACTGACCGTTCCGCAGAGATGTTCGGTCAAAGCTTCCTCAATTTGCTCCTGGTATTGTCGGTGCAAATATTGAACGGATCGTTGACATACTATTCAAACTGGGTTATTCTGGCCCTCTAGCCCTCTCCTGTGATGACACTGCGCTCGAGCCCGCAATATCGATATATCAAGAAACGAAGGATACATGCTTAATTCTCGGATCCATCAATGGTCCAATTCGTGTCGGCGCAAATGATGACCTTGATCTTGTCATGCAAACCGCTCAACTACAAAAGGCAGATAAGGTGAGTCTGTAAAACTGATCTCCGGACTATACTGAGAACTTCTCAGCTTCGTCTTTGGCTTTTATCTGTGCTGCTCCCGAAGATTCCTCCTATTGTTGTTGCTGCGGTTGCTCGTGGCTCGTCTGTTCCATCTGAACGACTTGCTGCTATGCACCAAGAAGTCCTCAACTTACTCCATGGAGTGGGCATTCATCCGACCTCACTTGCTGCCGATGGTGCTGATATCGAACGATCCGCACAGCGAGTTATTGCCCAGTCAACATCTGATCACCTTCTGTTCTGCATTCCCAACATCGTCCCTGGATGTAGTCTCGACTACAAGGTCCCGCTGGCCTATGGTGCCTATCCATTGGTGACCACTCAGGACTCGAAACACGCCGCAAAGACCGCACGAAATCAAATATATTCTGGTGCACGTTTGCCTACACTTGGCTTTCATACCGTACATTATTCCATGATTCGGGACATTGCCGAAGATCCCGAATCGCCATTGCTGTCTCAAGATGTGAAGGGGCTTGATCGACAAGATGATCGAGCTGCTGCTCGTCTTTTCACTTCTGCGACAATCGAGTTTGTATCCAAAAACATCCTGATCGATATGGCCTCGCGTGTTATCTGTTCGTTCTTGGGGAACTTATCGATGCATGGCAGAATCGTGGTATCTCTCATCGCGAACGTATCAAAATGGCTATTCGAGCTCGGTTTTTCCTGATGGCCTGGCGTACTCATATTCTCTTGCATCCTGACCATTCTACCGACACTCATTTCATTTCCCGACAATCCTATGACATTTTCATTACCCTCTGCGACAGTCTTGTCATACTGATCATCGTTCACCGCCGATTTTACCCTTTACACCCCTTTCCTTCCATGGCTTCACTTGACTGAGCCTTGCGAACACTACTTCGGTATTTTGCGACAGCTCAAGATTGATTTTGCTTATATCGATGTCCTTTACCTCGAGCGCAAACTTCGTTCGATCCAGATGGGCTCGATTGATGGATTGACTGCAGAGCAGAAAGCAAACCTAAGTTCGATGGGTTATGCGCATACATATATGGATATGGACGGGCTTAACCTGACCCTTCTCATGGCCTGGCCCAGCGATGCGGAGATGCGCCTGGACTCGCAAAATGCCCTTACAGAGGCCACGGAGTTGTTGCGTCTGCTGGGTATCGATGGTCATGCCATGCTAGCAAAACATGTTGAACCTACCCCTCCTAAACCACCCATCGTCATTTCCCGTCCTCCGCAAACCTTGGTTGCATTGTCGTACCTCTCTACGACTCGCAGATTCCTGTTGGTATGACACTCCGGGCAGAGCGTGCTGCCAATTCATACACACTCGCTTTGGTTGCTGATTCGGTCGACAAAACTCAGGCAATGTGCGACAGTCTTTATTTTGGGGGGGATTATTCTGACCTTTCTGGCAGTGCTGCCTTGCCTGACTCTACAGATGCATCTCTGGACATACTTCGCTCAGATATTCAATCTCATTTAGCCACCACAATGACTTCAGCCAACAACGACTTCTCTGAATCGGAAGCTATACCGTCAATAAACGAGGCGCTTGTACTGGTCGTAAAACAAGGCTCCCGTGTATGCTTTACTCATCTCTCAGCGTTCACGTCACCAGACTGCATTCGCTGCGCGGTCAATTCGGCGACATGGACGCTTATCGACCATCCTCTCGAACCCGAAATCTCCCATCAATGAAGACAACAAGCCTTCACTACGCGACCGTCTCAAAGCGAAATTGGACGCTCTTGCTCCGGGCTTCCTACCAGCTAATAAGACAACTGGTGCTGGCCGACAGGTTCGTCACACTGGTATGTTTCACTCACAAGAGGGTGGAGCTCGTGCTGCCAATAAGGAAACCGTCAAGAAGGTTGCTGCCTCTGTATGTTATTATTTTTTGTTGCGACAAATCCCCTGACCTGACTGTTACCATAGAATTTCCTTCGCCTACGTGGCCAAGCTCTACAAGGCCATATGTATCTCCACGAGAGTGTCTGCAACGCAAACATCACACCATATAATCCTCTCAAAGCAGGTCATTTTCTCATCGCCTTTCATCCACACTGTGGTGGGATGGTTATCGGAGAAGGTACCGGTTTCTTGTTTGTTGTATAAATTACAGCTTGCTCAATTCATCTCAGTAATCACAATGTACGAGAAAAGCACCATGCACGACTGGGTTTCTCACATCGACAATGCTGGCAAGCCATCTTACCTCTACATTATGACCTATACTGGACTGACCGCAAAACAATTTTGGCTTGCTCTCCTCCATGACATGCTCCACGTTGAAGTGCCCGACCATTTTGCAAATCCCCCGAACCCACATCGTCTTCTCCCTTGCATCGTATACCAACAGCATCTCACGCAATATCTATCTTGATGCGGATGGCCACCCACACAGTCTTATCTCCTTTACGGCTGAACTGGCAACTCTGGTCCAGATGTTTTGGAGCCTGTAAGGGCAACCCTGGAGACTCCGACGAAAGCCTAGCAGGGGAGGATCCAAAGCGTGAATAAGACTACAGGAAATACACGGAGGGACCGACCTAGCAGGGGAGGATCCAAAGAGAAGAAACTCTAAGGGTCCGCCTGCTAGGGCGCCAACTATATACTGGTCGTCCGTAACTGCCGACGTAGAGGCGCAGAAGGCCTGAGCGGCGTCGCAGGCTCTGTCCCAAGGTGATCGTTGGGAGGGTCTTGACGGATCGGTGATTGTGCGGGGCGAAGGAGGCCGTGGGCGATGGTCGGGGTGGGTCGGAGTCCGAGGGGCGCCGGTCGGATGCGCCTCGGATGCGTTCGGAGGGTCCGGGGAGGCCGGCGGGGGGTTCCCTGACATCACCCCCCTTTGAATGCGGCGTCCCGACGCATAGTTCGGAAGGGCAAGGAGTCGAAGGTCGCTGAGGCGATGTGCCGTGGTTTACCTGGGTACCTCCGATAGAAGTCCGCAATTTTGTCTGGCGCGAAGACACGGTCGAACCGAACCCATGAGTCGTGCGAAGCATCGTAGCCTTTCCACCTGACGAAGTAGTTAAGACGCTTATACCTTATCCTGGCATCCAAGATTTCCTCGACTTCCCATTCGGGGACTCCGTCCTCTAGTTCGGGGGGCGGTTTGTCGTAGCCGGGTCGTCCATTGAAGGGGTCGTCCTGAGCGAGCTCGAGTTTAACAACGGGGAAGACGGGGTGGAGCTTGGAGTAACGCGGGGGGAGGTCGAGCTTGTAGGCACCTTTACTAACCTCTGCGAGCACCTTAAACGGTCCGAGGCGCTTGTGGGAGAACTTCTCGGAGGGCCGAGTTGTTCTGATGTCAGAGGCATCTAACCAAACCTTATCACCAACTTGAATATTCGGAGCGTCTGATCGTCTCCGGTCGTAGTACCGTTTATACTCGTCTTTGGCTTTGACGAGCGCGGCCTTCGCCTCGGAGACGCCGTTCGCTATCCGATCGCAAACTCGTTCACTGACTCCAACTCTGAGCGGGTGCCCGGCTCGAAACCCATTCGGGGAGCCGGCCAGTGTCCGTCATAAAGGGTACCTGTTGAGTGGAGGAGTGAACGTGGTTGTTATAGGCGAACTCAGCGGCAGGGATAAGCTCGTCCCAGTCGTCTTGTTGGTAGTTGGTGAAGATTCGGATGTACTGCTCGAGCTCCTGGTTAACGCGTTCGGTTTGTCCGTCGGTCTGCGGGTGGTAAGCCGTAGAGGTAGCCGGCTTGACGCCAATTAAGCGCCAGAGTTCGCGTAAAGTCAGCGATGAACTGCGAACCGCGGTCCGAAATGTACTTCTCGGGGGTTCCGTGGTGTCTCCAGACGTTCCGATAGTACAAGCGGGCAGCTCCGACCGCGTCTATTGTCGTATGGCATTCGGTGAAGTGAGCGCGTTTCCCGAGGGCGTCAACCACTACCATAACCGCGTCATACCCATGGGCCTCGGGGAGCTCGACGATGAAGTCCACAGTGACGGTGTGCCAGCGCTCGGGGGACTTCGGTTGGATGCAGCTCCCGTGCGGAAGCCTTCGGAGGGCCTTCAGACGACAGCATAAGTCGCAGGTCGCGACGTGGCGTCCGATATGGCGGGACATCTGTGGCCACCAGTAGTTGCGCGAAACCAACTCCAGGGTCTTGAACCGCCCGGCATGTCCGGCGACACGCGTGTCGTGGCAGAGCTCTATAATGCGCCTCCTCAGGTCTTTGTCTTTGGGGACTACAACCTTGCCGCGGAAGTACAGGAGGTCGCCTGAGACGGCCCACTCGTCCGAACGCGATGAGCGGGGGCCCCGAGCTTGACCTCGGACCTTCAAGAGTTGCCGAGCCGCAAGTGCGACGGGTTCCTCTAGGTCAGGCTCACCGGATAGCGCTTCCTTGATGTCGCGGACAAGTTCGGAGCCAGGCCCAGAGACAGTGACGGCCTCAAGCGCGCGAACGTGGAACAGTTCGGGGCGTAAGAGGGTGACATCCGAGTTGTCGTCGGAGATACCGTGGTCAGGCCGGGCGGGAGAGAGCATCGGGACGGCCCATCTGGCGACCTGGGGCGTGGTGCAGCGTAAAGTCAAACCTGGAAAGGTACAACGACCATCGGGCTTGCCGACGATTAAGGTGTTGCGCCTTTCGGAAGTATTCCAAGTTCTTATGGTCAGTCCAGATCTCAACCGGATGCGCGGCGCCCTCGAGGAAATGCCGATACTCCTCGAGTGCGGGATGATCGCGAGCATCTCCTTGTCGTGAATCTCGTAGTTGCGCTGGACATCATTTAAGCTTTTTGGAATAGAACGCTACAGGGTGCCACTTCCCGTCCGGGGCGGATTGTTGTGAAAGAACCGCCCCCGTCGCATAATCTGAGCTGTCTGCTTCAAGTTGGAAAGGCCGAGAGTCGTCCGGGATCGCTAAGACGGGTTCTGATACGACTGCGTCCTTGATGGCTTGAAAGGCGGCGGCTTCGGCGTCTCCCCAGGTCCATTTCTGGTCTTTCTTGGTGAGCGCAAAGAGAGGTTGCGCTAGGGCCGAGAAATCCCGAATGAACCTGCGGTAGAAATTAGCAAACCCCAGGAACTGCTGAACGTCCTTCTTGTTTTCGGGCGGAGGCCATGCGGAGACTCCGGCGACCTTAACGGGGTCCATTTCGACATGGTTGTGCGAGATAATGACCCCCAAGTACTCGATTGACGATTTCTCGAAGTCGCACTTTTCCTTGCGAAGGTACAACTTGTGCATTCGGAGCCGCCGAAGGACCTCCCGGACGATCTCGCGGTGCTTGCGGAGGTCCGAATGTGCGATAAGGATGTCATCGAGGTAGATCATAACGTCGCCTGAAAGAATGAGATCCTGGAAAATGTCATTCATCATCGTTTGGAACGTCGCGGGGAGTTTGTCAGGCCGAAATACATCACCAAAGGTTCGAACAACCCTCGGTTAGTCCGAAAGGCCGCCTTCCACTCGTCTCCTTCTTTAATCCGGACGTTATTAAAACCCCAGCGAACGTCGAGTTTGGTGAAGTAACGAGCGCCCTTGAGCCTGTTGATAAGGTCGTTAATCAACGGAAGGGGGTACCGGTTCTTAATCGTCATTGCGTTGAGGGCGCGGTAGTCCTGGACAAACCGAAGCCCTCCGTCCTTTTTCTTAACGAAGAAGACGGGGAGGCCATCGGAGATTTCGAAGGGCGAATACGGCCTGTGGCAAGTCCTTCCTCGATGAACTCGTCAAGTTCGCGCTGTTCGAGGGGGAGATCGGATACACCTTGCAGTTAGCGGGCTTCGCGTCGGGGACGAAGTTCGATAGCGTGGTCCCAAGCCCTTCGTTCTGGTAACGTGTCAAAGGACTCCTTGTCGAAGACGTCTTGGAACTCCTTGGCCCAGTCCGGGATCTCCAGGGCGGAGGGGCCGAGTTACGGGCGAAGGCCTCTGCAAGGCGTTGGGACACTGTACTGCCAGCGGATCTCCCTCAACTGGGCGGAAGGAGGTGTAGAAGATGCGGTCGCCGTCTTCAAGATGCTCGTCGCCGTCGAGATCTGGTGAGGGCTCCGGAGGGTCCGGAGCAGCTCCGAGCTCGTCGTCAGCATCATCTGGGCCAGCGATATTGATAGCGCAAACAGTGGGGAAGGCGCCCGCAAGTAGTCGTGATTTAAGGAGTCGGAGCCGCCGAACCTCGGCGTGTTCCGGTCCGCTCTTCGTCACGGCAGGTAGAGCAGCTGCGGGGGGCAACGACTCATTTTCACCTCCTTTGTTTCCCAGTTGATCTCGGGGTTATGCTTTTGAGCCAGGAGTATCCGAGTATCAGGTCCTGTTTCCCAAGGTGGGTTACAGCCAGCTGAACGCGTTCGGAGTGTCCGTTGTACCGTAGAACGAGGTCCGCGATTTGGCGAATAGACCCAGCATCATTGGGGGTGCCGTCGACGTTGTAGACCGGGATGGGTACTGAAAGATTTCGGACTGGCACATTATTCCGGTTAACATATTCTGTGTCGATAAAGTCCGGTAGCTCCGCAGTCGACCAGACCCGAGAGGGAGAGCTTGAGCGCGTTCACAGTGGACTCAAGTTCAAGGGGAGGTGCAGCGAGTTAACGCCAGGAGCGGCAGAGATGGTATAACTGCCAGGTAGCTTTTTCTCCCAGGCAAGTCGGCGAATCCGAACGGGGGCTTCGGAGGGGGCAGAGGGTGCGTCTTTCGTTTCGGGCTCGTTGTAGGGCAAGGGAGTTGATTCATCATACAAACAAGTGAAACGATTTATGGACGCGAACGAGGGCACACCAGTCACTCGTCGCGGGGGCAAAATCCTCTGCCGGAGCCTCCGAATGCGCCTCCGCTAAGGCCGCAGTATCGGACAACCGCGCAAGCAGCTCTCCCAGCATCTCATCGCCAAGTTGCTGGATTACCTCGTCGAGGATGTCCACATGGCGGACGTCAGCGGGAGCGGACAGTCCCGAGCCAAATGGTTGGGGTCGCCGCATCTGAAGCAGGCTCGACAAGGGGCACCCCGAGCCTAGTACGATCCAGCTCCATAGGGACGGGAGCCGGAGGTACCGGGACGGGGCGCGGGCCGCGGGTGGCATAGGCGGGGCCACCGGGCGGATAGGGAACGGAGTTGCCGAACGAGTGATGGGGAAGGCGCCGCGGAGCTCCCGGCGGTCCGCGGGGTAGCCGTTCCCTTAATGAGCTTCGCCGCACCAGGGCTTCATATTGTCGGAAAGCCCGAGTGCGCCAGCCCAGATAGTCACGGAGGTCTGGGGGTCGTTCGAAGAGGTGATGCCGTTGTTGATCAAGGGGTCAAGTCCGTGGCGGTACTTGGTTACCTTAACCAACGCGTCTTCAAAGCCAGCGAGGTCCATCAAGTCCTCGAAGTCGTCGGTATATCCGTAGACATCCCGCGTTCCCATGTGATAACCCGCGCTTTCCAACTTAGCGAGCGAGGTCCTGTTCGTTCTCCTCGACGAACCGAAGGCGAAACTCGGAGAGGAACTGGCTCCACCGAGGGAAGGGGAAGGGGTTTTTGCTCCCATGACGCTCTGCCCATTGCTGAGCGGGTCCCTCCGCCATATAGGACATGGCGTAGCGGACGGCCTTTTCTTCGCTCGGCTCTCCGTTAACTACGAAGGCCTCCAGGGCAAGCCGAGCGTAGGTTTTGACCGCGTATAGGAAAGGCGCGGCGTCTGCGATCTCCGTTAAATGCAAACGGGGGGTTTGGTCGTAAGACCAGTTTTGAGGCGACGGTAATGTCACCAAATAACGCATCCGCGTCGGGGGCATTCGGAGATGCCGAAGGTGGTTCGGGAGCTGCCGGAGGTGGTGCGGCAGCGGAAGCCTGGGAAGCAAGGTGGGTGAGGATATTGGTGAGGTTGTCTAGTTTCGCCTCAAGTGCGTCCATGCGCGTCAGCGTCCGGAGCAGCTCCGGTAGACATAGCGGGCGTAAAGACGACAAGAGCAGAGGAGGAGGGGGTCAAGTGGCAGGGGCGGTGACGAGGGGGGGTACGGACTCGTACTCCGAGCCTGAGTCAGCACCAAACCTGGCAATCTTGACCGGTTAATCCCGTAGAGAGTTTCTTCTGCTGTAAGGGCAACCCTGGAGACTCCGACGAAAGCCTAGCAGGGGAGGATCCAAAGCGTGAATAAGACTACAGGAAATACACGGAGGGACCGACCTAGCAGGGGAGGATCCAAAGAGAAGAAACTCTAAGGGTCCGCCTGCTAGGGCGCCAACTATATACTGGTCGTCCGTAACTGCCGGCGTAGAGCGCAGAAGGCCTGAGCGGCGTCGCAGGCTCTGTCCCAAGGTGATCGTTGGGAGGGTCTTGACGGATCGGTGATTGTGCGGGCGAAGGAGGCCGTGGACGATGGTCGGGGGTGGGTCGGAGGCGTCCGAGGGGGCGCCGGTCGGATGCGCCTCGGATGCGTTCGGAGGGTCCGAAGGAGGCCGAAGCGGGGGTTCCCCTGACAGAGCCAGGCACACTCCCTCGCCGATGCATTAGAAACAATGAAAACATTGATCAAAGCCAAAAAGTCCGCCAACCATCTAATGTCGGCGATACCGAACACCATAGAAGGTCGCAGGGAGAATGAGGACCAAGGTGATAGCTATATTGATCCTCTCTTGGACTCCATGCTCGATACATGATACAATTAGCAGTCATGAGCGGCCTTTTAGTTTAGATACGCATACATCCCTACATATTTCCAAAATAGACGCAAAAATCATATCTACGATATCTTATGCGGACGAATCTTGCTGTATTGCAACCTCGATACGCTTTGGCGGACGCATAGTGCCGCTGAGGAACCTCGATCCTTATGCGGATGTCAACACAGAAATAAAAGGCTAGTAGATCCTCATGCGGACATTTTGAAGCCGAACTGCCGTGTCGAAATTTGACCAAATCACGCGATTTTGGATCGAACATCTTAGCGCATACGCCGGGGGCCTAAGCGAACACGTGCCGAAACCTCTTTGCCTTTTCTCCACGCGTTTGATGGTCCCGGACGCCCTGCGCCAGTGGCTTGACACAAACTACCCCGCCCCACGCGTCGACGAGGAGTGGCTCGAGGGCTGTTATGACTGGGTCACGTCTACCCACGGGCTAACTCCCGAACAACACCTCCCCGCGATAATAGACCATGTCCAGTCGCAGCTGCTCCAATCGGACCTCACCGACTCCATGGCCCATGGCACGGGAATTCCCCTGCCACTGCTAACCGCAGCGAAAGGCGTGCTGAAAGGCCCGGTGCTTGTGGAGATCATCGCCATAACGGAGGTCGGCGCGAGTGCGATCAACTTGGACGCAGTCCGGGTTGTGAGGGAGGAGCGAATGGGAAATGGCGAAGGAGAAGCCCAAGCAGACGGTGAGGAGGCGGACTTAGACGTCGTCGATGAGGGCCCCGTGCCGAACTACCCGAGGAGTATGCTTCGATTTCAGCTCAGCGATGGCGCTTCCACAATCGGCGCATTCGAGTACCGCCCCATCCCAGAACTAACTCTGGGCGTAACTCCCCTGGGCTACAAAGTACGCTGTCTCTTTGTTCTCAATTCAAACTCCTAACGGTGATCTACACAAAGCTTGTCCTCAAAGAGGTCATGGTCCGCAACGGCATGGCGTTTCTCGAGCCCAAATGCATCGAAATCAAAGGTCATCGCACAGAAGACCGGGAAGTAATGCAAAAGTCAGACTTTGCACGCGGACTACGACAACGATTAGGGTGCGTGTTTTCTCTCCTTTGACCGACTAATCAGTGCCTAAACTCTGATCAGACGACCAGAACCGCCGCCTCCACCACCAGTTCAAGCGCGTTCCCCCCTCCGCGAAATATCACCGCCTCCATCACCTCCCAATCCTGTTGTCGAACATGCGGATGACGAAGACCAACCTCGTCGCCGCAAAGTTCCAGCCCCGCCATCCTCCGATTCCCCTGTCACATCCAACTACTTCTCGTCATCTTCTGCCCCTGTCCAACCCACAGGCCTCAGCCTACCCTCCACACGGACAAGTGGGCCTATCGAAATAGACAGCGATTCCGAAAACGACGCACCTCAACCACGTATACCACCTGGCCTTGAGCAACGGCCTGTCGTCCCACTCAAATCATCCTCCCAAAGTAAACGCGATTCGCCAGAGTTTGACTGCTCAGACGTGGAATTCAACGAGGAGGCTCTAGAGGAGCTGCAAAAGTTGGAAGACCAGGCGATGGGAAGGGATGTCATCACCATTGATGACGACGACGAAGAAATGCAAGAAGACAAGGAGAATGTGCCTGCGCCTCAGCGGCATGTCCGCCGCAAGGTCTTTGGAGATGTTATTGATATATCGGACTCTGACTGACTGACCTGTAACTTTTTTTGTGTGTATTTGTTCTTGATTTGTCGCAATTACGGACTAGAAAAAACGGAAAGAATATGTACGGTTGGAGGGGGAAAACAGACGAAAGTGGATACACATTACAACAGATTAGCCGAGGAGAGTGACCTTGGCTTTCTTCTTCTTGGAGCCCTTGCCGCTGCTAAAGCTTCGCCAGCTGTCGACCCGTTCTTCGCGGCGCTCTGACAAAATTGAATTAGTGAATGAGAAACGCGGGAGAACACACCCTCCCAAGCCTTGTCGTCTTCTGCCTTGCGCTTCTTGCTCTCTACCTCCGCCTCCTTCTGCCTCGCCTCATGTCCCTCGTTCGCCAAATTCATCTTTATCGCCCTGAAAACAATTGATATTCCTGAGACAACAAGAGGAATGTGACCAACTCACTTGCGTCTCCGCAATTCCTCTTCTATAAGTAGCTCTTTAGACTTTGCGCGCATCTGGACCTTAAACGGGGGGTCCATTTGCCGTACATCGAGGCTGGTGGCAATGTTGGTTGTGGCGGGGAGGCCATGAGCCTTGAGCACCGCCGCTCGCGCTTCTGTGACGATAGCATCCAAGTTCTGCCGCTTTGTCTCGTCGGAGAGCTCGGATTCGGCCTTCTTGAGCGTGTCAAACGCCTCGGGGGCCCGTGCATGGTGGCATTTGTCGGGATGGATGACTGTGGTTGTGGTGTGAGGTCGTGAGCAAGGCAGGGAAAGGAACCCACAGAGAGAAAGCTGCTTGTATCGTTTCTTCAGCTCTTCTGGCGTGGAAGACTCGTCTATGTCGAGCACATCGTATGGACTGCAGGGGGGGGTCTTGTGAGTGAGTCAAATATGAGCACGGATGAAAACAACGCACTTGAGCTTGAACGCCTTGAGGATGCGCTCGACCTCTATTTCCCTCTGGAGCGCATTTGTCTCGCGGCTAAGCAGCTTCTCGATGTCGACGTCGGCCGAGGCCATGGCCTGGGTCGTGGTGAGCACTGGCAGAGTTGCCGAGCTCACGTGAGATTGCGATCATGTCTCTTCCCTTCCTCCGACCTTCACTGCTCCGCGCTTGCCAACCATGTTATAGGCCACAACATCTCGCTTTACGGCGCCTTGCGACAGAGGTGCCTAAACCACAGCCAACACCACGGCCACGGCCACGAAGGACAAACCGGGAGGTATATCGTGAGCGGAATCGGAATCTGCTGATGTACAGTAGCGCTGTTGTCAGTATATCTTTTGTCCCATTCAACTTTGGCTACCTCTCGTTACTTTACTCAACTGAAGGCAGATAATAGCAACTCTCGGCGTGACCTACGCCGCCGTCCCTCTCTACCGCATATTCTGCGCGGCAACAGGCTTTGCTGGCACCCCCAACGTCGAGGGGAGATTCTCTGCCGACCGCCTCGTACCCGTGACCTCCGCCCGCCGGATCAAAGTCCACTTCAACGCTGACCGCGCCGAAGCCCTGCCCTGGACATTCACCCCCCAGCAGAAATTTGTCACGGTCCTCCCCGGGGAAACCAGTCTCGCGTTTTATACCGCGAAGAACACGTCGAAGCAAGACATCATTGGCATCGCGACATACAACGTCACGCCCGACCGTGTGGCCCCGTATTTCTCCAAGGTCGAGTGTTTCTGCTTCGAGGAGCAAAAACTGTTGGCTGGGGAAGAGGTCGATATGCCGCTTTTGTTCTTCATCGACAAGGACATGCTGGACGACCCCGCGTGTCGCAATATAGACGACATTGTGCTCTCTTACACCTTCTTTAGGGCAAGGAGAAACCAGCAAGGCCATTTAGAGCCGGACGCGTCAGAAGAGGTGGTCCAGACTTCGCTAGGGTTTGGAGGCTACGAGCATGCTCCCAAGAGCAAACAACAATGATCGTGTAGAGTAGAAATGTCCTGCAATTAAAGTACAACAAGCAAACACAACAACTAAGATCGCGTAACAGCTGGGGCGGGTGCCTCCAATCGTGCAAGTGTCTCTTCCAGCTGTCTGGCCCGATCAGCGTCTTGGATTTCGAGCCAGTTCTCGTCGACCGATTTGTAGCTGAGCGGTCGACTTGTGCGCTGACTCATCGCCGCGGTGGAATGGGCAGAAGTAGGTCGTTGGGCCCGGAGGCTTTCGCGTAAAAAGCCCGACAGCAGGAAGGTACTCCCGCGGGTGTTCCCATAAGCAGGCGGTGGTGGGGCAGCGATAAGATGGTCTTCAGCATCCCCAGTGCCGACTCCACTTTGAGCCAGGGCAGCAGCATAGGTTGGCAATGGCGGCCTATTCCATGGTGACAAAGCCAGAACTGGATCACTGCCATATTCGCCCATTTGTCGGCGCCGCGCCGACGGCAGAATTTCGCCTGGGTGCAGATGGCTGTATCTCTGGGCGCGCAGTTTGAATACCCGCCGTTCGACAAAGAGCAGTTGGACGAGTGTTGCGACACCAAAAACGACATGGATGAAGATGACTGATGAGGCACCTCCGAGCATTTGTTGTTGGCTGTCGCTGCTCTGGCTCGCGGAAGCAGAGGTCGTGCGGCCAACACGAGAGGCAGTAAAGTACCATCCAACAATGGTGGCCGCGATGAGAAAGCACTGGAAGATGCCCATGGCGAGCGTAGTGGCCCGCAATCCAGCATAAGTGGGAATCTTCTTGGGTGGGCTGAATATCCCGAGAATTCGCTTTGGCTTCTTCGTTGTGCTGTTTGGCAGCGAGGAAGTGGAGACTGAAGCGGCAGGATTCGATGTTGGCGTGCTTGGTACCGCAGAAGTTGTTGCATCTCTATCTTCTGGATGTCGCTCTGGCAATGGCGAGGCATTATTTGGGGTCGTGCTTTCAGCAGCCCGAGCTGACTCGTCATATCCGATTTCCCCGCGCTTGGTCGGGAGAGGGCCCGCCTCAGGCCGAGGTTGGGGTTGCACTGTCGAGCTTGACGATGACGGGTCCATGTTGGTCAAGAAAACGGTCGGACTAGATGCCGAGGGAGGAAAGGGAAAAAAGGAGAGGAAGAAAGCGGCCTGGCCGCGCAGTCAAGTTAGTATCGAGGTGGAAAGCAGCGAAGGAGTTCCTGACAATTGATGGTTTCTTCCCATCGCCCATCTCATCAAATTCCAACTTTATGGACAACCTAAACCCTTCCAAGCTCGGCACAAAGCAGCAGTAAGCTATATTCTCCGTCCCGCTTCCCCAAGCCCGACTCGGTGAAAACAAAAGCTGGGACGACGTATACGAAACCGAGCTCACAAACTTTCGCGACAATGGCGATGAAGGCGAGATCTGGTGCGGACCAATCGCTGCAGCAAATCCTATAGACTCATCCACAGAGCAGGTTTGGGGTCCAGGCCGTCGATAAGATGGTCAAATGGGCGCTCGACAATGCCCCGCCTTCGCCCAAAACACTAGAAGTCGGCTCTGGTAACGGCACACTGCTCTTCGCACTGGCCGAAGCCGGCTACGATCCTCATTCTCTCTTTGGGATCGATTACAGCCCAGGGGCTGTCCAGCTTGCCCGCGCCATCGCCACAGAGAGCAACTACCAAGACATCACATTTTCCGAATGCGATTTTCTCTCGCAAGACCCGCCACAAACTGAGTGGGACTTGATCCTCGACAAGGGGACCTTCGACGCCATCGCTCTGGCGGAAAAAGACGCGGATGGTGGCTCTCCAGTGGCGAAATACCCTCCCCGTGTTGCCCGACTGCTCAAGCCAGGTGCTATGTTCCTTATCACTTGTCAGTGATCGTCTTTCCATCTTCGCACCAACGCTTCAATCATCCCAGCCTGTAATTTCACCGAAGACGAGCTCAAGACCGCCTTCCAAGCCGCCGGTCTCGTATATCAGTGAGCCTTCACCTTTCGTCCTGTCTTGCCCTGCTAAATGACTGTCCATATAGTTCACGAATTCAGCATCGCACAATAACTTTTGGCGGTAAATCAGGCAGTCAATGTTCCAGTGTCGCATTCAGTAAATCTTTCAGCGACGCTTCGCTGGACAAGTCAAGCCATGTATCATAGACAGCACTATATAACATGTCAAAAGGTCTTGCTCCTACTCCAAATCCTTCCCGTCAACTCGAAAAACGTTGCGCGCCACGAGCAAGAAATAGGCGCATGCAAAGGTGGAAAGGCGCCTCGATGGGTCTGGCAACGGGGTCCTTTGAACAAAAAAGCTACTCAAATGGCCTCCACGCGTTCTTCCCGAGCGAGAGCGCCAGTTTTCCGATCAATGTCTTCTCCGCCTTGCCGTCGACCAACGTCTTATTCGTAACTATTGTCAACCCGCGTTTACACCTCGTCAGCATCACGTTCACGCGCCGCTTCTCCGCCATGAACCCGATATTGGACGTCCGCACCAGCGAGAGGATGATGTAATCGTCTTCGTTCCCTTGAAACGAGTCAACGCAAAAAACTTTGTCGTCCGCATCAAGGCCCTCGGACCGGAGTGCCGCCTCGATTTTGCTGCGTTGCGGGTCGTATGGTGTTATTATGCGGAACGACTTGTCCCGCTGCACGAGTTTGCGGGCTTCCGCTATGACCACCTTGATCTCGGCGAGATTCTGCAGCTGCACTTAGTTGTGTGTTACGAGAACAACAGAATACTCACAAACCAACTCTGCCCTTTTCTCTCCTCCGCACTACCTGAAACGTCGATAAACTCGCAGCAACGCGTGGCTATCGGATGCATGCTCTTTAACTTGCTGTTGTAGACTCGTTCTCCGATGAAGCGACCCAATTGCATGGGCATACTATCAGAAAGAATGTCAAAACGTTCAACCAGCAGACACGGGACTGACCGATCTGGAAAAGAGAAAGTTTCAACAACTGTGAACGAAAGCTACCATCATGAGCACTCACATTGTGTGTCCAGAAACAATGCATGATCGCGTAGATGGCTCATCTCAAAAACACTCTTCAGAGAAGATATGTCGCTCTGTCCGTATGGCGGCACTAGAAAATAATTAGGTGGTTTTCAAGCCAAAAACGGACACATTACGCTGCTTGTCGTCGCCAATGAATGCCATCTTATTGAGAGTGGTCGAGAAGAGCGAGATCAGCGGAACATAGTCGCCCACTTCAATCTAATGTCCCAATTTAGCCAAACCACATCCGAAATCAAGCAATCGAATTACCTGGCTCGCTTCATCTATAATGACGGTCTGCAACGGAACCAACTGTGTGATGACACCAAAGTTGGGATTCGACAGCATGCTGAGTGTGCATAGAATGACCTTGGCGCCGAGAAGCTGTCTCTCAACGCCGACAATATTCTTCTCCAGCTTATCCATCCTGATTAGGTTTGGGTTCACCTTGTGGTATAGGTGTTCGTGCCTGCATCTCATGAGAGCGAAAACAATGGATTCATCGGAAAGACCAACCACTCATAATGGAACTCTGCCAATATGTAACTCGTCAGTCGCGCGGCGCTAAACAGGATTCCGAGTCAAAGAAAAAAAACGCACCTTTTGAGACGATCAATTTGAAGTCGAGGAAATCGACTGAAGCCAACTTCTCCGCAATGTTCTTGACTGCAACGTTGCTCTGTGCCACGAGATAGACATTCTGCCTTCGGGAGACGGGAAGAGCACGTATGTTTATAACTGCGGCTGCTATGACTGTCGTTTTCCCAGTTCCTGGGGGTCCTTGTATCACCACCATCGGTTGAGGCGATAAAATGGCACGGATGGCAGCTTCTTGAGACGGATTCAGTTGTCGGGGAAATGCAATCCGAGAATTTGGGACGGTTGCCGCTATCGCTAGTTGGAGTGGTTTCCTGTTCTGCTTGGTACCAGCGTCTAACCACAATGCTTTGAAGAATGGCTGTGCAACAATCGTGTTGGTTTGCTTCAGCGCTGACAAGACAACACTCGTCCGTTTTGACTCAGCATTCGTTGGGGGCTCCTTCCCTATTGTAGTAATCTTGAGTGGTATTTTACCGTTCGTGATGCTGCCCTTGTAGCTGATCTTGGACTTCTTTCCATTGGTCGAAGATATGTGCCCCATTATTTTCTTCTCTCCCATCGTGAGCATGACTTGCTGGACGAAAATGTGGGCTAGTTCATCTGGTAAAGGGGAAATACCCACCGGATTATGCCGCTGGAGGCGGGTCTTGAACCGAATACTCTGAGCATTAAGTTGTTTTCGTTTCACGCTATAGTCGGGCGAGATTTCATTCTCGGTGGTATGTGGCTTGAGCGCATGAAGTTGCTGTCGATCGCGGACGAGCTTGGCAAGGACGGTGAGATGCTGTGATGACATTTAGCAACTCCATGTTAAATTTAACAGGATCCCTACTTCAGTCGGAATTGCGCTCGCTCTTATCGGAGTTGCGACCTTGGCGCTTTGCGATGTCGTCGCAATGTACCAGGCGATCCAAGCTTGCTCTGCAAGTTGCCTATCCGTTGTCCTCTTCGCCTTTTCATATCCCTCGAACAATCCTCGCGCTTTAGCTTGATTGGGCTGCTTAGAAGAGCCTAAGACACCGAATAAAGCTTCCATCGACTCTCGCTCGTTTTTCGTTTCCGTTGAGAGGAGGTCGATCCCACCATCTAGCAGCAGCTGCAAATCCATGAAGAACGCGGCCACAACAGAGTCCATGCGAAATGCAGCCTTTGTCAGGTGCGAAGTGACCAACGGCGCCAACTTGCTCTTCACGTCCTTCTTGAGTGAGCTGGGCTTGCCTATGATCACGACTAACACGCGCGTTCTGGACGCAAATGCGATCTTCGACAGTGCGCTATGTGTCCCATAGACCGGTGCAACTCCCAGAGCGCCGTCAGATGCCGACTGGAGGAGTGTTTTTATGATGTGGGTGTGGAGTTGGGCAATGTTAACGACGTCGACCGAAACAGATGCATTGGGCACGGGGACACCAGTGAAGACCTTGGACGTGAAGGAAAAGCTGGTGGTCGACATGGTGGTGACTGAAAGGGAGCTGAAGTGGCTGAAAGTCATTCATTTGAGGCCGCGTGCGAAGGTTGAGCAAGTATGGCTGCTGTTGATCGAGCGCAGTCGAGCACAAAGGCAAGTCAGGCAAGAATAAGAATGGCAACCAGTCATTCATTGCAGGCCCGCATTACATGCGATTCGATGTTGGAGCCAAGCTTATTCACCGTGAAAGACCATGACCGGAGAAACAGAGTGCAACGGGTCACATGATCAGAAGCTAAATACAAAGAAATAATAAAGATACAGCAAATGCGGCTCATCGTATGGCCAACCGCCCACCCCACTTCTTCCGCGCAATAATATCCAGTTGCTCCTTCACATCACGAAAAGCCTTCCACCACGCCTCTGCGACCTCACCCTCCTCCTGTTCATCCAGCCTCCGCGCATAAAACTCGTAGTCGCCCCAATACCGCCGCAACAGCTCCAGCCACCACTTGACTACCGCAATCGTCCGCTCAACGCTCGTGTCCGTGAACTGTTTGCTATCCATCGCTTTCGTGAGGAACTTGCTCACGTATTCAATGTCCTGGGCCTCAGGAGGGAAATTTTTGAACGAGTCCACCCAGGCTTCAACAAGGTTTTGGACGTCGTCCGTTTCTTTGAAGAAGGCCTTGGTCTTTTTAGGCTTATCCTCGTTGTGAACCCGCTGCGCAAGTCGAGGAAGGTCGGGGTATTTCGCTTGGGGCAGTGGATGGCGATATAAATCTGGACGCGGAACATACTTCTTTGGCTTGTGCTCCTTCGGGGTCGGAGGAGTCGGGGCTTTCCCGCCATTCGCAACCAATATTCGCTGCTCTCGCAAAATATCACGCAACACATTCTTTGAAGTGTTGTCCTTCTGCAGCTCTGCCCACCAGTCAAGGTCAATCCCGAGCTCGTGCAACTCCTTGTCGTTAGGCTGCTCTCTCCGGTTGCGCAGCTTTCGACTTTCAAAGAACTTCTTGTCGATGAACCGATTATTAGTAGGCCCATACTTGGATTGTAATGGTCGGTTTCCTCGTTGCAGCCCATGTCGAGTTGGGAATATAGACTTGACTGGGCCACGAAATGTCACGTTTCGAGGCTGAACTTGAGCCACAGCCTTTCGAGGCGACACGGACTCCGATCTCGCCCAATGTTGTCGCATTTCTCCTTGTATACTTGGGGGTAGTTCGCGAAACACATCCGGGTCAACTGCTTCGTAGGGTGGTAGTCCGGAGATGTCTGATGGCGCCTCTTCTGTTGGTAATTTCGAAAATGGGTCGGTTTGTCCAATAGCTTGATGGTTGATGATGCTCGCATTCTCGGGTCGTTGGAATGGTAACATTTGCTGGTTTGGTCCACGATTAATAGGACCACTGAGTGGTTCTAGCTTCTGAATCTGAATGCCGATACCTCGCAAATCTTGAGGGTCGAAACGGAAAGACTTGAGCAGTTTATAGGCGATTTCTCCGATGATCTTTCCGTCGCTTGTTGCTCGACCCCCAGGACCCGATAGGGGTACTTGTTTGCTGAAGTCTTCACATTTTCCATGACCCATGAACTGAACATTATGTCAGATAAAATCGTGTTGCTTGAAAAAAGACTACCTTGGGGCCTTCCACCGGGGCATCGGGATGGCGCTTCATCACCTTCAAAGTCAGGGAGCGACCCAACACGTTGACGGCATGCAATCGCTGTTCAACTTCACTTCCCATTTCCATGAGGAAAGCTGCGGCTTCTTCATCTGACTTGAACCGTATACCATACTGCAAATGTGATTAAGGACTCGCCACAAGACATTGAGAGGAGGCATACGTTGAGTTCAGCAGAAACCGACTGAGGCTGCCGATCCGATACTAGTGGTGTATCATCTATTCCTCGGATTGCGTTGTACAGTTTCTCGCCGGTCTTAGGACCAAGGGCATCAGACAGGGCTGCGCGAGTTTTCTTCGCTAGATCCTTCAGTGCAATTGACCCAAGCTTTTCCTCTGCCTTGACGCGAGCAGACGCTGCAAAGCCACGCAGGTCGGTGATGTTCAAGGTTGATATTAACTCTGGGACATCTTGAGGAAGCACGTGCAACGAGCCAGCAGGCTTAGCTCGACGATTGGCGAGACGGGCGAGGAGAACATTGTGGGAGATCCCAATGCTAACTGGAAGGCGTCTGAGAGAGTGAAAACCAAGTGAATATGTTCAAAATACCCACTCTCACACTCTGTAGCCCCTTTAACTTCTGCTCGGAGGTGCTCAGCGAACTCTTTGGCAGGGTCTGGAGATGTAATGAATTTTCGAATCTGGTGCGTAACATCGATCAGAGCCTCGTCGATTGAAACCGCTTCCACATCATCAGCGCGGGACAAGAGAATCGTGTAGAATTTGAGGGAAATTTTCTTGTAGCTACACTGATTCAATGATGAAGGAGAAACAGCTTGAGAGACACAACCTTTCGAATTCGTAGGGCATTGTGATAACTTGAGGGCAATATTGTCTTGCTTGCCGAAGACTGTCGATGATGAGGGAAATCTTTTGAAAAAGCAGAGATAAGACACACCTCATTCCATTTTTAACACCAAGTGCTCGAGCCTCATAACTTGCGCAGGCCACTTCGCTCGTACTACCATCTCCTCCTTGGCCATCTTGAGAATGGCACACGACGACAGGCTTTCCGCGAAGCTCTGGTCGTTTCAAAAGACTAGCCGACACAAAAAAACAGTCGAAGTCGCAATGCATGATAACACGTTCTTCATCTCGTCCCTTTCCTTTACGGGGTGAAATTGGTGCTATGCCGGCCCTTCCTGGATTTTCGGCCTGGACTCTTGCTTCTCTCACAAGCTGCTGGAGTTCACTTTTGGCGGTTGACAGAAAGTGAAGGCGCGAATGCTGGTAATAGTTTTTGACATAACCAGGAGCCGCTGCTGTGTTTGCGGTACGCCAACCAGGCTCGGCCATAACGCGCTGAGCATTTAGATTAGATGGGTTCGCTGCATAACGCGGGATGGATGGTGCGATGGCCTGAGTTGCGGCAGGAGCAACATCTTTAGTCCATACGAAGTCTTTCCAAGGCAGAAGGCTTCCGGATTTGACGCTTTCCGTTAGCCATTGTGGGCGAACAACTTTCATGTTCTTGAACTCGCGTATTTTGGCGTCGGTGAGATTATCCGTAACGATATGTGTCCTAGATCTGCCCCGTTAGAAAGAATATTCAACGGAAAGTGGCAACGTACACTTTCCCCTTGTTCACGAGATAGGGCTCAAAAATACCGCCGTTCTCAACGAGAATCCTCCGGAGCTCGTGTTGAGGAGGATCAGTCTGACCATTGACCTACAGAAAAATTTAGGCCCCACAGTCGACATCAATGTGACACACGCACATAGATTGCAAGTCCCGCGAATATCCGACTATGAGCTGCGTCGACCATTTCCGAATTCTGGATTTGGAGTTTGGCTCGCTTTCGCTGCATGTACTCCCCGAAATCTCCAAAATGTGCGGCACCATAAATCACCTCGTCAACAGGGTCGGCTTCAGGGGACGGTTCATATCGTCGCTTTCGTGGTTGCGCGGGCGGTGGTGGCTCAAACTCTTCCGAAGCAGGTGAGCCTGGCTCGGAGGAAGGAGGAAGATCTCCTGGCAACACTGCGGCATGGAGAGCAGCAACCCATGAGGGGTCTTCCTCCGAGAAATAGTCAGAAGAAGCAGCACTGGCAGAGGGAGTGAGGATAGCCAGAGTGGGCAACTATGAGGGCATAGAGCGAAAGACCTCGGAGGGTCAACGCGTCGTGAGTCGTGATGATGACTGTGTTGGTGTAAGCTGAAAACGCGTGACCGAGAAACTTTCACCGATCCCTAGTTGGCCCGACGGCTCATGCTGGCATTCCGTCCTGCAAAATGATTGCCTGTAGGCCCCGAACGACTCTTCCAGCCCTTTTCATGCGCTCCAATTCAACTGTGGCCTCTAAACCTTTGAGTCTGCCCCGCCTTCCTGTCCCGGAACTGCGCCCTACTCTTGACCGCTATCTTAAATCTCTTGAACCTTTTCTCTTAGAGGACGAAAGTCGCGGTGGCATCTCTTTCAAATCTGCATATGCTTTGCGAGTAAAGTGGGCTGAAGAGTTTGCAAATGGTGTTGGTCGGCTTTGTCAGGAACGTCTGCTCGGTATGTGCCTTTTTGGTTCCGATTTTGTCCATTCATTTCGACCAAAGCTCTCGACAGAGCTTCCCCAAACAACTGGCTTGACGATAACTTCTGGACCAACAAGGCATATCTCGAATGGAGAGCGCCATTGGTCGTAAACTCCAATTGGTGGCTTGCTTTCCTTGATGACGACCGGATTCCTGTGGATGTCAAGGAGGAGGAGCAAGTTGGAATTAGTCCGTGGCAAATTCGCCGTGGGGCTTGGCTAGTTCATCGTGTCCTCCAGTTCAAAAATCTCCTCGACAGGTAAACCGAATTCGTGGTCGCCACAACGGTATTCACAACCCATAGACAGGAACTATATCCAGAAACAACTCGAACAGGTATTTTTCCTCCCCGTTTTTTTTTCGGCTTTTCTCATTCGACTTTAGGCATCTGGTTGCGCGGCAGTACGGCCAAAATGTTCAACATCGCACGGATACCCAAACCTAAATGTGATATCTTGTCGAAACCAGTGTCCATGGCCAACCAAGACGCCCAAAAATTCTACGTCATGATTCATGGCTGGTGCTATACGATTGCCGCATACCACCCAACTTCGTCTCCGACTCTTGTCGAGGTTCAAGATCTTGAAAACAGGATACGGGCTGCTGTCCTTGATGCTCAACATCGGCTGGCAATGGGGGAACAGCCTCCTCGCATAGGCGCCCTCACTGCCGATCACCGTGACAAATGGACAGAGGCAAGCATTTCATTCGCCAAAAAAGCTGACGATCTAAAACCTCATCACAGAATCTTCAACGCCTACTCTCGTTATCTTCTCAAAACCAACGAACACATCGCATTATTTCCCAGTCACTGCTCGGTCTTAGTCTTGATGCCATCCCATCTCCTAACAAAAATCTACACATGTCTCACCTCCATGCCATTCGCTCGACCAATTCCAATGTTACCAACCGCATATTTGATAAACCATTAACCCTGATAGTCGACCCTTCCACTCGTGCGGGGGCGTCTGGAGAGCATTCTCCATGTGACGCCTTGGTCCCGAGTATTGTAGCAGAATGGGCATTGGTCGAAGGCATCGACCCTGCGTCTTTTGATTCAATCGAACCGATAGCTTTGTCAACATCTCCTCCAGTTGAAGGCTGGGAGCGCCTTGACTGGGATGTAGACGAGAAAACCGCCGCTGAATGTACTGATGCTGTCCAACGCGCTAAATCGATTGTGGACGATTCTGATGCCGCTGTATATTGGTTCCAAGACTATGGCACGGACTGGATTAAGACCGCAGGTCAGTCTTGCCACGATGATATGCTGATACCATCTGAGGTCTTCTTAGTCAAACAGTCACCAGATGCGTACATCCAAATGGTTTTACAGCTCGCCTACTACAAAACGCGGGGCGAATTTTCGGCAACATACGAGACCGCTTTGACTCGGATGTTCAAACGGGGGCGAACAGAGACGATTCGGACATTCACCAAAGAGAGTCGAGCATGGGTTCTTGCGATGCTAGACCCAGAAGTTTCTGTGCGTGATTTTGTTATTTTCGGCGCTCAAAAGCTCATGGCATTAGCAACAAACCCGGCGCAGTTTACTCCACGACGCCTTGCATACGCATTCGACGCTGACTCGCGAAGCGGCCACCGGTCGTGGGATCGATAGACACTTGCTCGGGCTCAAACTCATGTTACGACCTCTGAGCGGCGAAGAGTCGTCTTTCTTTGACGACGAACTGTTCCAACGCAGTCAGACATGGAAACTCAGCACGAGCGGTCTTAGCGCTGGCCATCTATTCAGAGGCACTGGGTCCGTGAACTGTGTTGTCTCTCTTTCATTGTACTCACACCATCTGTAGGTTTGGGGCGACGTACGATGATGGCTATGGGATAAACTGTGCGTGTCTCTCAGTACCTCGTTCAGGAACTCTGACAGACCTGATTTAGATCTTGCCTCGCCAGACATGATCAAGTTTGGTATCGAATCCAAGGTCTCCTCCCCGCACACATCAAGCAAAGGCTTAAAAGATGCCATCTTCGACTCCTTACATGACATGCGGACATTGTGTCTCACAACCAGTAGCCATACCACACACACTGCTGAGCCTCCACATACTGACACTATACTTTCAAGTCGACTATAGTTTATGCTTTGCTTATTTTTTGGTATTTTTTATAAATTAGAGACAAAATGTAATCAGGACAATATAGACTAGACTTCACGTTTGCGTGGGTTGTCTAAGAAATCACCACTCTCCAAAACTTGGCTCTCCAGCCATCCCAAGTCACCAACATGCTCTCCAAGTTCCCCTACAATACAGTCTTTCCCTGCCCCATCCTTCAAGAAAGCCTTGCTTGAGACAATATACATTGCTCTCTTGCACCGTGTGAGCATGACATTTGTACGACTGTGGAGAATCAGAATGAAAAATTCAAATAAAAGAATGTAAATACCGTAAATTCTGAAGAAATCCAAGAGATATTGATCGGACCAGGCTGATTATAATGATGTCTTCTTCATTGCCTTGAAAGGAGTCTACATTATAGACCTGGAACATATTACTAAATCAGAGAATACAAAGTAAAGAGCAATACCTTTTCCTCCCATTCAAGGCCTTCCGTCTCCTTCATTGTATTTTCAATAAGGACTCGCTGTCCATCATAGGGTGTGATGATCTTAAAAGACTTATTCCTTTCTTGCAAAAGCAAAGCAAGCTTGATAATAGCTTGTGCTTCCAGGTTATTCTATTAAGTATATGTCAGTCAAGATTAAGTATAGATAAACAGAAAGATACAAAGTATGAATTGTTATTCAGAACCTCCTTTGCCCCTGGCACATTGATGAATTGACAAGCAATATCAGTGTCTGGGACAAGATGGCTAGGGTTGGACTTGAGCTGATTGTTATAGACTTTTTCTGAGATAAAGGCTCCAATTTGAGGTGGCATTCGATCTATAAAGTATATGAATATTAATAAATCAAGTAAAGGAAACAAACATTGAGTGTCCAGGAAATAGGTTTGTGTTTGAAGATGAGATAGTTCAAAAACGGACTGTAAGTCTTGTAGATCTTCTTGGCCATAAGGAGGCACTAATAGAATGATTGAATTTGTTTACTTGTTGACTGAGAAATAACTCACATTGTTTATCATCTCCAATAAAACACATTTTTTCAAGTTTCTCCCCATATTTTTCAAAAACTAGTTCAACAGATTAGAAAGTCAAATAAAAATAAAAATAATATTACCAGGTAAATAATCACCTATCAATAAAAATCAATAAATTCATTAAATCCAGAAATGAAATATATACCAATTTCAATTTGACTAGCTTCATCAACAATAATTCGGGTAACAGGAATGTAGTTTCGGAATTTGGTTTTGACCCAATAATTAGATAACTATAAATCATAAGAAACAGATTTCAAGAAGAAAAAGAAAATAATTACCATGCTGACTGTGCAGAGGATTACTTTACAGTCAGTCATACGTGAGTGAGATAGAGTTTTGAATTCATCAGAGCGGATAAAGTTCTGGCGAATGCCTGTATATAAAATGGCCATGCCAGTCTTCATGTGAAAAATCCATTGAGGCTAGTAGACGCCAGTCTGAAAAACCAACAGCCTGTAGCTTGAGATGCATTAGAAGAGATATCAGAATATTAGATAAATAATATACCTTCAAGGCTATATTGATAACTGCAACATTACTTTTTGCAACAAGCCAAATACCTACAACACATTCAGTCAAATGAAGTCAAATAGATGCTGCATACCCAGCTGAGATTGCTGAATTGCTGTTTTGACATATGCAGCAATGACTGAGGTCTTGCCCGTTCTACCCAGTATGATTAGATAATAAAATCAAAAGAGAACTTGAACTCACCCTGGTGGACCTAAACTGCATTTGAGCATCTGCAATGAGAGATAACCCAAACTTAAACTCACCTTGGATTAGTACAATGCGATGATCATCCTTTGGACTGAGCATTGCTTCCGCAGCCTCACGCTGCGAAGCATTAAGACGGCCAAGATTGTCCTCCTCCGCAGATACAGGTTGCACAGACAGTTGTTTTGTTTTCTTGCCGGTTTCAACCTGGGGTCGTGCTGGCCACTGCATACCCAGATCGTCCGAAGACGGAAGCCAAACATTCTTGATCCAGGCATTATCGGTAAGCACTGCAATGTTGCCTTGGAGCGCACTCAATATTGTTGCGGCGCGTTGAGCTTCGGCAGTCGTGGGATCGTCACGACCAATAGATGTGATTTGAAGGATTGTTTTGGACCCATCAAGAGGGCGAGGAACGTCTAGGTTTGCTCTTCGACCATCCACACCACCGCTCTGACCATAAACCTCGTATGATTGACCTCGCGCGTTGAGGACTTGCATGGAGAGATTCTGGGACATGTCAGCAAGGTGAAATACTACCAAATCATGCAACACACCTCCGAACCACGAAGCCGACTCGCGAAAGAGGCCGACTTGACACTCAAGCCATCGCTGGCATTGACCGCAATGACTTCATGCTTCTTCTGCGTTGGTTTGAGGTTCGACAATCGCAACGAGTCGGATGTCATTTTGGCCAATATATTCAACACCTACAGCTGATTTAGTGGCGCTAGAAGAGAGGGAGAAGATACAGACTCCAGGTTGAAGAGCATTGGTGTTGATGATCTTCGCTTTCCCACACATAGTCTCTCCGTTTGAGGTGGTGGCGAGGTATTGCGAGACCCACGCTCTATTAGCAAGGTCCATGCGACAATGCTTGTCTCCCTCGACATAGAACGGGTTGCGGAACGCGGTTTCAACATTCTCTGTAAACACACGGATAGAGTCGCCGACGGCCGCAACGATGGAGGTCAGCGGCCTGCGGTTGAAAGCGCTGAAGGCAGCTTGGATGTCGACTGCATTCTGGATACGTAAGCCTTCGCCCTCAAGACAGAAGAGCGACATCGCGAGTGGGCCACAGTCGAAAGCCAGGAGCTGCCCTTCGTTGCGACAGAGGATAACTTTTTCTAGGATCTTCCGACCAGCGAAATTGGGTGGGGGTTCCGACCGCTGCTGGCCATTACCACGCGCTCCACGACCGCGTCCGCGTCCTCGACCATTGGGATCGCTTCGGCGGGGGCTGTAGAAGCGAACGATAAGGCAGTGACAATCGTCCGCAATTGAAAGGGCGACAAGTGCGCCCTCCTTCGAGTAGCCTGGTGCGATGCCTAATGGCTGGGCCTCTTCGTTGAAGACTTCAAGGAATTCCTCTGCAAGAGTAAGCTTAATGGTGTCTAGATATCGATGATGAATAATTCAACCAGTAAGCTCTGATTCATGCTGGACAACAAGCTCCAGAGGTTGTTCAACTCCATCGAGGATTGTTTGCAAGAACTAGAATGAGTTAGGACTCTGGATCGACGCGTACTCGCTACAACACGCACCTCGATGCTCATCGATGCCACGAGGAAAAAGCTGGGAAATGGAGGGAAGGACAAGGTCGCCGGGTCACGTGAACGTGAAGCTTAACTTTGATGAACTGATGCCTCCTCTCTGAGGAAATTCGAGGAATAAATGAGCGTGCATGTATTGATACTATTATCAGTCCTTGTGAGCGGTAGCTAAAGCCCAATTCGAGGTAATTGAGAGCATGGTATCGTAAAGTGGATATAGAAAAAAAATGAAACTAATGAAAGTGTACTTCGCCTAAGGCTTGGGACTTGTTGGCCGCGAACGGGAACCACCAGTATCGTTACGATCCACAGGCCGCATCAGAGGAGATCCTCGATGCGGAGACCCACGAGCAGGCGAACTAGTGCGGGAGGGGTACTGATTCGGAAGACCAGTGTGTGGGACAAGTGGTGGGTCTGGTGAACCGTTATTGCCAGGGCCGAATCGAGGGTCAAATTGCGACATCCCAGTCATCTGCATCGGCAAACCCATTTGTGGTGTCATCATCGGCATTCCCATCATCGACATACGAGGGTCAAACATGCCCATGTTACCCCCCATCATCGGGTTCATTTGCATTTGAGAGGGCGTGTTATTGCTTGGAGCTCCTCCCCCTCCGCCATCTCCACCGACTTGCGAGCCCGCGGTTGAGAACGCGACCATAGCTTGTTGGTAAGCTTGAGCAGCGGCTTGTTGGGCAGCGAACATCTGTTGAGGGTTGAACATGCCTGGATAACCCATCTGGCCAGTCATCATGGGATTCATGCCCTGGCCAATCATCATTGGGTTCATTCCTTGCCCAGTCATCATCGGGTTCATCCCTTGCCCAGTCATCATCGGCATCATTGGATTCATCCCCATCATCATCGGGTTCATCATCATCATCGGGTTGTAGGGGGGGAACTGTCCGCTGTAGACTGACCCGCCCTGCTGCATTTGATCCAGCTGTTGCCGTTGATGTTCGTCGAATCGCCTTTGCCTGTCCTCCGCAACACGTTTTTCTCTTTCCCGCTCAGTCAGGGCAGCCCCGACACCACCTTCCCGTTTGCGCTCTCTTTCATGTGCAGTAATAGCACCAAGCAAACCCGTCTGAGGAGGTGGAGGCTTGTGAGGAACATTGATCAACGACGCGCCACTTTCTCGCGCCATCTCTTCTTGCCGTTTAGCCGACCTATCAGCCTTGTCCTGCATTCCAGCAGACAGCAACCCTTGTGGCGTAAACGCTTTGGTAAGCTTGTTGTCTTCGAGCTGGACAAACGTGTCCGTATTCTGCGACGGAAGCTGGCCCGTGTTTCGTCCAGGATCGAGAACTTGACTCCACATTGATTGTCTTGCAGCACCTGGCTGGGGCATTTCGGCCTGGCTTCGCAGTTGTGTGCCGTCATCGAGATAAGTTCGACGTTCAGAGTATGGATCAGACGGAATTCGTCGTTGGTCGGGCTGCTCGGCTACAAAAAAAAAGATACAAGTCAGTCGGACAACGGAAATGGAAGCAAAAAACATCAGCTCACCAAACGATCGAGGAGGGGGTTGTGGCAGGGTGCGTGGAGGACGTAGATGCGAATAGGCCTGGCCCTGTGGCTCATCGTTCTGAAATCCTGACCGATTAAAACTGTCGACTGAAGCAGGGCCGGATGACGACGGAGTGAGTTGTTTACGAACTGGTGGGGCTATTTCACCATCCGAGTCAACATCCTCATCTTCTTCATCCTCTTCATCATCTTCTTCTTCGTCACTACTTTCACCCCAACCATTGCCACCAGCAGCCGCCATACGTGACCTTCGTTTGCCATTAGCACGGCCAGGACGATGGGCAGCGGCATTTTGTGCTGCTTGCTGCGCCTCAATCTTTGCTTTACGCTCCGCAGCTTGCTTGGATGGCGCGAACGACGACTTGAACTCTGATGGCGGGGTGTCAGCACGGTCATCAACAGTCTTCTCAGTCACGTGAGGGCGGAGAGGGGCAACAGGGACCATTCCGTCGTAAGCGCTTTTCTGAGGCGGCGGGGGTTGTGGATGCTCGTCATTGACATCGAGGTAGGAAAGTGCGGCGAGCGCGTCAAGTTCGTCATTGGAACGAACAAGAGGGGAAACAGGCGGGGAGTTGTGGTGCATACTGTCCTCGCTTTGCGAGTCCTCTTCAGCGAGTGGCTCAGAGGCTTTGGAAGGGGGAGGAGGAGCGGAAGAAGATGCAAGTGAAGAGGAAAGTCCACGGTCAGGGCCACGATATCCCCGATTGGGATTCGGCGCACGTGCTCCCGAAGGCTTACGTCCGAGAGCGGTGTATTGGCTGCCGTTGCCGGCATGCGAAGACGACAAACTACTCAGGGTCTGTGAAGGAGACGAAGCTTGTGCACGAGCTGACTCCGGCTGGTGGAATGCCATAGGCGTGGTTTGTCTGAGGACCGGACTTTGCGTCCCATAATTATCTGACGTTGTTGTGGAGGTCACGTTTGGCACGTCATCCTCAGACTCTGACTCATCATCACCTTCAGAGATCGTCGTAGGCTGTTGACGCGGCGGAGCTTTATGGCGCGGAACGGAATCAAACTGCTGCATGTAATACAGCGCTCCGGCCTCGTTCGAAATGTTGTTGCTCTGGTTGTCCTCGTTCTGATGTATCCCCGGAAATGATGAAGTCGCCGTTATAGAAGAGGTTGCCGTTGTAGTGGGTGAAACATGGCCTGAGTTCGAGAATGGTGATGTTAATACCGAAGAACGTGACATCATCGACATGGATCGTGAGGTTGCTGGTTGCTCATTAACCGAATGTGGCGAGGTGAGAACGGATGTAGGAGAATGGTTTATTGCTCGATTTATGGGCTCTGAAGGTGATCTTGCTTCAACAGTGGCAGCCGGGGTAGCTTGAGGGACCATTCTGATACTGCTAGTGGTTCCACCATGGGAATTTGAGCTCAGCCCGCTGCCAACTCGAGAGAAAGACGGCGCAGAGGGGGAGTCAATACTCGTCCGTCCAGCTGGTGGTGAAGGCACCCGTTCAAACGAAGAGGTAGGACTTTGAGTTAAAGGTACATTATCTAGAATGGTGGGCAATGTTTGCCCAACCGGTGAAGTGGTTCGACCTTGTTGCGCCGGCGGTGCTTCGCCACCGCTCCCACTGTTTTGGAGTGTCGATCGGCGTTGAGGACTCAGGACGGTGTGCGAATCGACGGAAGACATGGTTTGTTTAGCAGTAAGACCACTGCTTCGCTCAGATATTGGCGATAAGTGATTCCGCTCTTGTGATTGAGAAGAAGCTGAAGCATTTTCTGAGCCAAAGGTTAAGGGGGGAAGTTGCGGACCCGATGCGAGCGGTGAACCATTCTGAGGCTGATGACTGAGCCCGGGAAGGGGTGGAAGCGACGGAGATGTTTCTGATCGTTGAGCTTGGGCTGGTGGTGGTACGCGTTGTGGTACTTGACTGCCAAGGATACCAGAAAATTGGCCGCGGATTGAAGAAGTACGATCATCTCGAGGATCCAGGGTTTCTGCTTGTTCTCTTTTGAGGAATAATTGCTGCGAATGATTCAGTTGACAGGTTTCATGGAATTTGATAGCGCACATCTCGCGATGGTCCAACTGGGTAGCCAAACATAAGTGACCGAGGATTACGAGGGTCCCAGTTCCAAGCTTCTGGGCGGCCGTACAACCGGAAAGCGTCATGGAGCGCTGAAAGTTTGCAATTGTTAAAATTTACAACGAAAAAAAAAAGGAAAAACTCACCAACTATCCATTTGAGCATCTCCTCTGCTTGGCCGAGACCGCCCTCGAGCTCTGGCATAATCAACAACCAGCCCTCCCTGCGGGCCATTTCACCCGCAGTATCTTCATCGCCAATCAAACCCTCCAGCTTAATCAAGGTGCTCCTACTGATGAGTTCTGGACGTTCGGGATAGACGGCAAATGCTTGTGAAACGGTATGGATAGTAAGAATGGCCTTTTTGCGCTCCTTGGGTTTGGGCCCAGGATAAATGGCGATAATAGGTCTGGGCGGTAATGGTGTGTCTGGCATCGCGTGGTCTTTTGACGAAAATAGATTCGACATGCGCTTTTTAGTCCGGGGTGCATCTTGAAGCTGAGGAATCGCGTCTGCAGATGCGGAAACAGACATCCAGACTTTTTTCCAGTCGACTTGGCCCGCGATTCGGAGACGAACCCAGCCTTCCATCCGACCATTTATGAGTGTTGATGGGTGGTCGGGACCTTGGCGGCCTGTTAGACACTAAGATGAATTGGGAACGCGACAACGCACCGCTTAGTGTTATACGCAGTAAATGGGCGGTGTAGATTTCCTCTAGACGAGACTTTTCCCAAGCAGACAGACGCAAGGCAGCCGCCCACGCTAATAGGGCTTGTGTGGAAGGACACGAGAATAAGATGAGGTTAGATCCGCCAGTGTTGACTGTCAGGACATCCGGATAGCGCTTTTGTGGCTCAGTTGGTGTCGCAGGGACGCTGACAGCGCCGAGGACGTGGACAAATGCATCGGTAATGTTGAGATATGAGGGAGGCACTTCCGTGCCATTGGCGCTGGCTTCTTGGACGGCCTTCATATCCCAAATACTGAGTGTCGTCCCATTGAGTTGGCCCCATACTTCTGTCCATCCTTCGTCTTTGTGAGGCTTTTGCCCGTCTGGCTGCCGTTCAACACGCCTGATGAGCGGGCCGGAATAATAGACCTGTAGCGAGCGCGTTAATCACCGATCATCCAGTGCTGCCAGAAAACGCACCTTGCGAGCATGGGCCGTGGTAAGCTGGACTACGGAGCGAATTTCTGGGTGGAGTGGGGTCTGGGGTGCCCCGTCTAAGGATGGTCGAGATTGGTGTTGTGGTGGTGGGGATTGTTGCTGTTGCTGTTCCATGCGGGATCGTGAGAGAAATGAGGTGCTTCGTTGGGGTGCTGTAGTGGGTGGTTCGTTGTTGGTCGGCCGGCGGTTGAAGGAAAAGAAGGAAGAGGAATTGGAACGGTTATGACTCTGTGATTCCTGTGTAAGTCCTGGTCGTCGTTGTGACTGATCCATCGGCGCAACCGGCGCGATATAGAGTAAAGTATAGGCAGTGGTTGGGCTCAAAAGCTCCTACACCCCTCCAACGGCTGTGTCGTGCAACAATTTGCAGGACAAGACTATGTTGAACACGTGCTACTACCGCAAACGACGTCACTTATTCTCTAACAACGTCCGACTCCTCGAACACAGTCTGGGTTCCTCCCACCCGATTGATAAGCCGCGCTTTGGCGATACTAGATCGCAGTCAAACTGTTGAGCTACTTAGACGCGACATTGCTCTTACCCTGGATAGTGCGTCATGTCAACTGGCTCTCTGGTGATTGCTTCAAGTCATGGTCTCCATGTTGTCCTGTCCACGCACCGACTGCCACCACACAAGTATTCAAGACCCTCTTCACTGGCCTTCAACGCATGCGGCAACTTTTTTCCAGCTGGGAACCCGATAAAGTCCCCCTCTTGCACAATTTGTTCTTCTTCCCCGAGCAACGTCGCACTTCCCTTCAAGATGAAGAACCATTGATGAGCATGTGCTTCTACCCCCTATCTATGCAGCAAAACAGTACCATCGTCGCATTCGTGCCAATGCTCCACGGTCGATATCATGTTAGGCTCAAGTGTCGCCTTGTGAATGCCTAGCTTGGTTAACCCTAGTTGGTCCCCGAGAGAGGTCGTGATTCGGACTCTCGAGGCATCCATAGGGTGACCTTTGGGAATCTGCGCGGCTCGAATAGCTGCTGCACGGATAATTGAGCTCATGGTAGTTGCGGACACGTTCTACCGGCAGGGAGATCCGATATCCGAATATAAACCAGCCTGTCCTCGTTTATTCTGGTTCTTTTTCTTTCATCTGGGCGAGCTTATTGATCGTGTCCGAAGGAATTGACAGACGCCGTGTCGCGATCGCAGGCTTCCTCTGCTTCGCGCTACCAGGTCCTCCTTTCTTGTGGTTCAAAATTCCTGGGCATCCATTGCTTCAATCTCTCTGGCTTTCTCAAGAGGAGCCACTGGACACGCATTCCTTTCTTCTGACGCCATGTCTCTCTCTCAGCACTCCCCTCGCGCAACATTGAACGAACCGCAGACTGCACATGCACAGAGTTACTATCATTCAAGATCCTCCTGGCAAGATTGCCGCTGCCGTCGTTAGCATCCTTTTCTCACCCGAAGAACGAATAAGGTGGACGGTCGCTCAAAGTAATGTTGCCGTCGAGAATGTCGCGGAGGAGCATTATCTCCATCGTGCGTTTTCTGCGACACAAGACGCGTAAATGCGATGTAAGGGGGACGTGGTTGTTCGTGCACATCATAGCTTCATAGACAGGGTTCTGGGGGAGACGGACAATTATTGTGCTACTGTAATCCTTACATCCGACTCCTTCAACACAGTCTCGGTTCCTTTCGACCGGTTGACCAAAAGCGCTGTGGCAATGCTGTATAACCATGTCATTGGTTGAGCACATTGGACGCGACAAGTTTCTCACCCTGGATAGTGCGTCATATCAATGGGCTCTCTGTTCCACTTCTTCAAGCCATGTTCACGATCACCCATCCACGTACCGACTGCCACCAACCAAGTACTCAAGACCCTCCTCACTAGCTCTGAATGCATGTGGAGCCTTCTTTCCGGCTGGGAACCCGATAAAGTCTCCCTCTTGGACCAATTGCTCTTCTTCCCCAAGCAACGTCGCACTCCCCTTCAAGATGAAGAACCATTCTGGACCCATGAGTGCACTTCTGCCACCTATCCAACTTTGACAACAATACCATCGTCGCATTCATGCCAATGCTCCACGGTCGATATCATGTTCGGCGCAAGGGTTGCCTTGTGGATGCCTAGCTTGGTTAATCCAACCTGATCTCCTAGAGAGGCCGTGATTCGGACTCTTGAAGCATCCATAGGATGATTCCTAGGATGCTGAGTGGCTCGAATAGCTTCTGCGCGGATAATCGAGCTCATGGTGGTTTTGGACAAGTCCCATCGACAAAGAGATCCGATATCCGAATATAGCAGATTTCCTGAAATAATTGACAGCACCGTGTCGGGATTGCAGGCTTGCTCTGCTTCGTCCCACTATCTACCCCTTCCTTGTGGTTCAATTTGTCTTTGAACCGTCCCTAGCCCCTGCCAACGCCCCATTGTCTAGGGAGAGCAGATCCTTCGCCGCGTAGTACAGTATCCCGTTTCAATGTCGAACCTAGGCGCGCGTAAATGGGCTACACCTTTGTCTCCAACAACTTCAAATGCAGTATGCCGCACGCCCCCACACCCCATTCTCTGCCGACCGCTCGATATTTGCGCTCTTGCGAGCACCCAGCAACAGCACATTGCGAATTGGCAGTTGAGCTCGGCCGCGGCAACGCAGGCGGGGAAGACGGAGGTAACAATGCCTCGGGTACGCAAAATAGTATTGACATGGAAGGATTCGAATCGACCTCCATATTTGTTGTCTCGCCGTTAGCTGGTGGTGCTCGAGAAGTCGACAGCCAGCGAAACAACGGCAGAGATGGCTCCACTGGTGAATTTGGAGGAATTTCCTCGTCTCCTTGCTCAATTTCAACATCGCGGTCTTTCTCCTCGTCAGACTGGGCAGCGGTCGCTGGCGCTGTGACTGAAGCCGCAGCTGGCGCAGGTCCACGTTTACCCTTTGGTCGCGATTGTTTCTTCAGCAGACGGTTGATAGTTTCGAGCTGTAGATAGAGTTCAGGGTCGTTGATGCAACAAAAAAAACGGTGGAAATATACTTTCTCGTCTTCGAGTTTCTTCTCAATCTTGTTCTTCCTTTTCCTTGCATTCTCCTCCTTCCTTAGGGCAACTTGTGATGGTGAAGCGGCACGTTTACGACTCGGTGGCTCGGGCAGTGCCATCGCAATCGGCGAATTCTCTTCTATCTGTTAGAACGACACTGGAAATTATGGTGATGAACCATACGGGTTACGGATCCGCCAGCAAGTGCGGCTTGTCGTGCTGTTAGTCTGCCGCTCGCAAGCCCTGTCATACTGTCGTCGACCTCGTCATCATCAGAGTCTTCTTGCTCGTCTTCAGATTCGACATCAACGACTAGCAGCAGAGTTAGAGTGAAGAAAAGACAATGGTGAAACACCCACGGGCTGGTCTTCTTGCAGCTCTTGCTGGAGGCGCTCTTGCTGGAGGTGCTCTTGTTGGAGGCGCTCTTGCTGGAGGCGCTTTTATTCTTGGTGGTTGTGGGATGGGGACTGGTGCTGCACCAAGTTTTAGCTTGATTTTGAGGGACGGTCGCTGTTATTTTCTTATTATTATTAAGCAGTAAAACACTCTAGACACGCACTGGCAGTTGTTCTTCCTCTTCCTCTTCTGAATCGTCTTCCAATTCGTCCTGGCTTGCATCTTCTTCGTCTTCTGGTTCAAGCTCTTCTTCGTCCTCGTCTTCTTCTTCGCTCGTCTCCTTTGCGTCCTCCGCTACCTCGATGTCCACCTCGGATTCCTCGCTGGCAGCACTTGGGAGTCGACGTCCAACAGCCATTTGATGACATCTACGATCACGTGCAGCAACCCCTTTTACACTACGAAAGCACGGCAATTTATGCGTCTTGCACTCCTAATAATCTTGCCTTCAAACCCGAAAGACACGGTCACGGTTGTACCACCGTAGTCCAGGTGTGTTTACTAGAAGCACAACCGTGCCACCATTGACTCTTGCCTACATATGTATCTTGCCTAGCTCAGCGATTCGGTTATAAGACGTATCTTTGCCGAAGAGCTTGCTTTCTCTCTCTTCACCACTAGGCCAATGCCTAATGAACCCCAAAGCGAGCTAGCAACGCTCCTCCCTCCTCGTCCTGACGGCAAACAGCGCATCCATTTTATCGACAATCTCCGTTCTTCTGTCATATTGCTTGTCATTCTCTACCACATCGCCCTCACATTCAGTGGAATCGGGTACTGGTATAAGTCGCCCTACCCTGTCTCGACTGCATCGAGATTGATCCTTGGACTGTTTGTCTGGCTCATGATCAATGAAAGCTTCTTTATGGGCCTGATGTTTCTCATCGCTGGACACTTCTCGTCAATTGCTGTGGAACGAAAGGCTTGGAAGTTATTCTGTGAAGAGGCTCGGGGTCCCAATCGTGTTGTATGTTCTGGTGATCGCACCGCTAGCAGTTGTGTTAGTGACACCCAAGAAAAATGAGGCCGTGTGGATCACCTTCTGGCAATATTGCGTCCACTTCAAACGCCTCAATGGTCTGATCTGGTTGGCTTATCTTACTATTTCCCAGACGTGCAGGCTGAATAAGTACTCGTAGGTTTGTCACTGTGCTGCTTATCTTCGACTTAATCTATGCGACGATGAAACTTTTTATGCCGGCCTACAAACTCCCCACCCCTTCCTCGTACCCGCAGTTCCGACTTTGGGCTACTTTAGGCCTCTCTACCTCGGCCATCTACAGATTTTGCATTCGGCTCCGTTTCCCAGCAGCCCATCGGGCTCCCTTCATAGCCATCCAAACAAGTTATATTGCGCAATACATTCTTGCGTACCTCGCTGGCTGCACTTTGGCGGATATTCAGCCATACCTGCTCTTCAACAGCCCCAAGGCTGCTCTCGTTCTCGCCTACCTTGGCGCGATTCTCTCTGCTTGCATTGGGTATTGGATCAACATCGCTTTTGCTTTCCGGCACGAGGGCGGGTTGAATTTATTTGCGGTCCTCTATGCTGTATGGAACGAACTCTGTTTCTACTTCGTCGGCACGGCGTGGTTCTCCTTCTTCCATGATTCGTCGTGGACGACGGGGAAATGGGGTACGACGGCAAGGTATTCGTATGGCGCGTATATCGTACATCTTCCTGTGATCACGGGGCTGGAGGCTGCTTTGGACTCACCAGCAGACGGAATCTTGAAGACAATTTATATCGGTTTACCCTCGATTTTGCTCAGTTGGATATTGGCGTGGGCGTTGGTGCAGATACCACTTGTTGGAAAAATTATCTGATTCTGTGTAACTGCTTATCTAAATTGAAAAGCACACTCGGAGAATCAATGACCGATTTGAGAATGACCCTGGGAGCCAGATGTTGAGTGCAACATTTGAGGATGGGATGTCACATGTCACACTTATCGCGGCATGAAGTCGGCGACCACCCACTTAGACTAAGATGATACCGCCCAACAATAGGACTTTGCGCAGCGCAGAAGCTTGTGTCTCCCCATCACACCCATGCCCAGCGACCCCGAAGGCGAACTAGCAGCTCTCATTCCCCGTCTCGTTGGGGAATGGCGCGTCCACTTTCTCGACAATCTGCGCTCTTTCGTCATCGTGCTTGTCGTCCTCCACCACGTCGCACTCTCGTTTGGCGGAGTCGGATACTGGTACTATGTCTCGCCCTACCCAGTCTCGAATGTCTCCAAGGCAGTCCTGACACTCTTTGTCGCACTCAACCAGACCTTCTTTATGGGCCTGATGTTCTTCATTGCCGGGCACTTCTCGTCCATTGCTGTGGAACGAAAAGCATGGGGAGTGTTCTGCATCGATAGGTTGAAAAGGCTGGGGATCCCGATCGTCGTCTATACGTTTGCCATTCACCCGCTGGTGGTCGTGTTGCTCAATCGTGGCTCTGTATGGACCGCGCTGAGACATTATTATCTGAATCTAGACCGCGTTCAGGGTCCAATTTGGTTAGTCGTTTCGTGGAATCAAGTCCGTGCCTCATCGAACCCAGGTTTATCGCCTTGCTTCTCGTCTTCGACGTCATCTATGCGACAACCAAACTGTTTATTCCCTCTTTCGGCTTCCTTATACCTTCCTCATACTCGCAATACCGTCTTGCAGCATTGCTGGGAATATCCACAGTCATTATCTGCACATTTTCTGTCAGATTGTCCTTCCCACTCGGCACCCACATCCCTGTTATGGCGCTTGAGCCCGGCTACACGCCGCAATACGTCCTGGCTTACATTTCTGGCTGTTCCCTGTCCAAAATCCAGCAATATATGCTCTTCAGGGACCCCAGACGCGCATTAGCCCTCTCCTACTTGGGTGCAATTCTTTCTGCCGCTATCATCAGCGGCATTGGTGCAGCTCTTGCTATTCCAGTCACATACGCCGGCGGAATGAATCCCTTCGCGTTGTCCTACGCCATCTGGCACGAAACTTGTTTTTACTTCCTCGGGACGGCCTGGTTCTCGCTGTTCCACGACTCGGAGCGGACAACGGAGAAATGGGGCACGACGGCGAGGTACTCGTATGGCGCCTATATCGTGCATTCGGTTGTGGTCGTTTGGCTGCAGATTCTGTTGGATTCGCGGTTAGACGGGATTTTGAAGACGGTCATTGTGGGTGTACCTGCGATCGTACTGAGCTGGGCGGTTTCATGGGTGTTAGTTCAGATACCGTTTGTGGGGGCCATTATCTAATCTTATCAACAAGGCCCCTGACGATGCGGTGCATAAATTCTTCCCTCAACCAGCTCGCAGGCTGCTGGGTAGACGTTGTACTCAGTATGAACCTCGACAAAGTGTCTCCATAAGACATCCTCGTGCAAGCCTGGCGCTTGTTTAGGAGATACTCAGATAGTGGTGATCAGTTGTCACGACTCAATCACCATGACCTCTTTCCTTGAACAGGTTTCTGCCGGAATCACGGGCTGGTTGGACGATATATTTCGCGCAAGACCTGGTGTTATATATCCAGAAGATCTTCTCGATAGCGCACACATATGGTTAAGCCACTGCAAGAGGGTCGATCACAGCACTTCGTACCGTACCGTCTCATGAACTACATAAAAATGTTGAGAATACGGAGCTAGAGTAAGTTGCCATTGACGCACTTCCTCGTAGCCTTCCCTATACTCAGCGCCCTCTCGCTCCAACCTCTTCTTTGCTTCTGGATCCACAGTCAATCTGGCCTGCGCCTCGTTTCCTCGAGCGTGTCTCATTATTTTCTCAGCCGTCCTTATTCTCGAACAAGAGGAGGCGAAGAAGCTTGCGGGCACGCCGCACAACGCGAGAAGCAAAACGGAGTAAAGTTGTTTGGAAACTGTACCTCGACTGTTGGATGGGGACGACGAGAAAGCTTCTAGTTTATAGTTATTCGAAGTTCTTTCGTGAACAAGATCTTTGCAGTGGTATGATTGTACACTACTGGCTAGGACGGCAGAGAAGCGAAGCCTGGGCCATTGGTGCAGCAGCCGTTGACTCAGTCAGGATATTTGCCTCGGTCAGGATATTCACGACAGAGTCAATAAACCTTGTGGCACCAAGTTGCTTTATTGCTCGTAGTTTTTGCAGCGTATATACGACAGGAATCGCTTTCGCCGTCAACTTGTGTTATCCTTTTGTAGCTGCGCATGCTCTTCTTCTCGAAAATGAAAGAAAGAGATCGCGGGAGGATGATACAAACAGTTACCTGGCTCGAAAGTTGGCTTGGTCCCAGTCACCAAGCCTAATTTCATTCAGCATCGAGCCAGCCCCTTATCTTGTTACCTTCATGAGCTCCTTCTGCGAGACTTCGACATACTGCAGCAATCACCGACTGGGTAGACGATGACCACTCCACATGAAGCCTGGTGTGGTGTGATCTATCCAGAGGATCTTCTCGACCATGCCAGCTACTGGCTACGTCAGAGGCACGAAGCCGAAGTACATGCCAGAGCGACCGCCAACCCAGAAACAAAGGCGAATTCGGAGCAAGAGAGCCACCGCTGTCGGGATCTATCAGAGTGCGTCAATGATACTTGGTCGTACTGCCAGTCTGAGCTTTCTCAACTGTTTGCAGTTCATGACATGACGCCGTATGGACTGTTGCAGTTTCGTTTTCTGGTTTTCTCGTCGACAGGTTATCCTTCTCATTGAACGTGAGCTAGTGAAAAAGGCCGCACGCTCCTTGAACAGCGTCATTGACAAAAACAGACTAAAGTCGATCTTGAACGCCCCAGGAGTTCTTTGGACATTTGTTCGCGTCTTGAAATGTGGTTTACACTTGTCTTTGCTGGCCTTCCATCTGAATTTGCAGAATTCGAAGAAAAGAGAATGCCGACAACGCCGGCGCTAAGAAGACAGCCGGTATCACGTTAGGCGGCTTTCACAGCCCGTCAATGTCTAAAACTGGTCATCATGGGCTGCATTCTCTTGTAAAATAACTCGGAAAAACGACGCAAACGTTGTGTGGTGCAATGGTGGACGAAATGCTGTTCTTCACAGACAGTTATATTGCACGCGACAGGCATATGTAGCGCTCTGCGTCGACCTTCCATTGATCACATGGACAGTTTTGATGTCAGGTTGTCACCAGCTCCTCTCTTCCCGACCCCTCCACCACGACTCTTTGAGTCCCTTCCATTCGTTTGCCATGAAAGCCCTCCACGTCTTTGTTGCTCTCACGCTTCTGGCTTGTGATGCTCTCGCATCCCAGCACAACGTTGCACGCCACCATTCTCGCCAGACTACCGGTCTGGCGCGAAGAGCCAACCGCAGGAACTCTTGCAAGGCTCCAGTCTCTTCAAAGACCCCCACCACTTCTACGCAGCCCCCAGCTAGCACCCCGAAGCAGTCGAACGGCAATCAGTCGAACGGCAACCAGTCGAACGGCAACCAGTCGAACGGCAACCAGTCGAACGACAACAAGAACAACGGGAACGGTAATAACAACAACAATAACGACAACAAGTCGAGCAATCCCGTGAAGAGTGTCCAGGCCGCCGCTGGCTTCACTCCCAATGGCAAGAAGGCCGGCACGTCTTCTGGCAATGCCCTTTCCACCCTCGACTCGCATATTGGCTGGTGGTACGATTGGTCCCCTAACCCAAGCAAGCAGGGCCAGGCCATGCCAGTTCCCATGCTTTGGGGTGGTGGAAACGCGGACGGCACCGACGCTTCCCGTTTGGCCAAGTTCAAGACCATCTCACAGGCGCCACAATACATGCTCGGCTTTGAAGAGCCCGATTGTGCAGCTGGCGGAGGTTCTGCTGGCATGTCTGTCTCTGAGGGCGTATCCAAATGGGAGCAATATATTGCTCCCTTCAAGGCCAAGGGCACTAAGCTCGGCAGCCCTTCCATGTGCCGTATGTTTTTTCTTCTATTTCACAGTCTTGAGCTGATTTTCCTCGCAGACCAAGCTGCTGAGACTTGGTTGAAGCAATTCTCCAAGCAGATCTCCACTGACTGGGACTTCACTAACATCCACGTCAACAAGAATAACATGGCTGGTGTCCGCGCTGACCTGGTATGAGTTTTGTGTTGTCTACCCGCGTTTTATCATTGCTCAATCGGCTTAGGATCACTATGCTTCGTACGGCAAGCCCATCTGGGTTTCCGAGTTCGCCTGCGTTGATGGTATGCCTCTTTTAGCTGTCAGTTTTTATCGCTCATATTTTTGTGCAGACTCTACTGGCTTTGAGCCTTGCACGGACCAGGGTCAAATCAACAAGTTCATCAGCGACATTGTTGACCTCTTCGAGTCGGACGGCCGTGTCGCTGCTTACGCCTACAGCAACGGTATGGGCCTTGGAAACGTCTGGCCCATGACGACTAGTTCGGGTGCCCTCTCGTGCGTCCATTTCTCTCTTTGCGTCTTATTTACTGATTTATTTTACTCAGCGCGTCCGGCAAGGCTTACTTGGCTGCCATCTCCAAGTACCACTAGAGATTTGTTGTACCTTTCCCGCCACCTGGAATGACACGAGTCTGGCCGGCCGGCTCGTTGTGGCGACCTGCTAGCCCGGATCGTACATATTACTTAGGTGCATTACTTACCATCCGATATCTATACCCTCCCACATATACTTTCTTTTCAACCCTGTTGTTGCTGCTGTTACTCACTGGAGAGCTTTCTGTCGTTCGATTACTAATTGGGCACTTGCGCTGAGCAATTTAATCGGCTGCTTTGATGGTTTAGCAGCTTGATGAATCAACTCATCTGCACATGAAGATCCCGTCGAAGTTGCTCATCAGCATGCTGTTGCGCTTGCCATATTCAGTCGGCGGTGTATTCCAGAGAGATAAGTAGAGTACAACAAAGGTAACCTATGGAATTAGAGGAGATATCATAAGGTCAGAGTCAGTCAATTCACTTGCGTAGCAGTTTCTCGTGCAACTCTGCTGTCTTGAGCTTGGCACGTAGATACTCCAGTCGCGCCTCGCACCGCCCAACGACCTCAGTCCTCCGCCGCCTGACATCGGCAAGTTCCTCGCCACCCTCGTCCGGGGTAGGGCTTTTCAGAAGCTCCATCATTGTGGTCGCATTTGGACTAGCTGGCGAGGGCGGAACAGGGGGCAGCGGGAGATGGGAGGTGCTTCGGGAGATTGAGCTACTCCTGCTGAGCCCATTTGACCGTCCCACGCTAAGGAAAGAGGGCTGTGAAGACGAGAGCGATGACAGCGAGCCTTTCCTACGAAGGGCTGATATTCTGTTGCCCCACGAAGAAGACTGCGAAGGAGGAGTTGATTGGGACAACGGAGGAGGCGGAGTGGGATTGTTGTGTTTGCTGGCAAACAACGACGCGGTCGATTTAGTTGTGCGAAGGGAAGTGCTTGATCGCACAGACTGGCCGTCTATATTCCGCTGAGAATTAGAACGGGCGCGATGGTGATTGACATTCCCGTGTGCTATTATGGGTGGGCGGCGAGAAGGCGTGCTGTTGAGATTGGAGCTCGACCCAGACCGATTGCGGTGGGGGTGTTCTTGCCGATAGCGGATGACTGCACTGGTTTCGAGGTCGTTGAATGCCGCTACGAGCCGTCTGCTGTCTGCCTCGACTGCTGAGATGGCTTTGCGGATGGCGTCAGATGTGTGAAGATTCTCGTCGTCGAAAATGTCATTACTCCCGCCAGGCACAACGTCGTATCTGGAGGGTGTCGCTGGAAAGGCTGAACGTGACGGGGAAGTAGGCAGCGTGTCGAAATAGGATCGGGTGGGCGAGCTGCGGAAATTGGGTGATGACGGTGACAGCGATATTGACCCTGATATCTTGCGAGATGACTGAGTTCTCCTAGAGCCACTGCTGGTGCGAGGGACGGAGGACTCTGTGTCTGATGAGGAGACATCTTCGTGTTTCTTGGAAAAAAGACGGGGCATGCTCAGTTTAATTACTGGCGAGGAAGGTGGGGTTGCTGCTTTGCGGCCTGTCGCGCGCCGAAGAAATTCGCTCATCTTGGATCGGGCCACCGGTTGCTGCTGCCGGGGACTTGGAGCAGGGGTAGGGTCCATAAGCTCCACATGCTTTCGTCGGGGGGCTACAAGTAAGTCAAATGGGGAGGCATGAATTCACAGCCATAGCTTACACTTCACGACTGGTGGCGAAGAGCTGATAATGTCAACACCCGTTGTGTAGCGTTCAAAGAGGTTTTGCCTCAGGATACGGTACTCATCGTCGCTAGGAGTTGTAAGCAAGGGTAGCTAGGAGGAGGCAGTATTAGTCGGTAGCAAGGTATGAGACTGACTTGAGGAGACCGTCTGAGTTTGCCACTGCGAGCTCGTTCAGTTTGGCAGCGAGCGGGTCCATGGAGTAGCCAGAAAAGGAGCGGGGCAGTACATCTGGTCCCTAAGTATAGGATCAAGTTATCACTGTTGTGTTTTGGAAGAAGGAGCTGATCTTCCAAGGTCATATCACGCGTCCATCCTTCTTCCTTCCTCCATCATCATGTCAAAGCCAAAGGCCAACATTCTCAATCCCAGGACGACAACATACGAATTCCTCGGTCCTCCTGGTGCCTTTCTAATCACCGTCGGGGTCCCCTTCGCCACCTACGCACTTTACTTTGGCTGCTCTGAACAGGCTGGTGGTTGTCCACCAGCTCTAGTTCCCGACCGCGCTCTTCTTGCGTTGCAAGACCCAGCTTGGTGGAAAGCCCTTTGGGACCCCCAGGCCTTCTTAATCTACCTGGGTTGGTACGCGTTTTGTCTCGTTTCTTGGGCTGTTTTGCCTGGAGACATCGTGCAAGGCACGACTCTCCGCATCGGTGGAAAAAAGAATTATAAAATCAATGGTACGATCTTCATTCAATCGCGCGACTCGCCGCAGCACTCACACCGCCTTTCAGCTTTCAGCACATTCCTGCTGGCATTGGGTCTCACTTGTGGCACCATATACCGTTATGGACCGGAGTCGTTCACGTTCCTTCACGACAAGTTCATCGGATTCGTGACTGCGGCCATGATTATGTCTCTTGTCCAAGCTGTCGCGTGTTATGCTGCCTCTTTCCGCTCTGGTGCGCTCCTTGCTCTCGGTGGCAACTCTGGCAACCCCATCTATGATGTGAGCAAACATGGTTTTTGCCTAATTATAGGCTTTGACGTACTTCCTTAGTTCTTCATCGGTCGCGAGTTAAACCCCTTCTCTTATGGCGCATTTGACCTCAAGACATTCAATGAACTCCGTCCCGGACTCATGCTCTGGGTCCTCATTGACATTAGCATGATTTGCGAACAGGCCACTCGTCGCGGCGGCTTCTCCCAAGTCACGGATTCCTTGTGGCTCGTGCTCCTCTTCCAGAGCTGGTATGTTGGGGATGCGCTCTTCAACGAGGTGAGTCTCAATCATCCTTATACTCAATGGGTCACTCAAAAAAATAATGTAGCCCGCGATTTTCACCCAAATGGACATCACATCCGACGGATTTGGCTTCATGTTGGCAGTTGGCGATCTCGCATGGGTGCCTTTCGTTTACTGTCTCCAAGCCCGCTACCTCGTCTTCACTCCGAACGAATTGGGTCCCGTTTACACGGCCATCACCCTTGTCGTGAACTTCGTGGGATACTATATCTTCAGAGAGGCAAACGGAGAGAAGAATGATTTCAGGAATGGCAAGAACCCCAAGAGTAGGTGTCCTCTTTGTCTTGACTGTTAATGTCTAAGCAAATGTTGTCTAGATTTGCAGTACTTCACGACCGAGTCCGGCTCCAAGCTTCTGACCTCTGGATGGTGGGGTCGTTCTCGCCATCCCAACTACTTGTATGTCATCCTTGTCTTCCTATGCGGAAACGCACTCATCTTCGCGTAGCGGCGACCTCCTCATGGCCTTCGCATGGTCCCTGCCTACCGGCTTTGTTACTCCCATAACCTACTTCTACATCGTCTATTTCACGGTCCTTCTCATCCACAGGCAGCGTCGCGATGACCACATGTGTAAAATCAAGTGCGTTGTTTCTCGACTTTTTTCGTGTGATGTATATTTCCCAGGTATGGCAAGGATTGGGAGAAGTACCAGAAGCTTGTCCCGTACAGAATCATACCCTACGTGTATTAAACGCAGTTGGCACGAATGGACTTGGACTTGTTGGCCTATCGTTTTCGCGCTCACGTGTTGCCTCATCTTGATCGGGAGCGGGCGTGGCCACTTGCGGCTCCTGGACTGCTTTACAGTAAGACACTGCCCGTCGGTTATGCACTGGATTCGGAGCAGAATTTGCTCCTGATGCCTGGGTTCAACCTTCCTTGCCCCAATGGCATCGTTACCCATGATGAGGGCTTGACATTCCCGTTCTGACCAGCTGCATATAGGCGCATTTAGACGTCGACGCTGTTTGGGTGTAGATCCATATCTGACATTGACCATGCTCAATATCTTTCCCAAGCTACCAAAATAACAGCGGCCACTCCCAACGGTGTGCTTCTATGACTTTTCTCCTGTTCACTGTACCTTGTGGGGAGTGGTTCTCGTCCCCGGAATGGCTGCCGGGCGGGAGTATTTGCTGGTGATACATCTAGGGTTTCAGAGTCTATCTAATCTGCAATTGGACCCAGTCTGTAGCTTCCGCGGTTTGAACAGCTGTAAAGAGCCGGTAACGCCGTAACACAGCGCTGGAAGGGCGGAACCAAATGTGGGAGGAGTGGAAGCAATCCGCACCACACCTGCCGTGCAATCACCGTTATCAAGAATACCATGTCACGGTCCGGATTTCCGTCATATCGGGCTTTGTGAATCGTAGACACCTAGTACTACTAGCCTTAGGCGTTTTTGAGCTTGCGAGTTTGTTTCTTTTGAGAGGTGGATCAATTTCATGAAGCTTGGTCACCGCCGTGTGAGATGCATCACACGAGTTGAGGTGTCATGACGGATATTTGGCGTTCACGGTTACGGTCTTGCTGTGCCTTGCTCTTTGCTCTTCCTCTTGATGACATGCGACTACTCCGACTCGTATTTCTCGGAATTCCCCCTCCTCGTAGTTGCCGGAGAAGGCCGTCTGGTTCGTTATCTAACCTTTCACCTCTGCAACCCGTTGATGGAACCATCCCGACAGCCCTCGACTGATGTCGTACGTTTGCTCGCGTCTATCCCCCTGCGACTACACTCAAAGACAATGGAACTACTTAGCTCAACGACTCCAACGGTCGCGGTCCATGCGAAATGCGCAGCAAGTATCTCAACGACTGTACTGTTAAACGACGAGGTCCTTTCAATGCTCTTTCTTCTCCGCGCCTAAAACATTGTCTAGACGACACTGACACGAAGGACACGCCAATAACGCCATGCACTTGCACAAATCTCTACTTCAACCTCTGGAGCGCCTGCATTTTCGTTCAAAACCACTTGGACAACACTACCCTTCCGTCATGCGAGGCGCTTGTCCAGAATTGCACTCGCGAGGCGCATACGATTGTCAACTGGAACAAGACTGCAGACTGGGGCTACCCGGGCTGGGTTTTCGCGAAGATCCCGTCAAATGGTACCTTCGATATCGCAGCCGCAATCGAAGGTGAGTAGTGCATGGTCATGGACTGCCTTTCCTTCTTGACGTTCGTCTGTAGCTTCAACACCGCCCTCACACAAATGGACCATCATCCAAATTGTTGTCCCCATCCTTGCCGGCCTTACCGTGGCTGTGATCCTGCTCGTTATATTCATCATCTATCGTCGACGGAAACGCGCTAATAAAAACCGGCCGTGGATGCAAACGACGGGAAATAGAGCCCGCTTCAACTTCCCTTCACTTAGCCAAGCTGTCAAAGTTCGCGAGCTTGATCGGAGCGAGTCTTGGAGCATCGAAGAGGCAGAAGAGCCTCTGCAGGAATACCAGTTCGTTTCGTACCCAAATTCACTACAAGGATCGCATGCGAGTGGTCATGTTCGGCTGTCGTCCTCGTCATCTGGCACCCACCCGCCACCGCTTTCAATCACGACTGGAAAGGCAGTACCGGCACGTGCTTCGCCGGGGCGAGGTTTGTGGTATGGGGTTTCTTCGCAGACAAGGCGGCTGCTGGACAGCGTACCTTTTCCCTGGAGGGCGGCTAAACGGGTGCATGTCAAGAATGTGGGCTCGTATGGTCGGTTTAGGGTTGACGCGGCAGACTCGGACTCCCCGTTGAGTCGGCGGAACCATGAAGGCGTGGTTGGAAGAAATGAATCGAATCTGCGGAACGAAACAATTTTTGAACAAGATAATAGTGACGACGAGGCGGAGGGATTGCTTCTGATGCCGCAACAACCACCTCAAAATGCCGCTGCTAATGCGCCATATGAGGATCCGTTTTCGCCACACACTGCAGCGCGGCCTCGTCAGATACCTCCGTCCTCCTCACCACCGCGAATACCCTTGCCCTTACCCCCACCGCAACCCTCACCGGTGAGTTGATCAATGTTGTGTTGTGTCTGTTATCTGATGGCCCAGCAGCAACCTGCTCCGAAATCCGCGTCAAAATCAAATGTAAGAGCATTCCGTTCCGCTTGTTTGTTGTCCAAGTGTTAATATTCATGGCAGCGCTCGGTACCCACCTTCCCACCGGCGCCGACTTCACCTCCGCCTCCGCCCCCGCCTATCAATCGGTCATCTCCTCGTGCACAACGCGGAGTTCTACCTTCCACCAGACCTCCGCCACTCCCATTATCGACAAGTCACGAAAGAAGCGACAGTGCCTCTATACGGTCACTTCCACGACAACCACATGCACGCACCAACTCAGACAGCTCATCTATTCGCTCATTACCCATGACACCGACTCCCCCATATGCTCGTGGGACCAGCCAGCAGCAGCAACAGCAGCAGCCAGTCGCATCACCAGGAAGCGATTCAACGTTCACCCCGCCCAATTCTGCTCCCCCATATGTACAACGGCCATCGCTGGATTTGTCCCATTCACCTCGGGTCCCTTCAAGACCGCTTCCGAGCGCCAACTCGAGCAGCGAACGGACGATGCGTAGGCTACCCCGGCCGCCGGGCTGATGTTGGTTGTAGTATTTACTGACGGACCATTTACTCTTGTACATACTTAGTTGCTATAATGAACGGGAATTCGAAAAAGGCGATTTGCCTGTTTACTTATGACAGACACCGACGGAGACGGATGAAGCTGGCGTCGGGTATCTTGCTTTCTTGCCCAAAATCATTTTAGCCACAAATATATCTCCATGGGTCTTTTGCTTGCTTTATTGAAAGGTGCGAATCGGTCCGCGGCATTTGTTGAGGAGAGTCGCAAGTTGGTCGCAAGAGACAAAGAAACACCGAAGCAGGATGGCTCTTATCGTAATGGCGCTTCTTGTCGGCATGGATGAGGAGCAAGTTCTGTTGTTTCTGTCTCTAGATTTACACACACATCATCAATCTTCGCTACTCTCAGCCTCAGGGTTAGCCTGACCAGGGAAAAGTTGGTAAACGAGCCAAGGCAAGGCAAATTTGACCGTACCTGATGGCCACCCAGCTCCGTTTCTAGACCATTATAGGGGTATTCACGCGGGACGACTGGCTTTTCTGGGACGAGAAACGCGCGCATGAAAGTGCCAACGAGGACAAATCCGCCAGCTACACCTAGGAACTGCCGCAATGCGCTTTGGGGCGGGACCACAGGGATATCAGGGCCCCACATTGAATTCACTTCTTCATGATGATGGACCTGTAGACCGCGGAGTGAGACACTTTTTTGGCCCGTTTCCTCTGTTTCCTCACTGTGTCATTGAAGTTGCGTCGCAGTAGCTGGTCGTCCCAGCCACGTGGTGGTCGGTATTGGTGTGATGCGGAACCGTCGGTGGGTAATTCTGGGTAGCCGTTATACTGGGTATGGGGCTCGACAGGGCGGGCATAGGCGCGTGCAAGGGCGGGAGCGCGCCCGCACTGACGGCGAACAAGAGGATACATAATGTGACGCAGACGTGATGGCATCATTTTTCCTTCTCGCTTACATAGGGGCCCACCTCTTTTTAACGCATCCCGTCCAATGGCTTAGTCCGTACATTTAAGCGGTCCGACCCTTCCAGGAAAAGTTTCCCTTCTTTTCTCTCTGCAAAAGTCCTCCCTTTTCCATGACTGCATCAGCGCCGGCGCCCTTTGGCTCTGCCCCCCAGAATGCGCAAAAGGAGGTCCAGGCTGTCCTGCTCAAGCAGCGGCCGAGTCGGCGAAGGATTGGCGACGTGCCATTTCCGATGAGGAGATACTCGTCCGAGCTCGTTAATTAGTACGCGTTTATCAGCTCAAGTCTTACGCGTTTTCTTACCTACTCGTCGTGAACAGTGACAACTGGGACCAAATGTTCTTCAAGAGCTGCTATGGTGGAATTACTGCACACAAATTCGAGCCCGAAAACCCTCCGCAGGTTATTCTCGACCTCGGGTGTGGTGGAGGGAACTGGGCAATTGAGGCCGCGAGGCAATGGCCGGTGAGTGGGGCAGACAGAATGCTCAATGACTGGACCTGACTGACGCATGCGAGTTAGGATGCCCATGTCATTGGCTTCGATCTCTTCGAGACGCAGCCCCGGCTTATGGAGCTCGATGCCTTCTATATGCGTTGCCTGGAAGATGTCGGCCAACCAGTCAAGTCGTTACCTATCGCGAACGAGCTCGGAACAGCCCGCATTGAATGGGTACACGGAAACATGTCCGCTTTTCACGCGTCTGTTGTTGTTGCATCTTGCCGCTTACGCCGCGTTTTCTGTTTAGGCTCGATGGCCTTCCTTTTCCTTCAGACTACTTCGACTTTGTCCACATTGCCAACATCGGCCTCGGGGTGCCCGAAGACGAGGTAAGCAGTTGTTAGTTGCACTTTTGCAAAGCTTAAAGTCTTTTTTAACAGTGGCAGTTTGTGCTTGAGGTATGGCATCTCAATAGAGGTTTCCGGCATTGATCTCTGAACGCATGTGCAGGAAGTTTGTCGTATACTCCAGCCGAGCGGCATCCTAGAGGTTAGCCATCGCTTTCCCGAATTAATACCAACACCAACTGATTTGTTTTTTGCGTATAGATTGTTGAAGAGGATCTTATATTCCCCTGTGCCCCCCCCTCATGCTTCTCGACCGCGTCAGAGTCTGGCGCCACTAAATCTTGATTTCACCCGCCGTGATCGACGCGATTCGTCCACCCCTCCAAGCGCGTTTTCTAGTCGAACAAGTTCGACACTATTTTCTGATCTCTGGAGTTTGCCCGACTCGATTAGTCCAGATGATACCCCTCTCCAAAAGAAACCGAGTCTGCCGACCCTGCCCGAGGGATTCACCGACAACTCGCGTAACTCAATACCCTTCGATGTGGACGCTACCCTGACCCGCCGCGATACCCTGTTCCAAAACGATTTGGACTCGATGATACCGCAAACAACCGACTCCGGGCAGCACCCACAGGACCACCAGCGGTTAAAATCAGCCTGGGAGTCGATGCTTTCCCGCCGTTTCCTGGCGTCCAGCGTCACCACCGTGCTTCCATTCTACCTCTCGTCGTTCTTCGAGAATGTGCAGAGCCACCCTGCGGTGCATATCCCACTTCCACAGGGCTCGATGGGGCCTGATCCAGATTCACGGAGTAGCGGAGAGTCGTTTGATGCCGACCTGTTTGATCTGGCCCCGTCGAGCAAGCGGCTGGCTGACCCCGATATGCGGTCGATAAAGTCCCGCTCAACGGGCTCGTCACAGCGTATTGTCCATTCGTGGGGCCGGATGCATCTTGGCAAGGCAGTGGCGACAGTCTCTGCCTGTAAAGAGGCACTGTGGGCAGAGTATCAAAAACTCTATCCCAATGACCTGCCGCCGACGCTGCAAACAAAAACAGCACGCCCGAGTGGCGTGAACAAGCTGCGTGCCCTGAAACATTCGCCGAGAGAGGCGTTTGAGACGGACTGGAGCAACTGGGAGAAGTGAGTTGTTTTTTTTTTCTCCTTACCTTGAAATCTAATCTAAACGCTCAACAGTGACATGGCTGACCGAATGTCGATGCGCGCGACCGTGCATTCCGAGTTTGGCTGGAAGCAGCCCGAGCCGTCACCCGAGGCGCGCACATGGAAAAATCATGTGATGTATCACCGCGAGGAGGGGGCCACGACGGGGACGCGGTCGAATCCAGAACTGTGTCGCCTGGTCCGTGCGTTTGTCGGCTGGAAACCCGCGGCGGAAGAGTGATCTGGAGTCATTTTTACACTGTACATCTACTCATTATTCTAACATGTAGGATTTTATTACCGTAGCATAGCATAGCACACTGGAACACGCAGGATTGCTGAATTGAAACTTTTGACCTTTTCGGGAGCGAAAACCTGTCATTTCCAAATTGGGACATGTGCGCGTCCGACTCAAAGTGCCTCTTACCACAACCACCACAACCCACATCGCTCGTTGTTATCGCTATCCTCCATGTCTGACACCGAAAAGGCGGCTGCCCCCGCTGCGGCTGCGCCTGCCGCGGACAAGAAGCCTGTTTCGTCGCTCGAGACCGATCTGACCAAGTACAAGGTGGGCCTTTTTACCCTCAAGACATTATAAACGCTTACTAACTATTCCCCAGACTGCGGCAGACATCGTGCAGAGCGTGACGAAGAAGCTGATCGAGCTGGCGGTCGAGGGCGCCAAGGTGATCGACCTGTGCATCGAGGGCGACAAGCTGCTCGAGGCGGGCACGGCTGCAGTGTACAACAAGGCCGTCAAGGGCGTCAAGGTCACCAAGGGTGAGTAGCCCACCCCGATCTTCTTCTTTTTCAACTGAAGAACACAAAAAAAGGAATCGCATTCCCGACTTGTATCTCGGTTAACAACTGTGTCGCGCACTTTTCCCCGCTCGCGTGCGTGGTTGGCTTATAAGCTATTACTCTAACGTCTAATAATGGCTATTTCCAGATCTGATGCGCAATCGTCGCAAGTGCTGGCCAAGGACGACATGGTCAAGATCCACATCGGGGCGCACATCGACGGATTCGCTGCCGTCGCGGCGGAGACGATCGTGGTTGGCGCGTCGGCGGAGAGTCCCGTGACCGGACGGCGGGCAGACGTGCTGAAAGCGGCATGGCACGCAGCAGAGATCGCGATGCGCAACGTCAAAGCGGGCAACAAGAACTGGGCAGTCACAGATGCCGTCCAGAAAATAACGGGCACCTGGGACTGCAAGCCTGTCGAAGGTGTGTGGCATTTTTTTTTTTTACTCAGGGAAAATAATAAATGGTGATTAGGAATGCTCTCGTGCCAACAAGGGCAGAACCAGATTGACGGCAAGAAGCGCGTTATTCTGAACCCCAACGAGGCCCAGAAACGCGATACGGAGACTGCCACATTTGCGGAGGGCGAGGTGTGGGGAATCGACATCCTTGTCTCGTCAGGTGACGACGGCAAGGCGCGGGTAGAAGAGGCGCGGACATCGGTCTACCAACGCGACTCGCAGGTGACCTACCAGCTCAAAATGAAAAACTCACGTGCGGTCTTCTCGGAGGTGCAGAAGAAGGCTGGCGCGTTCCCGTTCAACATCCGCTCGCTGGAAGACGAGAAGCGGTCGCGGATGGGCTTGCAGGAGGCGGTCCAGCACGGACTGGTCAAGCCGTATGAAGTCATGTCAGTGGGTTTTCCTTGATTTGTAATCTTATCTCAAATCACAACCCAGCTACACACCGACGAATACGTTTGTCGCTGCCTTCCACTTCACGATCGCCTTGCTACCCGGCGGGCCATCGCTGATCACCCACCCGCCTGCGTGGTACAAGCCCGAGCTGGTCAAGACAGAGAAGGAGCTCGAGGACGAAGAGTTCAAGTCGCTCCTTGCACGAAACCTCCGCGAGAGCAAGAAGAAGAAAAAGGCAAAGACGGACGGCGCGGAGAAGGACGAGTGAATATAAAGAAAGCTGTTTTTTTTTTGTATACGTAGGAAAACCCAAACGAAATGTTTATTCACTTTTTGTCTGCGCGCTCGCCAAATTGCTGAATAGTCCGCACGACAAGGTCGACGTTCTCGAGAAAGGCGTTCACAGTCAGTCGCGCCAGGCGTACAGTCAGCGTCTCGAATGTCCTATCCACTCGTTATTAGCCAATTATAATGACGTCTTTTTGAATCTCACGCGATCAGTACATCGCCCTCGACAGTTATCGTGCGCTTAACCGCGTGTGGCTGGAGCTCTGGATCGACCTCGATAACCTGCCTTGCAATGTCCGCATCTTTACCCGATGCGAACGGTATTCGAACAGTTCTTGCAAAGAGAAAAATCAGTCTTGGCTTCCGTGCTATCTTAGGCTCACATCGTATGCCACTCCGAATCAGCCATGGTGGTCAAGATCAAGCTGTGACGCTGGTGGTATATATTCCGCAAGTAAGGTGGTGGAAACAAGATATATTGGGACAATGCGATTTAAAAAAGGGAGGAGTTGCACTGATTGACCAGCTCGCCTCACTTCTTGGAGACGATGTTACAATCGAGCTCAAAGAAATTTAGTCTACACCCCTATAGAACCAGAAAGAGGCAAGATTACCCGCGAACGGATTGAACACAGAATAACGATAGGAAAAAAGACGTCTTGTTGGTATGGCGGGTGGGTATCGTGATTATAGCATCAGTGCGGCAGCGAAAACTGCGCTAAGGGCCATGACGGGGTTCATGCGGAGGACAGAAGCACCGCTGGTCGCTCCAAGAGCGCCAGCAACGCCGGGGTTCTTGTCGTCATCCCCGCTGGCAGCTGCACCACCGGGAACTCCGGCTCCAGCAGCTTGGACGGGGTTGGAGGGAATGGAAGGGGCAGCGGGAGCCGACGACCTAAAAAATGTCAGGTACCAAATAAACAAAACAGTCAGGGGTGAACATACGCAGGTTTGGAGGCGCTTGACGAGGGAGCAGCAGCACCCTTGAGGCAGGACACATCGGAGCTCTTGCCAACGACGATCTGGACAAGAAGTTGTAAATCTAGGTTTCTTGGCACGAAAAAAAAACCAAAACTTACAGCACCGGACCATGCCTCCTCCTCGTTTTTGTCCTCCAACGAGAGCATGAGGGTCGAGCCGGCAGGGAAGTCGACGGTCCAGTGGATGCTGTTGCCAGCGTGGTCGCCAAGGTCGGCACTGCCATTCCACAAGTCAGCGCCTGGATGTCAACCCGCCAAACAAGGGAGCAACTGACAGGATATCACCGCATGGGGCGGTCGAGTTCACAACGACGAGGTTGTAGGGACCGTTTCCGCCGCTCCAGGAGAGTTTGGCAGAGGCGCACTAGAGTTTGTCAAAAAACGGTATTGAATGGCCGGTTGCCATTGTGCTAACCTGGGTCAATTGGGGGGTTTCGATATTGAAGGCAGCGAGTGCGGGGGCAGCAACGAGCGCGAGGGTAAGGAGTGTGGCGAACATGTTATCGCAGTGGAGGGCGGACGACGAAGGCCTTGGGGGGAGGTGGTCGTAGAAGGGAAGAGGGAAGGGATGATGAGATGGTCACAGCAAGTCACACCAACAAAATCTCCTGATCTTGGCACGTTTCAAAAAACACTTGGACAGAGGCTTGGACAGCGAGACGACAAGACAGAAAGGTGCTACGGGTGCGCTACTGACTATTTATCCTCGACTGCAACCTACAGCTTGCCCTTGTAAGCCGCGAGGCGGGTCCGCTTGGAAATCCTGAGTTGGCATGTCAACCGTTAGGCCTGATGGAATGAGGGAAACGCGAGGAAAACACACCCTGAATGCTCGACCGCAGAGGGGGTCATTCTTGGGCCTTCGACAGCCTCTCGGTCATCGATGCGGACGTAATCCCGCCTCCCAGAACCGACATAAATCTGGCTTCCAAGTTAGCTAGCTACACGATCATGTTCTCCATGTGTTGCGCACCTGTCGCGGTCTCCAGATCTTGACACCTCCCGACTGCAACATCATCTGCACGCCTCGCCATCAATGATATGCCCCAAGCCCGTTCAACAACATACCTGCCGCCAGTGTGCCAACCATCCAACAACCCGCGGTACGACGAAGAGCACCGGGAAGTAATCGTTCGGGAAACCTATTATAGACCACTTTCAACTCACCTTTCTGCGGAAATCAAATGCACGTACCCATCGCACGATAAATTAGACCGCTGGAAACGTGGTTTCAGCACCAAGACTTGCCAAGAACGAGGCAAATATCTACGAACCTCCTGGATAAACATGAGGGAAAAATGCGAATGCAACATAACAAACACGAACCAGAAGTCTACATTTGGTGCTAATTTCCTCGACACGACTTGAACGCGAGTCAACGGATGTCAAAGAAGGAGCAAATAACACACAATAGTCGTCTTTCATGGCAGCATCGTGCAACGCCATCGCAGTCTCCAGCAATTGATCCTTTCCAGCGCTGTAGCAGGAAAAAATAAGTCAACATCTGTCTCAAGGAGCCGACATACATCCGGAACACTTCGTCGGCCGTTTTGCGCACTAAAAACGAGCGAGGATCTGACTGTCTAGCTATTAGTCAACACTGTCATCAAAACACCACCACATACCGTCTTGTAAACACTGGAATCTCCAATTAGAAAATACATCCCTTCATTGGTTCGCTCACCGATGTCCAAATCCAGACAATACTTTTTCGCGTTTTTTGACTGCCTCGATAAAGGCTGGGACGTTCTCGGGCCTCCCAGAATGTCAGCACGCATCCGGAATGGACTATGTAGAAAGATAATTTACTTTCCGATGCTTATGAGCATGCGAATAACGGCCTCGTTCGCACCGCCTGATCTCTTTCAGCGACTACTGTGACGACAGATGACAATTTGTACCATGCAGAGGTCCACTTGAGGTCTTTGTTAGTTATACAACCTGCCAGTCATTAACAACTTACTATAACGACGCGCAACCCGCACTATGAAGAGGTTAATGAAATCGTCTGCATCTAAGAACCGCAACCTACGCAACGGCAGAGAATGGATCAACAAGCGAACTCCCAACTTGCAATACCGATGATGCGCTAGCATTCATTTCGTGGTCTGCATGCAACAAGAAGAGCACATCAAGCGCCTTCTCGAGAACGGGATTCGGCTTATAGTTCTCCTGCCCGAGGTAGTCCATTTGATACAAGAAACTTGGGAAGAGTTTTCAACATCGAAAGCACTTGATTTGTGGAGAGCCAACTCACGATCCAGTGTAGCTCATGCCTGTGGGCGGGGTCACAAATTCTCTGCCTTGTCTGACACGGTATGCCATTCTAATGAGCCATTTTAGTTGCAAAAAGAGGAGTAGAGAGGATTGCGGACGCTGCCAGGGTTGTCGCTTTGCCGATCAGTCGATATATTTGCTTATCCATGACTGCTAGCGATGCAGGATCGCCCTTAGTGTACAGATTTTGGCCTAGAAAGACCGTTGAGCCAATTAAGATGGCCCACACGAGTTGGATTTACCTTGCAGAGAAGGATTTGCTTCTTGATAATAAGATCCCAAGTAAGCAAACGCGCTAGTGAGAATTGCCATTGGATGCGCGTCATAACTAGACGTGTGTTAATGGAGTTCTTCCTGCTTGAACATTCGCAACATACCGGAAGCTCCTGAAGAACTGCTCCGCATCGGCATGGACAATGGAGTGCTGGGCGATTTCATTGCTCCAGACTTCATATTGGGATTTGGTGGGAAGGGAGCCGTAGATGAGCAGGTATGCTGTAACGACATTAGATGTGAGCCAAATTGCCCCAAAAATAAATTGAATATCCTCACCAGTCTCGAGATGTGACGAGTGCAACGCGAGCTGCTCGATGGGATACCCCCTAAGAAGGTTATGAGAATGGGATCTCGAGAGTGAGTCCTATCCAACCTATAGCGCAAAACTCCAGCATCACCGTCGATGTAGGTTATTTGACTAGAATCGAATGAAAACGCGTCCAGTAAAGAGCCAGTACCATACCTGCGCAGTACAGCGGTGTTTAGGAAGCCTTGGTCAGCGACGCGCAGGCCTTTGTGAGTTTCATTCTCTTCCCGTTCTCCAGGAACCTTGTCCGCCTTTATTGCCTTGAAATCGACAGCCTTGACGGAGTTGTCGACAATAGGAATGCTATATTTCTTGCCGGTGCGGTTGTCGACGACAGAGAGAGTGCTAGAACCAAGTGGTGCAGCGTCTTTAGGGTTGCCCATGATAGTGGTCGGAGGCAAAAGTAGATGTTTGGTCCGACAGTGAGATTAGCCGGGTTTGTACGTAGCGGGTCCGTGCGCGTCACTCGCCGGCAAACACCTGCAAACACATGCCCTTGCAAACCCTGATTAGGTCACCAGAAAGGCTTTGCTCTTCTTGCGGAACCGCTTTTGAGTCGACAGCTTCCGCTAAAAGCTCAAACGCAACATGAACCTTTCTTCATTCCACTACCATGACAAGCCAAGTCACGGTTAGTGAACGCAGACCCATTCACGCGTCGACTCCAACAACACTCGCTTCTCCCTTCATCCTGGGTCCATTCGACCAGACTGCGGGTTTCGTGCCTATCCAAGTCGTCTGGCTCTATGAGGCGCAACAGGATAAAGAAGTCATCGCTATCGAGCGTCTTCAACGCGCCATAGAGCTCTTGCTCTCGTATTACCCCCATCTTACCGGTCGAATTCGAGTCGATTCCAAGTCTGGCCTCCGCCAAATTGTTAAATTCGAAGCCGGTGCTGAATTAGTGCTGGCCAACTGCAATGCTCGTCTCGATTCCTTCGATGACCCATCGCCTGGTCGTATCATGGCTTTGCCTGGCAAGGGAAACGCCCTCCTCCCGCCATTCGATCCAAACCCAGCCAATTGCGAGTCCCAGCCAATTATAGCTATCCAGCGTACTCGTTTCTCATGTGGCGCTGTCGCTCTCGGCATTCGAGGAGCACACACAATCTGTGATGGCGTTGGATATTTCCTACTTGTCCGCCATCTCGCTGAACTCTATCGTGGTCTATCGAGTTCAGACAAACCCACACTCTCCCGGCCCCCATATCTTGCACCGCTTGTGGCTGAACTCATTGGAGCACCGTCCCATGAGGAATCGAATTTCGAGCCAACCGTGTTGACAACCAAGCCACCACCGGGCCCTCCATACTCCCCTCCGCCATATCCTCCAGTCGGCCGCTTTCTGCGATTCACTCGCGATCATCTCGCCCGAATCAAGCAACTTGCAACTGAACCCGGCGGTAGTGGCTGGGTCAGCACACTCGACGCACTTACGGCCCATCTCTATCAAAGCGTATATCGTGCTCGCTTGAAGCTTTTTGCTCAAGACCCAAGCCTTGGCACCCTGTCCGCGCCAGATTTCTTGACCGCTGTCAACACCCGTGCCGGTCTCGGTATTTCCGATCCGGAATTGTACTTCCCCAACGCCATCTTTGCTGCCTTCATCACCGTCGAGCCGCCAGAACTCGAGCGTCTTGGCCTGCCCGACGGTCCCCTCTGGAAAACAGCCAAAGTCTTCCACGAACTCATCCGCTCTCCTGCTGTCAGCGACACTTCAGAAATAAACAACACCCTTCGCTGGATCGCGCGCCAGCCCGACCTGCGGGCCATCCAGAGCGGGCTGCGGTACGGAACAGGTAGCTTCATGTTCTCTGCTTGGAGCAAGTTGGAGTATATCGATCTTGAGTTTGACGAGGGCGTCAAACCGGTGCTTGCCTGCCCGCCCTTTACACTGAGTTCGACTCTGGATGGGTTGGCATACTCGTTGCCGCCAGAGCGTGGCGCAAAGGAGGGAGATATCGACGTGAATATGGCTCTGATAGAGCCGATGTGGCCAATTGTGACAAAAGAATTAGGTTTAGAGTAGTTCAAGGATATTGGTTGTGTAGTTAAACGGAAGGATTGTGCGACCAGATCAACGAGAACTCGAAGGCTTTGTGCAGGGTCGTCTCTGCTTAATGGTCACAAGGAATTTGCAAAAGGAGCAAAAGAAGATAGCAGCAACTCGCCTCGATCGAGTGACCTCGGGGTTATGGGCCCCGCGCGCTTCCATCTGCGCCATGCTGCTGGTAGCACTCGCGGTATTATAGGTCCAGGACCGCAATCCAAATCCGAATCTGACCCCAAGTAAGCTTGCATTTTAGTACGTACGGCAATTACGTTTAGTCAAGCAGTATTATCTACAGTAACACTAACAGTATTAGCTCTAAATGTAGGCTTCGGCTTGGGTCGTGGACGTAGTTGTGGCGGTTCAGCTGCAGGAGAATCGTCAACCATGCCTTCAAACTCAGATCCTTCTTCCTCCTCCTCTTGGTCTGCCCCGGACTTTTTCGCTCGTGACCTCGAACCACTCTGTGACTTTCCTCCACGCGTCGCTGAGACCTTAGATTTCGCTTTCGTGGCAGCTTTCCCTTTACCACCCTTGGCGGCACGTTTCTTCACGGGTGGATCATCTGCCTCCGTCCCCGTTGATTCATGGTCTTCGTCAACTGCAGGTGACTGAGAGCTCCGCTTTCGTTTTTTGCGCATATCAGAGACGACCTGCTGCAGTCGTTTACTAGCATACGCCTGTCGCTTCTTGGGAGCCACAGTCCCGCTTCCCGCGACGTCAAAGTAACCGTTCAGATTCCCTTGCTTGTTCAAGGCGCCGTCCTGGGAGCGTTTTCGCATCTTCTGGATAATGGGGAGGAGGAGCTGGTCGACTTTCTCTGTGCCCCAGCTAAGTTCCCCACGGAGGAAACTGCTCGTTGTGTTAAAGAAGGACACATAATCATTGCAAGGACATACTCCCTAAGTGCATCCAGGTCTGGCAGCCCCCATTTGAAACGTTCTTCAGACTCATCCACCGTGGGATGGTAATATGCGTCCCGCTATACGATAAGTGGTAAACAGATTTCTGGGGGATACGCGAGACTTACAACGAGAGGATTCGGCCATTCGGGTGGGAGGTACAAGGACTTGAATTTCTTTTTCTATGGAGCATGATTGGCAATCCGCAGATGAAAGTAATATCAGTAATTCTCACAAATCGCTTCCGAAACTTGGAATGGGTGTCCTCCGCCTTGTCTTTGCCAGACTGCACCTTCGTCCACCAATCCTTGAACTTGTGGAGGCCGTCATTTCCCGGGAACTCTCCCAATAGCTCCATAGCAACAACGGGCCCAACCCCTTGTAGACCCTCGACATAATCGCTCCCTAGCAAATAGGCCAGCCGAATCAAAGCGTCACGTTCGAGTCCCAATTCGCGGCTCAAGTCCGACATCAGGAAACACTCCACGGTCTTCGACTGGTTGAACATGTTCTTGTATACCCTCAGCCCGCCGAAAAGGAAAACATCAGAATCATCTGTGATGACGCCGTCGACGAGGCCCAACTGGACGAGTTCCGCACATTGAGCCTCTGCTTCCATTGGCGCAGTAATATATGGAATGCCGAATAGATTAAGCAGCATCTGCGAAAAACGTTTTGGTTAACAAAAAAAGTGAAAAAATTTGAACACCACTAACCATGATTTGTGACACCATTTGCTGATTTATATCGTCAGAGTCTCGAAGAGCTGCCCTTTTCTGCACGTTGAGAACATGTATCTCCTCGTCTATTTCCTTTTGCACGTCGTCGAGGTTCTTGCCTTGGACCTGGGACATGAACTCTGCAAAGCCACTCTCTTCCGCAACAGGATCCATTTCGTGAGCTGCATCCCAATTGTCGTGGACTGGTGATGGGGCACGAGGAGGCAAAACATCGATACCGGGAACATGAATTGGTGATGGAGAGCGAGACCAATCGCTTATCGGTTCCTCGACATCTGCAAGATCAACGTGTGACGTTGGAGGGGAAGCAGGGGGAGATAGACCGGAGTCCAAAGGTCGCAAGGATCCAACTTGTTGATCGCTTTGTTCAACACCGTCTTGCGGAGGAACGATATCGACCATGATTTCGTCTGAGACAACAGCTACGGGCTCAGAACCCTCCTCGAGCATCTTTGGCCCGTCAGATCCGTCGGTGGGTTGGAGGGGAATCTCAGAGTTATCATTCATTATGAGAACCTCGTCCATCTCCTCCTCAGAGCCGCTCAACTCTGAATGCCCCGAAACCATCGGAGATATCAGGGAATTGATTGGCTCAATATACCGCAGTGGCGCTGAGATTGGCCGTGGTTGAGGCGGCGGTGGAGCTAAGATTTTCTGAACCGGCGATTGCGCTGGTAAAGCTGTTGGTTCGATGGCTGGTGAATTTGTTGATAGCAGCGTCGGAGTCCCAAATGACGAGTCCCACGATTTTGCAGGTATTTTAGTGTCAGATAGAAGGAGTGCAGGTTGGCCAAAGTTCGATTGGGAGTCACGCGTAGGTGTAGCAACAGCCTTGATTTGAGTGTTAGTTGAAGGTGTTGGTGAATTTGGGATCGGATTACGTGTCGCGGCTGTTACAGGTGTTCTTACTGGCCCTGCATTGGCGATAGACAAAGCTGTTTCCAAGCGGTTGCCATGCATGAATTCATCGTCCAAGGATCGGTGCGGATTATGGGAGGAACCTGAGGAGACACGCTGAATGTTAGGGATCTCGTCCAGGGTAGATTTAGACGAAGAGGCTATAGCATTAACCCTATTGGGTCGATGGACAATAGGAAGAGCAGTTTGGGCTTGATCGAGCGACTCCTGAATTGCAAAAGCTAGCTGTTCATCATCTTCGTCATCATCAACGAGCATGGAAAAGGGATTCAGAGCTGGGTCGTCCTCTGGATCGAACAGTGGTTGCTTCGGCGGCCTCTGGCGCGTTTGCTTGGTATGTGGTTGCCTCTTTGCTATAGCTTCCAATGCCAACGAACGCTGATACTCCTGTAAATCTGCGTCCGGAACGCCTGCGACTGGTCTAATAATGCATGAATAAAACACACAAGTTGTTGATCAAAACCGACATTGCAACCTCCTCCATGTCGTCTTCACTGTCTTCCTCCAAAACTGTGTTATTAACGGCTTTGACGTTGTCATCTTGGTCAATTTCGATCGGTTTTTCTTTGGTACCGTCGTCTCTGATTCCCAGAATCCAGCCGCCGTCCTGCCCCTCGTTCTTGATGAGAAGATACTCCCTGTTGCGCTCGCTGGCAATGCGCACGGGAATGGTGAGATGTGCTTTGCCGATGCTGTCGGTGGTGGTGAGAAGTTGCTGCGTCAGAGTGTTGCGTTGGCGAAGATTGAGAATTTGTTGTTTAGAAAAGTCAAGGGGAGTGTGAGATTTCTGGAGCATATTCTGTAGACGCGCAAAGGAGGTTTGTCGGGATTTGAGACGTAGATCGCCAACAATTTCGTACTGTATTTCTGTGGGGAGTTCCCGAAAGGCAGGAGAAGTCACATCGAAGTCCTCGGGACGCATGTCTTCAATGAATGCTCGCAGCTCGTCTTCAGTGGCAAGTCGCGGGTCAGGAACAACAGCCCGTGTCGCCTTGGCGATGTTGGCTTCAAGATCTACATCTGGTAGACGATATGGGTCATGGTCGTAAAAGCGGGGTTTGGCTGGAGAAGCCATGGAAGGTTTGGCGGGCGAGGAGTTTGTCGCTCGAGACTTCGGTGCCGAGCCGTCAATATCTTCAAGGTAAACAGTGTTATCATCAAGCACAACCGGCCCAGAAGGGACTTTGCTGTTGGTTGGCCTTTGCTTTCTGTGATAGAGGTTCAGATAACATCAAGAAAGACATGCATTTAAGCTTACTGCTTCGCTTTAACTTGTTTCACAGCCTCGCGTCTCATTTGGGCTGCAAGGAGTTTTTCTGCGAGCTTCGCGTGGCTCGTCGCAGCGCCACTCTTCTTTTGCTTTCGTTCGTTCTAATGGGGAATCAGGCCCATGCACAAGCGAGAGAGAGAAGCTGATATGCATACGAGAGTATTTCTTTTCAAGGCAGGGGCGCCTCCATCGAACACAAAAACCGGTTTGATGCCGTAGAACAAAAGCTTTGCGATACGACGTAGAAACCCAAGGACATGGGCATTTGAGAGAGCCTTGCCGTCTTTGTCACGCATAGTCGCTTGGAATTGATAGATCCAGATACTTGAGTCGATGGCAAGAGTTTGGCCCTCGAGGGTTTCTAGCCTGGCTTATGTTTGGAGTCATTGAAGAAACAAAAGTCAGGGTCGTACATCACGGGACGACCAACAGGCCCGACGAGCTTCCAAAGAGACTTGACGCCCATGACAATTGCGAGTCCGAATGCAGTTCGCACCAGAACCACATAGACGCGTTTGTGGTAAGAAGAAGAGACTTGGTGTGACAGAAACACGGCGCCGATCGGCCAGATCGGCCACAACTATCCTTCCTTCCTTTCCCCTCATCCGCCGCTTATGGCGCTCAATAAACCGACCCGTTATTTGCTACTGGCATTAGGGATACTACTCTCCCTGCACTTCCTTCTTTCCGCCACACATGAGCCATATAGTAAGGCAACATCGTTGTCTTCGCTGAGTTCTGTCTGGACCAAGGACAAGCCAAAATACAGCGACACCGCAATTCCTGCTCATCCGGAGTTCGACCCCCCACCAAAGTGGGCAACGGGAGGAGTCGGAGGGGCTGCCAACGCAACAAGAGCGAACGCAACTTTTGTAATGCTTGCCCGCAACAGCGATGTCAATGGCGCTGTCCAGAGCATAAGGAGTATTGAGGACCGGTTCAATCGCGAGTATGGATACCCCTACGTCTTCCTTAACGAGGAGCCCTGGACAGACGAGTTCAAAAAGTAGGTCGCATACCTTGTCTTCTTCGGCCCAATTCTCACTTGTCCAGACGCATCTCCGTTCTCACCAAAGCCCCCATTGAGTTCGGTGTTATTCCGCATGACTGGTGGTTCCAGGTTCGCAAAGAATATACTGCTGCGCTCTTCATAGCTAAATATACCCATTAGCCGGACTGGATTGATGAGGAGCGTGCAACTCAAGGCCGCAAGAAAATGGAGGAACAAGGTATCATCTATGCGGGCAGTGTTTCCTACCGAAACATGTGCCGCTTTAACTCTGGGTTCTTCTTCAAACACGAAATGCTCTTGAAGTACAGGTGGTACTGGCGCATCGAGTTGGTCTCGTTTGATTCTCGCTTCTCTCTGCTCATGAGCTCCGTAGGCCCGATGTTATGTTCCACTGCACTCTTAACTTCGACCCCTTCGTCTATATGGAGAAGCAAAAGAAAACCTACGCATTTACCATTGCGCTCTATGAATGGGCTGCGACCATCCCAACGTTGTGGGATACAGTCAAGAGTGCGATTTGTGCTATCCCAGCGAATAGACCGCTGCTAACAGTTCTCTAGATTTCATCAAGGAGAACCCCACATATGTGGCAGCAAACAATGCCATGGGCTTCCTCAGCGAGAACAACGGTCATGACTTCAATATGTGTCATTGTAAGTGCGATAATTCGAGGTCGTCTATTTCCTGACACATATCAGTCTGGTCTAACTTTGAAATTGCCGACATGGACTTTTGGCGCGGAGAAATCTACACCAAGTTCTTCGAGTACTTGGACAAAACCGGTGGTTTCTACTATGAGGCTAGTTGCTCAGTTCCGGTTCTGTTTCTAGGGCTGATTATTCCTTAGCGTTGGGGTGATGCCCCTGTTCACTCGATTGCTGCTTCGATTTTCTTGCCCAAAGACAAGATCCATTTCTTCAATGAGATCGGTTTGCCTACTCTTTATCTGGCTCGATAGTTATTCTGACTTGTTCAAGGCTACGAGCATCCTCCCAATCAACATTGTCCCAAAGACGACGAGATCTGGAAGAAGGGAATGTGCGGCTGCGATCAAGGCAAAACACATGGTGAGTCCCTTGCTTGCTGAGGCCTCAAACTCTAATCGGTGTAGATTATGGCCCATACTCCTGTCAGCATCAATGGGACCGCATATTCCAGTAATTCCAGCCCCAAGGATCAATCGGCTCGTCGAGCCAATCCACGCTCTCTCCTTCCAACACGGCTGCTGCTGCGGGCAGCACATGGGCGATTCATCTTCCGTCGGAGCCTCATCGGCTTTGGCATTTCCGCAGACCTCCATAATTCCTTCCGGACCCGCTAGATTATATAGCTCCCTTTATCTGAGTGGATGTAGGACATATGTAGACTCACCGCAAAAGTAATCACCGATACCAACAGCCTGTGATGCTCAGTTGAATTTCGAGGGAGAGGAACTACAGCAAACGACACTCACCTGGAAGAACTGTTAGGATGAGTTCCAAGCTAGCATTGTCGACCTTTGATTACATCCACGGGACCTACTTTGGGCGCCTCGGGCGTGAAGACGAGCTGAAGGCTTTGTTTTTTGTGCCAGCGAAAGAGTTTAATTTCCCCGTCAGAGTCGATGGAGAGTATTGTTAACATGTACTAGCCTTGAAAACCATTCCAGAGCGCCGCTGTTTAAGAGGACTTACGCGTGGCCTTGGCTAAACCGTGCAAATGTTGAGTCGTAGGATCAACACCTATTCAAATGCCTGCTCAAGAGACATTAGGAGAAAGATATAGTTAGTCTTAAAGATACTGGTTTGCATCAAGGTATATGCCACTGTGTTTCCCTTTCCTCTCATTACAACTACAGCCTCTTCTGGTGTAAGGCATCCACTGCCGCATTCGTCCGCATTTGCAATGCATTCTGTCAAATGTTTGCACTGTGAGTAGACATGAACAGGGACGCGGCGCACCTCCATACTATATTTACCCTTGCGTCCGGATGGGCCGACTTCTAGATGCTTGCCTTGAGAGGAGTCAGAGTAGAGACCGGGCAAGGACAGACACAACACACCAGAAAGCACCAGGTCAAATTGCCTCTTTGCTTCAACCTCATCTCCGAGACATGCTACAAGCCGCCCATACTCGTAGTCTGCGAGTCTCGTTTCAAACCAGACCAACAAAGCCATGCGAAAACCATAACTTACGTGCATGGTAGACCAAGTGATGGTCCAGCTCGATCTTGGGCCCTTGGTCAAATACTGCTTGGAAGGCTGCCTTGGAGCGGGCTGCAGCATCGTCCTTCGTTATCCGGACAACGGATTCGGTTGCCGGTTCCACAATTGCATCCGGGTCCTGTTGAATAGTCAAGTCAAGTAAACCACAGAATAGTTTACTGACCGGGAAAGCGATGTACCTCAAACACACGCCCTCCAAGAAGCGTGCAAGGCAGTAGTCATCCCAATAAGCCCTCCTTTTATCTCCAGTATGGTACGTCTTCTCGGCATTCGGTTGATTTAGTTCCGACAGTAGTTGCTCGACCTCTGGCAGCATCTTCCCCTCAACCACTCGCCTGGGAGCATGGGCAATAGCGAGGAAGACATAGGAGATCTCCAGTGCGGCAAGGGCCAAATGGTTGCCTTGTTCAACAAACTTGCGCGCTTTCCGAGCAACGAATTTCTACGCAGCGTTGTTCAGTAGATGAGCGAAGGGCAAAACTCAACGGCGCACCTCAAGCGGAATGCTCTTCCCTGCGATCTTCTGTCTCAAGCCTGGAACCCGTTCCATGAGCTTGCGAGCTTCTTCCAAACGACCTTTCTCGTCGCCCTCTGAACCACTGGCGAGGAGGCATACCGCAACACCGTAAGTGTATATCGACTTGCTCCACTGGAGGACGAGTCATTAGCCATTCCATGGTAAGGGAACATTAACTCACTGTCGCCTCCTTCTCCAGATCCCTCCAGCAGCGCAGACTGGCCGCGGCATCCCCAAGAGCCAAATGCGCTATTGCCATCTCCCAAAACGATATATGATGAAGATTACGGTACTGTGTTTGAACCTCCATAGCCTTTGTGTAATAGGCGATGGCTTGTTGAGGCTGGGATCGTACCAAAGCAAGTCTACCAGCACCAAACAGGAAAAAAACGCCGTCCGGATAGCGCTTGAGGTTCCAGGCAACAATGCGGGAAGCCATAGGTACATCAACGCCGTCAAATGTGAAGGAAGATAAGACGAGGTGGAAGATGAGCAATGCCATGTCGCATATGGCTCTCCGAACGCCCTCCTGCTCAGTGGACATTGTCGGCGGCGTTTCTTCGTAGGTATGCCGGTTCTCCTCCGCATGATATTTCGATGCCCTTCCCCAGCCTCCAGCCCGATATAGAATCTCGAGAGCCTCTTCTCGGTCACCCGCATAACCGAACAGTTCGATTATATTGAGCAGGCGGCCGGGCAGGAGCGAAATGATGAGTGAGCTCATGCCAGCACCCAAATAGACACCTGAACGGAAATGAGGGTCGATCTTGGGGGATTCGGGGCCCCAGCGTGAGTCTGCTGTGGTTGATTTGTCGTTGGGAGACTTGGCTGCAAGCTCGGCGGCGTATTCAGCGTCAACAGCAAGAATATACTTGTAAAGGTTGCGGTAGATGTGAATGAGAGTGCGCATGTTGAGGCTGGAAAAGATCTCAGAGACGGGGGAGAGATAGGTTGAGCTAAACAACGCACGCTTCCTTTACAAATGCAAGCCAATCCCCAGAGTAGACGATCCCCAGAAGGGCCTGCAATAAGTTACTATGGCTGGCCAGAAAGCAGCGACAGCGCACCTTTTCAAACAGACTCTCAGCGTAGACAAGCTCGGCGTGTCTTTCCACATCCGTCATCGTCTTCACAAACCCGACACCCGTTGTGTTTAGGCTCGAGACACTACCAAAGCCGTCAGAACGTAGGGCCATGGGTCATATGCAAACGAACACGTATCCCGCAAGGCGCGAGGCTAGGTACGGCTGACGCTTTCGATGTTGTTGAGCAATGTGATTCCCCTGCTTGGTATGCTTGATAGCGTCGAGAAGATCCTGCGCAAGAATTAATGATACATTAGTGCCTATTGGCTACGGCGCACCTCGTCGCTGTAGGACATGAGTCCCTTGACGCATTGGATGAGTCCATAACCCGTCGCAAAGTACAACCGTTCCCTGTTGACCGGTAAGCTCATCATGTTATGGGATGGCAGAGACAGCGCGCTTTTTCGGGTCGCTTTCGTTGCAGTAGTCTTCCGACTCGTGCATATGGCTGGCAAGGAACAAGTCCAACGCGTAGGTGACCCCTGGCAAGTCGCCTAATGCTTCCTCAGCTTTGTATGGCGTTTTCACCGGTGGAGGGGAGGTGAAGATCGTGCGGTAAGAGGTCATGTCCATGTGGTGGTGCGACGTAGAGGGTTCAAGGAGTGAATACGGGTCGGCAGCACGGTGGAGCGCGGATGTGGGGTAAAAAGAGGGTAGCCTGACACTTACGGTATTGATTATCCCCGCATCCTTTATAACCCGTCACGCGCGTGACAGATTCTTTGACGACTTTGTCTTCCCCCTTCATGCTCTGCATGCTGGGTTACTACGGCCAATCTTGGGTTTCGATCTATACTACCACCGCAGCCGCCCGAGGTATGTTTGCTATGTGCTATCTGCTCAACTATCTTTTTCGTCTGACCTGCTCAATAGTAACCGCTCGTCTTCCAGACAACTTCGCGTCTTTCCCAAGCCTCGTCGTATATCTCGATGCACGACAACCTCTCGGTGGGCTACCACTCATCTCACTACTTATCCGTCGCCTAATATTTCCGCTGCAGCCGCCCCAGAAGAATCACTTTTTGTCTCGCCCGCCAGTCACTTGTTGTCTTCCGGCAAACTTCGCGTCTTGTTCGAGTCGCGTAGTACGTCTTGGTGCACGACAACCTCTCGGTCAGTTATCACTACTCTTACCGCTTATCCGTCGCCTAATCTTTCCCTCTACCCCCACAGCCGCCTGAGATGATTTTTTTTCTCTGACTCGCTCGCCAGTAACTTCTCGTCTTCCAGTCAACTTCGCGTCTTCCACAAGTCCCGTAGTACATCTCGATTCGCGACAAATTCTTGGTAGGTTATCCTTGACCGTTTATCCATTTTCTAATATTTACCTCTCATCCAGCCAGCCCCGGTGTTCTATAGTCATCCCGTTTGCGCCAGGCATGCGATCGTCAAGCCAGCCCATTTTGGGCAGGAGACTCGCTTGCAGACGTTCGTGCTGTTCTTTTCCTTCCCTCGGCTTAACTTACCTTTTGTATAGGCGTGATGCGTCTATTGCAAATCAATTACCCCAGGTCATCTCCATCCTCGGTCCTTCGAATCTTTTCTGTAGCCAAGACATAGAGAACATTGTACGGACGTCGATGCACCCAATATCACACTTTTGTTTGGTTGGGTAAACGAATTGCGTGTTAAATAATCCTACCGACAGGGGGGATTTGAGTGAGTACCCGTGATGTTGCCCAGCTGAGTGGTATTCCTAGAAGGACAACAAGCATAGTCTTAACTATACCGTTCAACTCTCCCACCAGCCGATCCACCGACATCTGCAGCGCTAACACGACTAAAGGATGCACAAGATAAACGCCATAAGAATATCGAGCAGTCTTTGCCCATTGCTTCTTGGTCAGCTCGTTTTGGTGAAACAGAGAGAACCACGCCGCTCCAAGAAAATAGAAACAAACCTCGTTCCAAGTTGCATAGAAGACAGCATATCGATTCCAACCGCCCAAGTAGTCAGCGATATCATTGTGCAACGAGAAGATGAGCGCGATAGTGAGTCCTGCCACGAGGTAGGTGAAAAGAAGTATCGGGGCCGGGTTTTTCATGAGCAGGTATGGCTGAATTTGGGAGAGGGAAGTCCCAGCGACGAAAGCGAAGATATATTGCGGGGCGTAGCCCGGCTGGAGGCCCAGCACGGGAATCATGTGTCCCACTGGGAAGTACAGTCGAACAAGAAATGAACAGAAGATGACGGCTGTTATCCCGATCGAGGCAGCTACCCGGTGTCGGGAAGCAGAGGTCGGCGTGTATTCGATTCGAATAGGAATGGAGCTCAATGCTACTTTCAGGACGATGTAAATCAAATCGAAGGCCAGCAGTGTTGCGATAAACCTGCGAATTATGGGATCAACCAGCCAAAAGCCAAAGAGGCTAACGGCTTACCATGCTGGCCCGCGAACGCCTTGCCAGGTATTGAAGTACATTTTGACTCTAGGCAAGGCGGAGTCGCCCTTGTCCATTTGGACCAGCGCAATTGCCAAGGGTTCTCCGACGAGCTCTATACAAGCTAATGGGAGCCCTAGCCGCTTCAGCTTATCGACACTAAACACCCAAGGCGATTTATTCTCTGCGGCGACCGCCGAAAAGTGGCCGGCAAGGAAAAACAAGAGCCCCATGAAGAAGCTCTGATGGATTATGCCGTAGAGCAGCATCGTCGCATGCGAGACTGGCTCAGTCGGGTACTGAGAGACGAAGCGACAGAAGTTCTCTCCGCCAAACGGCGCCAAAGCGTGCTCGACAATGACGAGCCCGATTATGAATGAGCGTAGATTGTCTATAAAGTGGATGCGTTGCTTTATTGGTGGGGATAGCAGTGGAGTGAACTCGGTGCCGTGGTTGGAGTGCATGAAGGTGCTTTCGTGTTATTCTTAGATACACTATCTTATCGGAACACTGAGATCATGATGGCTCGGTTGATGTGTGACCATACGTGACACCGTTGACAAGTGAACGCTCACATGGCGCAAAACATCTCCGACTGGCTCAAACCTCATCGCTCTGAAGCACTTGGCCGCATTCGTCTCAATGCCTTTGTGCTCATTGTCATCACCCTTATCTCTACCCTCGTGCCACATATCCCCACACTCCCCAGAGCGCTAACAGTCGCAATCTCACTGAAAACGCAACGCCGAACGTCTTTCTACGCGTCGTTCTGCTTGTTAGGCAAGGAACTCGATCTAATCAGCATCGCCATCGCTAATGCTTTCAGCAGAAGTTGGTTTGGTCGCGTTGTTATTGATCAACATTGTTCAATCCCTCCTCGCATTGAAGTACCCTCGCGCACCGATTCCACCTTCGCCGGCACCTGTTAAAGCGAAAAGTCTGCGCGCTGCTCCCGCAACTCCCCAGAAAATTCTGGCACTGTCTCCAAATGTATGTCGTCGACCCAATCCGCCCAGAACAAAAGGTCTTATAGTTTATCTCTAGTCCAGTCCACAACCACAAAAATCATTTTCATTCAGCACCTCTGGGTCGCTGCTGCAGCAGTCTTCCACCTCCGTGTACCCGCCGTCTCCATTGTCCACTCCCAGCAGAGTCCTGCAGTACTCGATGGCACCAGGGTCATCCACGAATAGTCTGGCGTCGTCTTCACCCTCGACGATGTACACACCCAGCCCAATTCTCTCCTCATATCACGGAAAACATAACAGGGACCATCTTGCACGTAAGCCCGACAACGTTGTACCAACTTGATTCAATGCTCACATTTCACCCAGGTTCCTTCGATGGCGCATACCTTTCAGAGTTACGGCATCAACCAGACGAGTCTGACGAGGAATAACTTGCTCTCTTCATCTTTTTGCTTTCTGCTTGCAATGGATCTGTATTCTGCATCTAATAAACACTCTGATTATGGTTTGGAGTCCAGTTGTCCATCGATAAGCTAGGTATCCCTCTAAGAGCAAACTCTAGGTATTAGTTTGGCAATATACTTGCCACTTCCAAAGCCCTCAGCGCATCACGCAGCAAGTCGTCCGTGTCCTCAACACCAACACTCATTCTAACAAGCCCACCGGTGATCCCCCTTTCTTCGCGTTCTGCCAGGGGTATGGTCGCATGAGTCATGCTTGCGGGGTGCTCCGCCAAGCTCTCTACACCACCCAGACTCTCGGCCAGCGTGAACAGTTTGAGTTCTTCCAAGAACTTAAGCGCCTGCGCCTCCGTCCTTAGTCGAACACTGACTATTCCACTGTAAGGGAAGTCTCCGGTCCCGTCAACCCCGACATCGGGCAACTTCTCGATCCATTTGCGAGCATGTGGACTGAGACTGCGCCAGGCGACGCCGTGGCGATCATGTGTTGCCAGGCCAGGATATATCACATCAACAACTGCCGGGTGAGCACGCAGTGTTTGAGCCAACGCCAACGCTGATGTTCCAGCTGCCTGCATTCGAAGTTGAAGGGTTTTGGCTCCCCGTTGGGCAAGGAAACAATCGAATGGAGAAGGAACCGCGCCATGTGCGTTTTGCAGGAAGGTAAGGCGTTGGAGAAGAGGAGAGTAGGCTGGCAGTACGATGCACCCAAGCAGCACGTCTGAGTGGCCATTGATGTACTTGGTGATGGAATGGATAACGAGGTCCGCTCCTTGAGTGGTGGTGCCATCGGGCAGAGTAATGGGTAGCAGAGGGGAGGAGTAATACGGCGATAGGAATGTGTTATCGACGAGAACAGAAGGCCTAGTTGAAGGGTAGTTCAAGCTAGCAATGATCTCTGCTGGTTGCGAGTAGACTTCTGTCAAGAGTGCGGAGATCTCAGGAAGTGAGGGAAGGAGCAAGAGTGGATTCGTTGGGGACTCAAGCCAGATGAGCTACCAGCCATAGTTAGCATCTTGCAACGAGAACTTGACGACAATGCCTACCTTGGTGTTTGGTCGTAACGCGGCACGGATCTCTTCGGCACTTCCTTCAGGATTAATCCAGCTGACCTCGAGCCCAGAAAGCTCTTGCGCGACCTTGTTCATATACCTCCAAGTGCCGCCATAAACATCGTTCACAGCAATGAGATGCGCGTTGGGCCCGAGTGACTGGATGACGGTCGCCGTCGCAGCACTACCAGAGGCAAAAGCGAGAGCATTCGCGCCACCAGTTTCTATCGAAGCGAGCATCGTCTCAAGCGCCGCCCGAGAAGGATTCTGCGATCGAGTATATTCAAACCCCTTGTGAACGCCAACAGAGTCTTGCTTGAAGGTTGTGCTGAGCGAGATAGGCGGAATTACAGCGCCTAACGCGACGGTCAACGTCGGGACATCCTCGCCGATGAAGTGATTTACCTGTCTCGCTCGATGGTTCTGAGCCGACATGAACCGCCCGAGTAGCAAAGCCCCAGGAGGCCTCGTCCGGTTTGTGGACGCCGTTTGTGCCATTGGAATGGGCAGAAAGGCCGTTGGTCTGTGTGGAACCGTTGAGTAAACCAACCATCTTGGTGGTTGTGAAGAGAAGAGTTGTCTAGGGACAACCATGCATGGCGGAAGGTTAAATAATGCAACGGAGCTTGTGTCGACATAATCGCGAGTTGGTCACGTGGCGGCAATTACTCATCTCGATTTATCATTTCCAGTCATTTCCTCAAACTGCCGCATACACCAACGATTACATGAACGTTACGGAGACAAAGCTCTGCACGGATTACATGGCGATTATTGAATCAGTATCATCCAAGCCAGAATGAAGTAGAAGAGCCTGAAAAGTGGTCAGGCAAGCAAGACATAAAGCGGGGATCAATTAACAAGAGCGGGTATACGGCGAGCAAGATGCGGTGCTGCTCTATTTTTGTGCCATCGAGGAAGTTGACCGATGCTACCCCGACGTCAGCAACTGTTTTGGAAGGTCAGTCAGCCTGACTTACCCCACACACACCAGGCCCATGCGATCAGAGCAACTGGGGCCCGGATATAGATACGGTGAACAAAAATGGCGACCAAAGCGGCAATGTTCAGAGGCGCGATGCAGTAGCCCAAGACGCAAAGACCCTGGAAAAACGAACTGTAGTCCGTGTCAAACGTCATCCAGCATTTAGACGCAACTTCTTACACTCTACCGCCCAAAAGCTGGTCAAAGTGAGCATTGAATGTTTCTCAAGTAATTGGTAACAGACCTTGGCTTGGATGGTCACCGTCAACGCGCCAATTGAGCAGATAACGATAACGCTCGTGAAAATGTTCAAAGACTGCTTTTCTGGAGCCTATGAAGTGAATTCAGGTGGTGGTCGAATAAAACCAAGTCTCTTACACTAATGCTCATCATAATTCCTAGAGCAAGGCACAACATCAGTGGTCCCCATAAATCCCAGTCTCTGTCGGGGTTGAGCATTAGAGATGAGGTAAAGAATGGAGCACTGACCGAAGCACCTCGCGACCAGATGAACGGCGAGGATAGAGAACCTGAATAAGCTTGGTATAAATGGAGAACAAGTCGCGCGCCTGCAATGTTTCAAACCACAAGTCGCGAAAAAAAAGATGCACACATACGAGAGTTTTCGACACAGGTTCGTCCAGCGTGTCAATACCGGTATAGCTAGTTTCATATGAGCGTGCTAGCAATTATATCAGTCTATACCCGACTTACCGTCGTTCAACCTGGACTCCGCCAACTGCCGACCTCACTGGTCCACTGCCAATATTTCCGGACAGCGGAGAGCTAACCCGCACATTCGCGCCGGAAGGTGGCGCAAGTTGTTCTGGTTCTCTTGCACGTCCTTTGCCTTTAAACGGCGCTGGTGACTGCGGGCTTGGAATAGTTGGATGCGAGAAACTAGGTATGCTGTCTTCGTCAAATTCGTCGTCGTCATCTATGGCTGTTGAGAATTTTTCCTGACGAGCCCCAGTAAAATATGCGAACCGGCCTGAATAAACTGAGAACTTGAAGTGAGCGGCGTCGGTGGCAGTTCAGCCATGCTTGTGCTTGAGAGTGGAAGATTCGTGGCTGATCTCAGCGGTCACGTCACACGTCACACGACGCGTAACCCTCGCTTGACCTTCGACTTTCACTTTCTTTCTTGTCTTTCACTCAAGATGGTGTGTTTCTCGCGTATTCAGCATGCCTTTATGGAAACTCAAGTAGGGAAACGCTGCTTCTGGTCTCCCTCCCGCGGACGGGAATGCAAACCAGCAAAACAACAAGGACAAGAATGCGAAAGATGAGAAGAAGAAATGGGAACCACCTCTGCCCACGCGCGTTGGCAAGAAGAAACGTAGAGGTCCCTCCGCCGCGTCTAAACTACCCGCTGTGTACCCCACAACTCGCTGTCGCCTTAAATTGCTGAAGATGGAGAGAATCAAGGATTACTTGCTGCTGGAGGAGGAGTTTATCCAGAACCAGGAACGGTTAAAGCCGGAAGCCACCCGTGAAGAGAAGAATGAAGAAGATCGTTCCAAGGTGGATGACTTGCGTGGAAGTCCCATGGCTGTTGGAACGATGGAGGAAGTTATTGACGACGACCACGCAATTATCAGCACCGCGTCAGGTCCCGAATACTACGTCTCGATCATGTCCTATGTCGACAAGGAGCTGCTCGAACCTGGCTGCCAAGTTTTACTACACCACAAATCCCAGGCTATTGTCGGGGTTCTGGATGACGACGCGGACCCGCTTGTCAGCATTATGAAACTCGACAAGGCACCTTCAGAGAGCTACGCAGACATTGGTGGGCTGGAGCAGCAGATTCAAGAGATAAAGGTGCTCATTTGCATTCATTATCTTTGCAAGTGCCTAATTGCAGTTTAGGAATCCGTCGAGCTCCCACTGACACATCCTGAACTGTACGAAGAGATGGGCATCAAACCACCAAAGGGTGTCATTCTATATGGAGTGCCTGGGACGGGCAAAACTCTTCTCGCCAAAGCCGTCGCAAACCAAACCTCGGCTACTTTCCTTCGCGTTGTCGGTTCAGAACTCATCCAGAAATACCTGGGAGATGGACCGAAGCTTGTGAGAGAAATGTTCAGGGTGGCGGAGGAGCATGCACCGAGTATTGTGTTCATTGACGAAATTGATGCTGTGGGCACAAAGCGGTACTTTTTTTTTTGCTTGAGTCTCTTCCCGGCCCATCTGCTGATTGCGTATTTCAGGTACGACTCGACGTCCAGTGGAGAGCGTGAGATCCAACGGACGATGTTAGAGCTTCTTAACCAGCTAGACGGATTTGATACACGGGGCGACGTCAAGGTCATTATGGCCACTAACAAGATCGAGTCGCTTGATCCTGCTCTTATCCGACCTGGCCGTATAGACAGAAAGATTGAATTCCCTCTCCCCGACGTCAAGACGAAGCGGCACATCTTCAAGTAAGTTTTCTTATCATCCATGTCACGGTTCTTATTTTTCATGGTTAGGCTGCATACGTCTCGGATGAGCTTGGGTGATGATGTTGACTTGGAGGAGCTGGTGATGACGAAAGACGATCTATCTGGTGCGGACATAAAAGCGGTCTGCACTGAGGCAGGTCTTTTGGCTCTTCGTGAACGTCGTATGCGCGTGACCAAAGCTGATTTTGCTTCGGCGAGGGAAAAGGTTTGTCATTCGCTCCTCGACTATCCTTTGAACCTCATTTGTTCCCCAGGTCCTGTATAGGAAGAACGAAGGAACACCGGAGGGTCTTTATTTGTAGTAGTCTTTGTTTCGGCCCCATAATACTTTACACGCGTGACCGATGTCTCCCATTATGGAATGCGACCTTCCTTCTTGGTCTTCACTCTCAGATGGCCGCGATTGTCCCTGAAAGTCACCCTTTGCCTACTACTAGGGCGCCATACATCCAACACCCAGTATTCTGGCTGGAAGATGGCTCGCTCGTTGTCGAGCTCGATGGCCATGGCTTCAAGGTCCACAAGACCCTGTTAACCCGCCATTCACTGTTGTTTCTTTCGCACTCCAAATCACCACACTATCATATCGGTGGCGTAGAACACCTGCAAATAGATCCCGCAAGACGTGTCTCCGCGCCCGACTTCGTTGTTTTGCTGGAGAGTTTGTACCACGATGTGTAAGTTTCGGTCCACCGACGGCAAGCAGCAGCATTGAGACCGTACATTCTAACATTGGCACTCAGACTTCTGTCTCCGGAAATACCTTTCCCTCGTATTGTATCTCTGGTTCGCGTGTCTTCTCCCAATCAGTTGGTGCGACTCCATGGCCAGTTCATTGCGAAATAAAATATGGATTCCAACCATGCAGCACTTTCCGCGTTTTCACGAGGCCGCGTTGCGGTACTTTGTGGACCTATTCCCCAGTGGGCCAAAGCCGTTCGTCCACCCACCGTATCTTGAGGAGGCTTTGGCTCTTGCCATCGAATTTAATGTTGAATCGGTCTGGATGTCTCACGTTCATATCCAGCGCCCACTGACTGTCAATGTTCAGGTGCAAAAGGGTCTCTACTATAGCCTTGTGACGACGTCCAATTTTGACATGGATGAAGCCGGAGAAAACTTGGACTCCCGCCCGCCTCCGCCTTCTGATTCGTCTCAGATAGCATCCATCGATAGAGAGAGCGACCCTGGCGTAGATTTAGAAACGGCGGCCGCCACACCTAGCACTGGCGACGCCCACAAACCGGGCTTACCCTTACACGAGTCGCAAAAGTGCACGCGCCTCATGACCCAGTTCATCGATTATTTCTCGCCGTTGCTCTTTACTGCCCCCGCTGCGGCACACATGGCCTGCACAGACGTGTTTGCTGGAACGTGGATGAAGCTCGTCATTCAACCTGCAATCGAAGACGACGGTGTCTACAAGCCTCTTGAAACCCTTGAACGTTTCAAGAGCGTTGATTGGGCACAGGCCGGTCTATGCGGGGCTTGCGTGCTAGACAAACACACGGAGTGGACGGAAGAACAGAAAGCAGTGTGGACTGCAATGGATGAATGGCTCAGAACAGAATAACGGCACTGGTCGCCAGGTATAAGCGGTTGCTTTGTCTCGCCGACTTCATTAATCACCTTGTAGGTGCAGAACATGGCCTGGTAACTGTAATGAACAACAATAACGAGTCTATTCGAAAGCTGTTGTACGCTTTGTTATTGACCTGGAGAAGAGTTCTGGTTCAATCCTTCTCATTTCGGTATCTCCGACTGGACTACGCGTCATATCAACCAAATTCAGCTTGAGTGTGGGCTGCGAGTCACCGACTAGTCCATGTCCAATCCTGAACCCCGCCGAAGTTGATCTACTGGTATACATCGCTGGTAAACTTGGTCTGGTTTCTTTTCTTTCTTGGAACCACATTCACTACGACGGCGCCCAGGTCGTGTCCCTCCCCCAATATCATGTGTCAAACTGAACATCTCGCCGTTGTCGACCTGCAGTTTTCTTTTTGTTTTCTTTTGTTCAGATCTCGAACCCGGCAACTGACTTGTCGTTTTGTTTTGAACACATTTCCAGATGCAGACAGGAAATCAAACAAGCACTATAAGGCTCCTTGTGCTTCTAACGCCCAGCGGCAGTTTCCGAGTGGCGTGTTGCTATTCTAGTGCGATGGACCCACAATGCTGTGACTACGCGGAAAACAACACACCCTTTTTGTCTTCCCCCGCCTACGAGTCAGCCTTGGTTATAGGTCACCCACACGCCATCGACTCAGATCCTTTATAATGACCACAGCTTTCCTGAAAGTGACGGTCCTCATCCTTTGTCACTTTTATCTCAACTCATCCCAGTCTTCGCTCCCGCCGCCGTTATCGCATGGCGGAACCTCAGCATTTTTTGCCCGTTTATTCCGCTCCAGAGGGTCACGACTCCGCACCCGGGCCAGATGGGAAATCTGATAGCGAGAACCTTTCGTCGTTCTCCTTCCACGGCTTTCAAGTCTGGTACGGGAGGCCAAAGCGCGCCTCGTTTCTGGGCACCTTCGGTGCAAAGCTCCGCCAAGCACACGAACATTGGCCGTACGCCCGCAGGCTCTTCTCCGACATCTTCAAGAGGGATCGCCGTCTCGTTCTAAGCTATATCATCTCCGTAATGGTCCTCACTATTGCCCCCGCCATCTCGCTCTGCGCCTCTTTCGGCCTGTTGCTCCTTGTGAGTCATTGTCGTCGCCGTTCTCAGCCAATGACCTCCTGCCCTAGATCGAGCGCGGCCTAAACAATGGCACAGCATTCCACGTCTTGATCGATGGACTTCGTGTTTATGCTCCTCTATGGTTTGGTCTAATGTTTATTTATATACACGCAAAGCACACAAGGTAAGCACCTATTCGAGTTGTCACCTTGTTCATAGTCAACAATACGTTTTCAGTGTGGGGCTTGAGTTGAGACTTCAATCACATCTCAGAAGGTTCTGGGATGGGTTAATTCGGAGTAAGTGACTGTCCCAGTCCGTATCTGATTGTTCCTAAAATCCGATTTTTTATTCCAGAGAGCTTGGAGTTGAGTATCGACAAGTTCAATCGTAAGCTTGAGAATTTTTTTTTTGATGACTCACGATACGGCAGGATATTCGATGGACTATAACTGTGCACTCCCCAACGAGAGTTCTTTCGCACTTTCGGCACCGTGTGAGGCATTCGTGCATGACATGGTTGAAATTCCCTGCGAAATGCTGCTGCTTGGATTGCAAATACTCGCCTTAATCGTAGTCTGTGCCATTCGTGGTGTAGACGAGTCCCGTCTACTCCTAGTTTTTGCGGGCCTCCAGCCCCTCATAATTTGGTTTTGCCCCACTAACATAACCCATGGCCAGGGTGAGCTTGCCCATGTAAACTTGCCTGTTCGATTGATCAAGCTCCAGGATTCACCTTTCGAAACGCGAATCCGGCGTTTTATCACCTTGCCGAACTCGCTGAACTCGCAAGCAATCTACGTATTCGACGAACTTTAATGAAAGATAACGCCTGCACGGCTCTCGCTGAAAGCTACAGCGCGGCCTCAGCGCAACTTGTGCGAGGTAATATTCCTCCTCAAAGATTTGCCTATGCAGTCGCCGGAGCATTTGCGTGGCCATGGTCCCTGTTACGAGGCCTCATAGTAGACGAACCCATCGTATGCCCCGTCCTTCTCCTACTTATCAGCAAATGTTCTGACAAAAGAGCAGGTTCTTGGCGTCTTTCTCTTGCCCTGGTCTCAACCAGCTTCCTCGCTTGTTACGATCATTCTCCTCCAACAGACTACGCAGCTCCTGCGCAGTTTACGCGGTCAAGATGCAACGAGCTCCTTCGACAAGTTCATCGCAAGTCTAGTTTGGGCGAAAACGGGTTATTACGATGTTATGGCATTGTCGAATTTTCCAAGCGGGACACTTTCCTATCCATCACCTTTCTCTAGTCCTGCCGGAATGAAGATTGAATTTAGGTTGGCCTGTCCTCTGATTGCTGCTTATTTCTAAACTTTGCTCAGAAATGTTGCACTCACCCATGGCCCGCATTTCGCAGACGAGATCAAAGAACCTGCCGTGAAGAATCTGTCATTTACCATCAATCCCGGCAATCTTGTGGTTGTCGTCGGTGCAAATGGAGGGGGCAAGTCATCGGTGCTTGGCCTTTTGACCAGGACTTGGGAGGCGTCCGAGGGTGAAATCCTAATTGACGACAAGCTTGTCGAAGAGTATGATTTGGCTCAACTTCGCGGCGCCATCACTGCTGTCGAACAGGATGAGGACTTGTATCCTGGTGTCACCCTCCGAGAAAGCATATTCTTGGGGTTGGATTGCAGCAGTGCTAGTGAACAGGAGAAGGTTCTCACCCAGGCAGCACATTTGGGATGCGCAACAGAAATCATCAAACGTCTGCCTCGCCACTGGGACACGGTCATTTACCCAACTTCGGAGACATACAGCTCGGAAGGTACTGGACTCACACAGCCAGCACTTGCAGCCTTCCGTCAAGTCGAACGTCAGATGCCTCAGAAGTTTTCTGGTGGTGAAATGCAGCGATTGACAGCGTAAGCCAATTAGCAAGCTTCTTAGGTTGATTCTTTGACTGAAGGTAAACTAGAACTCGAATGTTTGCTCGCTTGCTTCTTCTGAAAGTAAGAGCGAGACTGATCGTGTTTGATGAGGCGACAAGCAAGATGGATCCGTTGGCGGAACGGGAGATTCTTACATCGCTGAACGGCCAGCGGAATGGTAGGACCATCGTCATTGCCACCCATGATTATGGGCGATTGGTCAAAGAGGCGGATCTTGTTCTGTTTGTGGTCTCAAAGCGCTCTTGTTCTGTGTTTGGCTAATATATTTTTTCCCTGTAGGGTTATGAAGGAGGGTCAACTGGTGGAAGTGGGGACGCATGATGCACTTTTGTGGCTCGAGGGAGAATATGGGAGACTTTATAAGGCACATGCAGAGGGGGTCGTTGCGTAGTCGAGTTAGAGATTGTTGACAACAATGACAAGTCACGATTTTTGATCGCGACCAAAGCGTCACTGTTCGTGCACTATTTGAACTTGAATGGTCTTGTTGGTGCTCATTATTCCTTGACACGCCTACCCTCCCCTTGCCCCGACGCCCGACGCATGTCCTTCACGAGCACTCCACTCAAAGAAGGAAGAAGACTAGACCGACAAACTTTTATTTCGGGAAAACCCCAGCAGAGCCGACTGAATTCGCATACCAGTTACGCTTACGGGTGAGTTATCGTTGCCACCTTTGCGTTTCCATCTCAAATTCGACAGAGCCCCCACCTTTGGCTCGCGATCACCTCCGAAACCACGCTCTGACGACAGCAAACGATCGAGCACCGACAACAACCAGTCACTGGACCCAGAGAAGTGGTCTGTTAAGGACACTTCAGTAAACATTGCGGCGGCATTCCACCAGGCCGCTACCGACATGACAACCCCAAACAACTCGTGGGCTTCGGGTCAGACACGTACCAACGTTCCCCGAAGCACCTCGGTTGAATATGAACAATCCCAATCCACCAGTACCCGTCGACTTCCTGCCCCACCCAGCAGACTACAACGCAAACCACTCTCCAAGACTACCTCGATACGGCACGTGCCCGGCTCTGAAGACGAGGAATCCCAGGAAATCCCCAGTAACACTACACGAGGCAAAAGCCCCTTTGAACAGGCGATTGGGGCTGCCAAACGCGCTATATTACCAGTCGCTGCAGCTGCGACATATTATGTGCGACAGCGATCACAAGAGCCAGACGAGCCAGTTGCTGTCAATGGTAGCTACGACTATTCAGTGGAGGAAAATGACATCCAGAGCAAACGCGCTTCTATAAGCCATAAGCGCAACCGCATGTCGATGGACAACAAAGCTTATCGACCGACAAACTCTGATCTTGAAGATTCGGGCGACGAAGACTTTACTGACGACGATGGCAAGAAGAAGCGGCGGAAAAAGAAGAAGAAGGACTCGGTTGGCGGGCCATTAACGAGTCTACCCGTAGCGGGCTACGACAAGCGGAAAAAGAAAGCGAAGAAAAATAAAACCAATGGAGATGAGATGGAGGAAGGCTCAGAGAGTGACTTGGAAATGGTGAGTTGCAGTACTAGTTAATTTTGGAGAAACTCCTAACAAACATGGAAAGCGTTCTGCGCCAAGAGGGTCCCTACCACCCAAGCAGCCTTCTGCTCCTCTCGAGCCGAGCTTCAACACATCACTTGACGATGCTGAACAAGGTCTTGAATCTATACCGGAAGTTGACGACGAGGAAGTTTTAGAAGCCCGACGAGAGCGGCCTCGTTCTCGGTCTCGTTCACGAGCACCATCACAAGCACCTCGAAATCCTGGTGCAGTTTTCGGCTCATTGGCTTATGCAATCTTCACGGTTTTCCTGCTATGCGGACGAACTCTCGGCACTGCAGTCGAAATTCTATGTCTAAGGCCAATACGAGCGATCGCTCGCAAACCAATAATTGCCCCGTTAATTCGATTCGCCCTATTCGCCTTCTTCGTGGTGCTTGCGGCAACCATCATCCCCCAAATTGATTTCAAGGTACCGTGGAGTCGAAGCACAGTTTTCCATCCACCAGAGGCTCCTGCTGCCAACATTGCCGAAATTTCGGAAAGGTTACGACGGATGGAGACGGCGCTGTCTGGTCTTTCACTTGATTCGGAACGAACAAGAGTCAAGGTGGATGAAGAAGTTCGTCTCCAATCAGAAATGGCTGGCAAGGTCGCTGCTCTTGAGACCAGAGTTGAGCGAGAGACCGCACGTGCCCTGGAAGCTGAGGTTGCCTCTCGTGACGCCGCCACGGCTGGATTGAAAGGTATGAAGAAGGATATGGATGCCCTCCAGGCATTAGTACAGGTTCTTCAACAGCAACCACATCAAGGCGGGGGTGGCGGAGTGTTTGGGAGTGATGAAGAGGCACGGCTCAAACTGAAGGCTCTCGAAGACCGATTCGGGCCCGTTGAAGCTGGTGTCAGGGAAGCTCTTGACCTTGGCAAGAAAAATGCAGCGCCGAGTTCTTCAGTCGGCTCGACTTGGTGGAGCAACGCGGGCAGCAAGGGTGTCACTATCAAGAGTTCCAATGGACAAGATGTCACCCATGTCATCGCGGACCTCGTTAGCAAAGCTGTTGGCCTTTCTGGTCGGGACATGCGGACCGACTTTGCTATGCACTCGAGTGGGGCATTCGTCATCCCCAGTTACACCACCGCCACATATGAGATTCGTCCTTCGACACTAACAGGCAAAGTGCTCGGCTTTGTCACGGGCAATGGCCACCAGATTGGCGCACCACCAGTTGTCGCTCTTCACCACGACATTTACGATGGACGATGCTGGCCCTTTGCTGGCTCGCAAGGCCAGCTTGCTGTTGTTCTTGCTGCCCCAGTTTTGATTGAAGACATCACCATCGACCACGTTTCGGCCGAAACTGCCATCAACATGAGGACCAGCGCACCACGTGACATGGAGGTCTGGGCGATGATCGAAGGCAAGGAAAACCTCGCGAAACTCAAAACCTGGCGCGAGTCCCGAGCAAAATTACGTGCTGATGGCGAGGACATTGAGGAGGAGCCGCAGTATCCCAAAACACTCCCTCCCAAGGCGAAGAACTACGAGTACATCCGCATTGCGACATTCCGATACGATGTTCTCTCGCCAAACAACATCCAGACATTCCCTATCAACCCAGAGATCAAAGCGCTCCGCATGGACTACACCATCGCCATCCTAAGGATCCGCAACAACTGGGGCATGGGCGCGTATACGTGTCTATACCGGTTCCGAGTCCATGGCCAGAAACTGGATGCCCCAGTCAACCCCTTCCCGCCGGAGTTGTTGGCCCCGTAAATAATGCCCCCTAACGAAATCTTTCCTTCTAACTTTATTCCTACTCTTTTTTTCTCACATCCATACATATCACTCTTGGTCACCCTCTCCTCACCGGTTTCTAATGCTGCTATGTATTCCTGTCTTAATTTGCACAAAGTCCAAAGTCCCGCTCTCCTTGCTGTACCTCTCATTTACTAAAATTTCAATCGTCTCGTGGAATCATTGTCAAGTCCGTTGTCGTTGAGTGGGTATAGTAAGTATTAGATGTGTGTGAAGCCAACTTCGTAGTTCTTGCTATCAGACCACATCTCGCCGTTGTTCCAGAAGCTCCGAATTGAGGGTATGCAGGCCGCGAGCGATCGCATCGTCGACAATGATACTTCAAAGCCACCTTGCCAAACGCCAATGTCGTAGAGCGTCCATTGACGACACGTGCCGTTGCGCAATTTCGCAAAGAAAAGCTTCTCCGCTGCCCGGTCGCCGGGGGAACCGCCCACATAGAGGGACAGGCTTCGCAGCCCTGGAAGCTTGGCTGCGAGGAGGTCAAACAGCTCAGGCGACCATACGCGCACGTGCAGACGGAGATTTTGCAGCGCGCTTTCTCGTTCGGCCAGCAGAGTGGTAAGTGTCGACACTTCCTCCAGGCTGAGGTAACGGTCTTTGATGGCGAGCGTCGTCAACGTGTTTGCCGACCGCTCGAGATACATCAAGAGGGCGTCGAAGCCGAGGCCCGAGTTGGTCGGGAAGAGGCGGAGCTTTTTCAGGTCACGCATGACCAGCGGAGAGGACTGGTGGGAGCTAAACCACTCCCCCAGCCTTTGCTCGGGGCTGGGATCCATGGCGCTCCCCGATGGGTTTAACCGCAATTCCACGTGCTGGAGGGTTTGTGAATTGGTTTCGAGTAGATTGGTCAGCCCCGCTGGGTCGGTGAACGCCCTGTTGAATGGTGCGCGGACGTGGAATTCGGTGAGGCGCGGAAATTTGCCCAGATTTAAGAAGAGTGCAGAGAGGTCTAAGGTGGACCATGACCAGACTTTGAAGGTCGTTAGCTGTAGAGCGATACTGTTGATGTAGGGCGCGACGCAGTCCACTAGAATGACCAAAGTGGCGGCATTTGCTGCTGTGTCCATTTCATGCGTGAACTGCAAGTTGAGAGAGGTGCATGCCGGGATATTTGGCTCTGATTCCACGAATTGCAGGAAGTCCTAAACGAACAAATCAATTCGCGCAGAAAGTAGAGAACACAAACAAACCTTGGGTCTCCCGCCAAACGAAACAGCCTCGAGTTTCGGTCCAAAAGCAGCCCAAGCCGAGCGGAAAAACGGACGCAAATCGTAGCCCTCCTCTACGTCCCAGACCTCTGCCTCGAACGAGCGCAGATTTACGAGTCCAGGCAGCACAAGAATCAGTGATTCTATGAGTTGCTCAATAGGTGCTGGTTTGGAAGCGGGTGGTGGTTGAGCCTTGCTGCTCGAGCCAGCTGAAAATAGACGGTGCCATAGTGAAGGAGAGGCAGCGGGGCGGGACGACTCGGACCGAATGGGATTGCTGAGGCTGAGGTGGGGCCGCAAAATTAGTCTTTGGACGCGACTCGCAGGTAGTGGGTCTCTAATAAGTCAAGTCAGACATATCTGACTTATTAGGCATAGGATAGCCCACCTCAATCGTTCATAGAGCTTTCGCGACTTGGAATTCCACGTCTCGATGTGGATTGTCCTGTACCGAATGTCCAGCGCAATGTTAAAGAAAGTGAGGTTGACGCCAACAAGTGCAACAACTTCGTCTTGCGTTAGGAAGTTTGAGATTCGCAACCATAGCTCTGCAGGAAGTTGCATAAGGGGAAGAGCAACAATAGAAAGACGTGTTTTTACAGCTTGTCGGAGAGGCAGTGATCGTCAAAAGTCAAGTTGATCGTTGACTCAAGAAAGATCGTGTCTCTCCTGGTCTCGAAGAAGACGACAATCATGTCTGATTTCACTGCTACTATCTGCAGAAAGTCTGAACCGTGCTCTGCTACGACTCTTCTTTTCTTCAAGTGGAACAACTACGGTAAGCCCAAGCAATATTACTGACCTATTTAATTCAATTCTGCCGGTCACAGTCACATTGAATTTTTTGGCCGAAGCAGCCCAATTTGAAAATTTGCGCCGAATTCCCTAATTAGGTAATATGTCACACGAAATTCTTCGGCACGGCCGCGGGTCAGAGGCCCGCTGAATTGTCAGAAACCTCTCCGTCATGTGCATTAAAGCTACATAGGTTCATAGTTTTCGGCATCAAGTAATACCTCCTCTCCATTCCAAAAGCTTTGGAGGGAAGGTATGCAAACCGGGAACGATCGCATTGCCGCCAACGATAATCTTTGGTAGCCGGCGCTGGCATCCCAGACACCAATGTCTGACAGCTGCCATATGCCACACGCACCGTTGCGTAATTCCGGGTCGACGAAAGGCTTCCACGAAGGCCACCACCATGTCGAACCTACATGAAGTGAAAGGCTTTTCAGCACTGGAAGCTTGGTTGCAAGCAGCTCGAGTAGCTCCGATGAGCATTCATGGACATGGATACTGAGACTTTGTAGCTCTAGTGGATGCCCAGAAAGCGAAGTAGCTAGTGCTGAGACTTCCCCTAAATCGAGGTAGCGGTCTTCGACGGACAAGGTCGTCAGCGTGTTTGCTGACCGTTTGAGGTACATCCTGAGGAGCTGAAAGCCGAGGGTCGAGTTTGTGGGGAAGAGACAGAGAGTTTTGAGATTGCGCATGACCAAAGGATGTGACATGTGGGAGACAAACCACTGCTCAAGTGTCTTCTCTGGGTCAGGGCCAACGGTATTCCCGAGTATTGGGTTCAGCCGCAACTCAAGCTGTTGGAGCGTTTCCGAGTTGATTTCGAAGAGCTTAGTTAGCCCCCCCGGATTCGCAAACGCCTTGTTGAACGGCGCGCGGAGGTGGAATTCTCTCAAGCGGGGAAATTTGTTCAGATGCAGGAAAAACGTGGATAAGTCGAGACCGGACCATGAAGAGACTTTGAAGGTCTCTAGTTGGGAAGCGATACTATTGATAAACGGTGCAAGAGAGTTGACCAGGACGCCTGAAAAATTAGGCTTCGTGTCCCAATCTTCCATCCGGCGGAGTTGATGCGTGAACTCGATGGTGAGAGAGGTACATGCAGGGATGTTTGGCTTTGAATTCACAAATTGTAGAAAGTTCTGAGGAAGTAGCTCAACTTAAGTCTGAAATGAGTATGAAATAGCAGACAAACAGACCTCAGGCCTGCCTGACAACGAGACCGCCTCGAGTTTCGGTCCAAGTGCAGCCCATGCCGAGCGGAAAAGGCGGCGCAAATGACGGCTGACTTCCACATCCGAAACCTCAACCTCAAACGAACGTAGGTTCACGAATCCAGGAAGCACGAGAATTAGCGCGTCGAAGAATTGTTGGGTGAACGTTTCGATGGAGATAGATGTTGCCTTGCTCTTCTCCTTCCAAATCTTTGACAATAACCGTTTCCACTGTGGGGGAGGGGACTCGGAGGCCCACGGGACGATCAAATCGATATGTGGCTGAAGAATAAGTCGCTGCACATGTCGGGCAGCCATCGGGTCTCTGATGAAACCAAAGCAGGTCAGGCTGCTATTATGTTATAAGACAAAACGACTTGCCGCAATCGTTCATACAGCTTTTGTGACCTCGCACTCATCGTCTTGGCATATATAGTCTTGTAACGGATGTCCAGCGCAAGATTCAAAAAAGTGGGGTTGAGGCCGAGGAGTCTGACGATCTGGTCTTGTGTGAGGTAATCCGAGATTAACAACCATAGCTCTGGGGAAAGCTGCACAACAGTCTTTTTTCTTTTGCGGCACGTGGTGTAGTAGCGTGTAAGAGCAGGTAAATGCATCCCTATCCACGTTTGTACTTCTCCGGGTGGCAGAACAGTGGAAGGAAAGGAACAACTGTAGGATGGCGCGTGCTCTTATAGCCAAATGACTGTTGTCGATGCATTGATCCTAAGGATATAAGCTGAGAGGCGCCCGTTGTCAATGATGAAAGAGTTAGTTGGACGCGTAAGAGTTCCGTCTAGGCACGTGCCTACTTCCGAACTTGGACGACAACCACTGACTCGTTTACCACTCGTCGAGAGATGCCACTAGTGGGAATGGACTGAACCTGAAACCCGGCGTGCGAAGAAGAGGCAGATAACGAAAGCTCATGGCATGGACGGTATTATACCGACGGAGTAGCAGTCCTTGGTCGTTCCTTGACAACAAGTAAGATTTTTTTCTTTTTGAGAACCAGATATAGGAAGTCCGCGTGCCTAATTTGCGACAGAGGCTTCATGGCTTATTAGGACTTGGAATGGTATGGTAATTGATCGTGGGTCCAGTCTGAGGTTATGCTGATAGTAGCCAGATATCATCGCTTGTTTCCCCGCCAATTGGCCAAATTCTCTTCATCGGAACCGACACCTGAGCCTTTTCCTTCATTCTCAAATTCTTCCGCGGAGTCTATCATTCTCGGCCTTGTACTTTTTATAGGTTTGCCTTTGGGGCAAACTGAATAGCGGATGACATATAAATTTTCAAGTCCGGTCTCCGGCCCAGACAAATCTATACATAGGCCTCCACCTCTTGGCAGAACCTTTTCCAACTTGGACAATCTCGTCCAAATTTGGAAATCTGCTTTCAATGTCTTACCTCATCTTGTCAAGAACCTACAAGCAATGCCTTGTAACAAAATAGGCTGCTCACTTGTACTCGCGGTGCCCGCCCACAGAATGGCAGACGGAATAATATGATATCTATGGACTTACGCAGATCACCATCTTCCCTTCCCTTCCCGCTTCGTTCTAATTGTAGCTTTAGCCTAGGGCCTCGTCACTGGTACCAGCGACGACAATGTCCTCATCTCCACTGACCACTGCGCTCCCTGCGTTACCGATCCTCTCATTCCTACTTGTATCCTTCCTGCTTGTATTTCTACTCCTCCTGCTCTTCCGCCCCCAGAACCGACAAATTCGGAGTGTTTCGCTCGTGGCGCTCATCGTCTGGCTTTTCCTCTCCACTCTAATTTATGGGGTCGACGCTCTTGTGTGGAGGGACTCTTCCGATGTGACGAGAGCGCCAATTTGGTGCGACATCAGTGTGTTCAGTTCATTGTTCCTCATAATTGACCCACTAATCGCTTTAAACAGCGACAAAGCTCACTCTCGGCGCATTAGCAGGCATTCCTGGCGCGCTCGTTGGCCTCGCACGTGCTCTTGAGCTACTTGCCTCCCGAAGAACCTTCCATCCTGATGTCTCTGGCCGCGGGATATCAAGGTTTGCCGATATTGTGTGCTGCGTAATTTTCCCCGTGGTCTACATGCTGCTGCGTGTGTTGCTTTCCCCAAAATCAAAGATATGATTGCTGACTACCTGCTGTAGACTTCGCCGTTCAAGACCACCGATTCGACCTTGTTCCCTCCTTGGGATGCTTCCCCTCAATGCGTCTTGCTTCGTCTGCTACGACGACTATGCTTGTACCACCACTGGTCATTGGTGCAGTAGCACTGGGCTTCTGTCGTATGTCCTTCTCGGTGTCATTTCCCAAGTCAATACTGATTTATGGAAGTTGTCGCCTCCGTTCATGCCATTCTCCTATTTTTGCGAACTCAATCCGCGCTTTCGACCCACCTCGAAGCCAGGATGGGCTACACTTACCCGGCCACATTATTCAGCCTCCGCCTCTGCTTCACCACTCTGCTCTCGTTTGCCGCAATCGCGCTCATCTGTCTCACATATGTGCCCGCAATCGCCTCGCTGTCATCCTTTGAGCACCGCTTCTCACACTCCGCCAGTAACACCAGCGGCACTAGTGGATTCGGCGTCTTCGGTGACCCCAATAGCACCGGCACCCCATTGTTACAATGGGACTGGTCTTTGTCGCATGTTCCTGTGCTTTCTGACCCCGCAGAAGTAGGAAGGAAGGAGCTGAGCGTATGGAGTCTACTAGGGTTTGCTGCCCTGGTCCTGTTGTGCTCGGTCTTTGGTGGGGTGGGTGATGGTATGGTATGGCCTTGGGCTGATCTTGGTAAAAACGCGAATACAGCTCTTAAGAAGACAACGGCCAGCCTGTCTGCCCTGAAACTGAAGGTCAAAACCCGGATTTCATCATCAGCTGCTGGTAACAAGGCGCCACAACGACCCCCGTTGAGTCGGCTTACGATGTGCGTTATCTCATTGTTGTTATTTCTTTCCCATTTTAAACTTTCTCGATAGACCGAAAAAATCGCCCATTGGCTCTATTTCCTCCGTCTCTTCCAAGACCTCGCTCTCGACGCCGGTTTCACCACCCCGACCACGCGTTCCGCCTGGTTTGGGGCTGTACGATAACTCTCCGCGGTCAGAGCTCCGGTCTGGCTGGGACGAGATGCTTGAAATGGATGCCTACGATTCCAAGACTCCAGAGCGCAAATCTGGGCTGTTCAAATTCGCCACATTCCCGCGTGGATCGTCCCCTTCTGACCTCGAGGCGCAAACAGGTGGCACTGTCAGTCGTAGCGCCAGCACATCCAGCCAAAGTCCAAGCGAACACGACTCGCGCGCGACCACCCCTGCTGAGATGTCCCCACAAGACTCTTTTGCGGAGTCGACGCGTGCATATCTGGCGTCACCTGTTGCACATGCTTTGGGTCTAGCTTCGAGCACTATCTCGAGCAGCTGGCCCGATAAACAGAAGCCATTAAATCGACGCGACACAGCCATTCTGGGGACTGGGAAAGACGGTCGACTGCTCTCTGTCATGGCGACACCCAGTCCCAGTCCCGATTTCCTCCAGCCACCCAAGCCAATGTTAGCACCTCCTACTGTTATTCCGCCAGCAGAATCTGCTATTATTCCGCCTCGGACAACATCTCTCCCCGCAAACAACGATGGCCTGTTGACTGCGCCAGACCGCGTACCCCCGCGCCAGCCGATCCCCACCGACACCTCCGATGCAGCTTCCACGTGCTCGTCGATTCTGGATGTCCCATGGCCGTGGCCGCTTCCTCCTCCGACATCAACCCCTGCTATCGTCGGCCCGCGTCCGGCCCGCTCTCCCCCTGCGTTCGGCTTCAGTCTTGCGGCCCATACCCGTGAGCTTGCGCAGCCCCAGCAAGGAGCGCGGACGCGTCACGACACCCCTGAAGCCAATTCTGAAGAGCCCCACCCGGTCCCGCTCGCGGTCAGACTCTGGCTCATCACCCAACTGATTCACGTTTTTTTCATCCACCTTCACGTTTCCCTTCGAGCTGCCGCTGTGCTGGATATTATTTCCCCCCCCCATCTCCGCCCTTTACCTTCCTTCCATTTAGTGATGGGATGCATATTCCTTGGCTTTTTCACGACTTGACCACTACGCTCACTTTACGATTCTTCCATGGCTACCTTACCTCTTTTTTTTTTTGCCTACACCTACCAAGCTTAGTAATCAAGACCGCCTTAGATACCACCACCGCTGTATTTATATTCCTCTGTGTAGCATACTCAAGTTGAACCGAGACAGCCTCTTTTGCTTATCAACTCGTAGAAAATACAATGATGGGCTCTAGGCCTATAGGTATTAGATACTGCCCTCCATCCAGGTATAAAGTACTGTAGTCAAAAACGAGAGCGAGTGTGTCATCCTGCCTTCCTCATTGCCAATATACGTTCCCTCGCCTTCCTCATCGACTCTCGCAGTTCCGGACTTTCCCACGAGCCCTCATCGCCCGCCTCACTCCGCACACCAAACTCTGAGGTACTGCTGCTTGGCTCATCTGTCCGCCAGTTGGGAGAGGACGCGGGTAATGACCCAAATTCGAAGCGGGTAGTGCGCGGAGATGCAGAGGACGGGCGCGAGCTATATGATGGCGGGGCAAGGGCAAGCCCATTTCGAGGTCGTTTTCGTTGCCGCGGGGAAGCTGAACGGGACACGGAGGTGCCATATACCCCGCCGTCGTCTTCTTCCCAGAGCCCAGATCCATCGTCAACCTCGTCTTCTTGTACTTCACTCTTCACCACAACTTCCGATCGTAGAGCGCGCTGTCCTTCCTTAATCAGTTGGGACAGCTGGTCACCCATCCAGTCCATCTAACCATAAAGTCAGTCGGATTAGCCTTTCAAAGCTGAAGTTAAGCACGTACCTGATCTTCCACCGAAGCTTCAGGTTCTCCTTCAGTCGCAGCAACGCTGAGCGGAGACTTGGCGGTAAACACGGGATTGAAGGTTGATTGATTGACCGATGGTCGAGAACGGTGAAGTGGCCGCCGCGTTGTTGTCGAAGGACCAACACTATGCCGGACTTTCCTCCGCCGGGGGGTGATAGAGGGAGTAGGCGGAGTAACGTGAATGGCATGTGACTGCTGTTGGTCTAACTTCCAAGCGCCTTCGTTGTATGGTGGGGGAGGCGCAGGTTCTACTTGTGAAGGTTCCGCTTCTTTGCCTCGATCTCTCCATCTAAAATCGGAAATGAGCCGAATAACACACAAAAGCAGCGAGAGCACGCACAAACGATAGACGGTCAAGCCAACCGCCGTCCCAATCAGTGCCGCGCTGACAGCCGTTGAAACGATGGAGCCAGCAAGGGTACGGCGGCGTTTGGCGGGTGGCGGAAGGTCTACATTGAGAATGAGGACGAGAAGGTTCATGGAACGAGTGAGGGAGAAAGGAAAGGGAGTGTGAGTAAAGATATCAAGGCGCCATCAGCAAGATATATGTACAAACACGTGAGTTGGAAATGTTGCTATCCGCATGCTGCAGACAAGCCAGGGTTTGTTTCATCCCTCCCACACTCCGTGCGCTACGCAGAGCTTTTTCGTTCATGCCAGCAATCCAACCACCGCTGGAAACGAGAAAGTTGCCTGTGGAAATGGAACGGGAATGAAGGCCACGCATAGCGCATGCGACAAAACAGACACAAAACAGAATAGATGCACACCTGAGTCATCCACGACATTCATGTCCTCCAGCTCAAAATCGTCTCCCGACTGCCTGGAAGCCATCTCCCTGTACTTCGCCGGTGTGTCCAGGTAGCCGCTTGGTGATGCGAGAGTGGTACTTGAATGGCTCGGTTCTGCGAGCGAAGGGTCCCAACCACGCTTCCGCGTCGTTGGCGGAGCAGGAGAGGGGCGTCGTTCATGGACATTGGTCGGGCGGGCGGGCCGAGCTCGCGCTTGTTGCGAACTATGCCCCGACGGCTCAGCGTGCGTGAAATTCTCCGCCGGAGATTCCGCAGCGAAAGGGTTCAGGCCCGGGACTGCAAAGTTGAAGGTAAACGGGAAAGGCATCAGTGCCTGTCCGATTACAAAGTCAAGAAGATCGGCGCAAGATAGCGAGATAGTGCGTTGTTGTAGTCGGTATATCCAATGCCACCGGGATGTTTTCCGAGTGGATGAAAACAGTATAGAGAGGGATGAAACGAAGCGATCGACGAGCAGAGGTTGAGTGTTGTGTGTCACATGTCACGTGTACCATGTGACTCGCCCATATACCTTCGACGAGCATAGTATCGACCAAAGTGGCTGTAGCCCAAGAATACGCCAACAAGAGAGCAAAACGGTTCGAATATACTCAACATATTAAGATACAGTTCTCAAAGCGCAAACCAAGTCAACGATTGAAAGTTTCAAGTCAAAGAAGTGCTATCTGAGTCTAATGGTTATCTCGCCCAAATTTTAACCTGATGATCAGTCATTTGGAGTGATTTCTGAAGGCTAGTCAGTTCGCCACAGCCTGGTTTACACAAGTGCCGCGTCGCCGTCTCCAAATCAAAAAAGAGTGGTCGTCCTTCTGAGTTCCACGTTACGTTGCGCAACCAGGAATGATGCTCGCTAACTGTTTCGTTATACATCCAGCCCGCTTTATGAATCTTGCAAAGCGCTGCGTAGATGGCCCCACTAGAATGATGTTGAACTAGGGTATACGAACCTTGAGCGCAGACTCACCGTTCTGCCATCTCCAGACTGCGAACCGGCTTATCATTAGGTAAGAGGCCGGTGACAAGGCATGCTATGTCCTGACCAATAAACAATCCGTAGCAGCGCGCAATCGACTCGTTTACCAGCCGCGCTAGACGACGATATTTTGTGAATTCGGCCTCTAGAGCATCCACGTCTCGAGAGATTTTGACCGCAATCGATGAGATAAGCTGTCCCTTCCGAAGCAGCTCTCCGGAATAGACAGTCCTCTCCGACTCCTCCATGAGGCGCTCGACAACCTTCACTGTATAACCCTGATCGAGGCCGAGGTCGCCACGGCATCTTCCGGTAAGTAGGTTGTCACCCAAAAGAAGACGAGTGCGCTCTTTATGCTCCGATGATATATTTCTAGAGCTGTCGCTTGAAAGGTCGGATTTCTTCCAGCCATTTTGCGCGAACTCCTCGTTGCCCAGCGTCGCGGTCGACGGTATTCCAAAATTGATGGCAGAAAGTGCCGGGAAAAATCGTGATACCCAACCACATCCTTTGTCCCGCGCTCCCCTCAACGCTGTGGCCAAAAACAGAAGGAAGACATCCAAGCAAGGTTCCGGATGATCGCCACCGCCAAAGTAGGTGCGTGCCTTGTCGTGAGGATCCGGTGTATTTGGTGTAAATTCGTCGTTCTCTGGGCGTCGATTGTGCATAGGCGTGGACCAAAACATGTGACTGTCTTCTCGGTAGCCAACGCAGCAGGATGTCAAGCCTGATAAGATGACGATGTTGGTGTCATACGCGGCGGCATATAAGGAGCCCTGAAAACTCAGCTGAGTATGGACAACTGAGATTCAGAAAACCTACCTTGTTGGGTAAGATCCACCAATTCGGTTGCGATGGTGGCGCAGAAATGTCCGTCTGAAAACATGCCGCAGTTATACGACTGCTTAACTCGTTCGCAACATGAGGGAAGCCCAGAGGGTGCTCATCCTCTACACCGAGGAATGCACCTGAAGCCAATCCAAGGGTATGATCCATGACGCATGACGGAGCAACAGCGGCTTCCTTCTTACGGTCCCATTGCCATTCAATTTCCGCCGTGTCCAACTTGAGTGTCGTGGTCATCACATCGAGGGTCCTCACAACATACTCCAGCAGTATTCGCGTAGCTTCAATCGCACCCGTCTCTCGTCCATCAGAGTGGTTCCGCCGAAAACTGAACGTCCATTGGTCTTGGAGTCTTTCAATAACACTTCGTAAGGTGCTTTCCATCTCAGGCTGTAGAGGAAGCAGAGTATCGAAATCTGAACACAGGGAGTGCACAAGTTTATCGTTCAAGGCTGGCTCGATAGACCAGTGAGTGGGGATGGAAAATTGTTCAGCTTCGTAGACCTGCATAGGGGTGATTTGAGTGTTTTGATCTTGTGAGAGTCGCGCCGAGGAAGAAATGTCGAAACGAGGCGGTAAGAGGTTGATGCGCAAGAAATCACTGGGTCTGGTCCCCATTTGAAGATGGATTGTGAATTTGGTTCAAGAGGAAAAGTAGCGCGTGACAAACAAGTGACCGTGTCTGAGATTGCATTTCCGGAAAACAGTATTGACCACTGCCACTGTTAGATATAAACACGAATGTTATGGTTACTTACACAAACAGACAAATGTGCCTTGAATTGTGACATCGGCGTGAATGTTAAACAAGCTTAGGCTGAATGCCACAGTGGCCTATAGCAGAATAAGAAAGGACGACGAGAGAAAGTGAGGGTACTTGCATGTAGTCCCAGCAAAATGGCCAGTTCGTCGAATTTGTTATTTTACTCAGACCAGAATTCACAGTCTGACTGCGGGAGACAAAAGCTACACCTTCTGGTGTGCCTCCACAAGTTGCGGAAATTCCGCCCTCGCATGTGAAAACCCGTTTTGGGTGCAATAGAAAACTCAGGGGGAAGCCGAGCCGCGGGATGATTGAGAATGATGACATAAATGATGAGTACATGCCCCACGCCTCGCCGCCGAACTGAGCTGTGGCACTGGCAGTTCGGCCAGGCAACGGCGACGGATTCGTGGTGGATTTGGGCATGCCGCGGTCACCCGCTTCCTCGCGCAGCTCACGGAATTTGTAAAAAAAAAAAAAACACATATATATTCACTCCTTAGCTTCAGAGCTTAGTCTGAGCTACACAAATTCCCACTCCGCGCATCCGCCCAGCCTTTGTCTCTACCCGCAATTAAGTGTCGTTTTGTGGGGTCGCGATGGCACCGGACACACTGGCCAGAGGGTTTGTTGAGTTTGGGAGGAGAGGGAAGGGCGGTTTTCGGTGCTGGGGAGAAAACAGGAAACAAAGGCGGGGAGCAGCGTGAGAACTCGTCCCGGGATGCGCAGCTGCGGTGTGCCAACGGCAGGATTGGCGGCGGAGACGCAGTGCAGTCAGCGAGGAATCGGTGGTGTCGTGGCCGTGGCCGTGGCCGACTCTCAGCGGGACGTTCGCCGATTTGAGCTTGTCCGGCGACGTGTCCGAGTCGGCGGCCGGAATTCGGGGTTGAAGCGAGTGTTGTCAATATCGTGGCCCGGCCGGCGAGGAAGAGCAGGTGGCGACGACATGGCTTTGGAAGGGAGAGGTGACCATGTGTGACCTTGCACGGATCACACTTGACACCCGCTGTCAGGCGTCCTTTTGCTCCACAGTCCGAATACGGACTATCACATGCGCGGGCGGAATTCCAACAATAGCCTCCACACCTTTGAGCCCGCAAATCTCTGCCATATTAGAGTCCTTCCTATTAGGCTCAGAAGCTTCCATCTCGTTGGCGCATTCCTTGATCCAGCTTCGCGATGAAGTGCCGCGCCATAAATTGGAGGTTGAGGGAGGAGGCTAATGAGGAAGAAGAAGGGAATGGTGAAGAGGCACAAGACGAGCGATGTGTCGTACTAGTATGGCACAATGATGGCACATCATCGGTTTTGGGGCGACTGGTCGTCACACTCACCCCTCTCAGAGCTCTCTCAGACCAAATTCACAGTCTGACGGCGGGAGACGGATCTCTCTCTGAGATCTGACACCTCTCGGTCAAATGACTTCATTCTTCAACCACCTCGTCGGCTGGGTAGAAGATGTGTTTCATACAAACCCCGACAAAGTGTACCCGGAAGATGTTCTTGCTCAAGCCAAGCGCCTGAAAAGACGGTGGCACGCCACAGAGGCTGAAGCTAAGTCGACCTTGGATCCAGAAGAGCGAGCTATATTAGAACAACACAGCAATCATTACAAGGAATCTTATTCTGAAGTGCGTAAACAGCAACAAGCACAACTCTACTAGCTCACTTATAATTACTAGGTCATGAGACACTACGGTATCAAGCACTTGTCCCATATACTCACCTTGCACTCAACACTATGATGATTTTAGCTGCTCTTCTTATCGAGGCTGAAGAGAGAACCCGAAAGCCCGTTGATAACAAGCAGAAGGGAGACTAATCTTTCATCGGACTGCGCGGCAACGAGTGGCTTGTTTAGTGATCGGTATGCGAACTGGTGTAGTAATAAATCTGGTCTTCTCTCCAAGCTTCAATATGAAGTGCTGCTCAATCGATATATTCAGCACAACGTCTATCCTATCCATGGTCGACAAATAAAGTGCACATGGTCGCTTTTGGCCAAGTGAATCTTGGTCAAGTTTTATCTGGACGCTCAAAGCAACCCCTAGTTTCTACCTTGCCCCGTTCTTGACTGCCTTGCGTTAATTTTGAGCGAAACAACGCACGCTTCCTTAAGCTTCACAAAATGCAAGCCAATCCCCAGAGTAGACAATTCCCAGAAGGGCCTAACATAAGGTTAGTTGCTATGGCTGGCCCGACCGCAGAGAGAGCGCACCTTTTAAAACAGACTCTCAGCATAGACAAGCTCAGCGTGCCTTTCCACATCCGTCATCGTCTTCACAAACCCGACACCCGTCGTGTTCGGGGTTGAGACAAAGCTGTCAGAACGCACGGCCGAAAACCAACACGTATCCCACAAGGTGTGAGGCTAGGTACACTTTCGATGTTGTTGAGCGATGTGATTTCCTTGCTTGGTATGCTTGATAGCGTCGAGAAGATCCTGCACAGAATTAATTATAATTTAGTGCCTATTGGCTACGGCGCACCTCGTCGCTGTAGGACATAAGTCCCTTGACGCATTGAATGAGCCCATAACCGGTGGCAAAGTACAGCCGTTCCCTGTTGGCCGGTAAGCCATCACGTTGCGGGATAGCAGAGACAGCGCGCTTTTTCGGGTCGCTCTCGTTGCAGTAGTCTTCCTGGCAAGGAACGAGTTCAAGGCAAATCGCCTAGCGCTTCCTCAGCTTTGTATGGCGTTTTTAACCGGTGGAGGGGAGGTGAAGATCGTGCGGTAAGAGGTCAGATCCATGAGGTGGTACGGCGGAAAGGGTTCAAGGAGTGAATACGGGTCGGCAGCACGGTGGGGCGAGGATGTGGGGTAAAAAGCAGATCACAGATTGTATTTCCGGTGCCGACCAAGTGTTGTTACTGTTAGATATAAACATGAATGTTATGGTTACACTTTGGTATGTGAGTTGGTTCTTCAAATATGCCTTCAATTGTGACGCTGGCGTCAATGTTACACAGACTGAATGGCCTGTAGTAGTAGAATAAGGGATGACAACAAGAGAAAGGGAGGGTACTTGCCTGCAGTCCCAGCAAAATAGCCAGTTCGTCGACAGGGGCTTGTGTTAGATGATGTCTTTGGATGAAATCCTTTAGATGTGCCTCCGGCCACTTCGCTATACCCTCGAGATGTTCAGCCGTCTTGATTCCAGATGCATTGAATGCAGGAAGCAATCTGGTCATTGGCGGTTGGCAGACATGCGTCAGGAAACTCTCGACATGGTCGATGTTGCGCTCCTCAATATCACTCTGCTCCATATCGGTTGGTGGGGGGATCGTCATGGTCCGACATTGCTGGAGCAGTAGTTGGTGCAATCAAATCAGAGCCGCCTTTATGGTATGATTGGTCTTCAAGCGGAGCATCCGACTGGGATTCAGAGTTGTCTTGGTCAGATTCGTCTTCACTACCACTCGAGGGGTTGAGATCTTCTGTAGGACCATCATGGGCAGCCTTGTTCTGCAAGTAAACATTGACGTAGTTCGTCAGGATATCCTTCCGCCTTTGTTCCTCGTCAGGCTGTAAGTTCCACCTGAAGAAGCCGAAAAATGTGCTGTTCCTAAACTTTTTAGAGCTCAAGCAGTGCTTTCCAACTGAGAATCAAAGGATACCTTTCTGATAAATTTTTTCTTGGCGCGGTCTCGTTTCTTCTCTGGAAGGCAACAGAGCTCGTTGTCGATATGGAAGTCAAGCGAGACCTTCAATTACTTGAGTGTAAAGTCAAGAGAAGAAACCCATGACACATACGAAAAGTATTCCATGAGATTTCAATTTCAGCACCTCCCTCAACCACTCTTTCGCCTGGAATCCAGGAGAGTTCGAGCATTAGGCAAAGAACTTGGACCGCAAAAGCTCGTTTACCCCTTCGATACTCCCCCAGTCAAGATCTCAAGAACGGTTAGGGAGGGTTGCCGACACGTTTGTGCATAGAACCTACGTTCGTTTTGTGGTGCAGCAGGCATGCTGACGGTTCAAGTTCAAAGTTCAACGATCGCCGGTCACCTATTATTGATCGCCAGGTCAAGCCATTTGATGCGTGCTGGTTTCGCTTTTCGCCTCGATGAGATTTTGGCGGTCACTGGAGGCACCCACCTCCGCCGTCCCGGACTCCTAACACTATCTCCACCGAAGCGTTGGCTCTAATTTTCGAGTCAGTTCCAAGCTTCAAATCAGACTTGCTGCCTCCCACTCTTTGCATCTGCACAACCGCTTCGCCGTGAACATCAAGCTATTGCTCGATCATGGGACCTCATAGGACGAAAACCAGGAAAATTTGCTCGGTTCCTTTGGCTCCGGCTGGATTTTTGTCCAGATTGGTTGGGAATTTCAACAAATCATGCATAATTAGGGGCCCTCCTTATGACTTCATTCCTTCACCAGCTCGTTGGCTGGGTGGACGATGTGCTCCATTTAAATCCCCACAAAACATATCCGGAAGATGTCCTTGATGAAGCCAACTCGTTGTATGACACCTGGAAGGCAACCGAGGCTGAGGCCAGGTCAACCGTCGACCCAGAACTCAGAGCGAGGTTGGAGTTAGAGTGCAACCATTATAAGGAGCTTCATTTCAAGGTGCGTCAGCGGCAGCTACATAACATTTCCTCAGTCGTTACCTCACAGATAATGAGACGATATGGTAGAACGCTTGTTTCATCCATCTCGAGCTCGCTCACTCAATGTACATCGTTTTAGCTTCACTCCTCCTCGAGATTGAAGAAAGGAAAGCGGGAAAGGTCGTTGATGACAAGAGGAAGGCGGATTGAGGTTTCGTCGCACTTGACAACATTGAAATGTTTGCTTGGACTTGGTTTGGACCAACAGGTGCAGTCAATGCTTTATGTGATTACCAAGGAACGAAACAGATTACAGTCATACCGACAATGCATTTTTTGGAAAGAATCCATGACTAAACTCATGTCCGTTATAATGTGGCGTCAAGAGTAACATACATAGTGGAGGTCTTCTTACTCCGGCGTACCATCAATTCCATTGATCGCCGGGTCGAGCCATTTGATGCGTGACGTTTTCGCTTCTCGCCTCGATGAGATTCTGGCGGTCACTGGCGGCAGCCAGGAGACTCGCCCTCCGCCGCCCCGGACTTCCAACACTATATTTGCCGAAGCGTCGGTTCCAATCATCACTTGCCGTCGAGACCGAGCATGTCTCCCAGCCTCCTCCTTCTATTTCCCGAGCGAGAGAACAGGAGCTGAATGGTCAGTCTAATGATATCCAGATTTTCTTGGTCATCCTAACCCTAGCCTAGAACCATTACCACAATACCGAAGACTCGTTTCGAGCGGTACTCTGCGAGGAGACGACCACCAGACACGGATCATTGAGAAATTACAGACTCTCCACGACCAGCTTACTCACTACACTCCTCCCCAAGTCTCAGAACCTCCCCCGGCCTCACTCGTACGTACATCTGTGCAATTTACAAAGGCGTGGTCACCATCGTTATAGCGCAGTTCTCTCTCTTCCGCCGACAGTCACCCGAATCGACCGACCCACCAGCTGATGCCCCACGAGGGCTTTACTTATATGGCGATGTTGGGACGGGAAAGACAATGCTCATGGACCTGTTCTACTCCACCCTCCCGCCCAACATCAAGCGCAAGAGACGAGTGCACTTCCATGCATTCATGATCGATGTTCACAAACGGATCCACGCCGTTAAGTCCACTCGAGGAAACACCGGAGATCCGATATTACCCGTTGCACGGGACTTGGCTAGAGAAGCGTCTGTGTTGTGCTTCGACGAGTTCCAAGTGCGTTCATTCCGAGTTGCTTGAACGCAGAAATGCTCACAGCGTCAAATAGGTTACTGATATTGCGGACGCAATGATCCTCCGACGTTTGTTGGAGCATTTATTAAACTTTGGGGTTGTCTGTGTGCTGACATCCAAGTAAGTGTTCTATTCAAGTTTTTCGACCCACTTTAACAGCAACTTGCAACAGTCGACATCCCGATGACCTTTACAAGAATGGGATCCAACGCTCAAGCTTTATTCCTGCAATAGAGCTTCTTAAGACGCGTTTCGACGTCACGGACCTCGATTCGGGGACAGGTGCGTGCTTTCCCCCACAATTTCTTCACTCTACTAAACCTTATCAGACTACCGTCGAATGGCGCGCGTGCCGTCATCCGTGAAACCATACCACTACCCATTATCGCCAGAGACCTCTAAAACGATGGAATCCATCTTCCAAACGCTAGCAAATGGCGACGATGTCGTGCACAACCGCAAGCTGCATGTGTGGGGTCGATCTCTGGTCGTCCCTGTCTCCACCGCAAGTGTCGCAAAGTTCTCCTTCCAGGAGCTTTGCGGGAACCCACTCAGTGCGGCCGACTATCTTGAAATCACGCGCGAGTTTGGCGCCATCTTCCTGTTAGATGTGTGGAAGATCGGGGTCGATAGAAAAGACCTGGCGCGTAGATTTATCACCTTTATAGACGGTGAGCAGCGGAGTTATATTCTATGTCTCGCACTTATTCCTCTGCGTAGCTTGTTACGAAAGCAAGACGCGCTTGTTTATTTCGTCTGCAGTACCCATATATCAGGTATTCTCTGACGACCCCAGTAAGTCTGGCGGGATCTCAGACCACATGCGCGGGGTCATGGATGACCTGGTATGCTGCATGCTTGGCTTCTGTTTGTGGCGTGCTCATGTCGGATGTAGGGTCTGTCACATGATCTGGTTGGGAAGAGCTCGATGTTCACAGGGGAAGAGGAAATTTTTGCGTTTGCCCGGGCGTGCTCGCGGCTTGTGCAGATGGAGAGCAAGGAGTGGGCGGAGACGGCCGGCATCAGCGCAGAATCTAAGTAATCCTTGTTGTAATCTAATCGGACGGAACACAGTGCACCAATCTCGTTGAAAGTTAATAACGACCAGCGTTTCAAGTATTACTGTAAGTATTATATGCTGCTACTTGGACTCTCCTCCGTCTGCTGCAGCCGATCCTTTCCTTCGTTTCTGATTCTTGCGCTGGTTTTTCGTGAGTGTCGACTTGGCTGGAGTTGCACTACTGCCCGTACTTGCGCTCTCTTCAGCTCCGGACCCGAGATGCAACGACAATGATGATTTGAGACTGGGTGATGGCGCGACTGACGGAGCACGTGACGGCGCCTTGAACAACTGATCGCCCGACTCTGCCTGCCACCCGAGGTTGTTGTCGAATGGCGTGAGCGGACTGCCGTGTGCCCTCGGTGTCCGCGCACTTATCGGCGAACCAGCACTGGAAAGTGGCAGTGGAATTTGCTCTGGCAGCGCGAGGTGCTGCAGACCAGGCGTCAACTTGGTTGCAGCGAAGCTAGTCAGAATCTCGACAAGTGGCTTTGAGCGTGCAACGGGAGTAGGGGGTTGGGAGGCCTCTTTGTCCTTCTTTGGTTCCTCTTTCGCGGTCTCTTCGGGCGGTGGCGGTGGGAGGTCCTTCTCTACTACTGATCCAACGACAGGGGTCTTGGGGGATTCAGCAGGGATTGGCGCACTATGTGTTGGCTCGGGTGCCGGCTGTTCCATTGCCGGTTGTTCCGGTGCTTGCTCAACCGCTGCTGGTTCTACCACTGGCGGTTCTGTTGCCGTCACTTCTGCTGCCGGTTCTGCCGGTGGCTGTTCGATCACCGGCTGCTCTGTTGCCGCCGGCTTCGTTGCTACCTGCTGCTCTACTGCTGGTTGCTCTACTGCGGGTTGTTCTGCTACCGGGGGTTCTGTTGCTGTTGGTTCTACTGCCGCTGGCTCTGGTGCAGGTTGCTCTGTCGTCGCCGGCTCAGCGGTAGATTGATCCGTTGATGGTTGATCCGCGGCCGGTTGATCTGATGACTGTTCGACCGTTGGTTGGGAAGAAGGCTGTTCTGTAGTAGCCGCTGCAGGGGGTACAGGGTCTGCGGCGGGCTCAGGTTGCGATTGCACGACTGGGGCCTCTTCCACTGTGTTCCCTCCCGTTTCTGGCTTCGTTTCGGTTCCAACGATTGGGGGTGGCTCCGGGACTACCTCTTCTACTGGCTTTGGTTGCGCCTCGTCCACTTTCGGAGGTTCATCGACAACTTGTTCTGCAGGTTTCGGACTTTTTGGCACGTCTGCGGGCGGGGTCTCGGATTTCTGCTTCGCTTCGGTTTCTAACGTGGTCGCTGGCGGCTCGGGTTGCGATTCCACAACTGGGGCCCCCTCCACTTGAGCCTCGCCTGTTTCTGGCTTCGTTTCCGTCGCCGCCGGGACCGCTGCTGGCTCAAGGACTGCTTCTGCTACCGGTTGTTGTTGCGACTCGTCCACTTTCGGAGGTTCATCGACAGCTTGTTCAGCAGGTTTCGGACTTTTGGGAGTATCTGCTGCGGGCGGGGGCTCTGTGATATCGGCTGGCGGTAGTTTGGGAGTAGTGGCAGCAGGGGGGACTTCGTCGACGGGAGGAGGCTGGACAGTTTCTTCGACAACTGTCTCTGGTGCATCAAACCCCCGGCTCTGTGTTGGCGGGCTCTTGGATGCGTCCTTTCCCTTTCCCCACACCGACGTCAGCTCGTCTGCAAGTTTCGAAGACGACCGGCTCATCACGCTCTCCTCGTGTCGCAAGTCTTTTTCCTTCCCCTTCTTCTCCCGTTCTTTGTCCTTTTCCTTCTCTTTCCCCTTCGCCTTTGACGACTTGCGGCCACGTGACGGCTCACGGTCAGCAGACCCGCGTTCACTGGTGCCAGTTCCACTGCCAACCTCGGCAGGTTGTTGCTCCTGCGGAAGGCGGGCAACATCTGGAATCACTTCGCGTTCAGTCACACTCGGGCCTGGTGTGGGCGGTTTGGGGCTCTCGGTAAAAGGAGCTGGAGGTGGTGGAGGTGGCGGAGCAAGAGCTGGTGAGCGCAACGCTGCGGAGGATGGAGGGCGGGAAAGTGATGGTGGCGAGCGCACCCGCTCAGATCGGGCAGAAGCGATGGTCATGTCGTCCTCAGAAAACACATCCGGCTCTGGATCAAATAGGTCAGTAACTTGTTCACGAGATAAGACATAGATCACGAACCCTCTTCTTCAACGCGTCGACCGCGTTCGTTGTAGATAATCGAAGCGGGACCACTTTAGCTGGTGTCAGTACCAAGTCAAAGAGCCAAAACATTAGAAACGTACTACTTGACTTCGCCCTATTTGACGATCAGACACAGGGTTGCAATCTAGCACAAAACACCCACATTATCAAGCCACTTGATACGCGCACGAAACTCGGTAAGGCCAAAGTGAATCTCGATCGAAAACACGATTTTCCAGAACGTGGTTCCATTCTTGCCCTCCTGGGCAACAGCTGAGCTCTTCAGCGGCGACAAGTCCGCGCGGACCATGCACAGCGTCGAAAACTCGTCGGCATCGCGATAGATCCACATCGGAACCTCCCCCTTGCCGCGATAACACCAGATGAGGACTTCAAACACGGACAGTACATTCAGGCTCGTCAACTCTGTCGAGTATTTACGCGAGAACACGGTCGATTCCTTCACTTTAATTCCCTGCAAAAGCTTGTCAGATTGAGTGCAATAAATCATCACGTGACCGCACCTGCTTCAAGATGCAATCAAACGCGTCAGGGAGAAGGCGCGGGCCGGATGGTAGCTCCACGAGCGTCGACTCGCGACTAGCATGCTCTGCATCTTCTGGATCGAACGCGCGTAGATACTCAACCCCATAAAATGCTTTCGACATGCGCACAGAGACATGGTGGTCGACGTAAAAACCAACAGAGCCATCGCAAACTGCCTTCGACCTAGAAAGTTGTGAATATAACTAGTGGCCAGAGCGATTGCTGCATACGTTTGGGAGTCAGGGCGGTTGACGGTAACGCCATATGGTGCCAGCCGCTCTTGAAGCTGGTTGAAGAGCCAGTGGTTTGCAGCGAAACCGCCAACTAACCATACCGACTGCAATCATAGTAAAAAAAAACATCGTTAATATGAAGTTACCACAAACCTTGATGACTCCCGCAGATGCGTCAACCTGGGCTTTGATAGCTTCAAATGCCGCTAAGGAAATTGTTGGAAGGTTCGATTTTGAACTGCATTAACTCACCCTCGATGGAAGGCTCGAAGAGATCTCGCACTTCTTCTCTACGAGGCAATGAGCTAAAAGAACAACAAGTAGCAGAACGCACCCTGTTAGCTTTAGCTTGCCGCCACGGATGCCAACGGACGAGTCTTTGTCGAGTGGGCTGCCAAATGAAATAAACTGCAACGACTGGTCGTCTCGGAACAGTCGTTTTGTCGTCTCGTCAAATCGCTTGGTAATGTGTTCAACCGCTTCGGGAGACCCGTATTTCGAGTGTTTTAATTTCTCTGCGCGAGTTGTCAACACAAAACTTTTTAGCAAGCGATATGATTTACCCTCTAGGAATCTCCGTGCCCTTCGACTGACGAAAACGGAGCCAGCAAATATGCCTGAAAGCCGGCTAAGTTCCGTGTTAAGTGAAAAAGCATGGGCCTACAATCGGATGGAGCGAGTTCTTCGATTTGAAGAGGTTGATTTCCTGTGATGCTATATGCTGAAATGTCCCATGTTCCACCACCAGCATCTGCAATGAGGAAGCCCGGCTTTGAGGGGTCCTGTGAGTGGAGTTTGGCGGTCAGAGTAACAAGGATATTCTTCAGTAACTCACAGAGAGCACCTCTGCCGCTAGACCATTCAAAACGCAAGCATGCAGACTTGCTTCTCCTATGCTATCTTTTAGACTAAAGCTGCTGAGGCGTGTTGTGAATCCCTACCTTCCGTTACGAAGAATATTCGGGATTTCCCCTCGTCCTAGCTCGCTATCGCTTCAGACGCACAACTCCAACGGGTCTATTAAACGCACGGTACTGGGGACCAGCCCCCCTTGTATCGCAGCCCTTCGGAATTTGGATTGCTGAGCGCCTTCCTGGAATGAAATTTGTCTTAGCACCTCCCGATTGATATGAAAGGACCACAAACCCAGCCATTCGGGTGGCTAAGAACAAATTTGATGTCGCTTTCTACTGAGGCCCACAGCGCGCTTCCGTTGGCGTGTGTGTCCACGATGAAATTGCGTGTGCAGGTGAAGAGATAAGCGAGAAAGTCGCCGAGAACATGGACTGGAGTCTTCCCCAATGGTAGCCTTCCTAATCGCATTCCGTTCATGTTGAGATGCATTGAGCGGGGACGAAGACGGAGTTTGAAACTATAGAGACGTCAGCGTTGAGACGAGTCTAGGAATGTCTGTAAACGCACAGGTCGACTTTGGTCCACCCCTCATCTTCTGCTTGTGCTGTCAAAGCCTCTGCCTCTGCCCCAGCTGCCGCCATCTTTCCATGGCTATCATACCACAGTAACGACGGAATTTTGGAGTTTCCAGCGACATGCTCCTGCCCCGGGAACCTGTTTGTGTGTCAGTGGCTAAAGGTTGAAAACTGCGAGGCAGATGCCTTGTGACGCCAAATATTTTGGGAATTTCTCCAGGCTCGAGGATGGAATATGATACCTATGAAAGAGATAAGTCGGCATATCGCGCTAGGCCAGTCTAGTCTGCTCACCCCACTAAACGTCGTGCCAACATCGATCGCAATGACCTAGAGGCGTCAGAGAAACGCGTATTGGTGAGACATAAGCTGTACGATTGATCGAGTAGGGCCGTTGTATGGTCTTCGTGAGTCTAAGGACGCTTTCATGGCGATGAGGTTTTTGGTGAACGTGGAAGTGGAAGATGAAGAGAGATCGAGGACGGAGAAACGTGTTTTATTCCACAAAGTTGGCTTCCGAGTCAAGCAATCAGCACCCACACGAGGCTTCGAGGCGTTTGGTGGGCGTTTGTGAGTTTATCGCCGTCCTCGCGTAGAACACGTGGTGCTGACGTAGGCGTCATAAAAACGCGTCCGCGGCGTGGCACTACTAATCATGTCCGGCTCGGGTCCAAGGCTGTTGCTCCAGCGCCGGCCAAGCGATTATCGATATTTTTTTCCCCGGTTTGTTGATGCCACCAATACAGGAGATGTTGCAAGGGCTGTACAACACCACTCTCGACTTTTTCGACCTCCGGAATCTTGCCGTTCCAGGAGCTTCGGATTCTGAATTATTTGCAAGGCTTGTCCACCTCCTTATCGATCCCACGACTCTTGACAGAATGTAAACAGACAACAACTAGACACAACGGGTAACGACCGCCGGTTGAGGGCTTCCGACCCGTCGCCTATGCGGCGCGGACTTGAAACACAACTTGCTCGTTCTCAAGCGGAAGTGGTAAAGCTTCAAGAAAGGTGTGCAGCCCTTGAAAGAGCGTTGAAAGGGACGAGAGAGGTGTTACAGGCAAGAGAAGCCGAGCTTGACCGACTAAGGAAATTAGAGTGCAGCGTGAGTGGCCATTTAATTGACTCACCAAGGCTAACAATATCAGTCTACTTCAGCTTGGTCCGGGAATGGGTCTATTATGCTTGAAGAGCAGCAGGCGCGGTCTCGGAGTAACGACCTGTTCATGACACGGACAGATAACTGGTCGGGGTCATCCATCATTCAAGCTGTCTGCGACATCAACTCTGAACTCATTGGGTTCAGCAGCGCAGCCATTGAGCTTTCCACGTTCGAGTCGCGGACGGATGCATCGACACAGGCCATGCAAGAGACTGACACCCGTTTGGGCCCACATATTGTTAAGATGTTAGAGGCGTGGCCAACTGGGAGTGACCCAACTTTGGTTGGGCTGGTTTTGCAGGCTGGGGTCGCGACATGTGTTGCCCGTGCTGTGTCGGCTTTCGCCTTGGGGCTACCAGCCAAGGCGGAGACAACTTTATCCCAAGTTTATTCGCATATCTTCTTTTCAGGTGCGAAGCTATGTGGCGAGTGCTCTCCAAGCATTTCATGTTTTGTCCAGAGCCTCAACCGACATCCGCGCGATGGCGTGCGCTAACCCATCGGTCAGAGGATTGATTTTTGTTGAAGCGCGGACTGACTGGCCACCTAGACACGTTCACACGCTCTACCCAGGACTAGCGGAGTACGCGTTGGAGGAGCTGAAGGAGACTATTTACCGTTGGGCAGCGGATATTCTGCTGGCTGTCGGTGCTGAATCCATGTCGCGACAGTGGATCCGGGACACATTTGGCCAACAAATAACCCGGATAGCAAAGTCTGTTCTCGCATTTGCAAAGTTGTGCAAAGAAGGTGTGTGGCGATCCCGTCGAGAAGCGATTGGGAAGTAACTTCGTAGGTATCATGTCAACGAACTTCGACATTGTCATCATAGAGAGCGGCCAAACTTTCGACGAGCGCGTCATGGTGGATTTATTTGACCCACAGTCGGGGGAGGGAGATACTAGTCATCCTCAAGGGGTGGTTTTGGCGACGACCGAGCTTGGTTTGCGGAGAATGACGCGCAGAACGGTTGGAGACGAGAGTGGCACGGTAGAGCATCAAGTTCTACTGAGACCGAAGGTATTACTCGAGTCTGTCCTCAGCACGTCTTTTGTTTCGTAGCTGCAAGACAAGTTGAGAGAAAAAAAAGCACACATCGCGATCAAAAAGTCACGGGCCGGGTCACGGACCATTTTCTGTTTCGAAGACGATGTCAACAAGCCTGGACGCCAATGACTTGCTGTTTGAATCGACTATAAATTCGCGCTCGGAATCTCCAGCTACGCGCGTCGAAACTCCTCCAACTCCTGTTGAAGATAGTGCGGTTGAAGATGGGGCACAGAAAAAGAAGAAAAAGAAGAAACCCAAGAAGTCTGCTGCTGCAAAAGCGCGAGATGCTGAAGCCACTAAAGATTCAACCTCTAAACAAGACGACCTAACTCGCCAATCCATCCTCTCGATTAGCCGGAACAAGCACTGGCGATATATCAGTTCATATCATGTGCGTAATTTACGCTGGTTCACTTCACGTTCCCCACCACAACCCAAGCCTTGTCGACCTTCATATACTGTCAGAACCATACTAATATACCGCTTTTTAGGGACCATGGCTGCAACTCCCAGTTGAACTACTCGAATCTTTACTTACACTCAACGTTGACCCTGCCACCCTTGCTCCGCCACGACTACCTCCCAATTGGGCAGCTTCTTCTGATCCTCTGATCACAAATCCTCTACGTATCGGTCCACCAAGACAGTCCCCGCCAGACTCACCACGATCTACTCCAACAACGGTTTCGTTCCCGACGAACATACCCCCCAATCTTTCATTTCCTGACCCTGGAAAACCTGCTCCACCTCCCATAGACCCGGGAGTATTCCGAAACGTAACTGCCATCCGACGACTCATAGACGAAGCAGCCGAGTTGAGTGTGAGGGCGTCTTCCGGTCTTTCTGCGGCTGAGCTCAGCTCAATGCGCTCTTCGTCAAGTATTGGCTCTTCCTATTTAGGCTTTAATGCGTGGGGTACAAACAACAATAATGGCCGAAATGTTGCCATGAGCGCTATGCGCATACACCGTTTACGAGCACTTGCTGTTCAAAAACTGGCAGCTGCATACCGGGCAGACGAAATTGCAAGTTCTGTGATGGTTATGCAGGTACTCAAGCTTATCTTCAACCAAATTTCAACTGCTGATATCGTCAGGGTGGGACAGTTTTTGACGACCTTGCCGAAAGAGTGCTTAAAGTCGATCCTAACGACCCCGATGCGCGATATGTCCACTTTTTCCACGAGAAAATTCCATCAAGGTCAGGAAATGTTTTTTTTTCCAAGACCAAGTAGTTCTAACTCAGCCACAGGCAACTTGCAGAATTCACGACCACGCAAGTACTTGATGAACTCATTCAACGACAGCCTCAAAAGTTGGAATATTATCGGACGCGTGGGATCGTCCACTCTTTCCGCGATGAATTCTCCCTCGCCACCAAAGATTTTACACACGCTCTCAAGGAAGCTCGGGCGATTCGAAAAGCAAAGGTGTCGCATCATCACAATTATTCTGCCCCAACACAGAACGGCAAGGCGAACGGGGCCAAGGGGAGTAAAAAGAGGAAGGGTGGGAGCAAGAGCAAAGTGCAACCCGTCCCAGATGAAGAAACAGGGGACGCTGGAGGGGAAGGAGAGTCGGACGATGCTTTATTGCCACATCCATCAGTTCTACCTGATGCACCCACGCCACTTGAACCGCAACTTTTATTCCTTCGAGGAGCGACATATCTACAGCAAGCTATCCATATCATCGAATCCGCCATCTTAAAACTTGAAGGCGTTTACAAGTTCCCTGCAACCTCGCCTGGAGGTAGTTCCGTCAATGGAGTTGATCTGCGGTTAAGCCTTCTTGAAGGCAGTGTCTATGGTGGCGTTGAAATCGGTAATCCAGAAGGTCCTTTGGGATGTAGCTCTGGCAAGAAAGTTCAGGCATACCGCGAGATATTCGGTGTCGCAGAGAATGGCGAGTGGAATACGGTCAACGGAGAGCGCGAGAAGACGCGCGACCAAATCATTGGTCTTGTTAGGAAAAGCATACGGGATCATGAGCGTTTTCTTGCGCACTTTGATTCGATCAACGCTGTAGCGCAACTTCAATTTGGGATAGACAAGACCATTGTCGAAAAGGTCGAATATGCCTTCAAGGTTGCGGAGGCTGTACGTCCTGGAACTCAAACGCCACCCACGCCACTCTCACAACAGGGACAATTACCGTACTCAGAAAGTGATTACGAGCTCCCAACAACCTTTACGACCTATCATCCCCTCCTCGTCGAGGCTCATTTCAGTATCCTCCTCTGCTACCTTTTATTGGGTGACTTCACGACCATGTTACCCACTTTCGTCAATACTGCAAAAATAATTGATGGTCTCGAGGGCTATCCCGTTTTCCTTCCTCCCCGTTCATTGGCGCAAGCTGAGTTCCTGGAGGTTCTCGATCGTCTTGCGGCTAGCTGGAAAACCGGCATAGCGGCGTACTCTGTACCGGAGTCCCCTCCCAAGCAAAAGGAGAAAGGGAAGGCCCGAGTCGAAGAGATTCTCGAAGTGCCGGAATCCATTGAGAAAGAGCTTGCTGATGCCTTTGCGGAGTCAAGGAGATCAACATTGGAATCAGATGACCTTCCGACGGCGTCTGCATCCTCTTCCACGACTTCTACATCGCCATCGGCAACCCGGTCCGCCACACCGGCGCCGCCCTCACCTTACGCGCAAGCGCTCAACAGCGTGCGCATTCTTCTTGCTCCCGTGGCCGCTCGCCAACGGGAGAAAGAATCCGAGAAAAGTCGCCCAAAGAAGGGTGCTGCCAAGATGACTGGTATCAATATTCCCCTCCATGGTCCACGAGTGGACATCATCCTTGCCTGGCTCGGGGCAGTTCACATACCCGCCTTAGAGAAAGCGGCAGTGTAGAGTGTTCCCTTTCATTCGTTCGAGTAGTGCTAGATCTAATTAGGAAGTGTATGTAGACAATTGTGTTAATCATGATGGAGCACACATTCGCCTTTGTTGACACACCTTTTGTTGAGAACCGCTTTGTAGTCCACAGGTCAACAGCGGGCGTATAAAAGGCAGGAGGATGCCCTGCTTCTCTTTCTTCAAACTACACCATGGCCCCCGTCTCCACTGACTCGAGCTTCAACTCCCTCTTTGACGGCGAATACATCAGCAGCAGTCAAGAAGCGTCAAAGAGCCGTTCGGCTTCACCCACTGCGACTCCGATGCCCCCAGTCCGCGAGCTCGCGTTACCTTGGGGGGGAGATCTGGAGGACACCAGCGATGCAGACACCGAAACAGAAGCGGGCCCCCACTCGGACAACATTAACTCTGACTCTGACTCTGAAGAGTTGACTTCCAGCCAGGAGGCGCATGTTCAGGAATTAGAGGCAACCTTGCAAGAAGCAGGACGACAAGCAGATAGGGAGGAGGAGGCGGACGACTTTATGCCTTCCTCTCAAATGTCCGCCATCTCGATAACCAACTCCGACGGGGAGGACGATGACAGGCTCCCACCATCCGATCCTCCCAAGGAGAATTTCGAGGCGACGACACCCACCACCGAGCTCCCAGCATCTGATTTTGAATCAGACACTGACGACGAATAGACGATGAACCGGTTCGATTTGTTCTTGGGGAATACACGTCCATGATAATTTACACCTCTTTAATTCTTTACTTCGTTTACATTTCCAAGTCTGCGAATTGGTCGGTAGCCTAGAGAGCAAGTTAGATTAGAATATTGTGTTTAGTTCTGACCTTGATGAGAAGTTCCTCGATTCCCTTTTCGCGAGTACTGTGTCCAGCATCGGGCACGATGTGAAGTGTGATTTCAGGCCAAGCCTATCATGTTTTAGGGCTATAACGCTGCATCGCAAAGAACGTACCTTCTTCAGCTGGTAGGCAGTGGTAGCCGGACACACGACATCATATCTGCCTTGAACAACAATGCACGGGATGTGGCGACTGGGAAAAGATAAGAACAGAGCAGAATGAGGGAAGAACACCGACATCTTATCGATCTCTTGCGGTTCAAGAAGCTGACCATCACGCATGAACCCGTCGTTGACAAAATAATGGTTTTCGATGCGGGCAAATGCACTAAGCAGCGAGGATCAGACCAAGAAACTGAAAATGTAGTGAAATTTTCGCACTTGGCAAAATCGTCTCCGTCAGCTGAGAAAAGTGATGAGAGGGTGGTCAAAACCATAAAAAGCGCGAGATACCTCGAGCCAGATATTCAGGATCTACATAAAGTCTCGAAGTCGCCATTCTGTGACATGAATGACGCGCAAAATGCAGGAGGAAGATACTCACTCCCATTTAGTCCATGCCTTAGCTGCGGTAATTCTGGGGAAGCGTCAAAACAATGAATCCTTTGTCGGTGCCTACGACAAACCTGGTTTCGTCGTCCACCGCATTTAATTGTGCGTGGTATGCTGTCAGCATATCGTGGCGTTCAGGCTCAGGGATGATGGAGATGTATTCATCCCAGGCTTCGGGGAAAAGGTGCGAGGTGCCGTTTTGGTAGAAAAAGTCCAGTTCACTGTAAGTAGACCGGTTAGTCGGAGCTTCGTCAGGGGTAGAAGAGATAAGGAACCTTTTTCTCAGAGTGAAGATTCCTCTGTCGGGAGGGTAAGATTCCCGGCAAATGTTGAACGAATACCCACCGCAGGATCAAGCTCCTCACACGATCTGGATGTGACTGCGCATAGGCCAGCGAAAGAGTCGAGCCCCAAGATCCGCCGAATACGTGCCATTTCTGGATTCCCAAGTGTTCACGGAGACGTTCAATGTCCTTGACGAGGTCCCAAGTTGTGTTCTCCTCTAAAGACGCGGTCGGAGTGGATTTCCCGGACCCTCGTTGGTCATGGAGGATGATGTTGTACTTCTTGGGGTTAAAGAACGAGGCGTCTTGGTGGCCTGAATCGTAGACGCATCCACCGCCAGGACCTCCGTGGAGGAAGACAACAGGAGAGCCGTCTGGGTTTCCGCTCAACTCGTAACTGGGGGTTGATTAGATAAGTAGGGTATATCGCCCACTGGCTTGGACGGCGAACTAGAGAGTGTGGATGCTATCAGGAATCTTGAGATTGCCGGTTTTATAGGGAACGACGTCGGGGTACATGGCGCGTCTTGTCGATGCTGAAAGAAGACGAGTGGTGGTGGTGGGTCGCAAGTGCGCCTGCGTCACAGTGACGAGCCTGCTACTTGCTCTGAGCATGGACCAAACAACCCTTGTTCGCTTATTTGTGGCCTGAGCCGATCCCGGTCCGCAATAAAGCCGTCATCATTCGATTTCGTATTATATTGTTCTTCCTGTCCACAACATCCATGCCAGAAACCGTCTATGTCCCTACTTCTCCCCCAAACCAGGCTGCACAGCCGCTGCAGCCAGCTGAGCTCACTGAAGAGCAGCAAAAAATGCAAGAAACTGTCTTATCACACTTTTCCGACCCAGATTTCAAGCCAACCGGTTCAGAGACAGGACTGTCCGATGAGGAGAAGATGTGGGTCTCTCATGAGTGCATTCTGAGGTGGGTACGCGGCTCTCGACAGACGAAGTAGGTGCAGAGGATATTTTTCAGGTACCTTCGTGCCAGTAAATGGAAGGTCGACGTTGCCAAAGCTCGCCTCGATGCCACGTTGGCCTGGCGGCGACAATACGGAATATATGACAAATTAAAGGCCGACTATGTCGAGCCTGAGGTGAGTTAGCTCGAAGAACGCGTCGCGGAGCGGGTTTTACGCGTCGCCAGGCGGTCACAGGGAAGCAAATTATCTTCGGCCACGACGTCAATGGCAGCCCAGGTCTTTATGTGAGCGCCATTCTCTCCCACATGCGTTTATCCTAACACCCTTATAGCTTCTGCCTTCAAGACAGAACACAAACGAGCCTCCACAACAAATAGAATTCACTGTGTGGATGTTGGAGCGCTGCATCGACATGATGCCTGCCGGGGTCGAATCGCTCGATCTTCTCGTCGACTATGCAGATAAAGCCAAAAACCCATCTTTCGGTACCGCCCGTGCGGTGCTTAACATCCTCCAAGGTCAAACTTGCGTTCTGTCAGGCCTTATATTCAACATTTCGCAGACCATTATCCGGAGCGACTCCACTACGCGCTGATCCTCAATGTCCCTTTCCTCTTGAATGCATTCTTCAAATTCATAACGCCGTTCATCGACCCCGTCACCCGTCTCAAGATGAAGTTCAATCCAAAAGTTGTCGAGGACGGTATCTTTGATTCGAAAATGGTCACGGAAAGGTGGGGCGGAGACGTGATTGTCGACTACAAGCATGAGCAGTACTGGCCTGCTCTCGTCGGTAGGCCTCTCGTGGTCAAACTGCATGGAACTGACATCATTTGCAGATATCACAAACGAGCGGCGAGCATTGTGGATGAAGAATTGGCAAGCACTAGGGGCGAAAGTTGGCTTGAAGGAGGCTGATTACAAAAGAGTAGCAGAGGAAAAGGTCCATGAAGAGGCCCCGGAGCCTGCTCTTCCCGTCGATGAGGCATGAACGTGGTTCATTTCGATTATCTAGACATATACTCTACCATATAATACGGACCTATAGCTAATGTCTGAATTAGAACCCTTGCAAGAAAAGCTCCTTCCTAGGACGGTTTCCATCGACAAGCATGTCGCCAACTTCTTTGCAACCAAGGTTTGGCCACTGGCTTTCTCTGATAAACCCATCGTCATCCACGGAGACAACAACAGTCGGCACGTCTCGGACAACATCCGTGCCAAACAGCTGCAGCCACTCAAGCACTGGCTTCGTCGTCCACCTTTTGCGTCCTTTGCGTCCAAAAAACCACCCTAGATGCCCACCAGACTCGGTTATGGCTGTCACAACATATCCGTTGTTCTGCGCATCGGCGCCAGGCATCTGGACTCGCTGGACAACGGGGTCGTCTGCAGCGTTGATTGTAAGGCAAGGAACACGGACATCTGCAGCGACCTCGTGACTACTTGCCCAAGCGTAGTACTCGTGAACAGAGTTGAAGGGAAACGGTGGAGTATCGCCGACAGTGCGCGTATATATATCGTCAAAGTCCGTTAGAGTAGGCTTTTTTAGGTGTAAGGCGGCGCGGAGGGCAGCAGCAGTCGGGTGGGCTGGGTTTTTGAAGAAGATAGCTTGATGGTGGAGTAACAATCTTTTGATATTGGCACCCATGCCTGGAAGGTAGACATAACGTCCCATGGTGCTGTCGTGAAGACTGGAAATAATGGGTAACGGTACAGACCTAGGAAATCAACCCACCCTAGAGTGTTTTTGACAAGGTCCCATGGGTTTCCTAATATTGCGGCTGCGATATCAAGTTCAATGGCAGTAACGAACAGACCCTCGCAGTCACAAACCTGCAGATATACGACTGTTCACCCCCTCCTCTGGAAACAAAAATAAGCTTCGCCGATGCTCTGGTCAAACATCTCCCACCTGCAAGGTAGCGAATGAGGACATTGCCTCCAATGGAAAACCCAAGGCCAACGAGAGGAGCATTGGGAAATCTTGATGAGATATAGGTCAAGGCTTGTCGCAGGTCGTCCGTTTGAGCCGCGGTATAGAATTTTGGACTCGTGATTGGAACACCAGAACCTAACAAAGTTGAAGGAGACAAAAAAACACGCAGGCTATGATGACGCACATCCACGAAAATTCACAACGACAGCGCGATAACCAAGTCCACCACGATCGACGGGCGCAGTTGCCGGAGCTAATACTGAACGCACGTAGGGCTCATGCGAGCCTGTTGGTGGATGTTGGATGTCTTGTTTTTCGAATAATTGTCAGGACATACCACCAGTCAATCCATGTTGAACGACGATTATCGGAGTGTCGTCAGGAATGTCCGGTGAGTCTGGCGGCGCGAAATCCAATCCCAATGTTCCCCCATCCACTAGTCTCAGCAGTCGTCTAGATAAAAACTATCGCGTCAACTTGGGACGAAGGCTATGAAAGCCCGTACCTCTGGTACCAGACCTTGTCTACCTCGGAGAAGTCACCGAGCACGGAATGCATAGTGTGCATGTGTCCACTATTTGAATTTAGCGAAATGCACGTAATATCCACGCGAAACACGCACTTGGGAAGCCACCAGGTTGGGCGATATTTTGTTGACAGACTCTTGCATCGGGAAAGCACCAAATCACGTAGCGACACAGAGTCTGATTGCGACTTTAGGACGACATAGGCGGGCTCTGGAGGGAAATGGAGACGAGGAGCCTTTCTGCTGCGTTTTTCGGGCATGTGGGTCAAGGAAAAAGGTTGTTAACGCTGGAATGATGACCGAGGGCACAGCTATCTATCTCCCATTCGTGACAAAGGTCTGCCTGTAATGCCGCATTACAACGCGGCTGCTTGCCATCGAAGAAGACTATTCTTGCCGTCCATTGCGATTGGGATCTGAGGTAGATGGATGGAATCAGTCCTTGTCGCATGGAGTGTTTCACCACAGATTTTCAAGGCAGTAAAGGTCGTAACCAAAGCGCATCTAATCGAGATGAGATGAAAGCAGCGGAACGGCGGAAGAGCAGCCGCGATGCCAAGCTCTGGTTGGCCAAAACCTTAGCGGTCACGCGCCAAGCTCCACCAATTAGCGCATACCCCAGTCGCGTGAGGCTTACATAGGCGACACTCGACCTCTTAGCTCCTCATCATGTACTCGAAAATCGCAGCACGCTCAGTCCTTCGAAAAGCAGTCTTCCAAACACGTCCTGTTGGCGCCTTGAATGTTCGGTCAGTAGCGCCTATAGTCTTTTACCCGATTCTGAGTATGACGACATGGGTTAGACATTCAAGCACTATGCACGACAATGACCCCGAAGTAACTGCCAGCGCCGAGACTCGTCGCCCTCATTTACAATATGCCACAGCTGCTCGAACTCGAAAAGAAACGGAATATGGCTGGAATTCAGCACAGAACATCGACCCCACACAAGCACGCTCCCGGATGGAATGAGCATTTGGCAAGCGCCTCGGAGGCTTCACTGAAGGTGAGATTCCCATATGCATATTCCGACTTGCCTGAATCATTCTTAGGCTGACAAGGCCGATGGCTCGCCAATCGACCTCCAAGGGACCACAGTCGAATACATTCAAGCACGACACTCGCCCGACGAAGCAGCGGACTTGCTTGACCAAGTCAATGGTCCACTCTCCAGTGCTAAGACGGACGACACAAGCACAGGCCCACAAGTACTCGTTCGGAAGACCGTCCGTGAAACAACCGAAGTCTGGAAAAACGAGAAAAGCACCGCTAGCGAGGACGTCGTATGCGCCGCTCAAGTTCTCCAAAGTCATATCGCTGACTCACTGCAGGTCAAGGCTGAACGCGGAGTGCTTTCCACTGAATAAAAACTCCGGCAGTCCGCATGACTCTAATGTATTAGTATGACCTTCTTGCGCACCTGTACTCTTAGCGACCCCCAAACATTTCAAATAAGCGAGAAAGGAATTTTTTTATTTGGCATTATGCGTGTGCAGCATTGACAAGTCCGTGTGTCCAAAACAAAGAAGATGCGTTGGAGTTGTTGAGGGAGGTGCTTCTGGTGAGCTGATGCTCGCGAGAGTCTGGAATGAGGGGCTGGAGTACAGATCACGATTAAGAGACCAAAATATATGGTTCATGTTACAATTACTGAGAAAAGTTGGTTAAGGTAACAACAGACAAAGGAGTGAATCACGCACAAGGAAGTAATCCGGCACACGTCGTGAGACAAGTGGCTCTCCGGCTCGCGGAGCAGGGTCGAATTGTAGGCTGATATTTGTCAGCAACTAGAAGAATCGGCAATATCGCCATGACGCACAAGCTATACGATAATTTTTCGTCTATTTCCATGATTGCTGCCTGATTGCCGCAACGATAACAGTAGTTGGGGGCGCTGAAAATAGTGACCACGTTTCTGTCTTGGCTCCAAGCGTAACCTAGGAAGTAGGTCAGACACAGGCTTGACCACGACGACAACGACGAATACTTGCCTTCCATGACAAGCTGGTGGGCACGAGCAACCAGAGTCAGACCGTTGTTGTGATTGAAGGCTTCAGAAATGTCTTGTCCGAAAGTATATCCTGCACCACGCGGAGAGATTCCCCAACCACAGCGGTCATCTGGGTCGGACCACAGCAAGTCACACATAGGGCCTTCATGAGGAACTTCTTGGACACGATCAATAGAGCGGACATGGTCAAGCGTGTCGATGGAAGGCGAAAGACCACCGTGGAGGCAGAATATCTATCAATTCGGATCAGATGCGCCATGCGATAAAGGAAGCAACCGACTTGGTTATCAATAAGGGCAGTGAGAGGTAAAAAGTCGAAAAGGTCGGTGAAGAACCGCCAAACGTTGGCATTGCCATACTTGCGGAGACATTCGTCGTAGAATCCATATACTTGCGTGATCTGTCGGGACTCATGGTTTCCCCGCAAGATGGTGACACGATCGCGGTAGCGCAGCTTCAAAGCGACAAGAAGTGTCACTGTCTCAACAGAGTAGTAGCCACGGTCAACATAGTCCCCCATGAAGAGATAGTTGGTATCAGGCGAGTTGCCGCCGATACGGAAAAGCTCTGAAAGGTCATGCTAAACGCAAGATAAGCCATAGACATTCCTAGAGGTGTACTGCGACGCACGAATTGGCCATGAATGTCACCGCAAACCGTCACTGGACAGCGAACAGGCTGAACATTTGATTCCTCCATTAGAATTTCTCTGGCCTAGAAAGATATGAAAGGGACAACAATTGGGGTCGCACGACTAACTTTGTCGCATAGCTTCTTAACATCGGCCTCTGTCAACTGTTTGCATGCGCTCAGCTGTTCAATCCAAGCATCAATCTCGTGTTCCATTTCGTTTTAAAGTGGTTCAAAAGGTCGTCGCTTCGAATGGTAGTGGTGGAGGGCTCGATGGAGGATGCGATGGAGGCAGGGGAGTGTTTGTGGTGGGAGAGTGAATCAAGTGGTAATGTCACTGCCCGTCACACGACGCGTTACTTTTCGGACGATGAGCATCGACACAGAGGTACGCGCGTTGCTCGTGTTTGGGCATCATTTACACACTCTAGAACGCGATATATACGACGGATGAGGTATGAAAACCAGCTAAATCCCAGCTATATCTGACCCTTGACCTAGTATGGTCGGCCTTTCATCATCTTGCGTGAACAAGCCAAAAAGACCCGTACCCATGGAATCGAGGCGATTAAAGTTGGTGCAGAAACTCCATTCAAAGTATAAACTGACCAAACTAGTCCCACATTCTTGCTGCACGGACTGTCGCTAATATCGTTCGCACATCGCTCGGTCCAAGAGGTTGTTCATAGGCCTGTCTGCATCCCTCGAGATTTTGTTTACCATGAACCTATAGGACTTGACAAAATCCTCATTTCACCCGATGGCGACATTACGGTAACGAACGACGGGGCGACAATTCTCAGTCAAATGGAGGTTGAACATCAGATCGCAAAACTTCTAGTCCAGTTGTCCAAGAGTCAAGACGACGAGATCGGAGATGGGACAACCGGTGTTGTTGGTGCGTTATTTTGGTCCGTATAAATTTCGGAACTCGTAACCTCCACAAAAGTTCTGGCTGGCGCGTTACTGGAACAGAGCGAGGCATTACTGGACCGAGGCATACATCCAATCAGGATTGCAGATGGATTCGACCGTGCTTGCTCTGTAGCAGTGCAAGAGCTTGACCGTATATCGGATCGCGTCGAATTCTCAAAGGAAAACACCGACAATCTCCTTAAGGCTTCAATGACGAGTTTGGGTAGCAAAATGTGTGTTCTTCGTTCTGCCTAATGATACTAGCTAATCCTTGCAGTGTGTCCAAAGAACACAGACAATTCGCTCAGATTGCCGTCGATGCTGTCCTGACCGTAGCTGATCTCGAACGCCGGGATGTGCCTTTTGACCTCATTAAAGTCGACGGGAAAGTTGGTGGCTCCCTCGCCGATACAACATTAATAAAAGGCGTGCTCATCGACAAGGACATGTCCCATCCACAAATGCCGCATGCTATCAGGGACGCGCACCTCGCTATACTGACATGCCCTTTTGAACCTCCGCGACCCAAGACAAAACATCACCTCGATATCACAAGTGTGGAAGAGTTCAACAAGTTACGGGAATATGAGAAAGAGAAATTCGCAGAAATGATCAAGCTCGTCAAAGACACTGGGGCCAACCTTGTCATCTGCCAATGGGGCTTCGATGACGAGGCAAACCATTTGTTGATGCAGAATGAACTTCCCGCAGTTCGATGGGTTGGTGGGCCTGAAATCGAGGTAACATCAGATATGCTTTTTAGCTTCAAACTCATCCACTCTCAGCTTATCGCAATCGCCACTCAAGGCCGTATTGTGCCTCGTTTCGAGGATCTTACCCCAGAAAAGCTCGGCAAAGCCGGAATTGTGCGGGAAATCTCCTTTGGAACAACGAGGGACAAGATGTTGGTCATCGAAGAGTGCGCAAACACTCGAGCGGTCACCATATTTGTTCGCGGGAGTAACAAGATGGCGAGTTTCCAATTTGTCAGCTCCAAACACATGTGACCTCTCTGCAGATTGTCGATGAGGCCAAGCGTGCTTTACACGATGCCATCTGCGTAGTCCGGAATCTTGTTGTTGATAACCGTGTCGTCTACGGTGGGGGAGCAGCGGACATCAGCTGCGCGATTGCGGTCTCGAAAGCAGCTGACGAGGTGATCGAATCAAACAAATCGCCTCAAGTCATCGTCTCAGTCTCTTTCTAGATTCCTTCAATCGAACAATACGCGATGCGAGCCTTCGCGTCGGCACTCGACGCAATCCCTCTGGCCTTGGCGGAGAACAGTGGTCTTCCGCCTATCGAGACATTGGCGGAGGTCAAGAGCCGGCAGATAACAGAAGGGGACTCTCGTCTTGGAATAGATTGCAACGGAAGGGGGGAGAATGGTACGTGACGCAAATGGATCATTTTTTGCAAAGATTCTGAATTCGTCCAGACATGAAGAAACAATTTGTATACGACCCACTTATTTCCAAGCGACAACAATATTTGCTAGCCACACAGGTAAAAAAGGCAACTTTCACAAAAAATGTGTCACTAATTCATTTGTAGCTTGTGCGGGCAGTACTCAAAATCGGTCAGTGATATAACGAGCCAATAATCGATACCTTACTGATCGACTTTCAGACGATGTTATCGTTGCCGGGGAGGCGGAAGACTAGAGTATCTACTGTAAAACCCAAAATTAACCATTGCGTAATCACGATCAAGTAACGACTGACGCGTGACACAAAACTTGTCGGCACAAACCTCCATGTTCCCCTCACTATGCCGACGATTCTGGTCAACTGCACAACACCAACGCACCCTAAGTCGTGTACCCTTCAAAAGCTACCCCAGGACGCGATACCTGCACGTGTCGTCAGGTCCGTCGCACTCTCAAAGCACGAATTGTAAGCTTAACGCCGAAAAGTTTTGCGGCATGGAGATATAACGCGTCCGGCTCCCGGGACTGGGTCAGTGGCTTATTCTGCTGTCTCCTCTCTGTTTACCAAGTCAGGCTTGTCTAGGATCAAAATACACTTCAAAGACTCGAAGGGAGAACTGGTAAAGACGGTGGAAGCCAACGAAGGAGATGATCTTCTTTCTATTGCGCATGAGTATGACATCGAGTTAGAAGGTGCGAGTCTCGCCTCAGCCGCAGGCTATTGTTGAAGGGCTATCCAGGTGCTTGCGAAGGCTCAGTTGCCTGTTCGACCTGCCATGTTATCCTGCCGCCAGAATACTACGATCTGCTTCCTGAGCCGGAGGACGACGAAAATGACATGCTCGATATGGCGTTTGGGCTTACGGATACGAGTCGCTTGGGCTGCCAGGTAAAGTTAACGCGCGAGTTGGATGGCATGACCGCGACGCTGCCTGCCGCCACAAGGAATATGTTTGTAGACGGTGGGTTGCCCACAAATACCGTTTCTTCTTCTGATTAACTGTAGGGAAAAAGCCAACCCACCATTGATATTCTACCTGCTGCTAATTTATCGTACTCCTCAATACACAAATTCCGGTTCCGCCTCCACCCTGACAAGAGGATGCGGTCGCAAACTAAACAGTTCGATTTCGGTCTCCCTGCCGTATGTATACGGAGTCACATTGTACCACTAAACCACTGCACTGTCTTTGGGTTCCGTCTCATCACTTTCCGCCTTCGGTTTCCAGAACATCAACCCTCTGAGAATGTCCTAGGAATCTGTTGTGAGTATAAGACCGAGCACAAGTTGGATTCAAGTACATTCTGAGTTCCAAAGATGAAGCCTGCGGCGCTTGGCACTAAGAAGATAATTGAGATCGACCGGCCTGACAATGAAATTACCGACAAATGGCTGTTGCAAGGTGTGTTTTTGCTCCATTCACAGTGGACTGAGTGAAGAATGAGAGGGCAGTTAACCTTATAATAAAGTATTGAATATCAAGATAAAAAGAAACCAGGCAGGCATACCCTCCAGCAACCATAGGCAAAATGCTGAAGATGGACAGGCGAACAATGAGGGCCAATGATATACCATCCTGCGAGTGAAACTTCCGGAAAGCGGTCCAGTTCCTATAAAGCAACAAAGCAGTCTTGGCTAGTAGCAGACATCAAACATATAAAGAAGTTCCAAACACAAGATTCACCTTCAAAGCTTATCATAACAAGCACTGTTAAAAGCACAACCACAGCAGTAATTGTTGGTCTTCAAACTGCAATTAGAGTAAAACTTCCAACAGATATTCAACACATACTGGATGCTGCTGGTATAATGACAGTAAAATCCTGTGTCATCTCTTGCAGCAATGGATGGATGTGCAAGTCCAATCTAGGCTGATATCAGTAGAGTTTTCAGCTAATAAGGGAGTGCAGATACACCAAGGGCAATGATAAGTGTCAAAAGCCCTACAATATATGGATAAACTTGAATCTAAGTAATAATATCAGTAAAGTTGCACTGAGAGTGTTATAAAATTGCTTACCATTGTAATTTGTCTTTTGCTAGGCCGTGCCTTATTTTTAAAGACAGACCAGAGGATCAGATACATCTTATTTAGCATTGATTAGAGAGAAACAGATAATAATAAAAAACAAACATGCAGCATCACTGAGAGTGTTCCAGCAGAGGTGCTAAATTTAATAATTTGGCTAAAGCTCCAAGTAAAATCAACTGAGACTCACAGAACTGGTCCAGCATAAATCAGTGCTGCCTGTACCAGACAGACAGAGGCCGGAGGCTCTGGCCCAACTTGACTCCCAGCAAGCATGAAGTAGGAGAGACAGAAAAATAGCCAGGACAGCATGAATGAGTACCAGACCCGTGACCGGTGAACTCCAGGAGAAATCCATGCAATGATAAGAGTTATTAACACGATCATAAATCCTGGGAAAGTATATTAGTAATCAGCATCACCAGAAAAAGTAATGATACCAAATATCTGCAGGAAGTTGTATACTGCAAGGAGTGCCAAACTGGTATGCTCCTGTGCCAGTGTATCTGGCGTTTGAGCATAAACATCACATGACTCGGAGGGTTATGGAAGTAACAAATACCTCCGGGGAACATTTGAGACATGCTTTGGCTGTCCTGAGCCATGGCTAGAAGCGCCAATCAGAAATCCTTGCACGGCAAGAGTCCACTTGGCAAGAGGCCCCCAGGTGGGCAAACGAAGAGACTAGAAGAGACGAGACCAGAGCTGGCGGCGCCTACCAAAGCTAGCGGTGATATATACATTTCTATTTTCTGAAGGTATCGAGCGGTCATTTCTATTTATGGTCGCGGGTTAGGCTGTGTGGGTGCGGGAGGCTTCGACGGAGTTGATGAACGCGTCGACCCTTGCGATTGATCACAGTAACGTTGCTGCAACGTTGTCCGCCCTCTGCGGATTGAGGCCGAGTTAATTCTTGAGTTTGCGCTTTTTTTTCGTTTTTGATCCAAGTAGTACTAGTACATTGCTTTGAAGTTCGAAGAATTTTGCAGAGTGAATGTCACGGTGACAGCCCCAGTGTCAAAGGTTGCACGGCGTTTTCCATCACTTCATTCATGAAACGATTGAAACGAGGCACTTAGAACAGCCAGCCTGACGGGCCGGGAATGCAACTCAGGATTGGCCGCTGTTGGCTGTTCGTAGCGCAGCCCTGAGCACACAAGCCGCATTAAAGACGCCATCACGGCCTTCCTCTGCACATTGTCGTCCATGCCATCCAAATCCCGTTTCTTTGCAAACTCCCCCGAATTCCTCGACCGCAAATATTCTCCCTATGTAACGCCAGATGTACGTATATTCTCCGTTTCGTCCTCTCTTCCGTTCAATTTCTTAACAGGTCACTCTCAGCGAGCTATATGCGGCCGTTCCCAGACATCTCTTCCGAAAGTCAACAACTTGGGGCGTCTACTATGCGATGAGAGACGCGACGCTGGTCTTTCTCATGTACCAACTGGGCTGTCGACTCGATACCTGGTTGGAATGGTTATCTGAGTCGCTTCATGTCAGCCCAGCCTTGGGGAATGTCATCCGTTGGGTTTCTTGGTCCGCATACTGGCCTTTACAAGGTCTTTCTTTCGCTGGTCTGTGGACGCTTGCGCATGAAGCCGGGCATGGAACCTTGTCCGATTTCAGTTGGGTGAACCATATGATTGGGTTCTTTGCTCATACTGTGCGATCCACCATTACTAGTTGCGATGACTGATCATTTCACAGTTTCTCTTCGTCCCATATTTCGCCTTCCGGGCTACGCATAGTACGCATCATGTGAGGCTGATACCTTGGAGTCGCAAGGGTCGATTGGTTGACCAGGTGTTGCAGAAAAAGGCAGCATCTATTGAAGGAGACGAAAACTACGTTCCTCGAACGCGATCGCAGTTCAATCTTCCTCCAGCTGATGCTGCTGGCATTCGAGACTACCATGCCGCCTTCGAGGATAGCCCATTATACTGCCTCATCGAAATCCTCGTCATGCAACTGGCCGGCCTACCTGCATATCTTATTATCAATGTCAGAGGGTCCCATAAATACCCTCTTGGTACAAACGTATGTGCTTCGCCCAGACACCTACTCCTTCGCTGTAAACTCGTTAGCATTTCTCGCCATTCTCGCCCCTGTTCAAGCCACGTGATCGCTTCACGGTGTTGGTCTCTGATGTCGGTCTGGCCTTGATGGCCTTTCTCTGCTATACGTTCATTACCCGGAACGGCCTCACAGCTTTTATCCGCCTCTACTTCGTCCCGTACCTCGTAAGTGACATTGTAGCAGTGTTGCCGTGTTTAATCTCTCCCTAGTGGGTGAACTGTTGTTGGTGCACGACTTGAGCAACGTTGTGCCCTTTTCACCAATATATCCTAGGGATCCTTACCGTAACGTATGTGCAGCACACCGATCCAACCGTCCCGCATTATCGCAAGGGCGAATGGACGTTTCTCCGCGGCGCCCTTTCGACTGTAGACAGACCTGCACTGGGCTGGATGGGTCGCTTCTTCCTCAAGAATCTGGGCCACGACCACGTGAGCTTACCGCCAAAAGTCAAACCCCGCATTTCACTCACATTTAGTGCAGGTTACACACCATCTCTTCTCTTCCGTTCCGTTCTGTAAGACTTGTTTCATGGCCGTCTGCGCGATAGCTGATCGAGGGTGAAGACAATCAGCCACAAGTCACAAAGCTTATCAAGCCCGTTCTCAAGCAGCATTATAATTACGACTCTACGGTTCGGCTTGCTCTTCACCCGCCACCTTGGAATTGACCACCATTTAGAACCTGATGTGGGCGCTGTATAGAAGTTTCACCGAGTGTAGGTTTATTGAAGACGAGGGTGACATCGTTTTTTTCAAGGATAGCGCGGGCAATTCCACCCGTTTGCTTTGCACAGAGATCTCGATGGACACATAATGACCCACAATTAGAAGTTGCCTCCTAAACTCAAATACATATCTTGCTTTAAGTTTTACCATCCAGGTATCACGTCTACTACATTTAAGGTGTAGATAGTAAGTACCGGCCTATAAGTAGTCCAAAAAGAGATGAAAACTGGAACAACAACTGAAAGTGTACATTTCTTTAGATTCACTTGGAATCGTGATCATGTCCGATCCTGTCCGAAGACGTCGAGAACTGCAGCGTATAGGTCGGAATATCATCCAGCCCAATCTCCCGCCAGTCTTCGGCCCCGCCTTTCTCCAGGTCCTTCTCGAAGAGTTCCGGTTCGAAGCCCGCTTTGGCGAGTTGATCGTCGACGTACACTGTAAGTTTAATGGGTATAAGAGGTGCAATGCGAAGGGGACGCAGACGTACAGTAGTGAGCCAAGCCCTTGTCAAAATGCAGATACGAGATGACACCGAAGATGATGGTCGAGAGGAGCGAGACACTTGCTGCGGTGAACTGAACGGAGAAGAACGGCCAGTTCATGAAGGTCCAGGCGAAGCTGACCGCGTTGAGCGAAATGTTGATCGGAGCGCTATAAACTTACCTCCAAGATTTGAGCATCAAAACCCAACTTGCGAAGACGATGGTGCCAAGGGTCAGGAAAACGACCATCAACCGCTTCCGTTCGCGCCGTACAGCATACCAGCCCTGCAGAAATCAGACCAATCAACGTCTCAATATTTGGAAGCGCACAATCGTAATCCACGGGATAAGGAACTAGGATCCAACGTTAGAATTTGTGAATTTTACACGATGATTACTCACAACCAGGGTGAAGATGCTCAGGGCGAGGTACAAAGTCCGATGGAAGGTGAAACCAGACATGGCATTGTCGCGGTTAACGAGCTGATCAAGCCAGAGGCAGATGACAGAGACGAGCAGCAGGGCAGAAACCTATCCGGGGCGGAAAATCAACAAAAATCGGACGAGAGAACGAAGACAAACCTGGAAGGACACGAAGACAGCCAAGAAATAGTTGTAGATGCGGATGATGGCAGGCGGCGCTCCGACACGGTTGAAAGTGTTGGCGCTATATACCTAATAGATGGTGAGACTACCAAGTGAAATAGCGGAGGGAAGGGGCACCTTGATGAGCTTGCTCGATAGGTAGATGGAGAGGATGAATGCAATGATGTTTAGCGTAACATCAGGAATCTGAAAGGGTCAGTGCACGAACCAGGCTTAATGGTCATGAATAGTACCTGGAGAGCTTGACGCGACGCAAAATAACCAGGGAACAGGTCGTCCAATTGAAGGGGCTTGCACGGGCTATCTTCTGAGCTCAACAACATCGCGAAGCGGTACTGGTTGTCGCCATTTCGCCAGACGATATACATAGACCAAGCCGTCGCCAAAGTCCGGCAGCAGATTGCGGCGACACTAATGTCCGTAAGTTCGGTTGGTCAAATTCACACGCACGCAAGCTTACAGATGGGGGATGGAGTCGTAGACAATCTGCAGTAATTAGCGAGAGTCAAAGCAGACTAAATCAGAACGCACCCCGAAGAAAGAAAGCGCAAATATCCAGAACTGGGAAAGGACGAGGACGACATCCTCGCGCTGAGCATTCATGAGCATTTGATGTGGGTACGTCAAGACCTAAGTCGCTGGGCATCAGGGAGGGCAAGCTGAGGCAGGTGGCTAGTAAGTATACCAATGTGCACATCTGATTCAGCTGTATGGGCTTATCGTTCAGAACAACCTTGACGCCGCCACCAACAGTCGACTAGAACGGCCATGAGCGAAGGCAATCAACACTCAGAAATTGCGTACAGTGACTTGAAGCCCTTGCTGGAAGATGTGGGACTGCCGCAGTGTTATTTGTTGGAAGAGAACAGGTGTTTCCGACACGCACCGTCAAATTGAACTCGGTTGGAAGTGGGAGATTGGGCGTGCCCTTCTGGAACACTGGCGCGCAAGGTTGCTCCTTGAGATCAGGGCGGAGCATGTTGCAAACATCGAGGGAAGTGTTGCCATAGGGTGAATTCAGGACGCCAAAGTTGTTGCGAGGGACGTTGGTCTGCCGCAAGATCGAGGTAACCACATTGCTGGCGGTTGAATCTGAGGGGCAGCTGAGCGAGAATAGAGTGGGAAATGACCTCCGCTGACCTTGAGAGAATATGAATGCTTGAATGAAGCCCTCCGCAAAGCAGTGGATGAATACGAAAAGAAAGAATGCAATGGAGAAACGAGAGAGAGTGATTTTCAGGTACACAGACTTGATAGTGGTCCAGGTCATGGTAGGTGAAGCCTCACTGGGAGGAAAGAAGAAAAAACGAAAGAATGAGGAAAAGAGAGGGAGGAAGGAAAGAAGGGAGTTGAGTTGACGTGCGGCGCCGCCGAGCCCAACAAGTCAGTGTCGAATTCCGAACAACCCGGTTATCTCATTTTGATGGATTGCCAGATGCCAGATGGGACTGGTTGAGTACAACTACGACTTTGTTCCGACTTTGGCCTGTAGAGCGCCATTCTTCCTCGAGCTCTGCATTATTGGCAACGAGCATTGACCAAATGTCTACTATTTCCAGCTAGAATCTCTCAGACCCGTCTTCTGGCCGTTCATCTCCCGTATCACAGCTGATTTTGCTCTGACAGTGGCTAAATTGAGATCGTAGGGCTGTTCTTCATGATTGGCGCGGTATTTGCCAGTGAATTACACCTTTTAGTCCCAGAATACAACAAAATTAAAGAGATTATACGGGAGCTAATAACCTCTTAGAGGAGGTTCTGACGGAGTCCGGCTTGGTTCAGGGTTGAACGGTGTGGTAACCAGTCCACCTGCCTCAAGCTCGGCTTCAACGTGGCCAATATTCGAGACCGAGGCTCGCGTGTCTGTCCCACGATTCGTAGGAAGGAGTGGTGTTGGCCCGTCGTCGACATCGGCCGAAGACGAAAACCAAGTCGTTGGTTGCGTCCAAGTCCTACGTCCGGAGGAAGATCGCGGGGGATAAGGCAGATGCGAATTTGGGTCTTCCAGCGGTGGGTAAAACTGCCGGTAGAAAACGTAGGTTGGGATAAGGCCAGAGAAAAAACCAAGCGTAACGTCCTCGAAATGGTGGCGATGATCAGTTACACGCGTAATGCAGATCCAAATGGACAACATAAGCGGAGAAAAAAACGAGCCAATGCTTGGACTAGAGTATGTGAGCAATCTATGCCAAGTTCTACAGCATGTAAACTTACAGTGAAGCCTCTTTGGTTGAAAAGCTGCAGTTTGCCAGCCCAGTATAAGCTGACGTAGCCGAGGCCAGTCGAAGATAAACATGCGTGTCCGCTAAAGAAGCTCCGCATCCCATCTTTAATGATGTGCTCTGTAACCGGCGTTTGGCACACAGTAGTAACATTCGCCAGTCCATAGAAATGACCATTCGTAGCGTTTGCGAAGGGATTACAACGAGCGATGAAGTCTGGGGACGTCGGGTGAAGAAAGCGATAAGTTTAGAGTGCGTACCTGGTCGTGGTCGCCCGACTGTTATTCGAACTATCTCCACAAAGGTTCCAGTGAATGAGAAAGCAACAGTTACTGTGAGCCACGATGGATGAGCGTGTTCGGCAGGAATAAGCCATACCTACAGCCCAATAGCGCATGATGCAAGTCCCACATATTTCGACTCAGTATAAGGTTGCTTATGACGACCATGATGAAGCAGAAGCCAAGGATATAGGCTAGCGTTTGGTTCTGGAGGACGTTCACAACTTTTTGTGGGAGAAGAACGTGGGACCATACTGGAAAGACCTCTTTCGCAACGAAGCTATATTGTATCGAAGTGTCTGTGAGGTCGAAGTCGGGAATCTAGAAGTTGAGCAGCGAGTTGGGTGATGCGGTATGCCCTCACATTCTGAAATCGATCCAGATAGAAGTTGGAGAATAAGCTGGAAGGTTTGAGGATTCATGGATTGCACATGCTTTGTCACTCACGCAATGAGTACGGCGAGAGCCCTGCCATGTCTAGTTTAGAAACGGGTGCCTGACCACCCAAGACTACCAGCACGCACCAATCTACACCATAGCTCTGAATGATACGAAGGCTGCGCGCTAGGAACGCATTCCTGGGCGGCATTTAATTTATACTCGGCTGAACCAGAAGAAGGTCGTGAATGTCGTCGTCGTAAAAAGTTGCGTCTCAGGTGCACTGCCCAAAGAACAAGACACGCCCCGATCAAAATCAAAGAAACGGCGCTGGAGCACGTGCAAACGCGATCACGTTTTTCTCTTTGCTCCAAAGTGCGCAATCCCCGATACGATGTTGACTGAGACAGATATCCGCACATCAAGTTTGTTACTTTTTTGGCTGTCCCCTCAATGATGCACGTATTAATATGCCTATGTTGAACTTGCTTCCAGGGTCTTACTTGGTCTCGGAATCATCCAGAATACGATATATGCTCTAGTGTAGTACAATTTCGAAAAGCATCGCATCAACAAGGCGACAGTGAGCGAGTGAGACTACGAGGAACTCGATGATCAGGACAACGACACGCTTGTAGTCTGGGGAAAAGATGGTGTGGGTGTTTCTGCGTCGATGGAAAGCATAGCATTAGGTGGAGCTGGAACGCGAAAGTGTGGTCGAGAGCGTGGCCTTGGATCACATGGCGTTTTCGATGACAGAAATGAACTGGTAGGCGGGAGAGTGCTTCCGTGAACGGAGTTGTGAAGAAAGGGTTTCAGGCTCGTTATCGGCAGAGGTTGAGGGGAAAGAGCGTTGTTACCACGATGACGCGGGCCTGGCCGACGCCTAGGCTTCTCCGATTTCTTCATTGATTGTGTGCGTTGCGTCTCTGCTCTGGCAGTGTCAAGAAACTCTTGAAAGAAGGATCCTAGAGGTCGCAACGAAGTTGAGGGTGGTGGAAGGAGGGTTCCAATGCAAGGGTTGACAGTTGTTTTTTCGGTTGCATTTCTGGGGCCTGTCATGATTGTCGTAGGCTCGGTAGCCGAACAAGATAAAGAGACAGCGGGAAGTAAGACGTTAGGTTTGAATGGCGAGGGTCCATGATCAACGGATGGCGACTCAGATAACATTGGGCACATGTCAAGTGGTATTCGATCTTGGGGCTGAGTATTATTTTTTCTGAGATAACAGTCAACGCAAGAATAGCTTATATTCGCGGAAACTCGCGGTTTTGGTCGCTTCAAAAGCAGTGCATAGCGGCGTTCGGCTTCGGCAAGAGGAACGAAGGAGAGCGGGAGGCATTGAAGGGTAGATTTCGATATCAGTTTAGTGCGTTTGGACTGAGGTTTGAATTTTCGAATGGAGCCATCGATTTGAATCGTCTGCCAGTCAGTGATAACTCTTCGCTTTAATTCGGAACCGTGCTTGGATTTGGTAAACGAGTGTGAACGTGGAGGCTGGTTCTTCTTGGGATCTGCTAGTTTGACGCTGCGCGCTTTTGTCGTAGTTTGATGCGTGGGTTCAAGAGCAAGAGGGTTTCGGACGGTTGACCAGTCCTCGGCTGGTGTATTGGTGGCCACAGCAGCACGGACAAGCCGCTTCTTGAGCGACAACGGTTGGCGGCTTGTGTGGGATACGTGAAGGTCGCTGATGTCTTGGGCTTGATCATCTGAATCGGACATTGAGCCTATCGCGACATGTCGTCGATGCTTGTAGGGCTTCGCTTGCGCTAGTGCGGTTTGTCGAAGGAATTGATCAACAGTGATGGTGTGCTCTGGCTCAGTGTCATCTTCGACAAGAGAAGGAGATGCCGGTTGGAGAACAGCAATGGGAGGAGGGGGAGACGGTAGCGGATCAGGAGTAGTAATGGGTTCAAGATAGTAGCTTAGGCATGGGTCTGCCGCTCGTCGCATGCTTTTCCTTCTATCGTTCTGTGAGTAGGATACATGTCAGAAGCTAATTCATTGATACTGAGCTGGGATAGCATCGCCGACATACCATCTGGGGGAAGACTAGATGACTGTTCGAACGTGGTGTCGGTCACTGTGACAGCCATTCTCGTCAGCAACGCTCTTCACATTCGGTGGATGGTTTGGCCGTGAAGAACAGAGGCTGGGGCCACCTCGTGATGCCTCCACCGGCTGGAACATTTCCCTGAATCCTGCAGTTGAAAATCAGTTGAAACCCCGTGGTGACATCAGTAGCATCGTGGTCAACATCTTTCACGACTCAATTCGGAGGGTGCAATCATCAAGTTGAATACCAATCAAGGTGAATACCACCACCCAGATATGTATCCTTGTCCCGAGCTTCAAGTACATAAGGTCAACGACGGTTACTCCCTCATCCTCTTCCCCCGCCATGTTTAGCTACTTCGCGGACTCTCCGGAGTACCTCAAGCGCAAGGAGACTCCCTTCTCCCCCTCCAACGTCCGTTATCAAACTCTCTTACCCCTCTTCCCATTATCTGACATCAACTCATTAGATCACCATCGCTGAGTTGCGTGCAGCTTTGCCCAAGGATGTTTTCCGCAGGTCGACGGCAGCCGGGTTATACTACTACGCACGCGACATTCTCTCCATCTACATCGCCTACCGTCTTGGCGCCGCTATCGATCCCTTCTCGGATCGTATGATTGCGTCGTGGGGTTTGGAGGGTGTCTACGCTTTCGCTCTTCGTTGGTCCCTTTGGGCTACCTACTGGCACTGGCAGGGCGTCATCTGGGGTGGATTCTGGCAATTGGCTCACGAGGCTGGTCACGGCACTCTTTCGGACTACAGCTTCGTCAACAGCTTCATCGGTTTCCCTGCTCACTCGGTATGCGTCCCTTGCTGTGTCGCAATATGTTGGCAACTAAATTACGGCAGTTCTTACTCACTCCCTACTTTGCTTGGCGCGCTAGCCACCGTCTTCACCACGTGCGTGTGCTCACCATGAGGTCTGAATTATTTTCTCATATCCCCATAGAAGAAGGCCAACTGCATTGAGGACGATGAGAACTGGTGCCCAGAGACCCGCAAAGATCTCGGCCTTCCCCCGCCTGAGAAGGCCAAGGCCGTTGACTATGCCGACATCCTCGAGGAAACCCCAATCTACACTCTTTACCGTATGTTCTGCACTCAGGTCTTCGGTCTCCACATCTACTTCTTCAACAACACATCTGGTCAGCCAACACGCCCTGCGGGCACCAGCGTAATCATCTCCTATCGTGTCAAGCAACCGGACCGCTCATAATTATTATAGCACTTCCTTCCTTCTTCGCCTCTTTTCAAACCTGAAGAGCGCAATGCCATCCTTTTGTCTGACCTCGGCATCATCATCATGCTCGGCGCCCTCACCAAGTTCACCATGGCCTTTGGTTTCGCCGCCTTGGTCAAGTTGTACGTGATTCCTTGGATCGTGAGTTGCTATCTTTATCTGCTCTCTGTGAACTACAACTGACGTATGCTTGATAGCTCTGCAACCACTGTTCGTACCCTTGTTGATCTCATTTCGAAGTACTCACGCGTGCTTTAGGGGTCGTCGCCGTCACCCATCTTCACCACTCCGACCCCACTATCCCCATGTTCCGCCGCAAGGAGTGGAACTACGTTCGTGGTGCCCTTTCGACTGTCGACCGCCCAGTCCTAGGATGGGCTGGCAAGTTCTTCCTCAAGAACGTGTCGCACAACCATGTCACCCACCACCTCTTCTCCACCATTCCTTTCTACAATCAGCCCAAGGCCACTGAGGCCATCAAGCCATTGATTAAGGAGCACTACAACACTGACTCGACGGTAACCATCTTCTTTCATTGTTGCGGGATTGGTCCTGATGAACTTTCAGAACACTCTGCGTGCTCTGTACCGCACATTCGCTGAGTGCCGCTTTATTGAAGATGAGGGTGACATCATCTTCTACCGCAACAAGCGGGGCGAGACTGCCCGTGCTCTTAAGACCGAGAAGGTCGAGTAAACTGCGAACGGTGGCTGTAGATGATGAGAGCGCTGGGCGAATGATACAAATTGCGAGTAGACAAATTGGTTGGTTCTTCGCTAGACTTGAAAAATCGACTATTTAAGTATCGATCCTATCATGTTCCCGCATAGCAACTCGCCGCAGCTGTTCAGCTACAGTGTCAGCCCCCGGCCCCCAGATGCGAATGAAGATTGTTTGTTCATCAAGCACAGGCTGCGGGAAAATGTACTTAATATGGGTGCTTGCTGGCTCTCGTTGAAGTCCATCCTTCTTGGTCGCGCCCTAGGCCTTTTCGTGCTTACTTCCTCCTAGCGAGGTTTTGCTACTTGCGATGAGCTGGATCAGTCTCAAGTCTGCTTATCTGAAGATTACATTTTCCCCTTTTTCACTTGGATTCTTTCTTTTCATATTTATCCATTGCCTTTCGGAGGGCTTTATTCAAGCATTCATATACTCACAAGGTAGGCAGACTCGTCCGGCTGCTGCTTCTTCAGCGCTCATTGTGTCGAAGATACGGTGGCCAGTAATTTGATCACATCAATTCTCCATCAAGCGCAAGTTCCTCGCAACATCTTGGGCATTCTCGACGCGCCGTATGGAAATACTTCCCTCAGTGTCTGCAACTCGCTTGACCCCAGCCTGAAAGGCGACGAGCGACTATGTGCACTAGTTTTTCGGAAGGGTCAGCCAAACCTTCCGCTCCCAACCAAGTTCGATCTGGCGGTTTGTGGACATCATCTGTCGCTCGCACTCCTCTCTCATCCATTTTATGTAGCCTTACAAAGATGGCGTTGACGTTTCTCTCAATGGAAAGCCTATACACCTCAGTCCCATGTGCACTTTGGTTCGTTTCTCGGCTCAATCTAACAGCTGCAATAATACTTGACCCAGGTCTTGACCTATCCACACCAAATGCTCCTGAATGCTCAACGAGAGGGTGTTGTCCTTATTCTCTCCCAATTCTGGTTATTTGCACTGTCATTCTTTGGGGTTAGTGTGTGCCCTTAACATGTTGACGCCGTCATTAGCTAACAAAAAACTCAGATTGTCTACGATTCAATTCCTCATCTGTGCGCCTGTCTTCCGCTCGAATCCACTCTGTCTAATGAGCCTATAGAGTTGCAGCCATCTGTTGCCGTACTTTGACAACTGCTTGGTCGATGTACATTCTCTGGCGGAATAGCGATAATCAGTATCGTTTTACAATGCTGTTGGCCTCGGATGACAGCCCTTGCAAGCCTCTTCTAATCGACGATATGTTCCCACGATACTTCATATGGCGTCAAATTCTTCAGGTATGAGGACCTAATATTCGCCTGCGTCTGTTGAAAAGCGTAGAATCCTGATGTTGCGCTGAACATCATTGGATTCGCTCTTGCCATCTACCTATCCAGCAAGCTCATCAAGGCTCGCTTTCCGTTCAATCTGTCTCCCCAACCCGACTGAGCCAGTGTGATAGGTATATGGTGCGAAGACTTTCCATCGCGTCGGCGCACCGCCAGCAATTATTCGCATCTATAACTACTTCCTGGCGGTTTTCGTTTCATTCCAGGTATGTTCCCGCCGGTTTCTTCGCTTTTTCGTTTTACAAACGCTTCGTATGGGTTTCTGCGTTGCTGCTCATCTCCGTGGTGTGTCTATGGCTCGAACAAATAGTCAATCACGACAATGCCATATCAAGCCTCACTCTGCATCGGAACTTGTACATCGCATTGAGCGTCTTCACCCTTGTCGTCCGTAACCTCTTCAACTTTTGGCAATATCTAATGTTTGTCTTAGTATCTCGTCCCATGGATTGCGCTCGTGGGTATTGGAATTGAAAATTGTCAAATTCTAAGATCTGTGTCATAGGGATGGTACGCCGTGCGACGTGAATGGAAACATGCGATGCTGGCGTTCCTCTTACTTGCGACCATTGTTTTGGCGAGCTGGATACTGATGCTCAAGTCGTGGAGGTCAGTATATATCCCTAATTCTTCCAACGCTTGCTGAGCACAAGTTAGTTTTGTCTGGACCTTCATGAACTGGCCGCTTTTCACTGTCCAGTTCACTGGCGCAAGCGTATCGTTACTGTCGACTATCATATTCGGGGTCATTTCCTACTTGCATTTTGATAAAGGCTTGGCCCACTACCGTACGTGTCCGGTCATCCGTTTGGGAATATCTGGCTCAACGAATTGCAGTCTATGTCGATGATCAACTTGCGCAGGCGGGTTTTGAGCCAGACCTGTTTGAGAAAGATGTCGAGAAAGGACATGACTGGCGGGAAATTGGCCTGGATCACCTTCCACCACGCACCCTCCAGTTCTCAACTGTGTCAAACAACTCCATGTGAGGCTCGATAGTAGTGCATATATTTCATCTGGACTTCTGGACTTGGTACACTTTGATATGGACTTTTTTGGGATATATCGACTCTACATCATGAGAAGAGCTATGTGTAAAGATGATGCTGTGGTGCTACTTATTAACATGAGAATTTCAAGGGCAACTCTCTCAGACTGATCCATTTCACTCCTAGAGGCTGAATTATGACTGTTGGTGGTATATCAAATTGTCAACTGACAGAGATAAGAAAAAGTCTAGTATCAGAAGGAGTAGAAAACATTTACAAAAAAAAGTGTCACGCCTACAGGGTTTGGTCTTAGCTGCATTATCACATGTCTAAAAAAGACTTTAAAAAGTAACAGTGATTCACCAAAGGCCTTAATAAAGACCTTTGGTATATAGGAAGGCCTTAGGCCTTAGTGTAAGGCTTAGACCTTAGCAAGGGCTCAGGGCTTAGCATCCCCAAAAGGAATTTTTGATTATAACAATTCAATTCAATAAATATATTTTCAAGCTTTCAAAATGTTATTATCACAATCTCACTTATACTTACAGAAAGCTAATGACTCCCCTCATCAGGCTCTGTTCTAAGCTTTATTTATAACTATGGCCCTTGTGGCAGCTAGCAACAGACATGTCCTTTGGTGTGGCTGTGTCACGACATGTGACTTATAAGGCCCTAGCTAAGTTTCTAAATATATGGAAAGCCTTAGGCTAAGGCTTAATCTTAGGCCTTAGGCCTTATGTGACGCTGTCGTTCGAGAAGCTTACGCTGGGCGGAAGCGAAGAGTCGAGAGATTGAAAAGGGGGTCGGACAGCCATTGAAATCGCTGCCCGACAAATGACCCGTAGCCTACAGCGGTCGGGAGCAGGAAAGCATACTCAGGTGGTCGGGACGGGGCCATGAGAAGAAGGGAAGACAAGACACAAGAGGAAGATGGACTTGGTTAAGTTGCTGCTAGCGTGACTGTGGCCACGTGTACATTACAAGACTAGTGACTAATGTGACTACTGGAGATCAAAAGATTATCCATATCTGATAGAGTGATTCTGAGTCGTCAGCTGAAAGTATACCCGTCACACCTTAGAGCACCCTTAAGACTTGGCCCTTTAGTGCATCTGTCAGGGGAACCTCCTCTTTGGCCCTCTGGAGACATCTCTGGTCTAATTTCAATTCTAATTCCAATTCTGATTATAGTAATTGCATCACCACCTCTATCAGGTACATCACTGCCCAGCCCTGGAGATCCTCCTAGGACCTGGCTTGCAATTGGCACAGGCATACTGCTCAGAGCAATGATCACATGTGGTGCATCAAGCGTGCAGTATATAGTTTAGCTACCTAGCAGGTGGACCTTTAGAGTTTCTTCTCTTTGGATCCTCCCCTACTGGGATCCTAATTTCGGGCCTCCAGGGTTGCCTTACAGCATTACTGAAAAAGTTCATACTAGTAATACTAGTAGTAATAGTAGTAATATAAGTATTGTCTTGTGGCTGTCTACTCAGTATATAAATACAAAAAGCAGAAAGTTCAAATCACACTGTCCTCTCATACTGTCAATAATATGACTTTTTAGGCAATAATTGATGGTTGCCAGAACATACAAGCTTTGAGAATGTTCTAAAAGTAGACAATATAAAAGCTGTTTGGTTTATCAAATGAGAATAGAAACCTTTTGTGTTCCAAAAATGGGAGCAGCAGCACTTGATACTGAAAAATAATAATTAGCTGAAACATTTAATGAACTTAACTATCTGAATCATACCTGAAGCAGCAGTTAAATGCAACTGTCCTGCATGAATAGTTGTTTGTGAGAAAAATGATAGTGTGCTCAACCTATAAGATAATATTACTAGTATTAGATGTAAATAAAATCAGCAGATGCTTACCCTCCAGCCACTATGGGCAGAATGCTAAAGACAAATACTCGGATAACAAGGGCTGTTGATAGTCCACTTGTTGCTTGTGACCCATATTTGTGGATTGCTTTCCAGTTCTTCCAAAGTAATCTAGCTGTCAAGACTGTCAAAGGTTGCTAAGTTAGTTGAAGTATTTTACAAAGGATAATCCAATTATCTTCAAATATCAACATAATGACTGCTGTGATAAGCATTATAATTGCTGTTATTCTTGATCTATATAAATATGAGGTTTTATAAATAGATAATGAAAACTAAAAATGTACTGGATAGAATGTGTAAAGTGGCAATACTGTAGTAATTTATTCAATTCGGCGCCCCAAAATGGTGTGACATTGGCGCCGAAATTAAATTTTCGGCGCTGCCTGTCGATGTGTGTGACAGCCGAAATTTTTCGGCCTTTTCAGCGGCCCGGAGGGCTGCCAAAATTTTTTTGAGGCATTTGACATTCGGCATCTGGCTGTGGGCCCGTGACATGCCGAAATATTCCGGCGCCGGAGGGCCGGTGTGACACGTGACTGCCGAATTGAATAAATTGCTACAGTACATTCCTGTAGGATCTCTGGCCACAATAGACTTGTCTGACAACCCAACCTATATAGCATATTAAGTATATGCTGGGGTAGACAGAGAAAGCTTACTCTAAGTGCACAAAGAAATACCAGAAACCATGTGATAACTTGAAATGGATAAACTTGGATCTAAAAGTATTTCTCAATCTAGTAGAACATCATATTTAAATTATCTTTCTCACTAGTGTTGTCTGCTTTCTGCCAAGTTCTGCTGCATTTTTTATAAACACTGAGAGTGTGAAATACAGCTAAATATAGAATAATAAATCAGATTCGCAAGAAAACCCCTAGAAAAGAGAGACAAACATGCATCATTAGAGAAAGAGTTGCAGATCCAGCACTAGTATTATGGTTCAGTTGAATATATATATCTAATAAAATTAAATACTTACAGAATTGGACCAGAATATACAAATGCAGCCTGGACCAGACAGACAGAAAAGATGGGATCTGGCCCAACTTGATCTCCAACAAGAATAAAATATGATAAACAGAAGAAAAGCCATGATAGCATAAAAGAGTACCACACTCTTGTTCTGTGGACTCCTGGTGACACCCATGCAATTAGAATAGTGATCAAAAGCAAAACAAAACCTTTGAATAATTAGCTTTATATTGAGAGAGAAAGAGAAGAAATATAATTTGGTACCAAGTATTTGCATAGTATTGTAAACAGCCAAAAGTGTCAGACTGATCTGCTCTTGTTCTGGTGTGTCTATGATGTTATCAAAATCATATCCAGGTCATGATAGATAAGATTGCCAAAACTCAACATACCTCCTGGAAACATTTTGTCATTGGTTGCAAAGGATGACATCTCAGGGTAGGTAGAATACAAGAAAGCGAGGAGCTAGGCAAAGATATAGTTGTGCAAGAATACTGCAGTGTAGGTGCAGCGAGTCAGGATCTGATAATCTCATCAGTTAGTTATCTTGTTCTGACCCGTGTTCAACTTCTGGTAACAGTAGGAGCTGTAACCACCCTCAAAGAGTATCAAGATGGAGTGTTGACAGATGCAATGATACCGAGTTGTTCAATTGTGCTGCTAATAATAATGGAGATTTAACTTTTAGTTCAAGCCAAATATCCAGATGGACCTGACTCTATCTACAGGGTTAGCGACAACTTGAAACTGCAAGCTTACATAGGATCTTATAGACGAACGTGTTTTCGGCACGTGCCGCTCCAGCCGCTTTGCCTCCGACCAAGTTGATCTCGAAGCAGTGCCATGACGGCTTTTTACACACCCACACAACGACGACCTTGACGACTTTCACGGCTTTTCAATCCCAACAATAGACCCCAGATGCTGGTCCGGCCTAATGTCCTTCCTGCTCGCGCCCTCCGCGTAATTCAAAGTTATGGCGTAGACTGGTGCGCGTCGCTTCCCTGTTGTTGCTGTGGGCTTGAGTTGAGGATGGTAGGGTACTTGCAGTTTCCATCGCGTAAGTGCCTGCCTTTCCGGGTGTGTGTCGTCTCGTATAACTTACCACTTGGTCTAGATTATTTGCCCTTTTCTTCCTGGATCGATTTCAACATGTCAGTACGCGTTGATCCATCCAATCTCTACTCACTTGAGCTTTTAGATTCCCGATTTCGACCTTACAGACACTTCAATCCAACACAGTTTCGTTGCGAAGGAGGTCTTCTCTGTGTGTGCTGTTTGCGAGGATTTTCTTATAATTAATCATAGACAGAATATGGCCCTCCTCTACATTGTCATCTCCTGCTACGTTCTGCTCGTCACTAGCAACTTGATCCTCAGCAGGAATATGTGGGACTTGCACCATGCTCTCCTGGGTTGTGCGTGTGCGATGCTGCCTTCTATTTGTTGTGCTCATACCAACTTAGTGACCGTTGCTTTCGCGGTCACCGGGACTACTGTGCAAATTGTGAAGATAACAGTAGGACGTCCGCGGCCAGGTGAGTGCTTATATATCTCCAGCTTTCCGTTGGCGTTAAACGCATTGCAGATTTTATTGCTCGCTGTAATCCGTTCTCAAACGCAACCAACAGTCATCTATTCGGTCTCGCAAATGTCACTGGCGTGTGCCAAACTGCAGTCACCGACCCGCTCATCAAGGACGGGATGCGCAGTTTCTTCAGTGGACACTCATGTCTGTCGTCGGCTGGTCTCAGCTATAACAGTCTGTATTTGGCCGGGAAATTGCAGCTGTTCAACCAGAGAGGTTTTACGGTCCGTGGCCATCTCGTTTGTGAGCTTGGATGATACTGATTCCAGACAGTTCAAACACTGGCTTGTTTTTTCTCCCCTGATGCTTTCCATCTGGGTTTGCATTACTCGCATAACAGACCATCGGCACCACTTCGAGGACGTGACTCTAGGCTTTTTCTTCGGTCTACTTCCGGCGTATATCTTTTATCGACAGTTCTACCCCCCGTTGGAAGACCCAAACTCGAATCTTCCCTACCCACCACGACTTCCACCGAGTGGTCGTCGAACATGGACACGAAATGCAGGCTTTTTCGCACCACCAGGTACTGACGATGAGCCAATTCCGTTACTTCCCACCAGCAGACGGCCCAACATACCCACACCGACATCAAACCTTGGGAGCGTCGAAACCGAATTGGCTGCGAGTGGACTAATGACTACCCCATTTGACCCAGCCATTCGATCGGACATAAGCCACACGCCGTCGCCTCCCTTATCTACCCAGCCGACATATACCGTACCTCAGTAGCGTAGTCTCTTCTGCTTGTATCCATAGCATAAAATACATTCGTCGCCTCGTGAAGATAACGTGGTTTGCTGATGACATTAATCAGATAGCCCATCTTGGGCTGTCTCTTGCTTCACGCCATGACCACGTCTATACCCCCGGAGACTGAGCCCCTTCTGCTCGATACACAAGGGGAAGAGAACCAACCTCTGTTCCCCCGACAAGAGCCCGAACGACGATGGAAGGCAAATCCGTACTGGTAAGCGCTTGAGAGCCATACCTTCGGGCCGTTGAAAAAAATCCTGGTGCAGGGTTATTCCCATCGTTCTAGTGGTTAACATTGCTGTGAATCCGCGTCTCTTGTCCCTCCACCGCACTCTCAAAGGCCTTTTTCTGCTAGCGCGGAATGACACTGTCGCCGCGAATTAATGTCTTTACTGACATTGCCTGTCGCGCTGTCGAGGCTGCCAACCTCGTAGCGCAAGACTGCGAGGCCCCTGCTGTCGCCGCTCGTGCATCCAAGGTCCAAGCATGTACTTTTAGCTCTCTTGGTTCATCTATCATAACCTGACGCGCTTTCAGCCGTGCTAACAATCATGAATGTCTTGAGCTCAGCATCAACGGGGCTATGGTCGCAGTACGGAGATGTCAAAGGCCGCAAGATTGTGTTCTGCGTCTCCATCGTGCGTTGACAGCTCCGTCTCACTGTGTGCTACTTACACTCGGGCTGTTAGTGTGGTTTTGTGGCCATGTACGTCTTTGAAGCACCACAGCGCGCATGCTACCATGACTACTAGGGAGTTTATCTTCCTTCTCGTCTCCAAGACCTCGTTCACAGCCCGAGAAGACGTTTTCATTTTGATTGGGCCGGTTTTGGAGGGATTTGCTGGGGGTTTGAGCGTGTTCAACGGGGTGGTGCATGCGTAAGTGTCTCAAGTCAAATCAATTGGATATTAAAACTCGCAGGTATGTTTCTGACTGCTCTCCCGACGGTTCTCGCTCCAGGATATTCTCTCTCCTCCAAGGTGGAGTGTTCTGCGGCCTTGCGATTGGTCCCTGGGTAAACTATCGTCACTGAACACGCGTTTTTGGCGTTGAAACGAGCCCAGATTGCCGGTGTTCTATTGTCCTACACGTCTTTGGGCGTCTACTCCATGTTCAGCATCAGCATCATATTGCAACTGGTGTTGCTCGCGTATATCATCTTGGTTCTGCCGGAGTCTCTACGGAAGAAAGAGTCGCTCGAGCTGCGGAGCCCCCACGACACTACTCTGGTTCAAGTGCCTTCCCCGAACAAGGGAATTCGCTCTTACTTGCGCCGCTTCATGGTCGCTCTTATTTCGCCCATCACGATTTTCCGTCCTCGGAAAGTCGAAGTGGGCACAACATCGAAATTCGACTACAACGTCACCCTCATGGGACTGGCGATGTTCCTCTACATCACGTCCACCGCGGTCTATCCGCTGAAATACCTCTACGGTCGCCGCACTTTTACTTGGGATCCTAAACAAGTGAGTTCTTCTTCAACCAACATTGCTCCTACTGATAGATCCACTTCAGCTCGGCTACTATATGTCTTTGGTCAGTGCTTGAGCCCAAATAATCACTCGAGTCAAATATTCCCAGCTCTGGATATGCCGCGCAACAAACCTCTTCTTCGTCCTCCCTGTTATTGTACGCTACTTCAAGCCCAAGACTCCGATCACGGGTGCTTCGACGCCAGACGAAATCGCCTCTGAGCTTAACTTCGATAAGCGCCTCGCGCAAGGGTCGCTTGTTGTTGACGCGCTCGCGGACATGTTCGTCGCCGTCTCGTCCTCGGAACTAGCGTTTGTTGCTTTCAGCTGTTTGTCAGCGTTCACTTCGGGTGGCAACCCCGCTCTGCACTCGCTCGGCGCAGTCTGCCTCCACGCATTAGGCTACAGCGAGGAGACTGGGAGGCTATTTGGCGCCATTGGTGTGCTCAACGCCATCTCGCATAGTATCTCGGTTCGTTACCTTTCTCCTTCTTGAGTCCGGGATCTGATGACATTTCTCGATAGCCGGGACTGTTCGCTTTCACCTACAGCTCGACTGTGGAGACGCACCCGAAGACGATATTCGTGCTTGCGTCTGGAATGCTGTGCACATCGGTGTTTCTGCTCAGCTTCATTCGGGCCAGAGGTGCGGTTGACTTGCATGCCTTTTTTCAAATATGATTTGATCCTTTTTAGGATGGTAGAGATAGATAGTTTGGCTGTATATATTGTACAAGAGTCTAATCTGATGCCAGTACTACTTCTCAGTGTCCAGGACAGTGTACTATTAAACTGTTGCACTGTTGCCTGCTTTGGCTGTTGGCTTATCCTCAGCTATAGATGGTCTCCAGAACATCAATGCCTTGAAGGTATCCTAGAAATATTGAGCTGTTCAGGATGGAATCAATAGCAAGAGATTCACCTTTTGAGTTCCGAAAATAAAGCCAGCAAAACAGGGTACTATGAGAAGAATAGATCAGGTTAGTCTATATGCATAGCATTATATTCACTTATAGCTGCTGCAAGATGTGTTTTTCCTTCATCCACAGTTGACTGAGGAAGAAATGATAGGGCAGTTAACCTGATATAGGATTAGAATATCTTGAAAAAGTGAAAACATTGCATACCCAAGACCAACTATGCTCATGATAGTGAAGATGCAAAGGCGGATAATCAGAGGTAAAGATATGCCACTCTGGGAATTTGGGTGGAATTTCCGAAAAGCAACCCAGTTTCGAGACAGTAGGATTGCAATCCTCACTATAGCATAACAAAAGATGAGCAAATATAGACCCAACAGAAAGTTAATCACCTTCCAAAAATATCATAATCAGTACTGTTATTAGTGCAATTACGGCACTGATTGTTGCTCTTAGGCCTTGATGAGAATCAAGGCTCTGACATATAAAAAGCACATACTGGACAGCATTGGTAAAATGACAGTAAAATCCTGTGGTATCTCTTGCAACAAATGATTGATGTGAGAGTCCAATCTAGAGAGTATGCATATAACTTTTTTAAACTGCATGAGTTAGAAGGACTTACACTAAGGGCAACAATAAATCTAAGGGCCCAAGCTATATAGGGATAGACTTGAATCTAAAGCCATGTCATCTAAATTAATGGAGTTTATTTAGACCACTTACCATTGTTGTATGCCTTTTACTTGTCGGTGTGCCATTTCTGAGCACAAAAGAGAGGGTGAGGTACATCTGCTCTGCATAAATAATTAGATGCCACATAAAAATAATCACAAACATATAGGATCAATGAGAGTGTTGCAGAGGAGATGCTAAATGATCATGAGCAACGGTCATCTCTCACCAAACTGAGAATCACAGGACGGGGCCAGAATAGATTAAGGCTGCCTGTACTAGACAGACGGAGAAGGCCGGCTCTGGGCCGACTTGGCCGCCAGCGAGCATGAAGTAGGAAAGGCAGTAGAACAGCCAGGACAGCATGAAGGAGTACCAGACCCGTGTTCGGTGCACCCCAGGAGACATCCATGCGACGATAATGGTGATCAGCACGACCATGAATCCTTGAACAATACCGTCTTAGTGTGATTCGGAGCTGGAAACATTGAGCATACCGAAGATCTGCAGGAAGTTGAATACTGCCAGGAGTCGCAGGCTGGTCTTCTCCTCGGCCAGTGTGTCTGGGACCGTATTTGTCAGCGTGGAGCGCCGGTGCATGGTGAGACTCGCCTCCGGGAAACATTTGCGACATGCCGCTGTTGTCCATGACCGTTCAGAAGACCTTGCGCGGCAAGAGGAAGGGCGGGGGGAGAAAAGGAACGGGGGAATCCAGAGCCCCATGGCAGGCGAACAGCGGTAATATAGTCGACGCGCACCGTGGCGAAGTCAGTCTATTTACGGCTCAAGCGCTCAGGGAGTCAGGGGGCCTGATATCGATTGGGAGCTGTTGTTGTTGTCCGTTGCGCGGGGTTTCGCAAGTTGAAACGATGACAAGGCCCGCTCTGACGCAACGGAGGATACCATCAGAGGCTTTCAAGCCAGCGGACTTGTTTCATTCTGCAACAGAAACGGTAAACCCGTCGTCGCGGCGATGGCGTAACACAGACTCGTCTGACTGCACTGCCACTTACTGGAGCAGTAATCTTGGCTTTCCACCACCATGACTGCACTTTCGTCTTCAACGCGAACCCAACGACTGCAAGCTTTGCCACGACAGTCTGAATGCCGAACCACCACGCGACTTTTGTCGCCTCCGCAATCCGCGCGGGCCACGACCCACCAATCTTCTTCTTCTTCTGCTCCTACCACTCGTGCAGGCCGTCCTCTCTGCCTCGAACTTCAACACCCGCTTCGTGTCTGAAACCCCAGGCGATATTTCGACCGTCAATCCTTTGACCGAATTTCGAGTCTACAACTAATGTCTCGCAACTTTCTTCTTCGGCTTTCTCTGTTGCGTTTCTTCTGTCCATGGCATACTTGGAATAATCTTGTATTGCATCAATAACAACTTCCCCGGCTTGCAATCTATGCTAATGTTACTTGATTCTTCGTCAGTTGTAACTTGTCCTCCATTGACAGTTGCCCTCAATACCAGCGTTCAAGTTGCAGCTATACATCCTTATGTAACTTACGGATTTACCAGTAGCAAGGCGTGGATACGCCACACGGCGCCCTGTTCCTGACGAGTCGAAATTTTGGGTCGATGAGTTGTAGTTTTTAAATTCAACCGATTTTTCTTCTATGATGCATGCGCCGCGGCCAACAGCACGTGCCTCTTATCTCCTTCCTCCTGCCTCGATGTCGAGCGCGTTCTTCTACGGTACGCTGATGCACCCGCGGATCCTGACACGCGTGATCGGGTCCGCGGGCGCGCACCTCCGGATCGCGCCCGCCGTCCTCCTCGTCCGTGACCACCCACCCCAGTTGCTGATGTAATATAATCTGCTCATCTACATTAGGGCTACACGCGACACAAGGTGCGGTACGCGGACTACCCCGGGATCATACCCAACACCGACGATGACGACGAGACGTGTTCGGTGCGGGGCACGCTCGTCACGGGGCTCACCCCGCGCGATGTGCAGTTTCTGGACACCTTCGAGGGCAGCGTGCGCTATAATGCTCTTTCCGATAGAAAAAGGTTAACCCTACCCAGGAATACAAGCGCCAGAAGGTGGCCGTCCACGTGCTCGCCGCCGCCGTCGCTTTGTCAGACTACACCATGCCCGCCGCCGCGCCGGCCCCGCTGCCCGCCCGGGCCGCGCTCCCGGCGCCCGGCGAGGCGGAGACGTATGTGTACATCGACCGTGGCGGGCTGCTCCCGGATGTATGGGACTTTGCCGAGTTTGTGGCGGAGAACGCGTGGAAGTGGTACGACAGCCACCCCGACGAGGACGACGGAATCGCAGAGGTCGAGCGCCGCAGGGCAGCAGGGACAACGGCTGTCATATAAATCATGATAGCAAGGTATAATGCACAAAATGGTTCAATTGGATGTAGTGAATGTAGGGTGATGTGTAAAAGAAGAGAAAAAAAAACTACACTCCCTGCGGTGTCGGCTGCTGATGGATCGGGATGTGGTCCTGAAATGTTATCAATTATTCGATTTCTCGACGAGAATAAACTTCACCGTCTTCTGCTTCTTGAGCGGACGCGGGCGGGCCCCTGCTATCCCCGCCTTTGATGCCCCGATCGTCGTAGGCGCTTGCTGCTGTGGCACCCCCCCTCCCATTACCGCCGGCAACCCATGGCCATTCACACTCGCCAGCACATCCGGCTCGCGCTCGCGCTTGACGCCCCGCTCGGCGGTCACGGGATGTGCGCTGAGGGGGTGCGGCGTCGTCGGGGTCGCGCCGGTCCGCATCGGGGTCCCCACACGGCCCGCAGCGGTGGTGACCGGGGGCAGCGCCGGTCTTGGGGCCGTCCGCGGGGTGCCGACGGTCGGTCGCGGGGTCCCTGCAGAGACCGCGGGCCGCGGCGTGCCCACTGCTGTCGGGAGTGGCGAGCCCGTGACGATGTTGGCGGCGATCTGCTGCTGGTGGGCCTTGGCCAGCCGCTTCAGCTCCTTCCGGCGCTTCCGGTCCTCCCGCGCCTGCGCCGACTCGAGTATCAGGGTATTCGGGTTCCACTTTGATGAGTCAGTAAAAAAGAATAAATTTCTTTGTTTTGGCCACGCACGCCTTTGAGGCCCTCGAGGCTGACGGCGAACGCCTCACGCTGGGTGCGGAGGTCGAACGGGACGATCTTGATGTGCTGCTTGGGCGGGACGAGCATGATGCCACCCAAATAGTCGTCCTTCTTCATCGAGTGTTTCCCTGTTTTGTCCCTTGTCAGCCCTAGTAAACCCGCTAACAGCACCACCACACACCGGGGACGCCCTTGATGAGGTGCTTGTAGCTGTTTTTCTTCTTCTTCTCGCCCTTCGGCTGCCCGTCGTCGTCGTCGCCGTCCTGCTCGCCGGGCGTCTGCGGCGCGGGGCTCGCCTGCTCACGTGCCTTGCCCTTGCCGTTGTCGGGTGGGGGAGGCTGGGCCTGGGCGTCGTCGTCGTCCCGTACGTACTTGTCGTAGGCGGGCAGCAGCTGGAAACGCGTGAGGAGATCGTCGGTGCTGGCGAGGCGGGGCGGGGGGTGCGGCGGGCCTGTCATGTGCGATGTCAGCCACGGGGGTTATGTCATGCATGGGCTACTCGACGGACGGGGCGGGAGGAGGAACAGCGTCGAGGGCCCGGCCGTCGCGTTCGTCATCAGCATGGACGTAGAAGGCAACCCTTATGTGGGGGCTGTCACAATCACACCTCGCGCGGCCACCAAGAAATGGGCTCCGCTCGGCACGGGGGATTTGGTGGGCGGCTGGCGGTAGGCGGTCGGCGCTGGGTGTGGCTGGTGTGCCCCCTGCGGTCGTGCCTGGGGTCAGATGCAGGCACGCGGATGACTCAGCGGGCAGTGCAGCGGGTATATAAGCCCAGGCCCAAAGCCTGGGAGCCTCGGACTCCTGATCCCCTTCGGCTAGGTACCCACCCACCCTGCTGCCCTCCTCTCTCTTGCTGACTCACCCCCCCAGTATGCCGTCGCCGCTCGTCGTCGAGCATCTTTGAGGGCTGGCGCGTGCCACGCCCTCTCGTCGCCGCCCACACTCGGTCGTGGGCGGCATCGCGGGCCATCGGCGCTATTAGCCCGATGGCCAATCGTGGGAGCGTCTTTTTGGCGCTCCCGATGTTGGGACTGACGCCCGTTGGCGTCGTCCCTCGACCGCCCGCCGGACGTCTCCGGCGGGCGGGTGACGGTGCACGTGCCCTAATGGCCCGTGCGCCAGTGGTTGCGCTGCGTTTCGCAGCGCTACTCGCCCTCCGCGTGGTATCGATGCCGCGCGGAGCTCTATAGCGGAAATTCCGCTTTTCGCGGAATTTCCGCTGGTCCCTCGCTCGACCACAGTGATGTCGTCCAGCGAGGGGGAATTGTGAGTTTCTTTGCTCTCTGTCTTACATCGTGCTGACGTGGCCACAGCCCATCTCCCTGTTTGTCGGGCTCCGACAAGCATTGAGGTGGAGCAGACAAATCAATTACCCCAGGTCATCCCCCCCATTCTCCCGCCCTCGTACATAGACAAGCAGTATGTAACCGTGGAGATACAATAAATTTTTTGCGCGCGCAAACCACGTGGATGAGTCAGCGGGCAGGGGGTATATGATGCCGTGGGAGTGAACGCGTTAGCGGCGCATTATGCCTCGCTTTCGTACATACCCCTTCGCGCGACTACAGGAATGGCGTCCAGCGAGGGGAATATGTGAGTTGTTCTCTCTATCGTGTTGTGCCGTGCTGACTGTGCCCAGCCCATCTCCCTGTTTGTCGGTCTCCGATCAGCTCGGCGGTGGAGCCAAAAATCAATTGCCCCAGGTCATCCCCCCGCTCTCCCGCCGTCGTACGTAGCCAAGCAGTGTGTAGCCGTGGAGATAGAATGAATTTTTTGTGCGGGAAGATGATGAGTGAGAGGGTATATAAGCCCCAGCGCAAGGCATGAGAGCCTTGGACTCCGGATCCCCTTCGGCTAGGTATACTTATCTCCCCCTGCTAATTGGACGCCCTGCTTAGACGCCGTCGTCGCTCCCAGTGAGCATCGATGTTCCAGGCCGGTGCACCGGCCCTCTCACATATCCGTCACACTGGGCCTCACCGTGGACGGCATTTATTAACACATTAGCAAGTTGGATTGGCGTGTCTGCACCGACCTGATCAGTCGTCGCCGACCCACCCCAGACGATACAGTAGCCGTTGACCGTGACGGACTGACGCTTCGCTGCGTCGTCCTATATAAATTCACAGGCGTATCTGGTCGCTTTGCGGAGCGGCTGACTGCGCCTCTATAAATTCAAACCCCCTACCGATGCAGGGGAGTATCGTGATGTTGTGGCGCGTATGCCTGGCATACGCTGTCGTTAGTACTAGTAGCTGCTTCGCTCGACCCCAGTAATGTCGTCCAGCGGAGAACCCATGTGAGTTGTTTTCTCTCGTTCTCTTATCGAATGCCGACGTAGCCACAACAGCAGACAAAATCAATTACCCCAGGTCATCCCGCCACCCACTCTCCCGCCCTCGTACGTAGCCAAGCAGTATGTACCCGTGGAGATACAATAAACCTCTTTGTCAACCCCAGAGTGATGGATGATCAGTGCTGACTAATACCCGAAATGAAATGAGGGGTGAAACCAACGCGGCCTGCACGAGGCGAACGGAGCTCACTCTCTTACTACGATGTCGTCCGATGCGCTCCTCGTCAAGATTGCTGCACAGCTCGATGCCCTCCAGATCCAGCAGCAGACGATGCAGGCCCAGCTGGACACGCTGACGTCACCGCCCCCGCCACGCTCGCCGCCATCCACCACCAAGCCAATACCGATCCCTTCCTCCCGCCAGACCCCAGTGCCACCAGAACTGGGCACCTCCCCGCCTCTAGTAGGCACTCCCCCGCACCACACGCTCAGCGGCGTGACCACGAAGGAAAAGGAGCGCGAGCACGTGCTCTACCCCGGCCGCGTCGTGCTCTCCAGCTACCCCAACCAGCCCGCGATCACGCCCCACGCCCTTCACTGGGGCGCACCGGACCCCGCGGCCCGCGGTCCCGTCGTCTGCTCCCGCCTCCCCGCCAGCATAAAGGCGCGCAATGCCATCGGGGCACATAGCGGGAGTTACTCGATTTACCGCTCGCTGTCGATTGCGCTGGGGAGTCTGTCGCCGACGCACAAGCCTGATTTGTGCGTGTTTACTATTTTATTTAATTTTCTAATTTGCTTGTAGCACAATGACTGAGCCACCAGTCGATATACCGCCCAACAAGGCGTGGGGCTCCGAGGGCGGGTGGACGATCGGGAGCACGCCCCCGACCGGCGGGTTCGGCCCGATCGTCAGCATGGACCCGTGGGGCCATCTGGTCCCGAGTGTCTTTGCAGACGCGTTGGCAAGCGGGCTCGATGTCCGCCCCAGCATCGCGGTCACGCGAGCACACATCAAGATGAGCGAGCTGGACGACGCGGTCCGGAGGGGCGAGCTGAAGGTCGACGGCAAGATTGTGCTGGCGAGTGCCCCTGTGCCCGGGCTGGAGAATCCAGGCGTGGAGGTCACGGTGAGCAAGGCGGCGGTCGAGCCGGTGTGGCATTTGCCGGGGGTTGCAGAGCGGTTTGGGATGTGAGTGGTCGAAAACTGTTCTTTTTATGACTAATTAACTCTCCAGCTCGGAACTTTTGCTTCGCCGCGCGCTGTTTGAAGAGACGGGCGGGTCGTACCCCGAGCTGATCACGCGTCCCGACATCAAGGTGTTTTTGCCGCCGATTGGGGGTCTGACGGTGTACATTTTCGGGAACCCGGCGTTCATGTCGGACGAGTCGAAAGAGCTCACTCTCCGTGTCCACGACGAGTGCAACGGGTCAGACGTGTTTGGGTCGGACATCTGCACGTGCAAGCCGTACCTGACGTACGCGATTGAGGAGTGCATCCGGGGGGCGCAGCGCGGGGGGGTCGGGGTCGTTGTCTACTTCCGGAAAGAGGGCCGGGCGTTGGGCGAGGTGACGAAATACCTGGTGTACAACCTCCGGAAGCGCGGGGGGGACTCGGCCGACAAGTACTTCAAGTCGACGGAGCTCATCGCGGGCGTGAAGGACATGCGCTTCCAGGCGCTGATGCCCGACGTGCTGCACTGGCTCGGCATCAAAAAGGTCGATCACATGGTCAGCATGAGCAACATGAAGTACGACGCCATCGTCAAGAGCGGGATCCCTATTCTCCGCAGGTATGACATCCCCGAGCATCTCATCCCGCCAGACTCGCGTGTCGAGATTGACGCCAAAATCGCCTCGGGCTATTTCTCCAGTGGCGCGCAGATTACAGAGGCGGATTTGGTCAAGACCGTCGGTAGGGCGTGGGAGGAAACGGAGCATTAGTACCACCCTGTCCTCTGTTAGATCCATATATTCCTCGTTGTCCTCCTTTCACAGAACGATTCGCTAGTACTAGTACAGTAACCTTGGCCACTACTATACAAATCATCCAACCCAGTCCATCGCATCCATGTCCTCCTCTGTTAGCTCCCGGTCCATATATTCTTCATTGTCATCATCCTCCATCGGCGCCTCAATTACCTCCTCCACCACAGCCAATTCCTCCACATCCGATTCCTCCCGCTTGCGCTTTCTTGACTCGGCGTCCTCGATCACCCAGTCCTTGCACACCTTATTCGCCTTGTGCGACGCAGCAAGCTTGACCTCGTGCTTGCTCATCTTTCCCGCATACCAGCTCTCTGCCCGGGTCTCCGGCTTCGGCTCGCCGTCAATCGTGACCACACAGCTGATCCGGTCGTCCGTCTGCACATACTCGCAGTCCACTTTGGCATGGCGCGCGCTTGCCCATTCATGCAGACGTGACACGGGGTGTAACACGTCCACATCGTCCGCGACGACGCGCTCCAACACCTGCATCAGGCCCAGGCGGCGCAATAGCTGCTCGACCACCCCGAGATCCCCGGCAGAGTCGATGAAGACGGCCCCGATGACGCTCTCGACGAGGTCGCTGAGGAACTTGGGCGCCTGCAGCAAGAACAGCGGCGCCCACGGGAACACGGGGTCTGCAGTCAAGCCGGCCTCGATCTCGGCCCGCGCGGCATCACACCGGGCCGCGGTGGCCGCCTGCTCGCTGAGCACGTGATCGCTTGAGTGCAGCATGCACTGGTACAGATACACCGTGCGCTGCTCTTCTTCGGCGAAAAACTCACGTGCGCGGTGCGGCGTGTTCTTGTCTGGCTGCGGGATCACGCTCGGCGCAAGCTGGGTGGCTGTGCGGAGACAGATGTAGGCGAGGGTGTGCGCGTTCACGATGGTGGACTTGCGCCGCATGATCTGGCCCGGCTGGTACTTTCTGTGTGACCGATAGAGGAAGTCTGTGACGATCATGTCGAGCACTGCGTCCCCGCAAAACTCGAGTCGCTCATATGACATTGCCCGCGTCTCCGACTGGTAGCTGCAGTGTGTCAGCGCCTCCACTAGCAGCGGCTTCTTCCGGAACGTATATCCCAGCATCCGCTCCACACAGTCCAGTTGGCTGGGTAGTTCTTCCAGTGGCTCGACGCGTGCAAACATTGCGTCAACTCGTTCAGGAAGAGGCGCCCATGTGATGTTCAGGCCGAAGAACTCCCCGCATCTGACGGCCAAATCGAAGCTGCCGTGGAGATATGCCGCCCCGATCAGCGCTTCCACCACATCTGCGAGTACTTTGGTTGAGAGCTCCTGGTTGTTGGCATTGCTCTTTTTCTTCTTCTTTTTCTTCTTGTCGTCCTCTTGAAGCTTCTCCTCAACTGGCGGCGGGGGCGGCGGTGCCTCAGGCTGCACTTCCGCCCTCATGTACCGCGGCTTCCACTTCTTGCCCAGTAGCCGGTCTACGATGTTATTAGCTGGATTTTCCTGCTACACGACAACTTACCCCGGATGATAAACCGATACATTTCATGCCCGATATTGGCCTTCGCGAGCCTCGCATTCGAGACCGTGCTGCCAACAATCAGATAAGACAACGACGACCACAAATTGCTCACTGTCCCATCTTCTTGGTGAGGTACCCCTCGTGCCAGAGCGGGAATTGGCCCAGCAGCTGGAGCGAGACCATGTACTTGAGCACCGTATCGCCCAATGTCTCCAACCGCTGCAAAAAGAAAAGTTAGCCCAAACAATCAAACCAAGGTGACATTACCTCATAGTCAGACAACTCCCCCGCGACAGGTGCACACAGTGCCGTGGTCAACAACTCCCGCGGTATATCGACCAACTCCGTCCCAGCCAGCATCGTGCGCTGCATCGTGCCAATTGTCGCTGCAATGCCAAGAGCGCGCAGCACCGACGGCAGCAACGTCGCATACTCAACATCCGCGGCCGAGCACATCACAATCTGTGTCCTTTCTGGCAGCAGATTCACAGTCTTGACTACCGAATCAGTCACCGCCTCGGCTGGCAGCGGTACAAGGAAGTTGGTGCGTGGTGGGAGTGGCTGTGCAACGAGAAGCGGGTACTCGATGTCCAGTTCATCGTCCTTGTAGAATGCGCGAATTTCTGCCTCTTCTTCATCTGTCAACTCCTTTTTCCGCCACCGGACAAACCGGAACGGCGAGCCGAACTGGTACATCTTGCGCATCAGGGTGATGTCCTTGGCGTAAGAGTACTTTTCCGCAAAAGCAGACGCGTTGCACAGCAGCGGATGTCCGCCGTATGTGTTTTGCTGCTGCCACTCCACATGCCACGCCCGCCGGTCCACCCAAACATCATCACCGTCGACTGGCAAAAAGAGGTAGCAAAAATCGACATCATCCCACACCATGCGCGACCCGTTCAGGGTCCAGAATACTCGTCGCGTGTATTCCCGCGCCTTTGCCAGTGTGGCAGCGTCCACCGGCGCGTCTAGCGGGCACCACGTGACCGCGTGCTGGCCCTCTTTTCGATGAAGAATCGGCGCATCCGGGCCGGCGAGCGCCACAGGCGGTGTCTGCGTGTACATGTACAACGCAGGGAGCCCCGTGATGGTGAGCTTCGACGCAAACCACTCCGGTTCGTCTGCCGTATCCGTCTCGCCAGCCCACGGGTTGATCTGAACAGACACGGTCGCGGTCCCGTGCCGCTTCTCGACATCCTTTAGCAGCTCCTTGACCTCCTCATCAAGATGCGGCTCGACTACGCTTGTGAGCGGGAGCAAGTGCTGATTCAGCAGGCCCTTCTCATAGAGTGCTTTATATGCCACAAACGCAACGTGTCGGCACGCCGACGCCTTGCTCGGGTACACCCTCTCCGTCTCGAAGGACCGGAGTTCCGGCCCGAGGATCCGCGGGAGCGTGACCTTCGCACCCCACGGCCCTTTGTACTGAATCGCGGTGCGCCGATCCGCGAGTGCGTGCCAGCCCTCCGGGTGCTCCGGTGGATCCAGCTCATAGATGGGTTGGTAGTCATTTTGGTCTTTAAAAAGTTAAAATCGATAATTCAACACAAGGGAAACTTACTCCAATGAGGAATCAGTGCACAGAACTGGTTCAGATGAGGGATGGCTGAACTGAGCGTAAGCAGTGCCCTGTACAAGACGTAAGCAAGATTTCTCCAACAGAGAAAAAAGGCCACACCCCGTGCTCTCGACCCTGAACACGAGTTCACGGTCCTCTAACGAATACTCGTCATCGTCGTCCTCCAGCGCTGGCTGCATCTGCCTTGAAGGGTCCGAATACTGCGCAATCATTTCCGCCTCCATCTTCTCCCATTTTCTGAGTGCTTCTTGCTGGTCTTGGTCCCGCGCAACGAGAAGCGTGAATGTACTCTTCTGCCGGCGCGCGCGACCCCGGCTCTGCATCCAGCTTGCCATATTGGGCGCGGGGTCCCACCGGATCACACTTCCGCACGCTTGGATGTCGATTCCTGCAAGTATTCAGATCAAATCAGAATTATCACGACATGACACTGGGGACACTGCTCGCAGCAGTTTGCAACTTGGCGTATGGCAGTCGAATGGCGGTTGAGTGGAGTTGCTTGGTTAAGCAAACAATATTTTCTTTGTTTCAACTGCCATTGGCCCTGCCATCAGAATTGACAAACTGCTGCGAGCATTGTCCCTGGTGTTATTATAGGTGAGCACGGACCTTCCTCTGCAACCGCAGTCGATATAATCAGATTCTTCTCCCCCGTCTTGAAATTCTGGAGAGTCGATGCGTGTGTCTTGAGTAGCGCCTTGGTCAGGTCAAACGCTGCCGACTTGTACCCCGTGTCCGTCGTCCCGACAAGCTCGCCAACTTTAACAATGTCTTTAGTGTCTGGGTGGTGAGCCAGCACCTCCGCCAACGCCAGCACAGCCTCGCGGCGTTGAACAAACACGAGTGCATTCCACGTCTGCCCGTCCGCTTCTGTCTGCTCTTTTTCCCGTTTGATTGCCTTCACCAGCGCTGCCACCTTGTCCGAGCAGTCTCCTACGATGTCCTCGCCGTAGTACGATGGCTCAATCGCACATATTCGGTTGAGTACCTCCAGCATGTACGCCTTCTCCAGGTTCGGCAGGTCGGTGAGTACGAGCTGATACTTGCCCGTGTCGAGCGCGGCACGTGCCCGCGTGACCGTGTGGTAGATCAGCCAATCGGCCGCCCACGGGCCGATGTCGCTGCACAGCGCCTCCGCGGTGCCCAATACGCTTCGCAGCTGTGTCTGGATATACGTGTCCTTCTTCGCAATCACGCGCGACAGCCGCTGGTCGATGCGCTGCCATTTGTTCGAGCGATAGGTGGTTTTCTCGAGGTCTCGTCGCAGTTTTTTCACGTATGGATCGTCGTCGATGTCGAGAGCTTTGAAAACATTTTGGAATGAATCCAGGTTAGTCGAGAACGGGGACTCGTCGGGGTCATACATCACGTGGATGAACACGGGCTTGTGGACATGTTGGTCTAGCTCGGCGCGCTCCCGAAGGGGGGCGCGAATCTTGCTGTCTAGGTTATTTTCGATCATCTTGAATGACTTTTCGACATCCCCGCCATATATCGGCGACGCAGTCAGGCCCAGAATGGCGGGGCGCACGTTCTCGCGGGTGGCCAGTGTGATGTGGAGGAGGTCCGGGTCCCGGGCCGGACAGGTGAAGTAGAATTCGCGCATTATGCGGTTGTACGGGTGGTCTTTACCGGTGTGATGCGCCTCGTCAAAGACGATGAGCGACAGGTCACGTCCCATGCTGACATAACTGTGTCTGAGGGCGTCTAGCAGCACCTAGTGATGCTTAGGGAGGCTAACAACGACAAAGAGAGATAACACACCTGGGGAGTGGATACGACGATCCTGTTGGTGGACAGCACGCGGGTCCATAGATTCGCGTCTTTCCAGTGTTCTGGCTCATTTGCACCAGAAATGAGCCCTACAGAAACGGGCAGCGCCGTCTGAATAACCTCCTTTTGCTGCAAGCATGATTACTTTCACAGCCAATTGACTGTTGATTGACCCACCTGATGACATAGCGACACTGTAGGCGCCAGAAACCATGCGACCTTCATGGGCTCGCGGTCGACTGCCGCTTTCATCCTAAGGACAGCAATGTGTGTCTTGCCCGACCCAGTCGGCATCGCGATAATGGTGTTCCCCTTGAGGCTTTCATCCAACAACTCTTGCTGGTAGCCCCGTGTCGTTATTGTGCGATCTTCAAAGAGCCCGACAAGGCGCCCATCGCCAGCGCTATCGGGCGTCGTTGGCTCAGAACTCGAGTCAGACTGCATTGTGGGAAGTGGCAAGAAGGGAGCTCGAGGCAGCGCTAATGGTCACACCTTCAGCGTCTAAAGGCTAACGGGACTCGAAATAGCACGACAAAGAGGTTGTGTTGACGTTCATGTGTGGGCCGGTGCAAGATGCATACGCTCGGCAAAAGGGGTCACACCACGAGTCAGTGACCAACGCGTCCACGAAATCGGTCCTAGAACTTGTCCAGATTTGGTTCCAAGCTCAATTCAGAATTGTTATGCCCGAAATCCTCACTGAAAAAATCCACCTTAAAGTTGACCTCTATTCCTCTTTCATGCCCCACTATGTGTCCATCATGGTCATAAAATTCGTCAAAACAAAAAGTACAGCCGATAAGTACGATAGTCATATTAGTAGATACACTCGTCACCGCCGTCCCGCCCCCACCAAGCTCGTCACACTCCGATTGCCCACTGCCCCCGCATCATAACTGCGCCTACCACCCATTCGGCCCTCCTCGTCCACAATATGCAACGCAGTCGCGCTCCCATTCACACCCCGCCTCCCCGCGTCCAACGAGTACATCTTGGGGCTCTTCTTGTCCAGCGAAAAGGCGTTGCTCACCGCCGGCATGCTCAGCCGTCTGATCCAGCCCTTCGGCTTCTCGGTCCGAAGCGTGAACGGCTTTTCCGGCGGTCGCAAGTCGTGAGGCGACGGTGCTCGGTTGGAAGGCGACTTGTAGTGTTGGACCGAGCATGCCTCGCAGCCACAAGAGATCGCGTGGGGTGTGCCGTCAACCGATGAGTTGGACGAGCGAGAGGAAGGCGTGGGTTGCGCTTGAGGCGGTACCAAATGGGTGGTGCTATAAGAATGGGAATGCGTATTCCCAACATAAGATGGCTGTTGTGACCGCGTTTCAAGCTGCGACTGTGGCCGCGGCAAGGGCGAAGTCCGGAAAGACGTCTTTCGCTCCCGTGGCCGCAACTGGGGCTTGCTATCCTCTCCCCTCAAGTTACGCAAATTCGCCCGCTCTGCCTCTAACTCTTGGGCCCGCAAACTAATCTCGCGCTCCCGCTCTTGTAGCATCTTTTCCTTCTCCAAAAACTCAAGTTCAGCGACCTCATCCAATGCTTGTTGATTGCGCTGAGTGTCATCAGGTAGCCTGGAACTAGACGGAGTCGGAAGAGGTCGTCCGAATCCCGCAGAATTGCTCCGTTCACCCAAGCCTATTCCAGGATAACGGTCTGGCGATGCAGGTTGTTGTTGAGGACTGCGTGTTTGCACTGGAGACGACCGTTGCGGAGAAGTCGGGGCCGAGTCAGGCTGATATCGCGATGCAAGGTCGCTGACGCTGAGTGGTAAACGCGGGATTGGCATATCTTTAGGCGGGGGAGGAGAAGAGACGACACCCGGCTATATAAATATTAGTCAAAAAATAACTCGGAACGGGAACCACGCACTGTTGCAGAGTATCTGTTTCTCATCGCAGCCACAACGCTGCCGTTGCTCCCGCCAGTATCGCTTCGCTGGACGCCAGATTTGGCCTGAACCCATTCGGGTGTTTCCGTAATTTGCTTCGGGCTTGGATCGGCCACATAATCGCCTCTGGGGAAGGAGTTTGGCGTTGAATACCCGTTAGTAGGCGGTTGATAAGAGTCCGCTGTCTGTGAACGAATTGGAATCGGGCGTTTGATTTCAAGCGGTTCATGGGGTGAAGAGGTCTCAGCCGGTGAGCGATTGGGTGTCGGGCTTCTCGACAACGGTTCCTCTGCTTGCCGTTCAGGTTCGAGCAAAGTAGATTCGGGCTGAGACGACGGGAAGTTGACATTTGAGTTGGAGTTGGAGACCGAAGATGACGAAGATCCTTGTTGAGATAGTTGCTGACGTGACGGGATGGGGAAATGGGATGGGGGCAGCGGGAAAGCAGAGAGTGATCGCACTGAGCCCGAGTTTGGGTCAACAAGCGGGCGTGGCGGCTCGAAGGATGAAGGTGGTGGCAGTTGATTCCTTGGAGGCCTAGGGGAGGAAAGCGGAGTAAGGGCCGTTGTCTGCTCTCGTTCATAACTGGGAGGCTCGATATTCCGGAGAGTATTGGGCAACTCCTCCCCACGAGTTTCTGGCTCGGTAGGCGGTGATTCCACGTCAGGGTCAACTAAAGATGGTGGGACCGCGCCTGTCCATCCGCCTTCACATAATGCACGCCATTCTCCCAAGGGCCCGATAGCCGGCGAGAATCGCCGAACGCCCTCACAAGTTCGCAGCCATTCTGCATCCGCAATGCGAGAAAGACAAGCAGCAACACTATATGTGGTGGCTACATGTCGCTGCGTTACTTGGAGAGAATGGTTGCTGTCATCTAAGTTAGGACAATGGAGTTCAGTTCAAAAAAGATGGCCACGCACTACTTCTCCTGTGAAATCTCAGGCCCCAGAGTGCTTATAAGATTGATATAGCGAGCATGTTCTTCAGCTGAGTCGCGAGGATTCTTCTTGGACTTCTTCTCATATAGTTGACCTGCAAGAATGAATGGCTCGTTTAGCTCTCAGGGATACGACTGTGCCCTTACCGGCTTGCTTTATCTTTGCATTCGCGTTGCTGATTCGATCGTCATGGGCCTTTTCCTCTTTCTGCCCAGGATAGGATGGTCAGGTGTGAGCGGGATAACGAAAGGTACTGGGACGCACAGCTAGCTTCTTGAACCACTTCTTAACCTCTCCGCTGATCACGTCGTACTCTTTGTCCGCAATTTTCGCAAATTTGGAGTCGATGTCGGACAATGCCTCGAAGATAGTTGCGCTTGCGTTCATGGCATTGGCTGGCCGGACTTTAGAGATAGTATAGACTCTGGGCAATAAAAACTCACCAGCAATCTCCCCGTTAACCTTTATTCCGGAAGCCTCTCGCAGCGCTTTAGCCAGCTTCTTCTGTAGGAGCACGACAGCGCCGGCTGCTTCACAATAGTCGTTGAGGACATTGAGAAGGGTTTCCAGGGAGCGGCAGCCTTTATGGACGTCGACACGCTCGGCCAGAAACGGTGCCTGGCTCTGAGGCAAAGCCATGGCCAGACCGAGAGAGGGGGATGGTTCGACAAGTCAAGAAGAGAGGTGTGTCCGAATTCGACGTCTGACGTAAGTACCGATTAGATTCACCTCGTCCGCAGTTCTTCCAGTGCAACCAAGTTCGAAAGCTGTCACGAGCGGAATCCACAGAATTTCCGTCTACCTTACGAAAGGACAAAGCAAAGGTTCCGCATCTCCACCAGTTAGCAGTGGACTTGATTGACTGTGACTGGTTATCCGGACCTTGCTCTTGGCCGCCATGGCGATAGACGGGGAGACCTCACCCCTTCTCTCTGGAGCACGGACCCCTTCTTTCACTGCCCGCTCGGATGATAGTTTATACTATGGCTCTCGGGATCCCAGAGCCAATTTTGCGTGGTGAGTAGTCTATTCTCGACGCGCGACTGTCCGTCATCCTCTGTAGGCTCATTCCCACCGCCATAATGGGCTCTCTGGCTCACGAACTTACGAACATTTCCCGTTTGGTGTTTTTCCGACAATACTTTTGCCAGGAAATCGGATTTCCTGAAGCGCCAGACCCTAGTTTATTGGCATACACTCCGTCCCCATCCACCCTCCACTGCAGTAATCCTCAATTCCCTGTCAACATCGCAGCGATGGTTCTCACGTGCACTTTCTCAACCATCTCAACCGGCTGGTGGACCGGACAGAGTGATGTTAGTGGCAGGAGATATTCTCTGACGATACCTATGTTGGGCTCCATCATCTCGTCAGTGAATCCAGCCTTCTTCTGCATGTCATTCAGCTTTGCCTAGAAACCTGCTCTTTGCTGTCCTCGCCGGAAGTCAGAGAGTGGACGGCCTAGCTCAAGTCATCGCATTTGTTGGATTGTTGGTCGAGGGCATGCTGGGAGGATCTGCCACTTTCAGAGCCAGTCTTAACGCGTCAGTCTATTCTTACAACTGAAATGCTTGTCGATCTGACTTCCTTTTTAGATATGTAGCGGACGTCGCGCCTGCTGGATCGTGGTCTACATCGTTTAGCATTCTTCAAGGTGTTTTCCTTGTCTGTACATTGCTCGGTAGCTCGGTATGTTGTCCGTCGCTTGTCAACAACGCTCTTCATACGATTTCAGATTGGGTTAGGACTTGATTTCTTCAAGCCGTTCCTCTCCTTTGCAGTTGGTGCTGGGGTTGCTGTCATCAATCTGATCTATATCATCATATTCCTGCCTGAGTCGCTACCAGAAGAGTTTGAACTCGATCGGCCATCCAAACTCAAACTCGGCGATTTCAGGAAGTCTGTCTCGTTCCTCATCACCTCGTTGAGTGGCCACCGGATAGCACTACTTAGCATCGCATTTTTCACGTATTCTATGACCTCGGTATGTGGGCAGTAATTTGGGTCTCCCTGTTGCTTAAGTTGTCATCAGAGTATAGAGTCACTCCACCTTTCATTTGCCTTGTCTCCCGATAGTACTGCAACGCCAATTCCGGTCAGTATATCTCGTTTTGTCCCGCTCATGTTGACGCTCGTTATTCAAGGCTGGTTACTTCATCACAATTTCCACCATGACTAGATTAACTGCATTCTTTCTCATTATACCTGGTGAGTGTCATTGCGTAGTGCACACTTGTGTTCACCATCTACCCCCTCAGGCATTATCTATCTCCTCCAGCGACGCACGCCCCTCAGCCTCGCGATTTCCACCAAGCAATACATTCTTTCCGCGATCAATATTGACGGCCTGGCCTTGCGTTTATTGCTCCTTGCAGACCTCATGACACAAGTCTTCATCCTCTTTATCCCTGCTAGTCATACCACCCTCTTCTTCCTCCTTGCCCTGTTTGCACCTCTGACAGGCGGTCTGAAGCCTACCTTCCAAGCGTTAATCGCTACATCTGCCGAGCTGCGAAGCAGCCCCAAACGCAGAGGCACTCTCTTCGGAGCTCTCAGTGTCTTGGGAATGATTGGGGAGACTCTTTCGGTACGGCCAACGCACAAATCCATTCTACGTTACCTGATCAAATTTTCAGCACATCATGTTCAAATCGACCTCCACTCTATGGCAAACCTTCCCCAAGGCCGGTTTCGTCGCCACTGCCACGCTCCTCACCCTTGTTGGCATCCTACTTTGGCCCGCTCTCATAGGCGGCCGCGCCATCGCCGACTCTCTACCTACAGATCGAGAACGCATTCGGATTGTCGTGTCTGAGGACTCTACGGGCCCAGCGCGCGACCCAGACTCGACTTTCTTCTCGCCTGTCTACCGACGGCATGGGACTGTTGAAGGCTCTACGGAGGCTCTGAATTAACTGTACTTATGACCATATGCATTTATTTATATGTACCATACCCACCCATTGTATGTCTCCATTGCCAACGAGTTGACGTTAAACAGACCAACAACCCAAAGGAGCAAGGAGATAAGAGGCACGTGCCGTTCGCCGAAATTGAGTTTGCTTGGTATCACACAGTAAACGAAAGAAAAATCGGTTCAAAGATACAAACAAGCTATCTTGAGCTCACATCGACCCAAAGTCTTGACCCGTCCGCGCACCTCGCCCAATACACTCGAGGAAAACTCTTAGCGCCCCAGACCTCACTAGCACCAGGCAGAAGAAACTGCGCCGGTGCCAACAAGCCCTAGTGCGCCAGAGTATTACCGTCCCGACTAGGTCATAGCGAAAAACGCGTAGGTAACAGGGAGCTGTTTGTTTGCGCAATGGCCCAGCCTAACTACAAACCACTCTTCCATCCACGACCTGCTACTGGCAGGTCGGGAAGTTCGGTTGTCCCCGCCGGACTGGCCATTGCTCTCCCATAGGATGACCGGCTGCAACGCTGGCATTGAGGGGATGCGGACAGGCAAGTTTGGGCAATAGAGGACAAGTTACAACTGACGAAGAATCAGATAACGCTCGAAAATTTTCACGGTGACGCACCGATCAAACCACAACAGTCGAGATTCGTATTGCAAGCTGGTACTCCTCGCACCATAACGATGAGAGCGTTATCGTTCCTTGAACAGGGGATAGAAAATGAACTGAATCAGAAGGTCAGAACTTGTCCCGACCCAGGCTGAATTCAAGCAGTACGACGAATAGGACATTGTGTTGTCAAGGCTGATGAAACAATAGTCAGGAGGATACTGGTAGGACATTGAGGTGTACCAGGTACTTCGAATGGTGTGAAGCGGTCCAGAATGACGATTCAGTGCAGGACGGATACGACAAGTCAGTGATGGTGGGCAATACGGCAACGAAACCTCAGATCACAGAGCGGATGGTGGCAGTTGGAGAAGAAACGCAACTTGTTTGTGACCGTCACTTTCGACCTGAATAAATAATGTAACTGAAGACAGGGGTTCCGAGTCTCTAACAGGAATGAATACGGTTAAACCAAGACTCTCTCTTAAGGTAGGCCTGGTCAACATCATAAGTGCGTTATTATATCCAAGTGGAACAAACAAACCTCCACTGCTTGATTGCTGTTGCCGTAGTATCTTCGTCTTCGACTGTTTGGACTTGTTAGCGAGGCCTTTGGGCAGTTGTTTGCCGTTACTGATACCTACGTCTCTGGTATTAGTAGATATAACGAGGAGGGGAAATAGCATACGGGAGCGGGGCTCTCTGCGATATGGCGCGGAGTGCTTACGACTGGGTGCTAGTGCCTGGTCCTTTGTAACGGTTGCAGCGAGACGATTTGATCGCCGAAGAGTAGGTGCGACAGGAGCCGAAAAAGAAACGAGTTGCGGGCTAGCGTTTGCGTTCTCTTTGTCCGCATTCGTAGTCAAGTGTTGGGTGATAGTGTTGTGCAGAGTCGAAGGATTGATGGATAGAGCATGGCCAGTCACTTGTGAAGACGTTGTGCGCTTGTGTTTCAGACGTGGTGCGGGTGTTGGGGTTTCAGGTTGTGGCGGGAGTGGACGACCAAGACGAGGGGTAGGGGGAGAACAGAAAAACATCTGCCACGCCCCGGTCGGTGTTGCGGGAATGGAATGGTCCAAATCGTGGCGGGTTGGGGTGGGATGGGAATTATTTGACACGACAGGAGGGGCATGTGTTGCGAGCATTGGTGGTGGGCCGATTTCATCATCGCCAATCTCTTCGTCTGGGCCAGCGAGATACCAATCTATAGGCCACGTCAAAGGGTTGGTGCTGAAGTCGACTAGAGTCGCGCTCGGCGAGTTATGGTAGAGGTGTGATACAGGTGCGGCATATCTTGCGGTGTCGAGCGGTTGAGTTCGGCTCAAAGACGAGGAGAATGCACTGGATTCGTCGACGCTCCGAGAGGGTTGGGTCGACATTGTCATGGTGGCGAGAAAGAAGAGATGGGTTGAGATTTGGCTAGTGGCAGTGCGCGTGATTGCCTCTTTTTTGTCTCTTTGCCCTATATTTTAGGCGTAAGAAAGCCAACACCATGTTGGTCTCCTCAGACAATGAGCTAGATGCGGTGACGACTGCTGGAGAAGGATTATCTTGAGAAAAGAACCGCTGACACAAAATCCAACAGCTCATCGCAGGGTCTGTCAAGAGAGAGACAAATCGCATACGGCGCGCTACCAAAACGAACTGAAAGAATCTCTTGCCTGCATGCCGCCTACACTCCAACTCTGGCTAAAGTGCTGACTGAAAACGGCGCGTTCGGTAGGCATTCGGTTGAGAACAAACGGGTCCTCAAAAAGCAACTGCATATTACTCTCCGTGCTGACTACCTGCGCAACTCTCCGTACTTATGCCATTTTCTGCGCCTCTTCTTGACCAGGCCGGTATCCTCATTCACAACTTATCCCACCTTTCAACACGGGCCTGGCCATCCTCCTTCACGTAACGGTCCTCTCAACCAGCGAGTTTTCCATTCCAAACAGACACCGGCCCGTGCGCTTCTCACCGTGCCTGTAGTGCCAAAAATATACCTTAGAATGCATCATCTGCCCCAGGTTCTCCACCCCCATCTCGCATAAGCTGTCGAGGGTGCTGTCTGCCGCCGTATATAAAACGCCTGTCTTGGAGATTCTTCATCTTCTCGGCTTTCACTGTCATGGCTGGAGGACCTTTATCGACCACTCGCCGCAGAAATTTGGCTGGGGCATCAGGATGGGTGCGTTGTTCACTGACTAAAACAGCGTGCTGATTTTGTCCACAAGGCGGGGCTGGTGAAAAACCGCCGCATATTCTTCATGGCGGTCTTCGCATCTCTGGGAGGACTGTGCGTAGAATCTGCTACAAGTCATTTCACATCGTTCTGACCACCGGTTTCAATACAGACTCTACGGTGTGTTACAAGAACCGCTCAACGCATCGCTGTTGAGCATTCCACTCCACAGGCTACAATCAGGGTGTCTTTTCTGGCGTCCTCAAGTGTGTTGTTCTCTAATATTAGGTTCACGATTCGCTAACACATACGTCAGCATGAAGTCGTTCGAAAACAGGTAATCGCGGGGGGTGGGACTATTTGCGGGAAATGCTAACTCGGGGCTTCAGGATGGGCGACGCCGTTACCGATCCAGGCAAGAAGGGCTGGCTCGTCGCGATTCTGGAGCTCGGCGCCTGTGAGTGACTTGTTCTCATGACATACCGTTTGTGTTGAATTTTTGGTCAGGGCTTGGTGTACTGCTGACTGGTAAGGGCCGCAGTGACGCCGCCTGCCGCAGACTAAACCCCAGGCAGGCTATTTCGCCGACAAACTGTCGCGCAAGTACACGATCGTGCTCGGTAGGGCATCCATTATCTCTATTGAAGAAGCCATGCTCACGAATATCGGGCAGCCGTGGTGGTTTTCTGCGTTGGCGTGATCGCACAGACCACGGCAAAGGCCAGCCAGTCCATTTTCGGCGGACGGTTCGTGACTGGGCTGGGAGTGGGCTCACTGAGTATGGTAAGGCCTCGAGGCGTGTTTTTTCACGTCAGCTGACCCAGGCATTAGGCCGTCCCGCTGTACAACTCGGAAATCTCGCCCCCTGAGGTCCGCGGCAGTCTCGTCGCGCTGCAGCAACTGGTGAGTCGTATCGAGCTCACGGTAATTTTTGTTCTGATGGATCGGGAGGCGATCACCTTTGGCATCATGGTCAGCTTCTGGATCGATTACGGGACGAACTATGCAAGCACTTTTTCTGTTTTTCGCATGCCCTTCCCGAAATAACCTATATTTTCTTTGCTTCAGATTGGAGGCACGGGTCCTGGGCAGAGCGAGGCGGCCTGGCGGATTCCGCTTGCGCTGCAGATTGTGCCCGCGCTGATATTGGGCGTTGGCATTCTGTTCATGCCTTTCTCTCCTCGGTCGGTTTTTTTTAGCGTGTCTCCGAGCATTTGCCGACGGAAAATGTAGATGGCTTGTCAACCAAGGGCGGGATGATGAGGCGCGGGCCGTACTCAGCTACGCGCGCGGGCTCCCCCGAGGACTCCGACCTCGTCCAAATCGAGTATCTGTAGGTGTCAATATCTTGTCTAGTGGATGGAGCTGAATAATTGACAGCGAAATTAAGGCGCAATATCTCTTTGAAAAAGTGAGTTCTTTGAAATAAGTAATAATGATATTCTGAATCGCCACAGGAAACATCTGAGAAGCGCTTCCCGCAGTACCAGGATGGGACGTTTAAGGCCAACTTCAAGCTCGGATTCTTTGACTACTGGAGTCTGCTCCAAGAGCGCAGTACTATTACTTTCTCCTCAAAAGTGTTTCTTGTTGAATTTGGGTCTTAGGTCTACTGTACCGCGTCGCAGTTGGGACACTGACAATGTTCTTCCAGCAATGGACGGGCATTAACGCCATCCTCTATTACGCGCCGAATATCTTCCAGGATCTCGGCCTTACCGGCAACACCGTTTCGCTGCTCGCCACGGGTGTCGTCGGCATCGTGTACATGACCTTTTTTCCTTTCTCTCTGCTAAATATTCACTCGAATCATCAGGATGTTTTTGGCGACCATCCCCGCGGTCATTTGGATCGACCAGCTTGGCCGGCGGCCCGTGCTTATCAGCGGCGCGTTCCTCATGGCGATGTGTGTGATCCTCTCTGATCCGGCGCGGCCCGCTCTGATCGCCATGCAGATGTCATTTCATCGTCGCAATCCTGACGGGCAAGTTCCACAACTCGTGGGAGACGCATGTTGCCGCGGGCTGGGTTGCGTGCGTGTTTGTGTGGATATTCGCCATTGGATTCGGGTGCGTGTCGTGTCTTTTTCTCTTGGTGAATTGGCATTGACTTTTGTGCTAGATATTCCTGGGGTCCATGTGCCTGTAAGGAGGGTGTCTTGTTTTTTACGGCATGTCTAACAATATTAAAGGGATCATCATTGCAGAGGTTCGTTTATTGCGTTATCATTATCTTATCTAATCTCGACACCAGATTTGGCCGCTGTCCGTGCGCGGAAAGGGTGTCTCCATCGCCGCGTCGTCCAACTGGATGAACAACTTCATCGTCGGGCAGGTCACGCCGACGATGCTGACCCATCTCGGCTTCGGCACCTTTGTCTTCTTCGGCGTACCATACCCATATGTTGTGGCTGACAACTGCTGACCGCGACACAGGCATTCTCACTGCTCGGCGGGCTGTTCATCCTCTTCTTTGTGCGTATCTAATGCTAGTTATCGACTGATTCTGAGTTTTTAATAATAGGTCCCTGAGACGAAAGGCGTAGGCCTCTGTCTTTTACTCACTTGATTTTCTGATTGACTATATTAATTCCCAGGTCTCCCTTGAAGAGATGGAAGAAGTATTTGGCAGTACGACCGGCATTGCCGCGGAAGACGCGGCCCATATGGACGCGATCCACCGCCGCCTCGGCTTAATCAGCGATGGCGTCGAGCCCAAGAAGGACGCAGAGGCTAACTCGGCGGACGAGCGCGCGAGCGACGAAGAGAAAAGGAGCCACGAGAAGAATGACTAGGAAGTGTGTTTCGATATATGAGTTTGGTTTTGCTGTATCTTTGTACGACAATACGATCACGTGAAAGTCAGGTGCTCGCTCAGATATCCGCCTCCCAGAACGCTGCGTACGTGCCCCACACACCCATCACCACCGCGCACGCGCCGACCACGCCGTCGAAGACAGTTAAACGTCCGGTTAACGCGATTTTGGCGGCGATCGGGCCAATCACGCAGAGCACGAACGCGGAGAAGGAGCCCAGGAAGGCCACTGGTGCGGGTTAAATGGACAACAGATGGTAGTTGGTAGTGGCTTACTTGCTGCGCTGAATTCTGGGACATATATTGACACGGCAACTGAAAGCACAGTCACCCCTACACGCTGGATGACCCCAATAGTGTTCTTGAAGGAGATTCGAGAGCCTTCAGATGGAGCTGCGAGTTTGGCTGCGAGATCTTCTGGCGCGTTAAGGGGCCTGTCGATACCAATCAGGATTTCGATAGCAGTGTTGAGAGGTTGAGTTGCGAGAGCGAATTTTGAACTGGTTCGCGTTAGTTGGTGGAGAGGGGATAGAAAAATAACCTACAGCGGACTGAGAACGAGCATCCACAGAGCGGTCTTGTTTAAGATTGAGTTGTAGCCTGGGGTAGCCAGGAGGTCGATACTAATCTGAGGGATTATGAGCTCAAGTTCAGAGAACTAGTTTTGGTGCATACTTCCGCGCTGACGGAGTTGCCAAACATGAGGTACCCGGCGCAACCAATAAGCCCGTATATGAATGTGGCCACGACCTAAAGTGGATTAGGAGTCATGCTACAGAGAAAAGGGCAAAAAGCTACAAAGGCCCAGTCAATCATCTTGTTGAATTCGCTCGGATCGACCATATCTCTCGCGAGCGAAGGAATAACCGCATGTCCAGAAAACTAAAAGGTGGTAAGAGACTGGGGTTGGAAAGAGCTTAATCACACACACCCCGGCCATAAACAGCCCAAACGCGATGCCGAGGTGGTTGTAGTTGTCTATTCCAAACGAGGTATCCGCCGGATCCCAAAGACTGCCCGGCCGTTCAGTTTTTGAGACGCCATCGACGAGAATGACGACAACGACGAGGATGGTGGATATGATACCGAGAATCGACGTGTACGACAAGAGGGACAGAGGGAGGAATACGGTTGGGACCAAGCTAGAAGGAATGCTCAGAAACGACAACTCTAGTCAAGGCGTTTACTGACATAAGAAGGCCCCAGACTTTGTAGGTGTTTGACGAGTAGCGCGGGATAAGCGAATTAAGGGAATCAGCATACAAGGTGACGAGGATCACACTGCAGATCGTGAGTCTGACCGACAGCGCCAAGGCCGACGAAGATAACAAACCTGACAGCGAAAAGTTCCAAGCAGAATAAGATGCTGATAACTACGGTCGACCGTGCGCCGAATGCTTTCCGACCAATGTCTGCATATGAACGCAGCCGGGGGTCAGAAAGGATTATACCGGCGAGGATCTTTGCGCTAACAAACAAGTTAGTTTTTTCGGTGGTCAGAACCGGGGAAAAAAGACGCACGTATAGCAACTAATATAGCCGTAAAATATGATTAAGAACAAGCCCATTCCCCAGCCAGCGTATGCGAAAGCGAGCGGCTCCGATAGCATCCCAATGCCCAAGAGGATTGCAATGCTATTGAAGAGTGACTGTCCAAAGGTGCTTTGACCGCCATACTTGTATTTCACGCTGCGGGCCGAGGCTGCAGAAGAGCGACGGCGAAGGGTCACATGTTGTTGGGTGGGAGCTTGGGGGGTATCATTAGCAGCGGTAGTAGGTGCTGTGTGTTTTGGATGAGGTGTATTGGTAAATGAGATTGTTTTTCTGAGCAATGGGGTGCGTTCGTTTCGTTCTGGGCGTTCAATGGGTCGTGGTACTTGTCGTGAAAAAGGTAAGTGGGGGCGCGGAGTCGTTGGGGTGTCGATTGGCGGCGATGCGTCATGATCCCAGTCAAAGTGGCCAACCAATTCTTCGTCGCTGTCTGGAAGAGCCGGCTCGAGATTTTCTTCATCGAAGTAGCCTCTCTCAACAGCAGCTTCGTCGTCGGTGAATGGGTCACTAGCGGAGTCCGATAAGGTTGAGCCGGCAACAAGATACTGGGCACGACGATCTGGGCAAAGAATGAACAAGTGATGAAAGAAAAAAGTAAACAAAGAGACGCACATGAAGCAATAACGTCGCGCACACTCTGGCCACTGGTCGCAGAGCCAACATAAAAACTAGCCGGAAGGCTGGTCATGGTAGTGGAAGGATAGCGTGCTTGAGCATCAACGGAAGTATATCCAAATTGCGATAGCCAGATAAGAAGTCAAAAGACGCGACATGTTGGCGTTTCGCTGTCTTTCTTAGCTGAGAAGCGACGGGTCGAAGTGGAGAGAGCCAAGGTCCGACGCCGAAGCCATTGTAGTTCGGAGAAACCAAATCTGACCCGATCCACCACAGCTTTCCCATCTTCTTCAGTCACCCACCACCACCAACACCATGTACAACAACGGTCCTCCAGGGTAAGCATTCTCGCTTCCTTAATCCAACGCTCACTTCTCTCATTTAGATTTCCCAGCCCATTTCCGTCTCCGTAGGCGTTGTCGATTCGGTTGTCGACGTGAATCTAATTTTGAAAGTGATCCATATGGCCAACCCCCTCCTCCAAACTACGGAGGTTACGCTCCTCCCCCCAGGTGCGCCTCCCAGCGGGTGCGTATGTTGTCGACTTTGCTGTTCATTGCCTGAACTTGGTTCGAAGTTATGGCAGTCCTCCTCCGCAGTTTCCAGGCTCTCAGCAGTATGCACCTCCCCCACCAAGTGACAGAGGCTATCCCGGGCAGCAACAGCATTATAATCCTCCCCCGCCAGTTGACAGAGGCACCTACCCCGGGCAACAGCATCACCAACAGCACTATGCCCCTCCACCCGGCCCTCCTGGCGGCGGTTATGGCGCCCCATCTGGCCCTCCCCCGTTCGTTTGTGATGTTCTTAAGTTCAATGCTCATAATTCGATCTGATAGTTTCTCCCAACAAAACTCCTTCGCTCCGCCTCCTGGACCACCGCCAAGACCGCCTACCACCTACCAGCACTATGGACCGCAGTTCCAAGGCCCCAACCACCAGACTCAACAGCCATTCTTCCAATACTCCCAGTGCAATGGCAAGAAGAAAGCGCTCTGCATTGGCATCAACTACTTCAACCAGAGTAAGTGCCACATCGGCTGCCCATCGTAGGATCACGATGACTCACATCGGTGCAAAGGCGCTGAGCTGCGCGGTTGCATCAACGATGCCAGAAACATCCAGCGCTTCCTTTGCTCCAAGTTCGGGTATCGCGAGGACGACATTGTCATGCTGACGGACGACTCGAAGAATCCGCGTCAAGTCCCGACGCGCGACAACATCGTCAGCATCTTTTTCTTTGATCATCTCGCCGTTTTTGACAGGCTTCTGCTTAGCTGGCTGCCATGAGATGGCTTGTCCAAGGCGCCGCGCCAAACGACTCCCTCTTCTTCCACTGTCAGTCTATCAAGTTATAGCACCGCCAAGCGCTGATCCTCCGTCCAGATAGTGGTCACGGTGGGCAGACAAAGGACAGGGACGGCGATGAAGCGGACGGTCACGACGAAGGTTTGTCACTATTCTCTTTGGCCTTTTCTCGGTGGTAATTTTGCTCTGCAGTCATTTACCCCTTGGATTTTGAGCAAAACGGGCACATAGTCGACGATGTTGGTCCTGTATATCCGAATCAACACACATCCTGATTTCTTTTACAGGTGATGCATGAGATTATGGTCCGCCCTTTGCCTGCTGGTTGTCGACTAACTGCGATTTTTGACGTATGTGCTGCCTCGATTCTTCAAGTGTTGCTGTCTTATTTCTGTCTCCAGTCTTGCCATTCTGGCTCTGCATTGGGTTTATATTTCTCATCTCTTACTTTAGACAATACTCACAACTTTCCTAGATTTGCCATACATCTACTCGACGCAGGGCAAGCTTAAAGAACCAAACCTTGCTGCTGAAGCGGGCTCGGGACTCAAGAACGCATTCACGTCCTACGCGAGTGGTGATATCGGTGGTGCACTCAAGTCTGCGATGGGCATTGTGAAGACCGCGACTGGGGGCAACAAGAAAGCAGACGAATATTCTCGTCGCACGCGGACAAGCCCTGCTGATGTTGTGCGTGTTCTGTTCTTCACTTTTGTTGATCTATGTTTACATAAAGCGTCTATAGATCTCGTGGAGTGGATGCAAGGATTCGCAGACGAGTGCTGATGCCACTGAAGCGGGCCAGGCCACAGGCGCCATGTCTTTCGTGAGTTGATTCTTTTTTCGAATGGGAGACTCCCGCTTAGATCATCCAACCAGGCATTTATCAGCGCTCTCTCTGCGAACTCGCAGCAGAGTTATCAGCAGTTACTGGTATCGCTGCGTGAAATTCTTCGCGCTAAATACTCGCAGAAGCCCCAGCTCTCCTCTTCCCACCCCAGTTCGTCTTCATTTGATTGTCCATTGAACACTAAAATTGATTTTTTTCTACTTTAGTGGACACCAACATCATGTTTATTTGTTAAGCAACAACTTGTTGGCATCCAGAGTACAAGATGAAGCAGAAGGAATAAGGTAAATAAGTAGCTATGGTACAGTATGTATTGTGTTTGGTGTCACCTCTATTTGCACTTGACGTCAACGATCTGGGCAGTCCCTTCACCGAACTGGATGGTGTGTTTCCTCCGAGCGGAGTCGGCTGGCGGTTCTCCATCAAGAACGAGCGCCGAAAGCCTATCGTTCCTGACACAAGCCGAATCAAGACCGACAGACCACCGCTTGACATCCAATCCTCTTGACGCTGCATGCCCATAAACGACGGTCGCAGGGAAACAAGGGAGCTCGGTGTCCTTGTGCTTGCGACCACGTGAGGTATACCGTCTCGATGGCTCAAACCCGGTGCAGTAGCCCATATCGCGGTTCCACACTTCCGACCAGGGCGTCCCGTCTTTGCCCCGTGTTACAGATTTATCAGAAAGGATGCCGCGCATGTTGAGTGTGACCCAAGGATCGGTATTTTGGGGCACCTTGGCAAGGAGAGAAGCTTCTTGGAGACGACGGAGAGCTGCAATGCTGTCTACTGGTCGGTGATTAGATGGGAGCGATGGAACGGTGGCAAGAGGCTGTCTTCGGTGGGATGGCTTGTAGCGCGGGTCGGAGGGGAGGATCCCAGCATGTGCGATAAGGACATGGGCCTCCGGGGCGTGTAAGACTAGAGGAAGACGCGTAAGGTATTCAAATTGGGCGGGTGTCATGTCGCGGGCAACACGGTAGTGGTCGCTGAGGAACTTCCATCCCTCGGGAATTTTTCGCGACCACTTGCTCTTGTGCTTCTTCAAATGGCGCTCTGCCCACTCTTCTGGGTCGTCGGGGTTAGCTTCATCGGCTGCCGCATGCACATTGGCAAGCCAGACAGCTCCACCATCGAGACGGGTGATCCAGTCGAGCCAGGCGCGCCATTCAATCACTTTCTGGTCATGGTTGCCGCGTACGCCGGTGATATTGTGGCTGGCCATGAACTTGAGCACATTAAGAGACCCTCGGTGGGGGCCTTTGGCAACGATATCGCCAACATGAATCAGGGTGTCGGAAGAAGGATTGTAGGATAGTTTATTCAACAGGGTTCTAAAGAGCTCGTTAGAAGTGGCAAATGCCACAAACAATACGCACTGCAGTGGCTCGTGCATGCCATGGACGTCGCCAACAATCAATACCCGCTGATTGGGCTGGTCTGAGTTTCTTGTGAGCAGCAATTGCGCATCCTTGAAGGTACACACATATTGGGAATTCTGCAGCGGATAGTGTCCTATGGGGCACATACCGACCCAGATCGGGTCTCCCTACACAAATCAGCAGAACGCCAAGATTTTCAAGACACGAGCGCACGGTCTATCGTTGCGGTGAGCACTTGCCAGAAGCCCTTGGTGGCGTCTGAGACTGCGGAGAAGAGGAAATAGATGCAAATGAGTGATAGCAGGGAGAATGCGAGTTGTGTTCGGAGGGGGGAGGTCATGGTGGTTGAGAGGATGGAATTGGATCGACGTCACACTTAGCTTGGTACCCCACCCGATGTGGACCAAAACGCGCAGCTCCGGTTTTAACCCGCGATGCCATAGGGTTGCTAGCAAGTTGCTACTTGAATCTATGGTGGGCCCTGGTGGCTATCAATGCTCGCTTGCTCGGGCGCTCTTTATCGCAATTTGACTATGCCCGATATTCGAGTGTCGTTTTGCAGTCCATATTTACTTCGGCCAACGTTCTTTAAGCACAGTCTACGCGCTTTCCGCGTCAGTGAGGCATGTTTTGGATGAATGAGGCAGTCATGAGCAAGGAAAAGCATTGTGGCAGGCCGCAGGCAGCATCTCGCATTGTTGTTTGGTCACATCACACATCACCTTCCTCTTTTACTCCCTCTGCTCCAGTGACGACGTCTTTCAGCTAACGACTATCTAACCCCAACCCCCCACTACTATCGCCCAGTATGGTCTTTGGGCTCTTCGGCAGAAAGCAAGAGCCAAAGCCCCAACCAACGCTAGTTGAGCCCATCCAACTACGCACCCCATCGCCATCAGTTTTATCAGGCTCGTCGCCCCAGGCGCACGACCTTTCCCCTTCTGTCCCCCTTGATGCCGACACTCTCAAAGCCCTCATCCAATCCGTCCCAGCCCAATCCTTCCGACAATACACGCTTGCCCATCTTGCAACAGCATCACCCCAACTAGTATCGCACATAGCCGAGTTTTTCTCGGCGCTCGAAGTCCCACCCACTCTCCATTGTGTCCGTTGTCACAAAGGCTACTTCTCGGTAGAGAACAACGAGCGAAGCTGTCTCGTTGCCCACGATGACGAGAGTGCTGAGGTTGAGGGACATGGATCCAACCAGGAAACACTCTGGAATTGTTGCGGGAAGACCGTTGAAGGAGATGGCAGCGAAGGACCGCCAGAAGGGTGGTGTTTCGAAGGGGCCCATACGGTATGTCTTTATCTTTGCTTTCAATCTTGCATCGTGCTAAAAAGAACCGGTGCCAGACTGATCTTAAACGGGCACGTTTCCGCGCAGATTCCACGGTCCACAATGACAAGCTAGTATCTTGTGCCCGCCGTCGATGCCACGAGCCTTTAGGCAGCCGAAAACGCTCCCGTCGCGCCATTGCCGAGAACTCTGATACCGAGTCAGATTCAGATGACGATGGGGCCAGCCATAGCAGCATTCGTACTCGGTCAAGAGCATCCAAACGGGCAAGGACCGTACGCGAAGACGATACGGATGTAGAAGAGGATGTCGAAATGCCGCTTCACTCATCTCCCAAGCCCAAACGCAAACCACGGGCTAAATCAGTCGTGTCTACCGCCTCCACCTCCGTCAAACCCAAATCCACCAAGAAGTCTGTGGTTATATCCTCAGACCCACCCACCCCATCACGCAAGAGCAAGAAACCGCCAAGCACGCGGTTCGTGCCTGTTGCTGCAGCATCACTCACCTCTACCTCTTCCGTTCTGTCCGTCAATGGCTCAGCGGGAATCCAGTCCCAATCCCAGTCACAAACGGTCCAAATCGTCGTTGCGCCAAAGCCGGCAAAGGCACCAGCCAAACGCACGATGAAACCCAAGCAGAAGAAACTGAGCGAGGTGGTGGAGAGCAGCATTGTCGGAGAGATATAAGAGATCTCTCCGTGTCATTTTTTCTTTTGTTTCGTTCTTGACTGCGCTTGACTGCGCCCACTCTCCTTAGAACTCTGCACTTTGTACTTATTGCACCACATCGACATTCGTTAACCTTGGGGTTCTACTTTCCCTGTTTGTATTAATATATATTCTATGCTACTAGTCTTTCAAGTACAACCTCTCTGCGCCTTTGAGTTGTCCAAGCTGACCCCGTCCGATGATCTTCCTCCGCTCATACTGCAACCATATTACCGTCCTCGTTCCCGCTGTTGGGCCAACATATATTGGCGGAGGTGATGGCGCAAAAATTCGCCCTTCCTTGTCTGGCACCGGCCAGAACCGCTTTTTGCCAGTCTTGACCGGCTTCGCAGCGTTACCCGTCGTCTCTGGGTCTGAATGGAAGCCACGAGCCGAGTCACGCCGGGTATAGACAACGGAAATGGGGAACATGACGGTATTCTGCCAGTCCTCCGCCAATATCGCGCTCAGCTTCGCATAGTCCCCACTAAACGCTGCCTGGGTCACATCAGGCCGATTGCGCAGCCGGGGAACGACAAAGTCGAGCCAGGGCTGTTTGCTCGCTTCGAGCAGTGCAGAGATCATCGGCTGGGAGAGTGCACCGTGGTGAATTGCTAGTCGGAAGCGCAGCGGGGCATGGGGGACACGCGTGACTTCTTTTTGGGCATGGGCCTGCTTCAATACGTCCAGTTGGGCCACAGAGTGCGGCACATCGGGGTTGTGGCTGCACTGAGTGAAATGGTGCGACGAAAATACCCAGGTTCACTGACTAGAAGAATATCGTGTGGGTGTCCTTAGCATGGGCATACCCCGCAAGGAGCTTAGACGACTTTGGGCCGAGACGCTTGTAGAGTTTTGCGGGAAGGAACGGTGGTGGGGCTGCCTCCAGAATAGTAATTGGGGATTTAAACGGCGCTGATGTAGATTGTAGACGTGTCTGTCGCGCGACACAACGCGCTGAGATCATGGGAGGAAGAAAAACGCGTCGCCCAAAACGGTAATTGCCCTTGATGGTCTACAGCTAGTACAATATCTTTCTCTTCTTAGGATTCTTTGGCTTCCCTATCGTCCCGTATTCCTCTATATTCTTCAAAACTGCCAGGTTGTCCCTACCCACTTCTTTCCCCCTCATCTTGATTAGCTCCTTGAGAGCCTGCTTCGTGGCCTTTGCGCCAATAAACAGTACTGTGCCCCGCGGCAAGACATCTCCCACGCTGTACAATGCCGCCAGCGCTTCGTCTCTGGGTATCGGCAGGCCAAGCCTAAGTCCGGGGACCATCGCAACCTTCCTCCCCTCCAAAAGCGGTGCTTCCCGCCAAGGGGGCACCAGCAACACAGCAGGGTATTCAGTATGCTCGGGTCCTTGGCAATTTCTACTAGCAGTGCGTCCTCGTGTGGGACATAGAAATTCTCTTTCGGGCGATGTGGGTCGAGAAACGCGTGAAACGTCGGTTGCCGAGAGAGGTAGAGTAGCGCTCTTAGTGCCGGTCCCGACAGCGCGGCCTTTTCAACAGCTAGACGAAATCGGATTGGCACGCTGTGGGGTCGCATACTGCGTTGTTTTTGGGCGTGCACAGTCTGGAGCTTTTCCAAGTTGTATGTGGAGGTGGGATTGTGCCGGTTGTGGCTAAACACTGCGCCGTTTTTTTTCATCCTACAACATGGGTATTTTGTAAGCACGCACTAATGGACCAGCGTTGGAAGCGATCTGTCGCGTTTGCCGTTGAACATTTCGACCGCCTTCAATGCATTCGTGGGCAGCAAACGTAGCATGTTTTCGTCAAGAGTTGGCGCCTCAGTCGGCGCGAAAATGCGTAACCACCGTCGGGCGTGGCCACAAGGCCACCGCGTCGACATCATCGTATCGAGAAGGAAAAGCATTTTATATTACGTCACTCAGTCCTCGTCATCAAGTAAAAACTCTGCAACTACATCCTTCATCTCATCCGACCCCAGAACTCGACTCTCGACCCAGACAGGCAGCTGGACCGCATCTATCGCGGATTGTCCAACTCCACCACGACTGCTAGGACTGGTAAGCGTGGTATGGCAGGCATAACACAGACGCTGGATCAATCCGGGCTGGCTACGAGCTATCGCTGCCTTTTCGTCGAATTGCCGTATTGAGATCCTCTCTTTCCAGTCTTGGACACCCGGCTGGACCGGTCTCTCACAAAGAGTACAGAGCCCATCAGATGCCTCCTTGGGTGCCAGCTTCGCACAAGTCCGCGCGATAGTCGAGACGGTGGAGGGGTAATCGCGTTCAAGGCCGATGATAAAACCTATCAGAATTCAGCAGCCATTCAACATCAAAGTACATATCGCGCTCACCTTTGGTAAGTGCGCCAATACCCTGTTTTCCACCCAGGTAATTCTCCTTCCCGACAACTTCAAGGCCCCGCCACCACGCCCAAATGGCGCATTCCTTCATCCCAACGTCACGTAACGGCCGCGAAACAGCGACTTTTTGCGAACTTGTCGAATCTGGCTGCCAATTCTCCTGTGCCTCTTCCCGCACAACAAATCCACCACCTTGTGCGATGGATGAAATGAGTGATATCGATAGTGATGTCAACGAAGTTCCTAGCAGTAAATGCGAGCTGTTGGTTAACTGTGCTGTGTGCAGGAGTAAGAGGCGAATGAGGTTGTGAATAGCGGTGGGGACGGCAGTCTGGGTTGGTAGAGATGCGAGATAGGCTTTGAGAGCAGCAACAGGTGAAGATGAGGTGTTGCGAATGGAGAGTAAGAGGTCTGGTGAACACGATAAGATAACTCAACATCAGCGTGTTCTTGCACCGACCTTGATGCCCGAGATCAACGAAAAGCTGACCGTGTGGCTTGCTCCTACCAACCCTCTCCCACCATGCATGGTCGAACGCGTCTTCAAGCCGCAACGGGAGAAATTTAGCATAACTAGCCAGTCGCGAGACAATTTGACGGATTTCCTCGGTGCGATCCCGTGCCTTGATGAATCAAAATTCAGCTTTATGTTCAAGGAATGCTAGATGACGCACACCAGGAATGGCATTGCAGACCTCAACATAGCAGACTGTTGCATGCTCCCAAACTGGCTCATTCCTAGGATGTTCAGTCCCTCCGCCCCGTCCGCGACTCCAATCATGACCAGCATCACCCTCAGCCGCAAAATAGTTCGAGCCGATTAGATCGAGGAGGACTGAACTCCCAAGACCGCCAGAGAAGGCGAGGCAGAGGTTGCCGGTGGCCTTCAGTCCCTTCTTGCTTTTGTCTTTGGATATTGACGGCTCCAGAACGCGCCTGAATTTGCCGACCACAGTGGGGAAGAAACACCCCTTGCAGTAGACCGCGTGCCGGATGACCACATTTCCGAGCTGGTCATGGCACTTTACGCACTGTCGCGTTCTGTCGTATTTCTTCCTGCCTGCGCTTGACTCGTTTAGCTTAGTCTATCAGGTTTCGGCGCCTACGCTGCATGAGCGCATCTTGCTCGACGTTGGGATTGCCGCAATCCGCCATCGCTAATCGTGAAAGTGAAGATTGATGGTGTGTGACATCAGGTGACTCCGTTTTTTTTTCACTCACACCACGACCCGCCTTTGAATAATGGACTGTTGCTTTGCAGTGAGTCTCTGCGTCCTTTTCTCTCCATGATGGCCTTTGGCACAAGTCAATCGCATGTTAGACTACCTATCTATCCTTGAGGATAACCTCGACTTCTGATTTCTTCGATCGCTTGCTTTGGTCTGTTTGCTGAATCTCTTCGCTAGTATCCACGTCTCAGAAAATGTGTCTTTGGAGCCCAAGACAAGACTCCTGCGGCTCGTCTACTAAAGTGAACTAGCGGAACGCGGCTGTCTAGCATTATCCGACACACCCGTGCTCGACAATTTTTCTTAAATAGGGCATCGCAGCCCTGTGCTAGCTAGATTTACTCTTGCGTTAGTACTTTGTTTCTCTTTCCTTATCTCACTGGGTCCTGACTGTTGGTAGCTCTCAATTTTTAACGCAAGCTGACGCTTTCACTCAACTTGACCTCTATTTCTGCACGTTGGTCTCCGATTCAAATTTTTCGCACTCGACTGATAAGAATCCAGACGGGTCGCAGTCTTCTTCCCAGCACCAACTTCGAGGCACCGCAACCGAAGCAACCGAACAAGGGAGAACCCTCGGCGACACATGTTTGGCGATCTCACTGTCTTCACGGCCTTCATGGGTTGAAAAAGACACACGACCGCTAATCCGTGTGCCCAGCAACAACAATAGCAACTTCTGGTCAACTCTGACTGGCTCTTTTCACCAAGATTGGGAGGACTTGCTATTGCTGTAGCTTTCGCGAGCAGGGTGGCAATGGCTTCATTGTCGGTGACGAGTCAAGCCCCGGTGGACTGTGATTACACCAAGATCTGTGGCGAATCTCTGCTGCAGTTCCAAACGAATATCCGTCTGCTTTGCCGACCGCGCTTCTGGCCCGCACTCATACTTCCTATGGTGGAGGCGGCCGCGTCAAGAACAGATGGAGTTGAAATGGGGCGACTTCATTCTGCGTGGTCTGCCTGTGAAACCTCCTCTCGGACGCATCGCCATTGGGACGTGCCTCTAGTGGTGTTGGAGAATGCGACGGAAATCCATGCATCACGGCACGACCCTCCCGTTCGCGTTAGTGCTTGATTCTCTTTGGCTTCCTCTTACTTCATCTGTTCTAGTTATCAACGTTGTGCATCGACGATTGGATTCTTTACCCTCAACGCTCGTTGTTCAACTTTCAACCGTATGTTCTCCGACTGCACACATTTTCATCAACCAATAACTCTGTAGTCAACTGCATCGTTTCACCGCCACAAGTTGCTTTTCATCAGGCCGACATTAGGCACCAGCCAGGCAGAATCCAGTGGTCTCTTTCCCGGGACCAACACTTCGAGACACCGCAACCGAATGTGGGAGAGCCCTCGGCGACGTATGCTTGGCAGTCCCTCTGTCCGTCTTGCTTCATTGGCCGACTGGGCAGAGGGAGACCGTCAATCCATGCGCACAGTGGTTTCAAGATCTTCTTGTGATTGTTGTGGCGATCGCGCGAGGGTGGCAGCAGGACAACTGGCCTGTTGTTGGTGGCGAACGGACTGTGGCAAAGCAAACCCTCGTACTCTCACCGGGATTTACAATCCTAACTAGAGACCGGCGCTTTGTCGAGTGTGTTCCGAGCCCATTTGCACTGCTCCCTTAGGTGGAGGCAGCTGCGTCAAGACCAAAACGGAGTCCAAATGGTGCGGCTTCGTTTTGCGCATGTTTGCCCAAGAGACCAAAGGCCGGACGCATCGCCATTTTAAAGTGTTCTCTGGTGTGTGCTGGAGCATGTGACCAGGATTCTGCGCTGGACTGGAGCCCCCGCCAAATGGTCGTGTTAGAGGTGCGGGGAGATGCTGCAAGTGCGGGTTACCAGAGATTTGTGTTTGTTCATAAATGGATTGTTTGATCGAAACTTGTGTTGATAAGATAATCTTTGTCACAGCCACCAATTTCTCGTCAATGAACCACCAACCAGACAAAGTTCTCAACGCTGTGGCCTCCATGCAAACCGAGGCGGAGGCCTTTTCGGTCAGACTGCAACAGCTCAAAGAAGACCGTGATCACCCTGCGCGTTTGGCGAACATCACGATGCTGGACGAGGCTATTGCTACAGATAAGAAGGAGGAAGACGGGATTCATGGTGCGTATGGCCAGCGCCTGTCGTTCTTTTCTCCCGCTGAACTCAAGTCATGCAATACAGCCTATATCGCCCTCCACTTCCCGCAACACCTGACTCGCACAACCTTGGCTGGTCCCAGCAAGCATGCGCTCGAACCTGATGGAGAGGGTAAGAGTGCTGACTTTCCAAGTCCTCGCTTAGATCGTTTTGCTGACATTCTTGTAGAGGAGGCTGAAACGGCTGCTCGCCCAACGAAGAAGAAGAAATTCGGCAAGGTTGTCGTTGTTCCATCGACTATGATGCGTACGTGCTTGGGTATCATTAGTCTTCATTCTTAACGCTTAAACAGGGCGGTCCTCTCGCTCGAAAAGTCGTTATACTGGCGCGTAGATAGTCCATTCGAGTTTAAATGGTTGTATAGAATTACTTTTCGCGCATAAAAAGCGAGTTTCTTCGTTCGATCACAGTTACGCTCTTCAGACTCAACCACCACCATCACCACCCACCACTTCTCGTGTTTGTACCATCTCACACAAATCAACTGCAGCTTGATTCTGACTCGCCATCGTGCAGGTGTAATGCGATTCACCCGGACTCGCCCTGCTCCTCAGGCTCTCGACGAGTCGTCCACTGCCATTGCCTTTGAGAGGCTGCTTAAGGAAGCAAAAAAGCTACAACCGGCCCTTACGGAGGCTGTCAACACGCGCGACGATATTCTGAACCGAGCGAGAGGCGCACTAAGCGAAATACGAATGTTGGTCGACGAAGAAGAGAAAGAGCAGGAAGCGGCAAAGGCCAGAGAAAGAGAGCTACTCGAGACCTCGGCGGAGCAGAGCAAGAGCCTGGAGGCGGCAAAGAAATTGCTCAAGGAGCTGGCGGGCGAGGAGGGGTATGAGGAAGCGATGAGATTGGTGAAGAGCGGGGAAATGCAGCAGCAGCAGCGCGTCATCAAAGGCACCAGAAAACTCGCCTCGGTTCCCAGCACGAGTAAGGCGCATCAGCGCGGAGGTGGTGGACATAACCAGAGTGTGCCGACAGCGCAGGAGATTGGGAGCGGTTGAGTACTCGTCGCAAAGGATGGTTTGAAGTCAGGCATGGATTCGATTGTAGAGATGGTTTATATTTGTGTCGTACGAAAGACTGGGATGTTTGGTGCCTCTTGATAATCGAGTTGAATTGAGTTCGTCTGCTGTCAATAGATCAACTTTAGTTACTTCTTCGAACCTGTGTCCAGAACACGTGATCGTGTCATCTTCAGAACCCGCCCAGACGGTGAAGCCAGACTGCAGCGCCGAACGCCGACATACAATCACGCAGAACTTTGCAGACTTGTTTCAAGCTTGACGCGATCACAAGCTGTTGCTACCCCCCGAATCGGAGACTGCGAATCCAACCCGAACTCATCGACAAATCGGAAGCCCCAGCAGCGGCGTCTGGGAAACGTCCCAAGCTCTCCCAAGCTCCTGCTTGAGAAACAAACTCTAGGCTTTGCTGTCCAGTTTCCTTTGAGCCCATGGCAACTTGCTGATCTTGACCAAATCCTTACCCAAGGCCCTCGGTTTGCTTTGCGGCGACCATGCGTTAGCAACCCTCAGGAGTGATTGCTGTTGATGGAAGATCGCGTTGGGCAACACGAAGTCGATTGCGTGAGTAAAGCCCGTTTCTTCCTAGTTTCTGGCTCCGCCGCGCTGATAGACGACTGCGAGGCAAGACCAGGTTTTTTGGCAAGACGGAACGGGTTATGGGAACCGAAGAGGCCCTGACTGTGTGTCAATATCGTGATGGCGACGAGTAACGACTCGGGATCATCAGTGATGGCGTTTCTTACGGCGCCTTGGAGCCGAGCGTATAAAAGGACTAGCTTGGCCGATCTCAAAGGCCCCCATTCTTCTCTTTGCCCTCTCTCTCTTCCCGTTTTTTCCGCACTTCTTCCGACTGTGTCGACGGCCTGCCCCCACTCCGCCCACTCTCATTTTTGAAGCTAGTCTTTGATCAACGCCCAATATCATGCAGTTCTCGTCTCTCCTTGCTCTGACCTTCGCGGCTGTCAGTGTCTCTGCTGTCCCAGTCCGCCGTGGTGTCGACCCCGCGCTTGTTATCCCCTTCGGTGTTAATGCTGGTACCGCGTTCGTTTTTCTCTTCCTAATACATCCTTTGCATTTTCTTATATTCTCCTCAGACCCACTGGTACCGGCGATTGCATTGGTAGGCACTGACAGATATTGTCAGGATAATAGGCTGACACGTGTAGGCTTCAACAATGTCAAGATCCCATGCTCGTGCCCTCCCCCCTTCGACGAGTACCTCAAATCGCTCAGCGCTAATGTTGCTGCGGGACGCAACGTCAACAACCCAGGTAGCTATTCTTTTTGAAGCCTCCCGATCAAAACTTCATGTTTTGAAGGTGTCCCGGCGCCGTTCCCCACCGACAACTCTCAGCAATCGCGCATCATTCGTCTGCAAACGCAGATCACCGCGCTTCAGGTAAGCATATCTTAGCTAAGCAATTTACCTGGGCTAATTGTCAGAACCTTCGTGGCCCTGGTGTTGGATGCCCCGCCGCAGCGACCAACTGGAACCGTGAGCAACTTGTTTTTTCATATTCAATCTCTTCCTGATTTTGTTTTTCTAGCCATCGTTCGTGTGGATTTGTCCTAACTTGGCTTGTCGATTGACTTCGTAATAGCTCGCATCGCTCATTGCTGGGAACCCACCTCCGGCCCCGGCTGCCCCCGCTCCGGCTCCCCCGCCACCACCACCACCGGCTGCTGCTCCCCCGCCACCTCCCCCGGCCCCGGCTGCCGGTGGTGTTAACCCTGCCCAAGTCCTCGAGTTTGGTGTAGCCCGTGGCGCCAAGTAGGTTTCCCACCCCTATTTTATCGTCCTTGACTAATTTGCTTTTCTTAGCCCCACTGGAACCGGCGACTGCAGCGGCCTCAACGGCGTTAAGATTCCCTGCGCCTGCCCCCCCTGACCGCAACGACTTCATCAAGGCATTGAACGAGAACGTCGCCGCCGGCAAGCAAGTCAGGAACCCCGGCATCGCTGCTCCTTTCCCCACCGATGGCTCCGTTAACTCGCAAATCATCCGTCTCCAGACCCAGATCAGCACTCTCCAGAACCTCCGTGGCCCTGGCCAAGGCTGCCCTGCCGCCGCCACCAACTGGAACGGAATCGTATGTTTTTTTTTCTGAGGGTATTTACTCGGGCTAATGATGATTAGCTTGCGGGCCTCATTGCTCAACCCCACTAGACGAACTGCACGAATACTAGCTTTTTTTTATTTTGTATCTTACGAAGAACGATGGCTGCCAAGTCGGTCATCTGCCTTCTAAAATATATCATTTTTGGGAAGAGAGACTTGATTGAAGCTTGGACCACATAGGAAGCCTACAATCTCTTCACAGACCAGAACATCAGATAAAAATCAGTCTCCTCATTCAGAACCTTGCCCAATGACTTGAGTACCGCTCGAGCCTCCACCATACCCTGCTCAAAGACGGTGCCATCCCACAGAGCACACCATGTCGTGGGCGAATGGCAGAACATAGGCTTGTTGTCGGATGCTTGTGTGAACCCTTGCGAAGGGAGTCCTGCATGACATCCAAAGATAATTGAGCCGGACTCAAGCGACAGCAGCCCTGCGAGCCGACGCGCAAGCTCGAGTTGTTGCGCCTCCCCGAACAGGTGAAAGAGGGAGGCGGTGTGGATTACCGAGACATGGCCGCGGAGCTCGTTGAGAGAGGATATAGTGTCAAGTTGGGGGGTTGCACCTGTTTGCAACGGCTTGGTGCTGAGAAAGGCGTCGTCGAACGCATCGCCTGCGAGAAAGGTGACCGGGAATGATTCCGGTGTTGATTTGAAGAGCTTGTGGCCGATACTCCAATATTCTGGACAGTCAAGTAAGTGCGATAGACTGTTGTTTTGACGCGGGGTTGACCTGGATGCAAGTCGCTGGCAACGATATCGGATGGAGCCCAGCCATCGCGCACAATTTTGCGCAAATCCGTGCCGCCTACAATGGTTAGGTGTTGGGGTAAACGTGAATTTAGAATGTAAAGACGCACAACAACAACCGAGTTCGAGTAGGATGGAATTTGGTCGCAAGCGTGCGAGCTGGAGGACATGCTCATAGGCCGGTTTGTTTTTGGAGATCTTAAGTCTAAGAATATAAGCGTCAGCAATTAGGTGTAAGGTCGTGTACCGAACAAATCCAAAGCGACGAATGCAAGGGTAGTCGTAAACCTCGCGGCTGATTAGAGGTCATTGAGACTTGTGGGAAATCCCCACTGTCAATGCCTGTTGCTGGATGGCGAGGACATGTTCCTTGAGCTCCGTTTCATCGTGGATGCCTGTCTCTGCTTGGAGGAGTGCGAGCTCATCTGGGCCAACCGCGTAGTCGGTATTTGCCGCCATGGAAGACACGATCTATGAGGTTTTTATGACCGTTGCAACAGAAGAGCCATCGGATGCACTAGAGAAGAGACTTGGAATAAAGAGCAGAGCAGTTGCTTGAAGTTGAACGGGTTGAACGCTGTTGTCGGCAGATGACAGCACTCGTTTGATGCTAGTGCGGCTTTGCCTGAGACTTCGACGACTGCGAGGCAAGTATGGTTTCGGCGAGGTGTGTCCCCAGAGGGCTGAGTTCAAGTCGGAAGCAAACGATAACTGATGAACAGCGGCGACAGCCTTCTTGATCTCGGCCACCGTCAGCCTCTTTCTTGGTCCAACCTTTTCACGGTTTTCCTCCCCCCAGTGCGTCGCAAACAAGCGACATTCCTGACACATCTGACCTGGGCTATTCTTCCAGGCATTGCTCTATTATCTCACCAATGTTCTCGCACTTCTCGGCCCAAAAACATTTGTGGCTCGTCTGGCCTTGCTGCCCGTAACACTCGGCTTCGCGATTAGAGCTGCTGTATCCCTCGATGTCGCAAGGGGACTTCTTCCCACGAATCCAGGGGGTCTCGAATACTTGAACCAATTTCTTGCACTCGCCATGCACACTGCCTCCACTCGAAGTTTCCTGCGCACATTTGCGGCAACACCCACAAGACTCAATCATCAGTCAACAAACCTCTACGCTGATGCGTTAGACCTCACCTTCAACCTCCGTGGTGTTGGTTGGAGCTTTTCTTCGAACATGCAACTTCCGGTGGAATACCGACCACTCACTTCGCGGTCCATATTTCTGGTTTCTGTTTTAAAATCATTGGCCAGCCATATTCTTGCGTTCGATTTTTTCCACTATATCGCGCAATCCCTTGGTCCAGATCATGTCGGCTCTACTGCTGGCTTCAGTATCTTCGACCCCTCCCTACAAAACCCGCTTACGCGCCACCTCAACGCGTCAACTCTTACTCTCCTAGTAGGGATCTGCATTTATGCGGCTGTCGAAATCGGTCACCAAGTCCTCACACTTATCCACGTCGGCGTATTTCGCATATCACCTTCGGAATGCCCACCGCTTTTCGACTCTCCCTGGTATGCGACATCGTTAACGGACTTCTGGGCCGTCAGATGGCACCAGGTCTTTCGGCAAGAGTTCATCGGAGTCGGCGGGAAACCACTCAGCCTAATTTTCGGCCGCATCGGTTTGGTGTTCGGCGCGTTTTTGGTCTCGGGCATCCTGCATTTCGTTGGCTTGTGGGGCATGAACAAGGGCGCTGACACCCGCATCATATTTTTCTTCTTGACGATGGGTCTGGGCATACTTGTCGAAGGGCTATGGAAGTCTGTTTCTGGCTGGAGGGTATGCGGCGTTGCTGGATGGCTTTGGACTGCGAGTTGGTTGATCGGCTTTGGTTTCCTAATGACGGACCCGTGGTGTCAAAGCGGACTTATTGGCAGTGTGTTCATTCCCCACGAATATCGTCCTGCTGTGTTGCTTCATAGACTGCTTGTGACTACGACATAGGCCACTATCATGATCTACCCCTCCGTGACACCTAATAGCCTTTCCTTCGCCCGTAAGACGACCTCTCGTATGCCGTCTTCACCTTCTACGTTCAACAGTGCAACTATCCCCTCATTGCCACCGAGCTCAGTTCGAACAGCTTCCATCATCGTGTGCAGGCTGGACCAAGCTTTGATTCCTGTCCATTCTTGAACTTTATGTCCGTTGAAAGAATTCTTCAGGAGGGCGCGGTCTGCGTCTTCCTTGAGAAGTCGGTCGTACTCGCCCTTCTTCCCAAATCTCACAAGTGCATGCTGGATACGAGCTTCTCTGCTCATTGCGCCACCAACTTTTGGCTCTTGGTTCCCGGCCCACTCAGTGAACTCTGCGTACATGGTACGGTCCGACTTGACCTTTTTTATACCTCGACCTTGCGATCTGAAAGTCAACGGGTTGAAGAAGCTGGACGATCCCAGCCATTCGAAAATTTCAAGGGTGGTCGAAAACCCGGCCCTGCAACGTTCCATCGATAGGCCCATGTACTCCATGATCTCGTCCATCGATTCGCTGAGATCTATTGCGGGATGTGGTGGGTTTGGCAGCTGGAACGGAGTCAGAGTGGACTTGAAGAAGTTGAGCATCGTGCCTTCAGGCCTTTCGTTCCGAGCGTAAGGCCATTGTTGCGCGCTAGAAGTCCCAGAATCATGCCAGTGTCGCCATTGCCATGGAAGAAGTGGATCCTCTCCCATTCCGCTTTATCGGCGCAGACATGGACGTCAACTTGATAGTATATTTCGGGTTGCCCTGCTGCTTCGGCTGCCAATCGAGCTGCGTTCTCTTCTGCATCGTGACCAAGTGCTCTCCATTCACCAGGCTCAATTAGGACTGCGTAGCTCGACGTCCGATTGCCAGGTTCAGGAACCATGAACCTGGCACCAAGAAGTGTTTGTACTTCTGCCGGTGAAACCTCAGCGCTGTTGAGTGGCTCACAGACAAGAAGGTCCAAATCTCCGTGGGACGCTTTCAGGGGAGCTTCAGCAGGGGTCGACACAATAGAGTACAATGTCTTGATTTTGGGGGTTGTGCGTGGTTTGAGGTGGCGATAATAGATGGCTGGTGGGATCCTTGGGAACGACGTGGCAGGAAGGGTTGCGCTGAACGCCTTGCCGCCCATGACAGACAGTATGTGTCGACTTCAAACCTCTCTGTTAAAACCTGGTGTGCGACTCTGTGCGAGTCAATGTGACAACAATGTGACGCATTGTCAAAATGCCGATCAATGACAACCGCTCACATGACCGCGGCACCCACAGCTTCGATGCGAACCAAGGCGCAGACCCTTTATACCGCACGATTCTACGAGACCCCGTCCTCGACCGATACGTCTGGCTCCTCCAAGCAGACCGGGAAAGCTTATCTCGATCGCCTTTTCGATATCCACGCTGCGTTGCAGAAGGTGGACGAAGTCCCACGCTCCCGCCCAACCACACCTGATTCCGAACGCGTCGAATCGCTCGAGCAGCAAGTAAAGCTAGCTTACAAAGACGCCAACGGCAACCCTGCTTCGGGGAAATGGGGCGTACTCGTCAATCTCTTGCGAACTAGCTCTTCACGGGCCAAATATAAATATATCGAAACTCAGGCAGATGTACTGCCTCCAGAACCCGGTCCAGAGGGCTGGCCAGAACTGCCAGCCACGGAGGAGGAATGGTTTGCATGGGAAAAGAAACGCGAGGAAAGCAAGGCACTCCAGGCCAAAGTTGAGAGTTGGAAACAGGACATCGACGTCGATGCATCCATTCATGTCAACGATCCCCCCAGACCACCAAGCAAAATCAAACCGCGTAGTATCACGACTATTCCGGAGGTACGTGTCGATCCTGTTCCAGTTGCGTGGTGGCATATACTAATAACCATGTTACAGACTGCATATTTCCCTCCCTCATTCCCCTCCCACCTCGAAACGTCTACACCCCTTCCTGCAAATCGGCGTCAACCATCTCCAATAGTGCTGGCACCCTCGTCGTCTCCTCTCGAACGATATACTTCGAAGCGTCCCCCTACCCCAATTGCCGGTCCATCCAAACCGGTAATACATCCACCACCACCGAGTCCTAAAGATTCCTTGACCAAGCGCCAACGCTCGTCTTCGCCGATTGAGCAAGACGATGTACCGGCCAAAAAGGCTCGTATATCGTCAACTTCTCCCTCTGTCTCCCCTGCATCGAAAAAGATAGCCTATCGCCAACCAGTAACGCCGCCCCGACCTCTACCGCATCTAACAGACTTACTTGCGGCATCAGAGAAGAAACGCAAGCTCCAGGATAAAGGAAAAGCTAGAGAAAAGCCGATATCATTTGCTTCTTCTAAACCAAAATCTTTTCGCCGTTTTAAAACGACTCCGCCCAAGCTCGCGACCCATGTCGAACCTGTGGAAGCCAGCGCAGAGGAAATGGCAGATAACATGATAAACTGGGAGGCCGCTGCAGAAGAACAACTAGCCCTGATTCCTCCAGTGCCCTCACCTACAAAATCACTTTCCTCAATTGACGGTTCCAACTCAATCGAGTCGCAAGACAGCCTGCCAAAGTATGATCCTCCGAATGCCTCAACTCAGCCTCTCAGTAGGCTGGAAGCGGGCTCGAGTCTTGGTACCACTGAGCGTTATCGTGGCTTTGGCCAGCCCCAGGATTTTGGGTTTCCGATACGCTACGAGTCGCAGATGGACATTGAAAGTAACATGCAAGGGGTAGATAAGCTGTTGGATGATGATGTTGGTGGGTATACGGGACCGTGGGGGGAAGATGATGAGCAATGGGATGCGAGAGCAGATGTCCCTACGTCGAGTCCATAATTGTAACATTTGTGACATCTTCGCGACTTTCTTGACGCGCCCCCGCCATGAGTACATGACCGGCTTGTTGGATCTACCTGTAGAGGTGCTAAAAGACTTGGAGGATTTGAAAACTTTCGCTCTTACACTGATTTAGTTGCTCTATGAAGTTCAACTCCACGCCCTCTCGCCTTCCTTGCCCCAAGTCAACCGCCATCTACACATAGTTTTCTCGTCGTCCCCACCGTCCTTCAAGACACAATACATCCTACGACATGTCTCGGACTGTACATGTCTGCTGGTGACCATTGCGCTCCGGTTTCCAATTTGCTCGGAACACGTCCTCGACATTGTCTTACCGAGTCAGACTCCGTCGAAGGATAATCGTCCAGAATTACCACGACGGTTATTCAGGAACCTGGCCCCTCGTGAGCTGCCCTACTCTGAAGACGACCCGCCGCTTCCACTCCTCCGATTCCTCTTTACGGATCCACGGGTCCCCGCTCCGGATGCCAACTCACATTTGGGGTATGCGCTCGCTCGGGCAGTCCACGCGGAATTTATACCGCTTATTCGCCTTCTGCTTGCTCGTGGCGCATCGCCAAGGAACAAGAGCGGCCTTGCGGTTATGATAGCGATCCGCAAGAAAAAGCTGGCGTTGGTCAAGCTGCTGGTCGAGAGGGAAGAGACGGACGAATTGGGACGACCGCAGAGGAACGCAAAGAAGAGAAAGATGGGGGATCGTGTTGAGATTACGCCCGAAATGCTCAAGACAGCAGTCAAGGCAAAGGCTCGCGACATAACAGAGTATTTTATGCAGGAGAAAGGGTGCATTCCTGACATCCAAACCCTGAATTTGCTTATGCGCTGAATCTATTATATAATCCAGTCATAGGCCGAGCATACAACAGTATTAGATGTGATGTCGATACACAGTGGTTGGTGAGAGGGAAAAAAAAAGGAAATCAAATGTCGTCAATGTCCAAGTCGCCTTCGTCTCCGAATTCAAACGTGCATTCACCGTCCTCTTCACCGAACGTGTCTGTCTCGTTGATCTTGGCGTTCTCGGGTAGTTCACCATATGCTTTCACTTGCGGGGAGTTTGAGCAAGGAATGATGATGCCTTGGGAATGGGTTACGCACGATTACGGGCCTCATCGGCCGTATATTTGACGATGACGTCTGCTTTATCGTCTTGGAAGTCGCGGAGGGAGAGCAGCACAATGTCGCCCTGATTAATCCACACCTGGGAATAAACATTTTCAGTCGTCATTGCTCATTGAGCTGAGCTGCTTTCACACACCTTTTTACGCATCTTGCCTCGGATGTGCGCTAAACGCTTCTCGCCATCGAAACATTGGGCCTCGAGCCGACCGTTTCCGAGCATCTTGATGACTTGAGCGTACTCCTGGCCATCTTCACGAAAGACGAGCTCCCGCTTGTCGTCATCGTTCTCGTTTTTGCCCCTGCGGCGATTTTTTCCACCCTGCGGGACTCAGATCGCGGATTGCCTCGGTGGAAAGCGAGCTACCTTTCCTTTATTCTGGAATTTATTGAGTTTCAGGAAAACTCGGGAATTTAGCTGCGATGGCGCACCTTCGGCATGCTGGGCTAAGTAGTGGGTCTTTTGTCTCCGCAGACGACGCTGGATTTGCGGCGGCGTGAGATGGGTAAAGTCGGCGGTTGCGGACGAGGATTGACTCGAAACGTGACCCACAGCCCTTGAGAAGTGACTTCAATTTGCCATTTGTACGCTACACTTGACTAGTTGCTTGGATATACGCGTCTTAGATGACGGTACTTTCGCAGTGAATATAACGCAAGTGTCTCTATTGGGAATCTGTTCAAGTTCTCCGCCAAGCGACCCTCCTTACCTTGCTTGATATATTCTAAGAGCTTGAACGCGTCCTCTATCTCATCGGCCGTCAAATTTCTATCTCGGTTGCCTGTCTGATGTCACGCAAAATGCAACTCAGGCACTCGGCTAGGCACACACGCTCGTAAAGACCACGCAGTTTTTCGTGAAAGCGATAGCTATGAGTCAAGATTAGAACGCGGGCAACTCAGGCTGGGCATGTCAAACGCTGGATCATGGTCCCGGCCAAGTCTATGGAGCTCCTTATAGATTGCAATTGAACGCAGTCGATGGGTTGACATGAAGGTGGGAGGCAAGTTAGTCCCGATGAGTTTTCTTTCGTTGAACTCGGATTGTTTTACAGCTTTGGCCAGTCGGTGAAACGTCATATTCTCCAAAATGTAGCATATGGATCGTTGCACCGCTAAACCGCTTGGCTTCAACGTTCGCAGGACCCTCGTCGGGCCATTGATGATGGAATTACCATAAAAGGCTACGAACGTTCGACCTTCAACTGTGACCGCCAAACCTCTCGGTATTTAAATTCCATGCACTGGGACGCTATCGCACCTTCACCTTTCCCCCCATTCAATTTCCTATGGCAGAGAAAGAGGGTTCTTCCAACGCCTCAGTCAAAGGCGGTGACGCTCACTTTGTTCTCGATGAGCGCCGCCGAGCCGCTCTGGCCGAAGTCGATAATGCCAGCTTCTCGTACGCGCTTCTCACTTACTTCACCCGCCCCACTTCTAATTTTGTGCCTGATTAGCTGGTTCCATGTAAAGGTCTGCCTCGTCGCTGGTGTCGGTTTCTTCACCGATGCGTAAGTTGTGCTCAATCCTTAGACACCAGCTCTAATTGCTCTCCCTAGCTACGACATTTTCGCCATCAACTTTGCGTCGACCATGTTGGGCTATGTCTATGGCCACGGAACTGCTACCAAAGCCGGAAAACTCAACGCCAACCAAGATCTAGGGGTCAAGGTCGCCACCCCAGTCGGTACTCTCGTCGGTCAACTTCTCTTCGGCTGGCTTGCGGACGTTGTCGGTCGCAAGCGGATGTGTAAGCGTCATTTCTTAGTGTGATGACCCTTCCGCTGATTCGTTTGTAGATGGTGTCGAGCTCATGATCATCATTATCGGTACATTCGCGCAAGCTCTCTCTGGTGGTGGCCATGCAGTCAGCATCATCGGTGTTCTCGTTGTCTGGCGCTTCATCGTGAGTAGACTCGTTTGCGACGTTTATTTCCTCTAACATTAGTCAGATGGGTATCGGCATTGGTGGTGACTACCCTTTGAGGCGCCACCATCTCTTCAGAGTTCGCCTCGACCCGCATCCGTGGTCGCATGATGACTGCCGTCTTTGCCGCTCAAGGCTGGGGCAACTTCACCGCCGGAATTGTCTCACTCATCGTCGTCGTCGCTTTCAAGAGCAAGATCCTCGCGGAGCCCGCCCTTAACCAGCTCAACCACATCGACTACATGTGGCGTATCCTCATCGGCATTGGCTGTATTCCCGGTGTTATTGCCCTTTACTTCCGTCTTACTATTCCCGAAACCCCCCGTTTCACTATGGACATCGAGCGCAACGTTATTCAGGCCACCGACGATATCAAGAATGTCCTCAGCACCGGTGGATTCAAGAACGACCCTGATGCCATCGTCCAACGCGTCGATGTTCCTCGGGCTTCATGGGCCGACTTCGTTGCCTACTTCGGGCAATGGAAAAACGGCAAGATTCTCTTTGGCGCGGCGTACTCTTGGTTTGCGTTGGACGTCAGTTGGCTTTCTCTCAATATCTGAACGATTTCCTAACCATGTTGTGAAGATTGCCTTTTATGGACTTGGTCTAAATTCGTCCATTATTCTCGGTGCGATTGGTTTCGGTTCGCCCAAGACCACTGGAACCCAGGGCGTCTATGACAACCTGCATAACATTGCCGTTGGAAACCTCATTCTCTCCGCTGCCGGCTTAATTCCGGGTTACTACGCCACTTTCCTCTTCGTTGACTCTTGGGGACGGAAACCCATCCAACTCATGGGCTTCATCATCCTCACTGCTCTCTTCATCATCATGGGTATGTGCTGTTTGACTCTCATTCGGTATAATTATCTAATTATAAATCAGGCTTCGGCTATGACAAACTTGTTGCGTCGACAGCTGGCAAGAACGCCTTCGTTTTCTTGTATTGCTTGACCAACTTCTTCCAAAACTTTGGGCCCAACACCACAACGTTCATTATCCCGGGTGAGGTGTTCCCTACGCGCTACCGCTCGACGGCCCACGGTATCTCTGCGGCAAGCGGCAAACTTGGCGCCATCGTCGCGCAAGTCGGTTTCTCACGGCTGCGTGACATTGGCGGCACAGACAAGTTCGTCAAGCACATGTGAGTCGTGGCTCCAGTTCTTCTTTGTTCTCAATGCTGACGACTCTGACAGTCTTGAGATTTTTGCGGCGTTCATGCTCACGGGGATCTTCTCGACCCTTCTTGTCCCCGAAACGAAGCAGCTGTCGCTTGAGGAGCTGTCCAATGAGGACCAGGAGGGCTTCGTTCGCGGCAATGCCACGAACATCGAAGTCAAGGACGGTGTTGTCGTGGGCAAGCATATGTAATGATGACAACGCTTACGATGTTGTACCGGTCTCTATGCGGTCTACTTGCTCTAGCCTACCTCGCGTAATCGATTCTAATCGCCCATCTAAAAAGTACCCCGCATAGAATAGCCTGTACAAGTAGCAAACTAAATTTATTAGAATTGGAGGACATCATGATTGAAGCATTTCGTTGGTCAGGAGAAACGGAGTGTGGGTCTAGGAACACAAAGAACGTGCGCGAGCAGTACGACAGTTGGGCAAAGGGCTACTAAGGATCATCTTTTTGTCGCTGGGAGATGGTGAGAACGCAACAACATACACCAAGTCCGAAACTTGACAGCATTTGGATGCGGCGGCTGTTGCACTATGTTCCTTTCGCCACATGGGTGTTGAGCTTTGCCCGACCAAGAAATAAATGTGCCACAAGGCGACATGGGAGAGAGCTCGACGCAAAGAATGGAGGTCGTGTGTCAGCCGTGTCGCATGAGAAGACCAACTCAACGAGCCGGCTATGGGCGTTCATATGCGGGGTATCAGGTTCCATTACTAAGGACAGGATGTTTCTGTCCAAATATAGTCTACATTTCGGGTCCTCCGCAATCTAATCGTAGACTGTGCGCTATAAGCAAAGTGCGAGCAAGGAATGGATGGAACAAACCATGAACAATTCCTGCGATTAGGGTCAGCTCAGGACTTGGAGAGTGACCAAAAACATACCAAAGAATAATGTCCAAACGAGAATAAACGTGAACGCGTTCTCTTGTCCTGGGCTTAGTAGACCCGTCCAGCCGTCGGGAAAGTACTTTTTAGGCTTTCCGTGGCAGTTAATGAAGTATATGCAGAAGGACGTGAAGAGGGTGGAGGCAAGGAAGAGTGCGAAGCCAGCCCAGTTTTGGAGACCCAGAATGCCTGCGACTGCGCCAGCAAAGCAGGCGGAGAGAAACTTGACGGTCATGAGCGTAGAGTTGAACATCGCATTCGGAGCGTAGATGCGCTGCGCCGAGGCTGCTTCTGCTGGCGTCGACATTGCTGGAAACGACGACGACGCGTATGTCACAGACGTCACACTTGTCCCGATTATCTTACAAATGCCTCCATCTTCCCTCTGCCTTGCCTGCTCTTCTTCAATCTTGAAGCTAGACGAGTCGTTCAAGACTCCGTGCTGTGGCCGGGTCATTTGCTCCTCTTGCACCTCGGGGAATCCACGCCTCACCCGATATAATCCATGCTTGGCTTGTTTAGGAGGGATTGCGGTCGTTGCCCATCAGGCGAAGCTACAAAATGTCGATGGTGGGGTTCTGGATGAAGAGACATTTGTGGTTGGCGATGACGAGGAAGACGATACTGGAGGAGTCGAGCATTCCAACACGCAGCCATCTTCGATTGAGCATTTGGACTCTTTGCCGGTCGGTCCGGGGGATAAGTATTTCGTGAAGCGGAACGATACACTGAGAGGCATTGCTCTTCGTTTCAGGGTCGACGTATGTTCCTGATCCTCCCGCTCATGACTTGGGCTTACATCCCGTTCCAGGGACGTTTATTATGCCAGCTGAATAATCTACCTCCTTCGACTCTTAGCACAACTCCACATCTCCTCCACACTCGCGCATTTCTCACACTACCACCATCTGCCCACTCTCAGATGCAAGCATCGGACACTCGGCCTAACAGCGATGAAGAGCGTGCCCGGGAGGTCAGACGAACTCGTGAACGAGCCGAGAAGCGACTGCAGACTCTGACCAAAGAAGTAGACTGGCGGGTTGCAAAGATGTACGTAGCCCTTGCTGACGACCCGGCATCAACCGATGCTTTCCGTCTCAAACAAAAGGAACTAAGCGCCGCCGCATCTTCAGCAATCACTCTGGAAGACATGGCGGTCGACCAATATTTAGAGGATCTCGAATGGGAAGCGGACCAACTACGTGCCGGGCTAAGCCCAAAAATTTCCCGGTGCCCTATCAAACAACAATAAGCCCAAATTACAAGCCTCCCATGTTTCCATCACGAACGATCTGAATCGCCTCTCTCGCCGTGTCCATCTCACTCTGGTACTTCAAGCGGGTGCAGGCTTCCTCTGCCTCGACGAAGTGCGAGTCATATTCCTCCCATGCGGCCTGTGTTCCCAAAACCTTGTCGTCACTTGTTGCCCTCCCGATGAACCACCAGACTAGCTTCACTCCCTGCTCTCCCTGTTGCCAGATAACCACAGAAAACGGCTCGGTGATGTTGTCGATAACCTCAACTCGGTCAAGAGTGTTCACCCCAGGCCGTGGAGCACGTGTTGCCATCCGACACGGTAATAACTCACAACGATAGCCCGTCTCTTCGAATGTTTCGCGGACAGCTGCTTCAGCAGTTGATTCTCCACAGTCCTTGCGACCCTTGGGCAGAACCCACTGGTCTCTCTTGCGGTCGTGAATAATGCATAGCTCCAGTGCACCTTCTCTTTTTCGGAAGAGCACGCAGCCAGCCGAGACAACAAAGTTGGAGGCGGAATACTGGGTAGATGGGGAGATCGATGTGGACATGACCGTTGGAAGAAAGAAACAATTATAGAATGACGTATTATTAGACTAACCAAGCAACCCCTTTACATAGGAAAGTAGATTCTGTCCCCCTTGCTTTTTCACCGTCGTCATCATGGCTTCCACATTATCAATGGCATCGCCGTCGACATCCATGGGAGCCAGTCCCTGTTTACGTCTCAATGACGCTGTTCGTTGCCGCTGAACAGACCCATAACGTCTGATGATGTTTAAGACGGCACGCCAGCCTTCAACAACGCCCTCTGTCGGAGACGATGAAGGGGTGGCGTCTGCTGAAGGTAAGGAGGCCAATTGTGTTGAACGGACAACATATGGACAAAAAGAACGATGCTCTTTGTGTAGATCCAACTGTCGCCTTGGAGGAGGTGGCCGTGCGTTGGCTGGGGGAGGGGTAGAGGGCGGCTCCGGTTGGGGGGCAAAGGCCCACAGCCCAATACGTCGCTGACAAAGCTCGCAATGCAAAGTAGAGACTTCGCGTTTTGGCGAGGCAAAAGATATGCTCCCTGACATTCGACGCAGGAACTGTCGAGGAGGAGTGCTGGGTGGTGTAGATGAAATTCCAGGCGTCGCAGCCGGTGTTAGAGTGGAAGGGAGTTTGGCTAGAGATGGGCGAATAGGCGTGGACGGAAATGGTGAGCTAGCACGCGACATTGGCCGCGATATTGAGGGAAAGCGCTGTTCACTAGAAGGAGGAGTGGGTGTCCATCCGAATAGAGCAGTGAGAAGGGCAGTATCGGAAGGCTTCTCGTCGTCAGAATATGTTTGTTCACTAATACCTTCGTCGTCGTCAAGCGTTATGGTCTTGAACTCATGAACAGCAGAACGCAGAGCCTCCAGCTGGCTCGCTGACTGGTTCGATTTCATGAGAAACGGCGTGAAGTCGAAAAAAAAGACGACTCACGAGTGGATGTTGTACCTCAATCTGTTGCATTATTGGGTCCAGGACGACCGCATTCTTTTTCAGGTCTCGTATCATCGCCGAAGGTGCTTGAAGAGGAACACGGTATATAGAAGCTGAAGCACATTCAGTTGACATCAATTGGCATGAAGAACTGCATACGGTCGCATTGACGAGTCTTCCATGGACACCCATTTTTGTGAGAATCCACGAGCGACGCACGCTGTTTCTCAACAAGGGCATTCGCTAGAGTAGAGTAAGAGAGAATACAATAACAACTAAAAAGTAGACTCACCTGCTTCCTTTGACATTCCGTCTCTGGCTGCTACAACCCATGAAACACCGCACAACCCACAGACCAGTCTGTCTTTGCCATCATTGGTCCAGCCACACTTGGCGGCGGCAACAGCATCGATTTGGGCCGGCTTAAGCGAGTATGTCGCGATTTTGAATGTGGCGAGACGGGCCAGGAAAGACGAGACGGAGGAGGGGCGATACTCAGCTGTCGGTGGAAGGGGCTGCGAAGTTGACGCGAAAGGAAAGACTTTCCGCGTTCTGGCTGCTGCACGGGCCAAAACAGCAGTCAGGTGAGGCGTGCTCTTTCTGAGGGATGAAGGAGTAGTAGAAGGCTTGGATTTCACGCCGTATTTGGCCAGCGTCGCATATAGTGAACGGCTCGTCGTATTCTGACGTTTTGCAGCAGGCGGTGGATCCACGGCATTGTCGAGCGCCGTGAATGCGTCTGCAAGCTTGCGTTTGTTGCTCATGGAGGCTGATTGAGGCGAGGTGATCACGGTCATGTGAGTCTCAACATTGCATTAGTACAATCGTTCTACAGAACTTCTACTGTTTGCGTCTAATACCAGCCAGTCTCCGCTGTTGTCTAACTTGCCGCCGCAATACCACATCACTCCTTACCGCCTGAAGAATACCTACAACCATTCCTGCTCCCTCTGCATCGCCTTGTAGATGCAGCGCCTTAATGAACATTTTGTAGAGAGGCACCACATGTCGCTCGAATGAAATAAACGGCGGAAGCTCTAACGCAACTACAGCGCTCGGCGGAGATCCTCTCGTGTGAAATGGAGGCCCACCAGGAGCTGGGTAACCCATGCGAATCATGTGATCGAATAACCTGCGAATGTGCTGTGTGTCCATATACCGTGGCCACCGCAAGAGAACCTTGACGATGATATTCACAGTGACACGATCTGCCCGGAAGCCAACGCTCTTGTGAAGCTGTTCGCGGTTGTTAAGAACATGACGGACTAATCGCGCATTCTTGCTCTTCGAGCGATGAAGGGCGCCATTGAGAATCGCATTTCCGAGTCGTGTTGTTGTGCTTGAGTCTAGCCCAGATGCTTGAACTTCCTCCAGAATACGTTTAGCATCACGTATTCGTCCAATGCGAGTAAGCAAAAACACGCCAAACTCCACAGTTTTGGGCTCCTTAAAACGTCGACGTAGAATGGCCATAATCCTCCCAGCCCATGGTCGAAGGGGCCGGCCATCTCGGATATTGACGCGAAAACGAACAGCACGAGCGAGCAGTTCCCGACCCGATCTTCTCTGCCCTATCTTGCCTCCAGACCGCCAAGCATATCCAGCCAAAGTGTGCGCACCAGTCTGTGCCAAACGCAAAGCCAATTTCCGACGGAAGTTGAGTCGCGTGAGTAAGGGGAAACTCCTCATTGGCTCGAGTAACGACACTGCTGCAACGCGTCTGCGTTTGACAAGAACACGCATCATCCGGAGAAAATAATGACTGCTGAAAAAGCTGGGTTGCCGCTTGTAGAGAGCTTTTAGAAGGACAGATGCTTGAACAGGATAGTTCGAATCAGCTAGAATTACGAGCGCATAACGAATGGAAAATTTGACATTGTCGTGCGGTGTCCTTTCACTGTCGATATAGAGCTTCTTCAGAGTCCACCACAACTCATTTGCTAATGGAATATCACGTGAAGGGTGTGCCTCCCGTCGCAAGGTGCCCATAATTCGATTGAAGAGGTCTTCCAACTGATCTGACGACAAAGTCTTGTCGCGGAGGAGAGCAATGGCCTGACTTGGAAAATAGGTCCGAGCGACAACAAGCCCAAGAGTATGAACAAAACGACCAGAGGTAGCGATATTATTGTGCTGACAGAAAGCGAACAATCCTTGCGCAGTGTTCATGTCCAGGTTGACCAAAGACTCCAGCAACGAGCCGGCAACGCTAGCTTGCCTTTCTACAGGAATGGAGTCAAACAAGTCATCCCAACGCAACATTCTCGTTGATAGCATAGCGTGGGCGTAGTTGACGAGAACAGCCAATGGAGCTGAGTTCCACAAAGAATGGGACAGGCAATACTGGCGACAGACCTCCACAAGCCGTTTGTCATATGTTTGCCCTGCCAGATGGAAGAACGCCGCCATCACAGCACCACGAACCGTTCGAGGAACTTGAACGACTGTCTTCCATTCAAGCCATATATGTCGCAAGGTCCCTCGCACTCTCTCCCCTTGATTGGGCTGAATGGAGCGCTCCAATGTCACGAGGCCGAGGATGGTGCTGAGAACTGGATGAGCCTTGCCATCATGGCCGTCAGATGCATCATGGGGGATTGTGGCGGGAGACGCGTGGAGGGCCAGGAGGGTTAAGTTGATCCATCGTGAAGCAATAGGAAGAGAAGGATCAAAAGCTTCTTTGGCAATTGTCGCGGTCCATTGGGTGACTACAGTAGGAAGCGGGACGTGGTAGCAAGGGAACACTTGCATCGTAAGGGCGTCAGCTAGTCGCGTCAAAGTTGTGGTTTTGACGGACTGTGTTTGGAGAGGTTTGGGAATGGACGTCAGACGAGTGGAAATCGATAGGAGTATCATTTCCTGCAGCTCTGCGGTGACTAGACGACTGTCTCCCAGTACTACTTCCCAAAGCAGGTTGACAAGTCGGCGATTAGGAAACGGATGACGAGTGAGAGCGCGACACAAAAGCCGTACGGTCTGCGGAAGGTGGGTATGACGTCGTAGTTTGAGCATGGTATAGAGGTATGGGATGTGGACCTCAGAATCGGGGGTGTTGCGAATACGAAGGTAATAGGAAGTTGCCTCATCTAAAGGGTCACCTGGAAACAATTGTTAGAAGTTTCCCATGACCTTGAGATATAGAGCGCACGGGGAGTCTTTGGCGTTGAGCTGGCTCGAGAAAGAAAGGCGCGCATGACCCAGTAGTGATGTGTTCCAGTAAGCGGTTGTCGAGGCGTTCGCACACGAATTTCTTGGGCCAGTTCCAGGACAAGGGCCCAGTAGGTGCGAAAAGGGGATGGACGAAGATGGGACGCAAATTGGTGCAAGTATGTACATTTTTGACGCGGTGGCCGGATGGAAAGAGTCCCAAATAATGCCAGCAGTTCATTGAGCTCGTAAGTGTTGAGCGGGTGTCCTTTACGACGCGGAGGGAGGGACTTGACGTCCAAATAGAGTTTATGCAAGTCCTTGGCGGTATAGGAAATTGCAGGTGTCTTGGAGGCAAGGTTTGTTGGGGCTAGGAATGCATGGAGGGCGGTGAGAGATGATATGGGGGTAATGGAAGTGCTATGGGGTCTGAAGAGGCGGCCAAGTTGGATGGCGGGCCCAGCCGGCCGCCTCCAGCATCCCAACATTCCATGTTGTCCGACGCGCAGAACAGAGTCAAACGCGGTTGGGAAACAACAACTCGATTTGATCCGCACTCGGCACCTAACTGACCAGCAGTGTGACACAGTGTCACACTTTTCACTTACTCAAGTCCTTGAAATATCCGTTGGCACCAGGTATGGCTGCAAAGGCCAGCAGCGATTTCTTCTACTTACAAGAACTAGAGGTCAACCGGGAGGCTCTTGAATCTACTAACGATCAAACCAAAAAACTACAACAATGGGTGCTACTCGCGCAGACAAGGAGCTATACTTCGAAAAGCTCAAGGAGCTCCTCACCAAATATCGTGCGTGTCTCTTTTGTTGCCCGACGTAAATCAGCTCACCCATCATCTTCAGCCTCCATTTTCGTCGTTAACGTCGACAATGTTGGATCGAACCAAATGCATCAAATCCGTGTCGCCCTTCGCGGTAAAGGTGTCGTGCTTATGGGCAAAAACACGATGGTCCGGCGCGCTCTCCGTTCCATTCTGGCAGACTCTCCTCAATTCGAGCGTTTGCTTCCCCACGTGAAAGGAAATATCGGTTTCGTCTTCACTTCTGGCGATCTGAAGGAAATTCGCGAAATCATCGTAGCCAACAAAGTGGCTGCCCCTGCGCGTGCTGGTGCTTACGCGCCGAAGGATGTTACTGTCCCCGCCGGTAACACCGGTATGGAGCCCGGCAAAACCTCCTTCTTCCAAGCTCTTGGTATCCCAACCAAGATTGCTCGTGGAACTATTGAAATCGTTTCCGATGTCAAGGTCGTCATTGCTGGCTCTCGTGTTGGTCCTTCCGAGGCAACGCTTTTGAACATGCTCAACATCTCACCGTTCACCTACGGTATGACTGTTGTCCAGATTTTCGACAACGGCAACAGTTTCTCTCCTGACGTCCTCGATGTTGACGAGTCTGAACTTATCGACCGTTTCTTGTCCGGTATCAAGACCATCGCCGCCATCTCCCTGGCCCTCAAGTACCCTACCCTGGTGTCGGTTACCCACTCGCTGGTCAACGCCTACAAGAACCTCATCGCTGTTTCGCTCGCAACTGAGTACACTTTCGAGGGTTCCGAGAAGGTAAATATCTCTATTCCCTCATATTTGGCCACGAGATTATTCGTTATTCACACACTGAAAATACTGAGCATTGAAATGCTTTGCTGACCTTTCTTTTTTGTTCATGATGGCCTTTTTTTATTATTGTCAAGTTTGTGGATATATGCTGATTTTTCCGTCAGGTCAAAGAGTATCTGGCTAACCCCGAGGCCTTTGCTGCCGTCGCTGCTGCTGCCGCCCCGGTTGCCGCTGCCGCTGTTGAGACCAAAGAAGAGAAGGTTGAGGAGGCTGCCGAAGAGTCAGACGAAGACATGGTCCGTTTTTTTCCGACTCTGATTCCACATGCAACGACTGATTTTTCATCAGGGCTTCGGTTTGTTCGATTGAGCTGTAGTTGTTGTAGTATCTCCTCATAACACGTTCTATCGCCTGCAAATCCGTGTGATTCTGTCCCAAAGTCGGTGATCGATTAAGCCCAACTTCCATTTTGGGTCATGACCGGCTTTTGAGCACCGACTCTTCTCCGTTGCGTCGAACGTTGGTGTTCATCCGATAATCCTCCTTCACGGACCGTCTCTATCTTAGTCTTCTTCTTAAACCACCAAACTTCCACGACCATGACGCCCCCTTCTCCCCAATCCCCCAATCCTGACACTGAAAATATGTCCCACCCAAGTGGGCATTTGATCATAGGTGAAAACAGCTGCAATGGCGCACAACTTGGTGTTGAAAGACCGTCTCAGTTAGTAACAGGCTCCCAATTACTTTGACCAAGGATGCGAGTGGCGAATACCACTTCAAAATGTCGTCGGGAGGTCTCGTGTCTGCCCTCTCTGGTTTCAAAAAGTCGCTCAGCTTTACGTGGATCGGGTGGCCTGGCTTCTATATACCCGTCAAAGACAGGCCGCTCGTTGACAAACGACTGAGTGAAGAGTACTCTTGCCAGGCCGTATACCTCGACGACGACGTCGCAGATCGTCACTACAATGGATTCTCCAACTCGATTCTCTGGCCACTCTTCCATTACCACCCCGGCGAAATGAACTTCGACGAGGAAAATTGGCTCGCCTATCGCCAGGCAAATCTTCTGTTTGCTGAGGCCGCACTGAAGCAGGTTAAACCGGGATCTATGATATGGGTACAAGACTACCATCTTATGCTCATGCCCATGCTATTGCGCGGCTTGCTCGACGGTAGCACCCATGGTGGAGAGACTACTGTGAGGGAGCTGGCCAACATCACGGAGGGTGTCGAGACAGACGACTTTGTCAACAAGCCCGGCATGGGGATTCCCGGCGTTAAGATCGGCTTCTTCCTTCATACACCTTTCCCAAGCAGCGAAATCTACCGGTGCGCTAATAGTTCTCTCCCATCTCTCTCTCGCTAATAGAACTTCCAGTATTCTCCCTGTGCGACGCGAGATTCTACTTGGCGTACTCTACTGTGACCTCATCGGATTCCACACCTACGATTATGCGCGTCATTTCTTGTCGTCATGCACGCGTATTCTGGCATTGCCAACAATGCCTAATGGCGTCGAGTTTGAAGGCAGACTAGCTCATGTTGGGACATTCCCCATCGGAATAGAGCCGGGTTCGTTCATTGAGGTGTGTTCTCAGTTGCATGTGCTGCCAATCAAAAAAAGTAACGTGGTCGTGGTTAGAACCTGAAACGTGAACCAGTAATGACGCGAATCCGGCAACTCGAAAATCGGTTCAGTGGCGTCAAGGTCATCGTTGGTGTCGACCGGCTGGACTACATCAAGGGTGTTCCCCAAAAGTTGCATGCATTAGAGCTCTTCCTGACTCAGCATCCCGAATGGATCGGCAAGGTGGTTCTTGTACAGCTCGCTGTTCCATCAAGACAAGATGTCGAAGAATATCAAAACCTTCGCTCAACAGTCAATGAGCTTGTCGGTCGCATCAATGGCCGATTTGGCACTGTCGAGTTTATGCCCATCCATTTCATGCACAAAAGCTTAGCGTTCGACGAACTCTGCGCGTTATATGCTGTCAGTGATGTCTGTTTGGTATCGAGTACTCGAGACGGGATGAATTTGGTATGCCTTCTGCTTCCATTCCGCCTCTTTTGCTCATAAACCCGAAGGTATCGTACGAATACGTCGCCTGCCAACAGGCTCGCCAGGGTGTTATGATCTTGTCCGAGTTTGCCGGTGCCGCGCAAAGTCTCAATGGCTCGCTCATTGTCAACCCATGGGATTCGCAACAAGTGGCTGACGCCATTCACGAAGCAGTCACCATGGATGCAGAGACACGAGCTGAAAATCATCGGAAGCTGTTCAAGTACGTCAACAAGTATAGCGCAGCATTCTGGGGGACCAGTTTCGTGAAAGAGATGGGTCGCATTGAGGTGGGTGATCTTGACACGGAGGGGCAAGCGCCGAGCAAAGTGCGCGGGGAGGCAGCGGGATTGGGCAGCGTGATTGTTGACGGTGCCGTGGTCAGTACTCCAACAACAGCATCAATTCGAGTTTAGAGCAGTGTATCTTCCCTTGTAATTCTAGACACTACAGTCTCCGTACACGAAATAGGTATTTTTATTGAACATCTGGGCGTTTGTTTAAGCGCGCGTCTAACTCACACGACTTGTGCGTCTATCGGACAAAGGCATGCAGATCTGGGACGTTATTCGGAGTCTCACGACAGACCCAAGAAACCATATATGGCCTTGGTTGTCAGCGAGTCGACCGCTCTGCTAGCTGAGCCCCGAGAACACTTCTGATATGCATTGTGTGGTACTCCAATAGCCTTAGAAGACGTTTAGGTCGGGCTGATGGTACCAGACTATCAAGCCTTGAGTCAAGTTTCCTGTTTGAGAGAGGGAGACGGCGTCTCGTCGACGTTAGCGCCCGCTAAGGCGCTCAAACGGCAGATAAGCGCCAAATGATCGAGAGGTTCAACGTTCAACTTCATTTCTTGATCTATGATGAATGAGTGTAAGCAACCAGCAGAGCGTATCTGGTTGGAAGCAGATAGTCGAAGCAAGCCAGAATGATGAGAATGGGCTTTATTTGAACTTCCTTTATGTGCACTAGTATAATCATCTACTGATTCCGCGACTGTGCGGAGCTTGAATTTTTATTATTCAGAGCATTGTAGAAGAAATGAAAGGCAGCACAGTAAGAGCAAGTGCAAGCAATCAACAGACTGGAAAATGCTTCGTGTTCGTGACCCAGGCCGTTCTTCGGACAACTTGTCTCCTGCGGTCTAGACAACATATAGTTGCAGTACTCCCAGCTCCGGCAGGACATAGTAGCCGTCATTCCCACAAGCACGCAATAGCCGTGAGTCTCAAGTCGCAAGGATATTGATAGAGATGTTATGTTATGTTAGATTGTCAGGCTGACTTTCAAATCTTCAAGTGTTGTTAAGTATGAGGGTGCAGCCGACCGGATGAACGTAGCATATGACAGTCCGCATGAAGCCGGAAGCATTGAAGGTCGCGAGGGCCAAGAACCCAAGATTCACCAGCCTCGTTCTTTTGGTATGGCGAGCGAAGCAAAGTTTCATGATCAAGAATTGCCATTTCGGGAAGGGAAAGCTGTTGAGGGTCAGTAAAAGTTTACGAAACAAGCGAGCGTTCGGCTTGGGAAACTCTCGGATATGAGCAACATTTCAAGGCCAGCAACAGTCGTTGGGACGGCGGGTTTCTGGTATGAAAAATAGTAAGACTCTGAATCCGTGCAAGCTATAATTAATATTACCACCGTCAACCTTCGGAGACCTTCTGTGTGACAGCGGGATGCTTTCAGTTTTGCGCTAGCGATGAAAATAGGTTTAATGCGCTGTGAGATCAAACTGAGGGAGTCAATATGTCGTGTCTTCATGCGGCATGGTGTCCGATCCAGAGAACATTGGCACGCCGGCGCAGTCAAGACGGAATAGAAATTCGGGGGGAAGATAGTCCGTGCGATCCGTTATAAAGGTGAAGGCGATGAACCGCAGCACTTGGGGCCAGAGGGAAGATCGATGAGCCTAAGCGAAGAACGGGATGAGTTAAGGTGGGAGGCATGAGTCAAAAAAAATGAGACGACTCGGAGCTATTTCTGAGTTTTGGTTTTTCTAGGCGCACTGTTAGGACTGCACTGGTAGTCGTCAAGTCAATTGTAGCTTGGTCCTACTTACAACGCTGGAGAAGAATCAGCCTTGAATGAGTCATTTGACTTCCCGATGCCTGATTTGAGGTTAGATCATGAAGCCAGAACGAGAAAAGCTGTTGTTGTTGTTGTCAGATAGATGCAGGACAGAGAGGCGAAGCTCCCCTCGATCTCGAAAAACGGAGTTGTAGCCCTGCGCAGCCTGATTAGCACACAGCATGGGGATGGAGAGTACAGTTGCATCGCAAATCGACGAGGATCTAGGAGAAGACCGGTCGTTCCAAACATGAAGACACCCGTATCCGAGTCGAGAGCAAAAATCATTCGCCAGTCCCTTATTGGCTCATATAGAAATATTGACATGGACACCATAGATAGAGCGCAGTATGGTCGCTATCAGTACAGCAGTTTGACGGACCGGCATGGTGACGAAGAGTTGTTTAGGTGCGAGAATCCGTTGGACTCAAAGGGACGGCAGTGGTCCGGAGGTTTTTCTTAGAATCAGCCTGAGTAAGTCCGCCGGACGCAGTCACAAGCTACGAGGTTATACGCAGAGAGAGCCAAATGACAAGTCAACCGCTCACTTCAAAGTTCAAAGTTTTGTTGCTGTTGGCAACTGGCTGCAACTGGGCAACCGCGTCAGGTCACGATCAGTGACAAGAGTGGGCGTAACGTGTTCGGACTGTTCCTGTTCCTGTAGTCAAGAATGCGTCTGCAGAGGTTGACCATATGGCGATTCTCGCGTAGTACAAACTACTTCCAATATCATCGTGTCTACTTACTGAGCCTTCGTCAAGACCACATAGTGAACCACGCTAAGCATCTGCATTAATTCTTCAAGTTGGCCATGCAGTAGACGCCAAATTTCCAATCGTAACATGGCACATATAGAGGATGAATGCACCTTTCTCAGACTGGCAGCTGGTGTTGAACTTGTAGCGTTGAAGGGCTATCTGACAATCCTTAAAGGAGAACTCCGACTCAGAGTGGAAATCTGAGAGATGCCGAACTCTGCTGTAGCTGATCACGGGAGACACGATTCCACAGCTTTATGCCGCACTGTGCAGGACAAATGTCCTGCGACCATTGAAGCCTAGATTTAACGAGATCGGGCTATCAAAGAGAAAGTACTGTACGTTTTGTGCCAGTGCCAGTGCATTCAAAGATCTCGCTGAATGATTCCGAGTCCGATGAAGCCAAGAATGACCCACTGCCGGATATCTCAACTTTACAGGTTGAAGACCGAACTATTGAGGTCTTTTGGAGATGACCAACGAATCGCTTACTTATCGAACACGAATTCCTCGCTACCCTTTAACTTTGATAACAAACGTCTGGTGATCTTCATCCTTGGCGAGGTGGCGACTGACCAATCCTGACACTGCTGACAATAGCAATGGCAGTTTGCTGATGGGAGTGCGTACGGCAGGCCCAACGGCAGTTTGCAAGGGGGCGGCATGTCAGACAAGCTAGGAGTATAGAGCTCTTTGAGACTTTCTTTGTGGCCTTCACCTTATCTAACACGCATGTTTTGTGAAAGGGAAATTATGACGCATGTTGTGGCAGCTGTCATCTTTGTCCTAAGCATCTGTTTTTCAATTAAAAGACCCTGTCGCTTGCTTCTGAGCCTACTGATTACATGGCCCCTGCTACTGCGTACCGCCAGAGGAAGCAGAAGACAACAGACACATCCGCCAATGACTCCCAACAAGGCCGTGAAAAGCGGCATCAGCCCACTGCCGGTCCGAGTGCCGCATCTTCCTCTCATCCTTCGACAACTCCCATCTCCTCCGACACACCAGCTGACCCTCCGACCATCACACGGCCTCCTGCTGCCCGTCGCCGCCCCAAACAGAAGGACGCAAAGGATATCGAGGAAGCAACTGCGGTGCGTTAGATACTTAGTTACAAGTGCCAGTGAAGCCTACTCAATCTGTTTCAGGCTGCCTTCCGACGATGGGTGCGCGTGCTGTGTGGAGCTATCACACAGTCATCGGGACTGGGTCGTGCGACGGATGAAATGGCGTGGTTTGAGAAGCGGCACATGCCTGTGGAGAACATGCAAGCGCATGTGGATAGGCTTGTTGTACAAAGCAAGCAGCCCATCGCCTCTGCAGCTCACCGCGCAACACGCGTTCTGGAGCAGGTCCAGGAGGCGAATCTAGATACTGCTGGGCGGCCAACAAAGGGCACGAACGCGTTGGCCCTAGGCCAAATTCCACATTCCTGGCTCGCCCATGCATTCACTGTCATTGCTGCTGCCGGCCTCCGCACATCGCGACGGGGAGACTGCGTGCGGGGCCAGGACGGGGGGAGGGGCGCATTATGGTCACGGCGGGATGCACGTGGGGAGGGACAGGGACGGACGGCAGCGGAGCGGGGCCTGTGCGCAGGTCGTATATATCGGGGCCCGCGGAGAACGACGGGGAGCGCTTGCGGTCCGTGGGCCGGGCGGCGGGTGGTGGTGGGCAGCGGCGGGGGACGACGACGACGGGGCCCACGCTGGCGTCCACTCCTTCTCGGCGCGCTGCAGGCGCACAGCAACGGCGACGGACAGCGCAACGGCGACGACCATAGGCGGCGAGGCGGCGGAGAGAAGGAAGGGCAGGGTCAATCGAGGGGGCATGCGGGCACCTAAGTTTTTAACTCCTTGCGCCACGCTCAGACGACATGGCTGCAAGTCGCGGCCCTGCAGCCCGGACACAAGATGCCCGCGCAGCGCAAATCTCGCGGGGCCGCGGGCTGGGATGGCTTGAATGTACGGCGGCAGCCGCGAGACTGACTCCGAGAACACCCTCTAGCGGGCGTCAGGCCGAGACTGTTGCAAGGCCAAAAGGGTTTAGTATTGGCGGTCATATCGGCAGTAACTGGCAGTGTTCGTGCGGGCGGGCACAACTCGCAGCATGTAGTAGGCTGCGGGTGGTTTTGGTGACACAGAACTCAGACGGGATAGCACAGCAAGGTGGTGGTGGGAGGCAGCATGTGTGTGGGAATGTGGGAACCCATCACGGAGCTTGGAAGTCCGATCGGGTCCTGTCACGATCGAGGCTAGCGCTATAGCCGCTGACATGTTGTGTATTAGTAAATTAACAAAGAACTGAACAAAGAAAGTCTGGCTGCCCATGGAACTGCCGTTGGGTCTGCCATGCAGCCTGTCGGAGATGCTGTGTATCGGACTGTCATTCCGCAGCCGCCCTTGACATTGCGCCCGGTGTGATATGCGCACCTCACAAGTTCTGCTGTGGTTCTCAGCGTTGGTGCAACTTCGTGAATCGTACCTCAGGCTTGTTGTCTTTCTGTAATCGTCGTCAAGCGATTTGCTGCGACCGCCGCATCGCCAACTTGGACTTTTCAACCTCAAGATGCAAGCTGAAGCCTGATTTCCACGTTGCCCTGGCGTTGCAACACGCTCTACAGCTTTTTTCTCCATTAGTCGAAACAGATGGACTTGGTGGGACTTGGTCACCGATGACGCGGAATCTCCATCCCTGACTGGGAAATTAAAGCGGCCGCCAGAATTATTAATGTGAGGGGTGGTTGGCCGCTGCATTCATAGAGCCCGAATAATGTTCAACAACTAGGTCGCTCTGGTAAAATCATCGAGGGGTACGCGGGAGGATCGGCGATATACGGCGCCTGAGTGTTTTCTTCGCTGACTATCCGGGAAGGATATCTCGAATCAATTATAAATAGGAGCTGTAGGATAAAGTTGGGATAAAGTGTGTTTGGTTGTGTTTGGATAGGATAGTTCTTGGTTTTTATCTTGGCAAACAAGAAAACCGAAGGAAACGCGGGGCCGTGTTGCAGTACTATGAAATCAGCGTAAAATGGCTTTGGGACTGGAATAAACCTGAAGAGTGTTAACTGGCTATCCTTGAAAAAATAACTTCAAAGCCAGCCCCAGGTCGGAATGAAAGTCCAACTTTGTTGTGTGTGTGATGTCATTATGATCGGGTTCTCAATTGAGGTTCAAGTTAAAAACAAAATAAGCGCCCAAACAGAGAGGACATTGTGGTTGAAAGCGTCCAGCAAACAAACTTTTCCAACACTTTTCGTCAACTCGAGCCAAGCCCAATAATACTAAGCAAAAAATCGTAAAAATGCATCCGGTTCCAAAGGCACATTCTGATGTGCACTGCCTCGGAAGAATTGGCATAACACTTGTTGTTGACCTTCTGCATTGTGGTCGCCTCACTGCTGTTAAGCACTTAAACAGCGAGCGACCTTGCGCGTCAATTCTTCCACTGCTATGCCCCCGACCGACGACCCTAACATTCCTGCCATTGTAACGACCGACCTTTCACAGGAAGCTTCCCCCCAGCAGCTCACGACTTCTCCTCTTTCTCCAACAAGCGGCTTGCTCTCACCCCACAGTCCGCCAACACAGAGAGGTTCACTCGACATTCCCAGCTCTCCTACTCACACGGACGATGGCTCTTCCATAACCGTGCCACCATCTCCAACTCTTTCGAATCGCTCCTCAGTACATTTCACGCCAAGTACTACGTTGGCTCTCCGAGACAATAACCCCCAACTACGCAATCCTTCCATATTACTGTCGCCCCTCGATGGCACCAAGTCTCATCAGCGTAAAGGGAGCAACGCCACTTTTGCGACGACTGCGACAGACGTCACTGAACCCGACCACTCCCCACGGCCAGAGGAGGAGTTGCGCAATATCAAGTCCAATACGACGAGCGTTACTCATGTTGGTTCCCGTTCAGCTTCTCGTGCCAAGCGCGATGCCACCGACTCCGACACAGCTACAACCATCTCCAAGTCCAAGAAGGGGGCTGAGCACGAAGCTGCTGCGTTAGAGTCAGATATCGACCCCACCCCCTTCCGCTACCGGCCAAATCACCTCGCTATGATGCTGGACCCTAAAAATCTAGAGACATTAGAGGAAATGGGTGGAGTCGATGGTCTCTTGGAAAGTCTTGGCACGAGTCCCGACACAGGCTTACGTGGAGATTCACTTACCCGAACACAAACGACAGCATCTGGTCAAGGGCCAGGCGATGGCAGGCCGGGTGCCGGTGTCGGGGCTTCTCAGCGACATGATCCAGAGAAGGGAGCAGAGACGGTTCCGGCTATCACTCTTACGGACCCTCAAGGAGAAAAGTCGACAGATTGGGATTCAACCGCCGCATTTTCAGCCTCGCTCAATGAAAGGCGACGTGTTTATGGCGACAACGTCTTGCCACGACGTAAAACCAAGTCCCTCTTGTCGCTTATGTATGCAGCTATGAAGGACAAAGTTCTGGTTCGTCCAAATCCCACCATTCATATGCTCCAACTCAACTCATTTTTTACCAGATCCTACTTTCTATTGCGGCCGTAGTATCCCTCGCACTCGGCTTCTTCCAGGACTTTGGCACTCCGCACGAGCCGGGTGAGCCCAAGGTCGATTGGGTTGAGGGCGTAGCCATTATGGTTGCGATTCTCATTGTGGTGTGTGATGGTTATCCTTTCATGGCGTCATCCAATGTGTTCTAGGTTCTTGTTGGTTCGGTGAACGACTGGCAAAAAGAGCGACAGTTCCAGGCTCTTAATGACAAGAAGGAGGAACGAGGAGTCAAGGTTCTCCGGAACGGTGTTGAAACAGTCATTGATATCAAGGCAATTTTTCTTTCGCGGTACTCAACATTTTGACTGACTTTCTTCTAGCAAGTCGTCGTTGGAGATATTGCCCTTTTGGAACCAGGCGAGATTGTGCCATGTGATGGTGTCTTCATCAGCGGACACAACGTCAAATGCGATGAATCCGGGGCGACTGGAGAGTCTGATGCGATCAAGAAAGTTCCGTACGAAGAATGTCTTGCACTCCGCTCAACAGACCGCGGCGCCCATACCGACTGCTTTATTGTCAGTGGAAGCAAGGTTCTGGAGGGCGTGGGCAAATACGTTGTCGTCGCTGTGGGCACCAAAAGTTTCAATGGTCGAATTATGATGGGTATGTTATGACTTGACTAACCGGCTACATCATCTTAATCGCGTCTTTTGTAGCTTTGCGTGGAGACACTGATAACACGCCTCTCCAAGTGAAGCTTAATGCGCTAGCAGAACTCATCGCCAAACTTGGCAGCGCTGCCGGGCTGATACTTTTTGTCGCTCTTTTAATTCGCTTTTTTGTTCAGCTAGGCACTAATGATCCCGTGCGGTGCGTGCAGTAGTCCTCTACATCATTGTTCACTCATCCACTTGCAGAACTCCCAGCCAGAAAGGCATCGCCTTTGTCAACATCCTCATTATTGCAGTAACGCTGATCGTTGTCGCCGTTCCTGAAGGTGAGTCACGATATTTCCCGTTCTTCGCCAACTCATGGAATGGTGTCTAGGTCTGCCCCTGGCCGTCACTTTGGCTTTGGCATTCGCGACCAAGCGTATGACGCAGGAGAAGCTTCTCGTTCGAATTCTAGGATCATGCGAGACCATGGCCAATGCGTCTGTTGTCTGTACCGACAAAACAGGGACGTTGACACAAAACTCGATGACTGTCGTTGCTGGCTCTGTGGGTATCCACGCCAAATTTGTCCAGCACCTGGAAAACAACGAGTCTCGCACGAATGTGGAGGAAGGTGGTTCCCGGAAACACGGGCAGGATTTTTCTCTTGATCAAACACAACTCAACTCGGCTCTATCTCCCCAACTACGCGAACTCTTCAACGAGGGCATCGCTGTCAATTCCACTGCGTTTCAAGACACCAATCCCGAAACAGGCGAGCCGATGTTTGTTGGTAGCAAGACGGAAACTGCGTTGTTGAAGTTCGCCCAGGAGCTCGGGTGGCGCGACTTCCGTCAAACTCGTGAGGCTGCGGCGATTATGCAGATGATACCGTTCTCGAGTGAACGCAAGGCGATGGGTGTCGTGGTCAAGACTCCTCAAGGGAAATATCGTCTCTACCTCAAGGGCGCCAGCGAGATTCTCTCGAAGAAGTGTGTCTCTCACGTTGTGGTGCACAAGCCGGATTCGGGTACCCAGAGTCAAGGTGACGAGATCGAAACAGCGCCAATCGACGACCTGGCCAACGACAACATCTCGCGGACGACCATATTTTATGCCAATCAGATGCTTCGGACTATTGCGCTGTGTTATAGAGATTTGGATTCGTGGCCGCCCAGCAACAAAACTCAAAATGACCAGAATGAGGTTGCGTACGAAGATCTAGCCCACGACTTAACTCTCATTGGTATTGTCGGAATCGAGGACCCATTGCGCCCTGGTGTGGTTGAAGCAGTCAAGAAATGCCAAACCGCTGGTGTTACCATCAAGATGTGCACGGGAGACAATGTCCTGACCGCTCGCTCGATCGCAACCCAATGTGGCATTTTCTCTCCGGGTGGTGTCATCATGGAAGGCCCTGTTTTCCGCGACCTCAGCCCAGCCGAGAAGATGGAAATTGTACCCCGTCTTCAAGTTTTGGCTCGTTCGTCACCAGAAGACAAACGTATCTTGGTTGAAACGCTGCGGAACATTGGCGAAATTGTCGGTGTTACTGGAGATGGCACTAATGATGGTCCAGCACTCAAGACGGCCAACGTTGGTTTCTCTATGGGTATCGCAGGCACAGAAGTGGCGAAGGAAGCGTCGGACATCATTCTTATGGACGATAACTTTGCCTCTATTGTCAAGGCCATCATCTGGGGTCGTTGTGTAAATGACGCAGTGCGCAAGTTCTTGCAATTCCAGATCTCGACCAACGTTACCGCTGTTGTTATCACATTCGTGACTGCCGTTGCTTCGGCTGAGGAGTCTTCCGTCTTGTCTGCAGTACAACTGCTTTGGATTAACATCATCATGGACACCTTCGCCGCCCTTGCCCTTGCAACCGATCCCGCCACCGAATCGCTTCTTGACCGAAAACCAGACAAGAAAACTGCGCCGTTATTCTCGACGGAGATGTACAAGCAGATAATGTTCCAGTCCCTCTATCAGATTACGATAACCCTGATCTTCCACTTCCTCGGCCACCAAATCCTTGGTCTATCGTCTGGCAGCAAAAACGACAGGATTGTCCAGACTTTAGTCTTCAACGCCTTCGTATTTGCACAGATTTTCAACTCCGTCAACTGCAGGCGTTTGGACCGCAAGCTCAACATTTTCGAGGGCATTCTCAATAATTGGTACTTCATTTGTATCACGTTAATCGGTGAGCAATTTGGCATTCAGTTCCACAAAACTCAGCACTAATGCATCGATTCAGAAATCGCTGCTCAGATCATCATCGTATTCGTTGGAGGAGCGGCTTTCTCTGTCACGGAAATCGGCGGTCGTGAATGGGGCATCTCTCTCGCTTTGGGGGTGGTTTCCATCCCTCTCGGCGCTCTCATCCGCCTTATGCCCAGCGAGCCTTTTGAAAGGTTATTCAAAGCCGTAGGACTGCTGGGGAAACCAGAAGTACTGCCAACTACAGCCCCGAACCCTGACAATGTCGGTTGGACAGCCATTACTCGCGTTCGCGACAATCTGAACACGTTTGCCAATGTGCGGGGAGGTCGTGTCCGGTCATCATCGTTTGTCATCAAGAGTCGAACAGCAAGGTTAAGTCAAGAGCAAGACAGACCAGTGTATGCTTATTCCTTTGACTCATTCTCGTCGATTGCTGATAGTCCTTCCAGCTCGCTCTTGGCTATGGCTCCCACTCTCATGATGGGTACTATCGCAGCTAGCCATGCTTGGACGCAGCCCCAGTCACTTTCTGATCCAACGCAAGACGACCCATCGCGATCCTCCGCAGCTCTCTGGGAAGGAAAACTCCAACTACATCCAGGAACCTCACATGACGACCCATTATTCCAACGGTTTGGAGGCAATCAAAGTAACGTATAACGAGCAGTCGCTCTAAGTACTCGCTAGCCATGTCGTACTGCAACTCCTCCATTAATTTTTGGTGCTCCCCTATTCACATATATTCTACACCATGGCTTATAGACCTATTGCAATGCACACGACGATAGCCACTTTTATTCCTGCTGACGAGGATTGAGTAGGGAGATGACATTTTCGTAGACAGTGAAGACAATTCCTCCAGCCATCTGCCCCACGTTGAGTCGATTTTTTCCGTGATAAGAACAGCACACTTACAACTAGTCTGGCCAACCTCGGAGTTGTGCCGGTCCAGAAACGGAGTATACCTTCCTCTGTAAAGATACGGTAGGCACAATGGAAGGAATTTCGGTATTGCGATCTGGCTTCTAGAGTCTGCATCCTGGTTTTGATAACGCTAGAAACGAGAGTTAAGACAGATAACAAAAACAAATTGTTGACTTACTCGAGAGGCATCGTAGTATAGACTGTGACCAGTCCCGCGATAGCACCAATCCCAAACGTGATTGTTGCGGGGAGGGTTTGCCCCGGTCGGGCCTGGCCCTGAACAAACTGCTTGATGGTCGAGTAGGTGGTGAATCGTACAGCGGAGTTGGCGCCCTGGCGCATCATCTGCTCGCATTAGGGATGAAGGTGGCCAGAAGAGCGAAAACGCATACGACTGGGAAGAGGCCGCGGTATATACCAAAAATGCCCTCCGCCCTGACTATAGAGATGCTTCCGTGCACCAAACCGCGGTATTGAGGATTAGGTCGCTTAGCATCGTCGATGAGTTTGGTCCTGCCAAAATCAAGAAATGAACGCTGTGGAACTGACTGGTGCTTACTTGATAGTCTCTGAGGGCGTAACAGCGAAGATTGCTTCCATCATGCCGGCTCCCAGACCAGCTAACGGGTGTGAGGCTTGTCCATGCAAAAGGGGAAGTGAGGGGCACCAAGTAAACTTCTCGGAGCGCTAACTTTTCCCTGTTCAAAGGTGTAAGCGTCGTAGGATGGATGAATGGACGAAAGGCACCTCAGAGTCGGCCAGCATATTCTTGAAGTGATCATATGTCACGAATCTTACCCCAGCTTTGACGGAGTTGCCGACAACAAGAGCTGTGCATCCAGAGTAGAGACCAGTAATGCCTTTTGTGCGCAGAGTTTCTCGAATTATGGCGATGGGACTTTCTCTCTTGGATTTGTCGGTCACAGGGATCGCTCGCTCATTTAAGATGTACTACCTTTCCGCTGAACTGGGAGCGCGTTTTCACGAATTCAGTGGGGTAGGTTACAAACCTGCCGGTCTACAATTCATGAGCGCGTCGCGAAAGAAATAAAGCATAACGCACGCTTCAATGGCTCCAGCAGTGGACCCCGCGATCCTGACACACAGGTGAGCATCCAAATGATGTAGCCACAGGTGTCTTACACTGAATGTAGTGGATTTTCCTTCTTGAACGGGGCCATGAGGGTTGCAAGCAAAAAGATTGGTGACACAATTGTCGGAGCTTCGGAGCCGAAACGGAGTCTTGTTCGACTTCAATGGTCTCCGACAATATCTTGTTTCTCCGAACGCCTGACTCCCCAGATCGCTACGAGACGACCTTTTCGTCAACAGGCTATACCACTGCTTCAGTCTCTGTGCTTGAAACCGCGTTCGTGAATGGGGAATCGCTTACTCAGCTTATGCGTAGAGGGTCTGAGCATAGTGGAGTTATTATCACCAGCGGGCGCGGCTGTGATGCTTGGGACAATGCAATCCGCGAGCTACAAACTGCCTTCAGTGACCTAAACGGTTCTGAGAACCTCTTCTGTCCTTATCTCGTTCATTTTTATTGCAGATCTCCACTGGAGGACAATACCATTCTACGTGGTGGGCAAATCCAGCGCAAGCAAACTCATCCACACTCGGTCTTCTTACCCGGACTCTCCATTTGCGCCGCTTGACATTCGCGGAGAATCAACAGGCAACAGTGAACAACTCGCCCAGTTCATCACCGCCGACTTTTCATCTCCTCCTTCGACACCACTGCTCTACCTCACTGGAGACAAGAACCGTGACACATTACAGGAATTTCTACACGCCAAAGGCTTCCAACTCTCGTCCTTCCAGGTCTATCAGACTCAAGGCTCCTCGACTTTTGCTCAAGACCTCAAGCTGGTCGTCGAAAAGTTATCAAGTACTTGTCCTCGCTAATTCCCTGTCATTTCTACCGACACCCGTGTCTAGATGGCAATATATGGTGGATCGTATTTTTCGCGCCGTCAGCCGCCGCATTTGTAGTGCCGTTTCTACGAGAACATTTCGAGTTGCCCTCTCGAACAGCGAGAGTTGCGGCAATTGGCCCGACTACTTTCAACTTCCTCCAACAAGAACTTGGTATCAAAGTGGATGCGGTGGCCAGAAAACCCACTCCGGACAGTCTCCTCGCCGCCATTTCAGATGCTAGTCCAATCGATTCGTGAAAAATACAAGGCATGTACTACATATCAACAACGGGAAAATCAGAGCTTGGCGTGTTGCAGCACGAAGGGCGAATTCTTCTTCGACTTCACCTTGTCGACGTCTTGCATAGTCACAGGTCGGCACTCGTGGGCGTGGTTATATCCCAACCTGGAGGACTGTTAAATGGGTTGTCTAGTGCCAATCATCCGCTTCTTACCTGGTACGACCGTCCTCGCCGCCTGGCTTGAAAAACTCTGGACGGCGGAGTAAAGACACCACAACGGCACCGCCGAGACCAACCTGGAAGGGAATGAGCCAATGGCAGCGATGTTATGTTCACTTACATTATGGACTAATCCGTATTTGCCTTGTTCAGAACCCTCAAACAATCCTGGAGCCTGCATTGGGCCGGCCCCTTGGGTCACATATTAGCTGAACTTGACAAGGCATTTGACTCTACTCACAGTTCCTCAGTTGCATTGCAATATAGAAGTGCATTCCAAGACCCGTCGCGCCAAGAGGATGTCCCTTGGCCTCCAGCCCGCCACTGGGGTTCACAACGAATTTGCCGCCGTACTGGATTCCAAGTCAGTCATGCATAAAATGGGTTTGGCATGTCATACCGTATTGTCTCCACGTTCAACTAGTTTGTGCGCCTCATTTTCAGCGCAGAGACCGAGGGCGGGATACATGACGAGCTGTCGAAGGCATCTGTGACCGTTGCTTTCGGAACAATACAGCAACAAACCTCATTCGCGGCGAAGCAATCGTGCAGTTCCAAAACACCAACCTGATCACGGCCTTGCCCATCCGCAAAACCGGCATCCTTGAATACTTTGTCCGCCGCGACCTATCTTGAATTTAATGTTGCTCGTGGAGGTTAAACTCAGAAAGTCACCTTGGTCATGTTGTAGCCGACGACCTGCATGGCACTCTGGCTTTCAAAAGCCTCGGGACCATCTGTTGCCAAAGCCTGAGCAACTATCTCGATGGCTTGATTCTCGAGTCCGTGTGCATGAACAAAGTCTTCAGAAGCAACGATACATGCCGCGGCGCCGTCCTTTATACGCTCAAACCATGAAATCAACAGTGTGAGAAAAGCATACGGAGGTTGGAGAGCACATGAACTTAGTGAGCTCATTGGTAATCTTCGGCGCTTTCATGACTTGTTCGACGCTCCATCCATCGCGAAATTGCGAGTATGGGTTATTGACTGAGTGTTTGTGATTCTTCGAGGCTGCGATGTGTGAGCTTAGAATGTCGAGAAACTGCAAGACTTTGGCTACCGATTTGAGCGAGGTGCTCCATTCCCCCACCATACTTCTGGAAATATTCCGCAGAAGCATTGCTGAAGATCCGGGGCGCACCAGGCCCGTGGTTTTCTCCAAGTGCCTGTCGCTCGATATCTTCGCTTCGTAGGTGAAGGAGCGCGGTCGGAGGAATGCGGTCGGGAAAGTTAGTGCCAAGACTGCCTGAAGACGACTTAGTTCAATGTGGACGGTAGATCGCGTATGTTGACCTGGCTTCATCTTCTCAAAGCCAAGAGCAAGCGCACACTCGACTTGGGAGAATTTAACAGCAAGATTCGCGTTGTAGAGCGCAGTGGATCCCGTTGAGCAGTTATTGTTGACATTAGTAATTGGGATGTTGGTGAGGCCAAGGTTGTAGAGAGCACGCTTGTGCGATAAAGTGAGCTGCTAGATGTTCGGTAGTGATCAGAACAATAGTACCTGTCCGCTGGTTGAGTCGCCGTAACAATATCCAACATAGGCAGTCTCCACTGCATCGTATGTTATACCAGCTGTTATTAGTTCAGCCCGAGTGAAGCAATGATTGCAGAATAGTTGAACCATCAAGCAGAGCTTTGGTTGTGGCCTCCAAGCCCATGTCCTCGGTACTGCGCAAACCACGCGGCTTGATGAACGCGGTGCATCCCGCGCCTACGATGAATGTCCGTCGTCCTTTTGCCATGTCGCAGTTTGAAGAAGAGAATGTGGGGTAGAGAGCACCGGTGCCGGTGACCGTTTAAAACCGAGCTCAGAAGGTGTGACTGTGATCCGGACGCCCGGAAATGACACATTTGAGGTATGTCGATAATCCACCCAAAACTTGCTTAACCTGGACCCAGGTGCATTGATACCAGTATCACAATACTACTACTACATCCACATAGCTGCCTTTGCGGCCTTCTGATATTTCGAACCGTTATATCAACTCAAATCCAAGAGAAGAATGAAGGTGGGAGGTTAGATTAGATAACGATAATGCGGATCAGTCCAATAAACGCCTTTGATTATCAATCATGATGAGCCTGCATTTATGCCAGACCAAAACCTCGTTGCGCTGGTAGAGTTGTCGAAGAGCGCACTGCAAGCTGGTGAACAACTCTGTTTTCAAGCAAACGATTTGTCGAACCAGGCGTCCGGGTCTGTCGTGGATGTGTTGGCACTGGACGCGAAGGTTAAATGGGTCACGGAGGGAGTGCTTGAGCAGTTGCGGGTACTGTTTCATCCTGCTAGACCCTATACGAGTGTACTGAGTTACTGAAGCTCGCGGTGGGAATCGCGAAAACCATTGAAGAGAAGCGCGCGAGATTGAGCAGGCAAGTTCAGGCGTGTAATGGTTACCTATACCGCTCTCTGTCCACTGACGCGTCATGCTTGTAGGAATGGGACAACGTCAGAAAGAGACACTCCGATGCGCTGGATAACATTTTGGAGGCTTTAGGCGCGCAGCTCGTGCCGCCTGACTTCCACGAGCATTTATCTGCTTCGTCCTTATTTGGGAGCCAACATTCAGAGGGCGAAGAGCCAGCTGTGGTCAATGTATTGGAATCCCCCCGTCAAAGTCTCTCCTCTACAGTCCGGAAAATCAAGAGCCGTCCTGAGCGTCGCACATGGAAAACCCTCCGCGACTTTGTCGATGACCAAGCCATCGAAGATGTCCTGGAGAAGATAGAGAACGGACGAACACACTTAGACGTGCGCTCCCCTGTTGCTGTTCAACTACTTGATTCATGTTGTCGCAGGACATTCTAAGCCAAACAGACGAATACCCTGAAATTCTTCAACGAACGACGTCTAATATAACAGAGAGGCTTCCCGACATGTCCACCCTGCCTGCAATCGACACCTTACTCTCTACTAAAGACAATACCATCACAGCTATGGCCCGCCATCTAGAGAGTCTAGCGGCACACTATGATCAAATGGCAGGCGCATTAAATGAAGCGGAAGACGGCGAAGCATTTGGTGAGGAAGATCTACAGGCCATGAATAGAGATACGGAAGAGCTGCCCTCTATCATCTCAGAACTCGAGGAATCTTTAGCATCGATTATATCCACTCGGTCAGTCCGCCTTCACAGGGTGTTCATAATTGACTCTCCAAAGGGACACACTTGCTGGCTTCAGTCAGTCGTCAAAAAAGAGCCTAGCACAGCTAAACGGGATCCTTGATGACTTGGATGAACTCGGAGACATTATGACTGAGATGTTACAGGATCAAGATGTCGCACAAGTCAGTCCTAAAACCTTACACAAGTTGTCAACTTACAATCCTGCAGGCCAATTGTGAAGAGGGACTTCACCTTCTCCAGCAGCATGTCGACACACTCGAACATCTTCACGAACACTATGTTGCCTATCAGACCGCGTTCAACAAACTCCTGCTAGAAATCGCTCGACGACGCCAGTATCGCGAGGCCGCGGAAAATATTGTTCGTGGCATGATGTCGCAACTGGGAGCCATGACAGAAGGCACCGTTTTTGTTGTTGAGTTTCATTAGTCTGACTTGGAGTCAATCTAGAGGAATCCCAGGTCCGGGAGCGATTCAATTCTGAGCATGGTGGATATCTACCAGAGGACCTCTGTCTTTGCATCGGGAACTCTCCGACAAGATGGGAGGTGCTTCCGTGGAACGGCGAAGAACCTGAAACGTTGCCCGAAATTGAAGCAGACCTCGTTGCTCAAGTATGCATTGAACTGTGCTTCTTGAAAACTACTCACCTACTAAGCAGGCGAGAGAGCGACTGAACGCAAATGCGATCGTTGACAGCCCGAATTCATAAGGGAAACTCGAAATGTAGGATCACAAGAATACTAAAGCTGCACTGGATGCCTCCACTTGAATTTCTCCCCCTTTTACAACGTCTTCATACAGTTGACCTTGAGCAAGACCATCGCTGTCGACGGCAAACGTCTGCCCAGACCAGAATGTAGCATTCCCGAATGTGACATCCGCCCCTGCGGCCTGCAGTCGCCTCACACGCACATATTTCTGTTTCGGACGTAGAAACGCGCTGAGATCAAAAGTCGTACTCGGGCGTGGCCCCAGCTCGGTCTGGTTGAATATTTGCAGGTTCAATAGAGCGATCTTGGTGGGGAAGTCTTGCGCATCGTCTTCCCAAAAGCCGTAGACGACATTTTGGCCTGCGGTGAAGTCTCCTCCTGCAGTGGTTATTGACGAGCCATTGGTCTGTCTTCCTGGCCACAGATTCGCGATCCGAAGTGAGTTGGAATGTCCGATGGCCTCTGTGATGAAAAGATATGCCGAGTATGACGGGAAGACTTGTTTTTCTCCATTGAGTGCATCCATAGGGTACCTGAGAGCTGATTCAGACAACCTTTTATCAGCAACGAACTCGGTGTTGGACCATAGATCATATCGAGACAGCCCCCCGTGATTGAGTTGTGTAGAGGACTGCAGTGCGAGGGGTCCACCTTGGTGAATGTATAGCCTGTTGATCCAATGAATGATGGGAAAAGTTGAGGGAGGAGACATGCTTACCGCGATACGTTAATTGACGCTGCATAGAGTGTTGTATCGAGGAGCCAGAGTGCTTGCCCAAAAGTATCTGATACGCCTGCTTTACCAGAGCAACTGACCGAATTGTACTCTCCAATCACAAATGAGTCCGGTCCAAGTTGTGCGCGAACCGATTGGATTCGGGGCTGCCAAAGATCCAAGTACATGGCTAGGCGGGTGTGGTTGACCTTGATGAACTTGGTCGAACGAAGAAACCGACTGTGAGGACTTACAAGATTAGGCAATGTAGCAACTGCAGTCCGCGTAGGATCGCAAACCGAATATTGGTAGGTGTGCTGCACGAGAAAATGTAAGTCCACACCTCTCGATGAAGACTTCTCGCGCTGACCTCGCTGCACGACTTGACCGTTCCGGCGGAGCTAGCACCAGCAGCAAGGGCGCTAACACAATCAAGCTGTGAACTTGCGCCAGAGGCAGTGTAAGGCCACAAAGGGTCTTCAGCTGTGGCGGCTATTTGGAACATGGGCTCAGAAAAGCCCAACGCTTCTGTGATGTTTTTTGACCACGGAACCCATGTCGCATCATACTTGGCTGCTGAAAGGGAGGGCGAATAATGATCGGGTTCGTTACCGACTACAGAAAATGTTGGAATTAGTTGTAGTTCTTCAACGAGAGCTCAACTCTCGAAAGCGATCAGTTGTCCGGCATCAAGACCCGAGATGGCAGACTGGGCGACGGCCAGGGCTCCAGTGTAGTTGAAGTTGTGGAGGTCCTGATTTTACCATTCAGAAAGAGAATCCTTAGTCATGTTTTCGTCATACAAGGTTGACCGTGACTTTAGTGTCCTTTGGTAGCAGTGAACGCGCCGCTTCCCAGAATTCTGGGCCGATGGTCGAATTGAAGAGGGTTCCTGACGAATCAATGAAGTTGAAGATTGCGGTGTTCAATGAAGGGTCCCAATATGTCGAGTCGGCAGTGATCCCCCCAATCCGTACCTCCGCTGGTGTACCGGTGCGGTCTTTCAAATTTTGCAGCAAATGTTGACTCAGCGTGTTTGGGTCTGTGGTATTGCCAATATATTCGATGAAAAAAGCGGTCTCGATACTGAAGCTGGCCAGGGCGGGGCTAAGCGGGGAGGAAGCGTCAGAAGGAAGAGCGGCGGGGCCTGGAAGGGTCAAAGTTGACGCAAAGGTCGCCAAAGAAGTTGACAAAATGCAGAGGAGGGGTTTGAAGGACATCTGTACCAACGAGAGCAGATAGCAGCCTGTTTCCAATCTGGAGGAAGTTTCGCATTATATGTATGTGGGAGTCGCGGACGGTGTTGGTGTCACGAGTTGCTGACATCAGATGGGGAACTTTAGACGGACGAACTCTTAGGAAGTCTGACGAGCTTCAGAATCGCGATGAATTTTGTGATTGGAGGAACGGAGGGGAGAAACAAACAGAACGCGGTGGAATTACGCGTATGACCCCTCGTATATGTGGGTGGAATGAGCCAGAATTTGTGTAGCTGACCTTGCGCTTGGTTCGGGGAGGACTTCGAACCTGAGTCACGGGAGCGTGAATGGCCCGGGCAATTAGCCCCATAAAGACACGGTAACTCATCCATAACGTCGATGGGGCCGTTCGACCCACCTTCGCCAGTGGTTACAGGGGTCAAGGAGAGAGTAGAGAGTCTCTACGTCCATGGTGGTTCATCTTCTACGCAACGTGGCTTGCACTTACTTGCAATAGGCGACAGGTTATATGTCGGCACTGCGACGGGGATTCTCCATATATATAGTATTGACGACGACGGAGAAGACTCACTGGTCCTAGTAGAGTCTAAGAAAGGGTTGGCACGTAGGGCCATTGAGCAGATTGGCTTCATCAAGGACATAAATTCGCTTGTTTTGTTGTCTGGTGAGTCCGTCTTTAGTCGCAGACGATAGCTAATTCAACCTAGAGGCCGCTGTAACTCTCCTCCCTCTGCCTAATCTCTCCCCTCCGACCCCGCTTCTCAAAGCGAAAGCTGCCTTTTCCTTCGCAATCCATTCTTCAGTCCAGCATGTTGCTCCGGACTTGCCGCCTGGCGCGAAGGCTACCTCAATACCCACCCTTGTTACTCAACTAGTTGTTGGATGTCGACGGAAAGTCGTCATATACTCGTGGAAAGACGGAGAGGCTCAAGAGTCGAAAGTCAGATATTGACTCCACCACATTTTCGTCATCCACTCATCGCGGAATTCTAGGAAGCGCCTTTACCTCACTCTGCCCGTGTTATTTCATTCCTGGATAAAGATACTGCGTGCTTTGGCTACTCCCCAACAGAATACGCCATGTTTTCTATCCTTTCAATGACGGCCACCGACATTTCAATACCACTTCCGGTCACTGCTGCTGGTACGGGCATGAGTGCTTTTACCAGCCTCGGTGGCTACATGACTCTTGGTCTGGGTGTAAAGCCCAAGCCTGCTGCACTACATATCAGTCCCTCGGAAGCACTTATTCTGAAAGATAGTGAGCGGGACGCAGTTGGTTTTTCATAAGCTTACTTGTCCAGATGAGGGTATTTTCGTTGGACCGGATGGCTCTCCTGCGAGGCCGGCATCCATTGAATGGCCAGCCCCACCTGAAGAGATCGGTATGCTTCCACTTTTATTTATTCTACTGCTAACTTTACTATAGCATATGTGAAACCCTATGTGTTCTCTGTTCTTCCTCCCGGCGCTATTGCCCCAGCTGCGCCAACCGATCCCTCGACCGCAGCAATACCAGCTCCGCAGCCCACTACTCTACTCCAAATCCGTTCCTCTCTCTCCCTGCAGCCGACACAGACACTATCATTCCCATTCAGCCCAACACCGACTTCAGCGACAAGCCCCACGCCGAACGCGTCTCTGCGGATACTCACCCCATCTCCCTCAGCCAAATCTCCCCTCTTCCTAATTACAACCCCGACAGACAAGAATTTGGCTGCGGCGGAAGGTAGTACAATCTGGCAGTTCAAGATGAAACCCTGGGGAACACAAGTCGACGAACTAGTGGCTGCGGGCCAATATGCAGATGCTCTCGCGCTACTTGAAATAATTGACGTTACACTGCTTCCTGACAAGGTACTAGTCGAACAGATGCGCCTGGAGCATTTCTGAATCACTTTTATTCTCAGGACCAACGCGTCAAGCTTGTGCGCGGGCTGAACGCTGTGTCGCAGTTTCGCGCGGCACAGTTTGACACTGCAATTGATGCTTTTATTGACCTCGAGGTCAATCCCGCCAAAGTCGTTGCCCTATATCCTGAGTCAGTGGCTGGTCGGTTGTCTGTTGCACAAGACCAGTGGATATCTTTATATGGGGGGCCACCGCCTACGATCGCAGAAGAAGTCTCAGAAGCATCAACTCCCAGTGCAGATTCAGAGTCTCCTACCAAAGATGCGGAAAATGTTGTCGCTCCCTCAATACCAGAATCGTTAGAGGGAATTGTAGGGCTAACTGCTTCGACAACGGGGACGATCCGCGGAAGATTGAAAGGACTTGGAGCATTCTTGCCGTCATTGAAAGACAGTGACCACCCGACGAGCAATACCCCGAAAGTGCGGCCGAAACAAACTGTCCATGGCAAGTCAATGTCAGATGAGAACACCATCCAGATTAACTGATACGAACCCCAGACGATCTCCCTAAATCCGTCGAAACCCTGCTCCGATATCTTTCCGACAGACGACCCAAGGTCAAAGCCGCCCTTGCAGCAATAGGAATAACACCAGAAAACCAGTCACACCAGATTGCTTTCCTTTCGGAAACCTCTGTCGACGATCTTTTTGCGCTGCCAAATGCACCTTTTGCTGCCTTGACTCCAGAACAACTGTTGCGATATGCTCAAATCGTGGACACTGCGTTGTTCAAAGCTTATCTCGTCATTCGGCCGGGTCTTCTCGGCTCGCTCTGTCGGGTGTCGAACTGGTGCGAGGTTTCTGAAGTAGAGGACGAGCTGTTGGAACGCAAGGTATGCCACCAGCGTCTTCTCCTTCGTTTAATTCATCCTTGAGGAGAAATTTCCCGAATTGCGAGATCTTTACAATGGAAAGAAGATGCACCGAAAGGCATTAGATCTCCTCAAGAAGTGGGACAAGTCCTTGATAGTCAACGCTTAGCTCATATCGCTTCTAGTCTCAGCGAGCAAGAAAGCGACCTGGAGGACAAACTGATGCCATCAATATATTACCTCCAAAAATTAGGTCCGGAACATATGGAAGAAATCTTTCAATCTTCTCGCTGGATATTTGAGAAAGACAGCACAATGGCATTTCAGGTCAGGACATTCCGCAGAAGAACGGTGGACTGGACTGATATCTGTCTGGCTCTCTCTAGATATTCACATCGGAAGATGTTGAACTACCGCGAACAGCTGTGGCGGATTTCCTCGAAAGCATCGAGCCTTCGCTCTGCATTCGTTACATTGAGTTCTTAATTGAAGAACGTCGTGAAGAATCACCAGTTTTTCACGATCGTCTGGCGGAACTCTACCTCAGAGCCACCCTAGCAGCAAAGAAGCGAAACGACAAAGGCAAGTTGACAAGCATTCATACCACAAATTGAACTGAATATGGCTCAGATTGGACCCAACATTATGCCAGCCTCCTCAAGTTTATCGACACAACAAATCACTATCGGATAGACCGGCTCTATAACTTGATTTCCTCTGAAGGTACGACTTGGTTTGAAACAAAAGTACGAGAAAAAATTTAAGCAAATCAGATTTGTTTGAGGCCCGAGCAATACTTCTTGGCCGGTTTGGACGACATGACCAAGCGCTGGAACTGTACGTCTACAAACTGCAAGATTACATGAAAGCAGAACAGTACGTTTTTCCCACGTGATCATCGTTTCCCATTCATCTTCTTGTAGACATTGTGCCCGGGTGTACTCCGCGAGCGGAAGAACAGCGAATGTCTACTTGACCTTACTGCGAATCTACCTTCGACCCAATGCCAACGCCAAACTTAGCGTCTCTGACCTTCTCGAGCCAGCTTTGGGACTGATCGCTCGACACAGTCCCCAGCTGGATTCGGTCGCCACACTTGAACTCCTTCCTCCACTTGTCTCCACACAAGACATCCACAAATTCCTCGTCAATGCCCTGCATGCACCGGTCTTCGACACCCGGGTTGTCAAGAACCTCAGCAAGGCTCGTGGAGACCAAGTGGACCGTTTGTTGATGGGATTGCAAACAAGACGCGTCAAAGTAACCGACAGTCGGATGTGTGTTGTTTCCTTTACTTTTGTCTGCCTCTGATGTGCTTTTTATAGCTGTCCGCAATGCCACAAACGAATTGGCAACAGTTTTATTGCTGTCCACTCCCCAAGGCGGGTCATACAAACCCAATCTCGATATCTGGGTTCTGATCTATTGACAGGGGCGAAGTTACACACTATCAGTGCCGCGAAGCCTTCTCAAGGCGATTGAGCGAGACGAGGCATTAGTCGTTGGAGTACTATATATTCGCATAACCAGGACTGAGAATGCCAGGGCGAACAGCTGAGTATGTCATGCCCCGTGATCGCCTTCTCCTGCTTCTTGTCACCGTCAGCGCTTTTGTGAGCTCTCGCCAGAGATACTTACTTTATCTGGTCTTCATGCCCGAGTATTGAACCTCTAAGCGATGTCACCCGCGAGCTCTACTTGTCACCTCTGGAAGCCTATTTCCCGACTGGGCTTGTTTGATTCAAGTACCCAAAGCAGTCCCACTATCTCGCTCCACGGTCTTGAGTGCCCGCTCATCTGACACTGGCCGCCTTCTAGTAGCTCGAGGTCGGTTAACTGGCCCCGTTCTCGGCACTTGTCCTTCCGTATAAAAAGGTAGAACCAACTCCTCCATTTCCAGCAAACCCTCGCTCTCCCTCTCTTATACGATGAAGTTCACTACTCTCACCTCTCTCGCACTCTTTGCTGCCGGTGCCCTCGCAGACACGGTAGCATACGACGAAACCTACGACGTAGGCTCCAACTCACTAGACATTGTTGTGCGTTTGTCACTCGCTCTTTGCTTGTGGCCATGAGACATATTAATCGCTCTACTCATAGGCCTGCTCCGATGGGGTCAACGGGCTCGAAACGCGCTTCGGATTCAAGAAGTTCTCTGACATCCCGAAGTTCCCCTTCATTGGGGCGGTCGGTGCCGTCGAAGGCTGGAACTCTGCCCATTGCGGCGAATGCTGGCAGCTGACCTATACTCCCGCCAGCGGGGCAAAGAAGACGATCAACGTCCTCGCTGTCGACCACGCTGCGCCGGGGACCTTCAATGTTGCCCTTTCGGCCATGAATGCACTCACAAACAACCAGGCAAAGCAACTGGGTCGGGTTAATGTCGCAGCAACTAAGGTTGCCTCGTCCGTTTGTGGACTGTAGAAGCTATTTTTGGATGTAAAACGGACTAAAACAGACGGAAAGGACTTTGTTTTGTTGTATGCGAAATACATAATTTACTTTGTGTGCTCATCTAGTGTCACAAAAAAGAGTATAGTACAAAAAAATAGGAGCAGCCGGAATAATCTGGCTGCGTGTACACTTTTTGAATGAAGGTCGTTGTTGGGCATAAAAGAGTGAGGGATCACATGACATGTGGATAGCAATGGAAAGCGAGCGGCATGGGTAGAGAGAGAAAGAGACGCCTTTATAGGCTGAGGCATGTGGGGAAAAAAGGAAAAGAAAAAGAAATGGACAGCGATCATGAAACGAGTGAACGATGCAGGGCAGGCGGTATAGTACAAATATGTGTGTATAATCCAAGAGACTGAAGGAATAGATACGCTCACTCCTCGAGAAGCATCCTCTCAACGGGATTTCCGTTGCCCGAAACTTGCGCCTTCGCCCAGTCAACGGCAAACGCCGACGCCTTGAGGAATTTCTTGTGCGAGTATTTTTTGCAGACGTATTGACGCGAAAAGTTGCGCTCCGCAAGCTTCTCTATCAGCATCTCGTGGCCAGGCAACAGCTGCTCTTCCGTATATCCAGAGTGGAAAACGAAAGCATCGTCCTATAAGAAGCACGTCAGCCTTATCTAATCACCAGCTCCTTAACTCTGACACTTACCCAATTGCCGTCAAGCATTCTCCGCGCACAATACATGCCAACTGCTGCAATAAGACTCGGCTTTACTCGCACGAATCTATAGTCCAAAAGCGTAACCTCCGTCAAGAACTTGCTGAGCGTCCTGGTCTGGATATCGTAGTCGTCGGCCTTGCTGATTTTGCGCATCCAGCTATACGGCGAGCAGTATTGGGAAATGCGGAACTCGAGGGTTTGAAGCATGATTCGCTCGCCCTTGAGGATCTCTTCTTTATTGTACCCGTTCTCAGTCATATAGACAAACTCCTCCACCGACGGCGCCAGAATTTCCTCGTATTTGGCCGCAATGAACATGGCGGTGACGCCAACCAACTGGAGCTTGACAAGAGACACAGTTCGGTGGGTCAGGAAGCGGTCAATGATGTTGACGGCAATCCACAGTGTCTCGGGCAACATATGATAGCGAAGGTGAACTTGAAGGAGCCAGTCAACGAGTGTCTGTCGCATCGCCCACGTTATCTCGTTCTGATGATCCATATAGTCGGCGCCAGGCATCATCGACTCCTAAAAAAAACCCACGGTCAGAAGCAAGCAACTATTCGGTTAAAAAATGCACGCGCCTCTAGATCGTTCATGTATTCAAAAATCTCATCGGCGTATTCAGAGACCATAGTCGTGTCGTAGATGTCTACATCGTCTTGGAAGGCTTGTCGAATAGCCTCAACCTCCTTCTCGTATTGAAGAGCGCGTTCTGGTGTAATGTCTGGCCAGACCCGGACGACTTTTGGCCCGGTAGCAGTACCTTCATCTTCATCGTCTTCGTCATCGAGCTCATCAACTTCGGCCTCTGAAATAGCCATGGCGTCGTCGAACTCCGACAGCTTAAAGTCTTCGTCCTCCGTGTCGATATCAATCATGTTGTCTTCTGTTTCTCTGAGTTGTTCTTGGACAAGCTCTGTCGCCGCTACTCGTGGGGGTGCCACTCGAAGAGGCCTTTTCGAGGTGGCAACAGAGGGACGAACAGCGCGACCTGCTGGTATGCGACTTGGACCAACATGGTTTACGATTGTTACGTGGACTATCCCTCGACCAGGACCCAGAGGAACGCGTTGGGGAGGGAGGGTGGAAGAGTTGGAGCGGAGGCGTTTGAAGCTATTTTCAGGCTTGTCGTTGCTGGGGCGCTTGAAGCCAGTTTCGGGCTTGTCGTTGCCTGCGACGACAAGAGTCTCCTTGAAAAGCGAGTCAGTGGCTAGAGTTGTGGCGAGTGTTGACCACATACCTTTCTGTTGAGGGCGACCTCGCTGAGGGCAGTACGCGACTTTCCCGTCAAAAGCTCCTTGGGAACGAATCGAGCGGGTCCTGCGTTGTTCGCTAGACCCGACAGTTGTCTGGCGTGGCGACTGTTGGCGTTTTCGTCAGCTTTGGCGCGCTGAACTGGGCGTGTGCGAAAAGGTGGCTAGTGAAGCTGTCAGTAAACGGCGGGAGAAGGGATGGGGTACACGAACGCGGACATTGGGGGCGGCCATGGGAGGGTGGCGTGGTGTATGGTGGCAAGAAACAAGGAAGAGAGATGTGCTGGTCGACTTGAACCTCAAGTCGTTGGTTGTCACGTGAATGTCACGTCAATGCAAACAGCGCGTTCTCGTTACGTAATCGACTCCAAAATACATGTCAACTTCGCTTGGATCCTAGTCCCGCCCTGCCACTTGTCGACGCAATCTCGAGCGGTGCCTTTAGCCGCACTCGTCCATCACTGTCCTCACCATCCTCCGCACCCAATGATGACCCTGGTGTCCATCCCTGAGCTAATAAAAGCTTATGCCCAACATTGGTAGTCGGAAGCGGAGTAGGGGGTTTAGATTGAGTTATAAGCTGAGGAGGTTCCCAAGAGTTTACTGCAGATATAGGTGATACATGCTCCGCTCGTCGCGTCAATTCTATACGAGAGGCTGGCGGCTCTATACCAGGAGCATCAAGGCGTGAAGTTGGATGTAAAGCTCTTCTCCTGGCTGAACGGTCGATGTATTCTGTTGATTTCGTCCGACTGGGTCCTGGACTACTGGACGAGAGCATCTGTTGTTTGAGGGTTGACAGTGCTGACTTCAAATCGCCATTAGAGGATGGGAGATAGCCAGGACGTGCCGCTACGCGCTTTGGGTTCTGAAATAGGGGAATTTCGTTTTGGAGCGTAGAAGAGCAGTCCTCACATGGCTCTTGCTCGTGAATATGAACGAGGAACGTTGTACTGCCCATCGCGATTGCGTCCATATGCTTCAGCTTTTGAGGCATACTTGCGACTCGAGAGGGAGACAGACGAATCGCAGCTGACGCTTGAGCAGAAGCCGATTGGTGAAAAGTGCCGTGCATAGAACCCATATCGACCATATACCATGCTTCATCGTCAGAGCTCCAGTAGATGGTCGCGTGCAGTTTAGAGACGGCCATTTCCTTGAGCCTAACACGGGGCGTATCGTTAGAATGAGACGCGTCCCTGCCAAACTGGAGCTCTATATGGCGATCTGGATTGACGAGTGTCTGCTTTGGCGGCAAGACAGATGTACGAAGAATAACGAGGCGCAACAGAAGGAGATTGGAGTGGGAAGGCTGGGAAGTATATTCCGGTCCAGACCACTCTAATGACGGATCGTAGTCAGCTGGGAGGTCGTCCATAGCCAGATAACACTTGACCGTCAAAAGTCAAGTCCCATTTGATGGGAACTCTGCCTCCACTTCTCATCTTCCCCCTGAACTCTTCTTTCGCTATTTAACGCGCAATCACCGAGACCACGCAATGGAAGTTTTTTCCGAGGTACAGTATATCAGTCCTTGTATCCCTGACCATTGCGTCTGACTAGCGTGTGTCCGAAGGAACACAGTAAACTTCTGTTGAACAAAGAGTGGCTTGTCGCCACAAACAACTCAACGCCATACCTCTTTGTTCGTCCACGGTCTACCTGCGCTGCTATTGGCTCGAATGTTCGCTGTAGAAGTTTGCGACAACCGTGGATTTAGCGTGTTTGGTTCTCGTTACAGACACGAAAACTATATGGACCGAGGGTACTTGATTCGTTGTAAAACATGCCAGAGCTTCAGCCACTGATATGACCTAGTTCTGAATTCGAAGCAATTTGCGAGACGATGGCGCGCATGCAACCCAGATAGTTCACCGGACTTCTCTCGGGATGAGGACGAAGAAGACTGGCGGGTCGCGACCCAAACGTTGCTTGCTAAAGCTCACACTCTTGGTGGCTTAAGTGAACTCTCTTTCGATTGCGTAGAATCTAATTATGCGGTACGTATAATTGACCTAATTTTTGAATTGAACAAGGTTCAATTGTCCTGAAGGATCTCGCCATTGAACTTGAGGGCGAGGCGTTCAAATGGAGGTGGGAAACGTGTACACAAGGAGGCCGATTTTCTGCCGACATCATATCGCGACACCTGGTCTTGCCTTTAATCAGCCTGACGCATCTGGCATTCACTAGTACTTCTGCCGTCGGTGAATCCTCAGAGTCAGATTTAGAAAAGGTGCAGGCGCCTTTCGCAGTATATCGCGCCAACTTTTTAACATCAATTTCGAGGCCATAGACAAGGTCGGGCGCACCGCGCGTCGTTCGGTTGACACTCATGTCAAAAACTGCATCGGCAAACCTGGAGTCGCTACCGCTTTACGCCGGATAACTGCCCTGTTCAATTCTATACCTGATCTTCGTAAGTTGAGACTATTCCAGAAACTTTGCATTGACGTTTGCTTCAGCTTCAGTTCTGCTAGTCAACGACACGCCTGACTTGAAACTACCGCCACTTGCAACGCAGCCCGCCCGCGCACCGTCCCCACCGCTAACTAAACGTCGGATCTCAACGCCCGTGGATAAGTCTCCAGTAATCGAGCCAACTTCATCCCCAGTTGCAAGTAAACGTCCTTCTCCCGAGCCTGTTCAGCGCAATTCCTCCCCAGAGGCCCCGCTTGACGCGGAATCGGGTTCTGCAACTGAATCTGACTCGGATGGCGCGGCTCCTGTGCCGATTGCTGCGAAAGGCAAAGCCCGAGCGTTTTCATCAGGTGTCTCGCCTCCTGTCAACACAAAAATACAGAGTCCAGTCCATCGACAGCTTTCATCGTCGTCTCCTCCTTCCAAACCTCTCAGCAGACCTAAGCCAGTCCTATCTGACTCGGAATCTTCTCCCGTACGGCCGGCCAAGAAGACGAAGCCTCCGGTTTCTTCCAGTGACGACGACAGCGAAGCTGAGCGCAAGAAACGGCTGGCCAAAGTCAAGAGTGGTGGTGGTGCTGCGCGAGGAGCAAAGCAACCGATAAAGCGAGGCGGTAGACGATTTTAAGACTGATCAACTACATGGATTAGAATACACAATGTCAGAGCGCTACACTGGAACAGAATGCTACATGATAGGTCGGGTTAGGAACCATAATCTCGCCCACTCGCTTGGTGGACGTCACACATAATGCGGAACATGTTGATAACCCGGCGGTTTTCTCCTAAAGCCTGTAAAATGATTGCTCAGAAAGGAAATAAAATATTCCGGGCACTCTCGCTTACTTTGGTGCATTGACACCGGCCTTGATGAGTGTGGGCCCTGCTGGAAGAACTGTCATTGATCTGGTTGAAATTTTTTGGGAGGAAATAGGGTACCTGAGTGCACAGGTAGACTTCATGCAATCTATTCGAGAGCCGCGATATACGACATCAAAGCATCTGAGGCAAGGTCAACCGAATTTCAACCTGTCCCTTGCCTCGACCGACCCGCATCCACGATAGAGATTTCCAAAGCTATGGGACAGTTGTCAGAGAAGGAACAACGCAGCACAAGAGCGGAAATTCTTACTATTCTTGAGTGCACATGACAGGCGGAGAAGAGAAATATTGTGGAAAGCGCACTAGAAGAAGATTGAAGATGGGGAAGATGCTGGACTGTCTGGCTGGTTTGACTACGTGTTTTATATGGTTGAGCACAAACATTGACGTAGAGTCACGGGTCGCACAACCCGGAGAAGCCTGCCAAATGCCTTGCCGTATCACTGAATCGGTCATCATAGTCGTTCCCAGATATGGGCGCCAACAGGCACCTGGCCGAGTTACAACGGGATATACCGTAGGCCGAGATAGGCGTCGAACAACCGTCTGGATCGGACACGAGCCTTGAGAGAACTTGGATGTGAAGGTCTTTGTTGATCGAAATGGTCAATTTGATTCCGCGCGATGGCAAAGCCAAGGTTGTGGAAAAAAGAGTCTGATGCTGGTAAGCAGAAGAACGCCACATCTCCAGTGCTGCCTTGAGGGCCGAGATCTTGGAGGTCGCCATACCGAGAATGCCGGCTAGTAAGTAGACTGATGGAAAATCGACGCAATGTGGTCCCGAGGTGCGTCAGACGAGATAGGTGGCTTAATCAAACAGTGGCTCTCTTCCAGAGACGCGGTAAATTCCACGTGTAGCGGGTTGATCAGAAGAGTAAGCTCAGCACTGAAAGCAGACAATCTCTCTTTCTGGAAGTTGTTGGGTTCGTTGCTGTCCACCCGCAAGGAAGCCCCGAAGCAAGCGCTTTGGTCGGGATCGCATTGCCAATGCAACAACGTAAGCACAGAAGACGGCGAAGCGTGACAGTGTCACGTCCCCAGAGATGTCAAACTTCGAGGACGAGGACCCATTGGCGGTAAGCCGAAAGCATGTATGGTCTGCAGTTAAGTTTAACTTTTGCTAGGCGGCCCTCTCATCAGCATTCGTGTCATCACCTTCTCTCCGTCCGCCGACGCCCCCGACACAGTTAACGGAAGCAGAGACATCTTTGGCCTCGGAATCGACAACGGAAAGCTCAGTCACTTCGGATTCGATTGAAGATTCGTCACAGGCTGACTACGAAGCACACGTAGCTGAGTGGAGAGCCCAGTCTGCTGAGCAACGAGAGAAAGCGGAGAAGGAGCGTGAACGTTGGGAGGCAATTCGTGCGGCTGAGAAGCAAGAAGCTGCTCTTCGCAAAGCAGCTTTGCCTGATGTCGGCGGAACTTCTGAACATGGTTGGGAAACTGTAGGAGAAGCAACTCGGCCATCTCCCAGCCCCGCAGATGCTCGCGACTTGGTAACGGGTGAACGGTCAAAAGAGGTTTGTCAACAAATATCAACTCTATATGTTTCCCCTCTCATTATTCTGTATAGGTTCAGAGACCAAGCCATGACACAACAGACGAGTCCCAAAAATGGGACGAGGTTTCTGAGCCTCTGACCTCATCATATCCTTCCATGTCTTTCCCAGACCGCACCAATACTCCGTCACCACAACACGACCCTTCTCCCGCTCCTCACCTCGAGTCAGCCACTATCGCCATTTTCGACTCTTCTCTCTCACCTCGCACGCGCATCACGGCCCTGTTTTCTTCTCTCGCCATCAACCTCTTACTTCCGTTCGTGAATGGCGTCATGCTCGGGTTTGGAGAGATTTTCGCAAAGAATGTCGTATTGGAATACTTTGGTTGGAGGCCACTCACACGACCAGGCTCAGTAGCAGCGACAGCTGGCCTCAGAAAATCTAGATAGGTACTTACTAATAGACGTCTATAATATCTATAAACGGGCATTTCGTGGCAGGTTTCTCAGCGCTTGTCGGACGCCAAGATCTCCCAAAACATCTTCGGCTATTGAACATGTTAGCTTATGCCTTATCCACAACCATGCACATCATACCTCCTCCTCCAACCCTAAAATCAGAGCGCAGCTTCATTAACACGCCAAACCAGGAAAATATACCAAACACTTACGCGTCGATGAGAAGAGAATGGTGGAACTACTCAGGCGGAAATGAATGAGCATGGTCCTAAACCTGGAGAACGGCGAACGCACATGTTCAACGAAGCGCCCCATTCCTAAGCTAACGGTAAGTAGACTATCGGGTGCTGACAAAAAACATGCCTGTTTTGGTTATCCCTCGACCGCCAAATATCTGGGTAGCCAAGATGAGCTTGAAGATGGTGATGGCAAGTAGACCCCACCTGAACAGCATCTGCGGCCGTCTTCTGGGACTCCCGAGTGGCATACATCTTCAAGAATGCAATTTGTCTACGAAATTCTCACTAGACCTTTCAATTGACATTCAAGTCATACCCTGCGAGCTGTTGAGCTTGTTCCATAGGGCTCATATGGCACATCTGGTATGTGATTGACTCAATCCAGGCTTGGCAGCTTTCGAACCGTGAAATCATGGCAGCAAGCTTCTGGCGCACGATGGCCTGCGAGCTGAGCGGCTTGCCGAAAACTTTTCTCTGTGTCGCCCACCTGTGCATGGATTCACATGAAAGGAAGCAAAGGACAGGATGAAACTGACTTGAGGCATTCTTCAAATATGACGCGTTGGCGTGCAATGTTATGCGCGACGAGGACCCATCTATGTTGCGAGTCAACTGGTGGAGAAAGAGTCGAAGACATCGACAGACCGCTCATGATTGAAGTTGGCTAGCTAATGGGGAACTTAGCCAAAGCATTGACAGAAAGAGGACGAAGCACACAATGATGAGCAGACCAGGAACTCCAGGACCAAGGCGGTTTGCATCTGGAACTTTGACGTTATCAAAGGTAACGAATGCGGTTCCCGCTGTTGCTGAGTAGAATGTCTTGATTGGCTTAGTTTCTACTCCCTCGCCCCGCTCAATAAGGAGGACGATGATTTCTCCGTCATCAGTTTTGCAAGCTGTTGTGAACCAATGAGCTCGGGTGCCAGTCTGACGGAATCAACAGTGAGGAAGTAGCAGCAGCATAGGAACCAACTACTTGCCGTGATCCATTTCTTAGTTCCTGAAAACGACTCCGATTAGCTTTGATGGCTCGAGAGATTGGAGCAGTACCTGACACAATCCAGAACCCGTCCTCGGTCTTACGGGCCCTGGTCCGTATACCGGAAACGTCGCTTCCGGCGAAGGCCTCTGTGACTGCAAGACAAATAGGGCGTTTGCCTGAGAGCGCATCTTCGACAACGCGATCTCGTAGGGCAGGTTGTGCGAAGTTAATCACGGGTGGAAGGCCTAAATTTATGAGCTGGAGAAGATATAGCAAATGCTATCCACCAATGATAGTCCCGCCACCTATTCATGGATGCGTCACATGGTCGTGTTCCGGTGTATTCAAGCACTAACCTAATCCATCGTTGTAGCCTGTGAAGAAGTTGAGCTAGACGCCATTTGTTTCTCCAAAACACCGAGAATACCTCGCGCATGTAGTCTAGCCGCATCTTGGGTGATGATTAATTCGATGAAAGGGTCAAACTGTGGGCTGGGGTTAGCAGAAGTGCAGCAAGAGACATATAACTGACCTCTTCCAGAGAAATCACGCCGTCCATTAGCACTCTACCCTTCATATGCTTTCCAGGACCGATCTGCATTGCAAGAATATTGAGCCGACACATCTCATCGACGATGTGTTGTGATGGCGGTTGTCCATCGGTTTCGCGTGCTTGAGCATCTGGCAAGACGACCTCCTCGACGAATTTGCGGTAAACCTTTTGGAAGCGACGGTGGTGCTGGACTTCCGTCAGCAGAGATGGAGGCCAGGGAAGTGGGTCTATTCACCTCCTTGTAGTAGGGAGTGTGGTATCCAGAAGCAAGCCATGTTGGCTCTGCGTATGGAACTTGGCTGAGGGCGCCAGGAACACGATTCGCTATTTCTGGTTCCCCTTGTATAACACCGACTTGTAGACGCGCGTATTTTTCGAGAACTTCAGCACGGTGAAGCTCGTAGAATCTTTCGGTTGCATCTTGTCCCGCTGTACATTGTTGGGTGAGTCTAAGTTGGATCGACAGGCATTCCCAGCGGACCTATTTCCGAGTCAAGAAGAACAGAGAGGCCACCAGGGTGGAGGGATGAGAATTTGCTGAGATCGTATACTTTCGAGTCGATGATGATGAGCTAACAGAACCAAAACAGAACCGCGTCAATAGCCTATAAGTAACAGGGCAGGTGTCACGGATACCAAGTCTCCCGCAGTCGCATGCTGCACAACACGGGTGAACAAATGTTTAGTAAGGTGAAATACGAGTACCTGTGCTACTTCTTCTCTTGTAAAGGGCTTGACGACCATGGTTCAAGAGTATGGGGCGGCTAACAGGATCATTGTCAGTGTCAGCGGTCATGCAGCAAGAATATAAATTGACGGAACGGCGAATCAGATCGCCGGTCATTTCAACTTGAACTTCTTGCTCATGGCTCTGGCAGGACTGAAAGTTATCGAGGTCTCTGCAACTCACTACAACCCACTGGGAGCTCATACAGATCTTAGTTTGCTGGCCTTGCTCCTGGTCCATTTGCTGGTCTCATTCTCGCTGATAACGGCGCGTCGGTTGTGCGCGTAGACAAGCCCGCGGCCAACTCCGTCGATATTCTATGCAGAGGGAAAAAAGTCTGTTGCTATAAACCCCAAGATTGAGGGCGGAAAGGCGCTCTTGCTGCGCCTTATTTCCGAAGCGGATGTGCTCATCGACCCTTACCGACCTGGTGTTATGGAACGCCTTGGGCTTGGACCGGACGTATTCTTAGGCAAAAGTGGACTCAACAAACGGCTTATCTATGCTCGTATGGTTGGTTTTCCGAGAGAAGGTACACGACCAACTGCCAGGCAATCCACTCCTTGACAGTGTTACAGGACCCCACAAAGACATGGCTGGTGTGTTGTTTGCAATATGCTTCGAAGACTTGAATATCTTACCACCCACCAGGTCACGATATAAACTATCTAGCGCTGAGCGGAGTACTATCTGTTAGTATTTCGTTTGCTTTGGGACTTGCGCTCAACCACTGAAGCTACTGCCCGGCCAAGATAAGCCCCAGCCACCAATTAATATAGTGGCCGATTTTGCTGGAGGAGGGCTGAGTTGCGCCATGGGTATTTTGCTTGCACTCATTGACCGCGGCAAGACTGGCCGCGGGCAAGTGGTCGATACCAACATGGTATTTTCTTCTCTCTCCTTGGTGTGGAATGTATGTTCAAGTTTACAAACAGGTCTCTGGCACTCGCTATGTCTCGTCGTTCCCATTGCTCGGTTTGCTCGTGCCGTCTTCCAGTATGGCTATGGGCGAGAGAGGCTCGCGCCTGCTCGATGGCGGGGCTCCATTCTACAACGTCTATACCTGCGGCGACGGGCGTTGGATTTCGGTTGGCTGTATCGAACCTGCCTTTTACAAGCTCTTCATCGAGCAATTTGTGAACGCGGTCCCCACAGACTTTAGTATCAGTGGGTGGAGGCCGACAGCGGACGAGCAATATAACCAGGACGACTGGCCCAAACTGAAAGAATATCTGACCAGAGGGTTTGCATTCCAGCCCCGCGACTATTGGGCGAAGCTTTTCCACGGTCAGGGATTGATCTGAACAAGTGTGTCGATCACAACTAACATCGTGGTAGGCACCGATGCTTGTGTTTTACCAGTGCTATCGACAGAGGAAGCAGCCCAGCTTGATGCTTCTGCGTCGTCATTTCCGGTCCCGCACCCACGAATAAGCGCCGGCCCGGGTCGCTGGGTGGTTCCGGGCGAAGACAGTTTATACTTGGAAGCGGGCCAACACACAGTAGAGATTTTGGCGGGCCTTGGCGTAGGAGAGGCGCAAATGGAGGAGATGGAGCGGACAGGAGCCATCAGGTTCGCAAAGAGCAAACTGTAGCATGTAAATGTAAAATGCGGGGTAATGAGCCGGAGTGAAATCACATGCATCTCGTTCTTATTTAAGACGCTTGCCATTGGACGATTCCCCATTTTCTCCAATGTCCAAACAATTCACCCTCGAAGAGGTCGCAAAGGTCAGTTATGGGTGGCTTAAACACACTCCGTGGCTGACCTCCCACAGCACAACAAACCAGGCGACCTTGTGCGTATGCTTATCCAAGACCAACACCTCGTCCCTAATTGGTGCATTCACAGTGGCTCGCTATCGACGCCAAGGTCTACGATGTTTCCAAGTTCATGAACATGCACCCCGGCGGCCTTAGTGTCCTTCTGGACCCGGAAGTTTGTGCGCAATCACACTTTGCCAGCCGTCATCGGTATCTGACGTGGTTTTTTCTAGCCGGCCAAGACGCAACGGAAGCATTCTTCAGTCTCCATCGCGCGGAGGTTTTGGAGCGACCACAGTACAAGCGTCTGCAGATTGGGGTTATTGCCGGCGAAGAGAGCACCATCGTCAGCAGGGTCACGGGCGAGCTCAGCAAGGTCCCCTATGCCGAACCCACTTGGTTGGTCGAGGGCTACCACAGCCCCTACTTCACCGAGGTCAGTCAAGCAAATCAATGCCCCTCGATGACCCTAACGCTTCTCCAGAATCACCGCCAGTTCCAGAAGGCTGTTCGCAAATTCGTGGATGAGGATCTGTATCCCGAGGCTCAGATCAAAGAGGAGGATGGAACTCGAGTGTCTCAAGAAATCGTTGACAAAATGGCGTGCGTTTTCTTACTTGACATACCGACTTTTATTCACCAATGCAGCGCGCTCAACATCAATGCCATGCGTTTGGGCCCCGGCAAGCACCTCCACGGCCTCACTCTCATGAACGGTCTTGTAAAACCGGAGCAGTTCGATTATTTCCACGAGGCACGTCTTCAAGCTCGCCATGGGAGTCTATTGACACCTTGTAGCTTGTCCTGACCCAAGAACTGACTCGTTGCGGCGCTCGCGGATACGGCGATGGTATGTTTACTCGGGACCCCATTTATTTTTTGTGACTTATTCATCTTCTAGGTCTTTTATCTGGAATGGTCATTGGTCTCCCGCCTGTTCTGAACTTCGGAAGCGAGGAACTCAAAGCCCGTGTTGTACCGGAAGTGTTCCAAGGAAAAAAATTCATCTCGCTGGCCATCTCTGAGGCACATGCTGGCTCCGACGTTATGGGTCTCCAAGTGAGCATCTTTTTCACTCATTAAACTCCTCCATTCACGCTTTCAAAGACCACCGCCGTCAAGAGCGAAGATGGGAAGGAATGGATCATTAACGGTTTGTTGAGCGTCTCTCTCGGAAAAACACAACTCACGTCATGCAGGTACCAAAAAGTAAACCAATATCCAAGGTGGCAGTTGGAATCGCAACTCACGTACTTCTTTAGGTGGATCACCAACGGCCATTTCAGCGACTACTTCACCGTCGGCTGCAAGACGGAAGATGGCTTCACTGTCATCCTTGTCGAACGTGGCCCTGGGGTAGAGACGAAGCACATCAAGACCAGCGTTAGTCTCCGAAGCTCTAGTGTGCTAACACGTTACTTATCTTTTCTAGTACTCCCCTTCCGCTGGTACTGCCTACATCACCTTCGATAATGCTAGGGCCCCCGTCGGCAACACTCTCGGCGAGGAAGGTGGTGGAATCTTCGTCATGTTGAGGTAGGTTCTCTGTTTGACCAACTCTTGTTGCAATAACACTGTACAGCAACTTCAACCACGAGCGATGGGTGATGTGCTGCGGATCTGCCCGGAGTCAACGATCAGTTGGTGAGTCTTTGTCTTCATTCTATCTGGCAGAGCACATCTGACATCCAGTGCAGTGGAGGAGTGTCTCAAGTGGGTCAAATGAGCAACAAATTAACCACTTCTCATTCGACTTCAGATGGTCCGCACAACGCAAGGCCTTTGGCAAACCTCTCAACTCGATGGCGGTCATTCGTTCCAAGATGGCCGGTGCGTATTTTATTCTTTTGAAGAGGTCGGACATTTATATAAGACTAGGGATGATTTCTCGTGCTGAGAGTGCGTTTTGCTACTTAGCGCCAGATTTTAAGCTTAACTTTCCTAGGTGCTCAAGCGTGGTTAGAGTCGATCACATACCAGATGTGCAACATGGTATGTGGTGGCGATGGACTTTTAGGCAGCATCTCAAGCGCTTTCACAGTCGTATAAGCAGCAAGCGGGTAAATTGGCTGGGTCAGTTGGTTTCAGTTGGTTTGTTGGGGTGACTCTAACTCTCTTACAGACAGATTGCCTTCCTGAAGGCGTACTGCACCTCGTCAGCGCAGGAGACTGCCAGAGACGCTGTCCAGATATTTGGCGGACGTGGAATCACGCGGACAGGCATGGGTCGGTATATCGAACACGTGAGTAACATCATTCCTTCTCGCCCACAAGCCCTTATTCAACCTTACAGTATCACCGGACGGTTGCGTTCGACGCGCTGCTTGGCGGTGCAGAGGACGTTCTGCGTGACTTGGGTGTACGACAGGCGCTGAGGGTGATGCCGAAGGACTCGCGTCTATAAGCAATCAGAGACACTCTTACCATTATCTTATAATACGCGGGTAATAACATTATTTACGCGATTCTGAGGCCAGTTAGGTTTGATTATGTAAATCTTATCTTATCTATGGGGTGCCATCAATTAGTTGATCATTTTCTAGTACAGTGTACTTTTGGCAAGAAGGAATACATATGTGCTAGACTTACAACAGATTTGAATTGTTGCTGGATACAGTAAGAGGATTAACGCCCACAAAAAAGCATTCCGTGAGCAATAACAAAACGAACAGAAAGCAAAAAGGGGAGCATTAATAGGTAGATTGGCTGTACATCCTAAAGTCTTGGTTCGGCATTTGGTTGACCCATGAAAAGTCTGTGAAGGACATGAGCACCGATCACGGCGAAGAACCAAGTTGGCGAACCTTCGGGCCAGTTGGTGGCAAGAGACTGGATCCCTTGCATCGGGTCGTGGAACGGGAGAGATGGCGGGAAAAAGTCGGGTGCGGAGGTGTTATCGTCGAGGCCGTTGGTGCTCAAGGGCATGAAAGGGTCGACACCCGCACCAAGCGGCGGGGCGAAGCGGTCAAAAGAGAGGGCGGCGGTGGTAGCGGGGGGTGACAGCGAATGCGTTGTGTCAGGCGATGGGTGGCTTGACACTGTGGACTCGCTGCTTTCGCTCGGCTGGCCCGAGTTGGACCGGGTCGGTTTCCGTTTGTTACCCTCCTTTGCGAGTGGCGCCGCAAGCAGACCTTTGAGGAACTTCGCGTAGAGATTTGGGCCGTGCTTGTCGTCGATAGACACGTCGGACGACCCCAAGAGGTCGATCACGTTCTTCACCAGCCCCCGCATTTCTTGCCGCTTGTCGGGAGTGAGGTAGGAAGCAAACTTGGGTTGAAGGAGCTGAAAATGGCTTAAGATCTGGTGACAGCACTCGGAAAAGCGCTGACCTTCACCAGCATTGATGCCGCAAATGTAACAAAGACACTCTGCGCGATGGGGCCATGCCTAAGATAGATCCGTTGGTCAGGTTGTCCAACGGCTTCAACCATGGCCGCCACGACATCCGAGGCCGCCGCCAAGCACTGCACAACGATCAGCACAAGACGGCAAAGTGGGAAGGAATGGCATCATACCCGCATCAAGAAGGGGTTTTCATCAGTGTTGTTTTTGCCAAATGCGTGCTGGAAGCCGAAGGACAGCGCAACCAGACGGGCATAGCTGTAGGCCAGCTTGAGAAGCCCGCTTCGGAACCTGTTCTGGGAGTCTGTCATGTCTGTCGCCTCGTTGACGAGCGATTGCCACTTGTCACCGAGCTCCTTGAGCTGTTCATCCGTATCAGACGCAACACGTTCAAAGTCGACGTTCTGCAAACCGGTCAGATGGCACCAAGTCTGATGTTGTCGAAAGAGTACATGCCTTGTTCAACCCGGTGGGATGGCTCGGGTCACTGTAGATCTTGGCCATGAAGCCAGACATTACCCTCAATTCCGAATTATATGCGCACGTATGAATATCAAAGTTGCGCATATTATACGGCGAGCTGCGCCACCAATCTTCCGAGTGGTTGGCCATGTAATCTGCATTACTAATCGTCGGTGTCTTGCCGTATTGGGAACCCGTGGAACGATCGAGATTGAAGCAATTGAGCCAAACCCGCGTCCGGTTGAGCATTTCCCGGGCATGGCTTTCGTTAATGGGCTGTGCCGTGTTAGGAAGATGTAAATTAAGATCTATAGCAAGTCTTTTTTCCTCAAAATGAGCTCACGTGATCAAGTAATTGAATAAACGCACCTGATAGCAAGCCCAAGATACAGCCAGCCACGTTCATCTTCCCAACGTCTTGCGGGAACAGGGTAGAGCGACATGAGAATATAGCCTTGGACGGACTCGACACATTTCTGGCCGCTGATGAGGGCTGTCCCTGCAGCTAGCTGCGCATAGTGCATCGCCTGGGAGTACAACTCTGGCCGCTCCGTGTAAAATCGCGATGCAATGGCGCACACTGTAACCATGGATTAGTATTCCCATTTGATGCTACGAATTGGTTACCCACCGACGGTGAACAGAAAAGGGACTCCGATAGCACGTCTTGGATGCTGTGTACAAGACGGGATCTAGTAATGAGACAGAGAGGTTCATGCGTTGGAAATATCTGATGAAGATGAGCAGAACCGGGCAATAGAGTTAAGGGGTACGAACATATCGAATAACTTCTCTGCTTCTTGGGGCGTTATAAGGCCTCTGGTTAAAATATGGGGAAGAGCGGGATGGTCTTCGAGTGGACGAGACCGCATGAGGTCCGGAGCTGGGCTGGAGCGGAAAAAGCTATCGCTGGCGATACCCAAGGCAGGCACTGACTCGCTGCCCATTTCTGCTTCGGGACTCTCTGCCCGACCCTTCTTGAGGCTGAGGTCCGCCATGAGGCCAAACGGACTTGCTTCAGTAGGAAGCGTAGCAAGCTTTTCACCGCCCGACTCCTTCTTCTTTGGTGAGCGAGGGTCGTTGGACGTATTGGACATCTGGCGTAGCTTGACTCCGCGTCTGCTGCGGGGCGAAACTTCCTCTCCGTCGGAGTCAATGACCTCGATTTCATACTCTCCCGTGTTCCCATCGTCGCTGTCGATTACGTCTTCTGCGCCACTACTCGAGCCCTCGAGATCTTCTTTCACAAGAAGACTCTTGGGCATTCCGGCACCGCCAATGCCAATAAATCCATCAAACTCAGCAAGACTATCTCTTGCCTTTGCGATCCAGTCCTCGACAACTTTATTGGTGGCTGAGTTCACTTTGGTGGAGTCACTACCGAACGTGGGCGACGTCGGTGATAAAACGGGAGAGTGTAAGCCAGAGGACGGCGTGAGGGGTGGGAAAACATCGGTAGCAGCCGAGTTGGGAGCACGGGCATGTCGAGCGTTTGCTTCTTCCAGTTGGGACATAAGCTTCTGGATATCGGCCGCTTGTTCACGAATTTGGTTCAGCAAATGTTCCCGTTTCCTAGGGAAGGAATCAGATGAATTTAGACAATAAAAACAGACAACAGACGGCGGTGTTCGTCGCTTCTTGCGCCCAGGTGTCACGCATTCATGTCCACCATTGAAACAGCGCTTACAAGGGTCTGTGTCCGTCTTGAACTCGCATTTAACTTTGAGATTCTTGCATCGGGCACAAGCTCCGGGTCTATGGCAAGTTAGTTGACTTGGTGGTGGAGTAGATAGAGATGGGGCGTACGGTTTCGCCCGAGCACCTCCCTCCTCCTCCAACTCTGGCTCGATTTCATCTTCCTTGACATCAACTGTAGTTGTCGGCCCGCGTGGGCGCTTTGTTTTGGGCTGTTGACCCGTGTTGGATGCACGCGGATTATAGTATCCAGAGCCACGGCCAGATGGCTGAGGCAATGTGGGTGCGACGATGGACTGGGGACTAGTTGTAATCGGGCCAAGACCATTGGCAGTCAAAGGCGTAGGTGTCGATGCAGACTGGAAGTTGTATGGCGCGCTATTGCCATGATATTCGCGCTGGTCGGTGGAAAGATACGAGCTTTGATCAAACTGGGGATAGTTCTGGTTGTAGTGGTGGTGGTCAACCGATCCTGATGGACTGTGTGTGCGAGAGTAGGAGAAGGGACGAGACGAGAAATCATCAGAGAATTGGAACGAGTTAGAAAACTGTGGCTGCTGGGGCGTAAAGTCGAATTCATGTTCGAGCTGAAGACGGGGCGGCTGGTGGGGAAACTGGGTCCATTGCTGCTGAGTTTGCCCTGGGTACCCGTTGGACATGATGGAGGGAAGAGAGAAAGGATGAGAGATGCGTCACAGAGAGTTCCAGGTAGAAAATGAGTTGTGCATTGCCGTATAAGAACAGAGACCAAGAAAGTAATTAACACACTGCCTCACAAGTCTGGAAAAGTTCGGGTTTGCGGTGCTCTGCCTCTTTCTGATGCGTCATGCACAGGAACTGGCCTCATGTCAGAACTATCACCAAGTCTCGCGTGGAATCCATGGCCTGAATCGTCAACGACCACTCGACAAGCAGCTCCGAGCTCTTCGGAGAGTCCGCATGCTCGTCGTAATCGCCAAATCCAGCAGATCAAGGACACAAATTGATGCCGGCTCTGGTGTGACAGATCATTTGCCAGTGACATGACACAGTGACAGTGACACACTTTCGTCGTCTCCAGCACGAGCAAAGCGCCGTTATCGTGGTTGTTCAGTACCTCGTCCGTCTTCCACCTACTCCTCATCTTTCCCAATCTTACCCAACACAATCAGACAGACCTACATGCCCATTTGACTACACTCTTTTATTTCGCTCTTTAATTCCGACCATGGCCCACAACCACCCACACCCTAGATGGCACAACCGGCGCGACGACCCCTTCAATACCCCCAACATTGCGGGACTAAACGGCGCATCGATAAACGCCAACACTCTAGCCACCGCGAACAGCTTGGCTATCAACACCGCGGCTGCCGCCGCTAACACCAACCAACCTGTCGTGGTGTCCTTTTCCCCAACTAACACTGTTACCGATCCGGCAGAGTCCTCTACTAACTCTGGGAGCAACCTCTCTGGCTCTGCTGAGCACGCATCCTCACCTAGTATTTCCATGGGCACTGTCATCGGTGCCTGTCTCGGTGCTCTTGTGGGTGCTGTCGTTCTCATCCTTATCGGTCTCTGGCTTTATAAGCGCGCTTCCCAACCTCGACGTCGTCCGTCAACTGCTCACAAGTCGGCTGACAAAGAACGAGCATGGGCGAAAATGGAAGACAACGATGACAAATGGGAGGGCAAAGAGAACAAATACCAGCAGAAAGGCGTCGTCAGTGTTGGGCCCATGGAAAAGCTCACAATGTTCAAAACCGCAACGCCAAGCTTGCATACGACTTCCAACTCGGGGGAGACAAATTATATTCCGTCTGTCACTCCCTTCTCCCATCCCTTTGCTCAATACCACCCCAACCTCGCAAAGGAACTTGCGGAAGACAACAACAGTGATCTTCCTGAACCGCCCCGTCGCCCTTTCCTCGCCAGGGTAGAGCCGATACCTCCCATTTCTTGGGATGGCGATACCGCTCGCGACTCATTCTTGTCACTCAGCTCCAATCCTATGTCTCCAGGTTTCGACATGGCCATTCCCACACCCAAACTGACTTCTTCGGAGCCCCACCAATGGCAGTCCGCTGAGGTGATGAATTTCGAATCTGAATCGGAACCCAGGGGTCGTGACAACGAACCGCGTCGCAAGAGCGCCAACAATCCCTTTTTTGGTGCTCGCATGTCGGTTCATTCGACACACTCTCGTTCTCGATCCCAATCCCGCTCTCGTACACCCTCTATTTCTGCTGGGTCAAGATCGGCAACAGTCCCCGATGTTATTACCATGCCAGTCCCTCCCGCAAGTGCCTATACCCGGGAAGAAAAGGGCAAATACCGGGCTGTGACTCCGCCTAGTCCTGCTAGTAGTCGCGCACCATCCACCATTATTGCGCACGACCCCTTTAGCGACCCCATTACGCCTATCGTTCCTTTCAAGGCCGAGCATATCTCGCAAGGCTCGCAGGACCGAGCAATGGCTTCCCTGTTGGCTGCCCTGGGTCCTACCGCCACAGCTAATGAGATTGAGGAACGCTTGCGGGTGGCCAGCATGAACCCTAGTCTCATCAGTGAATCGCAATACACTGAGACAGACGGCGACGCACTGCATCAGTCGTGGCCTGTCCCTCCAAGTGGCCGTGACCCACTCTAATTTAACTGAATATTATTTCCGTCTTGCGTCGTCGTCGCTCTCTTATTCCGAGTACATTACCCCCCCCCTTCATCCGTTCTGGTCTTTGGCATCCTTTCAACTTCCGATCGCTAGAGCACCTTTTGATATTTATTCCACGACTCACGCACAGACGCTACCTGCATCTTGTTGTTCGTTGTACCGATAAAGCCATTTCCCCCAAGATTTGAGTGCCACTGTAAGTCCAGGCACCCTCAATCCCAATCTTTGTGTCGGGAGTCCATGTGCTTTCTGCTCAGCTGAAACCTGATTCGATGTTTGATGGGTCGCCGTCATCCCCCTCCCTGAGTAAGTAAAAGTATTTGTGAATGTTTCTGGGACTGCCAGTTGCCTGATGCCGCATCTATAACCGCCGCCCGCGGTATCAAGTATGTGGGATCCACAAACTCTCCAATTTCGAAGAACCACTGGACGGTGGAGAACAGTGGAGAACAAGTTTGAAAACATCCTGAATTTTCAAGCTGAACCAAAAGCTGTGCCGATCGTCAACCGTAAGTCCTAGGGTTCATTTGCAATCCGAGACGCGTCGTGTCGCAAACATTCGGGACGTGACTATGACCGTGACCGTGACGGCGCATCACGCGTCTTACATCTTGACCAACTCGAAGCACCAACAGCCACAGTTCCTTGTGAACCTACTTTGAGGCGTACTCACAAACAATGTCGACAGCAAAGGCGCGCTCTGCCTACGCCAAGATGATTCTTGGGCCAGAACTCCATGGTAGTTTGGCGGATACGAGGGTCCTTCTCGTTGGTGCTGGAGGAATTGGCTGTGAACTATGTGAGTATAGACGCGTAATACCACGTATACCGCGTACTCATATACTCAGTGAAAAACATCGTGCTCACTGGCTTCGGAAAAATAACCCTTTTGGATCTGGACACTATTGACCTCTCCAATCTCAACCGCCAATTTCTGTTCCGCAAGAAAGATGTCAAACAAAGCAAAGCTTTGGTATGTTCACTTCATTAACGCTCATGGCTAGTGGGATAGCCTCCGGGATGGCCGTTCTCTTCCAATCCGTTGTCTGCCTATCTTCCGACCTGGCTTAACTGCGGCTAATCCCCGTTCTAGGTCGCTGCGCAAACCGCCGCACCATTCAACCCCAACGTCCAGATTACACCTATTCATGGCAATATCAAAGAGCCACAATACGACCTCGAGTGGTACAAACAGTTTGATATTGTTCTGAACGCTTTGGACAACCTAGGTGCGCCACATTCCTAAGTCCCAGATATATTTCTCAGGACCTCTCAGACGCGCGTCGGCACGTAAACAAGATGTGTATGGCAGCTCAAATTCCCCTCGTTGAGAGTGGGACTGCCGGATACCTTGGCCAAGTCCAGCCGATTCTCAAAGTACGCAGTAATTTGCGACTTGTGCTTTCGATATTCAAGCTCTATGATTAGGACAAGACTGAATGTTTTGACTGCATTCAAAAGCCGACACCAAAGACATTCCCTGTTTGCACCATCCGTTCAACTCCCAGTCAGCCAATCCATTGCATAGTCTGGAGCAAAAGCTATCTTATGGGGTAGTTATCTTTTGCCGGTGAAATCCGCGTTCAACTCCTAAGCTATATGCAGACAACTGTTTGGTGAGGACGAGGATGCCGTAGGGGAGCTGGACGAAGCTGAGAAACAGGGCGAGAATGGTTTGTACATGAACTTTATATTCTACGCATATCTCATGTTCCCAACAGCCCAAGAAATTGCCACCCTACGTAGAGAAGCTCTTGCGTTCAATGCGGTACGAGAAGCGCTCCGTTCCCCGCAGGCCACCAAGGCAGCGCAAAAGGTATTTGAGAAGGTAAGTTAACCCTGAACTCCAGTTTTGTGGCTGAATCCGATGCAGGTTTTCGATGCTGACATTCGAAATCTTTTGAGTATGGCAGATATGTGGCGTGCCCGTGCACCACCGACACCCCTCGACTTCGAAGCAATTCTCAACGAGACCTTCGTTCTTCATCGCGAAGACCCTCCCACCACGCATGTTAATGGACACTCTAACGGTGCTTCTCGCAACTCCAATGGCGCCAAAGCCAATGGTGTGGCCAACGCTGAAGCAAGTGGCAGCTCTGCGAAAGCTGGATCGGGTCTGAAGGACCAGAAACAGCTCACGTTGAAGGACAATGTGTTGCTTTTCATATCAAGGTGTGTGCGAGGAATGTCTTGTTAGCGTCCATTTGCTCATAATCCCTATCAGTACGGAACGACTCGCAGCGCGCTTGCAATCTGGAGAAAGCACGATATCGTTTGACAAGGATGACGATGATACGCTCGACTTTGTGACTGCAACTTCCAATTTACGCTCTGCTGCCTATGGCATCTCTGGTAAAACGCGCTGGGAAGTCAAAGGTATTTCGGAGCTTTCTTTACAACAACATTTTATTCACCTTATTTCCCAGAAATGGCCGGCAACATCATCCCCGCAATCGCAACGACCAACGCGATTGTCTCTGGTCTGATTGTCCTGCAAGCCTTACAAATATTGCGCAGGTCCTACGAAAAACTACGAAACGTGCACATTCAGGTCAAGCCATCAGTTCCGCTGAGCACGATTCAGCTATATAAGCCGAACCCGTCCTGCGGAATATGCCGCGACACCTACACCCAAGTACAATGCGACCCCCAACGAACGTCACTTGGTGACGTGGTGAAGGGTATCCTGGGCGAGGACGAGCGTGAAGTGAGTGTTTACGAGGACAAGCGGGTGCTATGCGATCCCGACTGGGACGACAACTACGAGAGAACGCTGGATAGCCTCAATGTGTCGCGGGGCATGTTCTTGAATATTGTGGATGAAGATGGCGAACTGGGCACTATTTCCGTAGGAATCTGCCATCTCCCGTCAGTTCATGGCTCCTTGTCGTTCTGATTCACTTCGCTCAGTTTTTTTTCTTCTTATTTTAGGCCCAACCATCCTGCTGATGGACCGTCATTGATCCTCCCGAATCCCATACCTCGACCACCACAAAAGGTCAAGCCACCTCCTGTCGTACCAGAGACTCCCGTCAAAATTTCTCTGAAGCGGAGAGCGCCAGGAGAGGAGGGCGGTGACATTCTTGACCTTGAACCGACACCGAAACGGGTCAAGCTCAGCCCCGAAGTCCTGAAAAGCCCGAGTAAAGCGCGCAAATTGGAAGAGGATGGCCTTGTTCTCATGGAGAGTAACGATGATAGACTAGATGACGACGTTATTGAAATCGACTAGAGCCGTAGCTCGTTCACAGGCTCATACCCAGCCCTCGTTGTAGAGCTCACAATTCTCCTCCTGTAGTTTAAAGCCGAATGTGATTTGATTGACCGATAAATCCGAGGTGTGACAAATGTGACGGATTGCAGAGCGCTCACCCAAAAAATAATAACACTTGTCACATCACTTTGATTTGGGTCGAAAATCATTACATATCTTATTATACAAGAGACTTCGGTGTCACTTTTCGTGACATCAGGAGTGATGAGCCAATGAGATCGCGTCATTCAAAAGTCAATTCGCCTCTCCTCTCCTCTCTTCTGCCAGATCCTCAGTGCCGCCCATGGCTCATAACTACCGGACTACTTGACTTCCAGACATCGACTTATTCGATTTCCCGCCTCCTAAGGCCCCAGACAACATGACTTTCTGCCAACCCTGACAACGACAAAACTACCTACCGCGTAGCCACATCCCATTCAATTTCAACCATGCACGAGCTTTGTATTTCTCTACATTCTTCAATACAACCACACTTGCCCCCTCTGCAACCTGCCTGTCTCTGGGTAGATGATACCTGAGTCTCAGTTTGCGACACTGGCCAACACAATCTTGAACTCACACTGTTGAGTCACAGGGCGTACTGCAAGTACAGAATCTCAGTGTGAGTGATATTCTGGCCTGCAAACACACTCTAATCCTCTATTTTGAACAGGTTGCTGACTCCTGACTCCTCTCTCCCTTCCCTGCAACCCTCGCTGTATTCAGCAGCACCGAAACGATGCCAATTCGCCTCCCTACATGTCTCCATGTCGAATCTTGGTCAATCGCACAGCACTAGGAGATCATACCAACCTTGGAGGAGATGCACAACCAGAACGAGCTGTCCAGCGCGAGCAGAGTCACGAAGTAGCGTTTGCTCAGCAGGATACTCCCAGCCAACAGCTTCGAACGACTCCAAATGTGACTTCTGTGGAGAACAGAGCTTCTTCTCCAACTCCAGCCCCTTGAAGACGTTGGGTCAATGTATGTCCGTGTTTTTTTTTGATTCTTTTACATATGTACGTGTTTGTAGCTCATTCTACCTCCCCCTCCCCCACCACCACCACCACCACCACCACCACCATTGCTAATGCTGCCTGCAAATGCACATCGATTAACGGTTTGTGTTTGTATTTTTCCAGCGGCTCGAGCTAATGTTTTGGTTTAGCTGCTTCTTCCGTCCCCTCCAGCAACGCAAATCTAAGGCGCGTCAAACGCTCAATAGGCCGGCGACAATGATGGGAACGACAGTGCTGAAAATGAGAGGAACAGCAAACTGTTCGACAGGAGAAATTGGTGCGGAATCCTGCCATTTCAGCCGCAGGAACCTGGAAGACCAGGTCTGCCGGTTTCTTTAACTTTTTTTCCCTAATATTTTCTCACTCTTCTTTGGTCCCCCGCCCTATCCGCCCTCTCAAGCATGCCAATGAAGAACGACATCAGCTTTCGACGCCACCAGACACACAGCCAGGTATGTTTTTATCTTCATTTCTGACCGTTCTAACTTTACATCATTAAGAATCATGTTAACTATCTTCGATACTGCAGTCACCTCTAAGGCCTCACGTACTACGACCAGACCCACTTTCACAACCACGGCAAGCCACAAATGTCCGCCGCCAGCATGTTGGCAACACTGATCTTCCACCGGCTCGCCAGCCTTACACGAAACCTCGCGCTCGACACAATCTTGGGCATATGAATGTCACGACGCAAAATTAAATACATTTTCAAGTATCTGCTTAAAAATAGTCAGTAGTATATGTATTCTACCTACCTTAATTTGAATCCCCTGCCATCATCGCTTGAGCCCCGTAGCGTAGCACGGGTCCCTGCTAGTTTAGTCTAAAACTATGCTCTCGGATCTGGCTGCTCTGCAACGAGGGATGGGTATGAGCCTGGGATGGGTATGAGCCTGGCTCGTTCACTTTATCATCCTACTGTCAGCCTAAATAAAGAAATTCTTGTCCAAGTTGAATTAGATAAATAAGTTGTTACTTATATGTCCTCCGTCCACAAACGATTCTTATTACAATTTTGCTTTTGCGTCCCCATTGTTACCAAAGTTGGCCACAATCTGCTCCAATGCCTCTGCAGTGGTCGTCGGATGTGTTGCCCGACCATCATCTACACACCAAGTCAGCTTTTTTTCGTGGATTTCATGGAACGACGGACTGAAATCGGTGATTTGGGCCCACTTGGCTTTGACGTCTTCGGGCGTGAAAGGAGCTTTTGTCGGGAAGCTGTAGCCACCAGAGCGCTGCCACCGTGTCTGCGCGGCCCATCCGCCGAGCACTTCAAATAGCGAGCCAGTTGTCTCAGTGTTGTCTGTAGTCGAGTTAGGGCATGTCCTTTCATCACCAATACGGAAACAAACCTTCACTTGTGAGGTAGCCAACGAGAGGAGCGATGTAGTCAGGCTATGTATAGGGTTGAAAAATGGGTAGGCACAACGAGTAGGTGGCTTCGCACTTTGAATGTTTGGACCATTTCTGGTGTCCTGTAGGAGAGGTGTTAAACAAAGTTGGGGTGGCTTGAGACAAGTCCAGCATACCATATTGTCTGTGTCATGGCGGTACCAGCGGAGGGAGCAATGACATTTGCGAGAATGTTGTATTTTCGACCTTCGTGGCCAAGAGTGCGAGCTAAGCCAATCAGCCCAGCTTTAGCTGTTGAGTACTATGCATGTATAAGCAGGCTGCTTTCTGTAGAAAAAAAAATGCTTCAAACGTTGGCTTGGCCGAAGTTTCCATCTAGCAAACGCCTTCAGTATTAGCCCCGCAAGACATCTGGAAGACTTACAAATTCCCACTTGGGAAGCCGTCGTGATAATACGACCGTACTTCTGCTCCTGGAAGATGGGCCAGACAGCTTTGGCGCACTGAAAGAGATGAGCGGTTAGTGAAACCGATGGCATATGATAAGCCAAACATGTACCTTGAAGGTACCGCTATAGGGTGTTTAGTAGCTTCTCAGTGAAGTAAAAATAAATCGTACCGCAAGTGAACTTGGATTACATCATCCCATTCCTTTGGTGTCATCGCTTGGAAAGATTTATCGCGCAGAATTCCAGCATTAGCGACGAGGACGTGGACACCGCCGAATTTGGCCAACGCGGCTTTAACAATCGCGTCGCCGTCCTCGGCAGAGCAAATGACGGGGATAGCCTTGCCACCCGAGGAAGTTATTTCGGCCACGACGCTGTTGGCGCCCTTTTCGCTCACATCGTTGACAACGACGTTAGCCCCGAGTTTGGCGTACATCAAAGCATAGATGCGACCAAGACCGGCACCGGCACCGGTAATAATGACGGTCTTGCCGGTGAATTGGACCGGAGGGGATGCTTGTTGGTTCGTAGGACCTTTGGCAGCCTTTTCAATGAATCCCTTGGCGTCGACATCGGTATAGGCTTTGGGACTATCCTTCGTTAATATCATGAGCCATAGAAGAACAAGCAAGACTGACTAGGATGGCTTGCTGAAATCAGTGATTTCGGAGAACTTTGCTTTAACCTAAACAAATGAGGCTGACGCTATATTGGAGGAGATTGAGCTTACTGCAGATGGTGTGAAGCTGGAGTCTGTTCTGAAGACAGCACCTGCACTACGCTCCCACCGATTTTCCGTCACGACGCCGGCTCCGACCTCAAAGACCCTGCCTGTTGCATCGGGTCCGTCAGGATGGCACACTGCAAGCACAAATGGTGCAACCATGGTAGGCTGGAGGTTGGCGAGCATGTCAGGAGGCATTGTGGTTGCTGTCATGGCTGAAGCGGCCACCGGAGCAATAGCAATCGACTTGATGCCGTATTTCGCGCCTTCGATAGCCAGAGTTTTGGTGAATCCCACCAGCCCCATCTTTGCCGCGCTGTAGTTGGCTTGACCAAAGTTACCTGATTCTTTTGAGCGAGAGAACGCGACCATATCGTGGAAAAGGTGCTCACCATACAGTCCACTTGCGCTAGCGGTATTTACGACGCGTCCGAATTTTTGTTTGCGGAAGTAAGGCCAGGCTGCCTTGGTGCAAGCAAAGGCGCCTTTGAGGTGGACTTCCATGATCTGGTCCCACTCTGCGTCCGACATCTTTTTGAAGCTTTGAGAGTTGGCTTAGCTGCAGGGAGAAAATGGGGGGTTGAAAATTACCCTTTATCGCGGAGGATTCCAGCATTGTTAATGAGGATAGTAACGGTGCCGAATGCATCGACGGCGGTTTTGATGACCGCGTCACCGTCGGTTGCAGAGGACGAGTTTACTACCGCCTTTCCACCGGCTATTGAAATACCGTTAAGCAAACTAACCGCTAATGTATTGCACAACTCGCCTTTAGTGATTTCGTCCACGACCTTTTGCGCGGCGTCCCTGTTGAAGTCGTTTACAACGACATTGGCGCCACGGGCTGCGAAGAGCAGAGAATAACTAGAATAGATGAGGACCAGGCAGACACAAGGAGCCGTAAGAAGTGTACGCTTTCCCGAGCCCACCGCCAGCACCGGTAATTACAACGGTCTGCCCTGTGAAGTCCATGGAATCGGAAAAGATGGTGGTCAGAGGCAAGAGGTTGAGGTGTCAAAACTGAGGCGAAGGTACAAGCGTGATATAGACCGGCGACTTTTCACGTGAAAAACGGATCGTCTTCCCGGTAAACTGCCATGGCTTCAGAGCAAGAGGCCCAAATTGTCCTCGAGGCGAAGAAGCTTCCGGTTTCACCGACTACCTACACCTACACTGAGGTTTGTTCATGCTGGCGGCAATGTGTCAACAATTTGAACATCTTCTTTAGCGCGACGTCATCCTCTATAATCTCGGTATTGGTGCGACTGAGAAAGACCTCCAGTGGACCTACGAGGGCGACGATGACTTTTCGGCAATCCCGACGTTTGGCGTTATACCTCAAATGGATGCAATGAGCTCTGTGTGCTATGTTGCTTTGAGTTTTGCCAGCGTGCTTGACAGATCTTAGGTTCCAATGGACTTCCTTCCAAACTTCAATCCAGTGTGTTCTGACCTTTCGCATCTGGGAGCCTCCGTGAATGGTGCCTAGGCTAAACTTCTCCACGGCGAACAATATCTCAGCATTAAGGCTCCTGTTCCAACGAGCGGAGAGCTCATAAGCACTGCTCGGTCTGCGGGCATCTACCATAATGATATTCGACTTAATCTTGTCCAGTCTCCTCGAAGTGCTCGACAAAGGCAAGGCCGCGGCGGTTACCTCTATCGTTGAAACCCGCGACACGTCCGGGAAACTCATCTTCGAGAACCAATCTACTGTTTTCATCCGGGGGGCTGGGGGCTTTGGCGGTCGACGAAATGCCAGTGGTAGGTGTGCTCCAACAATGACTACCCCCCACAATAACTCCCATAGATCGTGGACCTGCCTCTGCTGCCAACGATGTCCCGAAACGTGCACCAGACGCGGTTGTCGAGGAGCAAACGAGTGCTTCTCAGGCAGCACTGTACCGTCTGAGCGGGGACCTCAATCCCCTCCATATTCTCCCAGAATTTGCGGCCATTGGCGGGTTCAACAAACCTATTCTACATGGCCTCTGCTTCATGGGTATTTCCGGCAAGCATGTTTTCCAAAAGTTTGGGGCCTTCCAGGACATCAAAGTTCGGTGCGTCTTGGAATGCCCAAGTCATCTTCTATTATGATAGTTTTTCAGCTTTGCTGGTGTCGTGTACCCAGGCGAAACTCTGGTCACTCAGATGTGGAAGGAGGGAAACAAAGTCATCTTCAGTAAGTCACAAGCATGACTTGCGTCAAATATCATGCTCAATACCATCAGGCACCAAGGTGAAGGAGCGTGATTCGGTCGTACTTGCCGCTGCTGCCGCCACACTAGCAACGGGATCCAAAGCAAAACTCTAGTGGATTTGTAGGCTGTTGTACCAGTAACACGGTTCAACGTACAGTATATTCCAGAGATTAAATCGAAGCAAAGTAGAAAACTGTGGGCTACATAACATAGGACGTAAAAATCTGGACTGTAGGGTATAGGCTATTTGCACTGTGGTAAACCAAGGTTGCTGAGGTCGGATGGGTCTCCCGGATAGAAGAAAAAAGTGGTCCCAAGAATGACATAAAGAGCTGATAACGAATAAGCTCGCGGATTGCAGGAATCAAAGGAAATTTACCCATAAGTATCATGCCCTCAAGCCAATTAGATTTGCCGTCTTGGACGACATAGTTAACAGTTAGCACTTTTCAGAGTCAGCCAATGTCACAATTGCTTCTTTCTACCACATACCAGACAAGAAAAGTGCGATCGACTCGAAGGGGTCAAAGAGCATGGTCAGAGGTTTGCCAAGGATCCAGGCTAATGTGACGATGAAACTTGAAGACATGAGCGATATGTCAAGCTAGAAAGGAAAATAGACCCACGGAATCACAAATAGCGCAATTTGCTAAAAGAAAAAAGGGTAAGCCCATGAACAGGGAACCAAGTAAATGTGAACTAACTATACTGGACCCAACCGCAACTCCCAAACTGAGAGTAAGCTTGTCCTTGACCGAAACCGAGACGGCAGTGACATGCTCAGCAGCATTACCGACAATGGGGAGGAGGATAACACCAACAAACTCTTTGGTGATCGCCCCACCAGAAACCAGCCCGTTAATGGAGTCCACTAACCACTCAGCTGTAACAGCGACCAGGACAGTGACGACAGCAAGTAGGCCAATTGTCATGAACAGACTGAGCTGGGGGGTCTCTTCTTCCTCCTCCTCCTCTTGCGTAGCGTGCTCTTCTCTTCCATTTTCCATGTCAGTTGTAGGTGAAGTAGATGTACCTTCGTTGCTGTCCTTCTTACTACTCTTCTTCTCTTTCGGGACATATTTCTTGGATTTGATGATGTCGTCGCCCGAGTCGTCGTACATAGTCGCATGCGAGTACAGTTGAAAGAACAAATACGACCCATAGACTATTAAGCATTTAGTAAGGATCCAATCAGGTGCTAGGCGCCAAGCTCACTGAAAAGCAGAATGAGAGCGACGCCGTGGCTAAATTTCAGAATATCTTGGCCAGCATCCGGATCACTATTGGCGTTTACCGTGAAGCGGAAGGCAGCGGGCAGAAGGACAGCAATGACGCTGATAGTAAGAAGAGAAGAGTTCAGTTGGGTTGCGCCTACAGAAGGTGATGAGACGACCATGAGCTATTGACACACTACTCACTGGCACCGAAGCCTTGTTCTGAGAATTTGACACCCCCCGCAAAGAAGCACATTCCCAAGACAAGCACTATAAATATGAGTAGACGCCCAGAGGATTTTCGCTGCTCGGCGCTTACGAAGATTGCTTAGGATGGAACCAATCACTTGGAAATGACATCAGCAATCACGATCGAGATAAAGATAGACGCGCACACGACGATTGAACCACTTCAAGTTCGCATTTTGTGAGGGCGATAATCTACACGACACGCATTTGGGACAGGATAGACCAGGACGAACATGACACACGGCTACAATTAATTCAACACTGCAGATGTGGCGTGAGAGAGTAAGTCGGAAACAAAAGTGGATGTCACTGACGCGTTTCCCTGGAAGAAAAAGTCAACGAACAAGCTTGAGAAAACGAAAATAGAACACACGAGAGTGGCATTAAGAAGCCCAGCTAGTGTTTGGCCGACGCGCATTGACAGTTCGTCCGTCGCAAAAGCCAGCAACTCGATGACGTTTAGAGCGAGTAACTGGACATGGCGTTAACACGTACTTTGGCCAGGGGAATAATAGCAAGGAATGAGACTGGAGAGCAGTGTGAGGGCCAGTGCAACGTCAACTATGACGCAAATGGAACCCACAAACGAAAACGAGGGTATTCTTGTCTGGTAGGGCGAAGTGGAATGCCCACTTTAGAGAGCAAGATGAGCACCGTCCAGCCGGCTATTGCAGGAAGACCCACTGATATAGGGATGAACACAAGTAGAACGTTTAACCCTGACAATAGAGAATTAGGTCGAGGCAAAGAATAGGCAACTGGCAACGCACATGAGGCAGTAATTATGGATCGTATCGAGCGGAGGACTCCCGGAGGTGGCGCAATTTTCTTGTCGGGAGTAAACAGCGAAGTCCTCGCCCTCGCCAGGGAAAACGCTGGTCGAGTATCATCTTGTGACGGAGCTGCTCTCCGTGCACGCATTGAAGTTGTCGTGTTGACTTTGGTCATGGGAATGCCATTGGAAACCAAAGGGAGATCTGACCCAGCATCTGTGGATGCTGGAGGCATGAGACGTGTTTCTAGAAAGGTTTGTTGTTGAACATACGCATGGAGGGAGGAAGGAACTAAACACTGCTGTCGTTTGTGATGCGTCTGATCTTATGGGTATTAATACCTTCTTTGGCAGTGCTCCCCAACATCCTGGTTTAAAGTCACCTATCAAACAGCTTTCTGTCCTAATGTCGTCGAGAGGTGGGAATTTAGCCACGCTTGACAACAAGCTGAGATCTCTTTGTTGTCTAGACGTTTTCGGCGCTCAATATTCGATCGGCGCTAGAATTGTTGGGAAAGATATGTACAAAGTAGGAACCCAGAATGCCACTAAGTATTTCACCCTTGATATGCAAACGAAACAGCGCCATAAAGCCCATCTTCATGTCCCAGCATGCCATGGCCGTAGAGAATCTGAAGGAAGGGATTAGACGAAAGAAAGCTTTCAGTGTAGCAAAACCACAAACCTCCATCTTGCGGGCATGCCAGCCAATCCCACTGGTGACGTTACCATTTGCCTCTGATAACTGCTCGAGAGAACGACGCCAGTCGTGGTCTTTGGGTAAATCGCGACGCAGCACACCAGCGATCCAACCGCTAGCCGTATCCACATACCAGCCTCGGCCGCCCTTACTCCGAATTATCCGCCATGCACCTGCCCCTTGACCAAGGGCATTAAGCATCGCGGGAGCAAGCTCCACCACACGAAGATTGGTGGGAGGAGGTAAAGTGCCAGCCGCGGGACTTGAAATGGAGAACGAAAACGGCGGAGTGCATAATGGCCGTATAAGATGAGTGTGGAGGGAAATGCTGGCCTGCCGAGCAGAACCTCCACGCGCGCCACAATCCAATTCTGGGCAAGTCCCTGATAAACTGAGGACTTCAACATTCGTCGCCTTTGTCCGGAGGAACTCTTGAACTGCCCTGAGCTCCAAGTTGGCGATGTGAGAGAGACCCAATGAGCGTAGTCGTGGTTGTATGGGGGCTTTGGCCAGGACATCGCACGTGATTGGGGCGGCAGATAGATCTAAATAGATCAACGTGCCCAAGACAAAACAAGGCGCCTCGGTGAAAAGCGAGACAAGATTTTCTTCTGAAAGAGGCGAAGAGTAGGTCAAATCGCCATACAGATTGAGTTCTTTGAGCTCCTTAGTCGCCAGCGAGTTGACGAGTAGATCAGTGATGCTATCACCCGTCAATTTGACGCAACGAGCCAGTGCCAGAGACTGCAGTCTGACGGTAGTGGATGCGGAGAGCCCATAAAGCAGCTCTGGGCTGACCCTTGTCCCAGAAAGGTCGAGATGAGTCAGCGCTGGGAATGCCAACACAAAAGCAGCCAGAGTCCTTGATGGGACACTCTTCACGCCCCGCATACCAAGACGTTGAAGACCGGGGAAAACTAGAGGTTCATCGAGACTCATTCTGGGCGACGACACCGCCTCGACACCCTCCAAGGGAAGCAGATGGGTGGCCGCAAATTCATCGAGCGCATTGACGAAAACGGTGCTGATGCAGCCAGTAAGATCAACGGCCTGCAGTTCTCGGCAGTCTCTACGTCTTTCCCTATCCTCCTCCTCTGCGTCATGTGGATCAAGTAATGCACGGCCGCGGGTTGGACGGCCACGGCCACGAGAGGGAGTACCACGGAGAAACAGTTCGTTGAGAATGCGGAGATTGAGGGAGCTATCCATGAATTCGGTGGCACCAAACACAAGCAAATTTGGCATTTCCTGTAATGGTCAAGCTCAATGAGTGGTGTATGCTTGGCAATGAGAGCGTACCTTGATCATTGCCTCCACTCTATGTGATGTCACGAATGGACTATTGAGGCCCTCTCCGACTGATCGACGCATACCAAGGGTTCGAAAGTGGTTGAAATCCAGATGGCGGACGAATCTGCCGGGGCGTGGGTCATCCGGTGTCGGAACTGAGTATATTTTAGTCAAACGGAGAAGGTGGCGCGATGACGACGTACTGTAAATACCGGGGTCTCTTAAGTCCAAAAGAGTTTGGATTGTATCGCTGATGGAGCGCAAAATCTCCCAGCGAGCAGGAGACTTGCTTTTTGTTCGTAGCCGACGAGGGCTAGGCTCCCGAGAGGCAACAGGGGAGAGTAATTCGATGGGAATTGATTCGTCTGGAGCGTTGAGGCAAGAGATAATTCTTTCCTCAAGGTCATGGGCGTCATGAGGACTGGACGACCTGATCACGGCCTGAGTTGCCGCACGAATGGTGTTGCTCATAACCATATCGACAGTCTCCTCATCGTAGTCCCAAGCAATGCCTTCGACCATAGAGAGGAACGTGCGTGGTAAGCGAACCTCAAGTTTGTCCCACAACCAAGGTTTCGCTGCTTGGTACCAGGCTCTGTTCACTAGACAAAGTTGTGCTAGTGTTTTCCTGGCCACGGGTTCTGGCCAGCTGGCCGGCGGCATTGAAGATGGAAGCGCTGTCGGGGCTCCATGAGACAAGTGAGGGACGAGAGGATCGAGAGATGGGATGGGAGGTGGGATGCAGCTTGTGTGAATGTAGGCACAAATGGCCAGCCTGAGTTCAGCAGGAAAGAGGTCAGACATGGTCGGGAACGAGATGAAAGGGTCACACTTGGGTTTTTATAACGGAACTTGGCAAAGCGCAAGATGACTTGATGATTGCGGGGTAGCGGCAATGTGATCAACGCGTCCCTGTTGCATTTACCGACAAGCTCCGGTCGGCGGTCCTCTAGCCGAGACTCGCAATATTTCACAAAATTCACGTTTACTGTCCCAAAGATATTTTCCGCGTCAACGTGCGCAAAGGCTCTAAACCACCTGGCTATAGCTATGTGCCACGACAGACGCCCTCCAAATAGTTGATCAGCAGGCTTGGCCGCGGCAAGCATCACCCCAGACATTTACAACTTGACATAGAAGTCGTATTGAAGGAACATCCAGATTAACGACGTTGCTGTGCAAAGATGGGCATCGGACCAAAGAAGAGAACAGCAGACTGACTGGAAACGATCACAGGACTTATTACGCCCAAGTTCGGTGTAGCAGTTTTGAAAATGAGGAGTTCCGAGGCGAAATGGCCGAAAGCAATGAGATACGTGAATAAAGTCATGTCATAGACACTGCTTGTGTGCTTAGGAAATAGTTTGACCAACCAAAGCTACTCACATTTTGTTGTTCAGGTGATAGGCGGCATAGAATCGTACCACGGCTGAAGTTATTGTCCATGCAGCAAATGTGCGGGCCTGAAGGGGTGTAACTTCCAAACCATGAGGCTGAGCAACATAGGAAAGCAATTAAACAGAAATACCAGTCGCGGAGGGGATGTTATTGTAGATCCTCCTGGTCAATTTGAGAGTAGCAAAATTTTGTGCACTATTGAAGACAGCCATAACGGCGACTATAAGCTGCCATTTGGGCAGGTACCCTGGTATCTGAGGAAGAACTACGTGGGTTAGAGGAGCAGTTTGGTTGGATGGGTTGTTTACAATTGAGGCCGACCATTGTGGTGTAATTTCGAATTCGAATATGCGCGCTGTCACACAGCTGACGCTTTTCATGTGTTGGCCACCACAATGAGCATCTCAACGGTATCTAGTGTCTCTGGTGCAAGCCTTGCCCGCCGTTCAAGGACCAGAACACGTTCAAGGACTGTCAGCGCGTCACCTTCTGCTGACCATACCTCCTTTCCTCCTCCAAGTCCCACTCATTTCGTTGCCGAGCCGTTGGACATGGTGCGCAACATACCTTGTATTTGTTTAACAAACAACTGACTACTGCTAAAGTATCCGGCTGCATTCTCTCGTCCTTTTGAGCTTGGCCATGAGCGGGAATCGATCGTCACCCACGGTTCATCTTCCGTCTATCCACCTTCAACTTCGGCGTCCACTGTATCAGGGACAGAGTCACCACCCTCCCCACGTTCGCTCGCAGAGCAAATTGACCACAACCAAGTCTCTTCATTTGACCCAGAGCTTGAACACGAGTATGATGGGGACGATGTCTCCTACCGGCTTCGCCTACTTGTAAAAAACAACTACTTCCTACCCCCAGCCCACGCCAAGCCGTCTCCATCCGACCTCGCAGCCACAGACAGCTTGAAAAGGGCCGCGAAACCCCCGCCCACACCAACAATTTTCGATTTTTTCCGAAGGGCTCGGTCAAAGTCGCGTTCCAAACCATCGACCCCCACCGGAGTTCCCCACCAAGTTTTTGACTTGACGACGCCAGCGCTTCGGACGACTTCCGAACCGGCAGCGGTTTCTCCACAAGAAACCCGGGGTCGCACACTGACTCAAACTCCTCGACAACAAGATGCAGCCCCTGGACGTGTTGTCGTAGTTCGCGAACGGATGTCAGACATCGCAACAGCCGTAAAGCAAGCCGAGCAAGAAATGAAGGCCCGTGCCGCCACTTCTCGTGACCCCTCGCATCCCAGCATTGTGGATGTCATTGACCCAACCGACGCCGTTGATGTGCCGCCACCATCTGCCGCCTACCCCTTTGCAGTACAGGCCTCGGCTCTACACGAAATGGGAGTTGACGAATCAGTTGGAGCTGCCCTGTTGGCTGACCGACTTCCGCCGCCACATAGTCCTCATGGTGACGGAAACTGGCGCAAAGATCTTCTTCGCGCAGCAGTGGACTATTCGTTGAATAACTCAACGGACGTTCTCGTCTCTCCTCGACCCAAAAGCAGATCTTCGCCAACATCAACAGAGTCGTCTGCCCAACGGTCTATACCTCCCCGACCACCCAAGTCCCCAAATCGACCACCATTGCCTGCCGTCCAGATTGGTCAGCGAATTGTCTCTCCACCCCTCGATGAAGGCATGTCTTCTGCTCGCTCAATTCACTCAGAAGAATCCAGAGCCGATGAAGAGGTGTCGCGGGTTTCCAGTACCGTCCCAGTTCGAGTTGAAACACCCACAATGCCCCTAACACCACTTGCACCTCCACCTCGGAAACTTGTTAACCCACTGTACTCTATCTCTCAGACAAGCCTCCCATTGGAGGTTGCTCCGGCAACCGATCACCAGTCAGAGTCCCGATTATCAAACACGTACGACAGGCATGCAATGCTCAGTCCTCCTCTCATTCGACCTGATTACCCACGCGCAAGTTCGGATAGTGATGCATTATCCTTCTACTCGGACGATGCTCACGAAATTGATCGTCGTCCTTCCATGGCCTCGTCGAGCAGAGAGCGGCCCTCGATTTCTTTGTCGGCACAACCTTCTCCCACCCGGTCTGCTTTCCGAGATGCTTTGGACCAGCCTCCTGTTGCTAGGCCACCCCGGTCTTCATCGTTACGAGGCAGTTTAGACCACCCGACATGTCCCAGTCCTTCTCCAATTCCAAGAGACAGCATGGCATCACCACCACCAAGAGTGTCTTCATCTTTGGCGCATTTTACACCTCTTTTACCCCCACCCCGTGCTGCGCCGCGACCCAGATTGCCGCCAATTGGCATATTTCCTGAGGAACAAGAGACATTGGAAATACTGGCTCCTCCCCCGTCCACCCCTCCCTTGCCCCAAGAACAAATACAAATACTCGCTCCTCCACCAAGCACTCCACCCTTTGGACCCGAAATTAATACCTTCTCACCCAGCTCACCTGCTTTCTCGCCATCTGGTCGTGGAGGTGTCAGCTTGTCCCTCGCAATTCCACGTCAGTTCAGTGATTCCGGGCCACGCTCTGCCCCACCAGTCACCTCGTTTTTCGACAGCATTCAGAATCAGCCAAATGCAATGGATGATCTTGATTCATCGTCTGATGAGGAGACAGATGAGGATGGCGACGGAGAGCTAGACATCTCTCCGCCACAGACACCCATATTCGTGAATCCACGGACAAGGGCTCTGTCCAATGTCCCTCCACCAAGTAGCATCAGCAACTCGAGCTCACGCTCCCTGCTTATGCGCCTGGGAAATCATTCGACACCGTATGTCAGTCGCTCCTCTGACGAGGGTCGAAAGCCTGTCAGCAATGTCCCCAAGTCAAACACTTTCTTTACGCAACGGCGGGGCGGGAGAAGTGATCAAGGACATGGGCCACCAACATCGACATTTGACTTTTACCAGTATGCGAAACAAAAGGCACCATCCCCTACAACCGTAGCTGGCCCTTCGCGACGATCGGAGACGCATGACCGCCCAACCAACACTCGAGAATTGGAGTCGTTGCGGCGGTTAGATGGGATGCTAATTCAACACATGGAGGCGGAAAGGGCGTCAATTCGGAGGATTGCTACTAACCTGAGCACTACTAATGGAAAGCGACTGCGATAGTCTACATTCATAATCTGTGATACCGCCAATGATTTGTTTATACCCTGCATTCGGAACAAAGGTCCGATGGAGTTCGGAGGATGACTCCGGTTGATTGAGCGTCTATTTCCTCTCTCTTCACCATGTACAATAATGACCTTTCCAACCCAACGACATCCTCATATTCCTGGCACCAGGTACTTGACTAGCCGCTCATGAAACGCAAAATGCTGACTCCAAGAGTGAAGTCTCACGATCAAGTAGCAGAATGGCCTCGTGGTGCAACGTGTTCTGACCATCGCTTAGGCCACCGTTCTACTCTTAATCCCACACTCGACGACCGAGGCGGATGTATGTAGCGGACGGCGGCTATAGGCTTCGTGAATGCTCATTGAGTCTGGTAGATTCATGTTGAAATCGAGAGCACTGGACAGTTCATCATAGCTGGGCTTCACGGGCAGCCGCCTATTCTTAAGGTGCGTCGTCTGCTGTTTCCTCCGGTAACACTCAGCGAATGTACGCCAGGGTCGTCTATATGCCCCGGTGGATGGCAATGCATCGCTGTGGCAGCTTGAACCACTGACGCGTTCACGCTTATCCGCCCGTGAGCGAACCAATTCAACTACATCAACTGCCTCCTCCAATTCTGGGTCTTCATACGCTTTCGTTTCGGATAACGAACTGTCTAGCAGCTTTGTTGCTTCACTGGAGACCTCTGATGTCGAGGATGGATCAACGGGCGAAACTAGCCCCCGTAGAATCCAATCCCACCCGGTCTCGCGGTCCGTTTCTCCAGGGCGTGCTCTACAAAGTCTCACAACTTCATCTTTCTCGTCGCTGGAATCGTTGCATTCACGACACTCGCGTTCTGGCCGATTACTGACAATTCACATCGAAAAGAAGAATTCAAGCATCTGGCCGTCACTCATTGTGGGGCCGGCCCCAGACTCGCTGTCTCCCTCGATCTCCAACACTGTTGTGTTTGACGCGAGCGAAGAGCTGGAACATCAATATAATATGGATCCGACAAGCCTGACGCTGATAGCGCAGGAGCTATTAGACATCCAAAAGAACAAGGAGGAGGCTTTTGAGTACTTTCTGTCAGTCTCTTGACTCGATCATGGAGTCTTTATTGACGAACCTCCAGGCGTGCATGGCACCAGTCCCACTCACCGACGGCTACCATAAAATTGGTCACCCATTACGTTCCGTTGAAGACAACAGTTAGTTTGCCTGAAAGCGAGAAGCCTGCGTCAAGAGGGACTATATTGTACTACGCCCAATGTTTGGGCAGCGACAGCGGACTTGCACAGCTTTACCTTGAAGCTGGTCTCCTTCATCTGGAAGGATTGGCTGCAAGCCTGCTCACGTCTTCTGCTTCGAGCCTCGCCTCTCTTCGAGTGCCTATCCCCGTCCAGTCTGCTGACATAAGCGGGACGGAAGCCTGGAAGAGAGATCGCGAAGCTGCAGCAACCTATTTCGAAAGAGCTCGTCTCCTGCAACCGAGCCTCGATATTCCCGTTTTGCCGCCGGCAAACTCACGTGATCCCTCTGAGCACCTGGAGATGCCCTCAATTGACATACAGGCTGCTTTCTACGCAGATCCCATGCACAAACGCAAACCCAAAGAGTCGGAGTCAAGTCTATTCGGCAATCGCGACTCCAAGTTGTCGGATGAGTACGACAATACGTGGTATCTTTATGTTCCGGGGTTGGTTGGAGCTGGGACTGCGTTACTTGTTGTGGGAGTTATTAGTGCGTTGAGCTTATCCTCGTGGTCAAGACGGAATCAGGGGTCGTAGTTTGGGTTGCAGCCAAAGTTGGTTTAGATCGGCTTGCCATCTGTATATTACTTAGCATTTTCCTTGATGACCACATGGACTGTCGACTTCCTGCTTCCTCAGACGACCACCATAACAACAACACGCGCTCTTATCGTTCTGAACCAGCCGTTCTCTAAAGCCCTCTTTCTAAGAGTGTGGAACTCGTCGCAATGGCGGTGTTGTGCAGATGGTGGCGCTAATCGCCTCTTCGATATTCTCGGTGAAGAACGCGTATTGTAAGCCAGGTTTTCTCAACGAGAAACGCGTCCCAACTCTACAAGCTATCTGCCCCAGCTTATCAAAGGCGATTTGGACTCTCTGCGGCCTGATGTAAGGAAATTCTACGCGTCCAAGGTGTGTGTGCCCAGTTGTTGCGGTTGCAACTGTGAGATGATGACATTTTTGAGGGAGTTCCAATCGTTGGAGACCCCGACCAGGACTCGACAGACCTCATGAAATGCATATCTGTCATCGACGAGAAGGAAGCTTCGGAAAATAAGGTCGACATTCTATTGTCCTTCATATCCTTGACCAACCATCGTGCAGAAATACGACATTGTCCTCCTCGGTGGGCTTTCAGGACGATTGGACCAAACGATACACACCCTCTCGTATTTGTTCAAGCTGCGGAAGACGAGAGAACGTGTGTTTGCAGTCACGGACGAGAACGTTGGCTGGGTGCTAGATGCTGGGGAGCATACGCTTTCCGTAGACCATTCTATCCTCGGGCCTACATGCGGGTTGTTGCCTGTTGGCGTTGATTCAACCATATTATCCACGAGTGGGCTTAGATGGAATCTTTGTTGGTCTTTCTCAGTCGCGGCATTTCTCCACCTCTGATGGGTTTTTTTTTTCTATAGCACAGCAGGAATCGTCGTTTGGTGGTCTTGTCTCTACGTCAAACCATCTCGTGCCCAGCGAGGAGAGAGTGTGGATTAGAACATCGCGTCCTATTTGGTGGACAGCAGAACTTCGTTTGCTTACGTAGACACTCATAATTTGCCACCCACCGTCATGCCAGAAATCAACATTTTGTACTTCGCTGCAGCATCCACTGCAACTGGACTCAGTCAAGAGTCTCTTTCCATTCCACAAGACTTGCGTCTGTCGGATCTAGGCGAAGTGTTGATCTCTCGACATGGCAAAGCAACAGACTTGAGGAAAATTCTGGAGGGTAGCCAATGGAGCGTTGATGCCGAAATGGTTGACGATCCCGCATCGATTGTACTGCGTGGTGGTGAGGAGGTTGCGGTAATTTGTCCTGTTAGCGGCGGGTGAGATAGTGTCTGTCAGGTAAGCCACACACCATTCTTGTCGCCGCGTGTTCATGAGCGATAGTGACTTGCGGGTGACTATTCGATGTTTTGACTCCGGAGTCGTCATCTCCGTTGTTTCGCTCGTTGTTATAGCATTCTGCGCGCGTGTTCTAATTTTGCAACCTTACAGCTCCCAACTTGAAGCTTGACGTCGACTTCACTGATTTTGTGGATTTCACTCTGCTTTCGCCAACTCAATATTGTGGCGACTGCTTTAGCCAAATTTACTCCAGGATTCTCACTTGCCAGCAACGGCTATATGCTTTCGACAAGTTTAAAAATACTTTCGTCTCCACCGATCTTCGACTTGCACATGTTGATGGCAAAGATGTCTTGTGCAGCACGCAGACTCGAGATGTAACGCGTGCTCCCTACAGTATAAAAGACCGTTCGAAAGGCCTTCATTTCCTCGTCCAGCTTCAGCTCTCGTTTGTTTTCAGATTCGTGGCGCAATGTCCCTTCGAGTCGCGTCTCTCTTTATCGCGTCATTCGCGTCCATAGCGGCTGCCGGTCCTGCTTTCCAGAACTTTGTCGTTCAGGAAACTGTCCGTGCTGTGCCTGCCGGCTTCACCAAGGCCGGGATCGCCCCCGCCTCCCAGAACATCAACCTTCGCATCGCTTTGCCTTCCAAAGATTTTGCTGGTCTTGAGAAAGCTTTGTTCGACGTCTCCACTCCCTCCAGCTCTAACTACGGAAATCATCTTTCGAAAGCCGAGGTTCTGTCTCTAGTTTCTCACTAATAATAGCATGTTGACGACTTCGCTAGGTCAACGCATTCCTGGCTCCTTCAGACGCGGCAGTTGCTGCTGTCGATGCCTGGCTCGCCTCACATGATTTAATTGCCAACCGTTCTTCGTCTGCGGGTGACTGGCTCTCGCTCAATGTCCCCATCTCCAAGGCTAATGAGATGTTGTCGGCCAAGTACGAGAATTTTGTTCACAGTGCCTCTGGAAAGACATACGCCCGCACACTCTCTTATTCTCTTCCATCCGAAGTGGCTGATTTCGTGGTTCATATCCATCCTACTACCACTTTCAACAACCCCCGGACCTTGCGGCCTGTTATTTCCGCACCTAAGCCTGGTATCGTCGCTGATGCTACACCGGCTTCATGTGCAACCACGATCACCCCAGGTTAGACCTATCCGCTGTTGTGTTTGTGAAACTGACATTATTTTTAGCCTGCTTGCAATCACTATACGGCATTCCCAAGACGCCTGCAACTGAGAAGTCCAACTCGATCGCAGTTTCTGGTTTCATCGAGCAGGTACGCAACTGTTCGCGCCACCCACCGATAACTCCTAATCTATCATCCAGTATGCTAATCAAGCCGACCTCAAATCTTTCCTCAAGTCCTTCCGCACTGACGTCTCGTCTTCGACCACTTTCACGCTCCAGACACTTGACGGGGGTTCGAACCCACAACAGAGTTCGAAGGCTGGTATCGAAGCCGTATGTTCAATGTCCCCTTTCGCAGCAAATACTCAGTCATTGCTCAGAATCTTGACATCCAGTACACGATCGGTGTTGCCACCAATGTGCCCGTCTTTTTCGTCTCTGTCGGAGAGAACTTCCAGGACGGAGATTTGGAGGGCTTCCTCGACATTATCAACTTCCTTTCTGACGAGGATAATGTTCCTCAAGTCATGACTACATCATACGGCGAAAATGAAACGGATATGTCGAAAGCTCTTGCTTTGTAAGTTCAGGCTGATGTTCCATCACCCATCGTTCTCACAATCTCTTCAGCAAACTCTGTGAGGCGTACGCTGGTTTCGGGGCACGTGGCTCCTCGAACCTATTCGCATCAGGGGATGGAGGTGTAGAAGGCGGTCAATCGCAGTCATGCAGCAAGTATCAAGCCGCATTCCCAGCCGGTTGCCCATTGTAGGCTTACTTTCAGCTGACATCTGGTCATTACTGATGAACCGCTTTTAAGCCTCACTGCTGTCGGCTCTACCCATGGTATATCTCCAGAAACTGGGTCTGCGTTCTCCTCGGGCGGTTTCTCCAACTACTGGGGGACAGCAGACTACCAAGCTGATGCCGTCGCTGCTTTCCTCAATGCGCAGGGCACCACGAACAGCGGCCTGTTCAACGCTTCTGGCCGCGGATACCCCGACGTCTCTGCTCAAGGCGAAAATGTCCAAATCGTCTCTGGCGGCTCTAAGGGCGGTGTTGAAGGCACCTCATGTTCCTCGCCGATTTTCGCCAGCGTTATTGGGCTCATTAACGACAAACTGATCGCTGCGGGTAATCCGCCTCTCGGATTCCTTAACCCGTGGCTGTACGCTAACCCAGGTATGCTGAACGACGTCACGAAAGGCAGCAACCCTGGATGTGGCGCCAAGGGCTTCACTGCCCGTGCTGGCTGGGATCCAGTTACCGTGAGTTGAACATGTGCAACGCCGCATCTTACTAACGGATCACTTAGGGCTTGGGCACGCCAAACTTTACCAAGATGTTGGCTGCTGCCGGTTTGTAAAGCATGCTAAAAAATTTGGGCTATATGTAGTGTTATCATGTAATTTATATATATTGTGCAATTTTGGACTTAGCTGAAAATTCCACAAGAAACTAGCCTATCCTCACTGCAGATTACACTCTAATCAAAAACTGAATTGAGTTCCACACTCACCCCTCTAATAGCAAATTCACAGTCTGACTGCCAGATCAAGAGAACATGGTATGCATATAGTAGGAACACAAACTCAATGATTTAGAATCCTAGTACATCTACTCAACCATAATTTAATTTATATTGTACTTGAGAAACTGACTGCCAGCCAAGTACTCTTCCTAGCCCACTATGTTCACTTTGATTTCATGTTTGCACTAACAAGTGCCAGTCCAGCAAATGAAGTGCCTAGTTCAACATGTCTCAGTTGTCCACTGATAGTTGTTGGTGCATGCTGTTTTGTGTAAACACGGAGGCCAACAATGACTGTACCACTGTCTCCTGGGTCCTTTACATCATTGACACCTGGTGGTGTTGGCAAGACCTCTAGAAGAGGGGCAACAACTTGATTATTTGAGTGTTCATCACCAGCACTCTTCCCACCCATATCAGCTGTGACTGAGATGACTGGTCCAGGATCCTCAGAAGGAGTCAATGGTGGTGCAATGATAGTTCCTAAGGAATCAGTGGAGCCACTACTAGTAATGGTTTCAACAACAGTAGTGACTGTCTTGGATGTTGTTGTGGATGGGCCCATAATTGGCACTTGTATTGTTCCCAGATGATGTGAAGCTAGAGATAGCTTCAAGGCAGCTGCTTTTGCCTCAAGTTCAGCTAGAGTCTGACCAGCTAAAATATTTGGTGGGATAGGTAAGCTAGAAAGTTCTGATCTGTAATCTGGTGAACCTAACTCAATAGTGATAACAATACTACTCACTCTAACTTGAAATCTTTAGATAATGTCAGCTTTTGGAAAGAAGAGAAGAAAGACCACTAACTTGAAGCAATAGAGCAGCTAATGGCTCTTTCTGTTAATACTCTGGTTAATTTACGCTGATCCCAAGTGTTTGATAGTTCTTCAAAATAGTCCTGTTAACAAAAAATAAGTAGCAAGAGCAGAAACATTACAACACATACATCCTCTCGTATTTTTAGCCTGTCAAGCCTAACCTAAAATATGTAATGCTCAGAGGATAGATAGCTGAGAAAGTACATACATGTACAACATATTCACCCTGTTCAAGATCCACCTCAAGATTGACACTACGGGACCAATATTTTGCATGATGATTGGCCACAGCAATTGGTTCAGTTCCCCCCTGCTTATAGAGGATAAAGTCAAGTGACCACATTGAGAGACCACTGATTTCCTTGAAGAATCGTGTATCAAGCTGAGAGAGAAACAATAAGGGACTTGGTGGATTTTGGCACAGATATGCTAACTGTTAAGTAAAGATGAGACATAAGAGATCTAAGAGAGCAGATAAAGATGACTTGCATGAAATATCACCAAAGCTCCATGCAGCCAGGCCTTTACGTACAGTCACTTCAAGCCATTGAGAAGACATAACCCAGGTAGAGTCAAATAACATAGTCTAAAGATAATATTGAGTATCAGCTTCAACAGAACTATGAAAGTGAGCACATACTCGATCAAGATTTGACCAACTGGCCAAGAAATCCTTGTCTATACTCATTGTTATGAGAGTATAACAAAACAAAAATAAAGCAACATACATTCCATCACAAACTGTCCATCATTGCCAAATGTATGTCCAAGCTCAGGAAGGATTTCAAGCCACTCTTTTGTCCACTCTTTTGAGCCATCTGACCATGGGCCAGTCCATTCACTTTCACCCCATGGGTTTCGAATAACCAGAAAGCGCTTGCCTCGAATTTCTTTTGCTTGCAGGATAGAATAAGAATGATTTGCTATAAGCCCATTGATTGTTGCACCCCAGTTATTGTTGCGTGATCCATTAAGCTGGCCAAATTGACATCCAAACAAGCGATCTTGATTGGCATTGACTAGTTCATCTTTCCAGAATTGATCACGATCAAGAATATCCTGACATGGGATAAGACTGGAAACAGCACTAGAAGACAGTTAGGTAATAATCTAATATATCATAAGGTCTTACCCAGTCATGTCTTCCTGAAAACTTAGTTAGCTTGGAAAGCTTAATATCAAGTCTAGACATACAATAGCCTCACAGGCTTCTCCACCTTGAAGAGCTGCATAATCACCTACATTTATTATAGACAATTTGTCAGAGACAAATCAGTATTTGGCTTACCATGGAGTTTTGCATATGCTTTTTCAAAGAGTGCAACCCAAGTTTCACCCTCTGTAGCTGACCTTGCAAAGTACAGTGTCTTGGTGCCCTTGCGTGCCAAGTCATTGTAGCGGTCCTTGTCCTTGTGAAATATATCCTTCTCATTGTTGCTGAGTTCTTCATATTTAGGAATTTTTGTGTAGAGCAGACTAAAATTTTTGGCAACAACCCAAGATGCAAAAAAAAAACATACTCATCAATCACTACACTGACCCAGCGCATATCACGAAAGAACACAAAGCCATAGACCCCAACTTGTTCATCACGCTGAAAGCGTGATAATCTATAGTCAATTTCACAGAAGAAAGTGCTTACTGCAACACATAAGCTTTTAATCAGATTGGGCTTGGTTGCCATAGTTGCCAGCGCAGACACAAACCAACAATCTCCAAGAGCTCCTTGGATGATATCACTGGAGCGGGCACCATCCACAAAGAATTGCGGATTGTCGAAAATCTCGGTGACTCGTCGTACATCAGATGGGTTGAAAGAATTTTCGGGAGACATTGAGAGGCCATGTAGACAGAGATTTCTATCATTCTCGAGGTCGAATTCAATGTCACTGGGGGTTACGGTGAGTGTTTGAGTTAGATGAGCGTCGTCGAACAGACAAACCGAAACTTTCGGTTCTTTGATCGACATTCTGTCGCGATGCGGGAAACCTTCAACTTCGACTCGCTGAGCACCTTCTCTAGCTCCTCAGTGACTAGAAGACCAGTTTTATCTGGAGGCTGTTCGAAAGCCGCTGGCCCCGCGGGTGGTGAAGGCGAGGCAACTGCAGTGGTGGTCTTTTTCAGAAGTAGGTAGTTCAAGACAGACATGGGGGCACGTTCAATTGTAACCATATGTCAGTCCATATATACCATCCGAGTAGCGCCAGAACAGCTTGCGCATCCTTGACAGTGACCAAGCGCCAATCTGCTGCTCGCATCCCGCACCAATTGCAACATTGAGAGCTCTGAAACGATTGAACCATGCTCCCGCGGGACTCGCCATGCAACGATAGCTGGGTAATGTAGTATTACCTGCATTTAGTTCCACATAACATTGAGAGCTCGATTGGGGAGGCAACTCATTCTGAGCCGACCTACAGTGGTTATAACCGGTCTATGCTGCGTCAGAGACCTCAAATTGTCCGACGTGACAAAGGTTTTTGCTCGCACTCGGGACCAGTGTGAGGTCAAGGTTGATGGCATCCGTCAATGTGCAACGGGCGTTAGGCGCTGACGGGCACCGAGTAAGTAAGTAAGAAAACCCAGGTTCCCGAAGGCAACAGATCCAGATGACTAAGTAAATGTGATGCTTTCCTCACCCTGACATAAACTCAACTCCGTCCTATTCAACGCTTCTGGCTGTGAATGCCCTTAGGCTGATGGCTTTGCAGTGCTCAAGACGATCTGGACGTTTTCGTCTTCATGACATGATTAGAATTGGTTGATGCCCATATCGATTGTGGTGGTGAGGAAGTTGTGGGGTGGGTGAGATAGCCACAACCCCGCTCTTGTCAACCCATATTCAATGAGCGACTCGGGTGGTGGCTTTCGATTCTTGACTTCGGAGTAGCCGTGTCCGTTGCTCTACTGACTGTTATAGCCATTTTACGCGCGGCCTCGGCACGGATGCTCGTGTCTGCTCGTCTTCTATATTTACGACCACCAAACTTGAAGGTCGAAGACTTGCTCCGCTTCATTTATGGATTGCAAAGTTGACTCTGCTTTGTCCAACTTGATATATCTGCCACTGCTTTAGCCATACTCACTCCGGGAATCCCGCCTGTGGCCGACAGCTACCTCTGTCAAAGTTGAGAAGTATCCAGATCTTCGACCAACCTCGAAATGTAGCTCGCGTGCTGCCTAATACAGTATAAAAGACTGTCGGGAAAGCCTTCATTTCCTCGAGCTTCAGCTCTCTTTTGTTTTCAGATTCGTGGCGCAATGTCCCTTCGAGTCGCGTCTCTCTTTATCGCGTCATTCGCGTCCATAGCGGCTGCCGGTCCTGCTTTTCAGAACTTTGTCGTTCAGGAAACTGTCCGTGTTGTGCCTGCTGGTTTCACCAAGGTTGGGATTGCCCCCGCCTCCCAGAACATCAACCTCCGCATCGCTTTGCCTTCCAGAGACTTTGCTGGTCTTGAAAAGGCTCTATTCGACGTCTCAACTCCCTCTAGCTCCAACTACGGAAACCATCTTTCCAAAGCCGAGGTACTGTGTCGAGTCTTTTACTCAATAATTAACAACACATTGACGGCTTGTTCAGGTCAACGCATTCTTGGCTCCGTCTGACGTGGCAATTGCTGCTGTCGATGCATGGCTTGCCTCGCATAATCTGATTGCCAACCGTTCTTCATCGGTGGGTGACTGGCTCTCGGTTAATGTCGCCGTCTCCAAGGCCAACGAGATGCTATCGGCCCAGTACGAGAACTTTGCTCACCGTGCCTCTGGAAAAACATACGCTCGCACACTCTCTTACTCTCTTCCATCCGAAGTGGCTGATTTCGTGGTTCATATCCATCCTACTACCACTTTCAACAACCCCCGGACCTTGCGGCCTGTTATTTCCGCACCTAAGCCTGGTATCGTCGCTGATGCTACACCGGCTTCATGCGCTACGGAGATCACCCCAGGTCAGCCTTAGTACACACTACTTTGTGTCAAACTGACCTTCTCTTCAGCATGCTTACAGTCGCTCTACGGCATTCCACAGACACCTGCCACCGAAACATCCAACTCGATTGCAGTATCTGGCTTCATCGAGCAGGCATGCAAATGCCTGTGGAACAATCAATCCTTACTTACTGACTCATCATCCAGTATGCCAACCAGGCCGACCTCAGGTCTTTCCTCAAGACCTTCCGCCCTGATATCTCATCCTTGACCACCTTTACTCTCCAAACACTTGACGGGGGCTCAAACCCGCAACAAAGCTCAGAGGCCGGCATCGAAGCTGTGAGACCAATAGCTCCTCTCGCGCCAAAAGACTCATCCTCATTGTTCAGAACCTTGATATCCAGTATACTATCGGTGTTGCTACCAATGTGCCGGTCTTCTTCGTCTCTGTTGGAGAGAACTTCCAAGACGGGGACTTGGGGGGCTTCCTCGACATCGTTAACTTCCTTTCTGACGAGGATAATGTTCCTCAAGTCATGACTACATCATACGGTGAGAATGAAACGGACATGTCGAAAGCACTTGCTTTGTGAGCTGATGTTCTTATCGGCACCCGTGATTTCTCACATTCTTTTCAGCAAACTCTGTGAAGCATATGCTGGTTTCGGGGCTCGTGGCTCCTCTATCTTATTTGCCTCCGGAGATGGAAGCGTAGAAGGCGGTCAACCCCAGCCGTGCATCGAGTATCAAGCCGCATTCCCAGCCGGTTGCCCATTGTAGGCTTACTTTCAGCTGACATCTGGTCATTACTGATGAACCGCTTTTAAGCCTTACTGCTGTCGGCTCTACCCATGGTATCTCTCCAGAAACTGGGTCTGCGTTCTCCTCGGGCGGTTTCTCCAACTACTGGGGGACACCGGATTACCAAGCTGATGCCGTCGCTGCCTTCCTCAATGCGCAGGGCACCACGAACAGCGGCCTGTTCAACGCTTCTGGCCGCGGATACCCCGACGTCTCTGCTCAAGGCGAAAATGTCCAAATCGTCTCGGGCGGCTCCAAGGGCGGTGTTGAAGGCACCTCATGTTCCTCGCCGATTTTCGCCAGCGTTATTGGGCTCATTAACGACAAACTGATCGCTGCGGGTAATCCGCCTCTCGGATTCCTTAACCCGTGGCTGTACGCTAACCCGGGTATGCTGAACGACGTCACGAAAGGCAGCAACCCTGGATGTGGCGCCAAGGGCTTCACTGCCCGTGCTGGCTGGGATCCAGTCACCGTAAGCCGATCACTTATCCAAAAAGTTCATTACTTCAATGATTACTTAGGGATTGGGTACACCCAACTTCGCAAAGATGTTGGCTGCTGCTGGCTTGTAGAACGCGTCCCTCACTGCCAGACAATTTGTTAGCATAGGCTGAAAATGTCCCTCGATATTTTGCAATCCGTTACGCTCGGTTCAGTTAAGATCATGGGTGCGTTAGCGTTAATAGTCAAGTGATATATCCAGAGTCCACGATTAAGTTTCGGCTTTTGTAAACTATTAGTAGATTATTCCATCCTACCACGCAACCAGCTCAACAGCCCTTTTGTTCCCTCGCGCTCCCAAACTCGCCTCGCTGGGACACGGAAACTAAGAAACTCGGTCAGCATCCATTACCCTTAGTTACGCATTGAACGCACGTATTTCCATCCACCAAAAATACATCCAAGGGAAGCATCCCCATTTCTGCAGGCAGTTTGGCTATTTCGTTGTCCCTGAGATCGAGTTCTTCGAGCGTCCAACCAGGAACTTGGCGGTTGCTCTTGAAGCGCATCGCGATGTTCTGGAAGCTGTCCAGCGAATCGATGCGATTCCCGCGCATGATCAGAGAGCGAAGACCAGCACGTGCTGGAGACGCCGACGATAAGACAAGTGAAGCTAAAACTTCCTCTGAGGCTCCCAGAGCAGCACTTGTTAGCAAATTGTAGGCCAAGTTTAAGCTTTTCAGACTGGGAAAGAGCTGAGCGATGAGCTGGAGGAGTGGACGCTGTTCAGTCACAGGTGGCGTTGTTACAATATTCAGCGTGTCGTCCTCAGGGATGCTTATAGACACCGAGTCTGAGAGATTACATCCCTCCAAGGTAAGCTCTTCGAGTGAGGGAAGAAACGCTCCGGAAGAATTAGGCAAGACCATCACTCTGTCGACTCTCCTGCCTTGTAACACCAGTACTCTCAACGACCCGGCGAATGGCTGGGCCGCGATAGCGGTCAGTGGCATTGTCGCTGTTGGCAGCGACACATCGGTCGCACGGGGTGGAGCAGAATTTCTGTCAAAAGCAAGGGAAAACGCGCGAGCGTGGCCAGTCGACTTAGGAGGGGGAGTTGTCGGTGGAAGCGTCAAGGTATCGCTACGGGAATTGTAGTATTGTGGGTCCGATAAGACAGAGGCGATGGCTTTTGTTGGTGATGGCTGACGGACTGGCTCTTCTCCATCTGTGTCGTTTGACTTGGCTGCGGCCACTGCTCTTGCACGCCTACGCCCGCCTTCTGTGAGCAGGCCCGCTTCTGCTTCGAGTTCCCACGCCTCTTTGATCGGTTTCGGGGAAGTTATTGTGGCAGTCGTTGGTCTCTTCACAACTCTGGACGACGCTGGTTTTGGTGCAGGGAAAGCAATACCATCTTCTTCTTCTCCCTTGCCCCGCACCTTAGCCCTTCTTTCTGCTTCTAGCTCCCATGCTTCCCGCACGACTTTCTTGCCAACTACCACCCGTGTCGTTCCAGGAGGCGGATCATCGTTGGTAACATCAAATGTTAGTGTTTGAGATAGCACTGGTTGAAGCGCCATACGAGCACCCGATTCCGAAACGCCCGTCTCACCAAGGTCTAGGGTGGTTAAAGTAGGGAACGCCGTTGAAGCGGACAGATCGGCGAAGAGCGCGTCGTCAACCCCACCTGCTTTGGCAATACGCAACGTTTTCAGTTTGGCCAGCTTGCCAAAAGCCGCAAACAGTTTCGGTAAATGACCGTCTCCGAGTTCGTTTCCAGACAAATCTAGGCTAATCAGGCCTTTGGGTAGGTCTGTATCGATACTGGCAGCGTTGAAGCTGTTGTTCGATGCATCCAAGATGGCTAGTTTAGGGAGGGGAGTGGTAGCACGCTCAATTTGCGGACCAAACAAGCCACCGCTTCCTAATGAAGACTTCGCAGTTTGTTTCTGTGCTCGCGAAAAAGGTGCAGTGAATGGCAAGGATGCAAGACGGTTATGAGAGACATTGAGGTTGGATAGGGAGGGAAGTGAGAATAGATTTGGTGGCAGAGCGGTGAGAAGGTTGTGTGAAATGTCAAGGGTGGTCAGGATAGCCAGATCAGCGAATTGAGGTGGTAAAGAGGCAATTTTGTTCTTATGCAGCTGTAATTCGTGAGACGGCATTGATCAATTGTCTGATAAAATAAACTTGCGTCGACAGACTTGAGGGAGCCAAACAACGCTATTTCTGGTTGAATCTCGACGATTTCATTGCCCCAAGCCTTGATGATTTCCAGGTCGTGCGTCTCATACCATGCTGGGCCGCGTTTAGTTTTTCCGATCGGAGGCTCTGGCGCTGGTGGAAGTGGGGGCTCTTGGGGGACAGATTTCAACGGCTCAGGTGTGATCCCAAGGTGGATGTCGAAGAGAGCTGAAGGAATACAGACCAGACCGCGTGTGGACAGGTTTATCGAGCCTTTGAATGCCCTGTTAATATAAGTAGACAATATAAATGGCAACGCCACGCACCAGTGCTCTTTGCCCGTTCAATGGCCTCTCGTAGGGGTGGTCGACCGAGGATATCCTCATCATCCGGTGGAGGGGCATTGGGAATGGCGTCCTCGAGAGTACCCAAGTCGTCAAGAGGACTTGAACGCGAGCTGCTTTGAGCCTTTTTCGCTTCAGCGCGCTTTAGGGCAATGGCCTCCTTCAGTGAAAGTTGTGGTGGTTTGCTACTTTCATCTTGAGGAGGTTTCGAGGGTGATGTTGGAGGACGACCAGCAGTCGACTTTGTCCTAATGCGTGCATTTGCAGCACTAGGAGAGGCTGTCTTAGTGTTGGCGCCAGTAGAAGTCGTTCGGACTCGGGGTGATGGAACTGCAAGTCGAGAAGTACCTCGTTGTGGCACTCGCGACATGGTGGGGAAAGAAAAGGTAACGAATCAGGCGATGTGTAAACTTTGCTTGCTTTCGACTACTTTTACAATTCGCCGTAAAGTACGCAGCAGTTGCATGTGGCTCCAATGTTGAGCGTTGAATATCAAGTTCAATTCAGCCTCAAGTCACGCGAGAGCGACGCGCAAGGACGCGTTGTTTGTTGAGGCTTCTGGCCATCAGAGTTTGGTTTATTGTGACGGTCACGAAGATCACGACTTATAAAATGTCACCTCAGTCAACCATACACACGTTTTCTCTCTTTTTCCCTCCTCAACATGGCAAGGAGTGCAACAGGTATGCGTTTGGTGCTTATCTGAACCTTACTGATCACGGCGATGTCTAGTGACCAAGACGAAAACGGCAACTAAGGAGGCCAACACCAAGACACGGGCTAAGAAGAGCGCTGGTAGGTCTTGTCGCCATCGTAGAGCTATGTGCTGACAACGAAAGATGGCGAGGAGAAAAAGAAACGCGAGCCTTCCGCGTACAACATCTTCGTGAAGGAACACCTGAAAGAGTGGATTGCCAACAACCCTGACGCGGATAAGGGACTTGGAATGAAAGCTGTACGTGTCTTTTGTGCCCAGAAGCTTTGATCTGACCTGTACTCATTAACAGGTTGCTGCAATGTGGCGCGATGCCCCAGAGAATCCCAAGCGGGGTCAAGCCCCAGCCGAACGCGCCCCCAGAAAAAAGAAGGAGCCCAAGGCAAAGGCTGAGAAGAAGGCAAAGCCCAAGGCAAGGAAAAAGAAGGACTCGGATGATGATGACGACGACGACGCGGGCGATGATGATGAGGAGGAAGCTGGCGACGACGACGAATGAACATGTTGTGTAGGTTGACTGTTCTTCAGCTCCAAATTCTGTCTGACTCCTACCTCAGTACCTCTAATATACCCTGCCTATCTGTAACCCGTCTGGCACCTTGACTATCATTATTGTTGTACGCTGTATTTTCTTGCTTAATCGTTACTCCCCCCCCCCCCAAACTGCGCGCAAACTACAGGACCCAGAGCCTTGCGACTGTTACCCTTCTGCCCATATTCAGCTAGCCGATATCGCAAGACAGATTTCCCAGTGGCGTCCATGATCTTTATGCTCTCTCTCAAGCAATGCATCCACCACAGCTTCTCTTCACCTCTTTGCTACCTCAGAGCTTTCTTGGTCGAATTATTTGGGGGAGAACATGCACGCATATCTGTTGTCATCGTGAGAAGTTGACCAAAGTGGTTGCCAGCACTTGACCAAGATGCTCATGCCTCCTTCTACGGCGTTCCGCACGCAGCGTCTGACCAGTAATACCTTTTTGGTCAGGTAACTTGATTTAATGTGCCATAAATCCACTCGAAACCATTGCCAGCGAACACAGTGATGTCTACCAAGAGCACCCCCAGATCTTCGTGAAAAGAGTCCCCTCCGCTCAGACGATCGTGGTCATCGACACTGGATGTGGGGGGGCGAGTGAAATTTCAGATGTTGAGATCACGAGTTTGCGAACGTATCTTGAAGAAATACCACTCGAATGCAACGACAACCAGCCTCTCAATACGGGCGGTTCTCTCCAGTATGTTGTTGTCCTCACGCATTGCCACTACGACCATATCTGTCCGTTGCACACTCTCGTGCACCACCAAAAAACTGACTGACAATGGCAGTGGCAATCGAACAATTTTGCGACTCGAGAATTCTGGTTTCGGCGCATTCGCCATCCTTCATTTCTGCTTCAAATCTACCAAAGCACAGTCTCTGCGAGAGTCTAGGAATCAGAACCCCACACTATTTGCCGCAACTAGTGCCTCATCACCATGAAGTGCATTCAATGTCCAATGTGCCACTGGGCATCTTGATTCTTCACACTCCAGGGCACGTCCCAGACGAACTCGCCATCTATGACAAAGAAGAAAAAATGCTTTACGTCGGGGACACCCTTTACGAAGATGAGATGATCATATTCCCCAACGAGGGCTCGATTGTCGAGTGGTTTGCTTCTACCGCCAGTTTGATAACGCTGGTCAAAACAGAGGGACCAGATGTTCGCATAAATTCGGGTCATAAAACCTCATGTCGCCCAGCATACGAGGTGCTGCATTCGACCAGGAACTTCATCAAAGACGTCGTGATGGGCAAGGAACCCGTTCAACGAAGAGAGTGGCGGCGGGGCGAAGAAAATGTAGTTTATCTTCAGGAAGGAGGGCGATTTTCCTTGCGCTGTCCAGAGCGATTGGTGCTGGAAGCACGTGAACACAAAGGTGTCTAGGTTAGAGTAAAAATGTGTTACCTATTTCCGTTTTCCATTCAAGAAATCGTTCTGCAACTGGTCTAGGAAAGCATCTGCCGCTGTTTTTGGTGGTTTGGATGTACTTGATCCGCTTTCCAAAGCAGCAAATGGATCTGGCGCAGCCACTGGAGGTGTTACAGGAAGGGCATCTTGGCCAACTTTGCGGCGTTTGGCATCGAGTAGTTTGCGTCGTTCTTCAATTTCCCGCTTCCTCTTTTCCATAGTTCGACTCCGACTGCTAGATGATGCATCTTGCATCCCCTCGCTCTCTCCAGGCAGAATCTCCATGGCACCAGTATCCTTTCTTGTCTTTTCGGTTTCCACGCGGGCCGCCTTTAGTTCGTCCATTTGTGCTTTACGCGTGAGTTCGTCTGCCGAGAACTGATAGAAACCAGCGCCTTTCGCACGATTCTCTCCAGTCGCATCATAGTGAACCCCCAGGGGATTGTTCTCCTCTGCATGCTCCTTCTCGATTTGTGCCACTCGCTCCGCGGATGGCTGATAAACAGGAAAGTGTCCGACAGGATTTCCTACTGGCCGTGAGGGTGAGCCAAGTAATTACCAGAGGCACATACTAATGATGAGATCCCTGCATCCTTGTTAGACAACGCGGTGGAGGAAATGATATTGGGAGACACGCACTCATCAGAGTCATAGTCTTCTTTATTTTCCGACGGCGCCAGATCTCTTGGCACCTCTGAGCGGCGAGCTGTTCTGAGACGGCCAAATTCATCCTCATATTCTACCATGGGGTCATCCTACCCGCTGGGTTAGTACAAGATGCGATTCAGGAACTGTCGCTCACCTCTGGCGCGGTTGGTAAAGTGAGAGATTCATCAACATCATCGCTGTCCGACTCATAACGCTCGGAAGGCTTGGAGTCAAACTAGAAAGAAAAATGGGGATGAACGGGAAGCTACGAAGTAAGCAAACACCCACATCGACTAAAAGTGCGTCGTATTGCTTGTCCGAAAGACCGCCTGTCTGTCCTTTCTTCAATTTGTCGTAAATCTTGGCCTTGCGTTCGAGGGCAGCTCGAGCAGATTCCAATGTGGGTTTGCTGATGGCTTCCAGTTCCAAATCTCGCAAAGCGCGGTTGTTCACACCCTTATTTTGGCGCGCCCATACTGTAGGTTTCTTCCAGAGAGCGTCAACCAAGCGAAGGACGCAACAACCACTCATACCTTGTCTGGTCGCTTGACTCCCCCAACTACATAACTTGACTTTCCGGCTGCCTTATTCCGCGCGAAATCCCCTTGTCGTTTTGATAGCTCTGCCTTGAGATCCAAAAATGAGCCGGCGCTGATGCCCATAGCCTTGGCTTTGTCGGACATCGTTGTTCTCGTTAGGCTCACTGTCACGCCGTCACGTGGTCGACTGACCCAGGGAACAGTCTCAACTATAATTCGGAATAATTAAATTCACTTGCGAGTCTTTCATGGTCGGAAAAGGGGTAAATAATTCCGTCATTAAAAAACGTATGTACCGGAATCATATTCCAAGAATAGTATGCAATTCCTACAACTGCCTTATTCGTCGTTTTCTGCCTTTTTTGGCTGTGGGCGGTAGCGATCCCCATTTAGTTCCAAACTGATCAGCAATGAGCCAAGCTCACACTTTCACATAGCTAGAAATCATCAGCATTGAAAGCAAGTTCAGTTTCGATGTACACACGTTGCATCGATTTGCGTAAGTTGCGGGAGGGCCAAAATGATTTTTCTGCGATAGGCCGACATATCATTAGCCTGGCAAGGGTTTCCCTCCAGATATAATGTGCGAAGGGAAGCAATATTCTTCAGCTGGGAGTCCAATGCATGCAGAGTTGGAATTTTGTTGCCGCTGATCTACTTGGTCTTGAGTCTACGCAAGGCATCGACATTCGAGTCATGCATACCCAAAGCTCTTCCAAATTGCTTAGGTGAGAAACATTTTCGATCTCAGGTATAAAATTGTTGCCGAGGTCAAGGGTAGTGAGTTTAACCTGAGCTGGTTCCTCAGACAATCCTCGAGACCACGTAAAAATGCTTACGTTGGCCTCTAGTCCCTGCATTCGTTCTATGCCGTTGTGGCTCAAATATAGCTCTTCAAGCGAGTCTAGATACTGGAGATTCTCGAGCTGTGTGATGCGATTGGATTGTAGAGACAATACACGGAGTTTGGTCAATGTCGAGAGATTCTACAAAAACGGTCGTCAGCTCAGCCAATAAGACTCTGGACGGTACCTCGAGCTTCGTGATTTTATTCTTTCCGAGCCATAGCTCCTCTAAGTTGACTAATGCGTCGAGGTTCTCGATTTTCTTTCGTCCACCTCAGACACAAGAACCATAAATAAAATAAAGGACGGACCCTGATCCTATTTCCTCCAAGTTCTAGGCTGCGTAGTGACGCAGACGCTTGCAAATTGCTGATTTTTGATATCCGATTCTGTACGAAGTAGACCGTCTGGAGTGACCGCAGGTGTTGTAGAGCCTCTGGAACCGACTTGATCAGATTAAATGACAAGTCGAGCACGCTATCCGAGTCAACAACAGAATCGAGAAGCAGTAGAAACAACAAACGAGAGTTCCGACAAGTTGTTCAAGGCATCGTTGAGGTGTTTGACTTTGTTGTCATATAGATCAAGTTCTTGTAGATTTGTCAAGGTATTAAAGATATCAGGGTCAAGTTTGGAGATGAAATTTTGTCGCAAACAGAGCTTCTTGAGATGCGCTGCAAATCGACTCAATCGCAATGGGGCCAGAGAACCTATCCGCAGGTGGACCAGTTCCAGATCCTAACCTTCTTTTTAATTACACTTTGAATCAATTTGCAAAGCAAACCTCTGTTTCATCAGGTAGTTCTGAGAGGAAGTCGCGTTCTTCGTCAATGAATGCTTCTTGGGGCTCTTCGTCTGACTCGTCATCCTCTGGATCAGGTAAGACAACTCGGGCGGTGCTACAGTCTATGAGGCGTATAGCACGAGCAGCAGAAAGAAAAGGCTCTACCGCTCAGTTTTACCGCCATTTTCAATAGACGCAGACATGACGGAATGACTCAAGATGGCACCTTCCAAATCGGGACGATGATTTTCAGGCAGTTCACACTCAGGAATAATGCTGCTCACACCAAGTTCCACTAATTATTAAGGTACGTAGGAAAAACTAAATACAGAAAAGCAACAGCAGAGTAAGGTACTGAAGCCACTATTATCTTATAGCCATCATGGAACAGTAGTAGAATACTTTGAATACGAGGCCTTGAACGGAATCCAGAGCAAATTACTTGGCTGGACAGGGTTCGTTGGCTCCTTGATAGCCGCTGACTTTGCGGGCCGAAGATAAAATACAACAAGGGGTGGTTCACTGGTGAGACAATATAGACCGACGACGGGGTTCCGTGGGAAGCTGAGTGGCGGGTGGAAGGAGCTCTCGCTCCCGTTCAAATGACGGAATTGAGGGCGAATGAGTGGCAGGTGAATGCATAGGGGATTCGCGATCCGGCTGTACGGCGGAAAGAGGGGATGGAACGGAGTAGAACGGGCTGGGCTGGTGGCCATAGTGGACATAATTTGGAGCAGAGGTTGGCGGAGGGGGAGAAGGAGTGTTATGGTGGTCGTCCAAGCCCGTATATGCTTCACCGCCGGGAGAACCAGTGGATGAAAACGACGAGTCGTCGTAGTTGCGCCGAGCAGCTGGATAGGAGGGAGAATTGGCCGATGGTGGGGTTGCCGAGTCGCTGCGCTTCACGACGAGCCCTTTCTCCTTTCGCTTACGCTGCGCCTGAGTCCCTTCCTTTTTAGCGCGGGATCGGGCGTAGCGTAGACCGCAACTGTGGATCAAAGTCAGAATTATGGAGAGATGCGTTGGTTAGGAGAGTAGCATACGCATTGCAGAGCTCCTTCTTGCCGCTTGGACCTTTGCGCCATTCGGGACTCGTTGTGGCTTTACAACTCGAGCATTGCAGCACACCGACAGGACGAGCACCAGTTGTTCGAGGAACAGCGTTACCCGATTCCCGATTAGCTGTGGTTGGACTGACTCTGCGACGCGGAGCTGGGACAACGTCATTAGCCTGTTTGTCCCCGGAAGTCCCATAGGCATATTGTGGAGACACATGTCTTTGGTAGCTTTGCGCGTTGCCAGCGTCTATGTAAGATGTTTGAGGAGGCCATGGCCGGTTCTCATTGGACGACGACCACTGAGCACCATAGCTAGCGGAAGGTGGATAAGGGGTAGTAGAGTTCTGAGGTTGGTTCGACTGCGGCATGTAGTTGTAAGGCGTAGGCAGCGAGTAAGGCGGGCCATGCTGTTCGTAGTAGGGCGTTTGAGCGGAATAGTTGGGAGTGTTGTAGGCGATCTGCTGCATGTCCGTGACAGAGGTGGGGGAGTTTACTTTATGACAAGCAAATATGACTGAGCCTTCAATATAAGTCAGCGGATATAAGGCCCCCTAAACATTGGAGCAACAGACCATGAGGAATGAATATGCTTTCGACCTCGCCCGCGACGCCAGGCATTGGTTGCAATGCTTTGTACCTGCGGGTACAACTCGTCCTTGCCTCGTTGCCGGGGGCTACTCCCGGTCCGATCTGGACGTCTTCAACGAGTTTGGCGAAATCTCTGCCAACAGGTGACTGCGTTCCTTGATCCGGAGGCCAACTTATCAAGAGTTGTTTTTGCTCGTTATTTGCAAGGATTTGGAAGACACGATTCATGTTGATTTGGGAAGGAGCGCAGACGATGAGACGGCGAAATAGGAGTTGAACATGTTCTTGGCTCAATGCAGGCGTGCCACACCAATTCGTCCATTCCGTCTTGTTGTTTTCGTCGTTGTCGTTCGGAGTGAGGTCAACAATGGCATGAATGAAACATAAAACAACGCCCTCAGCAGCCCAGTTAATGACAACGTCGACAACCATGTAATTGGAGTCCAACGCGATCTTGTCGGCGTCGTTCCAAGATGTCGGAGAACCTTGGTAGCCTAGTTCACGCCGTACGCGCGAGAGACGCGAGAAGCGAACTCTGAAGTTAAGAGTAAGCATGAGACAAGAAGTCGCAGACAATAGCGACTGACCGGGTGACGCTCCCATGGAGAGTTCGACTTTCGAGGACGCGACCAAGGTCATCTTGTGCACTCGCTTGTTCTTCGGGATGGACAAAAGAAATTAGCGATTTTCCAACAAGTTCCTGAGCTAAGTATGAAGTGTACCTTGGTTAGAAGGAACACAGTATATGAGTAGAATAAAACCCGCCTTGTTGCCCTAAATGATGCGCCAGGACGGGGTCAAGGAAGATGAATTGTAGGTCGCCGTTGAGAATGGCCCAGTCTACAATACGTTTGGTTAGAAGTCGATGGAATGGGGTATGATGGACAGGGTAGTGAGACCGATAACCAACGTACAACAGCGAGTTTGACCGATGGCAGGGAGAGAAGAAACAGATTGGGAGGAGTGGAGAGGCATAGTCAAACGGGTGGCATCTAAAAGTCGTGGTGGTACGCGACAAGAGTGACAGCGTAAGTAAACGCGATCGAGGATCGAAAAATGCCGAAATAGTCAACAAGCGCCCAACGATTTGGTAGTTCCTCTATCACAGCCATCATGTCCACCAAAAATTTGTGGATTGCTGCAGGAGACGGTGACCTCAATCGCGTCAGAGTGGGTGTGCTATTTATCTGCTTTGGCTCCCACCGACAACCGATAGCATCTCATTGAACAAGAATGCAAGCTTCTCTCCAGCCCGCAGCCGTGCTTAATCCAGCCTTCCAGCCCTTTCTCCAAATGCGCCCGATGAATTCACGTATACCCCCATGTAGGTGCTCCTAGTCAGCCCCAGCTAGCCTCCTCATTCGCTCAAGGCATGCTGCGGCCTCATACGGTCATCTCCATGTTTTAGAGTATTTAATCTCAAAAGGTTCAAGCTACCCTTTACCCTGAAGCGCTCTACTGATTAATGCTCAGGTGGCGACGTGAATGTAGAAGACAATGACAACGACACTCCCATTTACACCGTCGAAAACGTTGAGACTGCACGTTTCCTCGTGGACCATGGGGCTATCCTAGAACGCCGCAATTCGGAGGGTTTATCCGTATGTTACCCACCACTACCTGAGACGACCACTGCATTTTAAGCCTGTCAACAGCCGATAGAACATTTACAAGAAGAATTCAGCGAAGTTGCCAATTATCTTCGCTCCCTTGTCTCTCCTTCATCCGATCCACTTCCAATCGTTCATCAGCCCTCACAACGCGAGCAGGATGTTGTGTCAGAAGAGCTTACTTCTGCTCTCATGGCCTCTGTCGCAGAGATTATGAGAAAGGCAGAGGAAGAGGGCCGTGATCCAGACGATGAATTACGACGTTTAGTGGGGGAAACGGTGTTAGAAAGTGTTTCGACAGGCTATGATATGTCTGAGACGGTGGAGGAGGACCGACGGGACAGAGTAGACGAAACTCCAACAAAAAAGGCAAAAATGGATGATGTTTGATCGTTGTGTGACGCTGTGCAGACGCGATGTCCTCGACTTCCATGTTGGGGACCCTCTTGACTTTACCAGAGATTGCAGCGACTGCTATGACACGCGATGATGCGAGTCCAATCATTGCTCTCTCGTCACAGGCCCGTTCTAAGGGCTATGAGGTTGTATGTCTCCCACTTACCACCGACAGTTGGAAGAAGCGTTGGACAGAGATGTGCTTACTTCCCACTGGTGCCGATTTAGCGGCAGATATGGCTGCTGAAAAATTGGCCGAAGCATGGAGGACAAAGCCATATTTTTTGCTCGACGAGGTTACCATAACACAACTGGGTAAGAGAGCTACAAATGAAAAATTTGGATCGGCGGTTCTGAACAACAGTTTCTGTTAGAGGAAGCCGAAGGCGTTACAGCCATTGCGTCGGAGTGGTTAGAACTAGACGCGTCTGACGATTGGGTTCGTCATGACGCTGAGATTGCAAGTACTGGCCCCCTGTCCCCACTTTTTTACTCATGGTACGATTCAGGCGCTCCAACAGGAACTTGCTTATGCTGCATATCTGAATATCCACGCTACTATTCTACCTCCTCCTCGCAACCGAGAGCACGTTACCTCATATGCGCGGGCGGTCAATGCTTGTTTAAAAACACACCCATACATGCATCTCTCAATTCGTCTTCCGATCTACAACCCAACCGTTCTCGAGGGCCACTTGACCCCTCTGCCTGACTCGATGTCTCCTCAACTTCTGGGATCTCTTTCTCCGACCCCATCAACTCCCCGTCTCGTGGTGTCTGATGATCGTAGCTCCGACAGCCCTCCCACGAACCTTGACGCGACTTGGGAGATGTGGGATGTCATACGCTCCATTTGCGACTACAATACTCGCCTAACACTCAGTACCGCTTCTTCGCCTTCCTTTCCAAGCTATTGACGATGACAACAGCCCTCGATTTGACACCACCCTTACCCGTCAACTCGGGATTTCTATCCAAATGGAAAGCCGAGGCCATACGCTATCTATTCCTTCCAGCATCTACATTCATTGCGAATTCAAAGGGCTATCCCGTTTTGCCAAAAGGCACACAATCTTTTATTCGGGCAAGCATGATGGCGAGTGGTTCTACGATGTGTCAAGTAGCAGAGACTGACGAGATCAGAAGTTAGCATCGTCCCGTTATTATTTTATCAGGTGCAAATCAAGGACTCCACGCTCTTGGGGGTGAACTTGCGTATTCCCAGTATTTGCGGCATATCGAGAAAACAAGCCCAGCATTCCAAGCACTGAATACGTCTGGTACAGTGGAGAACTTCGCTCAAGGCTACCAGGACTATCTGCAAGCGCCTCTTCAGGTTTGCTAGCCATCGCGTCTTGAATGTTTCAAATCTCAAGCTGATATAGCCTTTGATGGACAACCTACAGAGCGTCACCTACCAGACGTTCGAGCAGGACCCGGTCAAATACCATAACTATGAGGAGGTACGGTCTTCGTTTCTTTCAAACCTTGGCCAGTCTGACAAAACTTAGGCCATATATCATGCTGTTCTTGACTGGCCAGGGGACCACAAAATGTACATAGGTCCTCCAACCATTCTAAAAAATATCTCACCTTGCCTAGTATTATCTGTGTCGCGGGTGCTGGTCGAGGACCGCTCGTAGCAAGGTCTCTCATTGCTGTCCAGCGTGCAGGACGTGATGCTCACATTTATGCCGTGGAGAAAAACCCCAATGCATATGTCACGTGCGCGCGGTTGTTCATAGTCGTTGAGTTATTTCATCTGTTTACAGACTTCAAGGCAGGCATGAGGCCGAATGGGGTGATCAAGTTACACTTTTGTTTGGAGATATGCGCCATATAGAAGTGCCAGAAACAGCCGATATCCTGGTCAGCGAACTTCTCGGTTCATTTGGGGACAACGAGCTTAGTCCCGAGTGCCTCGACGGCGCAATACGTTTCCTAAAACGTAAGTCAAAGCAATCTTTTTCTAGTTTTTTTTTCAAGGTCACCACCGTGTCTAGCCGACGGAATCTCCATTCCCTCATCGTATACCGCCCATTTGGCTCCTTTGTCCTCTGCCAAACTGTTCAATGAAGCGAGGATAGGAAAGGAAGAAAAGAATCTCGAGACGCCTTATGTCGTTATGTTCCAGGCGGTCAACATTCTCAGTGGAGACGGAAGCAGCACGAATGGACGTTGTGGACCCCAGGTCCAAGAATGCTGGGAGTTTGAGCATCCGCGACGCGACGCCGTCTTAGACCAGCGAGGTGAATATATTCTTATAGCAATTTCTGTTGACCTCACGGGTGATACCAGGCCTTCCCCTCACCAACAGTCACAACGCCCGGTCTGCCAAACTCAACTTCTTCATTCCCCATGCGGGCGTTTTACAGTGAGCTTCCAGTAATCTTGTCGGCGGTAAGCCAATAGCTATTTAGTGGGTTAGCTGGATACTTCGAAGCGGTTCTCTACGGAAACATTGGGCTGAGCATCCACCCCCATCGAAAAGACAGAATCTCAAAAGACATGCTTAGTTGGTTTCCCTTATTTTTCCCGTTTAAGGTTCGTCTCATTGAAAGCATTTGGGTTCCGAAAGTCATTTCCAATCCAGGAGCCGCTATACCTGCCAAGCAACTCAGAGCTCCAGGTATCGATTTGGCGATTGACGAACCAGCGTCAAGTGTGGTATGAATGGCATGCTGAAGCGTTTTTAAACGTTATCGGAGAGCCATCGCTCGAAACAGAGGTACCTCTGCCCTCACCACGCTCCGCAAATTTTGCGAGTGGATCCTTTTTCTCATCGCCTCCGAGGAATACGCCAAGTCCGCTTTTTGACGCAAGCGCAGCGAATGACACATCCTCATTTACCTTTGATCGGAGAGTTTCCGTCGATTCGATGGTACCTCCCGGTCCACGGTTAATCAAGATCGGTCATACCAGTTTGCACAATCCTGGAGGGCGAAGCAGTTGGATCGGGTTGTGAGACTGGTGGGTAGTCTTCCGTAATTATTGGTACTAATAAGCAGATTGTAACTTCTGTGGACTTGGCAAAAAACATATATGAGCGATGTATTATAGCTCGGCCAGTCCGCAGTCACCCCTGAATAACGCACAAAGACAGCCTCATAAAATGAGGCTTACCTGTGCTCATTTTCCCGTCCTCTTTTGTCATGAGACTGATACCAGCTATCGTTGTCCTCTTTTCGCCTATATTCGCAGTCGCATTGACTGTAAATACGCCTCCGTTGTGGGTTTTACTGTTAGATTTGTTTTCACTGATACTCAGCTAGAGTAAAGGTCTACCGTCATTGTCTGCCAACCTCTGCAAGTTTCATGGAGCGGAGGAACCCCACCATACTTCCTGACCATCATTCCTGGTCTGCTCTTGTGTTCTTCTCCTTGTGCAACATGGATTTATATGACCCAGGTGGCCAAATATCGGCTCTTCCAGTATGAGCTATCATGCCCATTACTCGCCGTATACTCAATCTGGCGTCTAGCTCAAATCATTTGACCCCACAGACGCGGCTTTCGTTACATGGACAGTCGACATTGCTGTTGGTACCGCCATCACCTTTTCATTGAAGGACAACACTGGCGACACAGCTTTCTCTGACCAAGTCACTGTATTGGCTGGATCAGACTCCTCTTGCGTAAACTCTTCAAGCTCGGTCAGTGGCGGCGCTGGTTCAGGTGCAAGGTACTTCATTCGAGGTTTGGTTTCAAGCTATCAAACATTTATTGCGTACAGCTCGACGACCCCGAGCACAACGAACTCTGGGCCCAGTCAGTCTCAGTCCACCTCTCGGGCACCTTCTACCAGTGCCTCTGGGACAGCAGCGAACAACTCGGCGGGAAGTAAATTTCAAGGGGAATGGCTACTTGCTGGATTACTAACTTTCCTTTTGTACATTCCTCTCTGACACTAATAACTCGTTGTATTCTATGTTACTGTAACGACAATGAACTTTTATAAGCATTCTTGAATCTGCGATCACGTGCCGACAACCCGGAGGAACTCGGCGCAACGACCCGAAGCCCGAAGTTGTTTGACAAGCCGCGTGTCTGCTTATCACAAGTGGTTTGATTCAAGCCTAACCGCTTGCGCTCAACTACTCTACTCATATGGCGTCGGTCGATGTTGACGTTTCTAGCGTCGCCCTCGTTCCTCTTGACGATGCTAAACACGACCTGGAAGACGCCCTTCTTTCATTCAAGCCAGCCAACGGTGGTATTGGAGCCACCGAAGCAGTGGAAAACTTTGTTGACGACGCGTCAAACAACGGTGGCGCGCCCCCAGTCGAGTCCATCAAGGGCTTTGAGCCTCCCTCTATCCTAGTAAGAGTCCTACATAGTGCACACATACGTATTTCTTGGCTCAAAGAACTTCAACAGGTTGATGACTCTACCATATACGACGCGAAACCCGTTGCTGAGGTGGCTACTTTCTCGTCTGCTTTTTTTTTTTTTTTGCTCACTGTCATCTTTTCTGCCAGGAGCTGAAGGTGACAGATATTGTATGCTTTGTTGTTGATTGGACCTCCCAGTAGTTTATTGACGCACCACAGACTTCCTCTGAGGCGACGACCGAGGAGCAGGTCCGTGCTGGCAAATCTGACCATCGTCGTATTGATAGGCTTTATGTAGGTCCAGTCAGACCTGGGCTACTCTCACGGCGAAGCAGTCGATGAAACACGACATTCCGAAATTCCTCGTCCTTGGACGCCATCTTATAGCGTCACTACGCAAGGCCCCGGGACTCCCCAAACGGAGGAAGTAGTCGAGCCCACTGTTGCTGTTTCCGAGGTTGAGACTGGAGTAACCGAACAAGTGCGTTCTCAACTTGTGCCCACAATTCCCTTTGCCTGAACCCTGGTTAGTCTTCTGCGGACGAAATATCACGCCCAAAATCTCCATGGACTCCCTCATACTCGGTTGTCACACAAGGCAGCCCCAACATTCCCCCCATCCAATTAACATCAACCACCGCTCAACAGCCTGACATCGACTCTTCGGTAAATTTCGTTGATTCTTCGTTACCACAGACTCAATGGGACTGTCCAGGAAACTGCATCTCCCAATGCAAGCTTGGTTCCGGAGGAAACGCTTTCGGCGGCGCGTATTCGCTCCTCTCCGAGGATGCGTACATTTACCTTTTCAACAGGTCACCGCGGAGCCAGAGCGTCCAAAATCACCCGCCGTGATTCTTTCGACAGATGATGTGGGTTTCCTTACTTGAAGAGATTGTTTATTTTGACTCGCAAGCAAGGTTGCTATTGAAGAACCAGCTGTTCATGAAGACGCAACCCCAGCTGATGAATCTCTCGATTCCACTGAGGCGGTAATGACGAGCCAGGTCCGTTTGTCTTACGTTCCTTGATTCACTTTTGCATGGTTTGCAGGAGGAAGCCGTGGATGCCCAGCCTATTCAAGATGAAGGTCCCTTTGAAGTCAGTCCGGAATATTCTATCAGCGCCTTCCTGACCTTGGCAATATAGGAGACCATCCCGGTTGAAGTGGTCGAACCTACACCAACGCAAGAACTTGACGAGCATCACGTGGAACCTGTCCTTGACGAACATGAATCGGGACATGCTGGAGAGTCTTCTATGGATACGACAACATCAACTATATTTGAGGTGGCAGATGTTTTGGTGGACTCCAACAAAGCAGAGATTGTGACGACCAAAGATGACCCAGAGGACGAAGACACGTTAGGCGCAGCGGAGCCGACGTCTGCAATGACCGAAGTAATAGTTCCCTTGGTGTCAACGTCTAATAAGCTGACGGATCTAATTGTAGCATTCGACCCCTTCACAAACAGCGACGGTGAGTAAGTTGTCTCAATGTTTACGACTTCACAACTTGTTTTAGACGCAATCTGAAGAGGACCTTACTCCAGGGACCATAACTTCTTTCATCGAGGTGCGGTTTTTTTTTGTGAACTGGAACTCCTTTCTTCAACTCTTCCAGGAAGAGGCCCCTGATCAGGCCAAACCGAGTGATGTCACTGACGTTGATCCTGTACGCAGCCTTGTAATGGACAAACAAACTGGCTGATTTTGTTGAAGGAGTCGCTCGCGCCGGCTGTCGATGAAATCATTGAGCGTCCTACATCGCCCTGGACACCGTCTTACAGCGTCACGAGCCAAGGCCCTGGCATTGAACACGTCGAGGATATCGTCGAGTTACCTTTTGTTGAACCCATCGTCACCGTATCCGAGGTAACAGTCGAGCCCACTGACGTAAGACTATCACTATGCTTCCGCAGAATTAGGCTGACTTGTCGTAGGCGTCGCAGAACCCTGATATTGCGCGGCCGTGGACTCCTTCCTATTCTGTTGTCGTACAAGGCAGTCCGAATATCCCATCCGTTGAGTTGCACGCGCAAGCGGACGAAGTCGACATGCCCTCCGCTGTAGACGAGCAGCTGATACCGTCTGCCTCTAACGAAGTAACTTAAACCTCTTGGTATTGACAGTGAATGACAATTTCTAGCATGTCCCCGAAGAGGTTGAAGCTTCACACGAGCCGCAAGCGGAGCCAGAACTAGTGCTTGATGCAGCAGAACTCACTGACGCTAACCCTGAAAGTAGCCTGGAAGCAGTGGACATTGAGGTGGGGCATAATATATCCAACATTTTATCGACTAACTGTGGTCAATAGACTCCAGAGCTCGAAGTAGATGCCGCTGTTGTCGTCGCACCCACAGAAATTGTCTCCGCAACTGAAGATGATCTTGCTTCTACAGTTGAAGACCTCGGTGTCGAAAACCGTGAACAAGCTATCGCGCAAGTAGAGTCTTCTCAGCTTGTTGACCAGCCTAGTCCTTCGGGTGGTGATGCTGAGGAGAAAGAGGGAGCAGAACCCACCGAAGATCAGGATCAGATCGTGGCCGGAGAGGTCATCCCAGCAGCTGAAGATGTACAAGTGGAAGAATCTGTCGCACAAGCAGAACTGTCTCAAGAAGAGGCGGCCGTTATCTCCACCGAGGAAGAGGGAGAACAAAATGAGGGGAAAGAGGAAGCAGAACCTTCCGAAGATCAGCCCGTGGCCGCGGAGGTCATTCAGGCAGCTGAAGATGTCGAAGTGGATGAGCAACCTGTCGCGCAAGGAGAACTGTCTCAAGACGAAGCGGCCATTATCTCCACAGAGAAGCCATCTGTTGGCGAGGTTGGTCTTGCGGAAGTGGGAGAAAATGTCGCGCAAGTAGAGTCCTCTCAGGATGATTCACTCAAGCATGCAACTGCTCCCAGTACTGATTCCGAGGATAAAGCAGTTGAAGATAGGCCAGCGGTTGAAGAGGCTGCCACGACAGAATCCCTTGTTACCCTAGAGGCCGTCGACGATACTGGTTCTACTGCTGACGCCGAAGCCGACCTCTCGGAAATCGGACTGGTTGTTGATGCTGAGGAGAGTGTCCAGGTCACGGCCGAGGCTAAAGAGCAGCCCCTCGTTGAAGCAGAGCAATCTCAAGGTAATTTGAATGTTGACGAAACGGACCCTGCTGCCGAGGTCGAGCAAGATAATCAAGCTGACTCTGCCGAAGATGAGCAAGTCGTTGAAGGGGCCGTTCCCGCAGTCGAGGACCTGATTGTTGACGAGGGTGAACTACCTATTGCGCAGGCAGAAGTGTCTTCAAACGAGGCTATTCTTGAAGCCGATACAGTTGTTGAAGACATATCTGTCCAGGAGAGTGAAGAAGTTACTGCGCCAGCTGAAGCGCAGGCAGAACCAATCCAAGAGGACTCACTTGTTGAAGACACCGTCCGTATCGAACCCACCGTTGAAGAAGAGGTCGCTGTCGACATCGCAGACCCAGTAGTTCGTTTTCATGAATGGCGTTATGACAAAGTCTGATATCTATTTAGGCCGTCGTTGAACCAGTCTCGGGTGTAAGCAATCCGGTTCATAGCTGTATCTCGGTCTCAATCAGACTGCTTATAGGAAAGTGCAGGCACTGCGACCTCGTCTGAGGCTGATTCCATCACGGAGGTGAGTTTTGAAAAAGAAAAAAGAAAATATAATTCAACTTATTTCGCAGGAGCGTGCACTTGATGTCGACGCTCCGGCTACTCAAGAAGTTGTAGGTCCTTCAATATCCAACGTTTTATGCCTGACTTGATGAAAGACCGTCTCGTCTGATCCCATCGCCGAATCGGAGCTGCAAACACCGCAACTCCCTGATGCTGTTACACATCCGATTCCACTAGAAACGAACGAAGTGGCTCAGGTCAGCCCTTGCCCCCACATATGCTCAAATCTATTTGAACTAGAGGCTCCAGATCGATGAAGCTGTTCCTGACAAGATCGACGAACAGAATGGCACTGCGACAGAAGACATCATTGGTAAGTGCAAAATCCTCTTCAAAATTGCATTGTTTACTGTTTCGGCAGACTCATCTACTGCCGTGGTAGAAGCGGAGGTCAGCCAACCAGATGTGCGTTTGAATTCTGTGATCTACGGTCTTCTGAGGATTTGCAGGGTCCGACAGCGGATCAACATGATTTGTCAGCCGATAATACCACACTGGAGATCACCGAAAGCTCACAAAACATCAATACCGCTATCGACCAAACGCTCGCGGAAGAGACGAGCCTTGTTGAACAACCTGCGGACATCTATGAGCCAGTTATTGTCGAGGACCAGGTTCCGACGGTGATAGAGCCGAGTACGGTGCCCGCAATAATGGACGAATCTGCCGAGGTCCGTATAAAAGAGATGGTACTTGCGTAGTATCTAATGCAAACTAGGAAGCCTCAATACCTCCCACTGCTTTACTAGAGGTATGAATCCTTCAATACATGTTCCCTTACTTACCCTCCATGCAGATCGTCTCGGAAGCAGTGTCAAGTGTTGTGCCAGAGCTGGAGACTGATTCGGCTACCTCACTCATAGCATCCCAGCCAGAAGTTATCGAAATACCCCTTGCACTGGAATCGGACGAAGGGGGTCAGGTGAATGCTATTCACGATGGCGCTTCGCAACCCGACCCAACCCCTGAGCTCGTTTCTCAAGCAGCTGAGACGCCAACGGCGGCGGACCAGGTTCTGGACGACGCTGAGCTGGTGGTATGCTATTCTTTTCTCTGCAGCGTATGTTGATGTTCTTCAAGACGGACAGCACAATCAAAGAACAAGTGGATGACTCTTCCATTTTGGACATGCCGGAAAGAGACACGGGCATGGAAGTCCACGCAGAAGAGGACGTTGCAGTTGCTCAGGTGTGTAAACCACGTGACACACGTAGATTATCTGATCATATGCCAGGACACTCTTACGACCCCTTCGGAGTCTATCGAGAGGCCTGCATCGCCGTGGACAGTGTCGTACAGCGTCACGACGCAAGGTCCAGGTATGTCTGCTGTCGAAGAGCCAGAAAAGTCACAAGAGCCTATCGTTGTGATCTCGCAAGTGGCTCAAGAGCCAGACAACGAGGTCTGTATTGCATGCAACATATATTTTCTTTTTAATCTGAAATGATCCAGGCTCCTACTGATCAGGCAGATGTGCCGTCACGCCCTTGGACACCCTCATACTCCGTCGTGGTTCAGGGCAGTCCTAACGTCGCTCCTACAGAATTGGAATCAAGTCTTGATATCGAGTCGGTCCAACAAACTGAGCCAGAGGTGGAGCGTTCTGTGGATGCAACAGTCAGCGAAGACACTGCATCAATTCCTATTGCTGAAACGGTGGCCGAGGAGGCAACAATTGCAGCCGCAGCGCCATTTGAGACGGAAGGCGAGGCTCAAGTGATTTCTGACAATGCTACTAGTCCAGATGAAATTGTGGAACCTGAGCCTCCAGCAGTGCTTCGCAACATCTCTCCTGCCGTTCACATTGAGGAGAATGCTGTAGCTTTGTCTACTAGTGACAAGCCAGCAACGCTGGACGACCTAGCCACCACTCAAGAGGCCCTTTCCGTTGGTCCGTCTGAGGTATTTTAGAGTTGATTCTTGTCTCTTCTCCGGCTAACAGTGTTCAGGTTAAGGATATTGAGCGTCCCAAGTCTCCTTGGACCCCTTCCTACAGTGTCGTTACTCAAGGACCTGGTGTCGAAGCTGTTGAAGCAGCTGAACCCGCTGAACCTGTGCCTGACGTCCAACCCACACTCACGTTTTCCGACGCTCCCGACGAGAAAGAGGCAGAAGCAGAAATTGTGGAAACCCCCCGGCCGAAGTCACCTTGGACTCCTTCGTATTCTGTTGTCGTCCAAGGCAGCCCTTCTGCTCCTCCTATTGAGCTGGAAGCGGAACAGGCGAAGCCAGAAATTGTTGACCTATCTACATTACGCGACCCTGATATTGACGAGCACTCTGGTTCGCCTGATTTCGCAAGCGATGCTGTTGTTGCAGCCCTGGTGGAGTCTGGCATAGTATCGGATGAACCGACAGTGATCAAGTCTGAAAGCGATTTCACAGCCGCCGAGACGCCAACTCGTCCCCTTACACCCCAAGTCATCGCCACGCTCGAGACACCCTCAGAGAGTCAACCTGTCGAGTCTCCTGCCAAGTCTGCAGATTCAACCAATCAACATACGCCTCTGGCATCTGCACAGCCTTTGCCCGAACTTCAAGCGTTTCCCTCCAGCGCTGATGGGTAAGTTGTATAGCCTCTCATCGAACATATCTGACAGTGTGAAAGGGCTGGAGATGCAGACGGTGAGGAGGAAGATTTGGCACCTCCACTTTCACCTCGTTCAAGGCTCGAGTCCACTACTTCAAGCTTATTTTTCCCTGGAGGTTGGTTCTCAAGGGCTCCAGACGAAAACCTTCGCCCGTCATTGGAAGTGGCTGCGGGCGAATTTACGCCATCGAAGTCTTCTCCTCCAGTGCTTTCCTCGCCTCAACCTGAGGAAACCACTCAAACAGAGGAGAAGAAAGGTAGATGGTGCATAGTGATGTGAATGATGACCAGAAACGACATTTTATGACCGACATGACCTCTCACCTAACTTTTTGCATATTTCTTTTTCTGGATCATGGATGGGGATTCTATACCGCCATAATTTTCTTGAAAGTGTACGTTTCTAGCGTATGAAAAACAGTAGTAATTGCTTTACGGTCCAAAACTCAAGTTCGCTGTCATTTTGAACACGTGCTCAACACTTTCCTCAACCACCCGCCGGTGACGTTCAAATTTGGGTGTCTGCAGGCGTAACCTCATGCCTAATTAAATCGCCATCTACTCTTGCTCTCCTCTCCTATGATGGCATTCGCTTCGCCTCGCCTTGTTTTCGTTGTTCTTTTCGCTATCAATTGTGTTATATGGTCTTCTGGTCGCTATGGTCAGATACCACGGGCCAGCCTGCTGCATGGGGACCAAAGTCTCGCGAAGCGCATCTCCGTCGAGCTATTCAATCCAGTAGCTTCATTGGAGGAAGACGATGACTTGAGTCAAGTGCGTAGTTAGTTCCGCGAACAGTCGGTCCACTCATGAACTCTACAGTGTCGACCCATCGCATTCCCAGTAACTCAACAATGCCCTCATGTTCTTCATAGTTGCTCTCTTCCGCCAACCTTCCTCTCCATTCCATACCTTCCGCACTACTACTGCACTGACTTGGCCTTACGACCGCTGGTATTCTCTGGCTTGATCATTTGGCTGGTCTTCCTTTTCTCGACTCTCGGCATTACTGCATCGGACTTTTTTACGCCCAATCTTGCAACGATTGCGCAGCTGCTTGGGCTCGACGAGAATGTGGCGGGCGTAACTTTCCTTGCCTTTGGCAACGGAAGTCCTGATGTCTTCTCCACATTCAGCGCCATGCGTGCGAACTCTGGGAGCTTAGCAATTGGCGAACTGCTAGGTGCGGCGAGCTTTGTACGTGGCCCTTACTTGGAAATGAAACAGTCAACAATTCTGACATTACCTGAAGATTGTCTCGTGTGTTGTGGGTTCAATGTGCATCATTAAACCTTTCCAGCTCCATAAAGCCACATCCTTCATCCGCGATGTTGGCTTCATGTTCACTGCCGTTGCCTTGCTGCTCGGTATCTTATGGGATGGGAGAATACGCTTCTGGGAGGCCAGTCTAATGATTGCACTCTATGTCGTTTATGTCGCCACGGTAGTCGTTGGCTCTTGGTGGGAGCGCAGGGAAGAGCGGAAACGTGCTTATGAAGCTATGGTCCGCTCAGAATATGACGACTCGTACCAATCGCCGGCAATTCCTTTCCCAGAGCCCTACAGGGACTATCGTGCGTTGATAATTTACCCAGTTACAGCCCTTTGACAATTTTCCTCTTAGCATCCTCGCCGGAATCCATGCTACCGACAACCTCACTGATAACGCCGACTCTGTCTCGTGCTAGGGCCATATCAGCGCCAGGAGCACCTCCCCGATTACAAACAGACCTCCCACGTCGTCCACATTCCCGCTCGCCATCCCCAACACCATCATTTGGCGCGATGCCATCGTTTTCTTTGGTCGGCGCGCTGGAATTCCGCCAAGTCGTTGCTTCATTACAACACGAGGCTGCAGGAAACTCTTTGAGCATCTTTGACAGTCCTTACACACCCTACGCCGGTGGTCACTACAACAGTTCGCTCCACCGCTCACGGTCACGAACATTGAGCAGAGAAATAAACCCTTGGGATGCTACGCTTGGTCTCCCACTTGATGAACGCACAAGACCTCGACTTGTGATTACCCCGGCATTGACCGAGGCCTCTGAAGAGTTTATGGATGGGACAACTGCTACACGGAGCTCTGCGCCATCAGTTTCACAAACATTATCTGACGGGGATCCCGAGTCACAACACTTGCAGCCGTTATCGCGCGGCCAACGGCTCCTCGCTATCGTTGCAGAGGCTTATCACATCCTCTTCCCTTCCCTGCATCATTTTGGCAGCAAGACGGTCCTAGCTCAGATCGCTTCGGTGTTTGCTGCTCCGGCTGTCTTCCTTCTAACGCTCACTCTCCCTGTGGTTGTGACTCCATACCAGTCCACCCATCATGCTCGAGAAAAGACGCCACGAGAAGAACCCAGTCTCATTGACTTTGAGGAGGAAGGCATTGAGCGGGTCTTAATCGCCGAAGAGGAAGTTCAAGAGGAGCTACATGGCATTGCCTACAATAAATGGCTGATGGCGGCACAATGCATATGCGGACCGCTATTCTGTGCCGCAGTGTTATTTGGAGGCAACAAGCACCAACCTCTGGCGCTCGTTTGTGCCGCAATGATTGGCTTTACCGCTTCAGTGCTGGTTGTTGTGTTCGGAAGTGAGGGTCAGGAGCTGACGTTTCGCACGGCTCGCTGCTCTCTGGGGTTCTTCGTTGCCATTGTGTGGATAATGGCAATAGCCGACGAGGTCGTCCAGGTGCTACAGGTATGCCGGTCTGAGAATAAGGAACTGCATATGCTGAGAACTTGTTGCAGACTTTTGGCTTCATTTTTGGTCTGTCTGATGCTATCATTGGACTGACTATCTTTGCTATGGGCAATTCTCTTGCTGATCTCGTCGCCAACATGAGTGTCGCGGTTCGGTGCTAGTCTTATCGTTGCGAAAGCAAGCTGATCTCATCCCAGGTGTTTGCCCCAATCATGGGTTTCTCAGCCTGTTTCGGCGGACCCATGCTAAATATTTTGCTTGGTGTGGGCATCTCTGGCCTCTACATCACTCGACAGACGTCGGAGCCATATGAGCTGCACTTTGGCAAGACCCTACTTGTCAGTAACGTTGGACTCCTCGTTCTGTTGGCCGCAACGTTCATCGTTGTCCCGCTGAATGGCTACCACCTCACTCGAACCTGGGGCATCGTACTCATTGCATCGTATCTGACTATCCTTACCATTAACATCGTAGTTGAGATCTACAGTTAATTGTTTTCTTATTTTTTCACTGTACTAGCAAACATGTAGCAAAACAGTGGTGGACATCGAATGTGGTAGAAGCTTTTGAATTGATGACGCATCATCAACTCCTACTTGTTCAGACGCGTCATGTCGTCTTCTCCAGAAATCTCGATAAACGTGAAAGGTACCTACTGGCAGTCCAGAAACTCGCATTATGTGCTTAGAGCTATCAGGCCCGAGTGAATTGAAACTCCAAATCTCAATTACAACCGACAAGACTGTGCTCGAGCTGAAACAGGCCATCGCCGAGAAATCGGATGTAGAGGCGGACAGGCAACGACTTATTTACTCGGGTGAGTCCTTGTGAACGCCATTTACCCCCTCGTATTCTTACTATTTCGTTCAGGACGAGTGTTGAAGGTTCATAACAAGCTCCACACCGCCATAATAGTTTCTCATTGACTTTGCTCACAGGATGAAGACCAACTGTCTGTGTACAAAATCCAGACTTCGCACACGATCCATATGGTCAAAGGCGCTGCCCGCTCCGGAGGATCGACCTCCGCTCAGTCATCTGCTCCCCAACAGCTTCCAACGATGCAAACCGGCCAGAACCCGCATGACCCGCTCACCCAACTCAATAGCCACATGGGTTTTGGGGCTATGGCTGGTCTGAACCCATTTGCTGACATGGGCCTTAATCCCAACGACCCCAACATGGTGCGCATCTCTTGTCAGTGTGAACAAAGATTATAGTACTGACGCGTCTGTTGCGTAGATGCAAGGCATGATGAATAACCGGCAATTCCTCCAACAAATGTCGACGATGATGTCCAACCCACAAATCATGGACCAAATTCTTGCCTCGAGCCCACAAATGGCCTCCCTCCCACCAGAGGCGCGGAGTATGATGCAAAGCGATCATTTCCGGCAAATGGTGTAGGTGTCCATTATTTTGACACTAATCGCCTTTCAACTCATCGCTCGCAGCTCAAACCCCGATAACCTGCAGCGAATGCTGCAGATGGCCAACATGTTCAACGGGATGGGTGGCGGCGCGGGTAATGGCGGAAGCGCTTTCCCTGCACCAGGAATTCCCGGTGCACCTGCTGCTGCTGCGGCAACGACTACCCCGCAACCACAACAGCAGCCTCCTGCGTTCCCCAATTTGTTTGGTGGTGCGGGCGGAAACGCACCAGGCTATGACCCCGCAATGATGGCCGCTTTGTTGGGTTTAAATGCGGGTGGTCAGGCCGCTCCGACTTCGCCTGGAGGGACCACGCCACCAGCCGCTGGAGGGGCATTACCGAATCCGGCACTGTACCAGCAGCTTTTCGGTGGCGCACCGACCCCGCCTGCGGACTCACGGCCACCAGAAGAACGATTCCAAGTACAACTTCAGGTCCGTTTTCTGCTTGTGAGCTGAACAAAGTTGAACTAACTAGCACACAACAGCAACTGCAAGATATGGGCTTCAGCAACGCCGCACAAAATGTGCGTGCACTCCTGGCAACGGGAGGGAATGTCCACTCTGCGATCGAGTATATTCTCGGTGGAGGAGGGTTGTAGTAGGTATATTAGACTGTACTTTTGTAGCGTTAAGACGTGTCTTGTTTCGCAAGTTTTCTTGTCAAGGTCCGCGAGCATAGGCGATGTGCCCAAAAATAAACGATCCTGACAGCGGAACACGTCAAAAAGATCTCAGCTGCCTGGTTCGAACAGGCGACACCCAGATACCGTGGGAGAAGATTTCCTTTTACAGTCTGGTGCTCTTCCAATTGCCCGGTCTCGCGGTAAACGTTCGAGCGCACGCATACCGAGTTCTTCTAGACTCAACCCTTGTGTTCATCAGAGACTGATCAAGGAATTACCGGAATCGGGATCCTCAGGTGGCTCGTAAGTTTCTTCCTCCTCTAGCAGGTACGGAAGACACTCCCTAGTTGAGAAGAGCCATTCACGACTGAACCGAACTCTCACCGACTTGCAGCGACACCACTTACTCCGGAAGTCGTCGACAAGAAATGTTTCTCCGGTAAATTGTCCCAATCCACATTTTCAGAGGTATAAGTTGATTGGAGGGTTGCGAGTGACGCCGGTGCCAGACAAAGCTCAGAGGAGGATTCTGTTCGCGGTCGCTTTGTTTGATTTTGCAGGAACGGGTTGTGAGGTTCGCGGAAATCTCAATGCACCCATTTCTGTTGCCCATTCCGCGGTCATATACTGCATGCGCTCCTTGCTTGATCTTGACATCCTGTTAACTGCTGGATGTCTCGTCCCCCTTGAAAGTATGTGGTCGTGTCCCATTCCATAATAAAACTGATCTGTTTCCAGTTAAAATCCCTCAGAAATCGCTTTTAGCACCATCGCGTACTGCTGCTGTTTGTGGTGGACATGTGCTTATGTCTCAGAGGATCGTTGATAGTGCTCAAAGCATTCAATGCTGCGGCAGCGAGCTAAGGGTGTACAAAGTAAGGGTCCGCTAAGTGACGCTTCTCTATAGACTGACACGTTCAAGCAATCTTACGTTTGGGGTGGGCGGAAAGAACAAAGATGGCAAGAATATTGCGGGATGGGGCTACTACGAGGTACTTGACTGTTCATGACAATCGACAAGCACTGACAGCTCTCAGACAATCGCCGGTGGTTCTGGAGCCGGTCCGTCGTGGCATGTCAATGGCACTGACGGCGTCCACATCACCAACACCAGAATAGGTGGGCGCTGAATGATCACTCGCGCATTACTGATGCAGGCGATGTGGAAATTCTTGAGCGGCGTTACCCTGTTCTCTTGCATCAGTTCGGACTAAGGTAAGGCTCCGCCGGGGTTGGACAGTACCGCGGGGGTGAAGGTGTCATCCGCGAGGTGGAGTTCCTTAAACCGATGCAGGTCTCGATATTGTCAGAGGTATAGCTGACATCTATTACTGGTGCGTTGGGACGAAATACGTGGATAAAGCAGTTGCGAGAGGAGGATGGAGACGACACTGAGCAGAACAGTGCCTTGGGTGCTCGTGAAATCAATATTGGGGGGAAGGCGACTATTTGGATAGGGAAGGGCGACCGATTGAAGATTGAGACACCAGGTGGTGGGGCTTGGGGTTCCGGACATTCAGGTGAAGATACAAAGCACGCTTATGTTTGGGAGCCTCGGGGTTCATTCGCAGAAAGGGCGTCAGCGGAGGCTTCGTTTTAGTTGCAAAGATTAGTATAGGCTATGAAGAAGATGCAAGGATTGGACTACTTTGCAGCCAAGTGAGACATCAATTAATTCAATACTGGGAGTATCGCGTTGAAAAATGATCGTGACGGCGGAACATGTCAAAAAAAAGATCTCAGCTGCCTGGTTCGAACAGGCGACACCCAGATGTTGCGAGAGAAACTCTCAGGGATTCCCAATTACAGTCTGATGCTCTTCCAACTGAGCTAAGCTGAGATGACTCTTCCAACTGAGCTAAGCTGAGCTGGAAGTATCCAAGGAGGGTGTTTGTATGTCATCAATAGTGCAAGAATCATCACAAAACATTGCAATCAATAGCCTGATCAATGTGTGATATACAATCACTGTTTTGTCATACAAGTGATTCTGAAGAGATAAACTGTCTCAACAACACTTTCAACTTTTAGATAGCTTAAGAGTGAGTAATAAAGAGAGTGGAGTTAAGCATCAAAGTTACTGTAAGTGCAACCCTGGAGGCTGAGATCAAGGCAAAGAGAAGAAACTCTAAGGGTCCACCTGCTAGGTAGCTGACTATATACTGTTGACGAGCAATTGGCGCACCGGTATTTCCTTAATCTTATCTTATCTCTTTACTTAAATAGCTACATCTCCTGTCGGTCACCCTCAGTCTCTTACCACGACGACTGAGGGTGAGTCTCCTTATCTACTCACATATTCAGATACTTATTACCTTCTGTAGCTTACATCTGTTTCTTTACAGATTCGCAGTCAGACCGTGTTACGCTCAACACGCGTGGTGCCAACTCACTCCCTGTGCTCTAACCCCTCCCTGTTCCTCTTCGACATGTCGTCCGGCTCTCGTATCCCAATTCTGGCTAAGGAAAAACAGCTCGCTGATCTCGGAAACTGGTCAGCATGGAAAGAGTCGATTACCAGTCTTGCTCGTGGGCTGGGTCTCGACGGGTATCTTGACGGTCGCGAGGTTTGTGAGGGAGGAAGGCGTGACACATGAGACATGAACGAGGAAGTTTGAGCAGTACACAAGAATACTTAAGGAGATGTCACACATGAACTAGCAAGTTCAAGGTCATGCCTCCACTCAAACAATTCAGTACCATGCCCACTATAGTGCACAATATATATAATATATGTATCTTAGAAGAACGTGAACTTGTAAGTCGGTGCAATCAAGAGCAGCAAAGGAGGAGTGGTAGGTTAGCAATTTGATGAAAGCCGGTGATGAGGGTGGATGACGGGTGGGGAGACCGGAGATGAGACCGACACTACACAACTAAAACTCAACAACAAAACAACAAATAGTCGTTCTGTCTGAGCGATAACCGTATAACACCGTTCCAAACGTCCAACAACCACCAATAACCGTCTCCTAATACGAGTGCAGAACCCTGGGAACAGAGCCTGTACACGGGTGTGCAAGGTTGTAGGGTAGATCGAATGAAATCTTGTTAAAGATTTGTTTTGTGGTTGTCCTTAAGCGTACTATCGACGAAATCCAGCAATAGGAAAGCGCCAATACGATGCCCAGAACCGTTTATACTCGTTTGGATCAGGAACTAACTGCCTTAAACCCAAGGAGTCGTCTCAAGTCAGGAACTAACTGCCTTAAACTCTCGACCGCCAACCGAAACCAAGTGTACGCCAACCGAAACTCTCTTATACGGCAACCGGAACCCTCAACTCTTTGATCACAACGCCTTTTTACTTGAATGAAAGAGCTAGCAGGATGATATTGACAAGCTAGATCCCCAGATGCACCTAGTAACGCGGGCAATCCGTGAATCGCTCAAATACAGGACAGAGATATAAATACTAAAACAGAAAATGATAAGATCAGGTAAATCGCCACAACAGAATGATGGTCCATGTGCATAATTTGTAAGGTATCGTTTCGCCATAAGGCCCAGAGTCGAAAATCCAGGTCTAGATGACCGGTAGCGTGTTTGGTGTCAATGACCTTTGTAAATCCTCCTTTATTGCGACCGTCTATGCGTTTTTGTGAACGGTCCGCTAACCGTTGTTGTTATCGTCGTGTTGCTCCACTTCCTAGCTTTCCATCGATATCCATGACTTGAGGTTAACCGCCAGACACCGTTAGGCAAATCTCTTAACGAGATAATCGCAATCTGTTGTCGAGTTGTTCGGTTGGACGGTTGCGGGTTAAGGTCGCCGCGATCTGCAGCCAAGCCCTCGTTTCCACTGAGTCATGCCTCCCGTTTAACCGCACCTCCACATGTCCTTATCCTTGCGTAAGTTCCGAAACCGCGTTCCAATGCTGTCAGGGACTGATCCGTTCAAGCCTGGTTGAACCTTCGTCGGAGCGTTCTGAGTTCGAGTCCCAGCGGTGCCAGACCGAATATGCCTTTTAGTTTACACTCCCTTTTGGTATATATAAAGGATTGGATGGATCCTCTATGTTGGTTGGGCTCTGCTGTTGTTTTTGGTTGTTGTAAGAGTCGTTCTGAACGGCCAGTTGCTATCGACAACGGTCGAATCGAAACGCCTCTTCGCAGATATCTCCCTAACTGGCCATTCGGGACTCATGCCAGTTCCTAGACGTGCGCTGTAACCATGAAACGAACAAAAATAGTGGTTTCCTATGTGTGTTCCAGAATGCGGCTTATCACCGGAGTGACAGGATATGGTAATACTAGGTACTAGGTGGATGAACAAAGTTGTGATCATGAGGTTGAGCGGCCATGCTTCTTAGACGATGGTAGATGTTCACAGAGGCAACCCAAGCCAGCGCCAGACACGCGTCCGCAGACGGGCCGACAAAGACATCTCTGCGTCACGGCGGGGGGTAGGCTGGGCACCAAGGAAGTGCTACACAGGCTGTTAGCGTTGAGGTCGACTAAGAAGGGGAAAACCCACTTGGACATCTGCCAGGGTGTAGCTGGGGGAGTATGGCAGGGGTGGTGGATCACTCGTATCGTCTAATCCCGCGTTTAAATTCGAGTTTGATGCTCCAGTTGGCACGGTACAGGTGCTGGGATGACTTTGGAGGGCAGGGACGGAGGTGAGGGCAGCGGCCTGTTCCTCGTCCTTGACGATCATGGCTGAGTGCTGGCATGAAGATCGGTAACACATCGTGACGGTGAGCTTTACCTTTTGCTCGTCACAGACCCGTGCGCGCGGCTGCCCAGCGCGCGGTGCTAGGATTGTGCGAGCAGTCAGCGACGCGGGCTGGCGCTGGATGGGTCCCGGGCCTGCCATGACGGCCGCAGCTGGTGGCGGCCTCCACAGGTGCTGCCCCGTTTTACCCATCTGTTGCTGTTGCTGACGAGCTCGTCGTCGTCAGTTTCGTGGAAATCGGCGCGTCTTATCCGCGACCTCTGCTCGTCGCTTACTGATGGACGGGGCTTGCGCGGAA